ACACACACACACACTCGGCGTGAATATTCAGTGATAGTATGCGATGGTCACACAGACCTCTTCTGCTGGTTTTCAGTGTTTCCTGGTCTTCCTGTAGACCTGTAGTCCTTTAGCAGAGCTCTGGTTCTCTCTGGTTCTGATCCGGTCTGTCCAGAACCTCCTCTGTCTGCTCTGTGACGGGTCGCCTGCTGACGTCAGTCGGAGGAGCTGCACCTGTATATCTGTTTACCTGTGAGCTTAGTTTGAGGTGGAAATTCAAAGTCCAGAAGAATTTAGTGATATTTGGTTCTGTTGGTTCTGTTGGTTCAGATTATTCTGGATCTGTAAACTCAGTCCTCCACGAACTTAAAAAAATACAGTGTCATATCATTTTTAATATCATTTTTCATATATCATATCATTTAATATATCATATATTATTTATTGTCATATATCATATGATAATGTATCATTTCATTTATCATATCACCATTTATTTTGTCATACAAAATATATATTATATCATATTATCTATCACACATTATATATCATTAGTTACATCATATTATATAATATCATATCATTTATCATATGATATATCTTTTCATCATTATAGTAATTATCAAATAATTTTATTATATAATTTATCATATATCTTTTCATATTCTATTATATCATACATTATATATCATATAATATTTCACTTATCATTTATCATATATCTTATATTAGATTATATCATTTTTTATATCATTTATCTTATCATTATTATATTTTATCATTTATCATAAATAATTTTTCATATCATAAATCTTATATAATTATATCATATCATTTATCATATGATACATATTTTCATCATTATATCATATCAATTATCATATCATTATATTATATAATTTATCATACATCTAATTAAATTATATTATGTTATACATCATATAGCATACATATATAATTTATCATACATCATGTCATATCATTTATCATATTGTTATATTATATGATTTTACATATCATTCATCTTATCATTATTATATCATTTATCATACATCTTTTTATATTATCTTGTATCATTTATCATTTTTCATATCATTTATTTAACATCATTATATTACATCAATTATCATATCATTATATTATATGATTTATCACATATCTGATCATATTCTTTTCTATTATTTATCATATATCATTTTTTATTTCATATATTTTATCATATCATTTATCATGTCATATATCATACCATATAATTATGTATCAGACTAAATCAGTCCCTCCTCTGCTGGGCTCTGATGTTTTGGACCAGAACATGAGGAATCTCATTATAACATATTGTATTTAAAACATGTCATATTCTATTAAAAGGTTCTGTATTGTAACAGACTGTATCCTGTTGGATCAGAACACACTGGACCGAACCTTCCTGTGCTGGATTATACTTCATTTATCGTAGTAAAATGTAGTTTATCATATATTGTGATATATTATAACATGGTGTATCCTGTTATGTAAGATCTCCTCTCAAACTGCAGCAGCATATATCAGGGTCAGCAGATGACGGTGGTTCACGTTTGGAGATAAGGTCAAAGTTTCTGCTCATGCTGGTCAGTCTGAAGGATGTCAGATGTTTCTGTGCTGCAGCAGGAAAGACGAGATATTACAGGGAGCAAATATATAAGAAATGCACTCAGGTAATAAATTGGTTTTAAACATGCACCAGCGCCCTCCATTTTCACATTTGATGATTTGAATAATGTGTTTTTTTTTTATCTGGAGATGTTTTTTTCTTTCCCACCACAGGTGTGGGAAATTGAGATGAAACAGGGTTCTACCTGTTTGACACCCGAACGCACCACAAAGACGGAGAGAGAGACGGAGAAGAGGAGCGACGACAGAGAGAGGGGATCCGAAAATATTTCTTCAAAAAGAGAGGAAGACTCTGATCAGGCTGGAAAAGATCCTAATAGAAAAAAAGAGGGATGAAAGAGGAGGGCACGTGTGACGAAATGTGTGCTGACTCCGAGGGACAGGCGTAGAAATAGGTAGAGACACGGAGGAGAAGAAGAAGAAGAGGAGAGAGAGAGAGAGAGAGAGAGAGAGAGAAACGGAGGCTGTGTGTGTGTCTGAGCGTTTAAAGACGGCCTCGCTCAGAGTAATAGCTTTAAAAGACCAATCAAATTAAGGCTGAAGCTCGATAACAGCGCGGCGCCGGCGTCTTCCCTTTCTCCTCAAAGGGTTGTGGTGTCAGACTCAGTTAGGCCCCCCCCGACACGATTAGGCGCTGACAGGACCAGCCATCAGCCGGCGCTCTGAAATCAGCCGGGTTTGAGAGAGACGCCTGCTGCGGCGGTTCCCCCGAGGAGGGACGGCCCGGGGTCGCCATGACAGAGACGCTGAACTCAGAGCGCCGCTGAGTCACTTCACATGTCAGAGCAGATGATGCGGAAGCTGTCGGCGCTGACGGGTCCGAGGTGAGGAGTCAAAGTGTGGGTTTGAGTCTGAAGGTGGGGCAGAGCGAGAGTCCAAACCCGGTTCTGTTCTGAGCCGAGAGAGAGTCCAAACCCGGTTCTGTCCTCCCTCAGAGTCCTGTCTCTGCTCCCGGGTCCGTCTTTGTTTCTCTCTCCTTTATCGGCTTTCTTTACAAACTCAGAACCTGGGGCAGAATCTTTAGTTCTGCTGTGGGAGTATCACACACACACGGGCACACACACACACTCACACATGGGCACACACACACACTCACACATGGGCACACAAGCACACTCACATGCACACATGCACACACACAGACACGCAGGCCTGATTGATTTTTCGTCGCCTGTCGAGGTGTTTTGTGTTTTGTGTGTGTTTGTTTTTGCAGCGAGGGCAGAATTGGCCGTGGTTCAGTCCGCCACTCTGAGGATGGAGAGAAGAGGAGAGAAAGGAAGGAAAGGAGAGAGAGGAAGGGAAGGAAAGGAGAGAAAGGAAGGAAAGGAAAGGAGAGAAAGGAAGGAAAGGAGAGAGAGGAAGGAAAGGAAAGCAGAGAAAGGAAGGAAAGGAGAGAGAGGAAGGAGTAGGAAAGGACAGAGAGGAAGGAAAAGGAAGGAAAGGATAGAGAGGAAGGGAAGGAAGGAAAGGAGAAAGAGGAAGGAAAGGAGAGAAAGGAAGGAAAGAGAGAAAGGGAAAGGAAGGAAAGGAGAGAGAGGAAGGAAAGTAGGAAAGGACAGAGAGGAAGGAAAAGGAAGGAAAGGATAGAGAGGAAGGGAAGGAAGGAAAGGAGAAAGAGGAAGGAAAGGAAGGAAAGAAAGGAAAGAAGAAAAAGGAAGGAAAGAAGAGAGAGGAAGGAAAGGAGAAAAGGAAGGAAAGAAGAGAGGAAGGAAAGGAAAGAAAGGAAGGAAAGAAAAGAGGAAGAAAAGGAAGGAAAGAAGAAAAAGGAAGATAAGAAGAGAAACAGGAAAGGAAGAAAAGTAGGGAAAGGAAGGAAGGACAGATAGGAAAGGAAGCAAAGGGAGGTTAGGAAAGAAAGAAAGGAAAGTAGAGAAAGGAAGGAATGGAAGGAAAGGAAAGAAAGGAAGGAAAGGAGAGAGAGGAAGGACAGAAATGAGAGAGAGGAAATGAGAGAAAGGAAGGAAAGGAGAGAAAAGGTGGAAAGGAGAGAAAGAAGGAAATGAGAGAAAGGGCGGAAAGAAAAGAGAGGAAGGAAAGAAGAGAAAGAAAGGAAAGGAAGAAAAGGAGAGAAAGGAAGGACAGAAATGAAAGATGGGAAAGGAAGGAAAGAAAAGAAATGAAGGAAAGGAGATAAACGGAGAGAAAGTAAAGTTGGCGGTGATGACTGGGGAACAGAGAGGACACTGAGGAGCCGAGTGACGGGAACTAAAGGAGGATTTTCGTCAGTGAGAGAGTCGAGCACAGAGGAGCAGAAATAATCTTTGTTTCCTCCTGGTGTTCAGATGTTTTTCCTCTGCAGAGAGGAGGAGGAGGAGGAGGAGGAGGAGGAGGAGGAGGAGGAGCTGCTGCAGGGAAACACAGATTCATGGAGAGTGAGGGTCTGTGGAGGAGACACGCTGTGAAAGTGAATAACAAAGACGTTTAAAAACCACATCGTCCCCGGAGACGGAGAAAAGTGAGAGTGTTGGAGTAAATATCTGCAGCGTCCCTTTAATTCTCGCTCCTTTATGAGCTCCTCAGGTTCACTCAGAGGTCGTCTGCAGGAAGGAGAACCAACGGTTGTTTGTTCGCTCCTCCTGGAGTCCAATTATTTCAGCCTGTGATCCGAATCTTCAGGATCTGACTTCTGTTTAAAAATGAATCATCTGCACGTGCTCTGACTGTAGAGCTGATCGATATCAGTCAATATCGATCAATATCACAATATGAAAAATGAAATGTAAGTGTTTATTGGTCGCATGTCTTTTACGATACAATAATCTCCTGCATCTATGAGGTCTTTGCGTCTCTGTGGCGTTTTGTCGTAAGGCGTCGTGTTGGCGAAGGCGGGCTGAATGGTCGTCTGTTTCGGCTGCACAGACGCCACGGGCTCCTCGCTCCTCCATCCTGACTCCTGCCAGACCGATGAGAGGAGCGTCACGCAGGTGTCTGATCGATGACTCACACACCCGTACGGAGAGTAAACGGCGAGCTGTGAAAACGCCGCTCGTCTTTCTGCTGATGAATGGCAGCTGTGTGACCTTTGACCTCACATCATGTGTTGTTTACAAGCTGTGAATGAGTCAGTTCTGCAAATGTGAGACATCATCCATCCGTGTGTGTGTGTGTGTGTGTGTGTGTGTGTGTGTGTGTGTGTGTGTGTGTGTGTGTGTGTGTGTGTGTGTGTGTGTGTGTGTGTGTGTGGTCTCATTTTAAACAGAGTAGATCTCATCCATCCTGATCAAACATCTCCTCCTTGTATCTCCTCTCCTGTATCCCCTTTCCTTCCTCTCCTCCTTCTCCTCTCACTCTTGTCTCTCTGTTAAAAAACCGAACCAGGTTTTCCTCCTTGACTCAGACCCCTCATCACGTGGTTCGAGAGGATCAGCATCATGGTGATCCTGCTCAACTGTGTGACTCTGGGAATGTACCAGCCCTGCGAGAACATCGACTGCACCTCCGACCGTTGCCAGATCCTGCAGGTGAGAACGAGTCGCAGTTTAATGTGTCAAATGAAGGGGGTAAAAGGGGCGGAGCTTAGGTCGAGGTCGTCAACATTTACTGATCAGATCAATCAGGTTTAAACTACTCTGGACTCAACGTTCCTCTGAGTTTGTTTTGGTCCGGTCTATCTGGTCCTGCTCCCACTCCCTGGTTCTGAGTGTTCAGATGGTCCGGGTGACCAGAACTGAACCTGGTCTGATGGATCCACAGGTTCTTGTTGGTTCTGGAGCTCAGAGGATTGTGTTGTTGGATTTATCGAGGAGCTTATCTGCAGCTTCTGTCTCATCATCATCCTGGTCCTGATGTGAGTTTTGTGTTGGGACCCTGGTCTGGGTCCAGCTGGCTCAGTCCTGTAGTCTACCTCCGGGATCCTAATCGTGTTTCACGGATGTAAATTTGGCGGCGTTAATTTGAGGTGTGACGAGGACGCCCTGATTCTGTCACAGGAGCGTTTGTTTGTTTGTCAGATCTGTCTTCACCATCATCTCTTCTTTGTCCTCCTGGACGTCCAAACCTCTGAGAACCTCCAGAACATTAAGACGGATTAGGGTCCCAAACAAAACCCCCGTAGACCCGCTGAAGCTCATTCAACACGTCCCATTTTCTCTGCATTTACACACATCTCAAATAAGCTGCCGCACACCTCCTCCTCCTCCTCCTCCTCCTCCTCCTGATCCCATCTCTGCTGCTCCCCATGTTCCCTCCTCCCCCCTCGTCTCTCTAACAGGCTGATTGTCTCCCCCGGTAGTGTGAGGGTCTTGTTCGGCTGGTTGCTAATGGAAACAGGAGGGATTTTGCTGACGGAGCTCAGATTGTTAAGAGCGGCCCCGCACGCCTCTCTGGCCCTCGGTGAGACCCCCAAACCCCCCAACCCCCGCACCTCCTGAAGGACAGACTGCAGAAACCTGAATAAAGGGTTAATGAGGACTGAGAGTCCTGGACAGGTGGAGGAGGTGGAGGTGGAATCAATGCAGCGTCGGATGAGATGATGAAGATGAGATCTGAGAGACCGGCCTCATTAAAGTCTCATCACAGGGTCATCAACCGAATACTGTTAACGTAGACCTGGTCCCTCATTAGACCTGGTCCCTCATTAGACCTGGTCCCTCGTTAGACCGGCTTCACGACTCTGAACTACGATTGAGTTTTTAATCTCTGAGAACTTTGACCTCACGACCCAACAAAGAGTCGGTCTAAGAGAAAGTCTCATCAGCACCACTGAGAAAATCAGGACGCCGTCTCTTTAAATAAAGACCGAACTCTTTATTTACAACCTCTAACCAATGAGAGCTGAGACGCCGAGAACAGAGACGACATTTAACAACCAAAGAGTTCTGATAGGAACCAAACGGGTCAAACGTTCTGATAGAGGAACAACTAAACAGATATGTAAACGTGTAACTAGTGGTCATATGTCTGTAATGGTAGGTCCATGACAGACCTCCTCAGACCTCCTCCTGGTCTCCTTCATGATCCTGATGATGCTGCTCTCTCTCTCCCTCTCTGAGCAGAGGTTGTAGGTGTTTCTCCTGATGTTCTTCAGTGTTATTTAGAGGAACATTTGTCCTCCTGCGTTTCCTCTGACTCTCGTTCCTCAGATATTTATGGTTTGATGAGAATAAACTCTCTCTAAACATGACTAAGACAAAGTTCATAGAGTTTGGAAAGAAACCAGTTTAACCAGATCCAGAGGTTGAAGTGAGTATTGATAATACGAAGATAAGAGGGGTGTAATCTCAGCTGGAAACCCCAAATAGACTCTGTTAGGTTGAAGTTGGCTCGGAGTGGGTAGGATACGACACAAATTAAACCATAAAACTTTATACTTATTATACAATACGCTTATATCACCATAACTGACTTATTGCATAGAAGTCTGGGGAAATACAAAAACGAATTTACAACCTTTATATATTATACCAAAGAGAGTAATAAAGATTATTAACAAGGTCGGATTCTTCCATCATCTAATGAACGGTTTCTGAAATTAAGAGTATTAAAATTTATCGATCTAGTTGAATTTAGAACTTCACCGACAATGTATAAAGATAATAACAATCGACTCCCTGGTAATATACAGAGAGTGTTTAATGGAAGAGAGGGAGGGTTTGTATTAAGAGGGGAATAGGTGTTGGTACCACACTAAAAATCATGTGTCTTTACGACTAACGCAGTTTAAAAGTAAATTAAAACAGAATTTGATTGAAAAATACAAACAGAAATGATTTTTGTTTTGCCACATTTGTTATATTTTATATGAGTTTGGTACAAACGAGAGATTTAAAGTATTCTAGGTAGATATATATAAAGTCTATATTTGTGTGTATATACGTGTATATAGGTATGGGTGTATTTATGTATATATAAGGTCTTTGTTTCAGTATTAATGATTAGTTATATATTCATGTTAGAGTTTGGAGCTCTGGTTACTTTTAGGCGACATCAGAAATCCTGAAGACGTGTAAAGAGTAAACGAACAGGAAGGAATGAGGAGAAGAACATGTAAGCTCAGATATATTCATCTCTAAAAAATGTAGGGGACTTTGTGTCTTTATTTGACCCATTTACTGTCCTGATGACCCTCTGCCTCTCCGCCCGTCTCCTCCCGGAGGAGCAGCTCCTGTTTCAGGTCATGAGAGCGTCAGTCAGCGAACATCCTCTTTATAAATCCTGTAAACGATCAAACCTGATCAGCTGACTGAGGAGCAGACAGATAACTCTGATGAACTCTCTCTCTCTCTCTCTCTCTCTCTCTCTCTCTCTGTCTCTCTCTCTCTCTCTCTCTCTCTCTGCATTATTTATCCAAACATCATTAAACTCTCTCTGATCCTCTCCTCTTTCTCCGTCAGCTCCGTCTGTGTGCTGTCAGTCAGTGAGGGGGGCGGGGCTACAGCGCCGTCTAACCGTGTTTGACAACGCCGAGTCATGTTTTCACACGCCACGCTCAGTTAGTCTGATATTTAAAAAACAGGAAACACGAGAGAGAAACTGCAGCATCATCATCATCATCAGGAGGAGGAAACTTGGAGGCACATCCACCCAGTGTTACCATGGAAACAGCTCTACCACTGCCTGCCGGGGGCTGAAGCAAACTTTTATTATTTATGGTACATGATGACAGTGGGGGTGCATACTGGTTAAACTGGGACTGAGTCCTGATCACCACCTTTGACTCTCGAACACGTCCCAGTTTGAACCCTGAGGGGCGGGGCTTTAGTTCTGAGGGGGTCTGCAGAGCTGCAGTTCAGGACTCTGGAGGTCAACATCAGACTTTGTTCTGCAGACTGAGTCGATCTTTTCAATCACACATAGACTGTCTTCACCTAGATCACACTCACACACATAGACAGTCTTTACTTAGATCACACACATAGACAGTCTTCACTTAGATCACAATCGCACACATAGACAGTCTTTACTTAGATCACACTCACGCACATAGACTGTCTTCACTTAGATCACACTCATAGACAGTCTTTACTTAGATCACACTCATAGACAGTCTTTACTTAGATCACACTCACACACATAGACAGTCTTTACTTAGATCACACTCACACACATAGACAGTCTTTACTTAGATCACACTCATAGACAGTCTTTACTTAGATCACACTCATAGACAGTCTTTACTTAGATCACACTCACACACATAGACAGTCTTTACTTAGATCACACTCACACACATAGACAGTCTTTACTTAGATCACACACATAGACAGTCTTCACTTAGATCACACTCATAGACAGTCTTTACTTAGATCACACTCACACACATAGACAGTCTTTACTTAGATCACACACATAGACAGTCTTCACTTAGATCACACTCACAGACAGTCTTTACTTAGATCACACTCACAGACAGTCTTTACTTAGATCACACTCACACACATAGACAGGCTTCACTTAGATCACACTCATAGACAATCTTTACTTAGATCACACTCACACACATAGACAGTCTTTACTTAGATCACACTCACACACATAGACAGTCTTCACTTAGATCACACTCATAGACAGTCTTTACTTAGATCACACTCATAGACAGTCTTTACTTAGATCACACTCACACACATAGACAGTCTTTACTTAGATCACACTCACACACATAGACAGTTTTTACTTAGATCACACTCATAGACAGTCTTTACTTAGATCACACTCATAGACAGTCTTTACTTAGATCACACTCACACACATAGACAGTCTTCACTTAGATCACACTCACACACATAGACAGTCTTTACTTAGATCACACACATAGACAGTCTTCACTTAGATCACAATCGCACACATAGACAGTCTTTACTTAGATCACACTCACACACATAGACAGTCTTCACTTAGATCACACTCATAGACAGTCTTTACTTAGATCACACTCACACACATAGACAGTCTTTACTTAGATCACACTCACACACATAGACAGTCTTCACTTAGATCACACTCATAGACAGTCTTTACTTAGATCACACTCACACACATAGACAGTCTTTACTTAGATCACACTCACACACATAGACAGTCTTCACCTAGATCACACTCATAGACAGTCTTTACTTAGATCACACTCACACACATAGACAGTCTTCACTTAGATCACACTCATAGACAGTCTTTACTTAGATCACACTCACACACATAGACAGGCTTCACTTAGATCACACACATAGACAATCTTTACTTAGATCACACTCACACACATAGACAATCTTTACTTAGATCACACTCACACACATAGACAGTCTTCACTTAGATCACACTCACACACATAGACAGTCTTTACTTAGATCACACTCACACACATAGACAGTCTTTACTTAGATCACACTCACACACATAGACAGTCTTCACCTAGATCACACTCACACCTCTGTGGGGTCTCAGAGCACAGCAGGACAGTAAACCCAGAGCCTGGAGGGTGGGCTCCTGGTCCAGGACCTGTGTTTAGGGTAAACCAGGGTCAGACTAAGACCTTCAGAGACCGTCAGTGTCCGTGTTGTCCGTCCTCCTTCTTCTGTCCTTCAGACCTGCTCTCACTGAAGGACCCTGATTCTCCTGGTTCACACAGAAACTTTAAACCCCCTGAACACAGAAGGAGGTTCTGGGGTCTGCGGGGTCCATAAAAACCTGTCCTCCTCACTCTCCTCCATCTGTGTCCTCCACAGGCCTTCGATGCGTTCATCTACATCTTCTTTGCGTTGGAGATGGTGGTGAAGATGGTGGCTCTGGGGATTTTCGGCAGTCGCTGTTACCTTGGAGACACCTGGAACAGGCTGGACTTCTTCATCGTCATGGCGGGGTGAGTCACTCAATCCTCTTAGTCTTCAGCCGGAGCTTTAATGTGGTCCTCAAACCAGAACCAGAACCAGGACCAACAAATACTGCAGATCACACTCAGGGCTAGTCCAGGCAGGCCGAAAGTCTGGACAGGGGTCTTTGTTGCTTCACCAGAGGGTCTAAGAGCGACGCCAAACGCCGACATGACGCGGCGACACGAGTGTGAGCGCGGCAAGTGAGAGCTCTGAAGATGAGCTGTGATTGGTCCATCAGACGCTTTATACGGCGGATAAACAGGCGAGGAGAGACGAAGTGAAATATAAGGCTGAGACAGAAAGCAATTAAAGTGTGTGTGTGTGTGTGTGTGTGTGTGTGTGTGTGTGTGTAACAACAGACAAAGAAAGGAGGAGCAGACGGAGCGAGAGGTGGAGGAGGAACATTTATCTTCATTTGAGCTGAATCAGTTTTTCCTGAGTGGATGTTCACAGAGTGTGTGTGTGTGTGTGTGTGTGTGTGTGTGCGCGTGTGTGTGTGTGTGTGTGTGTGTTGCCTGGGTTCACTTAAAGCCCTGTGAGTGAGTTTAATCTGTCTGTGTGTTTGTATTTGCTCTGAAAGCCTCTCCTCCTCTCCTCTCTTACTCTCCTCCTCTTCTCTCCTCCTCTCCTCCTCTCCTCCTCTCCTCTTGGCGGCTCCCATTAGATTAGCGTGGAGGCTAATTCTGGAGGGCAGCGCCAAACTCACCCGCCAAATCACAGCCGACAGTCCGCCATGAGCTCCGTGTCTGTTAGCCGCGGGCCTCACCCCTCTCTCTCTCTCTCTCTCTCTCTCTCTCTCTCCCTCTCTCTCTCTCTCTCTCTCTCTCTCTCTCTTGCCCTCATGCTCTGGTGAACATCTTTCTTTTGTCAGTCCTGGTTCAGAGCGGTTCTGTCCTGACAGTATAGGTCAACTCAGAGTCCTGATCCAGGACCAGGTCTGACCCTCTCCTGCCCCCACAGAGTTTCTCAGGATTCTCTCGGCGTGGACTCATGTGTTCACTCTCTCACCCTCTCATGCTGACCTTTAACCTCCTGCTCTCTGTCATCAGAGGACAGCAGCTCAGGTTCATCCCTCTCTCTCTCTGACCTGTTCAGATGTTCTCAGGAGCTCCTGTGACTTTGTTCTTCTCCCTCAGAACCAAATAGAACAGAACCTGCTGGAGCTGAACTCACTGTTTCACATTTTCACCGTTTCATTTTTTCACTTTTCACGTTTCCACCTTTTTCCCTTTTGCTGTTTTACTTTTTCACTTTTCCCTTTTTTTACATTTTCCCTTTTTTTCTGTTTCAAGTTTCCACTGTTTCACTTTTTCACATTTTCTATTTTTTTAACTGTCTCCTCTTTTAACTGTTTCAGAGTTTTACATTTTTTATTTTTCATTGTTTCATGTTTTCACTTTTTTCACTTCTTCACATTTTCATTTATTTTCAAATTTTAAAGTTAATTCTGTTTCATGTTTACTTTTTCACTGTTTCACTTTTTTTACATTTTTACCTTTTTTCACATTTTTCACTTTTTCACATTTTTACTTTTTTTCACATTTTTTCACTTTTTCACATTTTTTCACTTTTTCACATTTTTACTTTTTTTCACATTTTTTCACTTTTTCACATTTTTACTTTTTTTTCACATTTTTTTACTTTTTCACTTTTTCACTTTTTTCACTTTTTTTCACTTTTTCACATTTTTTCACTTTTTCACATTTTTACTTTTTTTCACATTTTTACTTTTTTTCACATTTTTACTTTTTTTCACATTTTTTCACTTTTTCACATTCTTTCACTTTTTCACATTTTTTCACTTTTTTCACTGTTTCCTGATTTTCCCCGACATCCTGTCAGATGAGTTCGTTCCTGCTCCGTCAGAGCAGTTCCTCACGATGATCTCCTCAGTTAGAGACGTGGTTTTTAGATCTTCTTCTTCTTCATCTCTGCCGTTTTAAATCTTCATGAACTCTTTACTGGGTTCTAAACTGGGCCTCCACACACACACACACACACACACACACACATTAAAGCGTGGATGAAGGCGTCATGAGTGTGAAAAATAGAGAACAATCAGAAAACAGACGCTTCCGGCGGTCCGCTAATTACCCTCGCCAACACAGCGGTCTGACTGATGTTCACGGAGAGACACACTTCTGTAGAGCGTGCGCACACATGCACACATGCGTGCACACACACACACACGTCAGTTCTCTCTCTCTCTCTGCAGGTCTCTGTCTGACGGCTCTCTCCGTTGCTCAGATATTTCTTCCTGTCGTTGTTGAGGCTGTTTTTTCTTTTTGATAATCAGCCTGTAAAGTCAGACCTGAGTGTCGTGCCTGTTTGCTCCCTCAGAGGACGACACGTCCTGTTCTGATTGGCTGAGATCTCCCAGGGTGACTCTGTGACCTTCTGTCCGCTCTCTCATCATTAGAGCTTCCTCACATCCTCGTCTGTTTTCAGGGCGGTTGTAAAAACAGAACCGGTTCCATCGCGCTGCCGTGCGGCGTTTCTGTCATTTTCAACACGCCATGAGCTCTCTCGAAGATCTCTCCAGTCTGGCGCTGGCGGGGTTTCACAGTGAGAGCAGAGGAATTAGATTGTTGTTACAAATCGACCAATGAGAGAGTGTTTAAGCCGCGGCGTGATGGAGCGTCCTCAGGTCTGTGTCATCCTGTTGTCTGCTCTAACCGCGCCGCCTTCTCTGTGGGGTTAATGAGGCGCCGCGTTACCGCCGATGACACGCTCCGTCAGTCTGTGTGTGTGTGTGTGTGTGAGTGTGTGTGTGTGTGTGTGTGTGTGTGTTGACTCCTCTCATTGAACACACATGTAGAGTAGTGTGTGTCTGTGCTGATGGCACCGCCTTGTTATAAAGGTGTGTACAGTCACAGCTACACACACTCCTGTCTCACACACACATTCCTGTCCACGTATCAGACCGAGGTCCTGTCACGTTAAAGTGTTCTGGTTCTGAGGCCCTAAAATCTCCTCCACGCTGAGGGACCGACTCGTTAACAGATGCCAGACTCTGACTGAGCCACAACATCCTGCAGGCATCTCTCTCAGAATAGACCTCCTCCTCCTCCTCCCCCTCCTCACCTCCCTTTCATGTCTTTCTCCCTTTTGATGCTTTGTCACTTCTTTATCCCCCTGCCAATCTCTCTGGAGCGGGTTACAGAGACGGTTTTATTTCACATGCAGACTCACGGCTCTGAGATCAGCCGGTCCGGATCAAAGACCGGACCGGCTGATGTTAAACCATGAGCCGGGATCTGCGGTCCAGCTGGAACGCCCGTTAACCCTTTCTGTGCTGAAACCTAAACCTCTCTCTCTCTCTCTCTCTCTCAGGATGGTGGAGTACTCACTGGACCTGCAGAACATCAACCTGTCAGCCATCCGGACCGTCAGAGTCCTGCGGCCTCTCAAAGCCATCAACAGAGTACCGAGTGAGAACATTTCTCTTCATATTAGAAACACAGCTGGTGATTTTAATGATCAGGGATGAAGTTGTTTTAGAGATTTGAGTCTAAAAAAGTTTTAAAAAATGTTATAAAAAGATGATTTTATGAACGTTTATCTGCGTGTCCGTTTGGAGACAAAGATGAAGCTTCATCATCTGGACCTGAAGGTTCACGGTCTCGTCCTCCGGGTTCTGCCTCTGATGGATTTGGGTTTGTTGGTTCTGTTTGTGGTTTTTTTGGGTCTGGTTCTCCTTCAGGTTCTGACTCCATGTGTTTGCATTGATCCCGGTCTCTTTGGACCCCCCTGTGCCCCCTTCTCAAACGTGGATTTTATTCCGTTCAGACCCGGAGTCTCGTCTTGATCAGATCTTCTAACCCTCCATTATCGACCTCTTCCTCGTCCTCCTCATCCCAAACTCTCTCCTCGGAGAACTTTTTAAATTCTGATCGATTTCTTCGTTCCGCTCCTCCATCAGGAACCTCCTAATCATCCTGAGGACCAATTAGCCGTCGGGGCGCGGATCGAGCACGTTAGCATCAGCAGATCAAGCTAGTTTCAGATCATAGAGTTTTGGCGGTGGCGGCGGCGTTTCTCCTCTGTTGGATGGAATTGGTGAGAAACTGAGGGAGAGCCAGACAGGACAGGAGCAGGAGGCTCGATAAAGAGGAGCAGATGGGGGTCTGAGGAGGACAGGAGGAGGAGGAGGAGTCATGTGGTCTTCAGTAAACAGCTCAGACGGGGAGGTGAAAATGGGTTTCCATTGTGGTGTGAGGAGGACATCCATCTCTATCAGGGAGCAGCAGGAGGTGGAGAACAAGCCGCTCACAGGAGGAGAGATGGATGGAGGAGAGAGAGGGAGGGAGAGACGAGGAGGGAGGAGGAAAGGAACAAAAGGAGGAGAAAGACATGAACGCCCCCCGATTCTCTCTCTTTAACTTTCATCTGCTCTTTTATTTAGATATTTTCTCCTCTTTTCTCCTCCTCTCCTCTTCTCCTCCTCTTTTCATCCCTTCTTTCAGCTCCCCCCTTTTCTTCAGCACAGCCTCGGGTCCTGTCTCCTCCTCCTCCTCCTCCTCCTCCCCTCCCCTCGTCTCCCCCTCTCCTCACCCAATTAGGTCTGATGGGACAGTGGTCTAATGACGGAGACCCCGGGGAACAAACACATTTAGTCCTGCCTCTGGAGACACACACACACGCACGTGCGCACACACACACACACACACACACACACACACACACACACACACACACACACACACACTCACACACAGTGAGGCGGCTGTTCTCCTTTTAATACTCGATGAGGAGGTGAATCAGCCGGAGGGAGGAGTCGGTCTCTGAGGATCAGATTAAAACCATCACTTTATTTTGGACCAGATCGACCCGCTGGTGTCAGAACTCAGGGTCCAGGTCCTGCTGAGTCCGGACTCTCCGTCCTCAGGATGAGTGTTCGGTTACAGAAGAACCTGAACCTTAAATATGAGACCTGAGGATCAGCTGGACGGGTGAACTGAAGACCGTGAGCTGGAGCGGAGACTGTAGACTACCTCTGAGCTCCTCCTCTTCATCACTCCTCTTCTCTCTCCTCCTCTTCCTAGTTTCTCTCTCCTCTTCCTCCTCCTCCTCTTCATCACTCCTCCTCCTCCTCCTCCTCTTCTTCACTGCTGTCACTCAGCCTGTCGGCGTTTTGCTTCAAGGCGGCGGAGTTTTTGGCGCATTAACCCACCGTGGAGTTGTTATTCACGAGTCTCAGCGTGTCACTAAAAACAAAAACACACCACACACACACAAACCTCCAATCAGACTCAGGTGAGCGCACACACACACACACACACACACACACACACACTCCACCGTTTACGTCCCGGCGTGTCATCGCAGCAGGAAATGAGGTCATCAGCGTTGACAGTTTGAATCTGCAGCCGTCAGAATATCAGAGGAACGATCAGGAACACGACAGGAGGACAGGAGCTGCACCTCCTCCTCCACCTCCTCCTTCAGGTGTGTGATCATGTGACCCTCTGTGACTCACAGGTATGCGGATCCTGGTGAACCTTCTCCTGGACACCCTCCCCATGCTGGGTAACGTGCTGCTGCTCTGCTTCTTCGTCTTCTTCATCTTCGGCATCATCGGCGTGCAGCTGTGGGCGGGGCTACTGAGGAACCGCTGCTACCTGGAGGAGAACTTCACCCTGTGAGTAAAACTGACCATCTCTCTGTTTTTATATATGTTTATGTTTTAAATATATAATATTTAAATATATATAAAAGCTCCTCTGAAGGTTCAGAGCTCGTCTGACTGAAGCAGCGTGATCAGAATCAGCTGCAGGCCTCCATATTCATGACCCTCCACGGCGGCGCCGCCCGCTGTGTGTGTGAGCGTGTGTGTGTGTGACAGTCCCCCGTGTTCAGGTGTGTTTCTCTCTCGTGTTGCTGCCCCGCCCCCCTCCCCTCCTGATGAGCGTGTTTTAATGTCAGCTGCAGACGGCGCTCTGTGGTTGTGCTGACTCGGCGCTCTCTGATGTCGAACAGCTAAACGAAAGACGACACGCGTCACCTTAAAGTTTAACGCCGACATTAACCTCCGCGACCTTTACAGTAACGACGGTCAGGTTATTCTAACCCGTGTTTTCTCCCATCATCCTCTCTGATTCCTCTAACACTGATGATGACTGAGAAGAAGAGGGTCGTCGTCCGCCTGTTTTTTTGCAGACTTGTTCTCTGCAGGTTTGTCGGGGTTCTTATTTCTTAATTAGCGAGGTCGTTTAGCGTTAGCGCTGGAGGACTATTATGCTAACTAAAGAGCTAACATTAGCGCTCTGAGAGGTTGAAGTGGACTGAGGGTCAAAGTCAAGAACCAGACTCACTCTGAAACTCCCCCAAAGACACACATCCTCTCTTCTTCTTCTTCTTCTTCTTCTCTTTTTCTCGAGGCTGCCTCGTTATCAAACTGGTTGTCATGACCGCAGAGAGCGAGTCAAAAACAGCATTTGGTCTTTAAAAGAGAGTTTGTTTAACTTTTACAGTCAGAGAAAAAGCTGGTCCTCCTCCTCCTCCTCCTCCTCCTCCTCTCTCCTCTCTCCTCTCTGTGTCGTGTCCTCCTCCTCTTCCCTCCTCCTCTTACCTCCTCCCCTCGGCCTCCATCTTCACCTCCGTCGGTGTCAGCAGGTGTGTTCTCAGTGTGGAGCCCGGTTTGCAGCTGATCCACGCTGTGCTCTGCCGGGTCAGCGGCGGGGGGGAAACAGCGCTCATTCATGCTCCGCTGGTCTGACAGCCCCCCCGCCCGTCCCTCTCCTCCTCCTCTCATGTTCTCTCCATCTTCATCGCTGCCTCTGCACCAACATCTTCTCTGAACTGACAGTTTGAAGGTCACTCAGAACTTTTCTCTGTTCTCTTCACAAACTCCGCAGAGATGGGAGTCAGACGGTCTCACTGTAGACCCGCAGACCGGTCCTGGTCTCAGTCAGGGACCGCTGCGGTTTTATTTAGCTCCTCTGATTGAACTGGACTCTGTTTGGAGACATGTGGATCAGAACCAGCGGACAGGGTCCAGCCCAGACATGAAAATCCTCATCAGACCAAAACAGACGGAAAAACAGGCAGAAGATAAGTCCAGAAACAACGGATGACCTTCAAGGAACGACAAACCGTCTGAATGAAAGAGAGGAGAGAGAGAGGAAAGAGAGAGAAAGAAGAAAAAAGAGAGGAAAGAGAGAGAGAAAAAGAGAGAAAAAAGATTAAAGGGAGTAAAGAGAGAAAAGATAGAAAAGAGAGGAAAGAAAAGAAAAAAGAAAAAGAGAGGAAACAGAAAAAAGAGAAAAAAAGAAAAGAGTGGAAAAAGAGGAAAGAAAAAAAAGAGGAAAAAGAGAGAAAAAAGATAAAAGAGAGGAAAGAGAACAGAGAAAAGAGAGAAGCAAGAAAAAAGAGGAAAGAAAGAGAGAAAAGAAAAAAAATACAATAAAAGAGAGGAAAGAAAGAAAGATAAGAGGAAAAAGAAAAAGAGGAAAGAAAAGAGAAAACAGAAAAAGAAAAAGAGAGAAAAATGAATAAAGAAAGAAAAGAGAAAAAAGAGATGATACTGACACTATTCAATTTCAATTTCAATAAACTTTATTAGCATGACTGTTACTACAATATGACTAAAGTAATTGAACACATCAACAATAACAACAATAACAGTCATAATAATAATAATAATAATAATAATAATAATAATAATAACAGTGTCAGTATTATTAAGTTGCAGTAAAAAAAACCTATTGGTTCATTTTTTATTTTATCATATTTGTTATTAATATTATTATTGTTGTTATTGTTGTTATAATGTAATGCTTTGGTAATATTGTACAAACAGACATGAGAATAAAACTGAAATTGAAAATTGAGATGAAAGAGGAAACAGAGAGAGAGAGAGGGAGAGAGAGAGTGAGGGTGTAATCTGAGAGAAGATGAGGGTCGACTGTACAGGTGTGTGTGTGTGTGTGTGTGTGTCATGGAGCTGCTGATGGAGAGGGTCTATTTTAGTCTTAACAGCCCCCCCCCCCCCCGAGAGTGAGCATCCACTGTGCGCCCTTATTTACTCCACAGTCATGTCAGATCACTCTCACACACACACACACACACACACACACACACACACACATACACATACACCTATCAGTCCTGACCGGCTCAGCAGTGTCTTTTCTCCAGACCAACATCCTGCACGCAACCCACTTTTCACCGCCAGACCTGACCTAATAGTGACCATAGAGGCGGCACATTAATAGAGGCAGTGCATTAAAAGAGGCGGAGCATAAATAGAGGCGGAGCGTTAAAAGAGGCGGTGTATTAAGAGTCTACGGGCGTGCGACGATTGTGTAGCTAACCAGGGGGATACGTCGTTCGAGCCAAGCGTCATCACAGCGAATCTACCGCCGACTAAATACAACGTTACAAAGCCGTCGGCGGTTTCACGGCGAATAATCGACTCATCAGAACATGATTGGACAGATAACAGAACTCTGAGAGTCTGAGAGTCTGCACGCCGTCAGCTGTACAGGTATCACAGGAAGTAAAGATGGAGGTAATCACTCCAGAATTTACAGCTGTGTGTGTGTGTGTGTGTGTGTGTGTGTGTGTGTGTGTGTGTGTGTGTGTGTGTGTGTGTGTGTGTGTGTGTGTGTGTGTTTGAGCTGATTTCACGCCAGTGTACACACAATCTCACACACACTTTCCACCTGACTTAGTTTACATGATTAAACAGCTGAACACTCCTCAAACAAACACACACACACACACACACACACACACACACACAGCGCCACCGCCGTCTCCACATCAGGACGTTCTGTAGAAATGTAGAGGACACGGTCCAACACCGGGTCAGTACCGGGTCTTTAAAGACGTGTTCATCTGAGGACGGGACGACCTTCAGGCTTCATCTGAGGTCGTTCACGGTTTTATTATAGAAAATGAAAATGATCTGGTACGGATCGTCGCCGGTCTCTGATTCTGTTCTCAGACCCGGAGCCGTGAAAGTTTCTGGGCCCAGAGTGGAGGTTAGGTCTCTGAAGGACAGGTCTCTGCTGGTGCTGGACCCCCCCTCAGGCCTCGGGTTTTTCTCGGGTCCTGACCAAAGCCTGACCCCGCTCCTGTCAGCACGCCTTAAGCTCGCTGCTCTGGCTGAAGGCGCCGCTCGCCGGTTCATAGCTGAGTCAGGTTTTCTCTCACGCTGATCCAGATCGTGGTCTGGACCAGGTTCTTTTCCTTCTCTGACACTAGAGTGAGAAAGCAGAGAAAGGTCCAGTATCTGTGGTTGGGGCCGTATCCATGGCAACAGTCACCTGTGTGGAAATAACAGACTGCTGCAGTGACCTGCTGTTCTGTACCGACCAATCAGAATCACGTCACTGACCGGGTTTCTCACCTTTGACCTCCACAGCTCCTCGGGGATGACCCCGCCCCCTCCGTACTACCAGCCCGAGGAGGACGACGAGCGCCCCTTCATCTGCTCGCTGGCGACCGATAACGGCATCATGTCCTGTTCGGACGTGCCGGCGAGACGCGAAGGAGGACGCACGTGCTGCCTGGACAGAGAGGACGCCCTCCACCGGCAGTCTCTGGGCCTGAGTCCGGAGCCCATCGCTAACGGGAGCGGCGCCGGCGAAGCTCTGGGTCTGTGCATCAACTGGAACCAGTACTACACCCGCTGCCACACAGGAAGCAGTAACCCCCACAAGGGCGCCATCAACTTCGACAACATCGTGTACGCCTGGATCGTCATCTTCCAGGTGAGTTTGTGGTTAAACGTTGAAGAAGATTCTGGATCAGCAGCTCTGTATGAAGTCATGTGACCCGTCCTGTCCAATCAGATGTTTATTGATTATCGTATAATCCTTTAAAGGGTTAAACTGTCAAAGCGACAGTCTTCGTTTCCTCTTCGTTAAAGTTTCCTGTCCTTAAACTCCTGTGAGACGTTTTCAGTGACGCTCTCTCCTCCTTCAGGTCATCACTCTGGAGGGCTGGGTGGAGATCATGTACTACGTGATGGACGCTCACTCCTTCTACAACTTCATCTACTTCATTTTACTCATCATCGTAAGTACACCTCCTCCTCCTCCTCCTCCTCCTCCTCCTCCTCAGCTGTGATTTATGAGTGTTTATGAATATTTAAACACAGAGGTGTAGATGAGACTCTGAGATATGACCATCGAAGAAAGTAAGAGGACATCTGTAACTCGGGCTGGGCGATACAGGAGAAAGTTTATCACGATATATTTTTGTCAATCAGTCGATATCGATAAATATCATGATATAAAAAAAATCACTTGTCAATTTTAAATGACAGTGTTAATTAGTAATCTTCTGCATCTGTAAGGTCTCTGTGTCTCTGACGTTTTGTCGGACTGAATGTTCATCTGTTTTAAAGTGCGATGGTTGGGTGTAGCTGCTGTCTGCTATGATGCAGTTGTTTGATACTTGGTTTTAATTCAGAACATTAATTAATTCTAGAATTAATGAAAACTGTCGAAAAGTATATTGATCATGTTTTATATCGGGGAAATTAATTTACGATTTATATCGTTATCGTTTTATCGCCCTACTGTGGCCTCCACCATGGATGGTCTGAACGAGGAGATCTTCTGCTGCAGGGTTGATCCTAAAAGCTGTGATAGTGAATCTGCAGAGATTTGAACCATAAAGAGAGAGAGACAGAGAGAGAAGGAGAGAGAGAGACAGAGAGAGAGAGAGAGAAAGAGAGAGAGAGAGAGAGGAGAAATGGAGGGTAAATCTTCACACTAACATACAAAAACACCGACGAGTAATCAGAGAGGGAGAGCAGGCAGACTGACCCTCTCCTCCCTCTCAGCGTCCTCCTCCTCCTCCTCCTTCTCAGACTGAGGGGAGTCTTGGATGGAGACTGCAGCTGTAGATCTCCTCCTCCTCCTCCTCCTCCTCCTCCTCCTCCTCTCTCTGACTCCTCTGACCCGAGTCTGCTGTTCCAGAGAGAGTAATCTAAAGCAGCCAAAGATAGAAGACCTGAGGTCAGACTGGGATCACCTGTCCTCTGTGTGTGTGTGTGTGTGTGTGTGTGTGTGTGTGTGTGTGTGTGTGTGTGTGTGAGGAGGCGTGGCCCCTCATTGATGCTGAGCTGTGATTGGTTGGTTAACCTCATTAGTGATGAAGTCTTTGCAGTGATTTCCACTCCGGAGTCCGGTCTGTTTGTACTGATTGATCTGCATTTACACACACACACACACACACACACACACACACACACACACACACACACACACACACACACTCTTAGTGGTGATCTGTGTGTGTGTGTGTTTTCCTGTGTGTGTGTTCATGCATAATTCATCTCTGAGTGTGTGTGATGTCGGACCGCTGATCAGAACCAGAGAGGAGACCCACTCAGAAATCAAAGACCCTCACACCTGCAGACCTGCTCTGACCTGCAGGACGCAGATGGGCGTCTCTCCTCCCTCTGCACACACACACACACACACACACACACACACACACACACACACACACACCCTCCCTCACCTCCTGCTGCACGTTTGATCTTCTCTGCGGATGAAAGTCTGTCGGTCGGTCTGAGGTCTCTGGATTTTGTGGGCTCAGGTTTGATGGAGTTTACCTGCTGGTGTGTGTGTGTGTGTGTGTGTGTGTGTGTGTGTGTGTGTGTGTGTGTGTGTGTGTGTGTGTGTGTGTGTGTGTGTGTTGCATCAGTCCAGGCTCGATCAGCTGATATTGATCTAATCAATGTTCTGGATCCAATAAAAAACACTTAGTAACCCTTTACAATAACCATAACTTATCAATCGTAAACAGATAGTTTATTAATATTTAATCATCACTTATAAATACAATATAGACCATTAATTAGTAGTAAATTTTATCATTTTAAAAAACAAATATTAACCATTTAGGAGGAGGAGGAGGAGGAGGAGGAAGAGGTGGAGGACGGTCTGAGAGAGTCAAGCTCTTCAGACTCTGACCTCTGCCGTGGGCATGTGTGGTCTCCGTCTGTCTGCTCCAATCAGACGGGGTTTTGGTAGGAAGCCAGACCTCGGCGACCTTTAGCATGAGCGCGAACATTCCTACGGGGGATTTGGCGAACGTTAGAGGAAGAGGTGGCGAGTGTGTGAGCGTGAGAGAGAACACAGACCTTCAGAAACCTCCTCTTCCTCTGAATCAGGAACATCAGCAGGTTCTGGATCTGCTGCTGGAGGATTTAGATGATCGTCTGAGTCTGAGCTCCTCCTTCTATGAACTTTGACCTTAGAGATCTTCTCCGCACAGTCCTCCGTCTCTGACCTTCTGTTTGTTCTTCCACGCCCCCTCAGATCGGTTCCTTCTTCATGATCAACCTGTGCCTGGTCGTCATCGCCACCCAGTTCTCGGAGACCAAGCAGCGGGAGCACCAGCTGATGCAGGAGCAGAGGGCGCAGTGCCTGTCCTCCTCCACCCTCGCCAGCATGGCGGAGCCCGGAGACTGCTACGAGGAGCTCTTCCAGCTGGTCTGCCACGTCCTCCGCAAGGCCAAGAGGAGGTCTGCCGCTCTGTACTACACGCTGAGGGGCAAACCGCCGCCTGTCAGCAGGGGGAACAGGCGAGGCGGAGGGAACGCGCACGGAGATCGCCATCATTCCCGACAATCCAGAGGTGAGACCGCCTGAGGGATGTCTCAGACCTTTGTGTGACACTGATTTGAGCTCTGTGTATCTTTGCGCCAGAAGACTCTGGTCCTGAAGGAGGTGTGTGTGAATGAAACAACAGACAAAGATATGTTTTTATGTTTTCTATTTAAATAATATTTCAACAGAATCAACAACAAAAAGAAAACAAAACAATTATTACAATTTAAAGGATGTTTGAGATTTTGTCCAGGAGAAAAAAAGTGACCTTGCTTAGAAGTGAGCGGAGGGGCGGAGCTGCAGACAGCACTGATGCTCTGCACTGTTTTATAATCAATGAATACACGTTCTGGACATTTGAAGGATTTTATGAACTCCCCCAGACAGCCCCCCCAAAAGAGGACATGTCCAGGCAAAAGAGGATGTATGGTCACCCCAACACACGGACCTTCAATGTCATTCAGGCTATTCAGATAAGCTGAAAACAATCGCCCTCTAAATCGGAATATTTGCTGTCCCAAAAAAATATAAAGTTCTCTAACTTGAGAGCTTACTGTAGAGTAATACAAGTACATCTCTATATGTTGGAGCATGTTTCTGGTGTTTCCACCTTCGCATGTTATCACTGCTCGACAAACGTCGCACTGTTGTCGTCTTTATGAGTTAAATTAGGCCCCGCTTTAGGTCATTTCTGCCTACTTCTGCCATGTTTTTCCCTCTGTCCTTGTTCCGGATCACATAGACTGTTTTTCAAGGCACCCGGAGGAAAGGAATCGTTAAGATAAAATGTAAATGATGTCGATGGATTGAACTATTTGGAACCCGTTCTCAACAAGAACTGGTTCTTAAATCCCATCGCTGTATAATTTATAGTCGTGATGAGGGTGGAGTTGATAGTGATGATCTACAGTCGGATAAAAAAACCTCCTGAATGAATATCATTTTAACCAAAAAGAAATTTAATGTGGGTATTACACACAAGCTTTATATATTACTCAATATTCAATATTCAAATACTCAATCAAAAGAAAGTATCAATAATTCAAGTTAATAGAATCTCAAGTGAACTTTAAACATTTCCAAAATATCAAACAGTTACAAACCCAAGAAGAAATAAATACCAATCTAGTTGTGCAACATTATCATAAATCATGGAGCGATTATTCAGTAATAGAGTTCAGCCTCCACCAAACCTCACTGCAGTTTAACATGTTTCTACAAAAAAGTGCTAAAGCTGCTCAAATTAACACGTCGCAGGGAAAAAAATGAGCGACTGAAACGTCAATCCATGGCCTACATTTTGGCTTTCTTCTCTTAACAACATTAAATACTGAACCTTGATTTTCTTCGGTTTTACTCCCTCTCTTTATTTCACCGTCCAACAGCGAACACGGCTGAAAACTCTGTGAGGTATTTAATGGTGTTAGTGACTGTTCTACAACATCATACAGGGTTTTTAATGAAAGGACAGAACGCTCACCAAAGATCAGGACAGTTTCATACTCCTGTCTGTGTCTTTGCAGCCCACTGTCCTCACCAGAACAAACAGGACCACCCCTCACAGCCTCTGTCCAACTCCATCAGCCTGAGCGTCCCCCAGAGTCCCGAGGACTGTCCCATCTGTGCGCTATCACTGAAAGAGGGGACGAAAACCGTGGGGGACTCTGCTCCCGGGGAGGAGGACGAGGAAGAGGAGGTGGTGAAAGAAACGGACAAGGAGGAGAACCATCTAGAGGAGAGGGAGGAGAAGAAGAAGAAGAAGAGGAGGTCCTGCTTTGGACACTGCAGAGACATGTGGGACGACATCAGGAGGAAACTGTGGGGCATCGTGGAGAGCAAGTACTTCAGCCGAGGGATCATGATCGCCATCCTCATCAACACCATCAGCATGGGCATCGAGCACCACAACCAGGTGAGACCAGGAACCAGGAACCAAAACAAAAGTGAACCAGGAACCAAAACAAGGCTAGATCAGGAACTAAAACAGAGAGCACCACAACCAGGTGAGACCAGGAACCAGGTTAGACCAGGAACTAAAACAAGGTCAGACCAGGAACTGAGTCAGAGAGCACCACAACCAGGTGAGACCAGGAACCAGGAACCAAAACAAGGCTAGATCAGGAACTAAAACAGAGAGCACCACAACCAGGTGGGACCAGGAACCAGGTTATACCAGGAACTAAAACAAGGTCAGACCAGGAACTGAGTCAGTGAGCATTACAACCAGGTGAGACCAGGAACCAGGAACCAAAACAAAAGTGAACCAGGAACCGAAACAAGGCTAGATCAGGAACTAAAACAGAGAGCACCACAACCAGGTGAGACCAGGCACTAAGGCGGGTCAGACCAGGAACTGAAACAAGGTTAGACCAGGAACCAAATCAGGTCAGAACGGGAACAGACTCCAACAAGCTGCTACAGGAACCTTCTCCTCCTTCATTTCTTCCTCGTTCGTCATCCGCTCTCTGTTTTCTCTCTCCTCATCCTCCTTCATATCTCCTCATCATCCTTTATTTCTCCTCTTCCTCCTTTATTTCTCCCTCACTCTTCATCCCCTCTCTGTTTTCTCTCTCCTCCTTCATTTCTCCTCATCCTCCTTCATTTCTCTTCCTCCTTCATTTCTCCTCTTTCTCCTTCATTTCTCCCTCACTCTTCATCCTCTCTCCTCTTTCTCCTCTTCTGTCTCTCTTAATTCCTCTGTGAATCCCGCTCTCCTGTCTTCACTTGCTCTTTTGTTCCCCGCCGCATTTTTTTCTTCTTTTCTTCTTTCTTTCCTGCCTTCCTTCCTTTTATCCTTCCTTCCCTCCTTCAGTCCTTACCCCAAGTGTCTCCTCTACTCTCTGACTCCCCTCCCCCCTCAGTTTCCCTCTGTCTGCTCCTCTTTCATCCCTCCATCCTCCCACTCGCTCTTTGACAGTCGTTGCTTTCTCTCTCGTCTCTGAAGACTCTAAAAATAAATGAGGGATATGGGGGGAGTGGAGGAAGAGAGAGGAGAGAGGAGAGAGGGGAGAGAAGAGAGGAGAGAGAGGAGGGAGAGGAGAAAGAGGAGAAAGAGGAGAGAGAGGCAGATTCTGGTTACACAGAAGTTTTTAGTCCCTAAGTGACTCTGTGTCAGTGTGAGCATGTGTGCAGAAACACACATCAGTGTTCAGGGTCATAGTCAGGTCAGGTCCAGAGTCAGTTCAGGGTCAGAGTCGGGTCAGGTCCAGAGTCGGTTCAGGTCCAGAGTCGGTTCAGGTCCAGAGTTGGTTCAGGTCCAGAGTCCTCCTCCCTCCACAGAAGAAAGTTGAACCTCAAACCAAGACTTGATGAACTTCTCTGAAAACAGACAAACTCTGATATAAGGAGAAGGTTCGACTGTTAGAGAGGGTTAATCTGAAACTCACTCACTCACTCACTCACTCACTCACTCACAGATATATTATTCAGTAGAGAGTGAACTGGGTTAAAGGTGAGGAGTGAAGTGAAGGAAGAGGAGGAGGTGGTGGAGGAGAGGAGGAGGTGTGCTATTGTCTCTCTCTCTCCTCTAATGGAGTATTTTTCCTCCTCTTCTGTCACGTCGTCTTCCTCACCTGAACAATCCCTCTCCTCCTTCAGCCCTCGTTCTGCTCGCTCGCTCTCCTCTGATCGACAGGAGGATATTGATCGGGAAGAGACGAGTCTGCCGGATAATGAGACTCAGAGTGAGGAGAAGGAGGGAAGGAGGGAAGGAGAGAGACTAGGAGAGAGACGGATTAGGAGGGAGGTGTGAAATGTGTTTTTCTCCGACATGGTTTTCTAACTTTGGGAAGACTCACACACAGACACACACACACACACACACACAGTATATGAGATGTGGTGATACCATGGAGCTAGTTCAGGCAGGTTCCTCCTGATTCTCGGCTGTAATTGAGCTCCAGGGTTTTAAGTCTCCATCACCCTCTGAGCTCCTACATTTCCCAGCATGCACCTGCAGGCTCACACTAGAGCGGCCTTAGGTTACCATGTCAGCAGCTAACTCCTCCTCCTTCTCCTCCATCTTCTCCTTTGTGTGTTTCTCCACCCAGCCTGAAGAGCTGACCAACGTCCTGGAGATCTGTAACATCGTCTTCACCAGCATGTTCACCCTGGAGATGATCCTCAAGCTGACCGCCTTCGGCTTCTTCGAGTACCTGAGGAACCCCTACAACATCTTCGACGGGATCATCGTCATCATCAGGTAGAAACGCCGGATTAGCCCCGCCCCTACGCAGCGCGTCCAGGCTGGTCCAGGTTATCTGTGCTCCTGCAGAGTCATTTCAGGAGAAGATCAAACACGGTTGATTTTGGGTTGTTGTTGCTCAATACGTGATTAGATTCAAGATCCGATTCCTCGCTTGGTCACATGCTCTCTTTGACTCCGCCCTTTCTTCTGTCGGTTAGCGTTTATTTTTTGGAGTCCGTCTCCATCACAGCTCCTGTAGACGAGTTGGAGCTACGGTAGAAGGGTGTGTCGAATACAGCGAGGTGATTGGATGGAGAGGCGGAGCAGGAGATTGACCAATAGGAGCTGTCCGGGACGGATGGCTCCTATTGGTCAGTGTTTTTGCAGCCCTGCTCCTGATAGGGTGAACGGATTTTTTCCGATCTTTTTTCGCTTCACTTTGTGGAGATCAAACTATAGGACCATGGTCGCCATAGAAACGAGGTTCATAATAATTACAGATCTCTGCAATCGTCGACCATGACTGTAAGGTTCCTGTAGAGACACGGAGAACCTTCAAGTCCATGTGAGGTTGTTTCTTTTGTTCGGACTGAGTCTGTGTCTGCTGAGAGGAGTGATTTATTCTGCTTTATAATCCTCCTCTGATCTGATCTTATCGAGTGTTTTCCTCCTTTTCTTTCATTAAAACTCGTTTTTTAATCTCCTCTCTCTCTCTCTCTCTCTCTCTCTCTCTCTCTCTCTCTCTCTCTCTCTCCGTTCAGTGTGTGCGAGATCATCGGGCAGGCAGACGGCGGCCTGTCGGTGCTCAGGACCTTCAGACTGCTCAGGGTCATTAAGCTGGTGAGGTTCATGCCGGCGCTGAGGCGACAGCTGGTGGTCCTGATGAAGACGATGGACAACGTGGCGACCTTCTGCATGCTGCTCATGCTCTTCATCTTCATCTTCAGGTAACAGAGCTGTTCTCCTCCTCCTCCTGCTGATGGAGGATTGTTTTTCTCATGGTTTCAGGATTTTGAACACTTCAATATTAAATTAGGATGTGCAGATTACAGGAGGATGGATCGGTGCAGACAGACGTAGCCCGAGGCCTGAGCACAGTTTGTACAAAATAACAGGATTAACTTCCAATTATCGGAGTTTCACTGAATTTTTACTCGAACCGTGTCTGAGCTCAGTCCAGACTCTCGCTCTCTCTCTGACCTGTATCTGCTTCTCCAGGATAAGAACTGATGCCAGAGTTAGAGGGACCTAAACGGGTTTTTCTGTCCCCTGAAGGGGTCTGTATTGGACCAGGTTTAACATGTGAGTCCCTGCAGAATCTGACCGAGGAGGCGAGAACCGTCATAAATGAATCTATTAAAAGACGGAGTTAAATTTATGATTGAATATATAAGTCAGATATAAACCACCCATTAGTAATGCTTTGACTCCCACAGTGTAAACTCTTTATGTTTCATATAGAGGGTCCGTTTAACTATAGAGCTCCTAATTACATTTCCATAAATCCCATTAAATATCAAACAGGAGCTTTAATGAGCGACCAGATGGAGACGTTAGAGCGGACGTTAGACGGTAATTTACTGTCATTTAGAACCAGGCAGTCTAATCTGTGACCAGCACACGTGTACACGCACACACACACACATATACAAGTGTACACACACATGCACACATATACACATGTACGCGCACACACACTCTTACAAACATACACATGCATACATTCACACGCATATATATATACACATGTACCTGCACATGCAGACACATATGTGTACATACACACACATAAACACATGCACACACACACACACACATACATACACACACATGCACACGTGTACACACATGCACACATGTACACACATGCAAACACACACACACACACACACACACACATATACACACATGCACACAAATATACACATGCACACGTACATGCACAAACATGCAAAAGCACACATGCACATACGTACATGCACACATGCACACACATACACACGTACACATGCATGCACACACATGCACACATGTACACACAAACATGCACACACATGTTCACATGTATGTATGCAAACACATGCACACATGTAAACACACACGTGCACACACACATGCATGCACACACACACACACACGCATGTATGCAAACACATATACACACACACGTACACATACACACGTGCACCCATGCACACATATACACACACACACACATACACACACACACACACACACACACACACACACACACACACACACACACACACACACACTTCAGCTGCTCCATCACAGTCATCAGTATTAATCCTCTTTATTATCAGTTTTATCATAATATTATCAGTTCTATGAGTCTTTGAATCAGACCTGCTTTATAAGAACAAAAATCTGAACATGACAGAAACGAGCTCGGAGCAGCTCAGTCCTGCTTCTACCTAAACGTGCGCACGTGTGCTGCAGCTTCTAGAGTGTGTGTATCTGTACCTGCCAAACAGCTTGCAGCAGAGCGGTCCAGCATACAGTAGGTGTGCCAGCACAGATGGCAGCATAGCTTTAAGTCGGGTAATGATGGCAAAAGAAAGCAGCTCAGGCCCATACATCCAGGAGGAGTCCAGGAGGAGTCCAGGAGGAGACCAGGAGGAGCTGCACTGTTGATGAGCAGACTGCAAACTGCTGCAGTGAGACAGTGAGGAAGGACACAGGAGAACCTGACAGTCAGCTCTGAAACAGAAATATGAACCTTCATGTTTTTTAATGTCAAAGTACAGGAACGTTATATTACGGTATAACAGGATACTGTCAGTACTATTGGACGATACAGTATTACAGTCCTATAATATACAATTAAAAACTCCACCCACTTCTCTAATGAACCAATCAGAGAGCACAGAGTCGTTGTTTTCCTCACTCAGTGTGAAGATCATGAATCGAAGCGTGGTCTCTGTTCCTCTACACGATCATCAGGAGCTCCTGACTCCTCAGTGTAGATCGATGGTCCTTCAGGACTTGTTTGTGGTAGTTTTGATGTGAGAAGGTCTGACTGTGTTGCAGTATCCTGGGGATGCACATCTTTGGCTGTAAGTTCAGCCTGAAGACAGAAGCAGGAGACACCGTCCCTGACAGGAAGAACTTTGACTCTCTACTGTGGGCCATCGTCACCGTCTTTCAGGTGATGATAAAGACTCACTGTACACACACACACGCACACACACACACACACACACACACACACACACACACACACCACACACCTACACACACACACACGTGGGGATACTTATGGGATTATGATCTCTGCAGATTCTGACCCAGGAGGACTGGAACATGGTGCTGTATAACGGCATGGCGTCCACCTCGCCGTTTGCCGCTCTCTACTTCGTGGCTCTGATGACCTTTGGAAACTACGTGCTCTTTAATCTCCTGGTGGCCATCTTGGTTGAGGGTTTCCAAGCTGAGGTGAGACGTCTGCAGGTCTGCAGGTCACAGTCACCGTCCTCCTGGAGTAAATCCATGACAAAAAAAACAGACCAGAGTGAGGGACTGTGAAACCCCAAACTTAAAAACAGAAAAAAACGTTTGACTTTAAAAAAAAGGGAACATCGAGGTCCAGAGAGAAGAACTACGGCTGCAGAAAAGAGGCGGGTTAGTCCTTTAAAAAAATCGCAGCTTGGTCCTTTAAAAGGTTTGAAGTCAGAGTTGATCCTGATTCTGTGTTTCCGTTTTATCATAAACTGATTTCTCTTGTTTTCAGATGATCTTGTGATGAATCTGTTTCTTCAGTATCTGCTCCTCCTCTCTTTGCACCTCCTTTCCCTCCTCGTGTCCTAATGTCCCTCTTCTTTCCTCCCTCTCTCCCTCTGCTCCTCACCCAGGGTGATGCCAATCGCTCCTACTCTGACGATGACAGGTCTTCCTGTAATTTTGAGGAGAACGATAAGGAGAAGGACCCTCTGCAGCTCTCAGGTATGTGTCCTCTGATCTTCTCGTCATGGTCGGAGTGGTCGTGGTCGTTCCTCAGCTGTTAAACAGAGACCTTCGATATTTCCTGAAACCCTCTGCCCCTCAGACGGACCGACAGTCCTGATGGTAGCAGATGTGTAAACACTCAGAGGTGGAGCTCCAGGGTCACTGTGTTCTCCTCCTGTTGTTTTATCTCCACCTGTCTTTACTGTAAGCTGCTCAGACCTCAGCCCCCTCTCCTCCTCCTCCTCCTCCTCCTCCTCCTGAGGCGGCTGCAGGTTGGAGGAGCGTTTAGCAGCACATTAGAGGAGTGTTTCTGAGGAGTCCTCCTGAGCCTAAATGGGTCTTTAAACAGCAGCTTACCTGGCAGAGAAACCACATTTGGACTGTTAATGGTACCTGGAGACACCAGAGTCTCCTCTAAATGGACCTTCTGTTTCCATTAGAGGTTCCTCCCTGGATCCTGTCAGCTGGTTCAGACTAAATGCCCCCCCCCCCTCAGTCTCTGTAAAGGTTTCCTCTGACATCTTTAAATCCTTAAACTCGTTACTCTGCTCACCTGTCCAATCTCTCCCTCCTCTCTCCCTCCTCTCTTGCCTCCTTGTTTCCTTTCCTCCAGACCCAAAGATCTGCACCCTGACCCCTAATGGACACCTGGACCTCCCCGCTCTGCCCTCCAGTCTGTTTCAGGGGGAGAGGCTGCCCTACCCTCTGGGCTCCAGGAAGAACAGCGTCATTTCTCTGGGCAGAGCGAACCTGGAGCAGCGGACTGTGGTGAGTTAGAGCTGATACCTGTGTGTGTGTGTGTGTGTGTGTGTGTGTGTGTGTGTGTGTGTGTGTGTGTGTGTGTGTGTGTGTGTGTGTGTGTGTGTGTGTGTGTGTGTGTGTGTGTGTGTGTGTGTGTGTGTGTGTGGGGATGTGTGCTCTGTCTGCATTGCCTCTATAATATAGAGGTGATGTGTGCTCTGTCTGCCTCGGCTCTATTAAACAGAGGGGAGGTGTGCTCTGTCTGCATTGCCTCTATAATATAGAGGGGAGGTGTGCTCTGTCTGCCTTGACTCTATAATACAGAGGGGAGGTGTGTTCTGTCTGCCTCAGGCTCTAAAGAACATAGGGGAGGTGTGCTCTGTCTGCATTGCCTCTATAATATAGAGGGGATGTGTGCTCTGTCTGCCTCGGCTCTATTAAACAGAGGGGAGGTGTGCTCTGTCTGCCTCAGTTTTTGATAGTTCACATTAAAATGAAAATACTCCTTTTCCCTCTCTGAGCGTCTCCCTGATTGATCTTGAAGTGGATTTCTGGACTCCTCAAGCAGAGCTGGATTTTGTGGGTTCCTCCTCAGTAGACTCTCATGTGTTGATAAGACTCCGGAGAACTTCCTCATCCGTGTTTTCGCACCGATGCACAGCAGTAACCTGTGGTCTCTGGATTAGTTCTGGTCCATATTTGAGGTTCAGACTAACTGTGGATCTTTCTCTCTTTCTCAGTATCCGGGCCGGACCTATCAGAGCTGGAGCCGCCCGTTTCACCCCCAGCCCCAGGCCTTGTGGGCCCGTCGGTCCAGCTGGAACAGCCTGGGAGGGTGCCGCCCCTGCTCCTCCTCCTCCCCCGCAGCCAGTCCAGTCCTGACCCCGCCCTCTGCCAGACCCTTCTATGGTTACGGCCTGGCTGGTCTGGGCGGGATGGTCGGAGGAAGTCTGCGCATCCGTGGTCCCCGTGCGTCCTCGTCCCCGCACCGCCACCTCCACGGTGTCCACCCAGACGAGGTGGAGTCTCTGCTCTCCCCTCCCGCCGAGGCCCCTCACTCCCTCCACCTCCCCCACCCCGTGCTTCCAGGACCCTTCGCCCCCAGGAGGGACCGCAGAGCTCTGTCGCTGGAGCTGCCCAACCTGCTGCAAGTCCCGGGACAGCCGCACCCTCCACCCCCGCCACTCCATCCACCGCCCCCCATGACGCTCCATGCTCCTCACAGGAAGAAGAGCTTCTCTGGGGGGGTGGTGATCAGTGGGGGTGGTGGGCTCGACAGTCTGGATGTTTCAGTGGGAATACACCAGGACTGTAACGGAAAGACCCCCTTGTCTCTGCTTCTCCAGGCCTCTTCCAGGAACCAGTCCGAGCCGCCTGGGGGGGCCAACCCCCAGAACCAGCTGATGGCCGAAGTCTTCCCCCAGGTCAACACCCGCAGCAAGAACCAGGAGGACCTGGACGACGACATTGACTATGTGAGAGACTGTCAGCTGACTGTGTGTGTGTGTGCGTGCGTGTGTGTGTGTGCGTGGGACCATGACAGCGTTGACGGTCTTCCTGTCTGTTTGTTGCAGAGTTTGTGTTTCCGTATCCAGAAGATGTTGGAGGCGTACCGACCTGACTGGTGTGAGAGCAGAGAGGACTGGTCTGTGTTTTTGTTCTCCCCAGAGAACCGGTGAGTCCACGTTATCATTTACTGTCAGACCTGAAAAACCGTTCAGAGTTTAGGTAACAATGAACGGTGATGAAACTGTGACTGTTATGAAGAACAGCTGATTTAGACTCGGGTTCTGCTGGGTCTACTGGGTCTGATGTGAGATTTAAGAGAACAGAGAGGTGGAGGAGAAATATGAGAAATATGGAAAATATAAGTTATATAAAAAATAACAGAAAAATATATAAATTTGAGAAATAAAGGAAAAAAGAGAAATATGAGAAATAACAGTAATATGGGAAAAAATTGAAATATAAGATAAATGACATATATAGGAAATATGTGAAATAAAAGAAAAATTGAAAATATGAGAAACATGGAAAATATGAGGAAAAAAAGGAAATAGAAATATAAAAAATATGTGAAAATGAGAAATGTAGGAAATTTGGAAAAAGTAGAAATAAATGTTACAATATATGAAATATGAGAAAAAAATCATTTATATAGGAAAATTTGTGAAATATAGGAAATATGAGAAATATGAGAAATATAAGTAACATGAGAAAAAAATTGAAATATTATATAAACAACAAATGTAGGAAATTTGTGAAATACAAGAAATATTGAAAACAAGAGAAATATGGAAAATATGAGAAAAAGAGGAAAAATGATACATATGAGAAATAAAGGAGAAATGGGAAATATGAGAAATAAAGGTTATACTAGAAATATGAGAAAAAAATCATTAATAAAAAAAATTGTGAACTATAGGAAATATGAGAAAAAAAGAAAGTATCTTTGAGTTTTGGATGGGTTATGTCTGAGTCCTTCTCTGAGTCCACATTATCTGGTTTGACTTCAGTGAATTTTTGATTTTCCTTTTCTTTGGTTTTGTTGGTTCGGGTCAGAAAAATCGGTAGATAATCGGCGTATTATATTGAGGAGAAGAACGAGGAGACATGTAAGCTGAAGGAAACTCTGATGAAGATACAGGGACAAAGATCAGGAGGACGGGCACTCAGGGGTTCAGTTCTTGGGTCACATATGCTGAACATTAACGGGGTTCTGATCCGGTCTTCTGAAGGACTAAAGAGTCTGAGAGTTTATCTGAATGTTCGGTCTGCAGAGGAGACACTGTTGATGATTTTAATAAAAGGCAATCAGAAGTCTCCAGATTACTCTGTAATAAACACAACAACCCCCCCACTCCCACTCCCACTCCCACAGCTCCATTCACTTCAGCCTGTGTCCTTTTATTCCCTCCAATAAACACGACAGCAAACAGATTTAATTGCTTTTTGGCAGAACACTGTGACACACACACACACACACACACACACACACACACACACACACAGGAACTTTTGAAGTGCACGCTCAGTGTGTGTGTGTGTGTGTGTGTGTGTGCGCTCAGCAGTGTTGTGTGTTAGAGTATTTAGAGTCAGAGTGAAGTACACGAGTCTGTTTACTCACTAAGGTGAGAAGGAGCTCACTCAGGACCCCCCTTCTCTGATTGGATGGTTTAAACAGGTGTGTGTGTGTGTGTGTGTGTGTGTGTGTGTGTGTGTGTGTGTGTGTGTGTGTGTGTGTGTGTGTTTCTGACAGCTGTGTGACCTGCTGAGACCTCCCCTCAGTCTCCGTGTCTTTCTCCTCCTCCTCCTCCAGGTTCCGTCAGATCTGTCAGTCCATCATCGCCCATAAGCTCTTCGACTACGTGGTTCTGGCCTTCATCTTCTCCAACTGCATCACGGTGGCTCTGGAGAGGCCCAAGATCCTGCAGGGCAGCCTGGTAACTCAGTCTGTAGTTCTCGCTCTTTTCTACGGTGTACCTCCTGTTGAAACATCTCTGCTGGTTCCACCTTCAGCCTCAAACCACATCCAGAACTTTCTGGTTTCTGTCTCTGACTCTTCCTCTCTGTTTAGGAAAGAGTCTTCCTCACCATCTCCAACTACATCTTCACCGCCATCTTTGTGGGCGAGATGACCCTGAAGGTAAGATCTCTCACCCCCAATTTCCACCCCATCTGGAACAGCAACGATTTTCACTGTCCGCCATTCCTACCATTTGATCTGTTTGTGAGGCGAATTTCGTGGTGGATTACGGACAGCGGGAATCGCGAGAACTCACAAGAACCTGCAGATTCACGTTCAATCGCACGATAACGAGTTGTCTCTATAAAGACAGACACATAGACATATAAGCAGTAGATTGTGTCCTTCCAGAGGAGGAAATCTACTTCTAGACTTCTAGAATCAGCATCTCCTCATCCATGGTGTCATCGGGGTGAAATGACGTCTAAAAACCTTTCACTTGTTCGTCTCCGCCCTTTCCAGCATGGGTTAATCTGTGCCGAATTTATCCGCCATGCTCCGGCGTCCAAAAACATTCGAACTCTTGTGATCAGCTGTTGAGTCCGGCGATCCGCAGAGGAACGGAAAGAAGTCGGTGTAAATTGACACGTTAACTTGAATGTTTACGATCAGCTACGATCGGAGGATACGACCTTTTAGGAGACGATCAGGATGAAGGCGTAATTTGGCGGTAAAACTCCTGATGTGAGTCTGAAGCGTTTTACTGTTTCCTCTGGGTCCCCCTGTCCGTCTAGACCAGACACTCTTCCTTCTCTCTTCCTGTCCTCCCTCTGTTTCCTGTTTTCTCACTGAAAGGCTTCGGCACAAACGGTCCATTAATTTTGCACTCTCCCACCATCAATTATTAACCAATCCCGGCCCGTCAAAGAGCCGCAGACTTGTCAGCCCCCTCGCCGAGCCGAACACGTCCCCCCCTGAGTCCTGGTCTGTCTTCACCCCGTGCGTCTGTGTCCTGTCTGTTGCATTAATCTCTCTGCAGGACTCCACCGCAGAGCTTTAACAGATCCACAGAAACCGTCTCAGCAGGGCCCGGGATCGGTCGGGATGATGCAGAACTTTATTTAATGAGGCCCAATCAGAGTCCTGGTCCTGGCGGCGCTGGTGGATGTAGGAGTGAGCGATGCTTTAGTGCGTGGAAGTTTGAGCCGAGTCAGCAGAGTGCCGAGGTCAGCGTGTTTTTGGAAGTTTCGCTCGCTCCTGTCGTCGGGGCGACAGTTTACATTTTGGCGTTTAGAGCTGAGATGTTTGCACGGCGCTGATCTTTCAAACATCACGACGTGTTTGCTCACTCACCCCCGCGGTCCCTCTGAAGCTCGGCTCGATACTCCGCAAACACTCTCAAATGTCAGCGCAGATCTTCTCCTGCTCCCACCGCCTCGCCTGGTTTCCTGGTCTCTCTGATTTGTTTGTCCCTCCCCGGTCTCCCTGTCTCCCGTTCTCGGCCGTCCTCACCTGATGTCCCGCTCTGTCTCCCCCAGGTGGTCTCCATGGGTCTGTACGTGGGTGAACAGGCGTACCTGAGGAGCAGCTGGAACGTCCTGGATGGTTTCCTGGTCTTCGTGTCTCTGGTTGACATCGTCGTGTCCATGGCGGGCGGAGCCAAAATCTTGGGGGTCCTCAGGGTCCTCAGGCTGCTCCGAACGCTGCGTCCCCTCAGGTACAGACCGAGCTCCACATCTGAAGTCCAGTTTAGTTTTGTTGAAGGTTTAGTTCTGGACCTGGTTTTTCCTTCATGAAGGGTTCCGGTTCTTCTCGTCTCTCCTCAGGGTGATCAGCAGAGCTCCAGGTCTGAAGCTGGTGGTGGAGACCCTCATCACCTCCCTCAAACCCATCGGAAACATCGTCCTGATCTGCTGCGCCTTCTTCATCATCTTCGGCATCCTTGGAGTCCAGGTATGAGGGTCACATGATGTTTATGTAAGGCCCGGTCCAGACTCCTCTCCTGCGGTCAGGGTCCACAGAGACCCATGAGGAGCTCATTCTGGTTCTTCTTCTTGTTTCTCTCGCAGCTTTTCAAAGGAAAGTTCTTCTACTGCTTCGGCCTCGACGTCAAGAACATCACCAACAAGTCGGACTGTCTGCAGGCGAACTACAAGTGGGTCCACCATAAATACAACTTTGACAACCTGGGACAGGTGAGCTCCTCCTCCTCCTGGTCTGGGTTCTCTGATGGTCTGCAGTTTAACAGGAAGTCTTTGTCCTTCTTTGGTCCTCCAGGCGCTCATGTCTCTGTTCGTCCTGGCCTCCAAAGACGGCTGGGTCAACATCATGTATCACGGTCTGGACGCCGTGGCTGTGGACCAGCAGGTAAGACCTCACAGACTCTGCAGGATGGAGATCCACTTCAGGAGGACTTCTTCTCTGACAGCGTGAACCTTCTGTCCTCCTCAGCCCGTCATCAACAACAACCCCTGGATGCTCCTCTACTTCATCTCCTTCCTCCTCATCGTTAGCTTCTTCGTCCTCAACATGTTCGTCGGCGTGGTGGTGGAGAACTTCCACAAGTGCCGTCAGCACCAGGAGGTGGAGGAGGCCAAACGGCGGGAGGAGAAGCGTCAGCGCCGCATGGAGAAGAAGAGGAGAAGTAAGTGAGAGGAGACGGGGGAGGAGCTGTCTTTGCTCTCCTGGAGGAGCTTCTTAGTTTGATTCAGAGTGAAGTCAGAATGTGGATCAGATAGAAAGACCACTGAGAGGACCTGGATCTGGACTTGGAGCTGGACCTGGTTTTGGCTGAAGACCTGGTTGGATGACCTCCTTTAGTTCTTGTTGACAGAGGAGCTGATCAGGACGCTCCTGCGCCGGTCTCTGATTAGGTGACCTGATGAACGTGTCGATGATGACATCCTGACGCCCTGACAAACTCGACGTTTCTCTCTCTGCTCCAACAGAAGCCCAGAAGCTGCCGTACTTCTCCAGCTACGGTCCGGTCCGCCTGTGGATCCACACGCTCTGCACCAACCACTACCTGGACCTCATCATCACCTTCATCATCTGCATCAACGTCATCACCATGTCCCTGGAGCACTACAACCAGCCTCACGTAAGTGTGTGTGTGTGTGTGTGTGTGTGTGTGTGTGTGTGTGTGTGTGTGTGTGTGTGTGTGTGTGTGTGTGTGTGTGTGTGTGTGTGTGGGAGACTGAATGTATGCATGAACGTTGGAGCTGCTGTGAATGAGAGCGTCTCTCTCTGCCTCTGGCTGCTTAATTTTACTCTACAAACAACAGGAACTCGTCCAGCTCTATATTTACATCTGCCAACACACACACACACACACACACACACACACACACACACACACACACACACACACACACACACACACACACACACACACACACACACACACTCTCTTTTTACCTCTCTCTCTCCAGTCTCTGGATCTCGCCCTGAAGTACTGCAACTATTTCTTCACCTCCACCTTCGTGTTGGAGTCGGTGCTCAAACTCATCGCCTTCGGCTTTCGACGCTTCTTCAAGGACAGGTACAGAGTGTGTGTGTTTGTGTGTGTACAGGTGTGTTTGTGTGTGTACAGGTGTGTTTGTGTGTGTACAGGTGTGTGGTTTCTCCACCTGAGGCCTGCTGGTCCTGAACCCTGTCCCTCCTCAGGACCAGTCTGTGGTCCTCGCTCTAACTGAAGTAGGAAGATGAAATGAAGGTGGAATAAAAACCAACAAAGAGCAGATCAGCAGTTCAGAGCGATCGGCTCTTATGAAGCTCTTCTCCTGCTTTGATCGTCGTAAATGAAATCAGAGTCAGAGCTTTGATGAGAGAGAGGATTAGGAAGGTTTGAGACGGCTCTCTTATTACCTCGACTAATCCACGGAGTGGAACGAACACGATCTCATGTCAAATATCATCACAGTCAGTCAGTCAGCCAAACAGTCAGTCAGTTATTCAGTCAGTCAGTTATTCAGTCAGTTTATTCAGTCAGTTATTCAGTCAGTTATTCAGTCAGTCAAAGACCACCTGATGGAGGATTTTCAGAGCGGTTTCAGGGTTTTCAATCTTTATTTCATCACAACAATCGTTTGGTTTCACCTGCTGAAATCAGACCTCATTTATTCTAATCCTCATTTATTCTAATCCTCGTTCATCCTCATCGTTGTTCATCCTCAGTTACTGTCATCCTCATTTAGCCACATTCATCCTCATCCTCATCCATTCTCATCCTCATTCATCCTCATTCATCCTCATTCATCCTCATTCATCCTCATCCATTCTCATCCTCATTCATCCTCATCCTCATCCTCATTCATCCTCATTCATCCTCATTCATCCTCATCCTCATCCTCATTCATCCTCATTCATCCTCATCCTCATTCATCCTCATTCATCCTCATCCTCATTCATCCTCATCCTCATTCATCCTCATTCATCCTCATCCTCGCTGACTTCAGTGTTTCCAACAGAAGTTGAAGTCTGAATAATGAGCCTCTAAAATCCCTCAAAGCTTCGTTTTCTCTCGTCTGAAGCTCCTCAGACTTTTACCTCTAAAATATTAAAAATGTAAAAATACTGAATTATTGTGCAGCAGTGATCAGCTGACTGAGCGGACTGAGTTTTAAAGAGGAATGAGAAAAGCTCTAAAAAAAGCAGGATGGTAAATAAAGGCGTTTACCATCCTTCAATACGACGTTTCTCATTAGAGGGAGAGAAGGATGAGGGAGTTAACTCTGCGCTGATGAGAGTTAAATGTCATTGACCTGTTTAAGTCGGTGAAGAGGGATGATGGGAAGAGACTGTTAGAGGAGGAGAGAGGAAATGGAGGAGAGGAGGCGGCGGCGGCGGTGAAAGACAGACGGAGGCGATGATGAAATGAGGGAGAGGAGTGTGGGTACAGAGAGGATTCATCACGGGGTTATCGGGCGCCGCTTTGTCTCTTCTTCTGTGGTGTCAGCAGCAGCAGCAGCAGCAGCAGCAGCAGCAGCAGCAGCCCTGAGCTCTTACTTTGATTTATAAGCTGGGTTCACTATCGGGCCAGATGAAGAACTGGGTCAATGGAGTAGTGAGTAACACACAAACACACTGCCACATATGCAGCCTGCTGTCAGTCTGCAGGTGTGTGTGTGTGTGTGCGTGCGTGCGCGTGCTGCTTTACAGTCGGACAGGTGAGCTGCACACTGACTGAGAGTTAAAGGAGCAGTCTGTATAAAACAGACCTCATCAGAGACGTCTGCTCTTCAGTCAGGATTCAGTCCGATCTGATTATTCTGGTTCTGAGTAAAGTGTTCCTGGATCGGATCAGACCAGGACTCAGCTCCTCAGTCCTTTACGGCTGCTGCACCGACTGTTTCCTGCTGTAAAAGGAGAAGAGGAGGTGCAGTGAAACAGAGGGGAACAACGCCGTTCATGGCGATAAAGAGGAAGAGGAGACGCTCTTGTCATTGGGCGTTTAACGGAGAGAGTTCGGCAGGCGTGACGAATGAATCGCTGCTGCCAAGGGTTTTAGTGCCGATCCGATAGTCACCTGATTTACCACGGACAGTAAAAACTCACACAGTTAAAGACCACTTAGGTTATTTCACCGAGACGTATCTTTGTTGAGTGTCCTCCAAGAAAAAGGGAGGAGGGGGACTGAGTTACCTTCAGAGGAAACTCAGAAGGCAGGGAAGATAAACGTCCTCCAGGAGGTCTGCAGGACAGAGGAGGAGAGAGGAGCTCAGAGCGGCTGGACTGAAGTTTAACGAGAGGACAGGGATCGAGAGGTTAAACGAGGAGGAGAAGGAGTTAAAGTTTAGCGTCACTTTCTCCTGATTCTTGAACATCTGTTCCACGTCTGATCTCCAGCCTCAGGAGGAAACATCTCACAGGTTAGTTCTCCGTTTGACGGGTTCATCAGGAGCTTTAAGGGCTGAAGAACGAGAGGATGACGAGAAGGTCTGAGGAGACTTCAGCGTGACAAAGGGAAAGTGTTTTTTTTAAACACTGAGTGTGTGTGTGTGTGTGTGTGCTTGTGTGTGTGTGTGTGTGTGTGTGTGCTAGGTGGAACCAGTTGGACCTGGCCATCGTGCTCCTGTCGGTGATGGGAATCGTGCTGGAGGAGATCGAGATCAGCGCCGCTCTGCCCATCAACCCGACCATCATCAGGATCATGAGGGTTCTGAGGATCGCTCGAGGTACAGACAGACAGACGGGGACAGACAGAGACACAGACAGAACCACAGACAGAGACAGACAGAGATACACCTTTACACAGTTTAAAGTTTCACATTTCATCTGCAATTGAACCAAAATATCCACTCTGACCTCCACTCCCTCTCTCTCTTTCTCTCTCTCTCTCCCTCTCTCTCTATCTCTCTATCTCTCTCTCTCTCCCTCTCTCTCTCTCTCTCTCTCTCTCTCTCTCTCTTCTCTATCTCTCTATCTCTCTCTCTCTCTCTCTCTCTCTCTCTCTCTCTCTCTCTCTCTCTCTCTCTCTCTCTCTCTCTCTCTCTCTCTCTCTCTCTCTCTCTCAGTGCTGAAGCTGTTGAAGATGGCAACAGGAATGAGAGCCCTTCTGGATACGGTGGTTCAAGCCCTGCCTCAGGTACACACACACACACACACACACACACACACACAGACACACACACACACACTCACACACACACACACACAGCTCTTTGTCTTGTGTCCACTTTCAGCACCATGGAGAGCTGGACCCCCACTGTGGGAGTGGCCGGGTTCATGTGGTCGCAGAGTCAAGTTTAACTTCCTGTTTAGTGACGCCATCATAGATGTACCAGAGGAGACAGTCTCTGTGTGATCCAGATCTGCTCACAGATCAGCACCTCAGACTTAGAGGTCTGATTATACGGGCTGAGTCCAGATAGGCTGAGTCCAGTCCTGCAGACAGCAGGGTTGAGTCCAGTCCTGCAGACAGACGGGTTGAGTCCAGTCCTGCAGACAGCAGGGCTCACAGTTTTACCTGCTGACCACCAGGATGGAGTAAACAGTAGTGAGGAGTTGATGTAGAGAGAGCAGCCTCCTGGTCTTGGTCTCCTATTGATCCCCCTCTCATTAACACTGAGGCCTCTGCTCCGTCCCGAGGGGGCCAGGGGAGGTAATTAAAACCGGGGCTAATGAAACAGTTCCTGGAGGTCTCACTCTGCATGTTCATGAGTCTGACTTCACCTGCCTGAGAGAAACCGGAGGCTGTAGTTCTGTCAGTGTGGCTGCAGACATCACAGAGGATTTGGGGGTCTCTGGTGGTCTCAACGAAGACTCTATGATCCAGATATTATTATGATTATTATATATATGTGATCAGGTTTTCCTGTGTGTGTGTGTGTGTGTGTGTGTGTGTGTGTGTGTGTGTGTTGCAGGTGGGTAACCTGGGCCTGCTCTTCATGCTGCTGTTTTTCATCTACGCCGCCTTAGGAGTAGAGCTTTTTGGAGAACTTGGTGAGTCCACGTTTGAAGTTTTTCCATGTGACCCGGTGAAGAGATGACCAGCGCTGTTGGATGATATAAGTTCTCCTCTGGTGGTCCGGTTGGCTCGGGGTTGTATGGCAACCCCACTAGGACAAACCTCTCTAAAGTTCTGCTCCTGTTTACTCTCTGACCTACAGCCAATCACAATCTGGAATCATAATCATACAGCTGAACAGCCAATCATGTGACCCCGAGCAGATCTGACCAGCCGAGCACACCTGGGTCCTGTGGTGGACCTTTAAACCATGTGGACTCAGTATTTGGTCCGTCTGTGTAGAGACCGATTAAAGTCCTCAGTCCAGGTTCAGACAGTGATCTCAGGATCCCGTTAAGGATCTGACTGTAGAGGGTCTTACTGTAGAGGACTCAGCGAAACCAGCTGATGGTCTGAGGTAGGGCTGGGCGATAAAACGGTAACGATGTACTTTAAAAAGTATCGAAAAATTCCTTCAATATCAATGTAAAACATGCTCTTCGATAGTCGTCATTCTGCCATGTTTTGGTAGATATACCAATAGCCAATGAAAAGGGGAGTTGCTCTGAGTCTGCTTTGCGCTGAACCAATTGTGCTGAATTAGAACCAAGTAGCAAAAACCTGCGTCATAGCAGACAGCAGCTACACCCAACCATAGCACTTTAAAAAATGCTATGAGTGCTACCCCCGACAGAAATGACCATGAAGGCTCAACAGATGACCACATCAATGTCAACCACAACACTGGCGTTAGGAAAACGTCGGTGGTGTGGAGGTATTTTGGTTTTTGGAGGTCGGACATGAAGCAGAGTAATGTGGACTGTAAATTATGTCGAGTACATGTTCTCACAAAGTCGGGGAATACCTCAAATCTTTTTCACCACCTGAAGCAGCGCCACGCCGCAGAGCACGCGCAACGCAAGAAAAGACATGCGACCAATAAACACTGTTAAATTTCATTTTTTTATATCCTGATATTGATCGGTTTCGACTGATATTAACTTTTTCCCGTATCGCCCAGCCCTACTCTGAGGTTTTCATGGATCATGAAGTCCTCCTCCTCGGTCACATGGTGTTAGTAGATGTTCCTGCAGTCCTCACAGTCGGACCTTTAGAGGATCTCTGCAGAGCGTCCTGTCACACTGTGTCCACACTGGACCGGCTGGTTCTGGTTCTGATCCGGCTCAGCGCCTCTGCAGGTTCTGACATATGAAGTCTTGAGTTTGATTCTGAAGTCTGTTTTTTTTTATCCACCTCCTTCCTCCATCATCCTCATCGTCTGTCCATCACCTCACTTCCTGTTTACCTGTGACCTAATACCCCACCCCCCATACTCCTCAGTTTGCAATGAAGACTACCCCTGTGAGGGGATGAGTCGGCACGCCACCTTTGAGAACTTTGGCATGGCCTTCCTCACTTTGTTTCAAGTCTCCACGGGCGACAACTGGAATGGCATAATGAAGGTACGGCGCTCCGGAAATCTGCTGACTCAGCAGTCACGGGTTTTTCCTGCTGATGGGAAGACCGACACACAAACACACAAACACACACCCACCCAGAGCAGCTCTCAGTCCGCCTGCACACCCCTCAGGCTGCAGACCATTAAACTCACACAGGATACAGGCGGCGGAGACAGTGGCACGCCGTGATGTAAAGCAGCACGCCGTGATGTAAACCAGCAGGCCACAGACGCGCCCTCACAGCGTAAATCTCACTCATTTTAGCCGTCAGATTACCGCTGTGAGTGAGGGAGTGTCTCCTCAGTTTAACAGGGAGCAGGTGAGGTGGGCTGTGATTGGCTGAGAGGGAGGATGGGGGGGGGGGGGTGTAAGAGATGGAGGAAGGGAGGAAGAGAGGAAGGGAGGGAGCGAGGAAGGGAGGGAGGGAGCGACTGTAATAAGAGAGCAGACAAGAGGACAGGTAGGAGGTCAAAATGTGATCTGGGATTATCCCTCCTGTCCTTAAAGGAGAAACCATCAGAGAGAGAGAGAGAGGTAATAAAAGAGAGAGAGAGTAAAAGAGAGAGAGAAGAAAGAGAGGGAGAAGAATAGAGAGAGAGAATGAAAAAGAGAGACAGAATAAAAGAGAGAGAGAGAGAGAATAAAAGAGAAGAGATGTTATCAGAAGGACAGTTAGACGTCTAAAGAAGGAGGAGTAGATGTTGACGCAGGAGACCTGACCGGACTGAAGCTGTTCTGGGGGGTCAGACTTAGAGAGTCCACCTGAACAGGAAAACCTGAAGCTGCTGTCTGCTGTGGAGGAAACTGATGAAGAGGGGGATCATTGGAGGAGTTTTTAGACACAGAGAGGAGAGGTTTTAGACTTTTAGACCCGACAGAAACCCGGGTCTTGGTCTAGGCCTACCAAAGCTGGATCAGGACCATTCAGGGGCTCTGTAGTAGAAGAGTTTTGCTGCTATCTGGACCCTGACTTACTGAAGTCCTGGATCAGTTTTAAGTGTAGATGGTTCTTTCAGGGTTGTATGTTGCTGTCACCCTTCCTTCCCTCCTTCCCTCCTTCCCTCCTTTCCTAACCCTTGTCTCCTCTTACCTCCAGGATACATTGCGGGAGTGTCCACCTGACCACGGCACTGACGTGGACTACGCCTGCAATCCCAGCCTTCAGTTTATCTCGCCCATGTACTTTGTCTCCTTCGTGCTCACCGCCCAGTTCGTGCTCATCAATGTGGTGGTGGCCGTGCTGATGAAGCACCTGGACGACTCCAACAAGGAGGCCCAGGAGGAGGCGGAGATGGATGCAGAAATTGAGCTGGAGCTGGCCCAGGGCACCCTCTGTTGCATGGGCGCCCCCGGCTGCGGGGGTGCAAAGACAACGGAGAAAGGACTGGTGGTTTCTGGACCGGGTCCTGGAGGGACAGCGGGGGGGAAGGAGAGGGGAGGGCCCAGAGGAGACCAGGGAGACGGAGGGAAGAGGACGGCACTGCACACAGCAGCTACGACCCCGCAACCAGGAGGGTACAACTCCAGAGAGTCCAGCCTGTACTCACCAGCACAAGTGAGTGTGTGTGTATCAGTGTGTGTGTGTGTGTGTGTGTGTGTGTGTGTGTGTGTGTGTGTGTGGGAAGTGTGCAGGTTTTCTTATGCTTGCATCCTCGTAGTGTGAAAGTCGGTTTCTCTCTGTGTTTCTGTGTTTGTTGGTGTCTGAGAGCAGGGATGTCTCACCACAGAGAAACCAGTACACTCTGCAGAGTCCAAACCAGTCTCTGCTCCAGAACCAGAACCAGAACCAGGTTTATCCTCAAGTATAAGAGATAAGTCCCACTGAAGACAGAATAACCCCCAATTTCGACTGCATCCAGAACGGCGGCAATTTATGCCATCAACTAATTCCTACCGGATCCGTTATTGAGGCGAAATTCATGGCGGTCATGGACAGCGGGAATCGCGAGAATTCACAAGAACCCACAGATTCACATTCAATCGCGCGATAACAAGTTGTCTCTCTAAAGACAGACACATAGACATATAAGCAGTAGATTGTGTCCTTCCAGAGGAGGAAATCTACTTCTAGACTTCTAGAATCAGCATCTCCTCATCCATGGTGTCATCGGGGTGAAATGACGTCTAAAAACCTTTCACTTGTTCGTCTCCGCCCGTTTGCATGGTGTGAAATACGATCCTCCTGAAACACGGAGTGTTTTATTTTGAAAAGAAGCCGGATGTTTTATTTTGTGTCTGTGCCCGACTTCCTTTCCAGCACGGGTTAATCTGCGCTGAATTTATCCGCCATGCTCCGGCGTCCAGAAAAAATAGAACTCTTGTGATCAGCTGAGGAGTCCGGCGATCCGCAGAGGAACGGAAAGAAGTCGGTGTAAATTGACACGTTAACTTGAACGATCAGCTACGATCGGAGGATACGACCTTTTAGGAGACGATCAGGATGAAGGTGGAAGTTGGGGGTAATCAGTAATCAGAGCAGCAGGAAGAGAAAAAAACTTCAACGATTAAAAAAACAAAAATCTGTTCTCTTCAGAACCATCCACAGAGGGTCCTGATCGGTCCAGTTCTGTATCAGAACCCCTTCAGCTCAGTCTCATGGAGACATCCCTGCTCATCGTGTTGGTTTGTGTTTCTCCGGCTGCCTTCTCCTCACACATCAGGAGAAAATGACAAACTGGATTCACGAGTCTGAAGAAAACAAAGGAGGTAAACAAAATGGCGGCGCGCTCTGAGCGCCGTTCTGACATCAGAGAGAGAGAGAGAGAGAGAGAGAAGCTTCGCTGTGAGTCTGACTGACAGCTCTCTTTTCTTCAGCCCCTCTGTAACATGGAGGAGGCTAACGAGGTTTGGAGCTAACGAGGCCGAGGCCTTCAGACAGAGAGGGTTATGAAACAGTCAGCAAACCTGCAGGTCTGCTCAGACCTCATGGGGGGTTCAGAGTGATTTAAGACCATGTATTAGTATAATAATCTAATAAATACAACGGAGAATAAGGACCATATTAAGAATAAAAAAAGCTTTTTAAGACTTGGAGATTAAAGTCGTTACTTAGAGGAATGAAGTCATAATTTATGAGACTGAAGTCGTAACGTTACCTGTTATTTTAGAGGAGAGTCGTTAAAATGAGGCTGTGGAGCATTTAGATTAATTGTACTTCAGTATAGGTTTCACAAACATGGAGATACTTCATCCTTTGGTACATCAGCGTTACACTGTCATGAGTATCAGAACTTATCAATATCATAGATCTTTGATTTATCAGATGAGTCGATGAGGTGTCGAGACCTCTGCAGGTGAAGGTCACTGACTTACTGTAATCATCGGGTTTTCTTTCATCTTTCTGAACCTGCTTCATTTCGGCGAATGTCCATCTTCAAAATCTACCCGGATACAGGAATGCTACTTTTTAATTGGCTGTTCAGTAGATATAGTTTATTTGATTGGCTCGTGTGTGGCACGCAGCTTCTGAACTCTCAGGGGAACTGACTTGATTCCAACTTGGTGGACGTCACCGTGGTCGTTTAACGTGTGAGCGCGTGTGGGGATGGGTGTGTCACACGCCCTGATCTCCATTCCACCACACGCTCAGACCAGATTCAGTTCTGGATCGGTTCTTCTGTATTATTGTAGGTTAGTGAGCTCGGAGGACTCACAGGAGACCGTCTGAACTCAGGTGACCTCATTACTGTCTGACAGCAGAGCCTCACCTGTCCATCTGGACTTCGCCATTATTAGTCAGAGAGGTGAGTCATCACCTGTGGTCAGGTGACTCACCTTTAGAGCTAAAGCTAGCACCAGGGATCCGGTTTTAGCTCCGGGTCTGAACCCAGCATCAGCTGACCCAAGACCAGAACAGAACCAGGAGAGAACACTGGCAGTTTCCTCCCTCCTTACCTCCTCCTCTCCTCTGTCCTTACCTCCTCTCCTACTCCTCCTTCCTTAACTCCTCCTCTCCTCTCCTCCCCTGTCTCCTTACCGCCTCCTCTCCTCCCTCTCTCTCTGTCTCTTGATCGCCCCTTCTTTTACTGTCTGTCTATAAAGTGACGATGAAATGAATTCAGGGCACAGGTCCTTGGGTTAGTGTGTGTCTGTGTGTGTGTGTGTGTGTGTGTGTGTGTGTGTGTGTGTGTGTGTGTGTGTGTGTGTGTGTTAGTGTGTGTGTATGTGCGTGTGTGTGTTTTAGTGTGTGTTTGTGTGTGTGTGTTAGTGTGTGTGTGTGTGTGTGTGTGTGTGTGTGTGTTGTGTGTGTGTTAGTTTGTGTGTGTGTGTGTATGTGTGTGTGTTCGTTAGTGTGTGTTAGTTAGTGTGTGTGTGTGTGTTTTATTGCGTGTGTGTCTTTTGTTAAACCCTCTTCCCTCTTTAAATTGATCAGAATGATCAGATCTGATTCCTTTATTGATTGACGCCGTTGTGATCAGATCAGCTGTTAAAATCATCAGTTAGATTCATTTTTGACGCACGTCTTTAAAAACTAACATGACCATGAAAATGTTCGTCGGTCCTTTAAAGTTCAAACTGAAACTGGCTGATCCTGATCTTCAGGGCATTAAAGGGATATTCTGGTGTAAATTTAATTTAGAGTCAAACCCACCGTAACACCGAGTTAGACCCCCCCTCCAGAGATGAATGTTGTCGACCGCTTACTTCTCTAGTTATACCAACTTTAGTAACGACCGCAGGATAGAAATACAGAGAGGTCTGAGGAGCCATAAACAAACCTCAACCAACTCACCTACTCTCTTCCAGCAGACGTTGTTTGCAGCGAGACTTCGTCCGAGACTTCGTCGTAGCGGTTAACGGTTGTTACCATGGTTACATGTGTTTATCTGGTTCTGGCCCCGACTCAGTTCATGCTATCATGACAGACAGACATCTCAACACTAGAGTCTGGTCCTCTGCCTCTTCAGACTTGGAGATAATTGTTTCAGCAGAACTTCAAATTGTCCAACAGACATCCGAAAAAAGGTTCTGGAGCAACTGTGGTCCAGTTTCAGCTCCTGAACCGAGCAGAGAAACTCACTAAGTTCTCTTCTTTTTTCTAATATTGGATCCACCCATGAGCTATGTTTCTGTTTCTCTGGAGAAAACTAAAGGAGGAACAATTCGCCATCACTTGAAATTGAAGTAGACTCCGTTTTTGTCTTCTCGCTTCCACCCGGGACGCTGTAGCATGGAAAGGGAAGGTCCCGCCCTCCTTCACCTCTGATTGGCTGTAAATGCTGACAGGGAAAAGTCTTCCCCGGGATGCGTCTTTTTCCCCCTGGAAAGTCGCAAAATCACATCGGGCTTGATGTGTGTAGTCAGGCACATCAAAATTCGCCTCTGAATATTTAGTTATTTCAGGTTCTATATTTGCGTCGGCCCTGGTGTGAAAGGACCTGAAGGCAGAAGAACGACCGCGTCTGCAGAGTAAAATGATAAATATGTTGATTATTACTTCAAGGAAATGATAAAGTAATGATTAATTTTATGTCGGAATATCCCTTTAAAAACAGACTCTGCATGGACTCAGAGTCACTTCAAAAGTAGGACCCCCTTTTACTCATTTACTCAGTCAGTCAGTCACGCCCCCCCGGAGAAAAAAACTAGAAGTTGAATGATCAGCTGTTTTCGTCCTCACAGACGTTTTGTTTGTTTTCACGGCTCTATATCGTCTACATCTATATCGTCTACATCTATATTGTAGAAGCTGCCGTTTCATAAGCCGAGGTGTTGCAGGTGTATTTTTATCCCTGGAGGTACAGTAACCTGTCTCTGGATTTTTGTAGCCCCCTCATTCTCCACGGTGAGCCGTGACTGAAGAGGGTGAGTCAGACATGTGTGTTTGCATAACGGCTCTAAGTATAGAGCTGTGAGACATAGAAGTGTTTGATCAGAATAGGACTGTGTGGGGTTTGAAGAGGAGTGACCTTGTTTCTCAGGATCTTCTCCGATAGATCTGCTGATGTAATCCACTTATTTCGATTGTTGTGAATGTGTTAGACCCCCCCCCCCCCCCCTCTGATTGGTTTCAGGGGAAAACCAATCTGGCAGACGAGCGCGGCGTGCAGCAGCAGGGAGGATCACGGCAGCAGAAACAGCCCTGACTGATTCGCTGTGAATTGCTTTAAAGCTAATAACAGCGAGAGCACAAAGCAAACGCTCCGATCTTCAATTGTTTCAGCGAGGTATTGAACGGCTTAATTGAGGCGATCTATCAGAGGTAATTGCGGCGCTCGCTGCAGTTTCCTGAGGCGCCGATAGTGAAATGATGTTTCTGTGCTAATGAGGCTGGAAGTCCAAAGACTGAGGAGGAGTTTGAGAGCGTCAGGATCTGTTCAGGTTCACCTGAGAGGGATCTCTCTACCTGAAATCTACCTGTGTGTGTGTGTGTGTGTCTGTGTGTGACTGTGTGTGTGTGTTTGTGTGTGTCTGTGTGTGTTTGTGTGTGTGTGTGTGTTTGTGACTGTGTGTGTGTGTGTGTGTCTGTGTGTTTGTGTGACTGTGTGTGTGTGTTTGTGTGTGTCTGTGTGTGTGTGTGTGTGTGTGTGTCTGTGTGTGTGTGTGTTTGTGTGTGTGTGTGTGTGTGTGTGTGTGTGTGTTTGTGTGACTGTGTGTGTGTGTGTGTGTGTGTGTGTGTGTGTGTTTGTGTGTGTCTGTGTGTGTGTGTGTGTGTGTGTGTTTGTGTGTGTCTGTGTGTGTGTGTTTGTGTGTGTCTGTGTGTGTGTGTGTGTGTGTGTGTGTTTGTGTGTGTGTGTGTGTGTGTGTGTGTGTGTGTGTGTGTGTGTGTGTGTGTGTGTGTGTGTGTGTGTGTGTCTGTGTGTGTGTGTTTGTGTGACTGTGAGTGTGTGTGTGTCTGTGTGTGTCTGTGTGTGTGTGTGTGTGTGTAAGTGTGTGACTGTGTGTGTGAGTGTGTGTGTGTGTGTGTGTGTGAGTGCGCACAGAGACCATCTTTAACTCTTCCTCTGGTGTATGCGTTTCCCTGCGTGTTCTCTGTCCTCGCATGTCCGCATGTTGCACATGTTTTCGCCTGCGTGCAATTCTGGTCTGCGGCCTGCGGCGTCCCGTGCGTGTGTGTGTGTGTGTTTGTCCGTGTGTGTGTACGTGTGTATGTGTTCCAGGAGAGCCAGTGGCTGGACAGTGTATCTCTCCTCATCAAGGATACGTTGGAGGGTGAGATGCTGATGATCGACAACCTCTCCGGTTCGGTCTTCCACCACTACTCCTCTCCTCCACCTGTCTGCAAAGACTGCAGGGGCCACGCACTCGAGGTACCGCCCTGACAACGACGCATGGAAACACACACACAAACACGTGCACACACACACACACACAGTTAAACCACACGTGTGCTGCTCTCAGTCTTAACACCGATCAGCTGACCTCGTTTCATAAACCACTTTCCCAGATATTTGACGTCCTGAGAGGTGCAGCCTGATTAAAGATGGCCGCAGGTGGAAACAAACTCAGACGGTTTGATGCAGATTTGGAACAAGTCCCAGAAAATAGTGAAGGCAGAGACAAACATCTGTCCTCCTCAGCGCAGAGGAGTGGAAATATTCAGGTGACCCAAACACAGAGCAGGGAGCGGTGTGAGTGCGCGGCGCTCAAACCATCGTCCCCATCCGCACGGTTTCTGACGCCGTCTCAGTCAGTTCGTTTCACAGTTTAATCAGACTAAGATCATAATTCAGACTTCTCTCCTCGTCCTCGTTTACATGCAGCTGAGAAAACTGAATTATTGACGTGAACGTGTCCTCCTCCCCAACACTAGGGGGCGATATGGGTCTTTTCAGCGGCGCTGTTTCCGACCCCATCCAACCGTCAACAACAACAGCAGGTCGGTGTCAGACGTCAGAAGTGTCTACAACTGCTGCTGGGCATTTTGGAGAAACAAGAAGATGGAGCATCGTACAGCGTTGTTTTTGTCCGACATGATGGACGCGCTACTTTTTCTAAAGAGGAGACCAACGCTACTCCTCTACTCTGGGGTTTTGTTACGGGGGCGTGGCCTCATACTCCGACTACGCTGGTTACATGGTAGAGAAAATCTAATTCCAATCGAATTATCTGGGCGTCTTAATCAGAGTTTTTTATAGACACCACCTTTAATCGGAATAAGGCGATAATTCGGTTAACTCGAGTGTCATGGAAACGGACTGAGTGAATTACTCTGAACTAACAAACACACACAGATCAATATACACTAACATTCATCTACACAGGTACACACACACACACACCTTTACCTGATGGATGCATGCTGACTCACAGCAGGAACATCTGCATGATTCACAAACACACTGGGCTTCATTCATCCAACAAAGCAGCTGTAACAGGAAGTGATGTCACCCCCAATTTCCACCGTCCATCAATTCCTACCAGATCCGTTTGTGAGGCGAATTTCATGTATTTATATATATTTTGTCTCTCTAAAGACAGAAACATAGACATATCAGCAGTAGATTGTGTCCTTCCAGAGGAGGAAATCTACTTCTAGACTTCTAGAATCAGCATCTCCTCATCCATGGTGTCATCGGGGTGAAATGAGTGTTTTATTTTGAAAAGAAGCCGGATGTTTTATTTTGTGTCTGTGCCCGACTTGTCGGTGGAAAATGACACGTTAACTTAAATGGTTACGATCAGCTACGATCGGAGGATACGACCTTTTAGGAGACGTGGAAATTGGGGGTTAGCGTTCACGCTCTCTGCTGCAGGTGCTGTTGAAGGGTCAGAGGTCAGCCCTGAATTAAACCCATCACCCCTCCTCTGCATGCACTAACTCTCTCACAAACACGCTCCTGTGTTGGATGTATCTGGGGTGTTTTGTTCACTGGAGCTCCTCCTTCTGTGCTCCTCCTTCTGTGCTCCTCCTTCTGTGCTCCTCCTCCTGTTCTCCTCCTTCTGTGCTCCTCCTCCTGTTCTCCTCCTTCTGTGCTCCTCCTGTGCTCCTCCTTCTGCTCTCCTTCTGTGCTCCTCCTTCTGTGCTCCTCCTCCTGTTCTCCTCCTCCTCTGTTGGTGTTGTCCTTCACTGTGATGGAGAGCAGCAGGTCAGCTCAGAAGAAGAAATAAGTGATCTCTACACCGTCCTCACCTGTCAGTCCTCCTCTCTGCTGTCAAACCATCTCCCTCTCTCTCTCTCTCTCTCTCTCTCTCTCTCTCTCTCTCTCTCTCTCTCTCTCTCTCTCTCTCTCTCTCTCTCTCTCTCTCTCTCTCTCCCTCCCTCTCTCTCTCTCTCTCTCTCTCTCTCTCTCTCTCTCTCTCTCTCTCTCTCTCTCTCTCTCTCTCTCTCTCTCTCTCTCTCTCTCTCTCTCTCTCTCTCTCTCTCTCTCTCTCTCTCTCTCTCTCTCTCTCTCTCTCTCTCTCTCTCTCTCTCTCTCTCTCTCTCTCTCTCTCTCTCTCTCTCTCTCTCTCTCTCTCTCTCTCTCTCTCTCTCTCTCTCTCTCTCTCTCTCTCTCTCTCTCTCTCTCTCTCTCTCTCTCTCTCTCTCTCTCTCTCTCTCTCTCTCTCTTTCTCTCTCCCTCTCTCTCTCTTTACTCTCTTCCATCCATCTCTGCCTCTCTGCCGTCTTCTCCGCCCGTCCGCCTCCATCCTCTCAGTTCTCAGACTGTGTGTCGGTGTTTGTTGGAGGGCTGCTGCTCCCCTGCTGAGGGTTATGTGTTCAGTCTTATTGTGTGTTCAGGGACAGAGCGGCTCAGCGGGACACCTGGGTGACAGTAGAAATACTCGTCAAGGCGCCGCCTCATAAAGAGCTGAGAGCGGCCGCAGCGTGAGACCGGAGTCTGCAGGGAACCGTTCAGTGGAGCGGCGAAGGCCTTCGACTTTTATGGAGGAGAGAGAGAGAGAGGGAGAGAGGGAGAGAGGGAGGTGTCCCTGCAGACGACACTACAACAGTGATAGGAGGAGCAGGTTAGAGTTTCAGAGGCAGGTGGAGCAGACAGGGATGGAGCAGCGAGGTCGTTTGGAGGTCGGAGCGCTGAGGTAGTTGGAGTCACAGATGGTTGGTGGAGATGGAGTTTAATTTGAAGGATTTCTGTTTCTCCGTCTGACTCCGCTGATGGAGGAGGACGTCCGCTTGTTTCTGAAGGTGTTGTTTCTGGTCATGTGACCATGGTGGTATCAGTCACGCCTCCTCTGACTGAAACAGTCCTCGCCTCGCCGCGCTCAGTCTGTGGTACTTCCTGCTGCTTCTCGCCTGTTCATCTGCAGTCACCTTGGAAAACAAGTGTAGAAACTTTTCCCATCATCCCTTGGGGCTGAGTTTGGGAAGAGACAGGAGGTGGTGTGAGAGCGTGCTGAGGACTGAAGCTGTTCGCGGAGAGGCGTCAGACTGAGAGGACGAAAAAGGAGACGACTGCAGAGCTGAGCTTCTGAATGAATGAATGAATGTAAACAAAGATGGACGCCGTGTAAAAGTGAAGTGGAGTCAATTTGGGGGCGGGGCTTATTCTGCAGCCCTGTGACTGTCAGTGCAGCCATGTTTGAGGTCAGGAGGATGAGGTTCTGCTTCACGCTTACACCGCGCTGCAGATCCGACGAACACGCTCCTCATCTCCGGCTCCTCCTCTCGCCGCTCTCGCCACGTTTCCTCCGAGCGTCTTTGTTCAAACTCTGTCATTACTGTGAATCTCTCCCTCCCCCCTGACAGGTGGAGTCCAGGTGCACCTGGTGAAGCTTCTCCAAACAAGGCGGAGGTTTTACACCGTACCTGCCAACACTCTTTTCAGACCTGTCACAATCAGAAATACTTTAATAATCCAAAAAGGGAAACTGCTTTAGTCTCAGTCACTCCAGTGGAAATAAAGTAGAAAGAGGAGAAAAATAAAAGATAAAATAAGTCAAAATAAAGAGAAATATTCAGGTATTTACAATAGAAACAACACAAATACTAACATTGCCCAGAGGTGGGGGCTTGACGACTCGACTTGGACTTGAGTCCCGTTTTTGACTTGCTTGATGAAATCAAGAAATGACTTGGACTCGCTTAGGACTTGATTGCTAAAGACTTGAGACTCGACTTGAGCCCAGTGACACAAAAGTCAAGTCAAGTCTTTTCAAGTCACTTAATATTTTACAGCACAAATCGTTTAAAAAGTGTTGCATCAACTAATAGTCAGGAGTTACAGCCGTTGGTAACACCGTGTCGTGTTGCCAAGTCTGCTTGTTTTTGGCTTGTTTCTGGAGGTCTGTTTCCTTTTTTCTCTCACCAAACTTGGCAACACCGTCTCAAACTCTAGTCTCCCTTATAACGACAACACCGGGACGACTGAACATAAATCGCTCGCTGGTATTTCCCGCCTGTTTCCCCGCGTCGCCTCGTGTTGCTCTTTTGTTTTGTTTTGGAACAGTGAATTAGAGAATCAGTTTAATGTGAAATCATATTTAAGTCTTCCTTATTTTTCTGCACATTGTCTAAGTTTCCAATTATTGAAGTTGATCTGATTATTTTTTGTTGACATGTAAAATAGTTTGGTTAAAGCTGCACTATGTAACTTTACACAAACAAGAATCCTTGTTTAATAATAAATGCAAATAGTGAAAAATGCTGATTGATGTAAATCTTTACAGATAACAAACAGTTTATGGCTTTGATATGACCTGTTTTTGACTTTAAAGAAATGGTAAGGACTTGGACTTGAGAGCAAAGACTTGAGACTCGACTTGGACTTGAACATAAGGACTTTCCCCCACCTCTGTCGCCGCCCTCCTCCCGTATTGTCATTTCTCCAGAATCTCCCGTAGTTTCGATGGTCCACGTTCATTCATGAATCCGATCACTGTATTTGTCCAAAGTTTCCTGAAGATCGTCGTGTGTTTCTGCTGAGCCTCACAGACTTTGATACTTTGACTTTACAGTTTGGGATGATTCAGGTCGGTTTAACTTTATTTAAAGAGTGTTTGTTGTAAAATGAAACTGAGCTGAGATCTAATATTTACGTTGATCGTCTTTCACCGTCTTGGAGTGATGCGTTCAGGGCAGCCTCAGAGAAAAGAGTATTTCACACACAGATGTTCAGACAGACTTAAACAGGAGAGAATATAAAACATTAAAATCTCTCTGATTTTATAACCTGAACGTTGGCAGGTATGTTTTTTCCACGCACGTCTGCTCAGCTCTGATTGGCTGATAACAGCGCCCCCGTCAGATCAGTGTCTCCCATCCTCTCAGTGTTTTATCTGTGTACTCTCAGATCTGTAGGTCCATGAAGCTCACGTACTGCTGGACTCTAGACTAGACTCTGATGTTCCCCGGCTGCTCCTGACCCGTCCCCCCTCCTGTGTTTGGACTTTAATAACAGACGTGCGTTTTTGTAGCAGATCAGGATGGCAGAGATCGAGCAGGCGTCACTCAAGTCGGAACAACTGTCGGACAAGTCCTCGTCCCCGGCCCTGCCAGATGACCTCAGTCTGGACGAGCACACGGCCTACCAGCTGCTGGCCCGGGAGTGTAAGGTGAGTCCGAGCAGAGCGGGTCACGTCTTTATGAAAGGTTCACACAGATGTTCTCCTCATGAAGATCAGGACGCTGTCTGGAAATCTATAATGTGGTTTTCCTGTAGATAGAGAAGTCGGTCCTGTTTCCACGACTGTGTGTGTCTGCTTTAGTGAACATCTCAGACTCTTCTGTGTCAGAAATAAACGTGATGATGGTGAATCAGTGACAGCAGTAAGATCTCGGACCAGCAGATACCGAGCTGCTGCTCTTAAAACCATCTGTAGAAGAAGCCCCTCCCTCTAAAACTATCTGTAAATGGAGTTCCTCCTCTAAATCCATCTGTAGATAGAGCTTCTGCTCTGGAATCATCTGTAGACAGAGCTCCTCCTTCTCTAAAACTATCTGTAGATGAAACCCCTCCTCTGAAACCATCTGTAAATGGAGTTCCTCCTCTGAAACCATCTGTAGACCGAGCTCCTCCTCCTTTAAAACCATAGGTAGACAAAGCTCATCCTTCTCTAAAACCGTCTGTAGAAGAAGCCCTTCCTTTTAAACCATCTGTAGACAGAGCTCCTCCCTTAAACCATCTGTAGACGGAGCTCCTCCTCTAAAACCATCTGTAAATGGAGTTCCTCCTCCTCTAAATCCATCTGTGGAAGGACCTCCTTCTCCTCTAAAACCATCTGTAGACGGAGCTCCTCCTCCTCTAAAACCATCTGAAGATAGACTTTCTGTTCTAAAACCATCTGTAGACCGAGCTCCTCCTCCTTTAGAACCATAGGTAGACAGAGCTCCTTCTCCTCTAAAATCATCTGTAGATGAAGCCCCTCCTCTTAAACCTTCTGTAGACAGAGCTCCTCCTCCTTCCTTAAATCCATCTGTCTTCATGAACAGCGTTAAACATCTGTGTTGTTTAAAGGTGATCAGAGCTTCAGTCCAGAGGGTCCTCCATCACTGCATCAGTACACCTCCATAGTCAGACCTCCACCATCACAGTCGACCTCGTTAAAGCTGAGGAGCCCCTCAGAGTTTGGACCGTCCAATTAGAGAGCTCCTTGTTAAAATGGAGAGGAGGAGGAGAAGATGCTCCGACCACTGCAGGAGTCTCTTTTCAACTAAAAGTTCACGCTGCTGAACTTTCCAGTCCCACTAATTTGTAGCCGACATGTTTGGTACGGCTGTTCTTTGTCAGGCTGTTCCCAGGAGGGGGGGGGGGGGGGCACAAACAATGGCTCTCTGATGGTTTTTATTCTTTCCAGGAAGCACAAAACAAACGAGCTCATAAAACCCGGGGAGTCATGGCTCCTCTCTCCCTCTCTCCTCTCGGAGAATCAGGAGTCACTATCAGGCCTTTGAGGAATCCAGCGCAGACCCTCTCCTGAATAAACCCGTCCCTGCTCCCGCTCTCCCCTCTCTGTTCTTCGTCTTTATCTCTCCTGGCTCTCCTTTCTCTCAGACACTCCTCTGGTAATTGCACACATCCTCTGCACCTCCCTCCAGCCCCTCTATCTCCACTCCTTATCATCTGTCCCCCCCTCGATATCCTCCTCAGTAATGGGGGAACGCTCCTCGGTTCTGGATCGACAGATAAGCCAGAAACCAGCGAGCGGGTCTGTGGAGCCCAGCTCATTAGAGGAGGGGGGACAGAGGGGGTCCAAGGTGAGGGGTATTATTGTTCATTGTTTGGAGAGGTGTGTGTGTGTGTGTGTGTGTGTGTGTGTGTGTGTGTGTGTGTGTGTGTGTGTGTGTGTGTGTGTGGACGTGGGTGGCTGCCTGTTTAAAGAGGGCTCGGACTGAATGACTCAGAGGAATAATACACTAATGGAATCACAAAGGCTCACACGTGCACGCTCACGCACACACTCATAGATGATTGTCCCTGCAGGATGGTCATTAAAACGGCGAGGTAAGAGCATTCAGAGCGTCCAGCTGCCGCTCCGTCTCACACTCTCTCTCGTTTATCACTCTATGGTCATTATCTCAATGTGTAACATTAAAGGGATATTCCGCCATGAAATTAATTGAGGGTCAAACGCACCGGAACACCGAGTTAGACCCCCCCTCTAGAGATGGATGTTGCCGACCGCTTCTGTAGTTAAACCAACTTTAGTAACGACTGCAGGATAGTGATACAGAGAGCCACACACTCAAACAAAACGCCACTCTATAGCCACAAATAATGCTCAGAACAGCACCTAACTTCATCAACAGGACATATAGGGTCCTGTTGATGGACCCTATATGAGTATTATATTCAGAGTTGTTCTAACTCCTAAGAAAACATAAACTTGAGCGGGGGCGTTTCTCCACTTCTGTAAGCTGGGCCAATAAACTTCTACTGTAGTAAAATAAAAAGGTAAAGGTGTTTTTATTGAGCCAAATTATAAATAAAATTATGATTTTGTTAACAGGTATGGATTTATGTGCTGTTGAGTTAATATATTTAAACAAGAGCACGGTAAAGTTAAATCAGCTAATTTTCCAACGAGGTTCTGTTACTAAATGGAACTACACCATGTTCTACTGAGGTTAGTACATATAGGGTCACAGACATAGTACTAGACACCAAACATCTTTTTAACTTTGACTCATTTCTTTAGCAAAGAGACTAAACACAACTCACCTACTCTCTTCCAGCAGACGCTTGTTTGTAGCGAGACCTCAGACCAGTCCATTACGGACTACAGCGGGGTGCCGCAGCTCAAGGAAGAACATTTATGATCATTTCTTCATGGAAATACAATCAGACCGAGACGCTAAGACAGAAGAACTACCGCGTCTGTAAAATGATTAATATGGTGATTATTACTTCAAGGAAATGATAAAGAAATGATCATAAATGTTCTTCCTTGAGCTGCGGCACCCCGCTGTAGTCCGTAATGGACTGGTCTGAGGTCTCACTACAAACAAGCGGCTGCTGGAAGAGAGTAGGTGAGTTGTAGGTTTAGTCTCTTTGCTAAAGAAATGAGTCAAAGTTAAAAAGATGTTTGGTGTCTAGTACTATGTCTGTGACCCTATATGTACTAACCTCAGTAGAACATGGTGTAGTTCAGTTTAGTAACAGAACCTCATTGGAAAATTAGCTGATTTAACTTTACCGTGCTCTTGTTTAAATATATTAACTCGACAGCATATAAATCTATACCTGTTAACAAAATCTTTATTTTATTGATAATTCGGCTCAATAAAAACACCTTTACCTTTTCATTTTACTACAGTAGAAGTTTATTGGCCCAGCTTATAGACTACAGAAGTGGAGAAACGCCCCGCTTAAGTTTATGTTTTCGTAGGATCAATAGATTTTATGCGGGAATATCCCTTTAACAATAAAAGGCTCTGCTGGATCTTCATCAGCTTTCAAAAGCAGAGAGCTGATGTGGATCTGAGACCATGTTGGACTCTTGCACGCTCCCAGAGGCCTGGAGTTTTTTCTTTCTCCTGCTCCGTCCAGGAATCGTCTTAAATACGAAGCTAATCCTCCTAAAGTCAAATTCTCCCACTGCAGGAGGAATAGGAGGTTAAAGCTGCAGAGCTACGTCCGTGATTATAAGCCTAACAGCGCCTCATTTACATCCCATAATTCCTCTGTTTTAAACCCCTTTGTGTTGGAGTCCAAACTCGCTCTTCATGAATCAGCTCCAGAGGTTTAGTCTAAGTCTGTCTGTAATGTCAGATCATCTCCTCTCTCTCAGGGGAGGTGCAGCAGTGACTCCCGCAGCTCCGAGGAGGCTGGAGGAGGTGGAGGAGGAGGAGGTGGAGGGGGTCACTCTCAGACGGTGGTGCAGAGTCAGGTGCAGGGACTGGGACGCCCCTGCATGGCCCTCAACGCAGGGACAGAGGAGGAGGCGTCACTGCAGATGATGGAGATGCAAATCCACCAACCACATCCGTGCTCACCTCGCTGCAGCCCAGGTGAGGAACACGAGGAGAACCACGCTGACATGAGTGTATGTCCTCCTCATGGAGGCGTCTCCATCAGCAGGAGAATCAAAGATGGAGAAGGAGCTGACACTGACATTTCTCCTCCTCTTCCATCTGCCTGCAGAGTTCTTCCACCCTGCAGCTGCAGCCATCCCTGCGCCTCCTCGCAGCAGGAGCCTCCGGCTGACACGGGGCCTCCGGCTGACCTCCCCCGCCTCCTGGGCTTCACTTCGCTCACCAGGGAGCCACAGCAAGATGCTCTGCACACAGGTGAGGCGAGGGGAGGAGTTATGTTCATGAGCGCAGACAGAGGAGGGTTTAGGGGAGGAGTTATGTTCATGAGTGCAGACAGAGGAGGGTTTAGGGGAGGAGTTATGTTCATGAGCGCAGACAGAGGAGGGTTTAGGGGAGGAGTTATGTTCATGAGTGCAGACAGAGGAGGGTTTAGGGGAGGAGTTATGTTCATGAGCGCAGATGATGTTGTCAGGTGAATGTGAAAACGAGCTGTACTTATGTGCTCCTCACTCCTGCTCTCTCCTCCCTCTCCTCCCCAGTACCCCTCCCACAGTGACTCCTCCCTCGCCACAGGCAGCTCGGAGGGCAGCCTACAGACCACCCTGGAGGAGGGGCTTAGCTTCAGCGTCTCTCCGCCTCAGAACTTGGCGTTACCGTTGCCCACCGCTCAGCTGCCGCTCCCGCTTCCCAAAGACCGAACGGACATTTGCTCCCCGGTCCAGACCCTGAGACCCAGGCCCACCCCGTCCTCAGCCCTCACCCTCCAGGCCACCAGGGGGCACCAGCGGAGCCAGAGCAGCGGGAGGGGCAGCACCAGCCCAGGCTACACCCGGGACGATTCCATCGACCCCTCAGACGAGGACCTGGGCATCGTCATCGGCTCGTCTATCGGGGGGTGTGGTTCTAGCCAGGCGGGGAACAGCGAGCACTCGGAGACGCTGAGCAGCCTATCGCTGACCTCGCTGCTGTCCCCCTCCTCCGTGGTGTACCCGGGGGGCGCCGTGAAGAAGTGCAACAGCACCGGCAGTCTGGACCAGGGGGGGCTGCTGCTGTCGTCCCGCTGCAGGGAGGGCCGCAGGGAGATCCTGGGCCTGGAGCTCATGGACCCTCAAGGCTTCTTGGCCAACCCCTGGACCGGAGTGTTAGCGGACACGCGGCGAGGGGAGGGGAAGGGCGAGGGCGAGCAGGGTCTGAAAGGGAAGAGCTCGAGCCAAACAACGGTGGGGGCGTGTCGGAAGAACAGATGAAACCTGCTGCTCGCCGTTTCTTTGTCTCTCCATCCTCGGATCTGAACCCATTGTTGTCCCGCTCACTCTCTCTGCTCCCATCCTGAGGGACGGGTCTGATGATCCAGAACCAGACCCTCACCTCGCCCTTAACCCCGTCTTCACATTTGTGACAAGCCCATGTCCAATTTTGCTCCACCTGGAGGAGCGGTTTTGGTTTTTTCCTGCAGGATCGAGGCGGTCTGCAGGGCTGGAGCCTTAGAGCGGGCCCCTGCGGCCCCTGGAGGATCAGCTGGTTTTAAAGAGGTGATGGGGGGGGGGGGGCGGCGTTTAAATCAGGGAGTCAACTGGAGCAGAGACAAAAGAGCTTGACCTGAAAAACACAAGAAAGACTCGGCTCAGCGGTGGTGTTGGCGCCGCGTTGAAGAGCAAAAATAGAAGTTCCAAACTGAAATAGCTGAAGAGGAGCGCTTGATGTGTTTTTCACTGGGAGGCAGAGAGGAGAGCAGGTGGGAGGAGGCGCAGAGATGGCAGGACATACCGAGGCGGAAGGAAGGAAGGAAGGAAGGCTGGGGGAGGAGAGAGAGAGAGAGAGAGAGAGAGAGAGAGCAGGTGATTTGTTTGGCCGGGCGAGCGGAGAGCGGATCTAATGTCCATCTGCTCTGGCAGGCGGAAACAACAGGTCCCCCTCACACCAGAACTGGACCTTCTGCTGAGCTCAGAGAGAACGGCGAGGTGGACGAGAGTTCAGGAGTGTGTGTGTGTGTGTGTGTGTGTGTGTGAGTGTGTGTGGGTGTGTAAGGCCTCCGCCTCAGGTACCAGGGCATGAATTAAACCACCGTCATCACTTCAGTCAGAGCGGACTCAGACGGACGAGCATGGAGTCGTCTGTGAAACTGTTTTTTTTAATTATTCCTGTTTGTGAAATAAAGACGTGAAGGTGTGTGTGATGAGGGTGTGTGTGATGAGACCTGATCCACACACACCTGAGGAGGTGAGAGCTGTAGCACTCTCCCTCTCTCTCTCTCTCTCTGAGCGGACGAACACGCGGCGGTGGCGCTGCGTTGGACCTGACTGCATGCCTAACCCCAGTTTTTGTATCTCCACACAGTTTGTGTCTGATGATGATGATGATGATGATGATGTCAGTGTTGATTTCTACTCCAGTATTTTTGTAGAAGAAGAAGGACAGGTGGAGGTGTGGTCGAAGCGTTCACACTCTCGGACCTTTTTGTCTGCTTCCAGTTTTCTAACGTTTTTTAAAGGTGTGGACCGTGAACACAAACTAAGAAGCAAAAAATTTCACACTGGGAACACTGGTTCCTGTTTGAGTTTCTTTTTGAACACGATGGCGTCCCAGAGGATGACCAGAGACGGGAGCAGCCATATTCACTCAGCACACACACGGGGACGGTTCGAGCTCACAGACCTTTGTTCGTTTTAGTCTCCTGACGTAGAGCTTTAATCGGAGAGTCACACCGTCACAGATCGGCTGTGAACACATGAGTGTTCCTGCAGCAGAGGTCTGAGATCGCAATACAGTCTGTTCATTTGAGATGATGCACTGATCTTCTTCCCCGAGCACACACACGTTTCCACCAAGCGGTCCGGTTCTGTAAACCCAAAAACTCAAACTGGAGCTGCACCAAGATTCTCGGTTACACAGATTCAGACGGCTCGCTGTAACCACCCACATTTGGAAAACGCATCATTGATCCAGCAGCCATGAGAAAAACAGTCCTGAGGTTCTGAGGTTCTGAGGACATCTGCAGAGGGACGGGGGAGAGGAGGTGAAGATCCACAACCACGGGATCAGGACTGTAGTCTTAATATCCATTGTGACCCAAAGAGAGGGCAGTAATGGTTCTGTATCAACTAGATCCATTTCACAAACAGGATGAATCTCCTTTGGTTTTTCAAAGTAGAAGCCCAATCTGGATTCCTCTGTTTCCTCTCAGAACTTTTATTTTGAAGTTTTTCCAGGACAGGTGTTTGATAAAAGGGGAAACTTCTGCTGAGATAATAATAATAATAATAATAATAATAATAATAATAATAATAATAATAATAATAATAATAATTATTATTATTATTATTATTATTATTATTATTATTATTATTATTATTATTATTATTATTATTATTATTATTAATAATAATAATGATAATGATGATGTTATTATTATTATTATTGATTTATTCTTTTATTTATTATTTTTAATTGTAATATTATTTGTTTTATAATAATAATAATAATAATAATAATAATTATAATTATTATTATTTATTCGTTTGTTTATTATTTTTATAATTATATCATTAATATAAACTATTTTATAATAATAATTATGATCATTCTGATTATTATTATTATTTTTTTATAGTTATTATTATTAATATTGTTTTTTTCGTTTATTTATTATTTTTTAATTTTAATATTAGTTTTATAATAATAATAATAATTATTATTATTATATTATTATCTATTCGTTTGTTTATTATTTTTATAATAATATATTATTAATATATTTTTATAACGATAATTATAATTATTATTATTATCATCATCATCATTTTTATTATTAATATTATTATTATTGTTCATAATCATTATTCATAATCATTTTTTTATAATTATAATTATTATAAATCATTATTATTAATATTTTCATTTTTGGTTAGACTGAACTCTGACTGTAAAGATCAATACATTCAGATTCTCAGATTCTCAGATTCTCAGTTACAGGTCTGATCAGAACCAGAACTGAATGGACTTTCTGATATAAAAATAAGAGAAACCTCATTTGGTTAGAACGTGTGATCTTCATCCTCCTCTTCATCCTCCTCTTCATCCTCCTCTCTATTAGTCTCATATTTTCTCAGTGTCTCAGCAGCTGCACATTAAAAATGAGAATAACGGTGAACTGAAGATGACGGCTTGGTGGAAACACAGATCCACTGTTAGTGTAGCATCCCTACTCCTCCTCCTTCATCCCTCCTCTTCCTCCTCCTCTTCTTCTTCCTCCTCCTCCTCTTCCTCCCTTATCCTCACAAAGACGGAGGTGACGAGAGAAGATTTTAGAGTCTGACCTTTTTATCATGCAAACCACTTTGAAGACTATCTAAAGGTTTTAATGGGTGATGGTTCGAATGTGTGTGTGTGTGTGTGTGCATGTGTGTGTGTTTATTACTTCAGGTGTCCTGTTTGTTAGTGAGGTCACCTGAGGTCAACGGTCGTAGAGAGAAAACATAAGGGCTGTTTTAGCTTCAGAGACCTGGTGTCCTGGTGTCGGTGAATACGGCTTCAGAGGTGAAAGCCTGATACGCAGCAATAACTGTACTGTGTGTGTGTGTGTGTGTGTGCGTGTGTGTGTGCTCTGAGTCAATGATGTCAATGTGATGATTTTTATCTCCTCCAACTCTCCATGACTGTCTGCTTTTTTCCTCTGCCCTCTCATCATCAGCAGCAGCAGCAGCAGAAAGACGGGCTGTTTCTGAGCGACATGAACTCATGAGGTTATTGAACTCAGGTCGGGAGGTAAAAACCACTACAGACTTTAAGGAGAGGAGCTGCTGTAAAGTTGTGCTCAGACTGAACCAGGGTGGATCTCCGGCCGGCTTTACTCGCACAAATGAGACCGCTGCAGAGCTCAGGCTGCAGACGTTAGCTGTAACTACCTACCATACGCACCTCACCTGTGTGTGTGTGTGTGTGTGTGTGTGTGTGTGTGTGTGTCAGCGGAGTGTGCCTTTGTACAGAGTGTGTGTGCTGTGATTTTGGCTCAGACTGACCTTAACAGGAGTCTGCCTTGTGCTCCTCCTGCTCCTCCTCCTCCTCCTCCCCCTCCTCTCCATTGTTTTCTCTCCATGACTTGATGGAGAGAGGTCCAGTAGCTCGGGATAAGCACACAGTTCCAACAGCTTCAGCTCATGCTGCCTTCAACAACCCTGAATCTGTATGCAACCAAACGCTCCTCCGTCAGTTCAGTCTGAACACAACTTCAGAGTGTTCGACCCACATCTGTACATATCTTTGTATTTTGATCTGCATGTCTGCATTGCTGCCAGTGACCATGATGATGATATCATTAGTATGCATTTCATAAAACTGTACAAAGCTGAAGGAAATGCCCCACTGTTTTTGGACTGCTGCTATGGAACCACTAAAGAATAAGACAGAGCAAGTCAATATCTGTTTTTCTTCCAACGGTGTTCACATGTTAGTAAAAACCATGACAATACACTTGGTTTGGTAAAAGCTGCTGGTCAGTCTGTGTTTATAACTCTGTCAGAGTCACTACATTCATGAGGGTGAGGAGCTGTGGAAACATCACGAACGATCAATAATTAATGGTCAATAATTAAAGAGACGACAAATCAGTGAAGAGACTCAACAAACAATTTCTTTAGAGAAAAAAATCTGAAGAAGAAACTTGTTTTTGAAAAGTTCGGATAGAGGAATTTATTTTTTAACCCTGTTATTATTATTATTATTATTATTATTATTATTATTGTCAAAATTATAATTATTTATTTGTTTGTTTATTTTATCATTATAATAATTATTAAAATTATAATTATTTATTTGTTTGTGTATTTTATAATTATAACAGTTATTATTTGGTTTTATAGTAATAGTAATTATTATTAATTCTTTTTATAATAATATCAATAATAATAATACTTATTATTATTATTTCTTCTTTTATTTTTATTATTATTATTAAAATTATAATTATTAATTTGTTTGTTTATTTTATTGTAATAGTTATTATTTATTTTTATAGTAATAGTAATTATTATAATTTCTTTTTATAATAATAATAGTAATAATAATATAATAATAATAATAATGATAATAACTTATTATTATTATTATTTCTTTTAATTATTGTTTTTATTATTAAAATTATAATTATTTATTTGTTTGTTTATTTATTATTTTATTATTTTCACTTTTATTATTATTTATTTTTATTATTATAAAATAATAATTATTAATATGTTTGTGTAATAATAATAATAATAATAATAATAATAATAATAATAATAATAATAATAATGCTCTTCTTATTATTATCTTAAACCATCCAAACCTGTTCATCTGTATTTCACACAGAGTTCTGAACTTTTTGAACCTGAGGTTTTATGGCGGAGACGTAAAGAGCTTGAGTCTGAATTTCTAAAGTATCTCAGAGACACCGTGACAGGACGGGGACACAGAGGTAGGACGTGTCTTGGTGGACATCTGGACGGAGTGAAGCTCACAAACAGAGAGACTCAGAGGTGGTGCAGATGCTGCAGGAGCAGGAGACAGCTTCTCCAGACAGCTTGTCATCGACGTCTTCGCCCAGCGGAGCTGCCGGTGCGAGAGAGCACATTAGGCATGCAGGCTGAACTGTGAGGTGTTGTTTACCTCACACCCCAGCAGCCGGCCCTCCACCTCATCTAACCTCCACAAAGCAGCTCTCCCTGCAGGCCCCTGTCCTTCAAATGTCACTGCAGCGGGGGGAGGAGTGCGGGGAGCGCTGAGTTGGTCTTTCCGAGTGTTTGTGTGGTGAATACGTCGCAGCTTCAGCCTCTGCGGCTCCTTCAAACTGTGTCCTGCCACCTGAAAATGTCGGACACTGACTCTGGTTCAGCTGGAGAGAGTCAAACACCTCTGCAACATCACATCCAAAGGTCACTTTCCAAGAAGCCTCCAGAGCTTTCTGTGCTGACTTGATAGATTTTCCTCCCGTGGCGGCGCACAAACAGCCCAGAGAGATGGAGGTCCCTCCGGCACAGAAGAGTATTTCCACCTCAGCTGTGAACCCGCAGGTTTCTGTCAGAGCTGCAGGCAGAGCTCATTTCATTTGTTTGGAACGAGAAACAAACGCTGCAGATGCATCAATCAGGATTTTCTGAGGCTCACGTGGATTAAAGAAGAAGATGCAGAAGAAGAGATCCTCCTCCTCCTTCAGTCTGACAAACTGTCCTCACAGACGGGTCTCACTGCACCGAGTGTGTGGAACCGAGTGTGTGGTTCTGAGCAAGGATCCCACCTGTCCTCCTCCTCCTCCTCCTCCTCCTCCTCCTCCTCCTCCTCCTCTGATCCCACTCTGGTTCTGCAGAGATCGGCTCAGATTAACTCTCACCTCCACAGCAGATCCTAAATTTATCGATGCTCTACAGAGAACTTTCTCAGGTCACCAGATCCTGCAGCTCTGCTGAGTTTGTTCCTCCTCAGTCTCGTTCTGCAGAACAAAGTTCATCTGTTTTTGTCTGGAGCTACAAAGACAGCGTGGTGTTTCTTTCTTTGAGCCGCAGTCGGACCTTTAATCACAGGAACCTTATCAAACCTCTTTATTGTTTTAGTATTAGCTTCATTTAGGACCGCCCTCTTTTTCCTGTGAAACTGCAGACTTGGAGCTGATGTGAGGGTCCACGTCAGAGGTGCAGGTGGATTTAGTCTGAGCGTCCTCTTCCTTCCCGGGTCTCGGTGTTAAGAGCTTTTGGCTGTCGTCTCTGATGCGTGCTGTGCTGAGAGTGAGGAGAGGATGCACAACATCAGCCCAACTCAGAAACACTCTCACACTCTCATTACACACCGCACAAGGTCGCAGGAAGGGCGGGCTGAGAGGACGGCCCTCATGAATTTCAAAGGCTGCAGAGACGGCTGAATTTACTGCATGAGGAATCACATCAGCTCCTCCTCGTGTGTCTGAGATCTGCAGTTTGGATGATTCCTGCTCTGAAACGGTCGAACGCTAACATCCATCCTCTCGGCCTTCTGTCGTTAGTTTGTCGGTTTATAGAGGAGGAGTCGTTAATCCTTATTGGACTGATTTTATAACCAGTAAAAACTCCTTACTGCAGCTTTAAGACGTCTCTGTTGTTCTCACCGCTGCTGCTCCACGCCCGCCGTCTCCGCAGGGATTAAATAAAGCTGCTTCAATTTGAATTGTCAGTAAAATTAGAGTAAAAAAGCCGTTATCAACTCTGAACCACCATTACAGCAAGAACTGGATTAAAGCTCCTTTTGTATTTAATGAAATCACAGCAGAGCGGATTCAGAGGGAGGCGGACGTTCCTGTAAAACTTGATGAACTTCCTCCTCATTACATTAAACTGAAGAAGAAAGACTTCCTGAACTCACGGAGACTTCATCCAGACGCTCCCTCCATCATCATCATCATTAATTTACCCTCTCAGCTCCGAAACGCTCCTTCAACAAACCTCCACCCACGGAGTCTTCTCTGAACCAGAACCCCGTCAGACCCGTTTCCAATATTCGATCAGAAACGGTCATTAATCAGATTAACCAGTGAAGCACAGAGGGACCCTCATTGGTCAGCACAGCTGTCAATCATAGTTATGTCACTTCTATGTCAGACTCTGAGTCTGAAATTCATCTGGAACAAAGTCGGATTTACAATTTAGGAAAGTCAGACGATCCTCGCCGACCCCGACTTGACGACGACCTCATAATCCAAGATGGCAGCGCAGAGCATCAGCAGTAAAGAGTAACAGTAAAAGCTCTCTTCATGTTTTATTTATCAGCACTTCAGTTTTAAGTGAAATTAGATAAGTGGTTCATGTTGTTCTGCTCAGTGTCTGACTGTGAACACGGTGCGATGATGTTGGTAGAGTAAAATACTGTGTCGTGCGTTTATTCACAACTGGTATCGCTAACAACAGCTGACAACGGCCAACGACAGCTGACAAATGTAAACAACAGCTGATAACGAGTAACTGCAGGCGTCCACCTCGGCTTTCCGACTTGTTTACGTCATTCCCAGCTCTGACATCCGACCTCCGAGGAAACTGGAACGCATCATAAAAACTAAACTAGTCATTAACAAACAGTGTCACATGACTCATCCACAGAGGAGGCGGGGTTTATGACAGTGCTGCAGACAGCCAGCAGGGGGAGCTCTGAATGTTCTGACTTCACAGCTGTTGTCAGACGATCTTCACCGCTCAAACTAACAGACTCTCACTTTGACCTCAGAGTCGGTTAGTTTGTGTGGAAACGACTCAAAATACTGAAGAAATTAAGGAGCTGAACGGACCTTCAGTGACGAACCTCAGAGCGCTATGAAAAAAGGTTACTATGAGAAGGTTACTATGAGAAATTTACTGTAAGAATGTTACTATGAAAAGTAACAAAAAGAAGGTAATTATGAGAAGGTAGATATGAAAATATTACTATGAGAAGGTTACGATGAGAAATTTACTGTAAGAATGTTACTATGATAAGTAACAATAAGTGGGTAAATATGAGAAGGTAGATATGAGAATGTTAATATGAGAAAGTAACTATGAGAAGTTTACTATAAGAATTTCACCATGAGAATGTAACTATGAGAAGATATTAATGAGAATGTTAATATCTCATGTAAATATGAGAAGGTAGATATGAGAATGTTACTATGGGAAGAAACTATAAGTGGGTAACTATTACAAGGTAAATATGAGAAGGCAACTACAAGAAGGTAGATATGAGAATGATAGTATGAGAAGGAAATTGTGAGGGGGTAACTATGAGAAAGTTACTATGAAAAGGTTATATAAGTGGGTAAATATGAGAAGGTAGATATGAGGGTTACTATAAGAAGATAACTGTGAGAAGATAACTATGAAAATATTACTATAAGTAGGTTACTATGAGAATGTCACCATGAGAAGGTAACTATGAGAAGATATTAATGAGAATTTTGCCATGAGAATGTTACTATGAGAAGGTTGCTGTAAGCAGATAACTGTGAGAAGATAACCATGAGAAGGTTACTGTAAGTAGGTAACTACTATGAATGTTACTATGAGAAAGTTACTATAAGAAGGTTACTATGAGAATGTCACCATGACAAGATATCAATGAGAATGTCACTATTAGAAGATGTTAATGAGAATTTTGCCATGAGAATGTTACTATGAGAAGGTTCCTATAAGCAGATAACCATGAGAATATAACCATGAGAAGACATTAATGAGAAGGTAACTCGGGGTGATAAAAAGAGAGAGTTGTTGGAGAGGCTGTCTCTGTAAATAGACTGAAACCGTTTCCACCGTCCCGCAGGTTCATGTGAGGAGAGCCCCCCCTCTCTGTCTGGTCTGGACCATCTCATATTTATCACTGTAATTAGGCGCTCTGCTGAGCGTGTAGACACACTGGGCCAGCAGCAGCTCTCCTCCACTGGAGAGCCTGTCTGCCCTGTTTACCTAACAGCCTGCTGTGAGACAGAGATAGAGACAGGAGTAAGAGCAGGACGCGCCGTCTTTGTGGAAAACCCGGTTTAGATCATGGAGAGCTGAGGCCTTTTTGTTCAGACCTGGATGAGGAAGCCAGCAGGACTTCATCTGCAGAAAACGCTGCCTTCTGTGTCATACAGGGACGATATCACTGACAGACAGAGCCAGCACAGAGAGACAGAGAGGACAGAGACAGAGAGAGGGGACAAAGAGGAGCAGAGAGGCAGGAAGAAGAAGAAGAGGAAGAAGAATGAGGTCGAAGAAAAAGTGCCAGAAACATTTCTAAAGCTCCGTGGAGACGGGAGGAGAAAGAAGGTGTCGAATTTCTTCACAGGTGAAGAAAAAAGCTTCGAGCGTCTGCAGCGAGTCCACAGGAGGTCAGGGAAGGAAACTGAAACTTCATGGACAGGATGTTACCAAACGCCCGTCTTATATCCACAGGAACACTGAAAACTGAAGACACAGAGAACAGACCCTCTCTTCTACCACACAGCTGAGTCTCAGACTTCATCCTAATCTCCGAAGTCCGTTTGACCCGAGACACAGACAGGACGCCGTATCTTCACCTGCAGATAACGAACTAAAGAGGTCAGTCAGGGCGAGCTCAGGAGGGTCAGAGGAGCGAGTCGAGACCCTCCGAGCGTCCAGACAAACTGAAGCTCTTTTTTATTTTCCTCACGCAGAAAAACCTGAAATCAGAACACACCGACTCTCAGGAGCAGAACCACAAAGACCGTCACAGCAGTGATTGTAAAATCTATACACCATCATGATGTTTTCACCATCAGAGGACGGGTCAGCACCGTTCTTGGCACCTGGGCGTATCGGACTGACCCCCTATTAGAGAGCTGAACTCAACAAAAACAACTTCCATCTCTGCTGTTCGGCTCAGAGCCTGAAGACACGTTTCTCTGAGCTGATCTGGTCTGTCAAAGGTACCATGTGGACTCTCTGATCCGGTTCAGACTCGTTGAAAGACCCTGTAAATAAAACTGAGCCTGAAATGAAGCGTAAAGTCCTCGAACAGAGTACACTCAGTACGTTTCCATGACACCCGAGAAAACTGATTCCGATTCCGATTCCGATCGCCTTACTCCGATTAAGACACCCAGATAATGTGATTGGATTTCGATTTTCTCTACCATGTAACCAGCGTAGTCGGAGTATGATTGGACAATGCGTGTGTGCGTGTGCCACGCCCCCATAACCCCGGAACAAAAACACCAGAGAGGAAGAAGTGGCGCTCTCATTTAAAGAACTTTCGACTCAAAGGCAACTGGAACATCGCTGAAGCGCCAAAGAACGTTTACTTCTGGAACGACGAGGAGAGTGTTGTTACGCTTTCCATCCTGACAGAAATGGACATTTTAAAGTATGTGGATGGACACAAAACGAGGAACAGAGACATCTTTAAAAAGGTTTCTCAGCTGCATGTTTACCAGGACAAGGAGAGAAGTCTGATTCGGCGAAAAAAAAACAAATAATGAGCTTAGTCCGATTAAACTGTTCACATAAACACAGTGAGTGTGAGCTGGACTCTGGTACAAAGTGACACCCCAGAACAGTTTTAAATATCTGTGATAAAGACGGACTGACGGAGCGAGGAGGACGGCGCCGTCTCATCTCAGGACAGAGTTCAGGTGTTCTCACCTGTCCAACACAGTCAGTCATGAAGAGTCTGCAGAGACAGAAATGACCATCATGCACATGTATGTGGCTCTTTGTGCAGTTTCAACCATCCCCCAGTGGACACTCATGGAACTGCAGTTTGTTTCATTTCTCGAGCGCAGACTCCTGACAGGATAACAAGCCGGCCTGTGATTTTAATGAGTCTGTGATCACACACACACTCTTCACTCACACACTCCTGACTGTCAGAGGAGAACACAAACACGACAACATCATCATTTAAAACCCAATAAGAAGGTTGGAGATGTTTCTTTCTTCTGTTAGGGATGAACCAAAACTCCGTCTCCAGGAGTCATCCCTCCATCAGGTGTCAGCGTCGCTCCTCTCTAAGTGTCCGTCTGGAGTCTGGAGCTTCTTCCTCTGTGGTGAACGGGCCGAGGGATTCTGGTCGTACAGCCTGATGGTCTCAGAGGACGCTGTGGACTCATGTTCTGGTTTTATTAGTTTAACAGGAGCAGAGTGACCCTCCTGCTCTCCTGAGGGAGCAGATCTGATGTTCCTCCTCCTGCACAGATGGTACATAGTCAGCGAAAAATCACTAATGTAAATTACGGATTGTGTGTGTGTGTGTGTGTGTGTGTGTGTGTTCAGGCTCCGGTTACTCTGAAGTACCTGCGCCCTGCAGCACTCCACACCCAGATGTTGTGAAGAGTCATCTAGACACTGATGATCCTGCAGTGAAGACATCAGGGAGGAGTGTGTGTGTGTGTGTGTGTGTGTGTGTGTGTGTGTGTGTGTGTGTGTGTGTGTGTGTGTGTGTTTGCGTGTGTGTTTGCAGACACACACCTTCACTCTGAGTCTCCAGGGGGAATCTGCTGTACCTCAAACCACCACCAGAGGCTGAATCTAAAGTGAGTCAAGCCTGGTGGACTCACACTAAAGCCCCTGAAGTCCTGCAGATCTACAGTCTGAACCTCCCTCTGCCGTCCTCTCCATGTCTCTGATGACTGAGACACAGACGAGGACATTTCAGGTTTCTGTCATGAGGTCATGTCCCTTTTGGACATTAATGGTTCAGATATTTAACTCCAAACATTCGAGGGTTCCTCAGTGTTCGTACAGAAATCTGTGAGTGGATCTGCAGAGGAAAAACCTGCTCCGGGTTTTGAGGTTAGAATCCGGTGTTTCAGTCTGCTGGATTTTCCATCTCAGTCCACATCAGTGCAGATGTCAGTACTCATCGACTTCATCTTCAAAAACACAAAATATCGGCCCACAGAGGACTGAGCCCAGGACTCCAGAGCACACAAAGACCCTCTATAATCCCCCTTATTACTGTCTCTGTGTTCATGCTGACAAAACAAGTCAACGTGTGTGAAGACGTCTCACCCACGTTCACGCTTATAAAAAACAGAAGGTCCACAGGAATGATCATTTTGACAAACTTCACTGGTCTCAGATCTGGGTTACAGCTTCATCATCCCACAAGTCTAACAAAGATCAGTCTGAGGCTGTTCAAGTATATTTACTCGTCCACGTTTCCAAACATTCTGCTTGGATCTTGTTGACCTGAAGGAGAGTCCATGTAGGTTAATAACAAATCACAACATATTTTAGGAGCCTGAGTGATGTTGAACACGGGTACAAGGTCCTTGTTGAGGATAGTTGTCGGAGGCCCATGTCTCCAGAAATCTATCACTATAGAATTTGAGGTATTTGAGTGTCAGAGCTCCACCACCTAAAGGCTGACATGATCGACCTAACAAGGGGCTTCCTTAAAAAAGGGAAACGAACCTCAGTCTGAGAGTAGCCCTGCTATAAATAAAGACAGTATTATTCCACTTCATTTAAAATAATCATATACCAACACATTTTATAACTATTGATATAAAGATTTACTGTTTGAATAGACGTCACAATAAAAAACAAACATCTCTTTGGTCGGTGAAGAAGCCTGAGAGCTTCTCTGATCTCTCACCACGGTCCAGTTTGACGTCCTCAGCACAGATTTTTGTCTTTTGTCGGTTAAATTTGACGAACTAATCGTCTCTTTTCGTCACCGGCGGATGTTTAGTTTTGTTCCTGGTCGAAGCGGTAGTTAAGTTTAGAGTCTGAATTTATTATTTCACCTTTTTAATGAGTGTTTAGAGACTGAAGTCACAATTAAAAGTGAAGATCTGAGACACTTAAATCATTTACTTAAAAGCTTTTAGGTTTCATTAGTCAGCAGTGAATTTAAAATAGTTCAGATTGAAACGTTTTCTAGTTGAAATTATCTTGAAATGTTGATGTTCAAGTGTTAAGCTGTAACTACAAACTCTGTCCTGATACATCTGCAGTATAAAAACACAACAGCAGCTGAGTGTTACATTAAAAAAACACTACAGCTGCTGAAAACATCAACAACACCATCAGGAACCCTGAAGACCCTGAAGACCCTGAACTAACATCACAACTCATCCACGCCGTCCTCTGCAGGTCTTACGAAGCGCCGAGTCTCCAGTCCTCCTGCAGACACCTGAGGATCAAACACGAGGAATAGAAGACCAGGATCTGGAGTTCAGGACCCAGTTAGATAAAGCAATGGGCATAATACAGAAAAGGCGCCCCCTGGTGGTTTAAACAAGTACCAGGTCTGATGTTTTTGTAGATTTTTCTGAGCAAAGACGCTCATTAAAAGTTACAAATAAAACTCATTTAATAAAAGCCGATGAAGGATGGTTAAAAATAGTATTTTTCTCTGTTGTTTACAAGTTTTAACTTTAATATCAAATGCTGATGGTTAAATACATTTAGAGGATGTCAGAGCAGTATAGACACGGGAACACAACTGATGTGATCGATTATTAGACGGTTTTATCCAGTTAAAATTACAGACAAACATCAGCCGTAACCCTGGATAATGATATTCAACTGACTGTTTAAACAACAATAATTGTTATGATTACTTGAAATATAATATTATATAACTATTAAAAATATATATTTGATCATTCCTACAATTGCTATTTTTAAAATTTTCATATGTAGACTTTTGTTTGTTTATTAAAATATGGATTTAAATATATATATTTACCTTTACAAATAAAGATTATTTTTGACGTCTTTTACTCTTGTTTTTAATTTTTATAATTAATTGGATAAGAATAATGTATGACAAAATATTACATTTCATACGAGTTCATGTTTTCTTATCAGGGCTCCACATGAACAAATTGATGGTTAGTAAAAGAATCTTTAATTCTACAAATTCTAATGGCGCCACTAAAGATTCTCACAGGATTCATATTAAGCAGCCAATCAACACTCAGTGCTGCCATCGAGAGTTTCCTCCTACAATTTACAAACAAAAGGGTTTCTTTTAATGAATTTTATATCATACGATACTATGACATTTTTTTTATCATCGTATACTACGAAATTTTTTAACATACTGCACCATGACAATTTTTTTCACCCTGAAATATGAAACTTTAATAATCTTATTCTTTTACATTTTAACAAACTTTACTATGACATTTTTTAATCATACTATACTATGACATTTTTATCATACTATACTATGACGTTTTTATCATACGATACTAAGACATTTTCTTATACCCTGAAATGTGAATTGTTTGTCATACTATACTATGACACTTTTTATCACAATATACTATGATAATTTCTACATACTTTACTAAGACATATTTTTTTACCCTATAATGTGAATTTTTTTTATCATATTATACTATGACATTCTAACCATAGAATATAATAACACTTTTAACACACTATACTATGACATTTTGTTTCACCCTGAAATCATAATTTTTTATCATACTGTATTATGACATTTTTATCATAGTATACTATGACAATTTTTTTTAACCCTAAAATATGAAACTTCAATCATCTTATTCTATTACATTTTAACATAACATACTATGATGTTTTTTTATTATCATACTAAACTTTGATATTTTTATCATACTATACTATGACATTTTCGTCATCCTATACAATGACATTTTTTATATCACACCAAAAGATTAAATTTTTATCCTGCTATACTTTGACCTTTTTTTCATATTGTATTTTTTTTATTATGCTGAACCTAAGTTGGATTTGAACCCAGAACCTTCTGGCTGTGAAGCAGCAATACAACCCATTACACCACTGTGCTGCCCATGTCCTCAAGGATCCTCTTGGGGTTCGTTACTTAAATTTTTAAACCGTAGTATGCTATGGTATAATAGTATACTATGACATTTTTATCATACAATAATAAAAAGATTTTGACAAACTGACAAAATTGTAATGCCAAAATTTAAATGTTTATCAAAGTATACTATGACATATTTGATCATTTTTTAACATGTAATACTATGAAATTTTTTATCCTTACATGAGTTTTTAAACATACTATATTATGACATTTTCTCACCCTGAATGTGAATTTTTGATCATACAATACTACAATGTTCTTATCATACAATACTATGATGTTTTTATCATACTTTACTATGACATTTTTGAACATACTATACTATGACATTTTTATCAAACTATACTATGATGTTTTTCAACATACTATACTATGACATTTTTATCATACTATACAATAACATTTTTAAATCACACTATACTATGACATTTTTGATCATACTATACTATGACATTTTTATCAAACTATACTATGATGTTTTTCAACATACTATACTATGACATTTTTATCATACTATACAATAACATTTTTAAATCACACTATACTATGACATTTTGGTCATACTATACTTTGATGTCTTATTATACTATACCATGATATTATTGTCATACTATACTATAATGTTTTTATCATACTAAACTATGACATTTACATTTTCTCACCCTGAAATGTGAATTTTTTTATCACACTATACTATGAAATTTTTTTATAATGCTATACTATGACATTTTTATCGTACTATACAATGACATTTTTATCATACTATACTATGACGTTTTTTATCATACTATACTATGACATTTTTTTTACATACTAAACTATGACATTTTTGATCATACTATACTATGATGTTTTTCTCATTCTAAACTATGATGTTTTTATCAAACTATACTATGACATTTTGAGCAAACTATACTATGTAATTTTTATCGTACTATACTATGATGTTTTTATCACACTAAACTATGATGTTTTTTATCATACTATACAATGACATTTTAAACACACTATACTATGACATTTTTTATCATACTATACTATGACAATTTTTTTTCATCCTAAAATATGACACTTCAATCATCTTATTCTTTTACTTTTTAACATAACATACTATGACATTTTTATCATACTATACAATGACATTTTTTATCATACTATACTATGACCTTTTTTATCATACTGTACTCTGACATTTTGATCATACGATACTATGACATTTTTTATCATACTATACTATGACAATTTTTTTTCATCCTAAAATATGAAACTTCAATCATCTTATTCTTTTACTTTTTAACATACTATACTATGACATTTTTTATCATACTATACTATGACCTTTTTTTATCATACTGTACTCTGACATTTTGATCATACTATACTATGACATTTTTTATCATACTATACTATGACAATTTTTTTTCATCCTAAAATATGAAACTTCAATAATCTTATTCTTTTACTTTTTATCATACGATACTATGACATTTTTTATCATACTATACTATGACAATTTTTTTTCATCCTAAAATATGACACTTCAATCATCTTATTCTTTTACTTTTTAACATACTATACAATGACATTTTTTATCATACTATACTATGACCTTTTTTATCATACTGTACTCTGACATTTTGATCATACTATACTATGACATTTTTTATCATACTATACTATGACAATTTTTTTTCATCCTAAAATATGAAACTTCAATAATCTTATTCTTTTACTTTTTATCATACAATACTATGACATTTTTATCATTCTTTATCATGGCATTTCTTTCATATTATACTTTAAAACTTTAATCATCATATTGTAATATATTTTAACACACCATACTATGACATTTTTATCATACTATACTATGACATTTTTATCATACTATACTATGATGTTTTTATCATACTATACTATGACATTTTTATCATACTATACTATGACATTTTTATCATACTATACTATGATGTTTTTCAACATACTACACTTTGACATTTTTATCATACTATACAATAACATTTTTTATCATACTATACTATGACATTTTCTAACCCTGAAATGTGAATTTTTTATCACACTATACTATGAAATTTTTTATCATGCTATACTATGACATTTTTATCGTACTATACAATGACATTTTGATCATACTATACTATGACATTTTTTATCATACTATACTATGACATTTTTATCACACTATACTGACATTTTGATCATACTATACTGTGACATTTTTAATCATACTATACAATGACATTTTCTCACCCTGACATGTGAATTTTTAATCATACTATACTATTATGTTTTTTTATACTATACTATGATGTTTTTATCATACTATACTATGACATTTTTATTATACTATACAATAAAATTTTTGATCATACTATTCTATGATGTTTTTTTATTATACTAAACTATGATGTTTTTATCATACTATACTATGATGTTTTTTATCATACTAAACTATGATGTTTTTATCATACCATACTATGATGTTTTTTATCATACTATACTATGATGTTTTTTATCATACTATACTATGACATTTTTGATCATACTATACTATGACATTTTTATCAAACTATACTATGATGTTTTTCAACATACTATTCTTTAACATTTTTTATTATACTACACTATGACATTTTCTCACCCTGAAATGTGAATTTTTGATCATACTAAACTATGATGTTGTTATCATTCTATACTATGACATTTTTGATCATACTTTACTATGATGTTTTTAATCATACTACACTATGACATTTTAAACACACTATTCTTTAACATTTTTTATTATACTACACTATGACATTTTCTCACCCTGAAATGTGAATTTTTGATCATACTATACTATGACATTTTAATCATACTATACTATGACATTTTTTATCATGCTATACTATGAAATTTTAATCATACTATACAATGACATTTTGATCATACTATACTATGACATTTTTTATCATACTATACTATGATGTTTTTATCATACTATACTATGACATTTTTATCGTACTATACAATGACATTTTGATCATACTATACTATGACATTTTTTATCATTCTAAACTATGATGTTTTTATCATTCTAAACTATGATGTTTTTATCATACTATACTATGACATTTTGATCATACTATACTATGATGTTTTTTATCATACTATACTATGACATTTTCTCAACCTGAAATGTGATTTTTGATCATACTTAACTATGATGTTTTTATCATACTATACGCTGATGTTTTGATCATACTATACTATGACATTTTTTATCATACTATGCTATGACAATTTTTTTTCATCCTAAAATATGAAACTTCAATCATCTTATTCTTTTACTTTTTAACATAACATACTATGACATTTTTATCATACTATACTATGACATTTTTATCATACTATACCATAACATTTTATCATACTTTACTATGACATTTTCTCACCATGAAATGTAAATTTTTAATCATACTATACTATGACAATTTTTTCTCACCCTAAATTATGAAACTTAAATCATCTTATTCTATTACATTTTAACACACTATACTATGATGGTTTTATAATACTGAACTTTGATGTTTTTATCATACTATACTATGACATTTTTATCATACTATACTATGACATTTTTAATCATACTATACTGACATTTTTATCATACTTTACTATGACAATTTTTTTCACCCTAAAATATGAATTTTTTTATCAATGTATACTATGACATTTTCTATCATACATGTCCTTTTTTCATATTTCATTTTTATTATGCTATACATGACCCGGATTCTTACCCAGAACCTTCCGACTGCGTGGCAACAGTGCAACCCATTACACCACTGTGCTGCCCATGTCCTCAAGGATCCTCTTCTGGTTCTTCAACCAAATTTTTTAACATTATTTACTATGATATTTTTATCATAGTATACTATGACATTTTTTATCATACCGTACTATGAAAAAAAACAACGTAAAACAGAAAAAAGTATTAATGTCACCTTAACCTTTTGAAATTATATGATGTTTGTTGGATTATACAGCAGCGCATAAAGTCCCTATAGAAGAAGTCTTGCTGATACCCTGCAATCACTAACCAGGAAGTTGAGTGACATGAGTGTGAATTCCCTCTATACCACTGCGGGGTTAGCATATAAACCAGAGAGAGAGAGAAAGAGAGAGAGAGAGAGAGTCAGGTTCATGGCTCAGCTCTGTTCAGGGGCAAAGGGACGATCAATGCACAGCTATAGAGGCTGCAGGTCGATAAAAGGCTGAAGGATCCACAATGAAGAGGCCACCTCCTAACAGCCGCCTTCCTGCATGGTGTGAGAGCGGTGTGTGTGTGTGTGTGTTTGTGTCTGACAGGGTGAAGAGGTGAGTGCTGACTGAGGCGTCCGCACAAGGAGACACCTAAATGTCCTGTCTGTCCACCATCCAGCATCTATATGTGTCCTGAAGAGACCGGGACAGACCTCCTCAGAGAGCAAAGCTGGAATCGATCCCTGCTGAGAGAATTTACAGGCTGCAGCTTCAGGACAGAGACCTGTCCTCAGGAAGGAGACCAGGACAGAGACCTGGGCTCAGGACAGAGACCTGTCCTCAGGAAGGAGGCCTGGGCTCAGGACAGAGACCTGTCCTCAGGAAGGAGACCTGGGCTCAGGAAGGAGACCTGGGCTCAGGAAGGAGACCTGGGCTCAGGACAAAGTCCAGGTGTGTGGAGATAATCACCTGTTCTGAGTGTTCAACCTGAGGTTCAGACGGATGGAAGTCCATGATCCAGAGGGGATCCACTGATATATGAGCCTGGAACTGATGTCAAAAAACAGCCTGTAAGTCTATAACTGGTGTAGAAAAACAGTCTGAGAGCCCATATCTGATTTAGAAAAACAGTCTGTAAGCATATAACTGATATAAAAAAGCCTAAAACTGATGTAAAAAAATTCTTTGTGTTTAATTAATGTAAAAAAAAAACAGTCTGTCAGTGTATAACTAATGTTTAACACAGTCTGTAAGCCTATAACAGATGTGAAAAACAGCCTGTAAGCCTTTAACTTATGTAAAAAAACAGTCTGTAAGTGTGTTCGGCCTGCTGCACAGACATGGAGGTGGATGGATGAGTTTGCGGTTGTGTGTCTGAGTGTCTTTGTGATCTGGTGGATATATGTGTGTGTTTACTCTTTGTGGTGATGATGATGATGATGATGATGATGATAGAAACATGGTGGCGTGTCTCTAGACCGTATACGTGGGCGGTCTCAGAGACTCCTGTGGTCAGAGTGAACCTCTCAGGGGGCGGAGTCTGTCTGTGACGGTCGTTCACATCCTGGTCGTCTCAGTCAGTGAAAGTGCTGAGGTGGCACTCTCTCCCTCCTCCTCCCCCTCCTCCTCCTCCCTCCTCCCTCCTCCCTCTCCTTCCTCCTCCTTTCTCCTTCTCCCTCTCCTCCTCCTCTTCCTCCTCCTTCTCTTCCTCCCTCTCCTTCTCCCTCTGCTCCTCCTCTTCCTCCTCCTTCTCTTCCTCCCTCTCCTCCTCCTCCTCCCTCCTCGCTCTCAGTTTTCCACCCATGAATAATGGATCTGATTAATTAGGCTCATCATTACAGTGAAGGGTCAACAGGAAATTCCCCTCTCTTCTAGTTCAAACAAACCCCCCCCCCCCCCCCATTGTCGGCTGTGTGTTGGAGATGAGAGGGGTGGGGTGGGTGTGGGGGGTTGTGGGTATTTGTTGTCCCCCTCGGGATGTTGCGTGGCGTAGGGGAATACAACGAAATAACAAGATAACAAGATAAAAGCTCAGTGTTGGCCTTCAAAGAGGGCGGCTGCTTGAATAGAAGCTCACACAGAGCGCCACACAGAGCGCCACACAGAGCGCCACACAGAGCGCCGCAGTGATGTCAGCGAGCGAGGCTGTCTCTATGGGAGGAGGAGGAGGAGGAGGAGGAGGATGAGGAGGAGGAGGAGGCTGCAGGAAAATAAGCAGACATGAATGTTTTACACCAACACGATCATGTTCATGTGTCAGACTGAAAGAGTTCAGGATCTGGAGAAATCTCTGTACTAAAGGGGGGCAAGAACCAAAACCAGGACTGGATGGTCCTGGTCTTCAGACAGGACTCTGAAGTGGAAATCACCGCATGGACTCAGAATTCCTTTAAAAACCGTCGACTGTGAACTCAGTTCATCACTAATGAGGTTCAGACTGGACCATGAAAGAGGAGACCAGATAGAACCAGGATCCAGAACCACCAGAGACTTCTCTGGACCTGAGTCCATTTAAGGTGGACTGAGGGGACGCCTGTCCTGGATGAGTCCTACAGTGTGTTTCATTGTGACACAGACACCGTCCCTCACTCCTCCACTGTAATCAGGTGTGATTTTAACGACACTGTGGTTGTGTGAATATAGATCAGCTTTAGTCTGAGTGGGAGTGACTGCAGAGGGATTAATGACCCTGTGATCACCTCCTTCACCAGAACTGAGAAAATAATGAAGCGATCAATAAAACATCTTTGGTGTGTAAAACATGATGATCAATATTTCCTCCGTACAGATGAAGAATGAAGAAATCGATCTGTTAGTGATCAACAGACAGTGAGCAGGTGGAGGAAATAATGACGGTGACGCTCCGACCTGATGGACAGAGCATGACCGCCAAACCGCCGCCCCCCACCCCCTTTAAAGGTGCACGGTTCTACACTCAGAGTCTGGAGGGAAAACTCTCCTGCAGCGGTGTGAGGAGGAGGTACCAGCTCAGGAGAACCGGTCCTCCTCCCCCATCAGAGGGTGATTGACAGCTGACATAAACTGTGAGTGTGTGTTGGAGTTTGGATCATTAATCAGATCATTGATGATGAATCATAATCTGCTTCCTCTCGACCTTCACTGTGAGAGAAGAGAGAGGACCATCCATCTCCATCCTCCTTCTCCTTCACCCTGGTTACTCAGCTCCACATCAGGCCCTCTCCTCTCGTTTCCTCCTCCATCACTTTTTCATTCCCCCGTCGATCTTCTCAGCTCTCGGTCTTCCTCTCGTTTCCTCGTCCTGTTCCTCTGGGGAAATACTGTTTTTCTGATGGCCTGAGCTGACTGTGGGCTGCAGAGACGGTGAGATGTTAATGCTGCAGGTCTGTAGAGAAGGAGTTTGGACCCTGTGGGATCTCTGCGGCTCTGTGTTTGAATAAACATGTGAGACGGGTCTGACAGATCTGGATCTGCACTGCTGGGAGGACTCACACCTTCAGCAGCAGCAGCAGTAGGAGCATACTGCCTCCTGCTGGTCAGCCGTGAGAAAGGACGGTCCTATAGGGAACATGTCTGCACTGTGAAGCACAACTCCACATGATGTTCAGCAGGAAACAGGGAGTCACTCCTCCTCCTCCTCCTCCTTGCTGCTCTCTCCTCTACGGTTCATTGTTCCATATTTGGGCGTCTGTCCCAGAAGTTAACCGCCCATCTGAAGCCCACCTGCTGCTCAGGTGCGGTGGGACAGAGAGGGAGGAGAGGACTCTTTTCTGCAGGTTTGGGACTCGATGAGCGTCCACAGGAGAGACGGAGACAGACAGATGGGAGCAGAGGTCACAGCTGGGACAGACCTCCTGCACAATTACACACAATTAGGAGGAATCAGATGTTAATCTGCTGCAGAACAAAAATCCCTCATGATGTTTATCTTCTGGACTGAGACTGAGCAGAACAGGAACTTTCTGAAACACAAAGACCATCAAAGAGGAGCTAAGGGAGCGGGTTTCAAATTTAAAGTCTTCTTTCGACTTACTGTCCTTTCAGCCTTTGTTTAACTTATAATCTTTCCTTATTTAACCTTTTAGGCCTTTTATTAATTTTGTTTTTTTTTTCCTGCTCATTTTTGTTATTCTATTCTATCATTACTATTACCATCATGATTATTTTTTATATTCGTCCTTGTTTTTTTTATTTTATATTTACTATCCTGTTTCCTGCTTTCTACTAGGGCCCAACCAATATGGATTTTTCGGGGCCGATGCCGATTATTATGAGGGAAAAAAACCCGATTACCGATGAATCCGCTGATCAAACTCGGACCAGAAAAGCATTTCAACAATCTCCCCGCCGATCAGTGCCTTCCCGTCTTAATTCACGTTCCTCATTTCCGGTCCGGTCTCATCGGGAGACCGGCGAGTTTTGCCCGTTTACCGATTAGTCTCAAACAGGCTAAAATTGGCCGAGTTGATCGGCTCGCCGATAAATTGGTCGGGCCCTACTTTCTACCCCTCCTCCCCCCTTTTTAAATCCATTTCTCTTTCTTTCCTATTTTATGTCTTTATTTTGGTCCTCATGGTCTCATTTAATGTTGTAGCATTCTTGTATCGTCTGGGTTTCTTATGACAAATGAAATTGGCCTTCAAGGTTTTTAACTGAGCTTTAGTTTTTGATTTTTTTTTATTTCCTGATGTCCTGTTTTACAACTGTTTGTCAAAACACTTTGTAAACTTGTTTTTAAAAGTGCTATAAATTTAAAGTTATTATGAAACCAGACACGGTCGGCTCTGAGGTACTTGAGTCAGTCTGTGGTGACCCCGCAGCTATTAATCCCACTCAAATGACGCCCTCCAACAAACTCCTGCAGCTCCCTCCACAGGTGAACCAGAAGAAAAGGTCAGCGAGAAGGAAAAACACCCACCACCACCAACCCCCCAGTATGTGGGCAGTGTGAAGGATGGGTATGAGAGGGGACCAGAGGAAGACTGAGTTTGAGATCATATGGTCTTCCTTGAAAAAGTCCTGGTCTGGATGGACGCAGATGTTCCTCCTAAACCTGGAGATACTGTTTAAAACTCAAGATGTAGCATCTATGAGTTCCAGTTCTTCGCTGAAAGGAAAACTGGACTTGCCTGAGACGTTTCACATCTCAAGTAAGTTCAGATGTCCTTTCCATGCAGTGACTCCCACTCCAGAGTCCCATCTGTGTTTCACACCATCCTGTCCCTGTCCCCACTTTTTTAAAAACCTGTTTCTATAATCAAATTTGAAGATGTTTTTCTATAAATCAATGTTCTGTTAAATTTGTATTTCCAGTCTTTGAAGGGTCTCCAGACCTTCCTGTAGATTTTAGTCCGTCGCTCTTCCAAACTGCAGGTGTGTAAAATAACAGTCAGAATAATAACGCCCACAGACGCAGACAAACGTGTTTTTACTTTTTATTCATTGAGACAACAGAGACAATAAAAGCAGAGAAAAATCAAACAAGTCTTCAGTCTTCAAATCTTTCGATCAAAATGAAATCAGGATATTTTACAGTAAGGGGAGCGATCAACGTGAGCTCTAGGTGGAGGAGGGAGGAGACACGCTCGGTCACCAGGGGACTAACATTGTACATACGCGTTTAACTGCCTTAAAAAAAGAAGAAGCTCAGGAGGTGAAGAAGTGAAACCTGACAACCCAAAACAAAGCACAAGCACTGGTTTTTTTTATTGATTTCATTTTCACTAAATGCCAAGAAACAAGGAGGGTGTGTAAAGATCCTCAGGAGAAGAAGACAAACCCACACTGACCCTCCTCTAAGTTTGGTTTTGTAAAGTGATGCCATGAGGACATCTAGACCAACAAATACATCAGATGAACCACAACTGACCCCCCCATCCCAGACGTCACGGACGGGAGACATTAAATCTTTTAGTTTCCTGGCCTCATTTACACTCTGATGTATGCTGATGGTTTTAATAAGCCACTACACATTTGTGGTTCACCTTGTTTTTAAGCAGCGAAGTGTCCGGTTCAGGGGGGAGGAGGAGGAGGAGGATGGGTGCGCTCTTCCACTTCTTCCTCCATCAGGTTTCCCAGATTCCCCTGGAGAGCAAAGATGTTCACAGGAGGAGATGTTAGTAAAGATCCCACCAGGATCATCATCATCATCACTGACACACACACACACAACTGCAGGTCAGACTAACAAACGCCTCAATTTAACCTCAGAGGACAGTGAAGGTCGTAAACAAGAGACTCAAAGATATCCTGATGATAGGTGGAGAATATCTGGGTTACACTTTTTACTGTTTCCACCAAAGTTTAAGAGAATCTAAAACACTAAAACAGTCATTTCTACTCTTTACCCTTTATCCTTAAAACTGTTTGATATTCCCAACACTCACGCGCACACACGCACTCACACACACACAGTCAGGGGTATCAAACAGGCGGTTCTGTGTGGTTTTTCTATCATAGCCTCTTTATTTTTTTATTTTAAAGACTAAAGCAGTAGAGTAAAAATCTGAGCTGGATTCTGTGGATCAGAACAGAACAGTTGTTTCATTCAGAAATGGATGTGGGTAGAGAAAGGAGTACCTGGGGTGAGTACCTGCACAGTTTGACAGTCAGAGAGTATCCATGATTTTTAATTTGCCCTTTTCACATGTGGTCTCGCTCACAACACCAACGCTGTGTGAGGTATGGAAGTCAGCTGTAATTCATTCGATAAACCCTACCCTCCAGTTAGTCAGTTACGTAATGCACCCCCTCCCGCTGCTTTGACACCCCCCCACCCCACCCCCACCCCCCAAACACACACTGCATGGCATTATCAGGCACAGTCAGCTGGACAACAAATCCACAGCATTTGAGAAAATGATGGTGGCAGAAGAAAAAGGTTTTCACATACAGCTCTGACTACAGCTGGAGTCTGTGTGTGTGTGTGTGTGCGCGTGTGTGTGTGTGTGTGTGTGTGTGTGTGTGTGTGTGTGTGTGTGTGTGTGTGTCTACAGAGGAGCTGCAGAAAGTCCCTCCCTCTCTGTACACACACACACAGAGGCTGGTTTCCCTCCCTGGATGGAGTGAAAAATAAAAACATTTTCCTACTTGAGTGTAAAAACAGTCAGTAAATGAAAGGAGAGAAAACAAAAACAAAAACAGGGTAAAACAGGCAGTAAGACTGGATTGGACTGGTTCAGAACTTCTGGTCCATTTCGCCCCCAAAGACAGAAACGGTTATAGAAAACCCGGGTACCTGGACTACACTGGTCTTTGGACTCTGGACTTTGTGTGACTGATTTCTACTTTCTTCTCACTCCTTCATCTTCTGTTCGTACGTATTTGAAAACAGGATAAAGATGTATATGCAGCAGCAGCAGCAGAAGCACACACAGTACAGAAGAATAAATCAAAGGCAGTGAACTGAACTCAAACTGGGGGGAGAGGCAAGGGAGGGGTGAGGGAGGGGGTGAGGGAGGGTGAGGTTTAGAGCCAGGGGGAGCGGGGAGGAGGCCGCACTTACCTGAGTCTGATCTGAGGTCCTATCAGATCAGTTTTAATTGGACTGAGTGTCACCTTCAGAATGGAGGAGCTCTTGTTGGCCGTTAAGCAGAGGGGAGGAGCCAGAGGCCGGCGCCTCCGTCTCCATTGGTTCCGCTTCTGATGAAACCTTGATGGTGGCCACCTCGCCGTCGGCGTGCTTGTCTTTCTTCGAGCTGCTCCTCTCCTCCGTCGACTTACGGTCTGAAAGACAAACATGATTCATGAAGACCGGAGCCATGATCCCAGTCCATCAAACTGGAGGAGGGACTTGATGGATTCCCAGTACAGATGGGATTGGAATCGAGAACCAGTTCTTGTTGAGAACCGGTTTCAAATGGTTCAATCCATCGACATCATTTACATTTTATCTTAAAGATTCCTTTCTTCCTTCAAATGTCCATTACATGTTTTTATTGATTATAAAACAGTGCAGAGGATCAGTGCTGTCTGCAGCTCTGCACCTCCACTCACTTGTAAGCAAAGCCACTGACGCAACGCAAACATGCGCTGTCTTTGGAAAATAACATTTGACTCAATAACATTTTGAGTTAATGATGGAAACCTATAGCTTTTTTTTTTATTTTTTTTTTTAAAATCAAAGAATGGCATTGATAAGGGAATCGTTAAAGAACTGAATCGATAAGCAGAATCAATAATGGCATCGATATCGATAAAATCTTATCAATTCCCATCCCAGCAGTTTATCCAGGTTGTTGAGAACAAGCTTTGGAATTTCTACTGGTATCAAATAGAGAAGTCAGGGCAGGACATTCATGCGAACACTCTCAACACGCCCCAGTAAAGAGAGAGGGAGCACAGACCAGCGTTCAAAGTCACCTTTTCTGCACGTCATCATTTTGATGTAGTTAACATCAGACAGATTCTGCAGAGACGGAGGACTGAATGTACTAAGATATTCCATACCTTCTTTTGGCCGTTTCACTCACCTTTATCTTTTGATGACCTCTCTCTGTCCCGGTCTCTGTCCCTCTCCTTGTCCCTGTCTTTGCTACGGCTGCGATGGCGGTGGGATTTGCGCTCCGTGCTGCGAGACCTCCTCCGTTCCCGACTGCGGGAGCGACGCTTTCTGTCTGAGCGCTCCCGGCTGCGCCTCCTCTCCCTGTCCCGGTCCCGGCTCCTAAAAAAGAGGACAAGTGACACAGTGTCCTCCAGAGCTAAAACCATCCTCATCCAGGTGGGTCTCTGCGGCGGCGGTTCCTACCTGCTGCGTTTGCGGTCCCTCTCCCGGTCCTTGTCTCGGCTCCTGGACCTCCGCCGGTCTCGGGATCGGCTCCGTTTCCTGTCTGATGCTCTACTGGAGTGTCGGCTGTGGGAGTGGCTTCGCCGTGACCTCCTGTCCCTGTCCCGGTCTCTATCTCTGTCCCGCTCTCTGTCTCGCTCTCTGTCACGCTCCCGCTCCCTCTCTCGCTCTCTCTCCTTCTCTCGCTCTTTTTCTCGTTCTTTCTCTTTCTCTTCCTCCTCTTTGCGTTTTTTCTCCCTCTCCTCCCGTTCACGCTCGCGGTCTTCTCTGTCCTTCTTCAGGGCCGGGTTTTCACCTTGGGGGTCTTCTGAGCGGCGTCGCAGTTTCTCCTACAAACAAGAGTGATGAGGTCCACCATGAAAACCTTCTAAAACCACCTCACCCCCCATAAAGCTTTGGTTCTGCTGGGTCTGGTTCTGGTCCTTCTCACTCACACTTACCTTCAGCTCCTCCACGGTGGACTTGATCTTGGCATAGCCCATGTGTTGCTTGCCCATCAGGTGATCGTCCACTCGGGACTGAGCGTCGCCTACGATGAGGAAGGCCCCACACACCTCACAGACCTCCATCTGCTTCTCCTGGGCCGCGAAGCTCTCGATGGTCTGGAACAAATTCGACATTTTCACTGAGAGGAGGAGGAGGACTGGGCCATTATATGATCGTGATTAATGATCGCGATCAATTTCAGTTTGATCAGGTGATCAGCTGTGAGCATATTCACTTGATCAAACATAGCCGAACTATGTGTGACAACAGCCAATCAGAGTCGAGCTTTTCCTGCTCACTTCTGTAAGTTGTCGGAGAAGTAAACAGGAAGTAAACAGACATTCACACGGCACGTTCTGATGCACAGTTCGTATTCTTTGTTAAATCCGATCTTTTTGTGCGGTCGTTCACATTACAACAACGAATGCGGCAACTTATGTGAACAGAATGTGTCCGTGAAGTGACCCGCATGCTCACAAAGCACAAATTGCTTTCCGCGCCTGTTTGTGTTGTCGAACAATGGTGACGTTTGTTGCATATTGATGACGTATAGGTTAGATGAAAGCGACCTGAGCGTACACACTGCAGTCACATCGGGTACATATCTGATTTATGTCCACATACAGAAGAGGCCTGGGTCGGATTAGAACAAATCAGATATGTGTCACATATGGTTAAAACATCGGAATTGACTGGAGTTTTCCCACTCACCGAGGGGGTGGAGCTGAGCAGCTCCCGCTCCTCCTTCAACTGCTCCACCAGCTTCATCATTCCCTGGGCCTCCTCCACTCTGCCCTCTGACCCCAGCTCCTCAATCTGAGCAGCCAATCACAGAAAAGACGACTTAGCTCGTTAGTATATGTCACATATTCAGAAGAGCGTCTCTGTTACAGGAGAATCACAGTGTTACACACCTGAACCACCAGGTCTTCAATTTTCTCTGTGAGAACCTGGACCTTCTCCTCGTTCTTCCCTGATGGACCAGGACCCTGCAGGATCAAACACACTAGATCTCAGCCCCACACACACTTGAGCCCGGACAAAGAGGACGGAAACATGCAGAGACGACCCGGATCATGAATCATGGTGCAGCTCCAAACTCAGACCCTGCAGTCACAAACTCACCCCGGCGTTCTGCTGAGCCTGGGACAGAGCGAGCCGCGCGTGTCCTCTACGAATCCGCCTCTCTACCTCGGCCAGGAGGGACTGCAGGTAACGCAGGAAGTCCCGCTCATACCCCTCCTTCATGAAGCGTGAGCTTTTCTCGTACCTGCAGTAGGCAGGAGGATAAAAACACTTTATGGGGTGGAAATAGAACAACTCTGAGCTCTGTTTGAAAAATGAGAGGGACTTACGTTAACCTCAGATTCTCGTCATGGATCTTTTCACACGGCCCTGTGGAAAAGAAGAAACATTCAGACGTTAGATCTATCAGTGTCGGTGATTTCTGTGGAGTTCAGGTCAGAGTTCCTCACCTAAGTCAGAGCGGGTGTTTGTGAAGAGCTCTGCAGGACAGAATCCACACAGATAGTATCGACAGACCTGTGAAGAAAACAAAGAGTCAGAGTGTCAGCAGGTTTAAGAAGCAGAGACCCGGTCTGACTGAAGAGGAGAGATCGTCTACACGATGAACATCAGTCTGAGCTGGATTAATCTGCTGCCTCCTCATGTTCACTAAAACGCTGCAGCTGCATCAACAAACTCACAGGAATATTCTGGAAAACTAATCCTGTCTGCTCAGAGATTTTTCTTAGATATGAGGTTCGGCTCCTAAGAGTGTCCCCGCTGTTAAGAAACTCTGTTCACTGCAGCGATGAAGGTCGAGGTGAAGGAGAGGAAGAGGAGTGTGACCATATAGAGATGAGATCTGTGCTGTACAGCAGGGACTAAAGCGGAGTGCCGCAGCTCAAGGAAGAACATTTATGATCATTTCTTCATGGAAATACAATCAGACCGAGACGCTAAGGCAGAAGAACTACCGCGTCTGCAGTGAAAAATGATTAATATGATGATTATCATTTCAAGGAAATGATAAAGAAATAATCATAAATGTTCTTCCTTGAGCTGCGGCACCCCGCTGTAGTCTGTAATGGACTGGCCTGAGGTCTCGCTACAAACAAGAAGCTGCTGGAAGAGAGTAGGTGAGTTGTGTTTTGTCTCTTTGCTAAAGAAATGAGTCAAAGTTAAAAAGATGTTTGGTGGCTAGTACTATGGCTGTGACCCTATATGTCCTGTTGATGAAGTTAGGTGCTGTTCTGAGCATTATTTGTGGCTATAGAGTGGCGTTTTGGTTCAGGTTTGTTTATGGCTCCTCAGACCGCTGTGTATTACCATCGTGTGGTTGTTACTGAAGTTGGTATAACTAGAGAATCAAGCGGTCGGCAACATTCATCTCTGGAGGGGGGGTCTATCTCGGTGTTACGGTGTGTTTGACCCTAACTTCATTTTACACTGGAATATCCCTTTAGTTGTGTTTTATTCTCTGATCGAACTCTTTGGGTTTGAAAGTTTTCTTGTTACTCTGTCATAGAAAGAGTAAAGAGTCATTTTGGGGAGTCTGTGTCACTTTCTCTTTCTTCTGATAATCAGTGAGAGTGAAAACTAAATTGCTCACAGATCTCTACTTTAATCTGAAGGTCTGATCCGGATCAGAGAGTCCCTGCAGGACTCTGGTTTGGCTGAACCGGTTTCTATGAAGACTTCAATGAACCACGTGACAGATGGATGTTAATTAAATGTGAATTAATAATTAAACACAGAGACTAAACTGAGTTTTTAAAGTTAATTTAGATTTAAATGAGTTTATCTGTGATGGCGGGACCTTCCCCTACTATCCTACAGGACCGTTAGCACTAGCATTAGCATTAGAGGAACCGCTCATGGACCCGAACGATCATGAAACAGGTTTTTCTCTTAAACCCAGACGGTTCTGACCCCCTCACACACTCCGAGGTTCTGGTTCCAATAACCATGTCGAACCAGTCTCCCGAACCCGGTCTCATTAGCCTGAAGCTAACTGAAGCAGCTAACTGAAGCTAACCGAAGAAGCTAACTGAAGCTAACTCACGCTCTCGTCGTCCCAGCGGACATTGGACCGTTTCTCATCCGGAGCCAGGTTCCGGTCCCGGCCCATTAACTCGTCAAGGAGCTGGGCGGCGGACAGCATCGTCGCAGGGGAGAGGGGTACCGCTCTGGATGTACAGAAACCGTCTCCTTATGATCCCGAACCGAACCTCCACAAAGCGCTCCACTTCAAAATGGCGAGCGACGCTCCAACACCCGCTTCTCTTCTGCATCCGGCTGAGCTACACCGACCTCTGACCCGGAAACACAAGTCCGACCGTTACGTTAAAACCTCCTTTAATTTACGAGAGTGAGTCATTACTAACGAGAATGAAGTCGTAATAAAATCATTATTTACCAAAATAAGTTCGTAATAAAGTAATCACGAGAATGAAGTTGAGATAAAATCATTACTTAGATAATTAAGTCGTGATAAAGTAATTACGTATGAGAGTAAAGTCAGAATAAAGTCCTTAAATTCAAACCTGCTGTCTAAGAGCTTCTGTTGCTAACTGGTTCCTGACTAATAAGCTAACTCTTAATGTAAAAAAAATGTAACTTCATGATCTTCTGCAACAAAAACAAATCTTATCCAAAAGAAGAAGCCAAAATATCAATGAATGGTACCAAAATCTCTCAAGTTCCCCACACCACTTTTTTGGGTGTTTATATTATATTATTATATCAGTCAAGTTTGCAAAAGGTCAATGAAGAGCCTCTGTATAATCAATAGGGTCTGTCCCCTGATCAATCCCTCTGCTCATTTGTCTTTGTATTATAGCTTTCTATTTCCATACATGAACTTTTGTAATATTGTAGGGTGTACAACGTATATTATTAATCCAGAAAAGATTCTTAAGAATGATATCTCGATCTAGCAAACACGAACTTCTGCACCTCTCTTATCTAAATAGTCCATCTTACCAATTGACAAACTCAGTGTCTTTCACTCTTATGTCTCCGAGTTCAATAACAAACAAGCCCTTCCTGAAACTTTCCGAAACTTTTTACCTTTTCATCCGACCTTCACCCGTACTCAACTTGACAAAATGACCATCTTCAGTTACCTTCCTGTGGAACTTCTAGTCATCAGTCTAACATCTGTTTTAGAGGTCCGAAACTGTGGAATAATCTGGATGCATCTCTAAAATCAATATCATCCCTCAGCTCCTTTTAAATATCATTAAAATCTCATCTGATCATGTCTTAAATACATCATTATTTGTTATGATTATGTTTCTTTCCTTTGTATGAATACCTATATTGTCTTTATCACTGTTTGATGATTAGTCTGTGTTCTATTTATGAGAATTTGTATCTGTTTGACCTTTCCCTAATCATTGTATATTTATAACCTGTCTATGCCCGAGTTACTTTGTCGTCTGCACCTTATGCTTCATCTATCGGCTTCGTTCCCTCCTTGCTCTGTTTTTAATCTGTGCGAAATAAATAAATCAACAAAAATAAGATGACAGTTGTTAAAATGGAGCATTTCGTGAAAATGTACTTCAATATATGTTTCTCAAACAAGGAGATACTTCATCTTTTGTCACACCAGCACCACATTATCATAAGTATAGTAGTAGTAGTAGTATGTTACGACTTTATCCTTGTTAGTGATAACTTTGATCTCGAAGTCTTAATATTCCTTTTAGTCTTTTTTTCCTTAATGTGGCCTTAATACTCTGTCGTAATTATCACTGATTTTTCACTAGGTTTTATTCTTTTCTTGTTGCATATACAAGTTATCGATTTAGTCTGTGATGGTTTTGTTTGCTCTTGGAAGACATGAAAAGACATTTATATTAATTTCAGTAACATTTCACAAAAGTATAAAACCATGACTGAGATGATTTAACCCTTCGTTTAAAGGGCGGTTAGACTTTAACATGAAGCTGCTGAAGGTCTCCAAGAACCTCAAACAGCAAACTGTTTTTCTAAACTATTGAGATGATTATCCTTTCTACCTTCTTAATTAAAAAAATATATATCTGTATGAAAAATTATTCTTTCATCCATAAACAACTCCTAAAATTTTGTCATGATTATGCATAATATATTTCTGAATTATGCCGTTAATTCGGAAAAGTACTTTTGCTTATAAAAAAGTAGGAAATTTTACAAAAAAGTTCTCAACTACTGTAAATGTACATTAAAACTCTTTTTCTGTCCACACCATACACTGATATGGAAAAATGAATATTTTTATATAAACAACTTTGGTTTAACGTCTTTAGATGACAGAGGGAACATTCTGGACTTTGGTAAATTCAGGTGTAAATATTTAGAATATACAGTAACCATTAAAAACATCAAATAAAACCCATTTACGGACTGATAAGGACATTAAATCCCAGTCTCTCTCTGCAGCTTCTCTTAGGATTCTCATTTATCTCATGTGAAGTCTAATCTTGTTAAACTTACTGTTGAATTAAAGTTACGGTTTGTAGGAGGAGAAAATATCAACAACTCCAGAAAGAGGGTGGAACTTTTATTCGTTCCCACTGGTGTTACATGTAAACGTGCCCCCCGATGAGGCGGTGGTGTTTCTCGGACCCGCCTCAAACTGACAGACTGGTTCTGGATTTCAGAGATTTACTTTGAAACATGAAGTAAAAAGGGGGACAGACGAAGGAGCCCGGATCTGCTCTGGAAACACCCCGAACCCCAACAGCTCGAACTCTGTTAGCCGAACCTGCTAGAACTCCACAGACCGTGAACCAGCAGGTGGGTCCGATAATCCGGGTTTTAGCCGTCAGGTCCGATCTTGGAGGACACCGGTAGGATCATCCTTAATCCCCAAGGCTCCTATGGTTTTAGCAGGTTAGCTGAGTCCCAACATGTCCACCACCTCCCTGGATAAGGAGCTCCAGGAGCGGCTGAGAGAGGCGTCCGCTATCGGGGACATCGACGAGGTCCGGTCCCTGGTGGAGACCGGAGTCAATGTGAACTCCCAGAACGAGATCAACGGATGGTGAGGAGCTGGTTCTGATCCAGATTCAGGGTTAAGAGAGAGTTAATACCGAGGTTTAGATCTGTTCAGACTGTTTCAGACCTGTCAGACTGTTGTAGACCTGTTTCAGACCTGTCAGACTGTTTTGGACCTGTTCCAGGACTGTTTCAGACCTGTTCAGACTGTTTCAGACCTGTTCAGACTGTTACAGACTGTTTAGACCTGTTCAGACTGTTTCAGACCTGTTTCAGGACTGTTTCAGATCTGTCAGTCTGTTTAGACCTGTTTAGACCTGTCAGACTGTTTCAGACCTGTTTCAGGGTAGCGTAGAGAGAGCAGGAGTTGTGTTGATGGTCTTGAAACAGAATCAGAACCATGTTTGTGTCTCGGTACCAGGACCTGTCTGCACTGGGCCTGTAAGAGGAACCATAAGAACATTGTGTCGTACTTACTGAGCCGTGGCGCCGACAAAGACATCCTCACCGCCAAAGACGAGCTGGCCTCACAGCTGACCTCCAGACCTGAGATCAAACGACTTTTAGGAGGTAAGGAGCAGGTCTCTGGTTCAGCGACGTTTTCCCGTCCTGCGATATTGCAGAATTAATTTTTTCGGATCATGGTAGATTTTTCTGAAGTTTCGCATACTGTGTTTTCACTTCTGACCAATCAGATTTTGTGTTGTTGCGACATCAGATTCACCGGTATATCCAACATGGCCGACCAGCTCATTGTTAACATGTCACCTCTGATTGGCTATAAGTGCTGTTGGTGTTTTCAGAGCGGTGTGTCCTCTCCTCTGAAATAATAATAACCCTCTTTACTCTCTGTCCTGCAGTTGAGGTGGAGGAAGTGCCTGAAGTCAAAGAGCCCGAGCTGCCAATCATCCCCAACTACCTGTCCAACCCGCCGTTCATTTATTCCAAGATGGATAACAAGGTGGAGGCGGTCCTGGACCAGCACCTGACCCAGAATGGTTCTGCAGAACACGCTGAGGACGCAAACAGTGATACAGCGTCCCTGTCTCCGACTTATGAGCCTCAGAAACCGCAGAGCCTGGTCTCTGACGGGCCCGCCTCCCCCGCCAACCCCACCACCCACAGCCAGAGCCAGGCCGCAGAGTTCATTCCTGTGAGCGAGCAAAACGGCATGTCCCCGAGCCCGGCGTCATCCCACAACCACGCCGTGGTTAACTGCACAGTCCCCATGGACCTGTCGGTGGAGCCCCACCTCGTCAACCACGCCGACTATCCCCACACGGTGGCGCACAACGGCGCCCTGTGCTCTCCTCCGCTCACCTCACAAAGCCCAGGCCTGGGCAGCGGCGGCGGCAGCCAGGTCCAAGCCCCGGTGGCCGGCGCCAACCCAACAATGAGCCGGCAGCAGTCCATCCCACAGCAGCTGAGCCACGGGCAGGCCGGGGGGGCCATGCCCGCCTTCCAGCCATTCTTCTTCACCAGCACATTTCCTGTCAACGTACAAGGTGAGAGAGACACTTCCTGTCAGAAGATTCAGGGTGACGGAACACCAGGGTGGGGTATCAAGTATCGAGTATCGATGGGGATCGGGGATTCTCCTGGAATAGTTCAAATTTTAAAATTTCAATTCCAAGTTTCGGTGCCGGAGTCCGCCGACAGGAAGAAATAGCCGCCGAACACCAACGAAGAAGAAGAAGCCGCCGAACACCAACAAGGACCAAGCGTATGAGAGGAAGCCACAGAGAGAGAGAATAAAGACAGAGAGAGAGAGAGAGAGTGCATTACAACCCACAGCCACTGTGGACGAAATAGGGAATCGATAGGAATCGGAATAGTTCAAAATCAAACGATACCCAACCCTACCGAACACCTTCTACACGCTCGCTGCACCGTCATTGGTCGGTCAGTTTAGGGTGGAGATGATTGGTCCAGCAGAGGAAGGTTAAAGAAGTTTTAGCAGCAGCTTCAGTGAATTAGAAGTTGAATCTTTAGTGTTTCAGAAACACGTGGAGGAACTTTCAGACAGAGGTTTGAAGATTCTTTTTAGTTGGAGGTTATGGAGACCTGAAGTTTCCTCCAGACCTCCAGCGCAGACTCTGATTTATTAATCTAAAAATAAAGTTATTGTTATTATTTTGGAAACACGCCTGTCACTTTGATGTGGTGACCTGCTCTCAGGAACAGGAGGAACATTAAAGACAGGAAGACTGTTTCTGAGGTGAACTTGTCAAACCAGAAAGAGTTGATTCTCTCTCTGGGTGAGCCGGTCTCAGACTCACACAGAGTTAAGTCTTTATTTTAGAGAGCAGACACTCAGTCATGGAGTTCTTATCCAACCTTTTCAAACAGACTCTGAAGAAACTCTGTGAACAGGCTGATCCGGTTTGAAGTCCAGCTCTTTAAAGCTGCTTAAAGCTGAGCGACTGATTCTGTGTGGAGGTTTTTTTCACTCATCTGGAACCAAATTTCGGGTTTAAAGTTCTACATTTGGTCACCTTAATGTGAACCATGACAGTTCACATAAGACCTGAATAAAACCTGGACCTAATCCAGAGGACAGAGATCCACTTTCAGGAAAGTCAGGGTCTCATTCTGCAGCCGGTTCATGACTGAGGCCGTGTGTGTCACACTGAAAAATGTCCCCCTCTAAGCTGATATCCAGATTAACTCAACAACAACATGTCCAAAGTGTTCAAAGTTCACTCTGACAAAGTTCACTCTCTTCAGTGATGTAATCCACAGGTGGAGTGAAAGGATCAGAGGTGTCAGACCTGCAGGTTTGCAGAGACCTCTTCCTCATGTCGGACCTTTGAGACCTCCTCCCTGATTGGGTTTTAAAAGGAGTCGAACTTCACCCTGGAAGTTTGATCCGTTTCCTGTAAACCTGAATCTGATTCTGTAGAGAAGAAGACCATGAAGTCCTAGAAGACTAAAAGTCCACCTCACTCAGTCTGTTTCCATGACACTCAAGAATTTATCGCCTTATTCCGATTAAGACCGGACAACTGAAGGTCACGTAAACACCTTAGTCCGACTTTAATCAGAGTTCTTAAACTTTGATAAAGATGTTGTTGTTGACGGTTGTATGGGGTCGGAAACAGCGCCGCTGAAAAGACCCATATCGCCCCCTAGTGTTGGGGAGGAGGACACGTTCACATCAATAATTCGATTTTCTTCAGAGTGAGCACTGAGTGAGTCTCAGCTTGGTTTTGAGTCACAGCGATATCTCTGGTTCCGGTTCTCCTCCGCAGAGTTGGTGCTGAAAGTTCGGATCCAGAACCCCAACGCCAGAGAGAACGACTTCATCGAGGTGGAGCTGGACCGCCAGGAGCTCACCTACCGCTCCCTCCTCAGGGTGTGCTGCCGTGAGTTGGACATCAGCCCTGAACAAGTGGAGAAGATCCGCAAGCTCCCGAACACCATGCTGAGAAAGGTGAAGGAGGGGCGGGTGTGTGGACGGGGTCTTGGTCTTTGTTGTTGTCCTTGTTACTGAGATGTTCCTCTCCTGTTCTCCTCCTCTCCAGGATAAGGACGTGGCTCGGCTGCAGGACTTTCAGGAGCTGGAGGTCGTGTTGGAGAAAGCCGAGGGTCTGTCTCTGTTCTCGGGGACTGGAGGTCTAACTGACAGACCCTGTTACAACATGAAGGCCTCTCGCCTCACCTATTAAACACCCCCACCCTCACCTCCACCCCCCCAGAAGACCAGGAGGTCTCCCTGCGACTTCTGTAGCTTCCTCCAGTGACCGTTCCTAGTTTCCTCTCCGGGTCTCTTCTTCAGCTTTTCCAGCCTTCAGTGTTCGGCCTCCTTCCAAACTGAGAGCTTTTTTATCGACTTCTGTAGCTTCTGTCCTCCTCTGGTCCTCCTCCACTCCTCCTCTGGTCCTCCTCCACTCCTCCTCTGGTCCTCCTCCACTCCTCCTCCGCTCCTCCTCTGGTCCTCCTGCCGCTTCAGTGTACCCGGTCAGCTCTAAGTGGTTTCTGATGCATGGTGTCCTGGATTATGTGCAGAAGTCTTCAGGCCCCCCTCTCCTCCTCTCTCCTCCTTTCGCTCCTCCTCTCTCCTCCTTTCATTCCTCCTCTCTCCTCCTTCCTCTCTCCTCCTCCTTTCACTCCGTCTCTCTCCTCCTTTTGGTTCTCCTCTCTCCCTCTCTCACCTCCTCTCTCTTCCTTCCTCTCTCCTCCTTTCACTCCTCCTCTCTCCTCTTTTTGCTCCTCCTCCTCTCTCCTCCTCCTCTTCCTCCTCCTTTCGCTCCTCCTCTCTCCTCCTTTCTCTCTCCTCCTTTTGGTTCTCCTCCTCTCTCCTCCTTTTGGTTCTCCTCTCTCCCTCTCTCACCTCCTCTCTCTTCCTTCCTCTCTCCTCCTTTCACTCCTCCTCTCTCCTCTTTTTGCTCCTCCTCCTCTCTCCTCCTCCTCTCTCCCCCTCTCTTCTCCTCTCTCCTCCTCCTTTCGCTCCTCCTCTCTCCTCCTCTCTCCTCCTCCTCTCTCCCCCTCTCTTCTCCTCTCTCCTCCTCCTTTCGCTCCTCCTCTCTCCTCCTCTCTCCTCCTTTCGCTCCTCCTCTCTCTTCCTTCCTCTCTCCTCCTTTCACTTTGCCTCCTTCCTCCTTTTGGTTCTCCTCCTCTCTCCTCCTTTCACTTTGCCTCCTTCCTCCTCCTTTCACTCTTCCTCTCTCCTCCTTTTGGTTCTCCTCCTCTCTACTCCTTTCGCTCCTCCTCCTCTCTCCTCCTTTCACTCCTCCTCTCTCCTCCTCCTCTCTCCTTCCCCTCTCCTCCTTCTCTCTCCTCCTCTCTCCTCCTTCCTCTCTCCTCCTTTCTCTCCTCCTCCTCTCTCCTCCTTCCTCTCTCCTCCCTCTCTCCTCCTCCTCTCTCCCCCTCTCTTCTCCTTCCCCTCTCCTCCTTCTCTCTCCTCCTCTCTCCTCCTTCCTCTCTCCTCCTTTCTCTCCTCCTCCTCTCTTCTCCTCTCTCCTCCTCCTTTTGGTTCTCCTCCTCTCTCCCTCTCTCACCTCCTTTCGCTCCTTCTCTCCAGTGGGACCACAGACGGAGAGGTCGGCTCGTCTTCCTGCACTCTGGACCTGAACGGGGTTTTTCTGTAGCCTTATCTGGACTCACTTCTAGACTGGACTGATGGACCTGAGAGCAGAGGATGATGGGAAGGATGGTCATTGGTCCACAGAGAGGTCAGAGGTCAGGACCAGCAGAGGGACATCAGTGTTTCTGTGTTCAGACATTCACACACGCTGTCGGCTGCACCTTCAGTGTCTTTCCAGCAGAGGGCGCCCTAAACTGACCTAAAGAGAGGCTGAGAAAGAACCGGACTGATCAGACTTTAGTTCACGGGCCAAACCCACATCAAACTTCACACACACACACACACACAGACATGTTATCTTCATCATCATCATCATCATCGGGTCGTTGACGGTGGAGAAGACGTCTGGACTTCTGTGAAGGTTTTTTCTTAAACGCGCCGCAGCTTCAAGAAGAACTTTTGATTTTCCGAGACTCTCGATCCCGACGGTGAACTCTTGATTTCACTTCAGTTCTCCGTGTTCAGTCTAACGTGGGTCAGGATCAGGATCAGGGTTGGATCACAAAGATCTGAAGAGTCCGGTTCTAACTGGACTCTTCTACAAGAAGAAAGTCAGAATTTTACCAACAGACTGTGGGGGACCTGGAGCCAAACTCCAGACCCTCTCCGTGGATCATCTCTCAGAGTCCTGGATGAAGCTCATGACAAACTTGAACATTGATGATCAGATACAGGAGACCACAGGTAACCAGCCCAGGTCTCCTCCAGCCAATCAGATAATCAGATGGTGTTGTGGGCGGGACAAGCCGGACGCCTCAGAACCCTGAGCAGTCCTTTCACTTCTGACTTTGTTCTTGGAGAGCTGAGGTCGAGTCTGTTTCCCTGTAGTGGTCTGAAGGTCCGCTCTGCTGGACTTCAGAGACTCTTCATGGAGGTTTGAGTCTGAGCTGCAGGTTTTCGCCTTATTTGTTTCAGTCGCTCTTATTTAGTTAAACCAAAAACTGATGGAGCCAGCGGAGCCGCCACCTTCAGAAGAGCCTGGTCCTCCTCTGAGGGTCACAGCAGGAGCAGGAGGAGGAGACCCCCTGTCTGGTTTATCATCAAGTGCTTCCTTTGTCCTCCTCAGACTGAGTCTCTGACTCCTGGGTTTAGACCGGGGCTAAGTTGAACCTCAGACTGAGTTTAGTCCCAGCCTAACCCGGCTCAGATCTCTGGAAGCCTTCAGTTCAGATATTTTCGTTATTTAACGTCGTTTTAGTTCGATAATCGCAGTCTGACTAACTCTCCACACTACAGCGTTCTTGTTCTGTATGTAAAGACTGAAACCAGACCAAGAGAGGTCAAAGGTCATGCTGCTTTCATCATCATCATGTGTTTTTTTGGACGGCCGTGGATCAAACTGTTTACTGTTCAGATGAAACCTAAAGCTCTTACTGTCTTAGTTTGTTTTCTGAGACTTTCTCTTCATTTTTATTATTAATTATTATTTTGTTTTTTAACCAGTTCGGCCTGTTTGTGTTTGTGTCAAAGCCTACGAGGGTTAAAGGTCGAGGGGAGCGCCGAGATGCTGTTGTTAAAGCTAAGTGCAATGATGGGGGAGAGGAGGTGTTTCAGGAGGAGGAGGAGGAGGAGCAGATCCTGTCCAAGGCCTTAGAAAGAGGAGCTGGACCCTTCTGGACGTTTAGTGCCGGCTGAGTGAGAGTAGCATGTTTGACTTTCTCCGATCTTCTTCGTTTCTCCGGGGAGGAGCTCTCCATCCTTGTACATGTGGGGTTGCTAATTGTTCTAGAAAAGCAGAGTAGAGTTTGGATTAACCTATGCATTCAGAGTCAGAGGATATTTTTATATATTCAGTCTTCTTGTAAAAACCATCGTAGGAAATGTTCAGGCTGTTTTTGTGTTCCCAAGACTTGGATCTGTCTGATTCGTTAAGCATGGTCAATTACTCCACCTCTTTTTCTCCACCTGCCTGATATCACAAAAACATGAACCTCTGGACCATGTGCTGCAGGTTCGACTCCTCTCTGCCGGCCTCGAGGGAGCAGCAGAGCAGGAATGCGAACCTTCTCTCCGTCATCTGGATGTCGTCGTTAACTCCAGAGCGAGGATTTGAAAGCCTGTGTTTGACTCTGGGACGAGCTCAGCGGTCTGGACGCTCCTGAGTGAGACCTCGGGGGTCCTCAGAGCTCTGATAATCCTCTACTTTAAAGAGACCCTCCCTCAGAGCTGGAGTTCCTGCTGACTTTGGTTTCTATCCGCTCATGCTCACAGCCTCTGTTGCATTTATGATTCCTTTACTGAATAATATTGATTTGAGAAAATGTAGCAGAGACACTTTATTATGATCCCATACATGCACCTGTATACTGCTAATAAATGTAGTTCATATAAAAACACTTTTGTCTGGACCTAAACCTCACACACACACTTCTATCAGGGACGGATCCAAACCTGTCAGGAACATGAAAAACACTTCATCACAAATACTGAAGGGGGGGCTGTTGTTCCTGAAGGCGGAGCTGTTTTAACGTCCTGTAGGAGCGAAGTCGATACTTAGAGCTACTGAGATACTGACAAAATAATGTTCGATTTTGATCCATCAGGCCTCAGGACAGTTCATGGACGAGTGATTTTAAAGGGATATTCCAGCGTAAAATTAATTAAGGGTCAAACACACCGTAACACCGAGTTAGACCCCCCCCCCTCCAGAGATGAATGTTGTCGACCGCTTGCTTCTCTAGTTATACCAACTTTAGTAACGACTGCAGGATAGAAATACGGAGAGACACGCACTCAACCAAAATGCCACTCTATAGACACAAATAATGCTCAGAACAGCACCTAACTGAGACCTGAGACCTCAGGCCAGTCTATTACGGACTACAGCGGGGTGTCGCATCTCAAGGAAGAACATTCATGATCATTTCTTCATGGAAATACAATCAGACCGAGACGCTAAGACAGAAGAACTACCGCGTCTTTAAAATGATTAATATGGTGATTATTAGTTCAAGGAAATGATAAAGAAATGATCATAAATGTTCTTCCTTGAGCTGCGGCACCCCGTCATTCAGTGTTTAGTCTCTTTGCTGAAGAAATGAGTCAAAGTTAAAAAGATGTTTGGTGTCTAGTACTATGTCTGGGACCCTATATGTACTAACCTCAGTAGATCATGGTGTAGTTCCGTTTAGTAACAGAACCTCATTGGAAAATTATCTGATTTAACTTTACTGTGCTCTTGTTCAAATATATTAACTCGACAGAACATAAATCCATACCTGTTAACAAAATCATGATTTTATTGATAATTCGGCTCAATAAAAACACCTTTACCTTTTTATTTTACTACAGCAGAAGTTTATTGGCCCAGCTTATAGACTACAGAAGTGGAGAAACGCCCCCGCTTAAGTTTGTTTTTCTTAGGAGTTAGAACAACTCTGAATATAGTACTATGTCTGTGACCCTATATGTCCTGTTGATGAAGTTAGGTGCTGTTCTGAGCATTATTTGTGGCTATAAAGTGACGTTTTGGTTGGGGGCGTGTCCTTCTGTATTGCTATCCTGCGGTCGTTACTAAAGTTGGTATAACTAGAGAAGAAAGCGGTCGGCAACATTCATCTCTGGAGGGGGGGTCTAACTCGGTGTTACGGTGGGTTTGACCCTAAATTAATTTTACTCCGGAATATCCCTTTAATGGAACCTTCACAGATGTTGAAGATACCCAGGACATGGACTCTGATGATCCCCAGGGATGCTGGATTTGGCCTAGGTAGACCCTGTACCCAAAATATAAAAACGTAGAATTTGATGGAACATCTTGACCTTGTGTAGATCTAGTTCTCCGCCTGTCTATAGTTTCTATCTATAGATGTCTCTGCTGGTCTCGGCTGTATTTTAACGCTGATATAAAACGCCGCTCTGGATTCGTGGAGTATTTCTCTGCTGTCCAGCTGTGGTTTTGTCTTCGGCCTCCTCGTCTCACATTTGACCCTCATTTGCACAACAGGCTGCAGTGTACATTCAGTCATGAGCTTAACCAAGCAGACGTCTTGTTATGTTCTCTCTCTCTGATTTAAAGAACATAAACAGCTCCTAAGTCATGGTCATCCTGACTCTCTGCTGAGCCTCCTCACTCACATCAATACGATAGAGTTCATGTGGCGAGCAGATGTTCAGACACGCAGATCTGCACTGAAAAGATTGCATAATCGGAGCCGAGCGGTGATGAGAAAGTTAAATGTGTGTGTGCTGGCTGAAGGGAATGTGTGTGTGCAGCAGTATGCATACATGTCACTGTGAATCTGTGCATGTGTGCACACTGCATGTCTGTGCATCGGCATGTAGCGCTGTTGTGTGTCTAGACTGAGGCTGAGGAATCAGCTTAGGGCCCTGCTGTGGCTGGACGTGTCTCTCTCCTTTGTTCTGGAGTGAGACACTCATAATAAGATTACTATGAACAGTCATAACACCTTCATTGTTTAGAGCCGGCTCCACCGCCAGCTTCCCAGGCATCAGGCGAGGTCCAGAGCCCAGGACCGGCCAGCTCAGGGACCCCTAAGAGCATTTTAGAAAAGGAGGCCGAAGGCGACGTTACTCACAGGTACATGTGCTCCGGTACGAAGAGAGCCGCTCTCCAACAGACATCGTCCACAAATCCAAGATACAGAGCGACTTATGAACAACACAAATACACACAGCTCACTGTGAAGGACTCAGAGAGGTCCGATAGAGCGACCCGCCAGAGTCTGAAGCAACTCTGTGAACTCTGCACCAACAGTCAACTCACTAATCTGCTGCTGAAACAGCAAAACACGGTTTGAGGACGAACCAAACAGGTCAGAAGTTCTGAGTCACCTGACCGGGTCTTAGGCGAACCTTCAGAGAGGCGGAGTCTCTCAGAGGTTCAGGACTCTGTGAGAGACTGTGTGAGCGGACAGTTCAACAGTTTCATTTCATCGTCTACAGAACATCTACAACCATCAAATTCTGTCCCTCACAGAACCTCAGGTCCGATCGAAGGTCAACCCGGTTCTGATGTTTCCTGTTGATGTTATTTTAACCCGAGAACAATATCACTAAAATTAATAACACAGAAAATCAAATATGAGTCACAGATGGTTAAAAAATCTGAATTGACCAGCGGTGTGAACGTAGACTCACTGACCTTATTCCCTACATGCAGCTAAAAAATCCACCCAAACCTACTTTACCCTCCATCACTAACATCAGCCTGTGAACACGAGTCTGTAGGAAAAAGCAGGTTTTGGATCAGAGAGACAAATATGTCTTCAAAGATGTCAAACACAACATGATGAAGACGGAGATCGTCTTCTAGGTTTAAACACGAAAGTGAGAGTCGGTTCTTCTGATCCGGACTCAAAGATGCTGAGGTGAGCGGAGAAGGTCAATGTCAAGGTCAGTGTGCAGACAGTCTGAGTGTGTGTGTGTGTGTGTGTGAGTGTGTGTGTGTGTGTGTGTCTCTGCGTGGGGTCCACTCAGGCTTTATTCACAGGGTCCCACCGTCGGCTATGCTGGGAATGTCGGGTCTGCGGTCTGCAGGGGTGAAGGTTAGGGGTGGAGGGCCTGGGGGGGTGACACTGAAAACACACTGTGGAACTGAGTGTGTATGTGTGTGTGTGTTTGTGTGTATTAGTGTGTGTGTGTGTGTTCAATTTGATTGTGTGTTTTTCTTATTTACACTTGAAGTCAGAAATTACTGCAGCTTTCTTCATTCACTTTTAATCATATAGATGAGCCTCACCTGTGTGTGTGTGTGTGTGTGTGTGTGTGTGTGTGTGTGTGTGTGTGTGTGTGTGTGTGTGTGTGTGTGTGTGTTTTGAGAGGGTTCACAGACACCGTCCAGACTGAGACCACAGGGTTCGCCCTGCAGAGAGCTGGGCCTCTTGGACTCAGCAGGAGACCAGCCTGAGAAGCACGGACTCTATACTCACTACCAAACACACACACACACACACTCATACACACACACACACACACACACACACACACACACACACACTGATGCCACAAAAACATCAGTCCTCTGACTCTAAAGTTGTTCCAGTTTCTCTCTCTCTCTGTTTTTTGAGTAATAATCTCTATTGTGTTTCATCCTTCACTCGCCCTCTCACTCTCTCTCTCTCTCTCTCTCTCTCTCTCTCTAACCCCCCCAAAACTGACCCCAGGTCTGTTTGTTTGTGTTGGTCTGCTTCCCTCTCCACTGAATCACTTCCTGGAATCGGCTTTTGCAGAAAGAAAACGGCGTCGTCTCTCAGCGTGACACTAAAGCGTCTCTACTACCAGGTCAGCGCTGTGAGAGGAGGAGGAGCCTGACTCTACGGAGGCCCTGAGTGGACACGAACCCTGACATGTGGTTCAGGACTGATCTGCTCAGAGTTTGACTTGTCTGCAGGTGATCCACATTAACAGCTCTGTGTCTCCAGTGACGGTTCAGAGTTTATAGAAATGGAGGTTATTAGAGCTCTGAAACTAAATTCATACAGAGAGCAGCTCAGATGTTGACACTTCAAACAGATATAATGAGAGCGAGCGTAGATCTACACCGACTAGACTGAGCTGAACAGAATGAATCTATGTGGGACGGTTCTATATTTGGGTCCTAAAGGTCACCTGATCATAGAAACAGCCTCTGGTTGGTCCCAAACGGAGGAAATCAGAGATCAATCAATCAGCACTTTAATGTCTAAATCATCGTCCGGTTCAGATTTTCTATCGTCAATCTTTTCCAGACTCTGTAAACTGAAGTGAGCGTGGTCGTCTCAAACCCGTCACTGTAACCCTGCGGCTCAGTTTAATGAAGCTGTTAATAGTATTTCCCAAAGGTAGGGCTGGGCGATAAAACAATAACGATATATATCAATATAAAACATGATCAATATCCTTCTCAATAGTCGTCATTCTGACATGTTTTGGTCAACTATACGAACAGCCAATGAAAAGGGGAGTTTCTCCGGGTCTGAACCAATCATGTTCTGAATTAGAACCAAGTATCAACCAACTGCAGCGTCGTAGCAGACAGCAGCTCCACCCAACCATAGCACTTTAACAGGTGAAGCCGACAGCACTGTTGGTGAGAAACAAAGAAAATGAGTGCTACCCCCGACAGAAATGACCATGAAGGCTCAACAGATGACCACATCAATGTCAACCACAACACTGGCGCCCCGAGAGGAGCGAGGAGCCCATGGCGCCTGAAACAGACGACCATTCAGTCGGCTTTCTCTAGAGGAACGCCTTATGAAAAAAATATATCGTGATAAACTTTTTCACACATCGCCCAGCCCGATCCAAACGGTTCATCCAGTGAATCAGAAACATGAAAAAACTTGAAAATAACCTCCTCAGCTAAAAGTCAAAGACCTTCCTCTGTGGACAACGACAAACAAAAACTGCTCTGTCTGGACCTGGATTCTTCTGGACCACCTTCAGGATAAAAGACCCCACAGGGGTAGAGCTCTGAGTATGGCGCCCCCCTCTGGAGCAGACTTCCTGCTCGCAGGGACAGAAGATTCCAGATATTTACCCATGAAGAACTCTAACCAAGGACTTTAATGAAGAACTTTAATGGTGAACTCTACTGAAGGTCTCTAATGAGGCACATAAAGAAATAAAGATGGATGGATAGATAGATAGATAGATAGATAGATAGATAGATAGATAGATAGATAGATAGATAGATAGATAGATAGATAGATACTTTATTTTAAAGATATTTATATATTTAATCCAGATCAGTAAAGTTTGATCTCTGTGTTAAAGATGTTTGACAGCTGATCTCCTCAGACATGTTTTGAATATTTCTATTTTGTTGTTTTTTTTATTGTATTTCTATTTTTAAATGTTTATTTTATGACCAATTTTTTTAAAACAAACGCTCACAGCTGATTTAAAGTCCTTGTTTCGCAGTAACCCTGAGTATCTGACTCTATCTGACTCCATCTGACTCCATCTGACTCCCCTCCAGCCGGCTGTGCCAGCGAAGGGTTAAGGCGTGCAGCGCGCACTTACGCACAGGTGTCTCGCCAGTCCTCCGAGGAACAGTCTGCGCACTGTTGGCTTTTTTTTTTCTTTAATTAAGTTGATCATAACTGTAACTCAGCTGGGATTTGCTGTCCGACTCGACAGGCCACTGTAATTCATGGATGTGAGGTGGGTCTGCTCACTAATCTCTGCCTGCTATTAAACCTGGAGAGCTGTCCGCGCTCAGACCGTCCGGCGCGCTGCTCTCTGCTGCAGCTCTCTCCACCAACACCGTCCGCTTCTCATCACTGAGATCACCTCCAACTTTAGAGGAGCTGTTTGACTCTTTGGATCTAACATAAAGAAACGGATCTTTTCGGTTTTCTCTCCGTTACGTCCATCATTCACGGATATGTGGTGGATGCTGTTCCCGCAGTGGATCTGGTTTCTTCTGGGACAATGTTTGACTTCGCTCCTTCATCCGGACTCCAGAGTGAGCGCGATGCCCATGCCCATGTCTGTGGCAAAGGTGGTGTACTCTCATGCAGGTCTGTGCCCCAATGACCTGAACCCCAACCTGTGGGTGGATGCCATGAGCACCTGCATGCGTGAGTGTGAGTCTGACCAGGTGAGCTGAAATGTAGACTACAGCTGAGAGGTGTTCATGTGCGGTCTGTTAAATGTTCGAACAACATCTGATGCGTTCAAAACCGTCAGAAATGTCAGTTTGCAGTCAGATCTGATCAAACAGGAGAATCAGTGTTTTAACTTGATGATTATTATTGATTTTTTAATGATTAAAGTTCAGACTCTTCATTCCCTCCTCTCCTCTCCTGCTGCAGGACTGTGAGTCCTTTGAGAAGTGTTGTCCTAACGTCTGTGGAAACAAGAGCTGTGTGGCAGCGCGCTACATCGACATCAAGGGGAACAGGGGCCCCGTAGGAATGCCGAAGGGCGCCACCTGTGACAAGTTCATGTGTTCACAGCAAGGCTCCGAGTGCGACATCTGGGATGGACAGCCTGTTTGTAAGTGCAGAGACCGCTGCGAGAGAGAGCCCCACTTCACCTGCGCCTCTGACGGCATGACCTACTACAACAAGTGCTACATGGACGCAGAGGCCTGTTCCAAGGGTATCTCTATCTCTGAGGTCACCTGCAGGTAACATGTTAAGTATTTTAGATCTCTACTATCTGTTTGTGCTGCTGCTGAGGACAGGTAAAGTCTTCAACCAATCAGTCAGAGCAAAAACTGTTTACAACCCCGAAAAGGTTCGGAGCCAAAAAGATTTTCAATCATTTAATAAACCTCATGATTTTAAAGCAGACCACAAATCAGCTGTGAAGACCAAGAGTACCTGCTGTGAGCTTCATGAGGCCCAGAGAATCCATGATCTCCAAAAGGAGGGCCAGATTTTGATTGGTCAGACCACCTCAGTCCACCTTAAAGGGATATTCGGGCGTAAAATTAATTTAGGGTCAAACTCACCGTAACTCCGAGTTAGACCCCCCTCCAGAGATGAATGTTCCCGACTGCTTGCTTCTCTAGTTATACCAACTACCAATCAAATACCAACCAAAACACCACTCTATAGCCACAAATAATGCTCAGAACAGCACCTAACTGAGACCTGAGACCTCAGGCCGGTCCATTACGGACTACAGCGGGGTGCCGCAGCTCAAGGAAGAACATTTATGATCATTTCTTCATGGAAATACAATCAGACCGAGACGCTAAGACAGAAGAACTACCGCGTCTGTAAAATGATTAATATGGTGATTATTACTTAAAGGAAATGATAAAGAAATGATCATAAATGTTCTTCCTTGAGCTGCGGCACCCCGCTGTAGTCCGTAATGGACTGGCCTCAGGTCTCAGGTCTCAGTTAGGTACTGTTCTGAGCATTGTTTGTGGCTACAGAGTGGCGTTTTGGTTGATATTTGATTGGTAGTTGGTATAACTAGAGAAGTAAGCGGTCGGCAACATTCATCTCTGGAGGGGGTCTCTAACTCGGTGTTATGGTGTGTTTGACCCTAAATTAATTTTACGCCGGAATATCCCTTTAAATAGGCTCAGGTTCAGAGAAGTCTCAAATGTTTCTGGTTCTGTCCGGTCTCCTCTTTCATGGTTCGGTTCTTAAGCCTCATTCACAGACTGTGATTCCGAGCCCATGCGGTGATTCCCACTCCAGAGTCCTGTCTGTTTTTAATGCCGGAGGGCCTGAAGGTTTTGGTCCTGGTCCCCAGATTTCTCCAGGTTCTCTGGATCTTTGTCCCGGTTCGGTTCTTTCTTTAAAACTTTCGCGATCACACGTTTCCGTCTTCACCTCTGGTTTGTGTGTTTTTGCTGATTGAACATTTGAAAAAGCGTCTGAACCTTTTTGGAGTTGTCTTAGTTCCAGGAGAAGATCCTGGACCTGGACCCTCTGCTCTGAATAACTCATTTCTTCCTCACCTTACCTACAGGTACCACCTGACCTGGCCAGACACCAGTCCAAACCCAGAAGAGACCACCTTACATCCCACCACCGCCCTCCAGACCACCCTCCCTGCTGACATCCAGCTCCCCTCCATCCACAGCGGCCCCTCCCAGCAGGCCGTGTTTGTCGGTGAGACCGCCAGCTTCCTGTGCGAGGTATCTGGGAAACCTCGTCCAGAGGTCACCTGGGAGAAACAGCTGAAGGGCAAAGAGAACACCGTCATGAGACCCAACCATGTCCGAGGGAACGTGGTGGTCACCAACATCGGTCAGCTGGTCATTTACAACGCTCAGCTCCAGGACGCCGGCATCTACACCTGCACGGCGAGGAATGTGGGCGGCAGCGTGTCGGCGCACTTCCCCTTGGTGGTGATCAGGAAAGAGGCGAAGGGTAAAGCCGCCGACGGGAACAGCACCAACCTGCCGTTTCCTGCCGAAGAGTGCCTGAAGAGTCCGGACACCGACGACTGTGGCGAGGAGAGCATCAGCTGGTACTACGAGCCCAAGAGGAACAACTGCTTCACCTTCACCTACAGCCAGTGCAACAAGAACCGGAACCACTTCGACTCCTACGAAGCCTGCATGCTGTCGTGCGGAGGCGATCTGGCGGCTCCCTGCAGCCTCCCGAGCCTCCAAGGACCCTGCAAAGCGTACGAGCCGCGCTGGTACTACAGCAGCACCCTGAAGAAGTGCCAGTCCTTCGTGTTCGGCGGCTGCGGCGGAAACGAGAACAACTTTGAGTCCAAAGAGGCGTGCGAGGAGATGTGTCCTTTTCCAAAGAACCACAACTGCAAGATGTGCAAACCTCGAGGGAAGATGGTCAACAGCTTCTGCAAGAGCGACTTTGTGATCCTGGGCCGTGTGACGGAGCTGACGGAGGAGCAGGAGTCGGGCCACGCCTTGGTGACAGTGGAGGAGATCCTGAAGGACGAGAAGATGGGTCTGAGGTTCTTCGGTAAGGAACCTTTGGAGGTGACTCTACTGAACATGGACTGGAACTGCCCCTGCCCCAACATCACCACCGCTAACGGGCAGCTCATCATCATGGGGGACGTTCACAACGGCATGGCGGTGCTGCAGCCCGACAGCTTCGTGGGCGCCTCCAGCTCTCGCAAAATCAGGAAACTGCGCGAGATCGTCCACAAGAAGACCTGCGATTTCCTGAGAGATTTCTCTGCGGTCCAATAGAGTCTCCTTAAAGTCACGGCGGCGTTGTTCTTGATGGTTCTGATCTCAGCGACCTCACCAGTCTGACCCACTGACTGTAAACAAACCAAAACCAGAACCTGGACCTTTCATGTGTAAGGTGAACCCCTCTCTCTCCCTCCGTCTGGTGGTCTGAAGGTCTCAGCAGGGTCTCAGTACATTTACTCACGTTACTGTGTACTTGGACTTGTGTAAGTAGTTTTTGAATCAGCTCTCTATTACTCGAATATTTAAAGTTTTAGCCGAAGTTACCCAGTAAAAATATCAACAGCTGATTGGACGGTGAAAACGCTCGAATATAAACGAGTGAATTTGTTTTTAAAATATCTCCTTTTACTTTCTTTACGCCACAAAAAAGATCTGGTTTTAGTTTGAAATGAATCTTGTTTAAAGCTCCTGTGAGGAATATTTGATTGTTTTGATTTTGGCGCCCCCTGTGGCCATAGCAAATAGTGCAGTTGGTGCGGACAGATGTCAGTACTCTCTTTATTTCTCTGTAATTCTCTCGTTAAAGCTAAAGTACTTTAAAGCTCCTGTGAGGATCTTTTGGTTTATGTAAGGTTTAGCGCCCCCTGTGGACAAAAAACTCCTTGCATTTGTAATTATTGTGAGTTTTAAGTACATTTAAATTCTTAAATACTGGACAAACAGGTAGTTTTACTCCTACTTAAGTACACCAACATTGAGGTAGTTGTTGTTTTATTTGAGTTTACTGAGTTTTAGTGAATCTCCGTATAAACTTTGATTCAGACGTGTCTGTGCTGCTCCTCAAACTGAAATAAAAACACACGTATGAAGGACAGACTTATAGAGCTCTGTCTGGAACAGGACAGATAGTATTCTGGTTTACCCCTCGAGTATAAGTATTTAACCTGTGTACTTTCTCAGCTGAATAATAATAGACTGTCTCTCCATGAATGCTCTCTGATAGTTTAGTTAGCTGTCGCTCCAGGGCTGCCAAGTTTCAGAAAATGACAAGAGTGAGACTTCGGCGTTATGACGAGTTCAGCGGCGAAAAAATTTTTTTTTTTCCTTTTTTAACGTGGATTTATACCTTAAGACTGACGTCATCACCTCCACGCCAGCTGCTCTCCCAATGCTCGTCTTAACTGTAACAAGAATTTTGACAAAATACATTTCGGCTACGTTTACATCCGACCTATACGTCATCAATATGCGACAAACGTCACCATTGTTCGACAACACAAACAGGCGCTGAAAGCAATTTGTGCTTTGTGCACATGCGTTCACATAGGATGCCGCATTTGTTGTTGTAATGTTAAAGACCGCACAAAAAGATCGGATTTAACAAAAAATCCGAACTGTGCATCAGAACCTGCAGTGTGAACGTAGCCTTATTTGTCGATATTGCGTTACGTCGAGTGGGTTTTAAATGTCGGCGCTGTTGTGTGTGAAAGAGAGAAAGAGACGCCAAGACCACCCCCCAAAAAAATCTCAGCGTTTCAGTTACCAAGTCGGAAAAAAGCAAAAACAAGACGGCTACATCTACAAGTTATTTTGATGCTAGTCATGTCCGGATATGAAGCAAGTGCTAAAATAGCTTTTGTAGATGTAGCCATCTTGTTTCCACCTCCGATTTTGTTTTTTTTTTTGCCTTGGTAACCAGGTGTGACGTCATTTTCAGCTTTGACATTGGACTTGCGAAGTAACTCAAACGCGGCATCTGGCACAAAGGACTGGTCTGGGATTGGTTATCTCAGTCAGCCAATCAGAGTTACTTGAACTACGGCGAGCCACGTTTATTATCATGAAAAAAGTAAATACAGAGTATTGAACGGGGAAAAATAAGCGTGAAAAATGTCAAGTGTGGCGTGTGGCGTGAGAGCCGGTCAAATGGCGTGACTGTCACACTCAAAGCGTGATGCTTGGCAGCTCTGTAGCTCTCTCATAGATCAGTTAGCGTTAGCGCTCATGATTCCTGTCTTCACCTCGTTTTTCTCTCGGTCTTAAATCTGACCGAGTCTTTTGATGCCGAGTTCAGACTCGGTACCAGAACCCAATAAGCTCTTTGGTTCCTCGTTTTCCACGTCAGGAACCTCCTTGATAATTTACAAAACATGTATGTGAAGCTCTGCTCTTTGTATTTATTGTCCTTGATTGATCTCTGATTGGGCAGCAGCCAGAGTAGATCTATGTGGATGTTATCTATGCTAGACTAGAGTTCATCTAACTTTTGTTGACGATGATGAAAATGAATAAAAACTGATTTGGACCAACGAGGACTCATGTTTCTGCTCCTCTCATGTGTGCTGCTTCTCCACACACACACACACACACACACACACACACACACACACACACACACACACACACACACACACACACACACACTCAGGGCCCAGTCTGAAGCAGGTCACATTCCAGCCCAGCTGTGGAGGCCTGCAGAGCTCTCTGTGTTGTGTTGTGTCTGGGTCTGGGGCCCTCACATAGCACACACCCCACCGGCCCTCCACTGGCCCTGGGCGGCCCCTTTCATGTGCGTGAGGCCGGGGGAGAGGGAGGATGAGGGGGAGGACGGGGGGGAGGATGTGGGCTGACCCTCTCTCTCTCTCTCTGTCACATCTGTGCTGATGGTTTCAGAGATCTTTGCTGCTTCTTCTTCTTCTTCTCAAACCTCGGTGAGACTCAAACTCAGAGATCATGAAACAGAGAGAGGAGACGCTGACCTCCCCCTCCTCACTCTCACCCCCCTCCTTCTCCTCACCCCCTGCCTCGGCCGTCTTCCTGACAGCCAGCCCTGGCGGTGACCTCTGACCCCGCTGATGAAAAAGAGTTCATGGAGGAAAAGGCCACTTTCATCAGACCTGTCGACAGCGTTAAGTGAGCGGACCCCCCCCCACATCACAGACAGACGCTGATTTGAGGATCAAGTTCACTCAGAGACCACCAGCCAGGCGGCCCGCCAGACAGACCCGAGTAATAACCCAGACAGAGGAGGGGGCGCCACGGCCTCAGTGACTCGGATCATAGAGAGACCTGCAGCTCAGACTGAGACAGGGCCGGCCCACAGAGACCCGGGTTCATGTCTGACAAACACCTGAGCATCAAACCCAAGAGCTGCAGCTCCTCCAGAACCTGGTCCTGAGTTCAGTCTGCAGTAAGACCATCACAGCTCAGTGACTCCTCATGACCCGGGTCTACAGTCCTCGTGTTCCTGTTCCTTTAAGGTCCAGGATCATGTTTGTGTTTCAGACTTTTTTCCACTAACAGAATAAAAAACTTCTTCCTGTAATGATTCCGATTGTCCACTAGATGGCAGCACACTAATAAGAGATGTGCTGAAAAGTTTCTCCTCTGCTTCTGAAATATGATGATGGTGTTTTTCTGAAGCTCAAAGTTATTTTTTAAACACGATAATGACCGAGTTTAACAATAATAATAATAATAATAATAATAATAATATTATGCTTAATAGTTTAAATTGGTTCAAGCTGGTTGTGACCACAAGAGAGAGAGAGAGAGGGACAAACATCCTGAGAAGGTTCAAATAAAACTCTTAATTAACCCGATAAGTTTACCTCACTGACTATAAAGAGGAGGAGAAGAGCATGGATCTGACAAGGAAGAGAGGAGATAAGGGGATAAGGAGACAGGGGGGAGAGAGAGGAGATGAGGAGATAGGAGGGAAAAAAGGGGGGTAAGGAAACAAGGGAGGAGATAAGGAGACAAGAGAGGAGATAAGGAGATAAGGAGAAAGACAGGAGATAAGGAGACAGGACACAAAAGAGAGGAGATAAGGAGAAAAGGAGACAGAAGAGAAAGAGAGGGGAAAAGGAGATAAGGAGACAGGAGAGGAAAAGAGGGGATAGGAGATAGGAGAGAACGAGAGGAGATAAGGAGACAGGAGAGGAAGAGAGGGGGAAAGGAGATAACTCAACTCAACTTTATTTGTTAAGCACTTTAAAACAACCACAGCTGTACAAAGTGCTGTACATAACTACACAAAACAACAAGATAAAAAAACAATCAAAAAACAATTAAAACAATGGATAAAATAAAAGCAGAATTAAAAGTATTGTTTCAATGCTTTTAAAAACTAATTTAAAAACATAGAAACAAATAACTAAAAACAAACCATAAAACACTAAAACAGGAGCTGAGTCTCATGGAGGGTTAAAAGCCAATGAATAAAAATGGGTTTTAAGACGAGTTTTAAAAATGGACAGTGTGGGGGCTTCTCTAATTTGGAGGGGTAGCTCGTTCCATAAAATTGGGGCTGCAACAGAAAAGGATCTATCCCCTCTGAGCTTCCGTTTGGACCTCGGAACCTGCAGGAGCAGCTGATCAGCTGACCTGAGGCACCGAGCTGGGGTGTAGGGGTGGAGAAGCTCAGAGAGGTATGATGGAGCCAGACCATTTAAAGATTTAAAAACAATAAGGAGACAGGAGAGAAATAGAGGAGGTAAGGAGAGGCAGGGAGGAGGAGAGAGGATGTTGAGGGTGGGATGAGGGGGGTAAGTGGTTGATGGAGGCAGAAAGTGGTGTTAGTAGAAGGTGGTGTAAACAGTCCTGAACGTTGCTGCTGCTGCTGTGACTCTGGAAGGTTCCTGGTCCCCCTTCTCTATAAATCGTTCCTGCTCAGTGTCTGAAAACTGGGACACGGTTCTTCTCATCTTCTCCATCCAGACCTCCAACATCTACACCGACAGATCCTGGGGCTGAGTCTGACTCTAACAGGATCTTTTTTAGGGTGAAATGAACCTTTACCTCCGATCAGCTGATCAGACCTGGACCTGGACCTGGACTACCAGGTTTGTCCATGAACTCAAACCCAGGTTCTGCTGACATGACATGATGGAGGTGAAGGTGAGAACAGGTGAAACACTGAAACAGACGATCGTGGACATCCATCCTTCACACACACTCCTGCAGCAGGAAGTGTTCTCATATATCAACACAGGTCCTCACGTCGACATAAATGTGAGAACATCATATCGCCCTTAGCAAAACACACACACACCTGAGTTTGATATGAGGAGACGCACACATGACACAGCAGAGTGGAGAGAGGAGAGGAGAGGGGAGGAGAGGAGGAGAGGAGGGAGGAGAGGGGAGGAGAGGGGAGAGGGAGGGAGAAGAGGGGAGGAGAGGGGAAAGGGAGGGAGGAGAGGGGAGGAGGGGGAGAGGGGGAGGGAGGAGAGGGAGGGATGCTGGGAACACAATGTTCAGATCTCAAACAAACACTCAGAGATTCAGTGTTTGAGTCGAGAGCTGCTATCCCAGAGTGACCTGCTCGTTCGGAGTCCGATCAGCTGACAGGAAGTAACAGACCGGGGGGGTCGGGGTGGGGGGTTGCTGAAGTGCGGTCTGACTCTGATTCCTGTCCTCGTACCCTGGACTTAAACTGCTGCTCACTGTACATAGCTCTCTGTCAGCTGACGGCTGTAGTGACATCACAGACCTGGTTGCCGTGGTTCCTGACAGACCAATAAACTGTCTGCTCTGGGCTGCTGTGGAGGTCTGCAGACACTAGGGGGAGTCCTGGACCAACATCAGTCAGAGACTCGGTCTGAACTGGGGGTCTGAAGGTGTTTGGGATCCTCTGAGTTTTTTTTCTGGAAGGTGGCGCTAAAACGTCGCCGTACAGGAGAGATGATGGATGGACATCTCTGACCTTCAGGGTTAGGGGTTCGAGGAATCGGCCTCAGAGGGAAGTTTGGATGTTGGCGCTCGCCACCACCGCCTCACTGATGACTGAGTGGAGCAAAGGCGTGCAGCTCAGGACTCCAGAGCTGTGTAAAGAGTAACACCCAGGACGGCTGTGTGTGTTCAGTCAGCTGGTTAAACAGGATCAGCTAAGGCTGCAAGGTTCACTCCTCCATCATCATCGACGCCGTTTCAAAGACCGCTCTCTCACTCGTTTCCATGACACTTGAGAAAACCGAATTATCGCCTTATTCCGATTAAGACCGGACAACTAAAGTGCATGTAAACACCTTAGTCTGAAACTGAATGTAAACACACTGAGTGTCTGTGTTTGACTTCCTGTTTGTGGCTCTTTCAAAATAAACCTCAGAGGAGGGTCGTCTGTTAGCTTGTGTCATTCTCGGTGTTATGTGGCCCTTACATAATGACGCCTGATTTAGCTCAGGGGGACACGGCTCCTGTCAGATAGTTTCCAAGTTGAGTCATGGTCTCAGAGAGGACTTCATGGACCCTAAAAACACAACGGAAGTTAACAACGCAAAAGAAGTAGTGGTGTAGAAAAAAAAAGTTATTCACTGCAACAGAAGTGAGCTGCCGAGGACCAATCATGAAAAAAAGCAAACTTATTTTTTATTAGTAACGCTACCGAGCTCGATTCTCCTCTGGTGGGTGGGCTTCTGGGGCGTAGCGGGTTTCCCGTGTTAGCCGAAGCTAACACTACACCAACATCCTCCAGTTCAACTTCATATGGACTCAGGCGCTACATGGTCGAACCACATGACGCATTAAAATGTTTACAAAGCGAAATTAAACAAAAACCTTTCCACTAACTTCTTTGTTCGTCTTCTCGCCGTCGTCTTCTGTGCCTAGATCGTAAAACACCGGTGCATCATCATTACTGGTCCCTGGCGGCTCACTTCTGTTCTGGCTTTTTTATTTGTATTCTTTTATTTTCGTAGTAAGAGTTTTTTTTATTAATTTATATTTATTTTTTTTGCGACACTGTTTCTTTTTTTATTTGCAGCGGGCTTCAGATTCATTTTTTTTTTGCATCGGTAACCTCCGTTTCAACTTCTTTTTATTGCATTCTTTTTTATCTGCTGCAGTGGCGGTTCTCGGCCACCGTACATCATATTAGTTTTATTCCTACAGGAGAGGCTGAGAGTCTACAAGACGACAACGACAGTCAGCTGAAGAGACGAGCAGATATTCAGAGTAAGAGAGAAACAAGGAAGGAGGAGGTGTGTGTGTGTGTGTGTGTTGGCTGCAGAGCAAATACCTCTAAGCTGGCTCCCGCTGAAATCCTCACGTGCGGCTCACATCTAATCAAGGCGTGTGTGTGTGTTTAAGTGTGTGTGTGTGTGTGTGTGTGTGTGTGTGTGTTTAAGTGTGTGTGTGTGTGTGTGTGTGTGGTAGATCCCATGACGTCGTACTTGCGTCCTGAGCAGCTTAGACAGCATGTCACTGTTATTAAACCTCTCCATCACATGACCCCTGACCTTTGACCTGAGTGGTTCCTGCAGCAGTGAGAGTGCTCACAGTCTCACGGAGAGTCAGGACCGAGACTCCTGACCTGACTGAAACTGGACTTTAGAATCCACAGCAGCATGAAGACTCAGGTGTGACGAGAACACACTCGAGTTTATGAGCGTCACTCAGTCAGGAGGTCACAGCGCTCTCTAGTCTGTCATAAACAAAAATCCCTGTTCATGAATATTTAATGAGCACCACCATATAAGGAAGAGGAGATCTGTGCTTCCTGATGATTGGTTCTGACCCGTTGATGAGATCAATAATCAATGACTTGAATTTAGAGCAGAAATGAAGAACTTTAGAAACACAAAGATTGAACATGTTTAACATAAATAAACACCAAAATGTTCATCAGAACAGACAACAGCATCATCGACACCAGAGGACACACCTGTCAGCACAGAACCAGAACCAGAACCAGAACCAGGAGGATCCAGATACTCTCACACACCTCAGCAGAAAACACAGACTCAGAGAGAAAGGAGGAGGAAAAGAGGAGAGGAGAGGAGAGGAGAGGAAAGGAGAGAAAAGGAAAAGAAAGGGGAAGAGGAGAGAAGAGGAGAGAAGAGGAAAGGAGAGGAAAGGAAAGGAGAAGAGGAGAGAAGAGGAAAGGAGAGGAAAGGAAAGGAGAAGAGGAGAGGAGGGGGTAGGAGAGGAGAGGAGAGGAAAGAGAAGAGAAGAGGAAAGGAGAGGAGAGGAAAGAAGGGGAGAAGAGAAGGAGAGAAAAGAGGAGAGGAAAGAGGGAAGGAAAGAGAAAGAGAGAGAGAGAGGAGAGAAAGAGATAGAGACACAGTGGTCAAGTGAGAGAGAGACACACACACACACACACTCTCTCACACACACACACACACACACACACACACACACACACACACACACACTCACACAGAGGTAGAGAGAGGCCCAGCCTGCTGAGCCTGCAGGTCTCTCTTTATGTCCTCTGTAATCTGAGCTTTCAGGGCCCGGCCCGGTCGCTCCGGCCCTCTGACTGAGCTGAATGGGGGTCAGACTCGGCCCCCTCTGTCTTTCCTGTGCTTTCACTCTGCTTAGCTCGGCAACTCTGATTATAAACAGAGAGGGAGGGGCCCGAGTCAGGGGCCACCTGCTGGACTGTGGGGGTCTGCTGCTGGGATCAGGGTGAGAAGATGTGGTCCTTCTGTGGGAGTGATGGTGAGCTCCCAGTTTGAGTCTGTGTGAACGAGTGAATGAAGTGAGAGAATAAACCACTCTCTGTTTACATCCATCCATCCAATAATAATAGTATATTATAATAGTAATATAATAAAGCATATATAATAATGATAATAATGGTAACTTTTCTAATGATAGTAACAGTATATTGTAATAGCAATAATAGTTTATGTATAGTAAAGATAATAATTTAATTGTATAATCTCTAATATAATAATAGTATATATAATAATGATACTAATATAATAGTATATTCTCTAATATTTAATAGTATTCTATAATAGCAAAATAATAATAGTATTTATAATAACTATAACATAATAGTATATTCTCTAATAAAATAGTAACAATAAAAAAATAATAATAATAACAAAAATAATAATGTCTGTTGTCGAATATAATAATAGTAAATATAATAGTAAACACCCTTATATAATAATAATAATAATAATAATAATAATAATAATAATAATAATAATAATAATAATGATATATCTGTCTCTCTGATCCACCTTCCGTCACCCTGAACTGTTAGACTGGGAGCGTCACAGATCTGTGGGGAGGACCGACAGTTTAAAGCTCTGGAGATGTTGCTCCATCACATCTTTACATTAACATTAGTGTGTTTTATTTTCCTTCATGTTAATGTCCATCCTTCATGATGAACGAGGATTCTGAACATTTAGGACTTTCAGAGCGTCTCTGAAGAACCTGGACAGGATCAGGTCTGGGTGAGGGTCTGGATTTTCAACCCTCTCTGCAGGTCCAGGAGCGGAAAATCTGATGGACTCACTGAGACCACCTGAACATCTAAGAGGCAGTTAGAGCAGAACAGATCTGTGTGTGTGTGTGTGTGTGTGTGTGTGTGTGTGTGTGTGTGTGTGTGTGTGTGTGTGTGTGTGTGTGTGCATGTGTGTGTTCATGTGTGATGCTGCAGTGGAGCTCAGATAACCTTGGGTTAGTGCCGACTACATGACCGCTGCTGCTGCACAATAGAGATGATTAATGTTCTCACACACACACACACACACACACACCCATGTCACATCAGGTGGAGTACGTACCTATAAGTGTGTGTGTGCGTTGCCAGGGTGACGGCCTCGTCTCTTGGATGTAATGAGGCCTGCTGACCAGTCCCATGGTTCCATCTGGTCCTGAGGGCCGACGTCTGAGTCCAGCACACACACACACACACACACACACGGATCCATCATGGCCGAGGGTCTGCACATGCTCAGATTCATCGTCACTACAGCTGTTATTAGTGAGGCTGAAAACACAGATTCAGTCTCCTGAAGCACAAAGATCAGTGAGAACAGGAGGACTGGAGGTGACCGTGTGTGTGTGTGTGTGTGTGTGTGTGTGTGTGTGTGTGTGTGTGTGTGTGTGTGTGTGTGTGTGTGTGTGTGTGTGTGTGTGTGTGTGTGTGTGTGTGAGCTCAGAGCCTATAAATATAAATATGTCCTCTGACTGCAGAGAAACCAACGAAGAAGAAGAGAGCGCCGCGGCCACATTCATACAAACCCTCTGTTCAGTCAGAGTGTTTGTTGTTCTAAAAAAAGAAACTATTATCCTGTTGGAACAGGAACACCCCCCTCCCCCCCGCAGGTTTTTATCTCTCTGCCTTTTTCTGGATCCTACCTCTGTATTTCAGTGAGTGTGTGTGCGTGTGTGTACATGCTTGTGAGTCAGCTGAATCACTAACACTTGGCACAGAGAGAGTGTGTGTGGGGGGGGGGCAGAGAGTGATATCGGCCTATCAGAGGAGGAGGTGGAGAAACTCCTGTTTCTAATGTCTGATAGTGCAGCTGCTGAAAAAAGATAAATGTGAGAGCAGGTGTGGAGTAGAAATGGTTCTAAAGATCATTGTTATTTAATTTCTAAAGGTGACAAACAGGAAAAAAATCACCAACAGAACATCAAACACCTCTCCAACAAGGAAAGACGCCAACTCACTAAAGTTCATCCAAAAATATAAATAAATGAAAGATACGACCTAATGGGAAATCATTAACTCACTGTAAAGACAATAACACAACCATCCATTAATGTAAATAAAACACCCTAACATTAGTGTAATAAAATTTGAGAATTTCCCAGTTTGGGATCAATAAAGTATATCTATCTATGTAACTAGAATACCCGAACATTAATGTAAATAAAACACCCGAACATTAAAGACAATAACACAACCATATGTTATTGTAAATAAAACACTCAAATATTAGTGTAAATAAAAAACCCTAACTTTAATGTAAATAAAAAACACCCTTACATTTATATTAATAAAACACCCTAACATTTATATAAATAAAACACCCTAACTTTAATATAAATAAAACACCCTAACTTTAATATAAATAAAACACCCTAACTTTAACATAAATAAAACACCCTAACTTTAATATAAATAAAACACCCTAACTTTAATGTTAAATAAAACACCCTAACTTTAATGTTAAATTAAACGCCCTAACATTTATATAAATTAAACACCTTAACATTGGTGTAAATAAACCGCCCCAACTTTAATGTTAATAAAACATCCTAACTTTTATATAAATAAAACACCCTAACCTTAGTGTAAATAAAACACCCTTACATTTATATAGTTAAAACACCCTAAAGTTAAAGTAAATAAACACCCTAACATTAGTGTAAATAACACACAGGTATAAGAGGTTAGACTTTAAAGATGCCACATAAATATTGCTTCCAACTTTCCTTCTAACTCTGCTTTAGGATCGTTCTGCTCACCATGTTTGGCCTTTTGGATCGAACCCTCACTCCTCTGTCCGCGGTGGATTTAAGAACAGCTGTCCTCCACCTGCTCCACCCCTGAGCCAGAGTTTTAACTTCTCTGACAATAAGAAAGCAGCTGATTGGTGTGTTTCTATCTTTAGGGAAACATGGCTCTGCTGACCAATCAGCAGCTGTAAGAGGAGACGATGAGGAGGAGGTGTGTGTGTGTGTGTGTGTGTGTGGGTGGATGCTCTCTGATGAGCCTGACCTGCTTTCATGAAAACGTTGTGCAATAACCTGCAGTACCTGTTGCAGACACAGGGGGCGCTGTGTGAGAGCTCGGAGGTCAGGTGACAGACTGGAACAGGTGAGCTGACACGGACAGGTGCGGTCAGCTCTGAATCCTTCCTGTAAATCAAACAGCGAGGAGACGTCCCCCCGCCCTCCCTCGCACTGAGACCCTCCTGTTGACTCACCTCCTTATTCTTAGATCGAAGATTTATGGAGGCGCCTAAGTCTGAGCTGGGGACACACACACACAAACACATACACACACACACACACACACAGCATATAATCAGTGTCTGCAGCGTCCTGTGGGGGCGGAGTCTAAATGACGATCTTTGGGTTGTGGTCGGCTGAGAGTCTAACCTCACAAACTCTGTGTGCGTTACTTTGTGTAAGTGTGTGTGTTTGTGTGTGTGTGTGTGTGTGTGTGTGTGTAGCAGATGATTACCGTGTCTATTGTGTGTTTCTGTGAATCCACCATGAACTGGTCTGCAGGTTGGATCACAGGGTGAGAGCAGGACCCTTCAGAGTCCTGGACCTTCAGAGTCTCTGACAGGGTTTTCTTCTACTCAGTCCATCTGTAGTTGAGCTGACCTTCACCTGGACCTGGACCTGGACCAAAGTTCCACCTGTGAAGAAGTCTGTGAAGGTCTGACCCCCCATGACCTGATGGTCCTGGATGAAGACCATCAGAGATCTTCTTCCAGAGTCTCAGAGTGGACCTGGTTTAGAAGTGTGTGATCACTCTGAAGACACCTGCACAGGTGTGTGTGTTTGTGAAGCTCCTCCATCACTTCACCCCCCTCCTAAATCTCTCTCCTTTCTCCGTCCATCATGTCCTCCTCCCTCACGCCTCCTCTGTCTGCTGACGTCTGCAGGAGCAGGGCCAAGAACGTTCTAAATCAAACACACACACACACACACACACACACAAAGAAAACTCGAGTCCCTCTGGTCTCTGAGTCCAGATCCTCTCCCCTGTTCACCAGGATTCAGGTTTTATCAGCTGAAGGATCTTCACGCCGACAGGATCAAACTTCATCAGGTCTGGACCGGGTCCAGCCTGCTGGTTCTGGTCTGCTGAGTCCCTGCTGTGCTTCTGGGGCGTCCTGACCTGGCTCCACCGCTCTGTTCTGTTCTGCTCTTCCACTTCCTCCTCCTCCTCGTTTGGCGTCCAGAAAACTCGCCGCTCTGCCAGTAACCCTGACAGCGATGGCTGACAGCGCTGCGGGCTCTAAATCACAGGTTTGAGGTTTTATGGGCCGGCTGTGGAGGGAGGGAGGGAGGGAGGAGAATAAATCAGGTCTGCTTCATAAAGAGAAGAAGGGACGCATTTTTTCAGCTTTAAGAAACAAACTCAGTTCAGTCCTCTGTGACGGTTTCAGAGACCGTCATGGTCACTATCAGAGGTCTCAGGTTAGAGGGAGCCAATGGGAGCTGCAGATTTATGTCAATCACAACCATGAACCGTATTTACTACAGACGACTTGGTTCCTCCTTCCTCCAGTTTACAAATTTGAAGCTGAAAAGTTTTCGGTAATTCCACGATTTTTCTCCACTTCCTGAAACCAACATTGTGCAGTAGCGTTGTACACATTCGGCAGGAGAGTCGCTGTGATGACGCTCGGCTCAAACAGCGTATCCCCAGGTGATCTACACAATCCTCGTCCTCCCATAGGCTGTATCAGGTGTCAATCATAGAAAACATGAACCCCCTAATAACTTTTAAAAATGGAGCTGTACAGAAAAAAGAGGACTAGAGCACCAACCAGTCTGACAGTAACTACATGTCAACATCACAACCAGGGGGGAGAAACATTTATATTCTGTGTCATTCAGTTATAAAGTTTGTCCACAGCTCCATAAGGAGGCGGGGTTTATGACCTATACTGCAGCCCGTCACCAGAGGGCGCTGTTCTCACAGTGGCTTCACCCAGCGAGGAGGCAGACGGCGTCCGTTCTAGATACAGTCAATGGTCGAGTGGCGTCTTGTTTATTAGGGGCGTGTTTTCACCCCTTCTCCTTGACCCTCAAAACAGAGGGGAGGGGGTGACAGCTGGAATCGGCGCTTAATGTGAGAGCTGCACAAAACAAAAACAGAAGAACAACAGAAGAACAACCTCGTGTAGTAGATCGGGTCGCCCAACGACAAAACAATTTATAGCACTTACGGCTAAAACATACAGGATCCTTATTGAGCGTGTGTAGACAGATCGTTTTAGCACGAAAACCGAACATGTCATCCGGTATTTCAAAATAAAACACCATATATGAACTCCTGACTGTGTATCAGTTGGTGTAGATGAGAAATCCTTCCTGGTTCTGGATTTATCAGCAACACAGAACAATCTGATGGTCAATCCCTGATCCATGTGGACCCCAACAGGACTTTGACCTGCTAACCCGGGATTTCCACGGCATCTCGTGGCAGATGAAGGAAAGAGGTAATCACGAGAACTCACAAGAACCCGCGGATTCACGTGTAATCATGGGATAACCAGTTGTCTCTCTAAAGACAGACACATAGACATATAAGCAGTAGATTGTGTCCTTCCAGAGGAGGAAATCTACTTCTAGACTTCTAGAATCAGCATCTCCTCATCCATGGTGTCATCGGGGTGAAATGACGTCTAAAAACCTTTCACTTGTTCGTCTCCGCCCGTTTGCATGGTGTGAAATACGATCCTCCTGAAACACGGAGTGTTTTATTTTGAAAAGAAGCCGGATGTTTTATTTTGTGTCTGTGCCCGACTTCCTTTCCAGCACGGGTTAATCTGTGCTGAATTTATCCGCCATGCTCCGGCGTCCAGAAAAAATAGAACTCTTGTGATCAGCTGAGGAGTCCGGCGATCCGCAGAGGAACGGAAAGAAGTCGGTGTAAATTGACACGTTAACTTGAACGGTTATGATCAGCTACGATCGGAGGATACGACCTTTTAGGAGACGATCAGGATGAAGGTGGAGATTGCCGGTGACTCTGTCTGAAGGAAACAGCATATAGGAACAGAGTTGACTTTATTAAACACGATTAAACCTGCAAAAACACAAACTGTAAAAATCACTTAAAGACAGTTGAGGCTCAATGGTCACTGAATTATATCAGAATTATCAGGAAATCGACCACAGAAAGGAAAAACAACCTGTTGTGAGCGTGTTGTTTCCTCTTTACAATACACTGATCCTGTACGAGATACCCAACGCTGCTCTACGGAGCTAACACAGAACAACGCGCTCAATATGGATCCTGGATGTTTCGGGTTTAAGGATGAAATTCTGGATTTGTCTCGACGCGTCAGAAAACCTTCAAACTCTCCCTGAGGAAAACGAGGAGCGACGGTCTGAGGCGTAAAAAGCATCTGAACACGAGGAAATGTTTGTTTTCAAGCTTTTTAATAGAAACTTAATAAACTCTCAGTCCCTCTGCAGCACATGTAAGACACGGACTCCAAAGACTTTGTTATACCGTTTGTTTTTATCAAGTATTGCACAATGTAGGTACAAAATTAATATACGATTACATTTTGTCCATAATATAGCAAAAATCTTTAAACTCTTAACAGAAAATACAACTCTTATGTTTTTCAAAAAAGCAAATATTCTTAAATCCCACCACTACGGAATATTCTGTACACAATATTCTTTCCAAGAGTCAATGTTCTGAAAGATGGATCGTCTGATCGTCTCAGTAAAAAAGAAAACATAAAGTCGCTGCAGCCATCACAGATCACTGGAGTAGTAAAAAGATAGAAATGCAATACCATGTCGTAGAAACAATAGATACTCTGATATTTTACAAACTCTGTACTAAATTAAATTATACAATTAGAAAAAAGACCAGGAAATCCCCCCTTTGGTTCTGGGAGAAGGTGGCGCTGTCCAGTTCTGTTTAAATACTGAGAGAGGTCGGGACTCGTGGTTCTGTGAGAGTTCTAGATTCTTCTTCTTCTTCTTCAACATAAAAAATAAAGAGTTTTGTGCTTGGTCGGCAAAGAAAAACGATGATGATGTTTGGAGAACCAAGCTCGGACATCTTGTACCAAAAAACTCCAGAGTGGGTCACCCCGGGCCCGAACCGGGACCCGACGGCCCACGGTCTCTTTTTTTGTCCTTTTGTGACATTCGCTTCGTTTTTTTTTTTTTTCACTTTTTTTTCAGTGGATTTTTTCAGAGCCCCTCCCCAGGCCCCGCCCCCCCCGGTTCACATTATCTCTGGTCGTTTGTGAAGTAGCTTCGGTGTCGTACTAGTTGGCCATGACAGGCTGGAATTGCTGGTTCGAATACTGCATGTTGTTCAAGCTGAAATTCAAGCCGTCCATCAGGGACTTGTCGTTAAGGCCGCCGTACGCCGCGAACACGTCGAAGGCATTGCTGTACTGCAGCGGGCTGAGGCTGAGCGAGCTGTCCCCGGAGAACAGGGCGCTCTGGCCGCCGCCTTGGCCGCCCTGAAGGCTGGGGAACACAAACTCCTTGGCGTTGGGGGAGAGGGCGGAGGGCTTCTGGTGCTGCTGCTGCGGCGGCGGCGGTTGCACCCCCAGGCCCAGCCCGTACAGAGAGTGCATGGAGGTGGAGATGGCTTTCTGTTTCAGGAGACTGTTCACATTCAGGCCCAGGTTGGTGGGAGAGGTACGGGCCGCCTTGTTCCCGGCGCCGCCGCTGCCGCCACCGTTGTTGGCGTTGTTGCGTCCGCTGCTCTTCATCTTAGTGGAGCCGAACTTGGTGGCGGCGAAAGTGGCGGTGGTGAAGGTTAAAGGCTGCGTGGAGCGGGGCATGAAGGTGGGGCTGACGGCCGCCGAGTGGCCGAACGGCGGTGAGGGGGAGCTGGAGCCCGGGGACGCCCCGCTCACGGGCTCGTTGATGGGCATGAAGACCTGCGCGTCGGGGTTGAAACTGTTCTTGATCTCCTTGTCCAGGTCCAGCCCCCCTCCGTTGGCGCCGCTCTCGTTGCTGTCGTCCACGTACAGCACTTTGACCGGCCCCTTCTCCCCGATCTGATAGGACACCTCGAAGGGGTCGATCCACACGCTGAGGTCCTGGGGGAGGTTGTTGCGGACGTCCTCGATGTCCAGCCCGCTCTCTTTGGCCGCCTTCTCCACCACCGGGTCCACCTTCTCCCCGACGTGGATGCACCTGAATCCTGAACCCTTGTATGGCTTGTCTGGGTACCAGTGTCCCTCATACTTCTGCTTCAGCTGCCTCTCCAGCTCCTCGCCAAAAATGTTGACCCGCCGCCGCGGCAGCTTGTTGTACAGGTAGGAGATGATGAAGTTGAGAGCTACTTGGATTTCAAGCTGCATAGCTGACTGCTGAACGTTCCTGGGTGGGAGAAGGTCCGAAGTGTCTGACTGTGTCCGCTGGGTCTGCTTTGTGTCTCCGTGGTTACCAGAAGAGGATGGCCGAGTCAGCGAACGTCCAACAAAACGGCTCCGAAGCAAAAGTGCTGGTTATGTCCAAGTGTTGTCCTTCCACAGATGACGGGTGAGACGGGTGATTCCTGCAGAGACAAAGACAGCCGTCATCATCAGCGCCGTGTTTAAACACACTATCAGGTTCTCACACTCTGAGCTCTTATCCGCCCTCTCACAGACAGACAGACGGACGCTCTGCTGACGTCGACGACGCTGCAGCAGTGGAAGTGATCCTGAATTATTAACAGGTGTGTGTGTGTGTCTGAGGTACAGGTGTGTGTGTGTGTCTGAGGTACAGGTGTGTGTGTGTCACAGTTTGGACTGAACCCTTTCCTTTTCAATCAGAGTCTAAACTCGGTGTATTCGACCTGACTGAGCAGAGCAGGGCGGATACTGAGCGCTCAAACCTGCTCTGAGACTCGGGAATCCTGTTACATAATAAGCTGCCAGATCTCCTCCATAGAGGATCAGCAGGGGGAGGAACGCCGAGCTGAATAAGAGCGAGAAACACGGTCTTTATTTAGGAGGAACAGCAGGATTCATGCAGAAAAAAAAACACGAGCTAAGGAGGATCTGCTTCAAACAACAGAGGAAATAAAGGTTCAGTCCCTCTCTCTCTCTCGACACCTTAAAGGGATGAGACGTAAATGTGATCAGCCTTAAGAGGAGACAGGCTGTGAACGTGTCACATCCCTTTAACCCTAGAAGACGATCTCCGGGTGATTTGCATGATGTTGTGTTTGTCATCATCCTTTGATATCTTTGAAGACAAAACCTGCTTTTTCCTACAGACTCGTGTTCACAGGCTGATTTTAGTGATCGAGGGTAAAGTAGGTTTGGGTGGATTTGATAGCTGCATGTAGGGAATAAGGTCAGTAAGAGTGGTCCCTGAATTTAGGTTATGGTGATGAATAACTATCACAAAGTCGTGACTTTTAAGGGAATTCATTTGTAGATGTGAAATATTGGAGTCATTTTTACTCCAAATCTGTCATATTCTGGTTCTCTCTCCTGTTATTGTGCTAAAGACCCTGAGTCTGAACCAGGGAAGACTCTCAGAAGAAAACTAACTTTACAGTTTATATGAATTTTTTGTTGATGAACGCCTAATTTCAATTATTTTGCTGTATTTTTTCCCTCCTTTTAGACATTACACAGTTTAAAATCAAAGAAAACTACTTTAATTTGTCATCTATTGTCCTATTTTGATATATTTTGATGAAAATACTCTTTCTTGGGTTTATTATTTCAGGTAAAAATCACCTGATAGTGACAGTGAAGGTGTTTCAGGATTAAAACAGACTAAAGTGGATTTATCGTCCCTAATGGAGGTCTGAGGAAAAACTGCTCCTGTAGCGCTCAGTGTAACACATAACAGAGGGGGCCTCACCTCTCTGAGGGAACAGCCTGCAGCCTCTGACACAGTCGGCTTTAACAACGCGAGAAAGGCCGAGACCTCCGGAGTCAGAGCAGGAATATTTTTATTATTATCGTCGTTTATTCTGATTTAAAGGATTTTAAAAGGACACGTGACACGCGCACTGTGACACAAGCACGCGCCTTCACACTCACTATCTCTGTCACGTGCACGCGCGCGCACACACACACACCCCTCCCTAACTTAGAGGACTGACGCAGCAAATCAGCTTATAGAGAGGAAAGGAGAGAGGAAAGGAGAAAGGAGACATGCGAGGGGACAGGAGAGAAAGGGAAGGAGAGAGAAGGAAGGAGAGAAAGGGAAGGAAAGAGGAAAGGAAGGAGAGAGGACACATGCGAGGGGACAGGAGAGAGAAGGAAGAAGAGAAAGATAAGGATAGAGGAGACATGTGAGGAGACATACTTACAGTGTAAAAATAAAGCTCTCTCTCTCTGTTTCTCTCTCTCTCTTCGTCTCTTAGTGCAAATAGAAAAGAACTAAAGTAGAAATCTTTCGTTTCTTCAGGGTCTGCGGTATAAAAAAAGTCCAGTCCAAAGGTTCGATCCTGCTCTCTCTCTCGGTCCGGTCGGTGGTTCTCCTGGTTCCGCTCTCTCTTGGTACCTCCCTCCTCTCCGGGAGTTCTCCCCTGTTCGTCTCCTCCTGACGCGGAGCCTCCTGTATTTATAGCCTCCTCCCGCCATGGACACGAGGGGGGCGGGGCTTAGCTTTCAGAGGTCAAAACAATACGGGCGGTACCGATTGGTTCAGAGCTAGAGTCCCGCCCCCCTAAGCCGCCAGCTCATTGGCTGATACTCTCTGCCAATCAAAGGAACAGGATCGTGTGAATCGGGTGCGTCAGAGATAACTTGGGGGAGGGGGGGGTGTCTAAACCCGGACCCTCTGATCCGGACCCTCTGATCCGTCTCATAACACTCTCTCTGGACTGAATGCGGGTTCAGAACCACCCCAGTCCTCCATCAGGTCCGCAGAGCTGCAGGGACCTGACGGACTCCTGGTCGAGAGGAGATTCCCTTCAGCTGACAGCAGGGTGGGCGGGGCCGAGAAAACACGCTCTCCGATTGGTCTAAAACGGGGCAGGAGCCCTGCAGTGGTTGGTCAGCCCCGTATCCATGGTGATGATGTAGGCTGCGCACGTCATCGTTGCGACGCACGCACGCTGTTTCCAAAATTAGAGAGAGAGAGAGAGGCCGGAAGTGGAAAAACTAACAAGGGGGAGGGGGGTAGATATATAGATATTTAAAGGTACAGTAGGGGAGACCGGGATAAGTTAAACCAAAGGGTAATTTATTATAATAGATAAAAATACACCTGAATGTGAACAAGTGACTGTTATTTAGGGGGAGAGGAGGTGAGGGAGGGCTGGGGGAGAGAGTGGGGGGGTAGGAGGGATACGGCTCAACTTCCCCCCCTACTCCTATGGTCAACTTACCCCAAACAAACACAGGGTGAGTTGACCATAGGTTCTGTTTACACTCATTCTGTTGGTTTACAGGGATGAACAACATCCTGAAATATCTGCAGATACACGAGTTAGAGACAAAACCAGGATTAACTTTGATGTCAGCTCCTTTCACACCAGGAACGTTTTTATCGTGCAGTTATTTCGGACGTCAGTATTTTTTTCGAACCCGTATCCGTATCTAATACAAGCGTTCACATCAGCGATGATTTCCTGTCCTGCGATTTTGTGGCATTTATTTTTAATTTTTTTAAAAATTTTGCATACTGTGTGTCCACTTCTGACCAATCAGATTTCGTGTTGTTGCGACATTAGATTCACCGGTTTAGCCAACATGGCCGACCGACTGATTGTTTACGTGTCGGAGAACAGAGTGATTTTTGATAAAAAACACAAATATTACAAAGATAACGACCTGAAGGACATCCCAGGGACAAACTAGCCACTAGTGCACTTTTATATTTATATCTTTTATATTTTATATTTAAATCTTTTATATTTTATATTTTGTGTGTCTGTGCAGCAGTTAGACAGAGAGAGATAATCGTGGAGCTCTGAAGAGTTTTTAAAAGTCAGAGTTGTTCTAACTCCTAAAAAAACAAACTTAAGCGGGGGCGTTTCTCCACCTCTGTAGTCTATAAGCTGGGCCAATAAACTTCTACTGTAGTAAAATGAAAAGGTAAAGGTGTTTTTATTGAGCCGAATTATCAATAAAATCATGATTTTGTTAACAGGTATGGATTTATGTGCTGTTGAGTTGGTATATTTGAACAAGAGCACAGTAAAGTTAAATCAGCGAATTTTCCAATGAGGTTCTGTTACTGAATGGAACTCATAGTACTAGACACCAAACATCTTTTTAACTTTGACTCATTTCTTTAGCAAAGAGACTAAACACAACTCACCTACTCTCTTCCAGCAGACACTTGTTTGTAGTGAGACCTCAGGCCAGTCCATTACGGACTACAGCGGGGTGCCTCAGCTCAAGGAAGAACATTTATGATCATTTCTTCATGGAAATACAATCAGACCAAGACGCTAAGACAGAAGAACTACAGCGTCTGCAGTGAAAATTGATTAATATGGTGATTATTACTTCAAGGAAATGATAAAGAAATGTAAATGTACAGCCTGTAAATGAGCAGCGTGTAAAAAAAAAAAACAGCCTGTAAATGAGCAGCATGTAAAAAAAACAGGCTGTAAATGAGCAGCCTGTATCAGAGTAGAATGGTCTGTTGTGTGTTTGTCTCTCTGACACTCACTCAGAGGAGGATTTTCACACACTCCTGACGTCACTCCCTGTTGTTACCTAACACAGCTGATCTGCAGAGCGGTGCTCTGAGCGGCGGCTGCTGGAGACTCCTCTGACTTTGAAGAGGAAATGAGGCGTAAGGGGAAGGAGAGGAATTCTGTGGTCGCCGCCACACGGCGCTCCGATTTCTGTTTGAGCAGCAAAGATTTATTCTACAAACAGAGACGACCCTGAACTGTCTGTGTGTGTGTCTGTGTGTCTGTGAGAGTCTGTGTGTGTCAGTGTGTGTCTGTGTGAGCCTGTGTGTTTGTGTATGAGTGTGTGTGTGTGGGTGTTTCTGTGTGTGCGTCTGCGTCTGTTTGTCTGTGAGAGTCTGTGTGTGTGAGTCTGTTTAGTCTGTGTGTGTCTGTGAGAGTCTGTGTGTGTCTGTGTGTGTGTCTGTGTGTGTGTCTGTGTGTGTCTGTCCCTTTAACACTCAGACTCCTCCTCCTGCATGAACAACAGCAGCGTTTGGCTCCACAGATGTAAATATAGAGGTTGTCGTGTTTTCAGACGTCACAGTAGCAGCAGCGTCAGACGGTTCCTCCTGAACCGGGCCGAGCTCTTACATAATTCACTCCACAGGAGAACCATCAATAGATCCACTCAGCAGCATCTTCACAGAGGAGGAGGAGGAGAACCTTCCTCTGATACAGACTCTGAGCTACGGTGCCTCTCATTGATTTCCTGTTACTTTGAACATTTGACCCTTTACAGCCACCGTACTAAACCCTGTTATTGTTTATATGAGACACAAAGACCTGAACGAGCTTCAACCTTCACCTGCAGACACACACACACACACACACACACACACACACACACACACACACACACACACACTCACACACACACACTCACACGCACACACACACACACACACACACACACACACACACACACACACTGTCAGCTGCTGTACTGGAACTCCTTCTGAACCATATGTTCTCAATGTGCTGTCACATGAGCTCCTCTTAAAGCTTCCTTACTCCCTCACCCTGTCCTCACCCCCACACACACACAAACACACACCTCTCCTCACCCTCCTCTCACCCCCCCATGAAGACATTTGTCCTCATCCCTCCAAATGTTGTTTGAGGAACTGAATCCTGCAGCAGTGAGGACATTCACACCCTGCAGTTATTGACCTCTGGAGGATCAATAGGGGGGGGGTGTAAAGGAAGCAATAGTCTCAATAGGGTGAGGAAGAGAGAGACAGCAGTGAGATAAAGGAGGACAGCTGTCCTGTCAGAGACGGAGGAAGCAGAGATTTCACATGATAACCGTAAAAACGTGTGAAAATGATCCTTTAAATGAGCAGAAAGACGACCCAGAGCCGCCGTGGAGGTCTGAGGAACTTCTCCTCATTCAGATATGAAGTGACCCCCGAAAGAAGACAGACAGAGAGAGAGAGGGAGGACGAGTCAACAACAGGAGCGTCTGCAGAGGAGAGTGTCTGATAGACGAGAGGAGAGACAGAGCGTGAACACAGAGAGAAAGAAAGAGAGACAGAAAGAAAGAGGGGAATAATAATAAGCCCTCTGTTGTGTTCATAAAGGAGGAGGAGGAGGAGGAGGAGGAGGAGCTGCTCTGTGGAAAAATACTTTGTTGAATCTACTCCCATCAGCTCTCAGAGCAGATCTGATCATCATTTCACACTCAGACTTTAATTCACACAAAAGAAGGAGTCCAGACCAGCTGTTACCTCCAACTCACACACCCCCTCCTCAGTCTGAGTATATAGAGCAGCAGTATCTCTTTAAATATATAGAGCAGCAGTATCTCTTTAAATATATAGAGCAGCAGTATCTCTGAGTATATAGAGCAGCAGTATCTCTTTAAATATATAGAGCAGCAGCATCTCTTTAAATATATAGAGCAGCAGTATCTCTTTGAATATAAAGAGCAGCAGCATCTTTTTGAGTATATAGAGCAGCAGCATCTCTTTGAATATATAGAGCAGCAGTATCTCTGAGTATATAGAGCAGCAGTATCTCTCTGAGCATATAGAGTTAAAGCATGTCTAATACTTTTGCAGCTCAGGTAGAGCTGATGTAGAGTCGACTAAAGTCTAAAGACACACACACAGAGTTAGAAAGGGTCTTCTGGGAGAAGTTACCAGAGTCTCTGGGCCTCTTCTACCTCAGACAGACTCATGAACAGCTTCACCTGAACTCTAACCCCACCCTGGATTCTGAACCCTCTCCGACTGGACTGGACTGGACTCAGTATTTGCTCTATAAAAACTCTGCTGCTCCTTTTACACTTTAACTCCGATGTCTTTATGAAGTCTGACTGTTTACATCAAAGTAACTCTGCAGACTTATCCACACCTCCACCTCAGGTCACGTGTAAACATGTATGTGCACGTCTAAACACTTGATAAACTTGCTGTATTTTTTGGACTGTGGACAATCGTCCTCTCCGACTCCTGTGTGTCCTCACTTACAGCAGAGACAGAAAACTAAGACTTGATTTCAGGTCTTTGTCCCAGGGACACATGTCAAAACTTTCAGCTTCAGAACTGCAGCTCAGCCTTTATCAGAGGACGGAGGGACGGATGGACACTCTGTCCTGTCCACACAGACACTCTGTCCCACATTTACAGTCCATAAACTCAGCTGCTGTTTAAGGTGACAGGTCTATATCTACACACAAATAAACATGAACACACACACACACTCTGGTGCAGAGGTCAGGAACAGCGTGTGATTGGCTGCTGCTGGTGGGCGGGGCTTTGTCAGACTCAGATCTGGTGTCATGGAGGAGCTGATGAGTCTGGTCTTTATTTAGACCCTGTACTGTAAACTGGACCGGGTTAGGACAGATCAGGTGACTAAAGTGACGGGAGGTGAAGGAGTCAAGGAGGTGAAGGAGACAGGGAGGTGAAGGAGTCGGGGAAGAGAAGGAGTCAAGGAGGTGAAGGTTACAAACCCTGAGCAGAGCAAGGAGCCCATGGCGCCTGAAACAGACGACCATTCAGTCGGCTTTCTCTAGAGCGACGCCTTACGACAAAACGCCAAAGAGACACAAAGACCTCACAGATGCAGGAGATTATTGTATTTTTAAAGACTTAAAGACATTTCATTTTTTATATCCTGATATTTATCGATATCCACTGACATTAAAAAAAAATTTTCACACGTCGTCCAGCCCGAAGTGTAACTGATGAAGGCTGTCAGAGTTACATATTGGTGCACATGTGCCTCAGGCCTGGAGAACAAGATTTGCATAAACAGACGTGTTCGTGCATGTAATGGAGTTACACACACAGCTGTATGTCTGTGTGTGTGTCTGTGTTTGTTGTATTGTCCTCCTGTTTTAACACTCAAACATCTAAGTGAAGGTATCTGCGCTGAAGGTAAAACCACCTCTCCGGCGGTCCTGTCCACCGTCCCGTCATCAGACACGAAGTTCAGCTCTGACCCACCTGTGCAGGTGAGCAGGAGCTCTGCAGGGACAGACGACAGCTGCTGTGACAGAACTACAGACAGAACTACAGACAGAGAGACTCTGTTGAAACATCCACCTCCACGCCATGCGTCAACCTCTGATCTGTTTCTAGGGGGGCGGGGCTTAATATGACACTGTATTCTCCTGACTGAGACAATCTCTGTCCCTGAACTCCACACAGCTCCTGGCCTTCCTCCTCCTCCTCCTCCTCACCCACAGGACTCCCTCTAACAGGAGGGGCGCACAGGTCTGGAGTGACGTCGCGGTCGCCATGGTAACCGCTCTCACTCCTCCTCCTCCTCCTCCTCCCCTCTCACCCTCTGTGATGGTTCAGACGTCCTCGGAGTGAGAGTGACTGTCCATCTGTCTGCCGCTCTGACACGTTCCTCTGCAGAAGCACCAAGTCAATCGCAGTGACATCACTTCCTCCGCAGGCGGCGAGGAGCCAGGTCAACGCCAAACAGGCGATAAAAAAACAAACGGTTTATATCAGACTGTTTTTGTTTTTTATTATCAGACTGATGAGGTTTTTCTTTTTTCATCCCTCCCCTCTGGTTTCTGGTTTTTAGGAAACTCAGCTGGTTTCTGCAGCTGCTGCGGTCTGGAGCTGATAGCTTAGATGACCTGCTGGCATCGATCTCTCTCTCTCTCTCCCTCTCTCTCTCTCTCTCTCTCCCTCTCTCTCTCGCTCACTGACTGATCTATTATGTAAGTACAGGGTTTATTTTTAGACACTATCAGAGGAACGCCCCCTCCTCTGGCCTGGTTGTTCTGGTTTCTTCATGCGTGGGCAGGATGGATTCATGCTGTGAGCGCTGCGGCGGCGGTGGCGTCACACATGTCAGATCGAGGGAACATGGAGGACGTGACCATGTGGTTAACCTGTTGGTTATATCACATGTTGAGCAGAGATCTTCTCCGACTGAACGGACAGACTCTGAACTGTGATGGTGGACGTGAACAGAGCGGACTAACGGGCGCTGGCGGTCCCTTCATTGTTTCTGTTAATGGCTCCGGGGTCACGCTGACAGCAGAGTCACGCAGAGGTCAGCTCTGATTGGTCGTGGTTAGATCTGGTCTTGGTTATGTAATGGGAACAAAGACTGACCTGGTTATTATGCCACAGCACACATTCCTCCTCAAGGGAGGAGAAGCTGCTCTCAGGGACTCTGGGCTGGCTTTGGCGCCCCCTGTGGTCAAAGTGCTTCATACCATCTCTGCAGCTATTTTTTCCATGACAACCCCCTACAGGTCTACAGGTCCACAGGTTTTTAGGTTCACAGGTCCACAGATCTACAGGTCCACAGGTCCACAGATCTACAGGTCCACAGGTTTTCAGGTTCACAGGTCAACTGGTCCAAAGGTCCACAGATCTTCACGTCTACAGGTCAAAAGGTCCACAGGTCCACAGATCTACAGGTCCACAGGTTTTCAGGTCCACAGGTCCACAGGTCTACAGGTCCACAGGTCCACAGATCTACAGGTCCACAGGTCCACAGGCCTACAGGTCCAAAGGTCCACAGGTCTACAGGTCCACAGGTCTACAGGTCTACAGGTCCACAGATCTACAGGTCCACAGGTCCACAGGCCTACAGGTCCACAGGTCTACAGGTCTACAGGTCCACAGGTCCACAGGTCCACAGGTCTACAGGTCCAAAGGTCCACAGGTCTTCAGGTTCACAGGTCCACAGGTCTACAGGTCCACAGGTCCACAGGTCTACAGGTCCACAGGTCCACAGGCCTACAGGTCCACAGGTCCACAGGTCCACAGGTCTACAGGTCTACAGGTCCACAGGTCCGCAGGTTCACAGGTCTACAGGTCTACAGGTCTACAGGTTAGACCTGACTGTCAGGATTTGTTGTTTGGGGACTGGACGGCCCCAGACCCGGGTTCTTCACAAAAATGAGTCTGTGTTATAAAACCGGAGATGAAGACCCCAAAACAACCCCACCATTACACATGCTCAGTAGAGTCCAGGCATGCAGAGCTCCCATCAGGCCTCTCTGCAGACCATGGACACAGACAGAGCCCCCCCACCCACACACACACAGAAACACTCAATCCAGACTCTGTTAGCCAGGGCCCTGAGGGGCCAGGGGTCAGGGAGAGAGAGAGGGAGAGAGAGAGAGAGAAAAAGGGAGAGAGAGAGCGAGAGAGAGAGAGAGAGAGAGAGAGAGAGAGAGAGAGAGAGAGAGAGAGAGCGAGAGAGGGAGAGAGAGAGAGAGAGAGAGAGAGAGAGAGAGAGAGAGAGAGAGAGAGAGAGAGAGAGAGAGGGGGGGAGAGAGAGAGAGCGAGAGAGGGAGGGAGAGAGAGAGAGAGAGAGAGAGAGAGAGAGAGAGAGAGAGAGCGAGAGAGGGAGGGAGAGAGAGAGAGAGAGAGAGAGAGAGAGAGAGAGAGAGAGAGAGAGAGAGAGAGAGAGAGAGAGAGAGAGAGAGAGAGGGAGAGATAGGGAGAGAGAGAGAGAAAAAGAGAGAGAGAGAGAGAGAGAGAGAGAGGGGGAGGAAGTAGGAAGACGTTTGTCACATTTGACTGTTGGATGGTCGTAAGTTGTCAGCTGATGTGCTGTGGGCGGAGCCTGGCTTCATTAGAGGACACGCCCTCTTTCTTTTTTAATGTTGATGATGATGATGGAGGGTTCAGGTCTGAACGGACTCTCAGAGGAGGTCAGTTAAAGCTTCACTAGGTAATTTTCACAGCTGTTGAGGCCGAGGCCGAGCGAGCTGCTGGAGTGTTTGACCCTTCATGTGTGCTCTGCTGCTCTGATTCATGTTCCTGCCATAAAGCATGGGACACACACACACACAAACACACACACACACACACACACATAAATCTGAGAGTGAAAATTAAACTCACAGCAAACTGAATCCATCCCTGAAAACCTGCCTGTTATTCAGACGCACTGTGTGTGTGTGTGTGTGTGTGTGTGTGTGTGTGCGGTCAGTGTGTGTGTGTGTGTGTGTGTGTGTGTGTGTGCGGTCAGTGTAGAGTGTGATGCTTGCTCTGACCTTCATGTTATAAAGGCGTGACCATCCAATCTCACAGACTCCTCCAGAGTGTCATAAAGCACACACTGCTCTGACAGCTGTGTGTGTGTGTGTGTGTGTGTGTGTGTGTGTGTGTGTGTGTGTGTGTGTGTGTGTCAGAGTTATGAGGTGCCGTAAACTAACCGGGTCTCTCCAGAGTGAGATGATGGACCACTGCAGTGAAGGTTCGGACCTGATGACGCTGAAAAAGGTTCAGATTCAGACAATCATCGTTTCTGCAAATATTCACAGATCAAGACCGAGCTGGGGGGTAAATAAAGCCCCCCTGCAGTACCTCCAGTGACCACCGGAGGCAGTGAGCTGAAGGGGGAGAGTCCTTGGTTTACCACCAGGGTTTAATCTGGATCATATCTGGTCCAAAAGAACTGCTCAGGCCCAAGTTTAGGTCGACTCTGGTTCTCGGACCCGCAGTGACAATAACAGACTCTGAGTTCAGCCTGAAACAGTTTCTATGAACGGATGAAATCAGCAGACAGTAAAAACTTCACTCTGACTGTGTGACGGTTATCCACGGTGTGTGAGGGTGAAGGATTTACAATAAAGAGAGGATGACAGCTGACTGTTGAAATGACACAACCAATCAAATCACACAAAAAATCTACAACCAATCAAAACACACAAAAATGCTACAACCACACACACCTGTTCAGGTGAGACTTTCAGAGACGCCGTCTTCTTCCTCCAGGGACCTTGAACTGTCAGCTGTTACAGAAAACAGGAACAGTTACCAGGCAACCACTGCCAATCCTGACCAATCACAGGACAGAAGGTCGTTTCTGAAACGCTGAGCTCCTCATCCTGAAAGAAAAGAGAGAATGAACAGATCGAGGGAGGACGTGTTTTCTAACGTTTTCTAACGCAGGTATTCAGCCGTCTGCTCGGAGTCACGCTAAGATAGGTCAGCTGATCTGAGCGAGCTCCACCATCTCCACAGGACAGAGTTTACTCTCAGCTTGACTCACCTGATACTGTATCAATACCAAATCAATACCAGACCATGACTGAATCAACACCTTCAGAAAAATCAGGCTGAGCTTTTAACCCTTCATCTGCCGCCATGATAAAAAGATCATTCCTCATTTATAAATGCTCTCAGTTAAAGTCGTTTCCATGGCGATCATGGTCCTAATACTGCGATCTCCACAAAGTGAAGAGAAAAAAGATCGTGAAAAATCCGTTCACCCGAGCAGGTGCAGGGCTGCAAAAACATCGACCAATGGGAGCCATCCATCCCAGACATCTCCTGCTCCGCCTCTCTGTCCAATCACCTTGCTGTATCCGACACGCCCCTCTCCTGTAGTTCCTAGTTGGCGTTTACTGACGCGAGTCACTAACAGTCCGACATGACGAATCCTATTTGAAGCTAGCGTAGGATCTTCTGCCAGAGGGGGAGTGTCCTGGGGAGGGCGATACGGGTTCAGGGGGGGGAGTTACCGTGGAGCACAGAGGGGGAGGGGTTTGTGTGTGTGTGTGTGTGTGTGTGTGTGTGTGTGTGTGTGTGTGTGTGTGTGTGTGGGGGGGTTAACCAGGACTTGAACTCCATCTGTCTGTCAGGTTTATTTTTAGAACGGTTAACTAGAGGTAAAAACGCCGACTCTGACAAAAACACACAGAGGAGACAGCAGACAACCCCCCCATCATCATCATCATCATCATCATCTTCATCACAGTCTGTCTGAGGATGAGAGAACTGAGTGTTCCTCTCTTCATCTTCATCTTTGGCTCGGAGGATGAAGAGCTGCAGCCTGAAGAACACACACACACACACGTGCGCGCTCTCTTTCTGACGTCAGAGGGTGTGTGTGTGTGTGTGAGCAGACCTCTTTGTCGGCCCACGCACTGGAGAGGAGGGGAGGGGCGCCGAGCTGTGATGTAATTTCATGGTAATTCTTCTGTGATGCTGCAGATGACGGACAGAACAGCTGCGCCCCCTGCTGGCTGAATAACCACAGTGTACCTGGGATCATGAGGATCAGGTCTCAGTGATATGAGCTGCAGGGCGGCCTGTTGGAGAGGTGAGCAGACAGCTCCACCTGCTGGAGACGCCCGGCTGTTACACTGAAGATCTCGAGTCTAAATGAAGGATCAGAAAATAAAGCAGCAGGTTGAATTTCGAGCGTCTGCAGGAGAGGAAGAGTGCGGTGGATTTAAGGCGCTCCTCAGACCGACTCAGTTTGAAGGGGCAGTGAGAGGCAAGAAGGAGGACCGTGGATAGACTGGAAATAGACTGAAAATAGACTGAAAATAGACTGTAGATAGAGATGTACCGTCTGTAGTATAAACTGATGAAGGTAAGAAACAGAGATAAACACAGAAACAGACAGAGATGCAAACGCACAAACACACAGTGTGTATCAAAGCGTGTGTGTCAGAGTGTGTATATTAGTGTGTATATGTGAAATTGAGTGTGAACCCAAAGGTGTTTCAGGTCACAGGTTCGGCTCAGGTTTGTCAAACAGGTTAGATGAGTTTTATTTGTTTTCAGTAACGACCAGGTAAACTGAGGACGAGTTTATTTACAGTTTCCTCCTGTCAGAGTTTAATTCTGTAGAAAATTACATCCTGAACCACGACGGCCGACTCCAGGAAGGAAAATAAAAAACATGATGAGGGCGAGATTTTCTGAAACTGAATCCTCAATTTAAAAAAGACCAAACGTGTCTGTAACCTGAGCACAGACACAGACACAGACAAGACCTGTCAGCTCTCAGTTTACAGTCACAGACACAGTCACAGACCTGTCAGTTCTTAGTTTACAGTCACAGACACAGTCACAGACCTGTCAGTTCTTAGTTTACAGTCACAGACACAGTCACAGACCTGTCAGTTCTTAGTTTACAGTCACAGACACAGTCACAGACCTGTCAGTTCTCAGTTTACAGTCAGAGTAAAGGTTCATGTTCAGACACGAGTCTCTCGCTGAATATCAAACACGTCTTGGAGGTCCAGACGTAGTCGCTCTTTTTTTTTTTGGCGTCTTTGTGATGAAACACGAGAATAAAAGTCTGTCCATCCGAAAACTGATTCCCTTTTTCATCTTTTATTTCCAACAGGATGACATCCTGAAAATATGAACACATGAATTCCCTCCAATAAAACGACTAAAAACAGGTTTTAATATAAAAATCTGATCTCCAGTTTCTCCTTCCTCCTCCTCCTCCTCCTCCTCCTCCTCCTCCTCCTCTTTCTCCTCCTCCTTTGGTAACTGAGACCACAGATATCGCTACAGACACGCCTGCTTTTGTTCCTTTCATTCTGTTAGCTCTGCAGAGTGTCAGACACGAACATTATTAACACATTATCGTCATTATCATCGTTATTAATAATAACCATCATGGTCGGGACGTTCAAACCTCCAGAGACTTACAGGTCGGATTTAAAGTGCTGATGAGCTGAAGCAGGAAGCACCAGGACACACACACACACACACACACACACACACACACACACACACACACACACACACACACACACACACACACACACACACACACACACACACACACACACACACACACACACAATAATAACAGTAAACTTCAGTCTGTAGGTGAGTTTAAAATGACTGACAGAGCAGGGGTGGAAAAATCATCTGATTATATTCACTGACGCTGTAGGAACTGAAGTATTTTTGTGTATTTGTACTTTCTTTAAGTCATTTAATAATCAGAACTTTGACTTCTGTATCTTCTATGTACAGACCTGATCTACTCTAACTTGTGTCTAGAGCATGCAGACAGCTGATTGGATGATTCCTCACTGTTAAAGCTCCATCTTGGTCATTTTAAAGCTCCTGTGAGAAGTTTTTTATCTGTTTATCTATTTATTTATTTCTGCTTTTAAATGTTTATTTATAAGCCTCTGTATTGTTTTGTCTTTGTATTGTACACTGTCTTTGAGTTCTATGAAAAGCATAAAAAAGTTTGTCCACAGCTCCATAAGGAGGCGGGGTTTATGACCTATACTGCAGCCCGTCACCAGAGGGTGCTGTTCTCAGAGTAGCTTCACCCAGCGAGGAGGCAGACGCGACTGTTCTAGATACAGTCTATCCCACTGAGCAATAGACGGCTATTAGACATCTAGTTTTTTTTTAGATCTAATTTTAACCGTCTAGATTCTGTATATTTTTAGACGGAATTCAGACGTTGCACTTTAACACATTATTCGATATAGTTGCATCACTGATCTCCAAGGACTTAACCACAATAACTATGATAGCCGTTGAGCAATACACAGCGTAGTACAGATGAAGCCCAGATTCAGATTTAGTCTAAACTTGGTCTATATTTAGACATCTAAAAAACTTTAATTTTCAGTCGTCTAGACTACATTTAGACGTCTATTAGACCTGCTCAGTGGGTATGGTTTCAACTCAAAATTTTGATTTATGAAGCATTTAAATATAAAAGAAACCAGGATACGTTTCTTTGTCGACAATAAAATGAGCCGAGCAGAAGTCGTCACAAACTGAGAGTCACTCACAGGAGCTTTAATATCTCATCCGGTTTGAATCAGCCTTTCTATAATAATATAAAATACTCCTTCCTACATTTGTAAGCACATTATTATCCATAACAATCAATGAAGTCCTGATTCTTGTCTGATAATAACAATAAAGAACAGGTGTTTAATTCACCTTTGGACCTTTAACAGACACACAGAGTGGGTCATCAGAGTCACTGTACTTCACTGTAGTTGAGAATTTCAGCTCTTTCCACCCCTGCTGATTATAAACCCGTTAAAGTAAAGGGTCATTCCCCCGTTTTAACCAAACTAAAATCAGATTAACTGTCAGTTTATCAGAGACGGCGTCCTCACCTGTCAGTCTGACTGCATTCACTCAGATTAGAAACATTAAAAAAACATTAAACTTTAGTGTTTGTTTGAAATAAAAGGAGTAATAATGATGTTAACATGATAAAAAGGCTAACACACACGCATGCACGCACGCACGCACGCACACACACGCACACAGGTGTGTCAGAAAGGAGTGTGATAGAAAATGTTCGTCAGTCCGACCTGAAACTTCCTGCTCCTTTTGTAACTCTGAACACCTGCAGACTTCACCTGGACACACCCGCACCTTCAGCCACCTTCTGCCTGTACACACCCACCTCACCTGTACGCCTCCCTGCAGGACGGAGCACCTGGACGGACTCTTTAAGTTTACAAAACCTGAAGGGTTCATATTCACGAAGAACAAACTGAACAAACATGGACTAAAATAACGTTTCTGACTCAGAGGAGGAGGCCTCGGCGTAAAGGACTCGGCGTGGAGGCCTCTGTGGCGTGGAGAACGGTCAGGAACATGAACTGAATTATGGGAAGAGATCATGCGGGAGGCGGCAGCTCTGGCGCTCAGAGAGTCTCTGGTTTCAGTCTTGAGAGGTGGTGACCTGCCACACAATCAGGTGGCTCTGCTCGGCCTTGGTGCGAGCTGACTGCTGATTGGCTGACGGCTCTGATAGACCGTCCAGCTCGCCTCCTTCGTCACCTGTAGAGGAAGAGGAGCAGTCAGACTTTAAGGAGGGAGTCACAGAGTCAAAGGTCAAACGGCCATAACAGAGAGACCCAGTTCAATAACCAGAGAACTGTTTTTTTTTTTAAGTTAGTTTGGGTTAGTTAGTCTAGTAAAGTTGGAGTATCTTGAGCTGGGTTAGTGTGTTAGGTTAAGTTTGAGTTAGGCTGGGTTAGTTAAGTGTGAGTTAGTTTGGGTTAGGCTGGGTTGGTTTAGTTAAGTTAGAGTTAGTTTGGGTTAGTCCTGGTTGGTTAAGTTTAGTTGGCGCTAGTTTGGGTTAGTCTAGGTTAGGTAAGTGTGAGTTAGTTTGGGTTAGTTAAGTGTTGGTTAATTTGGGTTAGGCTGAGTTAGTTAGTTTAGTTCAGTTGGGTTAGGCTGGGTTGGTTTAGTTCAGTGTGAGTTAGTTTGAGTTAGTCTGGGATGGTTTAGTCAAGTTGGAGTTAGTTTGGGTTAGATAGTTAAGTTCAGTGTGAGTTAAGTTTGGTTAGGCTGGGTTAGGCAGGGTTAATTTAGTCAGAGTTAGTTTGGGTTAGTCTGGAATGGTTTCGTTTAGTTTGAGTTACTTTGGGTTAGGCTGGTGTAGTTAAGTGTGAGTTAGTCTGGGTTGGTTGGTTTAGTTTAGCTGGAGTTAGTTTCGGTTAGGCTGGTTAAGTTAAGTGTGAGTTAGTCTGGGTTAGGTTGGGTTGGTCTAGTTTAGTTGGGTTAGGCTGGTTTGGTTTAGTTTAGTTTAGTTTGAGTGAGTTTGAGTCAGTTCTGTTTGGTTTAGTTTAATCGGAGTTAGTTTCGGTTAGGCTTGTTAAGTTAAGTGTGAGTTAGTTTGGGTTAGTCCCGGTTAGTTTAGTTTAGTTTAGTTTAGGTTAGGTTAGGCTGGGTCGGTTTAGTTTAGTTTAGTTTGAGTGAGTTTGGGTCAGTTCTGTTTGGTTTAGTTCAGTTGGAGTTAGTTTGGTTTAGTCTGGGTTGGTTTAGTTTAGTTTAACTGTAGTTAGTTTGGGTTAGTCTGGTTAAGTTAAGTGTGAGTTAGTTTGGGTTAGTCTGGGTTAGTTAGTTTAGGTCAGTGTGTGTTAGTTTGGGTTAGTCTGGTTGGTTAAACTAAAGTGACCAGGAAACGTCCTGCAGTGTCAGAGCTGTAACCCACCCATCCTGAAGTCGATGTAACCTTCACCTCCACTCATCACCAAGTATGTTTTGGGTTCAGAGGTCACCGTGTCGGAGGATTCAGACGGAGGATCATCAGAACCTGAATCTGCAGAACCAGGTGGAGGCATCGCTTGACCTGAGACAGAAAACAGAGAGAGAGAGAGAGAGAGAGAGAGAGAGAGAGAGAGACGATGAGAGTCTGAGAGATTTACATTAACAGGACGGAGGAAAAGTCTGAGATCAGAAGCTTAAGTTTGATCTCCGGACTGAAATTATTCACTAAATAACAACGATCAGGTCATTTTCGATCACCTGTCAGTCAGCTAACTCTTCACCGAATAAAAACGTCTTTCAGGTCAGAATAAAACATCCTCCCTGCTCTAACCCTGTAAATAAACTCTTATTCAGCCTTTAAAGAGAATAAATCACAGCTGATTCAAATCTGAGCAGACGTAGAAATGTGACAGAGGGAGGATTCCCCTCAACACCGCCGCCATCTCTTACCTGGTACAGTAACAAAGAACTTGACGGCATCTCGATGTCCATGGAAACACAGCTGGGCGTGGGCCATGGAGCAGTAGGGCACGAAGCTGCCCGGAACGCCGCCGTCCGACCCCTCGTCGGAGTAAACCCGGACAGCACTGCCCGGACGGTTTGGCACAATTCCCATCGTCTTATTGGCTGAAGAGACAAAGAAATCATGGAAATCTAAAGTTCTGTGTCAGAGAGAGAAGAACGCGACATCAGGACGGCGAGGAAGAAGACCTTCAGACCTGCAGCTCCATGGCTCCTCTTCTCTCAGTCAAACATTCAACTCTTTAACCAACACAGACCTCCAACAACAACAACAACACCAGTCGGGGGTTTTACTGAAGCTTCCTGTTCGTTAGAATCCAACCAATCACAGCTCAGGATGATGGCCCTCAGACACGCAGGTGTGTAAAAGGTGAACCCTGATGGGTGGAGCTGCGGAGAAGTGTTCGAGTTACCTTCAGACAGAGGGATGGAGATGATGACGCCGTTTCCTGTTCCCACCCACAGACGGCCGCAGGAAACCACCAGAGCTGTGATCCTGACGAAGGAGAAGCCCAGTTTACCTGTACCTGCAGACACACACACACACACACACACACACACACACACACACACACACACACACACACGCACACACAGAGTTAGGTCCAGTCTCCGGTGACTCCTGTTCCAGCTGTGAACGTTCATGAAGGTCCTCATACCTAACATCTTGCTGACGTAGGGCTCGATGTCCACGTCCTGCAGGTGTTGGTAGGTGTGAGCGTGAAACAGGCGAAGAGTCGAGTCCAGACGGATGGACACCCAGATCCCGTCTCCGACCCAGGCCAGCTGCCGGACCTGACTCTCCTTCCGAGGGTGAGCGTCGAAGGACTTCTGCTCCGAGGAGAAACAGAGAGGTTAGAGGAGCGACGGAGGTCCGAAGATGATCTTTCTGAACAGAGTGAGCGAGTCTGCACCTCGATCCTCATGGCCCTGGGCTGGATGACGTAGATCTTGTTCCTGTACCCACACCAGACCTTGTCGTGGACCACGCTCATGCAGCGGATGGAGTGATGGGGTCGGCCCAGATCCAGCAGGTGGTAGTTGGTCAGATCCCACTGACCGTCTGCTGCAAACACAGAGAGGTGAGACCAGAACAAGACCAAGACCTGAACCTGGTCTGCGGCCCCTGAAACCGCCGACTCCAAGTCTACGCTCGAGTTCACGACCTGCAGACTTACCCAGGTCTCTGTGGAAGATCGCCAAGGTCCCGTCAGCCAGAGCGACAAGAACCCGACCCTTAACGTGCCTGAAACCAGGAGAGAGAGTTAGACCTGCAGCAGGTGGAGGTGGGACTGCTGTAGGTGGAGGTGAGACTGCTGTAGGTGGAGGTGGGACTGCTGTAGGTGGAGGTGGGACTGTTGTAGGTGGAGGTGGGACTGCTGAAGGTGGAGGTGGGACTGCTGTAGGTGGAGGTGGGACTGCTGAAGGTGGAGGTGGGACTGTTGTAGGTGGAGGTGGGACTGCTGTAGGTGGAGGTGGGACTGTTGTAGGTGGAGGTGGGACTGCTGTAGGTGGAGGTGGGACTGTTGTAGGTGGAGGTGGGACTGCTGTAGGTGGAGGTGGGACTGTTGTAGGTGGAGGTGGGACTGCTGTAGGTGGAGGTGGGACTGCTGTAGGTGGACAAGTCTGCTCCATATTGTAAGAAACGACCATGGTCACGGCGGTTCTGGGTCAGACTGACGGAGACATACTCACACGATGCCGAGGATGGAGTCCTTCAGCTTGATGGCGTGGAGACACTTCCTCCATCGGGCCACAGAGGAGTGGACGTAGAGACTGAGACAGGAGACAGGAACCATCAGACCCTCAAAGGTCCAGACTCTGTGAACTCCTAGCAGCGCCCCCTAGTGCAGTACTCACCATCCGTTCTGGGCTCCCAGCCACATGGTGGGGAGGGCGCTGCTCATCCTGAGGACCTCCACCTCTGAGGGGTCACTGTCTGCAGTCTGCGGAGAGGAGACGCCGTCCGGCCCGGAGCTGCCGAGGACAGGAACCAGAACTTCAGTTTAGGAAGTTCTGATTGGATCTAGACCTGGTTCTGGGACTCACCTGTGTGTGTCGGCAGGTGAGGGGTCAGTAGGCCCCACCCCCAGCGGGTCGGTGAAGACGTGCTCGGTGTAAATCCCAGGTTGGTTGGGGTCCACTGCCTGCTCCTCCGCCCCCTCCTCACCCACGCCGGCGTTCGCCTCTGTGGCTTCTGTCGCCTCTTCGGCTGTCGGGACGCCGTCCTCCGCTGGGCTGGTCTCTCTGGACAGCTCCACTGCGGACATGATGGAAATATTGACGTCCGGAATAATCGCACGATAAAAACGCTCAGCCCTTCTTCGCCCAACCCTCAGACTCTACCTGATCCAGAGACGCCGCTGTGCTCAGCCGGCTGATCGCTCACACCCGAGGACGCCGTCTGGGGAATGGCGGTCGTCCCCTCTGCCGCCATGGCTCCATCGCTGCCCGTGGAGCCCACACTCGCCACGCTGCCGGCCAGGGACACGCCGTCGCCCTGACCGGCCTCTGGATCCTGGGGCACCTCCTCGCCTGCGGGATAATCCGACTCCAACGCACCTGGAAGAACACAGAACCAGCCGGGACGCCGTCAGACCAGGTCCGGGGGGATTCTGGTACGCCGTGATCGCTCGCTCACTCACCGGGCACGCTGGCGATGCAGACGACATGGGTGTTACAGGCGTAGAAGCTGTCGAGGAGGTCGGACGGCTGACTGGCGTCCAGAACCATCACCTTGGTGGAGGAGTGTGAGCTGGTGCAGACCCAGACCCTGCTGGAGGTCTCCTCCTGGAGGACCGCCTCCTTCTCCTGGTCCTGCAGGAACACAGAACCAGCGCATGGGTGGAGACTCAGAACCCGTCAGAACCCGTCCCCCCAACCGAACCAAAGAAGTCCAGCTCACCTTACTGTCCGAGTCCAGCTGGTCCAGACTGCTCTGAGACCCTTTAGTCTGCCTGCTGAGATCCGACGGCGGCGAGGCTCCGCCCCCCGACATGTTGACTCCCGCAGCGCACCAGAGCTGGAGGACAGAGAGGAGCGGCGCTGTGACATCAGAGTTCACGCCCACCTGAGTCAGGTCTAAAGACGTCCCCTGTCTTACCTTCATAGAGGAGTCCTTCTGCTCCAGGGGTCTCAGGTAGACCGGCACAGGAAGGTCCAGTTTGTTCTCCACCTGACCGCCATTAGAGACCTGGACCGGGTCCAAAGAGACACACAAGAAAAACCAGGACTGAAGGACTTTATCTAGACCAGGATCTCTGAGTCAGAAAGACCCCCAAGAAATAAACAACAGACACACACAGACACACAACCCCAGGGGAATTCTGGGAGCTGTAGTCCTGTTACTCTAAGTTCAGGGCCAAGGTTGGACCTGTACAGGTAGATGCACAGAGATGAACCTGCCCTGAGTCAGACCAGGACCAAGACCAGGTGGGAGCAGAGAAAGACTCTTGTCTCAGACTCTGGTGGTCTGATCTACAGAGTCTGAGCGCCCTCTGGTGGACACTTCCAGATCCTATTTTCTATTTGACCGGTGTGACAAAGTCAACTGGGTTCTGGTTCTGACCTTGTACTTCCCGGGCAGACTCCATCCGTGCGCGGTGACTCGCCCTCCGTCCTCCTTCTGCATGTGCGCCTTCACCTGTCGGTACTGCGCCCTCTTCTGCTCCTTACGAGACGGCGAGCTGCACTGCTCCTTCCTGCAGACACAAACACCCTCAGTTCACACACACACACCTCAGATAAGAACTAATGAAGTGACTCCCAGCATGCACCATGAGGTCAGCCAATCAGAGTGCGGCGCTCACTCTTCGTTGAGGAAGTCGAAGGTCTTGGACTTCTCGGTGGGAAACTGGGAGAAGGTGCTGCTCCTCTTCACCAGGCTGCCCGGGGCGTTGTACTTCACGTTGGACTGCGAGTCCACCTTCTTCATGGTCGGTGAGCTGGAGGAGGAGGAGCTAAACAGTCTGCTGAAGCTGCAGGGGGCGGAGTCACAGACAGACAGAGAGGAGTGCAGGGAGAGTGAGGAGAGGAAGGTCACCAACAAATAAACAACCAACTAACTTAACGACCAGACAGCCAATCAGGCGGCTGACGGCCACCGAACCTCTGTACAGACAGAGAGCATGCTGGGATTGTTGAATATCGGAGCGTGTCTTTAACGACAGACCTGAACCCGCCGTGACCCCAACCCAACCCCCCACCAGCAGGTAGAGGAGGAGCCATGACAGTAAGACCAGGACCGAGGTCTGAGACACAAACACCAGAGGACCACAAGAAAGATGGAGGTCCAAGATGGAGGGGGGTGGGGTCAGAGTCAGAGGGAGCGGGGTCTGAAGGGGGGGGGGGGGGTGTCATTCAACCATCTTTACCTCATGCTGCCAGTTCAACAGCACGACCCGGAAAAGACCAGAGAGAACAAGTTTAAAGATCTGAGCTGAAACCTGAACCCAGAACCTGAAACAGAACCTGAACCAGGCAGAAAAAAACCCGAACTCTGGATTAGGACTTACAACTGCCAGATACTGGACTTCTTCTTCTCCGTCAGGGTGGGGTTCTCTCTGGAGGCCCTGAGGACGAAACCAGGAGGAGCGTTTCAGTGTGAGTCAATTATTCACTTCAGCTGAATTCAACACCAGAACCAGCTCGAACCCTGGACCTGGATCTGAACCTGCAGCCTCACCTGATCATCTCCGTCCACCTCACCGCCTCCTGCAGCTCCATCAGTCTCTCCTTGTACTGGTTCCTCTCCATCAGCACACGAGCCATCTCCACCCTGGTGAAACGCTTCCTCTGAGCCGTGGGAACGTCACTCTGCAGGGAGAAGAAGAAGAAGAAGAAGACCGCACATGATCATCCACACACACATTCATGATCTGAGAGCGTTCACCACGACAAACTCACGTCTTCTTCATCTTTACTCTTGTGCTTCACCTCCTCCACCTCCAGACGCACTCTGGAAGAACAACAACAGCTCCATCAGGTGATTCAGGAGCACAGCAGCTACACTCAAGGCTCCATGTGTTTATGTGTCGGTTTCTCTTTTTCTTTTTCACTCGTGTCTCTGATTAAAAATCTCTTTGTCTCTGCAGCGCCCCCTTCTGTCTGCTGCTGTAAACACACTGACCCCTGAGTCTGCTGACTTACTTCTTGAGCTCCTCCTCCAGCTCTCTGTTCTTGTCCTCCAGCTTGACTTTCGCCTGCAGCACGGCGTCCATCTCGCCCTGCAGCATCTCCTTCTCACAGGTGAGCTCGTCCACCTTCAGGATCAGGTCTTTGTTCACCACGTTCAGAGCATTTCTGGAGGGGAATGAGAGAGAGCGTTACCGAGGGTGAAACTGAGCAGGAAACAGAATCAGAGAAACTCGCTGGTTACGCTCTTACTTTGTTTCAAGCAGCTGTGAATTCTCCTGAATGAGGTTTTCCACCTCTCGACCCATACCTGAGCACAGGTGAGACAAAGTTAGAGCTTCATGGCTTGGAGAAAAAAACAGTCTGACAAACAAGCTGGAGCGGTGACGACAGGACAGACTACAGATCAGGGTGCAAAACTCTTCAGATCACTCTTACTGTCAGATCTAACAAACAACTACTGATACTGAGCACAACTACAACTACACACAACCCCACAACACAAGTCACATGACTGACAGGAGGAGGAGGAGGAGGAGGGAAAGTGGGTGGGGTCTTACCAATCAAACTAAGGTCTGAGATAACCATGCAATCCCAGCCAGGCGGACAAAGCGAGGAGAGAGAGCGAGGGAGAGAGAGAGAGAGAGAGAGAGAGAGAGAGAGAGAGAGAGAGAGAGAGAGAGGGAGAGAGGGGGAGAGACATGGGAAATAGTTTGAGACAGTGAAATGACAAAATGATGACGAAGTCAGAGCTCAACACGAAGCTGCTGATTCAACGAGCAAAAAGACGATCCTGAAAAACAACGCTTTAAAAAAAAAAACACTGAGGGGGCGGGGCTAAAGGAGGAGGAGAGGAAGGAAAACAAAGGAGGAGAAGAAAAACTAAAGAGGCAGAAGAGGAGAGAAAATAAAGGAGGAGAAGAAAAACTAAAGAGGGAGAAGAGGAGAGAAAATAAAGGAGGAGGAGAGGAGAGGAGGGAAGCTGCGGACAGAGCAGTCCTGCACAGCAGACAGCAGCTTCGAGCTCCTTCATGCAGAAACTCAGTCTTAGTCAGCGTCTAACAGACATGATGAAGAGGAGGAGGGGGAGGAGCTATGAGCTACGGTGATGGCGAGCGAGGGAGAGGATCAACGGGATACCACGGGAGAAAGGTCAGAGGTCATACACACCGGAGTACTCCACTGAGGATATGGAGAAAAGACGGGGGTGAGACACGGAGAGAGAGAGAGAGAGGATGTTAACGTGAGCTGATGGTTCGGACTGAAGCAAGGTAACAACAAGTAACAGGTGAGAACAGGTGAGCGCAGGTAACAGGTGAGAACAGGTGAGAACAGGTGAGAGCAGGTGAGAACAGGTGAGAACAAGTGAGAGCAGGTAACAACAGGAAACAGGTGAGAGCAGGTGAGAACAGGTAACAGGTGAGAACAGGTAAGAACAGGTAACAGGTAAGAGCAGGTGAGAGCAGGTGAGAACAGGTAAGAACAGGTAACAGGTGAGAGCAGGTAACAACAGGAACAGGTAAGAGCAGGTGAGAACAGGTGAGAACAGGTGAGAACAGGTGAGAGCAGGTGAGAGCAGGTGAGAACAGGAACAGGTGAGAACAGGTGAGAACAGGTGAGAACAGGTGAGAACAGGTGAGAACAGGTGAGAGCAGGTAACAGGTAACAGGTAAGAGCAGGTGAGAACATGTGAGAACAGGTGAACACAGGTAACAACATGTAACAGGTAAGAACTGGTAACAACAGGTAATAGGTGAGAGCAGGTGAGAGCAGGTAACAACAGGTGAGAGCAGGTGAGAAGAGGTAAGAACAGGTGAGAACAGGTGAGAGCAGGTAACGCATAACAACAGGTGAGAACAGGTTAGGAATAAGAATCGTTAAAAAAAAACAGATCATCAACAGTCAATCAATCAAACACCTGAAACTGATTTATACATGATATCTATAAGAGGAGAGGAGAGAGGAGAGGAGAGGAGGAAAGGAGGAGAGCACCGTGAGAAAGCACTTTTGTTTACTGTCCAGGTGAGCCTCAGTATGAACACCTGTCCAGGTGAAGGACAGTCACGCTCCAGGTTCCTGCCTCACTTCCATTAAAGCGTTAAAAGTTCCTGACTCACCCAGCAGGTCAGCGCCCTCGTCCACGTCCCCGATCAGCCCCGTCCCCGCGGACGACAGCTCCTCAAACAGAGAGTCGGTGTTTCGGTCGAAGGCCATGTTCTCGATGCCCTTAGTGGGCGTGCTGCAGGAGTCCGAGGAGACAGGTGATGATGTTAGCTCACCTGGTTTTAACCACGACCCGATCAAAAACACACCTGAGCGCTCAGTCTGGATTTACCTGCAGGGCTTGTAACCAATCAGATCCATGTCCAGCTCAGGGGTGGATTCGATGATGTCCTGCACGTCTGAGCTGTCCTCATTTTCTGGTAAACCTGCAAGAGACACACAACATCACTGACACACCTGAGAGCAGGAGGGACAGTCTTGTTCTGGTTCTGGTTCTGAGGTGTACAGATCCGTCTTTAAACGTCATCTGTCCTCCTGTCTTCTCTGGTCCAGCTCTGAAGCTCCTCCAGACTCAGAGGAGAACATATCTCACCAACATGACATGAAGGTTTCAAATCCGATCTGATGGATTCAGGGTCAGAACCTGGTCAGAACCCGGTCAGTACCAGAACATGTCCAGAGTCTCAGCGTTAAACCAGCTCATACCAACCGTCCTGTCCTGAAGATGTTCCGCTCTTTAGATCTTCAGGAACATAGAAACATCTGGAACCATGAGGAAAGGAGCAGGTAAGATGTTCTAGACGTACCCACTGATATGGACCTGGTTCCTGGTGCAGCCTGGACCTCCGTGCTCTTACTGGTCCCCTCCTCCCTCTCCATGTCTGCGGCCGTGGTCGACACCGGCGTGACGGGCTTGGAGCCGGCGAAGTCTGACAACTCGTCCTGTAAGGAAGAAAGAAAGAGTCCATCACAGCGGAACCGGGCGCCTGTCAAAGTCCAGATTTAGTCTGAGCAGAACCGGAACACTCAGACCAACACAAGGAGGACTACAGAGTCTATGATGGGACACATGGAGAGGAGGACTGAACACAGACACACAAACATCACGACAAACATCACAACACCACAACAGCAGAGCCCAGATGTTCACAGCAACAGAACCAGAACCTGGATCCCAGGTCTGTCTGTGAATCAGGACTAACGGAAACAGGTCCTCATTAAATGAAGACAACACAAACTGACAAACAGGAAACAGCTAAACTGAGATGACCCGCAGACAACACACTACAATGACACAAAGATGAAAAACCACAATCACACAAATACAGACACAAAACAGCAGAGACACAAAGATTCACCAAACTAAGACTCAGAGACACATGTGACAGAGAAAACAGGACACAGAGACACAAAGATGCAAAGATAGAAAGACACAAAGATGTAGATACAAAGACACACAGATGTAGATACAAAGAAACAAAGACACAAAGATGTAGACATAAAGACACAAAGATGTAGCTACAAAGATACAAAGACACAAAGGCACAGACACACACTGCAGGAGGCTTCACAATTTCTGAAACAATTACAGCCGAGACTCTGACCAACTACACAACAAAACACAAATAGACACAAAAGAACAGGACACAACACAGGCCTGTTCAGGGTGTACACACTGATGACTGTACAACAACATACAACAACATACAACAACATACAAAAACAAGACAACAACACACAACCTTTGATCAGATTAATGATAAAAATACAGTGAAGATCAGCGTGAATGAAGCCAAACTACAGACCAACACGACATCCGATCAAACAGAACAAACTACGAATTACGAAGAATCAAATTACGACAAATCATATTAAACAACAAATCAAATTAAAATACAACAAATCAAATTAAACTACGACAAATTAAATTAAACTACAACGAATCAAATTAAACTACAACAAATCAAATTAAACTACAGTGTAAAAGTTTAAACTACAGCATTACAGATTAAACTACAGTATAACAGATTAAACTACAGTATTACAGTTTAAACTACAGCATTACAGATTAAACTACAATATAACAGATTAAACTACAGTATTACAGATTAAACTACAATAAAACAGATTAAACTACAGTATTACAGATTAAACTACAGTATTACAGATTAAACTACAATATAACAGATTAAACTACAGTATTACAGTTTAAACTACAGCATTACAGATTAAACTACAATATAACAGATTAAACTACAGTATTACAGATTAAACTACAATAAAACAGATTAAACTACAGTATTACAGATTAAACTACAGTATTACAGATTAAACTACAATATAACAGATTAAACTACAGATTAAACTAAAGTATAACAGATTAAACTACAGATTAACAGATTAAACTACAACATAACAGAATAAACTACAATATAACAGATTAAACTACAGTATTACAGATTAAACTAGAGTTAAACAGATTAAACTACGGTATAACAGGTTAAACTACATTATTACAGATTAAACTACAGTACTACAGATTAAACTACAGTATTACAGATTAAACTACAATATAACAGATTAAACTACAGATTAACAGATTAAACTACAGTAAAGCAGATTAAACTACAGAATTACAGATTAAACTACAGTAAAACAGATTAAACTACAGCAGCACAGACATGCAGCTCTAACACAGGTTGTCATGGTTACTTGTAGCTCACAGGTGGATGAGGTGAGTCTATGAATGTGAGCAGCCAGAGTGACATGAAGCAGCAGAGTGAAGCGCGCGTGCACGCACACACACACACGCACACACACGCACACACACGCACACACATGCACACACACACACACACACACACACACACTGAGCCGTCTGCAGGCGCTGCATGCGTGCTGCCGTCAGCCAGCGCACACTCATCCACTACCTTGCAGTCGTCTGCCAGTGAGTTCCCCCATGAGGAGTGGTGCGCTCTCTTCCCCCCCCTGTCCTTTGGGGGGTCCATAGAGTCCTTTAGGGGGGAGAGTGAGAGTGAAGCGCACACGTGAAGCAGTTAGGCAGAGATGTAAACAGAGCGCATGTCTGAGAAGTGAAGCAGTGAAGTCATGACAGCTTTAATACGTTCATCACAGTCACTCAGCTGGTGCTTCATGAACCTCGTCCACTGCTGCAAAGTGATTCTCTGAGGGTAAGACTTCAGTTCAACATAAACACATCAGGATCCATTAAAGGGGACCTGGTAGTCCGGTTTAGTTCTGGTCCTGGTCATGACATGAAAACATGTGCGGTCTTTACCCCTCCATGATTTATTCAACATCAACGTTTGTTTTTATCCACATTTTCCTCACTGAGCAAAAAACAAACAAACGGATAAACAAACAAACAGACAGACAGACGGATAAACTAACAAACTAAAAAACAGACAAAACAACAGACACAAAAACAGACAAACAAACAAACAGACAGAAAGATAAATAAACAAACAGACAAACAAACAAACACACACACACACACACACGCACGCACACGCGTCTGCCTGAGTCTGTGTTTCAGAGCTGCCGGTGTCTCGGGGACGAGCTCCACAATAAGCGTCTTGTAACACTGATTACATAACAGCCAATCACATTCAGCTCGCCTCTTTCTCTTTTTTTTGACTGGCTCAGAGCCAAACAACGGCATCACTCCCATCATGCACTGCTTCAGTGAGCTGATGTCCCAGTTTCAACAGAAAGGCAGCGGTGTGATGAATTACCATGGTCACCCACACAGCCTCAGAGGTCCTCTGACGACCCTGAATCCCTCCTCAAAGGACCTCCAGACTCCATGCAAACCCAAACTTGAGCCTCTCCTCTCCACAGAAAATTATTGATCGATCTGTGTCTTAGTATGTGTCCTGATTAAATCAGTTTGGCTGCTCTAATGAATATTCAGGATTGGTTTTATGATCTCCTGTGACTGCAGCAGCAGCAGCAGCAGCAGCGGCGGCGGAAAGACAAGTCTGCATATTCATCAATGGATAAAGAGGAGGATGTGTGAAAACAGAGACAGCTTTGTCAGATGCATCCTAAAATTTGCCCACACGCCTGAGCTCATCAAAGAGGCTCTATTTTTAACCCCGAGAGCCGAACCCTCCTCCCTCCAACTCTGCAGACAGAAACACGGTAATGAAAACAGGAGACGATCACAGAGAGTAAACTAGTGTGAATTTATGGTTTTATACTGTTTTCATATTATTATTTATTTATGGTTTTATACTGTTTCCACATTTAAGTTTATTTATATTTTTATAATGTTTCCATATTTAAATTTATTAATGGTTTATACTGTTTCTATATTTCTGTTAATTATGGATTTATACTTATCCATATTAAAGTTTATTTATGGTTTTATACTGTCTCATATTTAAGTATATTTATGTTTTTATACTGTTTCCATATTTGTGTTTATTATGGATTTATACAGTTTCCATGTTAAAGTCTATTAATGGTTTATACTGTTTCCATATAAAGGTTAATTTTTGGTTTTATACAATTTCCATATTCCTGTTTATCTATTGTTTTATACTGTTAACATATGTAAGTTTGTTTATGGGTTTAAACTATTTCCATATTAAAGTTTATTTATGGTTTAATTCTGTTTTCATATTTCTGTTTATTATGTTTTTTTACTATTTCCATATTAGAATTTATTTTGGGGTTTTATACTATTTTTATATTTAAGTTTTTTCAGGTATAAACTGTTCCCATAATAAAGTTAATTTATGGTTTTATACAGTTTTTTTTTCCATACTTAATTTTTTCATGGTTTTATACTTTTTTTCAAATTTCAGTTTGTTTATGTTTTTATACTGTTTCCATATTAAAGTTTATTTATAGTGTAATTCTGTTTTTATATTTCTGTTTATTTTGATTTTTCACTATTTTCATATTAAAATTTATATTTGGTTTTATACGGTTTTTTATATTTAAACTGATTTACAGTTTTACACCATTTCCATATTTAAGTTTATTTACGGTTTTATACCGTGTCCATATTAAAGGTTATTTGTCTTGTTGTTTCTATATTAAAGTTTATTTATAGATTTTTTCTGTTTCCATTTTTAAGTGTTTCATTTTTAAGCTGATTTTCTCCGACCCGGTTAACTTCTCGAGGAAATCTCGTTGATCTTTTCGGACCTTCTGTCTGAGCTGTCCGGGATTCTTACGGCAGTGTCATTCACTCTCTCTTACCTTGAGGCTGGCGTTGGACCGCGGTTGTGTCGGGTCGTTGAACCTCCAGTTCTCCGTTGTGCCGAGGGTCTCTGGCCTCAGCTGAGGGTCTGGGGTCAGCAGAGATGTCCCTGCAGATGACGGGAAGACCCCCAAAGACAGGGGGCGCTCCCTCCTGTAGACACAAATCATCCATGATCCTGTTTGACCTTTTCTAAGAGAGACACTCAAACTCGTGAACTCTTCATGAAGACGTGGTGATCATGTGGTTCTGTCCCTTTAGGACCTGAGCCCCCCCCGCTGAGGTCTTACCTGACTCGGCCGACCCCGCTGGACTCGGAGGTCTCACTGTGCTGCTGCATCTTGATCCTCTCCACGTGCTCCATGTAGTTATGGATCATCTGCAGAGGTCAGAACCATAAAACAGAGAAATCTTAAAGGGTTTGTTCCATCATCTTCCTCTCCTCCTCCTACCCCCCACCCCTCTCACCTCGGTGTGTCTCTGATGGAGGGAGTTGTACTCCTTCTTCAGCTCCACCTCTCGCTCCTCCAGCCTGCCGACTTAAAACACAGAAACTCACTTTACAGTCATACTTAAAAACCATCGCACAGATCTCACTTTGACTGCTCTGAATGTTGTTTAAGTGAAGAAGTTAAGTGATTATCAGGGTCTCAGCACCATGACAGACTTTAAGATGAAATACTGCATATAAAGAAAAAAGGTTCGAGAGGAAACTGACCGACACAGACACCAGAGAAACAGACTTATTTCATCCTGATTCACTCCAGTCTGAGGAAAAGGAAGCTGGTCTGAACACAATTCTAATCAAACTGATGACCAAAGACTAAATTCACTTTACAGAGTGAAAATGTTGTTTTGGAAATAAATGTCTAACCCCGAGCGATTCATACTTCATTTTCCAGAGCAGTCTGACTCTAGCGCCCCCTGTCAGCCTGTAAATACTGCTGTGAACAGAGTCCTGCTGGCAGCTGTGTGTGAATGAATGACTCATTTTAACCAGCTTTGTGACTCCGCTGCTCAGAACCACAACCAACTCAGACAGGACCAGCCAATCAGCAGGCTTTCCCATCCCTAATCCACCAATGAGACGGGGCTAACTGTCGCATTAAGGATGGGAATAAGAGAAATCCTGTAATCCCATTAGCGTGAGCCCACAAAGAGGCAGAAAGAGTGAGTGAGCAGGCATAACAAGCCGATAGAGAAACATTAACCAGGAAAAGACGATTAAAGAGAGAGAGAGTGAAAGAGAAGGAAGGAAGGAAGGAAGGAAGGAAGGAGGAGAGGACAGACCTTCACATAAAAATAAAAGACATTTACAGACTAATAAACTCACTGTCCTTCATGACAAACTCTGAGACAGGAGCTTTAAAAACTGTTTCTTACTCTGGTCGGCGTAGTTCCTGATCTTGAGCTCCAGCTGTCTGGAGTGGGACTCCATCCGGTCCACATGGTTCTGCAGGTCCTTCTTGTCCTGTTCATGGGTGTCCTCAAACTCGATGAACTTCTGCTCCAGAGAAACAGAGAGAGACATGAGGCGTGGAGACAGAAACAGACATGAAGACAGGACACAGAAACACAGAGACGTGAAGTCAGGACACCATCAGGCTCAGACTGTCACAGACTGTTACTGTTATAGACTGTCACTGTTATAGACTGTTACAGACTGTTACTGTTATAGACTGTTATAGACTGTTACTGTTATAGACTGTTATAGACTCAAACTGTCATAGACTGTTATAGACTGTTACTTTTATAGACTGTTATAGACTGTTACTGTTATACTGTTATAGACTGTTGTAGACTGTTATAGACTGTTATAGACTGTTACTGTTATAGACTGTTACAGACTCAAACTGTCATAGACTGTTACTGTTATAGACTGTTATAGACTGTTACTGTTATACTGTTATAGACTGTTACTGTTATAGACTGTTATAGACTCAAACTGTTATAGACTGTTGTAGACTGTTATAGACTGTTATAGACTGTTACTGTTATAGACTGTTACAGACTCAAACTGTCATAGACTGTTACTGTTATAGATTGTTATAGACTGTTTTAGACTGTTTTAGACTGTTATAGACTCAAACTGTTATAGACTGTTACTGTTATAGACTGTTATAGACCGTTACTGTTATAGACTGTTATAGACTGTTACTGTTATAGACTGTTATAGACTCAAACTGTTATAGACTGTTGTAGACTGTTATAGACTGTTACTGTTATAGACTGTTACAGACTCAAACTGTTATAGACTGTTACTGTTATAGACTGTTATAGACTGTTACTGTTATAGACTCAAACTGTTATAGACTGTTACTGTTATAGACTGTTATAGACTCAAACTGTTATAGACTGTTACTGTTATAGACTGTTATAGACTCAAACTGTTATAGACTGTTATAGACTGTTACTGTTATAGACTGTTATAGACTCAAACTGTTATAGACTGTTACTGTTATAGACTGTTATAGACTCAAACTGTTATAGACTGTTATAGACTGTTACTGTTATAGACTGTTATAGACTCAAACTGTTATAGACTGTTACTGTTATAGACAGTAATAGACTCAGACAGTAGACTGAGTCTTTATTTGTTTGTTGACTGTGGACATTAACATCTGTTGCTTCACTTCCTTTTCTAACTGTTTGTCATTCACTTCATTATTTTAATGACCACCTCTTAATCACTATGAACAGTTTTAATGTTGATGAAGCTCCGCCCATAAACTCAGTCTGTCTGATCAATGATCAATAATCACAGGATTGTTGGTGACACTCTCTGAATAAGAACCTCTAGGGGAAGGACAAGACTTCTTAGTTTATCCGGAAATCCAGGCTCCTTCCTGTGTGTGTGTGTGTGTGTGTGTGTGGTTGTGTGTGTCCAGCTGAGCAGGCCTCAGCCCTGATTCTCAGTCTGCAGCAGCTCAATGAAACGGTCTTTTTTAAAGGATCAGTCTTTTTTTTTGTTTGTTTCTCTGCTGCAGGTTGAATCTGCAGACTTCATTATTCTCAGTGTTTCTGGTTCTCTTGGTTTTTTGTGAGACGGCGGCGCTGTGACTCTGGGTTTTTCTCTCTTTGTTGTAGGAGCGTGTCTGTGTGAGAGGCCGACAGGAACACCACAGGAGCAAAGGTTTGTCAGAAATATCAGCAGCAGCTCAAAGGTCGTCTGAAGCAGCGACTGACTGACGTGGACGGAGTCTCTCCTGTAAAGACTGATCATGTGTGCAGTTACACTCCAGGCTGCTGGTGTGGGTTTGTTGGTGTGTGTTTTTGGTGTTTGTGTGTCTGGCTGTCACTCGGAGACGTCCATGCCGTCCTCATGGCTCCAGTCAAAGACCCCGAACAGACGGTCCGAGTCGCAACCCATCAGCCTCCATAGAAACACTCAGGAAACACACACTCCTCACACTAGTACTATCACAGAGTGTCTATGAGCGCGCTCCGTGACTGAGGTTCAGTCGACGTTTCTGTCAGATTCTGACCCGGTTTCATGTTTTTACTGACCTCACAGGGAGGTCCCTCGTCTTCATCACCTCTGCCTGTAGAAACTGTTATCTAACATCTTCAGCTGCTAAGAGAGACTTTCATAAACCTCTGCTCTGATCAAGACGTAGCTAATGATCAGTATTTATCATTTATCAGTTCTCATCATAATTTATCAGTATTCATTTATGAGTATTTATCATTTAATAGTATTTACTATTTATCAGTACTTATCATTTATCAGTATTTATCAATTATCAGTTTTCATCATTTATAAGTATTTATGATCGGCGGTGAAGTTAGTTTCAAGGTTGGATATATTTTCCTGTAAATACAGCGGTGAAGTTAGTTTCAGGTTGGATATCTGACGGACATTCTCTGAGGATCTACCGGTGTCTTCTCACTCTCCATAAACGGGAATAACAACAGCAGCGCGGTTAAATCTACTCGACACACTCACTTGCTGCGTCCAAACTGCCCGCTCGGATACTACGTGCTACTGCTAGATCCTACTCCTACATACTAAAAACGTTGGCCCAATTCGGACACACTAGACGAGCGGTGGGGAAAGACGACCCCCGCAGGCAGAGAGTAGGTACTGCGCCCGTGCAGACAGTGGTAACTGAAGCCCCTCATCTGCGGGCCTGGCTGTAGTACTGCAGCTGTGCAGTTTAATGATGGAATAAGTGAGCTTTACCTCCATGATGTCGCCACATATTTGCTCATAAAATGATTACTTGGGCAAATATGACACCATGACATGACAAAGAGATACAACCGCACATGTTTTAGGACAGTGTGTGAAGTTACATGAAACTTACATCTGTACTGCTGCGGTCCCGCCTGCTGCTGCTGCTGCTGCTCCGACATGGTGCGCGCTGCTGCGGCCAGACGGCGTTCGCGACACTTTTAAATAGGCAGAGCAGCTGGTGGCGCTAGCATCACATGCGCTTCTACAACTTTTAAGAGGATGAAGAAGAAGCCTGCGGTGCATTTTGGGTCAGTAGCATGCCCGTAGGATGCACCGAGACCAACCTACAATGTGGGCGTGTCTAGCATCTGAAGTAGTATCTGAAGTAGCATGCTACTCGCTCCGGTGGCCAATTCGGACATGCTAGATACTACTTCGACTACTACTTCGACTACTACTTGGCAATTCGGACGCAGCTTGTGTCAACTTCGGTGTTGAATAAGGGACCGTCAATAAATTACTGTTGATGTACATGATCCACATGGGTCAGAGCCCCCCCTGGTCTAAACAGTCAGGATGTGGCCCTGAGGGTCGAACTGAGACGTTTCATATCAGCTCCAAACAACTCACCTGTGATCCACCTGACTGACTGTCTGTCTGTCTGTCTCTTCAGGTCTGCTGAGTCACCTCACCTGTCCCCTCCAGTCTCACCTGACTCCCCTCTCTCTGACGTCACAGTGACTCAGTCCAGGTGTGTAAATCAGTGGTTAACAGTGATTCTCTCTCTCTCACACACACACACACACACACACACACACACACACACACACACACACACACACACACACAAAGGGCCTTGTTTACATCTAGCAGAAGGCTGCAGCAGCCCACCTGAGCACGTGCACAGGTGAGTCCACGGTTCACGGATGCAGACTCCGGTCCCCCCCTTCACCCCCCCTCCCTCAGAGGATGCTGTTTCCTTCCTTCCCTCCCTCCCTCGCCTCCTCCTTCCCTCCCTCCTCACCTCCTCGGCGTGTTTCCTCAGCGCCTTCTCCCGCTCGTACTGGGTGATGAGCTGCTCGTTGTCCTCCTTCAGCAGCTCCAGCTCCACCTCGTGCTCCTGGTTCTCCGCGAACACCGAGTCCAGGTTCTCCAGCACGGCCACGACCAGCGGCATCAGCTCCTTCACCACGTCCTCGTCGTATTTCCCGATGAGCCGCTCGAACTCCCGGTAGATGGAGTTGGCCAGGCCCGATACCCGCTCAGACATCATCGCTGATGTCCCCGGGTCGTCCTGGTACACCACCCCGTCTTCCAGCTCCATTTTGGACTCTCCTTCAGCTAACGGGACCGGTTCGGGTTCCTCGGTTCGACCCGCCGCTCTGGTTTCACGGACGGTTCCGTCAGTTTCACGCGCTCATTGAGGACATGACACGGACTGAGACAGACGACGACGACGTGGATTCCTCTTTCCTCTTTTTTCCCTCACTGGTCCCATGATGCCTTCACGGCCTCTGCTAAAGTCCGGATTTTCTCATTTCACCCACTGACCCCACGCTCACGGCTCATCACATCTCCGGAGAAAAGTGAACTCAGTGGGAACAAATCACACGGAAATACCTGAAATACAGGTGACAGACAGGAAGTGACATCAGAGACTGACCCAGCAGACGGTTCACACGTCATCACAGATTTTTAAAACTCACATATAAACCGACATTTCCGAGGGAACCTGAAGGCGCCATCACAACAGCTGAGTTGTTGACCAGATCACGCCATGACGTCAGATTGTGCGCAGTGACGTGGATCATTTTGATGGAAATATTTGGATTTACTAATAAAAAATATTTAATAATCGATAAAGTAATATATTGAATATATTTAACTTTATTAAAAAACACAGAAGTGATATCTCAGAAACAATTGTACTTTTATTTTTTGACTGTAAGCATGTTACATTTTTCTGGATTGAGGTTGAAAATTTATTTGATGAACCTGCAGAAGAGAGATAATATTTTTTGTTTTGACAAAAAGAACATGGACCAAAGTTAGGGCCAGGCGGTATGGGAAACATTTTTATCACAATACATTTTTTCATATCAGTTGATATTGATAAATATCACAATATAAAAAAAATCACTTGTCAATCTTAAATGTTCCCTGTTAATTTCCTTTCTCACCGGGACCGTTTTTATCGTGCGATTATTTCGGATGTCAATATTTTTTTCGAACCCGTATCCTGTCAATACAAGCGTTCACATCAGCGACCTTTTCCCCATCCTGCGATATTTCGGCATTTATTTTTTCGGATCACAGTCGATTTTTCTAAAGTTTCTCATACTGTGTGTCCACTTCTGACCAATCAGATTGCGTGTTGTTGCGACGTCAGATTCAGCGGTATATCCAACATGACCGACCGGCTGATTGTTTACGTGTCGGAGAACAGAGTGATTTTTGATAAAAGACACAAATATTACAAAGATAACGACCTGAAGGACGACTTGTGGAGAGTCTTAGCGTCGGATTTCTCATATGACGATGGTTTGTGTGCTTTAACAGTTTGATAAACGTCTTTGTTTGAACTTTCATCTAGTAACAGATTTTATTTTTTAACTGTTCACAACTTTAAAATTCATCTTTGAAATATCTTTTAAATATTTTAACATTTTTATTGCAAAGTCTGATCGTAAACAGACACGAAAAATATTAAGTTACATTAATTTTTTTTTTTTTTTTTACAGTTTTATGGTTAAATAAAACTCTGGCCATCTGACTAATCTTTGGTTATTACTAATAATCAGACTGATTCATAATAATGACAGAGCTTTGGTTCATAGTCATAATTGGACTGATTACTCGATGCTCCACATTAACATTTTGGACGATCCCATCAGAACAAAAACTACAGACCCCCCTCCTCCGGCAGACCAGGGACAGGTCACAGGTGTGAGTCTGCACCTGTAAACACTCATGAAGGATTCAGACAGTTTTAAAGATGGAGCTCAGACAGAGGAGTGGTTTCACCTGCAGTCAACTCTCTGTTCAGTTTCAGGAAATGAAACCGTCTGATGAAGACCAGATCCTCAGGAGAAAACATGTCATCATAACAGAGACGGGAGCAGGAAACAGCGCTGTGACCGACTCAAAACCACTCAACGACGTGGAAATAAACCGAAGAGGAAATAAGGATCAAAATTCAATGAAACACTTTGAGAAGATCTTCAGTGAGACACACACAGATTTACACAGCCCTCTGCAGCTACAGTTCACTCATTAAAGGAAGAATTCAAAGGTTTTACTGGGTCTTTATTTTAGTTTTATTGAAAATAAACAGTTTCTTATTCAAAGTCTAAATGAACAGACAGAAGTTTCCAGAGTCTGAACACTTTCAAACACCAATGATCTCTCAACGCATGCATGACACGGCTGAAACCAGAGGACAGTACCATGGAGTGTGAGGGGGTCTCAGCAGAGCGAAGGGTCTACATGTCGTCCAGGTAGTCCTCTCCGTAGTCTACCATCTGTTTCAGGGCGGTCAGGATGGGTCTGCTCACCTCATCAGACGTGGAGCACTCGGACTCGTAGTTCTTCACCAGGAAGATGCAGTTGACAGGGATCCCCAGGAGGACGCTGAACTGCTCCACCTTCAGGTCACAGAGGCGGTCTGGTTACTGGACTCTGACTAAAGGTCTTTGGACAATCTAAGGGACTCAGACTCACCTGCTTCTTCAGGTATTTGCTCTTGTGAAGGTTGCTGATGTCTCTCTTCACCTCTGGACAGGCTTGGTCCACTTTGGTGAGGACGGCGAACTGGGGGATTCCTGCAGACACACAGAGGGGTTCAGACCTCAGACAGCAGGACTCTGGTGACTTAGAGTCCACAGAGCGGGAACTTACCCTGGTCCCTGGCTGCCAGTCTGACCTGTCTTAACTTCTGCACCACCCCATCACTCAGCAGAGACACGGTGCCCACAGGAACCACGCAGACCAGGACGTGGACTTTGTCATCCAGGGTGGGGTCTGGGTTGTAGCCATGATCACGCTCTGAGAGCGGGTTTTGAGGATTACACTAGAAAAAAATGAGATAAAGACAAAATTATCTTGAAGACTTAAAAATAGGCAACTGGACTGTGTAGAGTTGAGAAGACGTTTCGCCTCTTATCCAAGAAGCTTCTAGTGTGAGGAGCAGATATTTATCTTACTGGAGAAGGGGACAGACAATGACTGAGAAGAGTTGGAAAGAATGGGTTGTAGAAACCCATCTCTGGGTGTGTGCCCTCCCCCGCCCCCAAGTCGTTAACCTGAAAGGGTCGTTAACGACCCCTGTCCTGTGACCATATGACTCATGCCACCTGGGTCATGTGGTTCCAGGTGTGAGTGTTTGTGGAGCTTCCTGGGGACAGAGCTGAGAACTGCATTGTAAGTGCTGGAGAGATTGTGCCTGAGTCCACCCCTTCTGTTCAGAGAAGGTTTCTCCAGCCTGGTAAAGATGGCTTCTTTAACTCCTCTTTCAAACCATCTGTCTTCTCGAGCCAACACCTGTACCTTGTTGTCCTCGAAAGAGTGACCCGTGTCCTTTAAGTGAAGGTGGACAGCTGAGTCCTGACCTGAGGAAGTGGCTCTCCTGTGTTGAGCCATGCGTTTGTGAAGCGGTTGTTTAGTTTCCCCAATGTACAGTGACAACATTCCCATGAAGAAAGAAGGTAAGGAAAAGGAACAGAAGCACATCAAAAATGCCCTGACAACCTGTGGATACCCTAAGTGGGCCTTTGTGAAGAACAGAAAGAGAAATAACACTGAACAGGAAAGGGAGGAGAGACGCAAGAGCACTGTAATCCCTTACGTTGCAGGCCTGTCTGAGAAACTCAAGAGGATCTTTGGCAAACACCACATTCCTGTTCATTTCAAGCCTGGTAACACACTAAGGCAGAAGCTAGTCCATCCCAAGGACAAAACACCGAGACATAAACAGAGTAATGTGGTGTATGCCGTCCAGTGCAGCGAGGAATGCTCGGACCTGTACATTGGGGAAACCAAACAACCGCTTCACAAGCGCATGGCTCAACACAGGAGAGCCACTTCCTCAGGTCAGGACTCAGCTGTCCACCTTCACTTGAAGGACGCAGGTCACTCTTTCGAGGACAGCAAGGTACAGGTGTTGGCTCGAGAGGACAGATGGTTTGAAAGAGGAGTTAAAGAAGCCATCTTTACAAGGCTGGAGAAACCTTCTCTGAACAGAGGGGGTGGACTCAGGTACAACTTTTCTGGCACTTACAATGCAGTTCTCAGCTCTCTTCCCAGGAAGCTCCACAAACATTCACACCTGGGACCACATGACCCAGGTGGCATGAGTCATGTGGTCACATGACAGGGGTCGTTAACGACCCTTTCAACAGCTGACAGCTGACCAGGTGAGAAGTGAGCTGAGGAAGATGAAGCCAAGGAAAGCCACAGGCCCTGATGGCATCAGCTCAGGACTCCTGGAGGACTGTGCAGACCAGCTCTGTGAGGTGCTACTGCACATCTTCAGCTTGAGCCTGAGTCTGGAGAGGGTCACAGCACTGTGGAAGACTTCCTGCGTGATTTCTGTCCCCAAGACCCCAGGGAGCCCAACCACTTCAGACCTGTGGCCCTCACTTCTCACCTGATGAAGACTCTGGAGAGGATCGTGCTGAGGAACCTCCGCCCCCTGGTGAGCTCTCATCTAGATCCTCCGCAGTTTGCATACCAGCTGAACATCGGGGTGGATGACGCAGTCATCTACCTGCTGCAGAGGTCTGTGGCCCACTTGGAGAATACCGGCAGCACTGTGAGGGTCATGTTTTTTGACTTCTCCAGTGCTTTCAACACCATCCAGCCTTCACTGCTCAGGGGGAAGCTCGAGAGGGCGGGAGTGGACTGTCACCTAGCCGCATGGACCGTGGACTACCTCACCGACAGACCACAGTTTGTGAGGCTTCAGAACTGTGTATCGGACATGGTGGTCTGCAGCATGGGGGCTCCACAGGGGACAGTGCTCTCCCCCTTCCCCTTTTCACCCTGTGCACCTCAGACTTCAGCTACAACTCTGGGAGCTGTCACCTCCAGAAGTTCTCTGATGACACAGCCATCGTCAGATGTGTATCGTCAGGGGATGAGCGGGAATACAGGACTGTCATCAGTGACTTTGTCAACTGGTGTGGCACAAACCACCTCCAGCTCAACGCCAGTAAGACAAAGGAGATGGTTGTGGATTTCCGCAGGAGGAGGACACCTCAGACTGTTCCAGTGAACATTCAGGGTCTGGACATTGAGATGGTGGAGTCCTACAGATTCCTGGGTGTCCACCTCAACAATAAACTGGACTGGTCAACCAACACAGACGTTCTGTACAAGAAGGGCCAAAGTCGTCTCCACCTGCTGAGGAGACTGAGGTCCTTTGGAGTGTGCAGGACTCTGCTCAGGACCTTCTATGACTCTGTGGTAGCATCTGCACTTTTCTATGTGGTGGTCTGCTGGGGGGCAGGGAGCACTGAGAGGGACAGGAAGAGACTGAATAGACTGGTCAGGAGGGCCGGTTCTGTCCTGGACTGTTCTTTGGACTCCCTGGAGGAGGTGGGTGAGAGGAGGATGTTAACAAAGCTTGTATCCATCATGGACAATCCCTCTCACCCACTGCACCAGACTGTGGGAGCCTTAAGCAGCTCCTTCAGCAGCAGACTGAGACTTCCACCTTGCAGGACGGAGCGCTACCGCAGGTAGTTCCTCCCCTCTGCAATAAAACTTTACAACGAACTGTAATAAAACTGGACTCACACCACCACTGTTTGCTGGCATTTAAATTGTGTATATTGTAGATAGTTTTATTTTTCTTCTCCCTTTTTCCTTTCTCTAAATTTTTTCTTAATTATTACATTTATTTAATTTCTTAATATTAGGATCTGTATTTCTATAACTGCATTTTTGCACTCTTGGTCTGTGATGCTGCTGTGACAAAACAATTTCCCCCATGGGGGATCAATAAAGGAATATTCTATTCAGGTTAACGACTTGGACACACACACACACACACACACACACACACACACCCAGAGATGGGTTTCTACGTCCCAACCCCTCCCAGTCGTTGTCTGTCCCCTTCTCCAGTAAGATAAATATCTGCTCCTCATACTAGAAGCTTCTTGGATAAGAGGCGAAACGTCTTCTCAAGTCTTCACAGTCCAGTTGCCTGTTTTTAAGTCTTCAAGATAACCATGACCTTGATGAATGAGAATCTACATGGAGATAATGACAAAAAACAGTTTATTTAAATAAAATGTATTAATTTTATTATCATAAAGGAGCGGAGAAATCTAAGCGAGCGGACGTCCTCTGGAGTGAGAGGGTTACACACACACACACACACACACACACACACACACACACACACACACACAGAGTCATTCGCAAACTCCCCTCAGCCACAGGAAGTAGTAATACACCTTAAAACAGGAAGATGGCGCTGTTGTACACTGGTCCAGTATCATGTCCTCACAGACTTGGTTCTGGTTCGATCAGTGACTGTGGATTTAACCTCTTTGCTTGGACAGATTAGACTCTACAGGACCTTCAGGTCAACAAAGTCCTTCAGTGCGTACCTTGTGCTTTTCCCTCACGTGTCCTTTCATCGCCATTTTGACGTCGTCCACTTGGACGCCGTTGTCCAGGCTGTCCTCCAGACCCATGATGTCATTAAAAACCACAGAATAAAAGCTCTGCGCCGTTTTTTTTATCTTGTAGGTTTTATACTGAAAGAAGGAGACAGTAAATGCATCAGTTAAACAAATAAAAGTGTCAATTTAAAAGTTTTTTCATTTTCTTAAAAAGGAGATTCAGTCTGATTTATTTTCTCTCCTCTGAAAACCAACCTGCTGAAAATGACCCACATTTTCAGGGAGAGAGTTAATTTCTAAAGAGTTTGTTCATTTGAGTTTTTCATTAATTTGTGGATATTTTATGTTTGTCTCTGTCATTTTGTAGATTTGTTGAGTCACGTATAACTGTCTCAGAAGTTTCTGAAGGACCACAATCAGACGTTCTCTCAGGCTCTAGACCGTCCTACCTCCAGGGTGTAGCTTTTCCCTGAAGTTGCATCAGTTGCAGCTCGACCGCAAATGCGACCTCTGAGAGCGCTGTCCACTGAGTTGATGAAACTGGACTTTCCTGCACCGACCGGGCCGTGCAGCAGAACCCTCAAGTGACTGACTTGTGCATTTTGAGGGTGGTAGGCTCCCAGGTAGCTAATGATGTCCTCGGAGCTCCTGACGAAGCCGAGACATCAGATTATTTTATCTCATCTGTTTAGTATTAAACAAAAGAGCCCTGACCATAACAAACTACAACAAAATACAACAAGATAAAACCAGATAAAATAGACAAAAAAAGATCAATAAAAAGATAAAATTATTTTTAAAAAAGGTAAAATTTAAAAGGATAAAATAAGATTCAATAAAAGTGTGAAATCTGATTAAATAAAATAAAAATTAAAAAAACAACACAAATTAAAAACAGGATAAAATAAAATAAAAGCATAAAAATATTTTTAAATAAGGTAAAATTTAAAAAGATAAAACAAGAATAAATAAAACTGTGAAATAAGATTAAATAAAAATTCAAATATAAAACAAATTAAAAACAGGATAAAACAAGATAAAATAAAAAGATAAGACAAAATAAAAAATAAAATGATAAAATAAAAAGATAAAAATATTTTGAAAAATGTAAATAAGAACATTTAAAAAGATGAAACAAGATAAAAAAGGATCAACAAGATAAAAGGTTTAAGCAAGATAAAACAAAATAAATATAAAAAGTTAGATTATAATAAAAAATAAGACAAGATAAATAAGATTAAATAAAAATTTAAAATTAAAAACATAAAACACATTAAAAACAGGATAAGACAAGATAAAATAAAAATATAAGACAAAATAAAAAATGAAATGATAAAATCATTTTAAAAAATGAAAATTAAGAAAATTTCAAGATAAAACAAGATTAACAGATTATACAAGATAAACAGTTGAAGCAAGATAAAACAAAATAAAATAAAAAGATAGAAGTGATGAAATATAAGATAAGATAAAACAAGATAATTTATGATAACATAAGATTGAAAAAAGATAAAATTATTTTAAATAATTTAAAACAAGATCATATAATATATTAAAACTAATAAAATAAAAGGATAAAAGAAGGAAAGAAAAAAGAAAGAAAGAAAGGTGTGATAAGCTCTGTTGAAACTATATATATATATATATATATATATACTCACCGGCCACTTTATTAGGTACACCTGTCCAACTGCTCGTTAACACTTAATTTCTAATCAGCCAATCACATGGCGGCAACTTAGTGCATTTAGGCATGTAGACATGGTCAAGACAATCTCCTGCAGTTCAAACCGAGCATCAGTATGGGGAAGAAAGGTGATTTGAGTGACTTTGAACGTGGCATGGTTGTTGGTGCCAGAAGGGCTGGTCTGAGTATTTCAGAAACTGCTGATCTACTGGGATTTTCACGCACAACCATCTCTAGGGTTTACAGAGAATGGTCCGAAAAAGAAAAAATATCCAGTGAGCGGCAGTTCTGTGGGCGGAAATGCCTTGTTGATGCCAGAGGTCAGAGGAGAATGGCCAGACTGGTTCGAGCTGATAGAAAGGCAACAGTGTCTCAAATAACCACCCGTTACAACCAAGGTAGGCAGAAGAGCATCTTTGAACGCACAGTACGTCGAACTTTGAGGCAGATGGGCTGCAGCAGCAGAAGACCACACCGCGTGCCACTCCTTTCAGCTAAGAACAGGAAACTGAGGCTACAATTTGCACAAGCTCATCGAAATTGGACAATAGAAGATTGGAAAAACGTTGCCTGGTCTGATGAGTCTCGATTTCTGCTGCGACATTCGGATGGTAGGGTCAGAATTTGGCGTCAACAACATGAAAGCATGGATCCATCCTGCCTTGTATCAACGGTTCAGGCTGGTGGTGGTGGTGTCATGGTGTGGGGAATATTTTCTTGGCACTCTTTGGGCCCCTTGGTACCAATTGAGCATCGTTGCAACGCCACAGCCTACCTGAGTATTGTTGCTGACCATGTCCATCCCTTTATGACCACAATGTACCCAACTTCTGATGGCTACTTTCAGCAGGATAATGCGCCATGTCATAAAGCTGGAATCATCTCAGACTGGTTTCTTGAACATGACAATGAGTTCACTGTACTCAAATGGCCTCCACAGTCACCAGATCTCAATCCAATAGAGCATCTTTGGGATGTGGTGGAACGGGAGATTCGCATCATGGATGTGCAGCCGACAAATCTGCGGCAACTGTGTGATGCCATCATGTCAATATGGACCAAGCTCTCTGAGGAATGCTTCCAGCACCTTGTTGAATCTATGCCACGAAGAATTGAGGCAGTTCTGAAGGCAAAAGGGGGTCCAACCCGTTACTAGCATGGTGTACCTAATAAAGTGGCCGGTGAGTGTATATATATATATATATATATATATTAGTGTGTGTATATGTGTATGTGTGCGTGTGTATGTGTGTGTCTATGTGTATATGTGTGTGTTTGTGTGTGTGTGTGTGTGTGTGTCCTCACTCTGTCAGTTGTCTCCACGGTTGACTCAGACAGGCTGAAGGACAAAAATGAACAATAGTGAGTAAAACTGAAAAACATGGTTACTGATTAAAGATCCTGATCCTCAGATCTGAGATCATGTCAGTAAGAATTCAGCCTCTTACGGGAAGGTGGAGGAGTTGGAGAACGTGGAGGAGGTGGAGGAGGTGGAGGAGGTGGAGCAGGTCGAGGTGATGGTCTGGATCTGTTGTTGCCCATGTCTGCAGAGAACATGTTCACATATTAAAACATGACCTCAGCTGTTTGACCAGTCTCTAAAATAAAACCTTTGTAGAAGCTCACGGTCTGCAGATATTCAGACATTATTGATCTGTTTAAGGCTGAACCATTAATGATAAATCTGAGAGGTAATCAGCTGATATAAAGAGTTCAATATTTCTCCTTTACATCAACCTATGAGGAACAAAGTGATCATCATTACAATAATCTCCTTATTCTGAAGTAAAACCCTCCAAACATGATGAGACAGCATGCAACTCAATAAAATGCTCCAATCCAGTTTCTACAGATTAAAATGGAGCTGGAGGACAGAGTTGGTGTTTCAGTGATAATCTATAAATGATATAGTGACTGTAAAAAGAGGTCGCAACAGGTTAAAGTAGCTCTTACCTGCTGCTGTATCTCTGCTCAGAGTGACTCTGCAGATCAGCGGGCTGGTGAGTTTTTATAGAGTTTCCATAATTTCACTTTCAGTCTCCCTGTTTGGAATCACTCACATGATTCACTGGAAGACTGAAACTGAGCCCACCCCAGTCTGTGTCAAGAAGACAAACTTTATCTATGAAGGACTTCTAAAACAATGATGGTGCAACACAAAGAGATGTACAGAAAAAGAAAAGGAAGGTCAGAATAAAAACAACAAACTTTAATCAATAAATAAGTTCAATAAATTAATAGATAAAACAACTGAGCAAACTGAGGGATCATTGGACGTATAACAAAATATTAAAATATCAGATAGAGGAGTAAAAAGAGAAGAACATTAAAACAGTGTAAGATTACAGAATATATGAATATAATATTATATAGAATATGGTGTAAGAATAAATTTGAAAAAACATTATGATAAACAGGTAGTTTAAAGCTAAACTAAAACGGTGGGTCTTAAATTTACTTTTAAAAATATGGAGACTCCGTGCTGTCTACAGGTCTTCAGGTCAGCTGATCCACAGACATGGGCCATCATACTTAAAAGTTGCCTCACTGTGAGTCTTTGTTCATACTTTAAGAACAGATAAAAGACCACTACCTGAAGACTGGGGGCTCTCATGGGATCGTATGAAGAAAGCAAATCTGATAAATATGTTGGTGCAAGACCATTAAGAGCTTTGAAAAGCACACCACTTCTAGTCGAGTGGTTCATGGAAATGTCCAATTTCAAACCCATACAGTTCTTATTTGTGGGGCTAAACAGTGATGAAGAATGTTCCCAAAGTAATTCTTAGTGGGCATGTGTCTATCGGACCAACACCGGCAGCGCCAGCGACTTACTCCATGTGAAGGGGCGTGGTTTCCTCCTCTCTGATTTTGATTGACGGCTGGCAGGGTAGTCTAATTGGCAACCGAGTAAAGAACGAATGTGATTGGTGGATTGCTGCACTGCACCTGCAGAGTCACATGCAATGTATGTCAGTCAGCTACCCTGAAAATTAGATGAGTTCTTTCGCCTCTGACATCGCAGGCTCTGACGTGACTATCGCACACACATACATTGCCATGACGATGATCAAACAATGTATCGTGTAGCCCTACTGTCTGTAGTATGATCCTGTCTGTAGTATAACCCTGTCTGTGTTTAAGTTCATGTGTTCACTCTGGAGTTGTTTGGAGTTTCTTTTCTGTCAGAGACCACCCTCTAAAAACGGAGTTTTTCCTTTGACACAGAAGACTCTGATAAACATTCATTTTCTGTATTTCAGGATGAATTTTGGGTCTCATCAGGCTGTAACCCTTTTAGTGTTGATGATTATGTTGAATAATCCTTATTTTTTCAGAGCGGAGAGCGGAGAATGGAAAAACTTGGTGAGTAGCACAGACGTTGGGTTTGAAGATAAAAGTTCATGTTCAGACGTCCTGGAAGGTGAAATCATGTCGAACTCGGTCAGAGGACTTTGTTTAAAGCAGCTGCAGAGGGAACAAACAGGAGGGTTAAATATTAACACATTATCACTTTAGACTTTTTATATGAGGTGAAGGTTATGATTGTCTGCACATATTTCCATGGTTATGTATCCATAATTTCCCAGCTTGGGATCAATAAAGCAATTCTGACTCTGATTCATAACCCTTTACGTCTTTCAACAGCCCTGACAGAGGGTTTCTCTTTTGGTCAGGGGTCAGTTTGCTGCGGTTTTCCCTTTTTAAGGCATCTCAAAACTTTGATTTCTTCTGCAGCTCCTGGAGACCCAAGTGTATGAATTTGCCCAAAGTCTATACAAATCCGTCTGTGGTCTGTAAAAACCTGTCTGTACTCTTTGATGACCTGTTAGTTGACTAATTTATTGAAGTTCCCAAAATCAGTCTGTTGTCTATTTTAACCCATCTATAGTCAGTGTAAACCCCTCTGTAGTCTGTAAAATCAGTCTGTAGTATAAACCTGTCTGTGGTATAACCCTGTCAGTAGTTTGTGTAAACCTGACAGCATTGTAAACCTGTCTTTTGTCTGGGTTTGCCTGTCTGTAGTATGAACCCGTCTGTGGAGAAGAACATTTTCAGTCAAATACAGCCTGCTTCATCTTCCTCTAGAGCCTCTAATCTACATTTAAAAAGATTTAAAAAGACCAGCTGTCCAACACACAGATTTTATTGTTGCAGATTCCAGTCTGCAGGAGCAGCATCTCTAAAACTTCTTTGACCCATTTCAAGATGAACTTTGGGGACAGATAGCAAAAGTAGTTATGTGACTGAGTCGCAGAACAAAGACTATAGCTTCCAGAACATGAATACATGAATCCTTATTTTTTCCTCAGACCTCTGAATCGGTGCAGAGCTGAGAGTGGAAAAACTTTGGTTAAAAGACAATTCATGTTCAGACGTCCTGGAAGGTGAAATCATGTCGAACTCGGTCAGAGGACTTTGTTTAAAGCAGCTACAGAGGGAACAACAGGAGGGTTAAATATTAACCCATGATCATTTGAGACTTTTTATATGGAGGTGAAGGATGTGATTGTCTGCATTTCTTTATCACCTGTTCAGTTTTAATATGAGCACAACAGCCCTGATAGAGCTTTTCTCTTTTGGTCAGCGGTCAGTTTGCTGCAGTTTTCCTCTTTTTTAACATTTTTTTTGTATTAACAGTCTGTTTATTGGGATTTTACACAATGCAAAAACATCAGTATTCTAATTGCAGATTATATATACAAAACCCAATTCCGCTGAAGATGGGAAATTGTGATAAATTTAAATAAAAACAGAATACAATGATTTGCAAATCCTTTTCAACTCATATTCAGTTGAATACACTACAAAGACAAAATATTTAATGTTCAAACTCATAAACTTTATTCTTTTTTTTACAAATAACAATTAACTCAGAGTTTCATGGCTGCAACACATGACAAAGTAGTTGGTACAGGGACATGTTTACCTCTGTGTTCCATCCCCTTTCCTTTAAACAAACTCAGTAAACATTTGTGAACTGAGGAGACGAACTGTTGAAGCTTTGAAGGTGGAATTCTTTCCCATTCTTGATGTTCAGCTTCAGTCGTTCAACAGTCCGGGGTCTCCGTTGTCCTATTTTACGCTTCATAATGCTCCACACATTTTCAAGGGAGACAGGTCTGGACTGCAGACAGGTCAGTCGAGTACCCGCACTCTTTAACTACGAAGCCACGCTGTTGGAACACGTGCAGAATGAGAACACTTAGAACACATAGAACACTTTTCCACTTTGCATCAGTCCATCTTACATGAGCTCGGGTCCAGAGAAGCCAGCGGCGTTTCTGGATGTTGTTGATAAATGTCTTTCTCTTTGCATAGTAGAGTTTTAACTTACAGATGTAGTGATAAACTGTATTTACTGACAGTGGTTTTCTGAAGTGTTCCTGAGCCCATGTGCTGATATCCTTTACACAATGATGTCAGTTTTTGATACAGTGCCACCCGAGGGGTCAAAGGTCACGGGCATTCAATGTTGGTTTCCAGCCGTTCCGCTTACGTGCAGAGATTTCTCTAGATTCTCTGAACCTTTTGATGATATTATGGACCTTAGATGTTGAAACCCCTAAATTCTTTACAATTGTACTTTGAGAAACGTTGTTCTTAAACTGTTCGACTATTTGCTCACGCAGTTGTTCACAAAGTGGTGAACCTCGCCCCATCCTTGCTTGTGAATGACTGAATCACCCACCTGTTCCCTATTAGCCTGCTCACCTGTGGGATGGTCCAAATAGGTGTTTGATGAGCATTCCTCAAATTTCTCACCTGTCCCGACTTCTTTGTCACGTGTTGCTGCCATCAGATTCTGTATTCAATTGAATATAGGTTAGAAATCATTTGCAAATCGTTGCTGTAAGAAAAATTTTATGTGTATGCTATCACGTGTATTTTATCATAATGTAAGTATTTCATCTGTTTTTATTTATCACAATTTCCCAACTTCAGTGGAATTGGGTTTTGTAGATTCAACATAACCCAGAACAGATACCCACCCCCCCCACCACATCCCGTTGGCACTCAGCCCAACATAGAAAAACAAACAAATAAACAAACAATAACAAAAAAGAGGCTCAGCATTACAATACTCAGGTCACAGTGATCGGACATCTTGTGCTGTTAACACAGGACAAATGAGAAAAAAAATAAGGAGGTGCTAAAAAAAATTAAGCACCTCCTTAACCCAATTTGTATGGGTAGGTGGGACTTGGGATTTCCATTTTAGCAGTATCAACCTCCTGGCTAACATAGCTGTAAATGCTATGAAATCCCTTTTAGTAGGGGAAAGACTACGAGGGAAAGGGCATACACCAAATAAAGCAGTTAAGGCATTGGGAGTCAAATCCCTTTAAGATATCTTGGAAAAAGTATTGAACATTTCAGACCAAAATCTTGTCAGAGAAGAGCAGCTCCAAAACATGTGAGAGTAATTTGCTGTGGATTGTTGGCATCGATCACATAGAGGAGACACTGAATCGAACATTTTTGAAAGTATGGCTTTAGTGTAGTGAGCTCGATGTAGGATTCAGCATTGCATAAAGCTGTGACCAGCACATATTGAAGCTTTATGTACCCTCCACAAAATGTCTTCCCAAACATCATCAGGAATCACCTCTCCCAGATCTGTCTCCCAAATAGTTTTAAAGGTCCCCTATTATGAAAAATCCACTTTTGGGTGGTTTTCTACCAATAATAAGCATACCGGACATGAAAAAATTTCATTCTCTCCCACTCTTGCTTTCCCCTCCTTTCTGAAAACATGAGCGCAAACGGGCGGATAGAAAAGCTGTGCGGTTATGATGAACTTAAACCCGATGCTGTGCAAAAAATAAAAATGCATCAAAGTTAATTTTGTTATATTTGACATACCCAAGGGTGTGATAGCATGTAAAAAATCTTCAGCCTCTGATTACTTTTTACACTGAAATTCTGTCATTTTGTGTGATTTTTTTCTTTCCACCAAATCAGTGACATCACCTCTTAATTTGGCATTTAAGGGTTAAAATTCATAATGAAATAATAATAAAAAATGTTATGATAAGGACTGAGCTTTGAATAGATTTGAGCAAAAAAAAAATTGTCTGGTATGTTTTTATAGCAGCTAAAGTAAGTGACCCAAAACAGCCAGAGAAAATTAAAAATACGTCAAAATTAAACTTCAAATTACGTCAAATTAAACTTCTTTACCAAAAATGATTTCACTCTCTAAAAAATAGTGAGTATTTTGGTCAAAAAGTGAGTATTTTGCACCCTACTGGATAATAAAAGCCACAAGGTGACACAAGGGTTAACAAACTTCTGAAAATAAACATTCATGGAAATGGAGGCATGATCCAAAACAACAATTGAGTCATATTTGCAGCCAGAAATGTTGGATAACAACTTATTATTCACTAGAAAAAAATCAATTCAAGTGTAAGTATGATGAATATGAAAGAAAAAAAAAAGAGTATTCCCTTTTATCTGGATCGAAAAAACGCCAAGGGTTAACAACATTAACCTTGTTTATAAAGGCTTGAATCACTTTGGTCGACTTGGATTGGGAAGAATGATTTAAGTATGGATTAATCCAGCAGTTGAAGTCTCCACCTAAGATTAAATCATACATGGACAAGTCAGGTAGCATTGAGAAAACCTGTCTAAAAAAGACTCATCATCCCAGTTGGGGGCATAAAAATGTGTCCTATGACCTGCAATAAACCTGCCACCAGAATCAGACATTGTCTCAATATAAACAAAAGGAATATCAAAAGGATTTGGCTCCCCCCTGTGGACCGAAGCAGAGAGAGCATCAAAGATAACAAAAGGTAAAAGGAGGAGAGAAGGAAACAAGGGAGGAGAAGAGGAAATAAGGAAGGAGGGGAGGAGGAAACAAAGGAGAGGGGAAGGAAACAAAAGAAGGGAGGATGAAATAAGGGAGGAGAAAGGAGGAATAGAGGTAGTTCAGGCAGGTCGCTGAGTCAAGCTGATCTTAAACCAGCCCTCAGTTAGCTTACAGCTCAGGTGATCGCCCTCTACACATCCTATTGGCTAATGTCAAAATGGCGCCCTATTTAAACTGCTTCTCCTGTCTACTCTGCGTTTTTGCGTTTTCCTACCTTGCTCTTCATCATGTCGATCCCTGCCCACGACAAGGATCCACGGCAGATTGACTGCTTTCTGAAACGCAGCACCAGCATGTGAGGTCGAGGAAGCCAGTCCTTGCAATGACAGATGCGTTCCCTTCCGCACGAGCTCTCCTCTGGCAAGTAAAACTTTTATGTCTCCCAGCTTCATGAAGTCCAGGCTCCCGGAAGTCCTTTAAAGATAACATCACAGCTCCCGGTGGTGCCTCACATCAATATCCACATAGAGCCCCCACTTGCAGTTCTCTCTTCCTCCTCTGTATCCAGAAAAGCGACCGAGAAAAGAAAACGCTGTTCCCGCCGCGTCACCGCCGCCGCCCGCAGAGCGCGAGGCCCAACCCCAGCCACCAGAACCGCGGACGTGGACGACAATCCCATCCTGAAAGCACTATCCAGCATCCAGCCATCGCTCGCCCACATGTCTTCGAGGATCGAAGCCCCAGAATCCGGTTCGGTACGTGCTAAGCTGTCCTCCTTCATCCCAGCTGTCACCTTCTTTCACCGCGCTGAACGATGACGTCACTCCAGCGACAACCTACGACAGCGTCACGATCCCGCCAAAGACCCTGGGAAGTGCAGTCCCCGTCGCCACCGGCGTCCCATTCTTCCCTCCCGCGGCTGCAATTACACCGAATCTGCGGAGCCAAATCCTCGAAGGTACCGACATTAATCTTGTAAATAATCTTGCTGTGCTCCGACTACAACGATAGACGCATTGTGGATTGCGGAGATGAGTCTGTGATGCTTAAATATCGTGATGCGCGTCTGTTTAAATCTCCGACCTTAGCTGAATTCATGTAGCTTTCTGCGTATTTGGAAATGTCATATGTGAAGTGTTTTCAGCACGCAGAACTGAACTGGACACATATCTTGCCATTATTTCTGATTCAGACATGACTTATGGAAGAATATTATTCTAGGAATCTCACAAATCATTTTCAGCAAAGCTGCTAAGTACATTCAAAGATTCAACCAGACTTGATTAGTCCGTAGGCGACCTGGCTCAACTCGACTTAGCATCAAGCTTTTTCTTGTTCAAGCTGTGGGTCTTCCTCTCACACCCAGAGTAAGCCAGGAAGCAGGTATGCAGCGGTACACAGCAGTACGCTGTTAAATAGATAAATGATTATTAAATAAACAAATAAATAGATTTTATGTTCAAGAGAGGGAGAGAGAGATGCAGCAGATGATGGTACTGTGGCATCAGAGTCGGCACCTCGCTAAATGTGGGTATACTCCTCTTGTTCAAAGCCCATGGGCACAGTACATGCAAGAACCTTATCCTACGTTAACTAAGGTGACCAGACGTCCCCCATTTCCGGGGACAGTCCCCGAATAGGATTACCTGTCCCTGGAAAAAGCTGTCCCCGAAAATGGGTAAGGAAGCACAAGTAAGCAGTCCTGAGCAACAGTTGTTACGGGAGTTATTACAAGGCCGAATGTCCCCTGGTTTCATTACAGAAATCTGGTCACCTTAATATTAACCCCTGCTCACACCTCCAATCTGTGCCCCAAAACTGTGGCTACAGGCCAACCGCCAAGCTTTTTCTAAGCCTACATCTAGGCCTGTCGCGATAATCAATTAATCGCCTTATCGCTCGATAAATAAAAACGAGGTCGGTCATTTTGCCAGCCTCGATAATTAACGTGCGTTTGTTTTCCTCCTCTCTCGCTACCAAAGACGCTGGATGAGAGAAGAGGTCTCACTCTGTGCATTTTTCTCGGCACCTGGGGGCGTTGGCTCTATAAGCGGAATGAACGGAGTTAGTGAACCCTCCTGTCAGTCATTCAGTGTCTTTGTCACGAGGGGGCTGGTGCGCACAGGCACACAGACACAAGCTGCGTCCGAATTGCCAAGTAGTAGTCGAAGTAGTATCTAGCATGTCCGAATTGGCCACCGGAGCGAGTAGCATGCTACTTCAGATACTACTTCAGATACTAGACACGCCCACATTGTAGGTTGGTCTCGGTGCATCCTACGGGCATGCTACTGACCCAAAATGCACCACGGGCTTCTTCTTCGTCCTCTTAAAAGTTGTAGAAGCGCATGTGATGCTAGCGCCACCAGCTGCTCTGCCTATTTAAATGTGTCGTGAACGCCGGCTGGCCACAACAGCGCGCACCATGTCGCGGGACCGCAGCAGTACAGATGTAAGTTTCATGTAACTTCACACACTGTCCTAAAAAATGTGCGGTTGTATCTCTTTGTCATGTCATGGTGTCATATTTGCCCAAGTAATCATTTTATGAGCAAGTGGCGACATCATGGAGGTAAAGCTCACTTATTCCATCATTAAACTGCACAGCTGCAGTACTACAGCCAGGCCCGCAGATGAGGGGCTTCAGTTACCACTGTCTGCACGGGCGCAGTACCTACTCTCTGCCTGCGGGGGTCGTCTTTCCCCACCGCTCGTCTAGTGTGTCCGAATTGGGCCAACGTGTTTAGTATGTAGGAGTAGGATCTAGCAGTAGCATGTAGTATCCGAGCGGGCAGTTTGGACGCAGCAAAAGACTTTTGGATACAGTGCTGCAAGTGAGCGTCGTGAGTGAAAAGCAAGCAAACAGAATGAACACGACAGCTTTGGTGTCTAAACCGAACGCAACAGCCCAAGTGTGGGAATATTTCGGCTTTAAACCAGTTTTGTTTTCGTCAGCCACAAAACTCCACGTGTGTGTGTGCGGGCGCGCGTGTGTCTGTGTGTTGGAGGAGCACAGCAGGCTGATGAGAGCTGTCAGAGCGGACTGAAGCTGCTCCTATATGTTTAGCGTTTAACTGACTGAGTTTTGAAACTCTGTTCATCATTTTCGCCTGTCCTATCAACGTAAACGCACTTTCGTCTCGTCACATTTGAGTCATCTCCGACTTATGTTTAGCTCGTCAACGTTACGTCTTCGTCGTGGAAGAAAAGGGAAATATTTTAGTCAATATTTCCCTTTTTTGACGCTGGCGTTGACGAAAATATCTGACGAAATATGAAGAAAACAACACTGCTTTAAACCAAATGAAAGAGGTGAGCCCACAAATACGGACGAGCCGATATGTCGTATTTGTGCCAAAGTTGTGGTGACAAAGAAGGGGAATACGACGAACATGCACGTGCACCTCAAGCACAATCATCCCCTCCATTTTTCTCAAATGAGCAGAAAAAGTACCGCCGGAGGTACCGCTTACTGAAGCGTTTGGTAAGCAAGCAAATATAAACAAAACAGCGCAAAATGGTGCGCGCTGACAGACAGTGGAAATTAAAGTTTATCACTTTTGACACGGTGTACTCGCATTATTATGCCATATAATATTATCTATAATTTAAAAAACGGTGTCAATAATATCGTTTATCGGCGATAATTTGTAGCACAATTATCGTCCAGCAAAATTTGTTATCGTGACAGGCCTACCTACATCACTTCAAGGCCAAGTTACTGCAGGGACGGTTATCTAAAAAACAGCACGCCCAAGATGCACCCGCCTTGTAAAAAAGGAGAATACAGCTGTCTACTCCGTCAAATGTCCCTGAGCTGGGGAAGGCACTGGCAAAGCATCCCAACCACTGTTTGTGAATTATTTGATAACAGGACTGGTTCAGAGGTTCCTAACAGGTTTGGTCTGTCTGCCAAAAGTGTCTTTTGTGTGTAAAAATAAATTTACAATCCGTGATGACAGATCCTGAAATAGTTGATGGAGAGGAGGTAGAGAAGTAAGAGGACATGCTCGAGAGGCAGTTCATCTACCGGAAAGAGAACTTGGCATATTATTTTTCCTTGTGTGTCATGCCTCAGGGGCGGTCCTTTATATCTAGACTTTTCAACCTTGCCAAATCAGTGGAGAAACTCCATGATAGAGTAAGTTTAGATGAAGGTTGCAGATCCAAACTGCAACACTTCTGTGTAAAAATGGAAAGGCCTCTCATTCTCTTATAGTGACTATCAGGAATCTTCTCCTGTGATTTAAGCTATTTATAGTCACAGCACCATCTGTTGGTTTTGGGGGGTTTTAATAATCAGTGGTTGCTGATGTTTGGCTAAATGAACTGTCTTCTCTGCCAAAAAATGTGTCTTCAACTGCTTCAATGTTTTAAGGGTAACCTATACTACACAAGCTTTGGAGGTGGGTAGGTTGCTTCATAGTTTCTTGCTGCTGGCTGCTGCTCTCCCTCCCCAGCTTTCATGAAGCTCATGAAAGCTGGGGAGGGTTGCCTGGTATGGTTGTTCTGGGGGGCTTTTTTGCTGCTGTTTTCCCTGCCTCGGCTTCCATGTGCTACATGAAAGCTGAGAGGGTCGCCTTGTATGGTGTTTTGGGGAATTTTGATTTATTTATCTTAATCGTATTTAGGCCTGTCGCGATAATCAATAAATCGCCTTATCGCTCGGTAAATAAAAACGAGGTCGGTCATTTTGCCAGCCTCGATAATTGACGTGCGTTTGTTTTCCTCCTCTCTCGCTACCAAACACGCTGGATGAGAGAAGAGGTCTCACTCTGCGCATTTTCTCGGCACCTGGGGGCGTTGGCTGTATAGCGGAATGAACGGAGTTAGTGAACCCTCCTGTCAGTCATTCAGTATCTTTGTTACGAGGGGGCGCGCGCGCAGGTACACGTAGGCGCGCACAGGCACACAGACACAGACTTTTGGATACAGTGCTGCAAGTGAGCGTCGTGAGTGAAAAGCAAGCAAACAGAATGAACACGACAGCTTTGGTGTCTAAACCGAACGCAACAGCCCAAGTGTGGGAATATTTCGGCTTTAAACCAGTTTTGTTTTCGTCAACCACAAAACTCCACGTGTGTGCGCGCGCGCGTGTGTCTGTGTGTTGGAGGAGCACAGCAGGCTGATGAGAGCTGTCAGAGCGGACTGAAGCTGCTCCTATATGTTTAGCGTTTAATATACTGAGTTTTGCAACTCTGTGCGTCATTTTCGTCTCGTCTCATCAACGTAAACGCACTTTCGTCTCGTCACATTTTAGTCATCTCCGACTTATGTTTAGCTCGTCAACGTTACGTCTTCGTCGTGGGTGAAATTAAAGTTTATCACTTTTGACACAGTGTACTCGCATTATTATGCCATTTCATATCATTATCTATAATTTTAAAAAACGGTGTCAATAACATCGTTTATCGGCGATAATTTGTAGCACAATTATTGTCCAGCAAAATTTGTTATCGTGACAGGCCTAATCGTATTTATGTGCTGCTGCTTTCTCTGCCTTGGCTTTTCATGTTTGCACATGAAAAGGAGGGGAGGAACTGTCCCCTCTTGTAGCCGTGGCATTCCATGCAAGCGCATGGAAGAGCAGAGAACTCTCAGAACAGAGATATGCCGCCAGTGTAAAATATGTTTGCTTGTAATAAATAAATTTTGACTAAAGTGATCCTGAGTGAAATAAAAAAAGAGAGGAGGAAATAAGGAAAGAGAGGAGGACATAAGAGAGCAGAGGAGGACAAAAGGGATCAGAGGAGGAAATAAAAGAAGAGAGAAGGAAATAAATTAAGGGAGGAGGACATAAAAGAAGAAGTGTCAGACAGGGGAGTGTGTTCACCTGCAGTCAGGTTTGAGGAAATAAAACCGTCTGATGAAGACCAGACCCTCAGGAGAAAACATGTCATCATAACAGAGATGGCAGCAGGAAACAGCGCTGTGACCGACTCAAAACCACTCGACATGGAAATAAACCGAAGAGGAGCTCGGACAGTTCAGTCCAAACCTGAACAGAAGTCTGCTTCGTTTCCTTCAGATCATTTTCATTATTTTATTTTATGTTTTAGAAAATTTGAGGTTAGATAAACTTCCTCTGCAGTCAGCCCGTTTCCCTCATATCGACAGTTTTTGATGCATGTTTATGGAAATATTTTAGTTTTCCAAAGTGTCGAACAAGGTTTGTGATTTTTTGACAAATTAGGATCAAAATTCAATGAAACACTTTGAGAAGATCTTCAGTGAGACACACACAGATTTACACAGCCCTCTGCAGCTACAGTTCACTCATTAAAGGAAGAATTCAAAGGTTTTATTGGGTCATTAGTTTAGTTTAGTTTCCTTTTCAAAGTCTAAATTAACAGAAAGAAGTTTCCAGAGTCTGAACACTTCCAAACACCGACGATCTCTCAATGCATGCATGACACGGCTGAAACCAGATTGTGGTCAAGGGGGTCTCCAATCCTTGACCATGGAGTGTGGGGGGGTCTCAACAGAGCGAGGGTCTACATGTTGTTCAGGTAGTCCTCTCCGTAGTTCACCATCTGTTTCAGGGCGGTCAGGATGGGTCTGCTCACCTCATCAGACGTGGAGAGCTCAGACTCGTAGTTCTTCACCAGGAAGATGCAGTTGACAGGGATCCCCAGGCGGACGCTGAACTGCTCCACCTTCAGGTCACAGAGACGGTCTGGTTACTGGACTCTGAGTAAAGGTCTTTGGACAATCTAAGGGACTCAGACTCACCTGCTTCTTCAGGTATTTGCTCTTGTGAATGTTGCGGATGTCTCTCCTCACCTCTGGACAGGCTTGGTCCACTTTGGTGAGGATGGCGAACTGGGGGATTCCTGCAGACACACAGAGGGGTTCAGACCTCAGACAGCAGGACTCTGGTGACTTAGAGTCCACAGAGCGGGAACTTACCCTGGTCCCTGGCTGCCAGTCTGACCTGTCTTAACTTCTGCACCACCCCATCTTTCAGCAGAGACACTTTGTCCACAGGAACCACGCAGACCAGGACGTGGACTTTGTCATTCAGGGTGGGGTCTGGGTTGTAGCCATGATCACGCTCTGTGAGCGGGTTTTGAGAGTTAAACTAGAAAAAAATAAGATAAAGACAAAATTATCTTGAAGACTTAAAAATAGGCTGGACTGTGTAGAGTTGAGAAGACGTTTCGCCTCTTATCCAAGAAGCTTCTGGTGTGAGGAGCAGATATTTATCTTACTGGAGAAGGGGACAGACAACGACTGGGAGGAGTTGGAAAGAATGGGTCGAAAAAAACCCATCTCTGTTTTGTTTAAGACTTAAAAAAAGAATACATGAGCAATACGTCTTTTCCACGGGGAAAAAAACTGCTGTACTTGAAGGAAATCGCTGCTTTTGTGGAGGCAGAAATGAATATGCTGAGGATATATCTGTCAACGCAGCCGTAAATATCTGTGAATGACATTGAGCTTTAGTTTATGATATGAATCCATATGCCATAATAAGGTGTTGGTGTCTCTGCAGGTGTAGGCTACCGTCGGTGTCAGAGACGTGGTGCTCGTCGGAGCTCGACTCCCTCTGGATCAAATAAATGTTGATCATCATCAGTTTGATTGTTTCTTCAGAAACCACAAAGCTGACCTGTCTGCTGTTTTTGGATTTCTTGTATTTTCTTTGAAGACGCGCTGTGTCTTCAAGCGAGTCCAGCCTCTCACCTGAAATGCGCAGCTGTGCAGCAGCACGCAAAGCATTCTGGTATACCGACGGCACTTATGCATTTATGTTTTCAAGCGTGCATTTATGTACGCTTGAAAACATGCTAAGCGTGCTTAGCATTTCTTAGCATCTCGTGCCAAATGGGACACCGTTCGCGCCGTTGTGACGTCATGCACGCTTCATATGCACCGTTCGACGGTGCAGAAGTGCACTTAGCCCGATGCGGTCTCTGAAATGAGACACAGCCAGAGTCATTCTCAAAATCCCCTCAGCCACAGGAAGTAGTAAAACACCATAAAACAGGAAGATGGCGCTGTTGTACACTGGTGTGGTATCATGTCCTCACAGACTTGGTTCTGGTTCGATCAGTGACTGTGGATTTAACCTCTTTGGTTGGACAGATTAGACTCTACAGGACCTTCAGTTCAACAAAGTCCTTCAGTGCGTACCTTGTGATTTTCCCTCACGTGTCCTTTCATCGCCAGTTTGACGTCGTCCACGTGGACGCCGTTGTCCAGGCTGTCTTCCAGACCCATGATGTCATTAAAAACCACAGAATAAAAGCTCTGCTCGTCTTTTTCTATCATGTGGGTTTTATACTGAAAGAAGGAGACAGTAAATGCATCAGTTAAACAAATAAAAGTGTCAATTTAAAAGTTTTTTCATTTTCTTAAAAAGGAGATTCAGTCTGATTTATTTTCTCTCCTCTGAAAACCAACCTGCTGAAAATGATCCACATTTTCAGGGAGAGAGTTAGTTTCTAAAGAGTTTGTTCATTTGAGTTTTTCATTAATTTGTGGATATTTTATTTTTTGTCATTTTGTAGATTTGTTGAGTCACATATAACTGTCTCAGAAATTTCTGAAGGACCACAATCAGACGTTCTCTCAGGCTCTAGACCGTCCTACCTCCAGGGTGAAGCTTGTCCCTGAAGTTGCATCAGTAGCAGCTCGACCGGTCACACGACCTCTGAGAGCGCTGTCCACTGAGTTGATGAAACTGGACTTTCCTGCACCGACCGGGCCGTGCAGCAGAACCCTCAAGTGACTGACTTGTTTCTTTCGAGGGTGGTAGGCTCCCAGGTACCTAATGATGTCCCCGGAGCTCCTGACGAAGCAGAGACATCAGATTGTTTTATCTCATCTGTGTAGTATTAAACAAAAGAGCCCTGACCATAACAAACTACAATAAAATACAAGATAAAACCAGATAAAATAGACAAAAATTTTTTTTTTTAAAAAGATCAATAAAAAGATAGAATTATTTCTAAAAAAAGGTAAAATTTAAAAAGATAAAATAAGATTCAATGAAAGTGTGAAATCAGATTAAATAAAATAAGGAAATAAAAAAACAACACAAATTAAAAACAGGTAAAAAGACAAGACAAAATTAAAATGATATATGATAAAAAAAGAAAATTATTTTTAAAAAGGTAAAATTTTAAAAGATAAATCAAGATCAAATAAAAATGTGAAATAAAATCTAATAAAATTCTTTAAAAAATGAAAAACAGAATTAAACAAGAAAATAAAAAGATAAGACAAAATAAAAATGAAATGATTCAATAAAAGATAAAATTATTTTTAAAAATGTCAAACAAGAAAATTAAAAAATAGAACAAGAAACAAAAAAGACAAGATAAAACAAGATTATATTAAATAAAATGAGATTGGAAAACGATAAAATAACTTTATATCATGTAAAACAAGATCAAATAAATAATAAAACTAATAAAATAAAAGGATAAAAACAAGAAAAAAGGTGTGATAAGCTCTGTGTGGAAACAAACACAGACCAATCTTACTTAGCCTCTGTGTGAATGAATAAATATGTGAATAGTTTAATGTGTAAATGAGTTAATATAAATAAATGTACATGTGTGAATGTGTGAATGAGTGAATAAGCAGGACTGTGTCCTCAGAATGCTCACTCACTCTGTCAGTTGTCTCCACGGCTGCCTCAGACAGGCTGAAGGACAAAAATGAACAACAGTGAGAAAAACTGAAAGACATGGTTACTGATTAAAGTAACCATGCACTTTACACACACACACATACACATATACACACTGATATATACACACACTGATTATACACACAGATCTGAGATCATGTCAGTAAGAATTCAGCCTCTTACGGGAAGGTGGAGGAGGTGGAGGAGGTGTGGATTCTGATGAGCCCATGTCTGCAGAGAACATGTCCACATATTAAAACATGACCTCAGCTGTTTGACCAGTCTCTAAAATAAAACCTTTGTAGAAGCTCACGGTCTGCAGATATTCAGACATTATTGATCTGTTTAAGGCTGAACCATCAATGATAAATCTGAGAGGTAATCAGCTGATATAAAGAGTTCAATATTTCTCCTTTACATCAACCTATGAGGAACAAAGTGATCATTATTACAATAATCTCCTTATTCTGAAGTAAAACCCTCCAAACATGATGAGACAGCATGCAACTCTTAAATCAATAAAATGCTCCAATCCAGTTTCTACAGATTAAAATGGAGCTGGAGGACAGAGTTGGTGTTTCAGTGAGCATCAGTAAATGACAGAGAGACTGTAAAAAAAGGTCCTAACAGGTTAAAGTGGCTCTTACCTGCTGCTGTATCTCTGCTCAGAGTGACTCTGCAGATCAGCAGGCTGGTGGGTTTTTATGGAGTCTCCATACTTTCACTTTCAGTCTCCCTGTTTGGAATCACTCACATGATTTACTGGAAAACTGAAACTGACCCCTCCTCAGTCTGTGTCAAGAAGACAAACTTAATTTCTGAAGCACTTCTAAAACAATGATGGTCCAAAAACAAAGAGATGTACAGAAAAAGAAAAGGAAAGTCCGAATAAAAACAACAAAATTTTAATCAATAAATGAGTTTAAAAAAATAATAGATTAAAAAAACTTGAAATTAAAAACACTTTAGGTGGAGTTTCTGTGGTCTGTGTTATAACCCTGTCTGTGTTATAACCCTGTCTGTATCATAAACCTGTCTGTAGTATGATCCTGTCTGTGTTATAAACCTGTCTGTAGTATAGACCTGTCTGTAGGATGATCCTGTCTGTGTTTAAGTCTAAGTTCATGTGTTCACTCTGGAGTTGTTTGGAGTTTCTTTTCTGTCAGAGACCACCCTCTAAAAACGGAGTTTTTCCTTTGACACAGAAGACTCTGATAAACATTCATTTTCTGTATTTCAGGATGAATTTTGGGTCTCATCAGGCTGTAACCCTTTTAGTGTTGATGATTATGTTGGATTATCCTTATTTTTTCAGAGCTGAGAGTGGAAAAACTTCGGTTGAAGACAATTCATGTTCAGATGTCCTGAAGGGTGAAATCATGTCGAACTCGGTCAGAGGACTTTGTTTAAAGCAGCTACAGAGGGAACAACAGGAGGGTGAAATATTAACACATGATCACTTCAGACTTTTCAGTCTTTGACTTTCTGTCCATGTTTGCAGACTGAGAGGTTTCTAAACATTATGGTGGAAAGTGTGTTAAATAACCGTTATCTGGAGAACAGGATGTGGCGGTTAGGGATGTGAGTGTCTGCATGTCTTTATTACACTTTCACTTTCAATATGAGCACAAGAACAGCCCTGATAGAGTGTTTCTCTTTTGGTTAGCAGTCATTTTGCTGCAGTTCTCCTCTTTAAAGCGTCTCAAAACTGTGATTTCTTCTGCAGCTCCTGGACTGATAAACTGCAGAAACTCTGAGTTGTGTTTGTTGATGGAAGATGTTTCTGTGCTCAGATGAATAAACGACAGAGACACACAGAAACTCTGGATGAAAACCTTCAGGAGCCCCCCAGTCAGACTGTCCCCCCCTGTTCTGTCTTTCCTGTTTTTCTAACAGGTCTGTGATTCTTCTCTCTCTCAGCCCGGGTTTGTCGGGGATTTCTCTTTGCCTGATATGAAACTTTCCCTTTCAGTCAGTTTCACCTGCTGCTGCCCTCCACACTCTCTCAGTGTCCTCAGTGTCCTGAATCAGTTCACAAACATTTATTGAGTGTTACACTCAATAAATGTTTGTGAACTGAGGAGACGAACTGTTGAAGCTTTGAAGGTGGAATTCTTTCCCATTCTTGCTTGATGTACAGCTTCAGTTGCTCAACAGTCTGGGGTCTCTGTTGTCCTATTTTACGCTTCATAATGCTCCACACATTTTCAATGGGAGACAGGTCTGGACTGCAGGCAGGCCAGTCGAGTACCCGCACTCTTTAACTACAAAGCCACGCTGTTGTAACATGTGCAGAATGTCCGTCCATGAAAAAGACGTTGCTTGGATGTAGGGCTGAAACGATTACTCGAGTAACTCGATTAATAAAATTCCTCGAGGCAAATTATATGCCTCGAGGAATCGTTTAAATCCGGAACCATGTGCAGCGCACGGTGTTTGACACGGATGGTTATTTCTGTTGCGCAGCAGCGTGCTCTTTCCGCTCCTTCCGCTGCCGCGCGTTTCATAGACATAATAAAAGGGTAGACCCCGCTGGGGGTGCTGCGCAGCGAGAAATGCGGCCGCCATCTTGGTCAGGTCAAGCTTCCCATACGCTCCGGTCAATCATATTCATTCATTCAGCGATGCCGGAGCACTGTGCGGCGTATTCCTGTGCCAACAGGCGGACAGCAGAGAACAGGGCTCAAGAAATAACTTTTCACAGTTATGATTAAACATTTTTTAAACATTACACTTGACTGTAGAGTCATTTGTAGGCCAAAGAGGAAGACTATCGGTCAACTCCAAAAAGGAAACAGCATTTGCGAACAGCTGGCTTATTCACAATAATAGCAACTTTGGTCGATTATCAACAGATTTGCATTAGATTGAAAAACTTTTGTTTGAGAGAGGTTCTAAGAAACGTTAAGAAATAAAATAGAAAGAAAAAGGAAGAAAGTGAGCTCTGTTTTATTATCTGTTTTATTAAAGATTTCTTTGTGGTGATCTCCTGTTTCATTTTGAAGATTTCCTAAGGACAAAAACTTGAGGAAGAAGTGGGAGATTGCTGTTAGAGGGAGAAATTCGCAGCAAGTGATTCCTCTGTGCTGTGTAGCCAACAAGCAAATTGATATGTAGTTTAGATGCTGTCCTGTCATGCTGTTCTTGTGTTTAAATCTTTTTGATATGTAGGCTATATATTTGTGTGTATTTTCCAGTTATTAAAATAGTGCTCCTATATGACATTATTTGTGTGTGTCTACAAATGGATAAATAAAATTAAACTATATAAAAAATTATAATCAAATCAATATATATTGAATTGGCCTATTAAAACCGCCAGTTATTAATAATTATTGAGACATAGCAGGAACCTAGCTCTAAACCTAAATATATCCTTGATTAATTGTTATACTATAATACAGCCACTGCTGCCATGTTCTAAAATATCATTTTATTCATTCTGAGTATTTGAAAACGCCAAAAAAAAATATGGCCTCTATCATGCCTCTTTGAATGGCGTTTGCAGAGAAGAAAATTACGTAGTATTGAGCGAACTATGATTCATTAATGCGCTCAGACTTCATTCCGCCGGTTAAACAGCGGTGCAGAGTGAGGCGGATGACCGGACCAAGATGGCGGCCGCATTTCTCGACAGCGCCCATTCGTGGTAGCGGCCGATGCGGGGTCTATCTTTTATTATGTCTATGGCGCGTTTGGTTCAATCATGGAGGGAAACGAGGACAGACAGAGAGAGGAAGAAAGAGATGACACGCAGAGGAAACGGCAGAAAGTGTCTAAAGTGTGGGACCATTACACACTGAAAAGGAAAGAAAATGCCGTGCAGTGCGTTCACTGTAAGGCGGAGTTGGCGTTTCACAACAGCACGTCGTCAATGCTGCAGCACCTTAAAAGAAAACACCCGGTTCATGCATTAAGTCCGCTCTGAGGCAAACGTGATTCAATGCAAAGTATTACAGTGAGAGCAAAACATTTCTTATCCGATTACTCGATTACTCGACAGATTAATCGATAGAGTACTCGATTACTAAAATAATCGATAGCTGCAGCCCTACTTGGATGGCAGCATGTTGCTCTAAAACCTGTGTGTACCTTTCAGCATTAATGTTGCTTTCAGAGATGTGTAAGTTACCCATGCCTTGGGCACTAATGCACCCCCAAACCATCACAGACGCTGGCTTTTGAACTCTGCGTCTACAACAGTCCGGATGGTTCTTTTCTGCTTTGGCCCGAATGACACGACGTCCACTGTTTCCAAAAACGATCTGAAATGTGGACTCGTCAGACCACAGAACACTTTTCCACTTTGCATCAGTCCATCTTACATGAGCTCGGGCCCAGAGAAGCCAGCGGCGTTTCTGGATGTTGTTGATAAATGGCTTTGGCTTTGCGTAGTAGAGTTTTAACTTACAGATGTAGAGATGAACTGTATTTACTGACAGTGGTTTTCTGAAGTGTTCCTGAGCCCATGTGGTCATATCCTTTACACAATGATGTCAGTTTTTGATACAGTGCCACCTGAGGGGTCGAAGGTCACGGGCATTCAAAGTTGGTTTCCGGCCGTGTCGCTTATGTGCAGTGATTTCTCCAGATTCTCTGAACCTTTTGATGATATTATGGACTGTAGTTGAAATCTCTAAATTCTTTACAATTGTACTTTGAGAAACGTTGTTCTTAAACTGTTCGACTATTTGCTCACGCAGTTGTTCACAAAGTGGTGAACCTCGCCCCATCCTTGCTTGTGAATGACTGAGAATTTTTGGCGAAGCTGCTTTTATACCCAATCATGACACCCACCTGTTCCCTATTAGCCTGCTCACCTGTGGGATGGTCCAAACAGGTGTTTGATGAGCATTCCTCAAATTTCTCACCTGTCCCGACTTCTTTGTCACGTGTTGCTGCCATCAGATTCTGTATTAAATTGAATATAGGTTAGAAATCATTTGCAAATCGTTGCTGTAAGAAAAATTGTATGTGTATGCTATCACGTGTATTTTATCATAATGTAAGTATTTTACTCATCATTTACTGAAAATCACTTGGTGTGAATGCTTGCAGAATCATATCTGTTTCTTTTTAATGAGCATGGGAAAGGAGAAGTATGGCCTTAGAGTTGGGACTTATACTTTTCCACTTTTATGAATCACCTCTCCCAGATCTGTCTCCCAAATAGTTTTAAAGGTCCCCTATTATGAAAGATCCACTTTTGGGGTGGTTTTCTACCAATAATATGCATACCGGACATGAAAAAATTTCATTCTCTCCCACTCTTGCTTTCCCCTCCTTTCTGAAAACATGAGCGCAAACGGGCGGATGGAAAAGCTGTGCGGTTATGATGAACTTAAACCCGATGCTGTGCAAAAAATAAAAATGCATCAAAGTTAATTTTGTTGCTTATATTTGACATACCCAAGGGTGTGATAGCATGTAAAAAATCTTCAGCCTCTCATTACTTTTTATATTGAAATTCTGTCATTTTGTGTGATTTTTTCTCTTTCCATCAAATCAGTGACATCGCCTCTTAATTTGGCATTTAATTTGGCATTTAAGGGTTAAAATTCATAATGAAATAATAATAAAAAATGTTATGATAAGGACTGAGCTTTGAATAGATTTGAGCAAAAAAAATTGTCTGGTATGTTTTTATAGCAGCTAAAGTAAGTGACCCAAAACAGCCACAACGCAACCAAAGGTAGTAAATCTGTAAACAGTGCATTTAAAAATTTTGAAAGAGAAAATTAAAAATATACGTCAAATTAAACTTCTTTACCAAAAATGATTTCACTCTCTAAAAAATAGCGAGTATTTTGGTCAAAAAAGTGAGTATTTTGCCCCCTACTGGCTAAAAAAAGCCACAAGGTGACACAAGGGTTAACAAACTTCTGAAAATAAACATTCATAGAAATGGAGGCATGATCCAAAACAACAATTGAGTCATATTTGCAGCCAGAAATGTTGGATAACAATTTATTATTCACTAGAAAAAAAATCAATTCAAGTGTAAGTATGATGAATATGAAAGAAAAAAAAGAGTATTCCCTTTTATCTGGATCGAAAAAACGCCAAGGGTTAACAACATTAACCTTGTTCATAAAGGCTTGAATCACTTTGGTCGACTTGGATTGGGAAGAATGGTTTAAGTATGGATTAATCCAGCAGTTGAAGTCTCCACCTAAGATTAAATCATACATGGACAAGTCAGGTAGCATTGAGAAAACCTGTCTAAAAAAGACTCATCATCCCAGTTGGGGTCATAAAAATGTGTCCTATGACCTGCAATAAACCTGCCACCAGAATCAGACATTGTCTCAATATAAACAAAAGGAATATCAAAAGGATTTGGCTCCCCCCTGTGGACCGAAGCAGAGAGAGCATCAAAGATAACAAAAGGTAAAAGGAGGAGAGGAGGAAATAAGGAAGGAGGGAAGGAGAAAACAAAAGAGAGGGGAAGGAAACAAAAGAAGGGAGGATGAAATAAGGGAGGAGAAAGGAGGAATAGAGGTAGTTCAGGCAGGTCGCTGAGTCAAGCTGATCTTAAACCAGCCCTCAGTTAGCTTACAGCTCAGGTGATCGCCCTCTACACATCCTATTGGCTAATGTCAAAATGGCGCCCTATTTAAACTGCTTCTCCTGTCTACTCTGCCTGCTGCAATTCTGCCTTTTTGCTTTTTCCTACCTTGCTCTTCATCATGTCGATCCCTGCCCACGACAAGGATCCACGGCAGATTGACTGCTTTCTGAAACGCAGCACCAGCATGTGAGGTCGAGGAAGCCAGTCCTTGCAATGACAGATGCGTTTCCTTCTGCACGAGCTCTCCTCTGGCAAGTAAAACTTTTATTTCTCCCAGCTTCATGAAGTCCAGGCTCCTAGAAGTCCTTTATAGATAACATCACAGCTCCCGGTGGTGCCTCACATCAATATCCACATAGAGCCCCCACTTGCAGTTCTCTCTTCCTCCTCTGTATCCAGAAAAGCGACCGAGAAAAGAAAACGCTGTTCCCGCCGCGTCACGGCAGTTCAGCTTCAGCCGCCGCGTCATCGCCGCCGCCCGCAGAGCGCGAGGCCCAACCCCAGCCACCAGAGCCGCGGACGTGGACGACAATCCCATCCTGAAAGCACTATCCAGCATCCAGCCATCGCTCGCCCACATGTCTTCGAGGATCGAAGCCCCAGAATCCGGTTCGGCACGTGCTAAGCTGTCCTCCTTCATCCCAGCTGTCACCTTCCTTCACCGCGCTGAACGATGACGTCACTCCAGCGACAACCGACGACAGCGTCACGATCCCGCCAAAGACCCTGGGAAGTGCAGTCCCCGTCTCCATCGGCGTCCCATTCTTCCCTCCCGCGGCTGCAATTACACCGAATCTGCGGAGCCAAATCCTCGAAGGTACCGACATTAATCTTGTAAAGAATCTTGCTGTGCTCCGACTACAATGATAGACGCATTGTGGATTGCGGAGATGAGTCTGTGATGCTTAAATATCGTGATGCGCGTCTGTTTAAATCTCCGACCTTAGCTGAATTCATGTAGCTTTCTGCGTATTTGGAAATGTCATATGTGAAGTGTTTTCAGCACGCAGAACTGAACTGGACACATATCTTGCCATTATTTCTGATTCAGACATGACTTATGGAAGAATATTATTCTAGGAATCTCACAAATCATTTTCAGCAAAGCTGCTAAGTACATTCAAAGATTCAACCAGACTTGATTAGTCCGTAGGCGACCTGGCTCAACTCGACTTAGCATCAAGCTTTTTCTTGCTCAAGCTGTGGGTCTTCCTCTCACACCCAGAGTAAGCCAGGAAGCAGGTATGCAGCGGTACACAGCAGTACGCTGTTAAATAGATAAATGATTATTAAATAAACAAATAAATAGATTTTATGTTCAAGAGAGGGAGAGAGAGATGCAGCAGATGATGGTACTGTGGCATCAGAGTCGGCGCCTCGCTAAATGTGGGTATACTCCTCTTGTTCAAAGCCTATGGGCACAGTACATGCAAGAACCTTATCCTACATTAACTAAGGTGACCAGACGTCCCCGATTTCCGGGGACAGTCCCCGAATTGGATGACCTGTCCCTGGAAAAAGCTGTCCCCGAAAATGGGTAAGGAAGCACAAGTAAGCAGTCCTGAACAACAGTTGTTACGGGAGTTATTACAAGGCCGAATGTCCCCTGGTTTCATTACAGAAATCTGGTCACCTTAATATTAACCCCTGCTCACACCTCCAATCTGTGCCCTAAAACTGTGGCTACAGGCCAACCGCCAAGCTTTTTCTAAGCCTACATCACTTCAAGGCCAAGTTACTGCAGGGACGGTTATCTAAAAAACAGCACGCCCAAGATGCACCCGCCTTGTAAAAAAGGAGAATACAGCTGTCTACTCCGTCAAATGTCCCTGAGCTGGGGAAGGCACTGGCAAAGCATCCCAACCACTGTTTGTGAATTATTTGATAACAGGACTGGTTCAGGGGTTCCTAGCATAGTTGATGGAGAGGAGGTAGAGAAGTAAGAGGACATGCTCGAGAGGCAGTTCATCTACCGGAAAGAGAACTTGGCATATTAATTTTCCTTGCGCGTCATGCCTCAGGGGCGGTCCTTTATATCTAGACTTTTCAACCTTGCCAAATCAGTGGAGAAACTCCATGATAGAGTAAGTTTAGATGAAGGTTGCAGATCCAAACTGCGGTTTGGTCACTTCTGTGTAAAAATGGAAAGGCATCTCATTCTCTTATAGTGACTATCAGGAATCTTCTCCTGTGATTTAAGCTATTTATAGTCACAGCACCATATGTTGGTTTTGGGGGGTTTTAATAATCAGTGGTTGCTGATGTTTGGCCGAATGAACTGTCTTCTCTGCCAAAAAATGTGTCTTCAACTGCTTTAATGTTTTAAGGGTAACCTATACTACACAAGCTTTTGGAGGTGGGTAGGATGCTTCATAGTTTCTTGCTGCTGGCTGCTGCTCTGCTGTTGCCTGGTATGGTTGTTCTGGGGGGCTTTTTTGCTGCTGTTTTCCCTGCCTCGGCTTCCATGTGCTACATGAAAGCTGAGAGGGTCGCCTTGTATGGTGTTTTGGGGGATTTCGATTTATTTATCTTAATCGTATTTATGTGCTGCTGCTTTCTCTGCCTTGGCTTTTCATGTTTGCACATGAAAGGGAGGGGAGGAACTGTCCCCTCTTGTAGCCGTGGCATTCCATGCAAGCGCATGGAAGAGCAGAGAACTCTCAGAACAGAGATATGCCGCCAGTGTAAAATATGTTTGATTGTAATTAGTGCTGGGCGATGGGACGATAGATATCGTGGGCACGATAGAAAATGTCTATCGTGCCATTTTTATTTTTATCGTTTCGGGCGATAGGCTGTATTTTATCCATAGGGCTTGTGCCATCAGATGATTCATAGTAACAACAACAATAATTGCACATTCAGTAAGTGTATTTGGTGTCGAACGGGAAAGAAAACAATATTTTCTTGCAAAGAAAAGGATGCGTTGACATGTAGGCTCGCATTTCTCTTTCGATTTTGCGACATGACGCCGCTTTACGTGCCCTCTTCGTGTCCAGCGTCTCCCGCCGTTGCGGGTTACCTGGGTTACACACGTGAGGGGATCATTGTAAGCAGTGCTTAATTTGTGCCGGAGCAAGTCGGAGCGCGATCCAGGACCTCTTTTGATCGGATCCGGGACCTATTTCAGCCGCTCCGGCACCTGTTTCATCTGCTCCGGGACCTTCCCTGTAGAGGATGACATTTTTCGGGAATTCCTGTGGGTCACGTGATTCCCGCAGGACTCCCACGGGATGGGAGTCATTTTTTAATTAATCCCTTGATCGGGACGGGACGGGAAAAAAAGCAACGGGAGTGGGCAGGAGCGGGAACAACATTAAAAGATGATCATTTTCAGCCGTGTTTAACAACCAGATGAACAGGTGCGTCCATTTTTGTAGTCATCTCTCAGTGAGAGCCAACACTCTTGACCGCGCTAGCAACACAAAAGAACTACAACAGTGGTTTGACTTCCTGTCAGCTGGGAGCGCGGCTGCGCATTTCTACCCTTCAAGCCAGCAGCGAGGAAACGTAATTTTGTGACACTCTGTAGTTTTTCAATCATTTCTGGAGTCGTGGCGAATCAAATCACCTGACCTGTCTGCCCCTGATAGGCGAATAAAGCGCTCTGATTCATGCTCGGGTCTTCCTACGTGCTTCAAGAGTAAAGTAAACAATGATGGAGGCAGAGAGCAGCTTTGGAGGAGAAACATCTAGCAGTGTGAACAACCCCTTAAAGACCAACCTTTTTAATAAAGCCTTTGGTTAGTTTTCCTCTATGCTTTTACTACCTTGCCTCTTACATTGCAACTCTATATTTTTTATTTTTCTAATTCTTTTTTTTATGCCAATCTGTGACTGTCATTCTATTGCTTTTTTATTGTTGCTGCTCTTTTTTTACTGTGTACTGTAGCACTTTGAGATTTTTGGTAAATGTAAAGTGCATTACAAATTAAATTTATTATTATTATTATTATTATTATTATTATTATGGAGTGCTTTGGCTCACACTATCAGCGTTTTCTGTGAGTGTTGCATAACTTTGGGTGAGCACAGACATGAACGCACTTCAGCCACGTATTTATTTATTAATTTTTCTAGTTTTAAGTGCTGGTCTTGTACTGGTACTAGTGCAGCTGTATACACTTAAATTTTTCATAGAACTGAAAGCATACCATAGCTATATCGTGATATATATCGTTATCGTGATATAAAATGATCCATATCGTGATACACATTTTTTTCCATATCGCCCAGCACTAATTGTAATAAATAAATTTTGACTAAAGTGATCCTGAGTCGAATAAAAAAAGAGAGGAGGAAATAAGGAAAGAGAGGAGGACATAGGGAGCAGAGGAGGACAAAAGGGATCAGAGGAGGAAATAAAAGAAGAGAGAAGGAAATAAAATAAGGGAGGAGAGGAGGACATAAAAGAGAAGAGGAGGAAATAAAAGAAGAAGTGTCAGACAGGGGAGTGTGTTCACCTGCAGTCAGGTTTGAGGAAATAAAACCGTCTGATGAAGACCAGACCCTCAGGAGAAAACATGTCATCATAACAGAGACGGCAGCAGGAAACAGCGCTGTGACCGACTCAAAACCACTCAACGACGTGAAAATAAACCAAAGAGGAGCTCGGACAGTTCAGTCCAAACCTGAACAGAAGTCTGCTTCGTTTCCTTCTGATCATTTTCATTATTTTATTTTATGTTTAAGAAAATTTGAGGTTAGATAAACTTCCTCTGCAGTCAGCCCGTTTCCCTCATATCGACAGTTTTTGATGCATGTTTATGGAAATATTTTAGTTTTCCAAAGTGTCGAACCAGGTTTGTGATTTTTTGACAAATTAGGATCAAAATTCAATGAAACACTTTGAGAAGATCTTCAGTGAGACACACACAGATTTACACAGCCCTCTGCAGCTACAGTTCACTCATTAAAGGAAGAATTCAAAGGTTTTATTGGGTCATTATTTTAGTTTTATTGAAAATGTTTTATGTACAGTTTCCTATTCAAAGTCTAAATTAACAGAAAGAAGTTTCCAGAGTCTGAACACTTTCAAACACCGACGATCTCTCAACGCATGCATGACACGGCTGAAACCAGATTGTGGTCAGGGGGGTCTCCAATCCTTGACCATGGAGTGTGGGGGGGTCTCAGCAGAGCAAGGGTCTACATGTTGTTCAGGTAGTCCTCTCCGTAGTCTACTATCTGTCTCAGGGCGGTCAGGATTGGTCTGCTCACCTCATCAGACATGGAGCACTCAGACTCGTAGTTCTTCACCAGGAAGATGCAGTTGACAGGGATCCCCAGGAGGACGCTGAACTGCTCCACCTTCAGGTCACAGAGACGGTCTGGTTACTGGACTCTGAGTAAAGGTCTTTGGACAATCTAAGGGACTCAGACTCACCTGCTTCTTCAGGTATTTGCTCTTGTGAATGTTGCGGATGTCTCTCCCCACCTCTGGACAGGCTTTGTCCACTTTGGTGAGGATGGCGAACTGGGGGATTCCTGCAGACACACAGAGGGGTTCAGACCTCAGACAGCAGGACTCTGGTGACTTAGAGTCCACAGAGCGGGAACTTACCCTGGTCCCTGGCTGCCAGTCTGACCTGTCTTAACTTCTGCACCACCCCATCAGTCAGCCGAGACACAGTGTCCACAGGGACCACGCAGACCAGGACGTGGACTTTGTCATCCAAGGTGGGGATTGGGTTGTAGCCATGATCACGCTCTGAGAGCGGGTTTTGAGGATTAAACTAGAAAAAAATGAGATAAAGACAAAATTATCTTGAAGACTTAAAAATAGGCAACTGGACTGTGTAGAGTTGAGAAGATGTTTCGCCTCTTATCCAAGAAGCTTCTAGTGTGAGGAGCAGATATTTATCTTACTGGAGAAGGGGACAGACAACGACTGGGAGGAGTTGGAAAGAATGGGTCGAAGAAACCCATTTCTGGTTTTTTTAAGACTTAAAAAAGAATATATGAGAAACACGTCTTTTCCACGGGGAAAAAACTGGTGTACTTGAAGGAAATCGCTGCTTTTGTGGAGGCAGAAATGAATATGCTGAGGATATATCTGTCAACGCAGCCGTAAATATCTGTGAATGACATTGAGCTTTAGTTTATGATATGAATCCATATGCCATAATAAGGTGTTGGTGTCTCTGCAGGTGTAGGTTACCGCCGGTGTCAGAGACATGGTGCTCGTCGGAGCTCGACTCCCTCTGGATCACAAATGTTGATCATCATCAGTTTGATTGTTTCTTCAGAAACCACAAAATCTCTCTGAATGACCCGCTGATACATCCACAGATAACCCTGCAGATGACCAGCTTCAGTCATTTCCCCCTCCACAAAAGCAGCTTCATGACTTTATTTACTTTATGACTTTATTCTCCTAAATTTACAACTTGAATCTCTAAATCTTAAAAGAAAAAAAACTCAATGTTGTCCTGATCCTCTGCTGTAGTTTTGTCAGCTTCTTATTTCTAATGTTTTTGATAGTTGTAACACAGCGGATCAGTTCGTCTCTAAATCTATAATGTTTGGTTTACAGATTTTAGTGAGTTCAGAGATCATGCTCTCATACAGCCTGAGCTGACTGTCTGCTGATTTTGGATTTCTTGTATTTTCTTTGAAGACGCGCTGTGTCCACAAGCGAGTCCAGCCTCTCACCTGAAATGCGAAGCTGTGCAGCGGCACGCAAAGAATTCTGGGATACCGACAGCACGAAAGCGTGCATAAATGCACGCTTGAAAAAGGGCCGGGGGTAGTGTGGTTTTGAGACCGAATTTGAAGCGCGCTTAGTATTTTGTACCAAACGGGACACCGTTCGTGCCGCGTGATGACCTCACGCACGCTTCAGATGCGCCGTTCGACGGTTGCGGTCTCTGAAATGGGACACAGGAAGGGTGCAAAACGGCAGTGCACTCAGCTAAGCGCGCTTCTCCCGATGCGGTCTCTGAAATGAGACACAGCCAGAGGCTGTGTCTCATTTCAGAGACCGCATCGACCTAAGTGCCCTTCTGCACCGTCGAACGGTGCATTTGAAGTGTGCATGACGTCACGACGGTGCGAACGGTGTCCCGTTTGGCACGAGATGCTAAAAAATGCTAAGCGCGCTTAGCATGTTTTCAAGCGTGCATTTATCCACGCTTTCGTGCCGTCGGTATCCCAGAATCCTTTGCGTGCTGCTGCACAGCTGCGCATTTCAGGTGAGAGGCTGGACTCGCTTGGAGACGCAGCGCGTCTTCAAAGAAATTACAAGCAATCCAAAAACAGCAGACAGTCAGCTCAGGCTGTATGAGAGCATGATCTCTGAACTCACTAAAATCTGTTAACCAAACATTATAGATTTAGAGACGAACTGATCCGCTCTGCTTCAACTATCAAAAACATTAGAAATGAGAAAGCTGACAAAACTACAGCAGAGTATCAGGACAACATTGAGGTTTTTTTCTATTAAGATTTAGAGATTCAAGTTGTAAATTTAGGAGAATAAAGTCATAAAGTAAATAAAGTCATAAAGCTGCTTTTGTGGAGGGGGAAATGACTGAAGCTGGTCATCTGCAGGGTTATCTGTGGATGTATCAGCGGGTCATTAAGAGAGATTTTGTGGTTTCTGAAGAAACAATCAAACTGATGATGATCAACATTTGTGATCCAGAGGGAGTCGAGCTCCGACGAGCACCACGTCTCTGACACCGGCCGTAGCCTACACCTGCAGAGACACCAACACCTTATTATGGCATATGGATTCATATCATAAATTACAGCTCAATGTCATTCACGGATATTTACGGCTGCATTGACAGATATATCCTCAGCATATTCATTTCTGCCTCCACAAAAGCAGCGATTTCCTTCAAGTACACCAGTTTTTTTCCCCGTGGAAAAGACGTATTTCTCATATATTCTTTTTAAAGTCTTTATACTTATGACAATGTGATGCTGATGTGCCAGAGGATGAAGTATCTCCTATCCTCCTTCTAAATAGGGCCCTCATACTCCTTCATACAAAACAATCATTGGATTAATTTTGTGGGAATGATCTGGGCTTGTATGTATCTACTATTTTGTGTCTGTGCAAGGTCGCACAATTAAAACAATACATGCTGCGCTCCGCAGCTTTTTTTCTAATCAGTCGTGACGTAAGCCTGAGGGCGGGGACATTTGGAGACCTTCGGAGGACTTCCTGGTGGAGTTGCCAAATGTCCCCGCCCTCAGGCTCGCGTCACGACTGACTTAAAGGAAACCCGCAGAGCGCAGCATTTATTGTTTTAATTGTGCGACCTTGCACAGACACAAAATAGTAGATACATACAAGCACAATTCATCCAATGATTGTTTTGTAAGAAGGAGTATGAGGGCCATATTGAGATTTAAGACTTTAAGGACTTCGAGATTTAAGTCGTGAATTTACGAGAATAAAGTCATTAATTTATGAGAATGAAGTCATAACCTGTTATTTCAGAGAGACTTGCTAAAATTAGGGCCATGAAGCATTTGAAGGAACTGTGCTTCAGTATAGGTTTCACAAACAAGGAGATTCTTCATCCTCTGGCACATCAGCATAACATTGTCATAAGTATAAAGACTTTAAAAAGAATATATGAGAAATACGTCTTTTCCACGGGGGAAAAAACTGGTGTACTTGAAGGAAATCGCTGCTTTTGTGGAGGCAGAAATGAATATGCTGAGGATATATCTGTCAATGCAGCCGTTAATATCCGTGAATGACATTGAGCTTTAGTTTATGATATGAATCCATATGCCATAATAAGGTGTTGGTGTCTCTGCAGGTGTAGGCTACGGCCGGTGTCAGAGACGTGGTGCTCGTCGGAGCTCGACTCCCTCTGGATCACAAATGTTGATCATCATCAGTTTGATTGTTTCTTCAGAAACCACAAAATCTCTCTGAATGACCCGCTGATACATCCACAGATAACCCTGCAGATGACCAGCTTCAGTCATTTCCCCCTCCACAAAAGCAGCTTCATGACTTTATTTACTTTATGACTTTATTCTCCTAAATTTACAACTTGAATCTCTAAATCTTAAAAGAAAAAAAACTCAATGTTGTCCTGATCCTCTGCTGTAGTTTTGTCAGCTTCTTATTTCTAATGTTTTTGATAGTTGTAACACAGCGGATCAGTTCGTCTCTAAATCTCTAATGTTTGGTTTACAGATTTTAGTGAGTTCAGAGATCATGCTCTCATACAGCCTGAGCTGACTGTCTGATGGTTTTGGATTGCTTGTATTTTCTTCGAAGACGCGCTGTGTCTCCAAGCGAGTCCAGCCTCTCACCTGAAATGCACAGCTGTGCAGCGGCACGCAAAGAATTCTGGGATACCGACGGCACGAAAGCGTGCATACATGCACGCTTGAAAACGAGGCGGGGGTAGTGTGGTTTTGAGACCGAATTTGAAGCGCGCTTAGTATTTTGTGCCAAACGGGACACCGTTCGTGCCGCGTGGTGACCTCACGTACGCGTCAGATGCGCCGTTCGATGGCTGCTGTATCTGAAATGGGACACAGGAAGGGCACAGAACGGCGCAAAACGGCGTAAAACGGCTCAAAACGGCAGTGCACTCAGCTAAGCGCCGTTAAGCGCGCTTATCACGATGCGGTCTCTGAAATGAGACACAGCCAGAGTCATTCTCAAAATCCCCTCAGCCACAGGAAGTAGTAATACACCTTAAAACAGGAAGATGGCGCTGTTGTACACTGGTGTGGTATCATGTCCTCACAGACTTGGTTCTGGTTCGATCAGTGACTGTGGATTTAACCTCTATGGTTGGACAGATTAGACTCTACAGGACCTTCAGTTCAACAAAGTCCTTCAGTGCGTACCTTGTGATTTTCCTTCACGTGTCCTTTCATCGCCAGTTTGACGTCGTCCACTTGGACGCCGTTGTCCAGGCTGTTCTCCAGGCCCATGATGTCATTAAAAACCACAGAATAAAAGCTCGACGCCTGTTTTTCTATCTTGTAGGTTTTATACTGAAAGAAGGAGACAGTAAATGCATCAGTTAAACAAATAAAAGTGTCAATTTAAAAGATTTTTCATTTTCTTAAAAAGGAGATTCAGTCTGAGAGAGTTAGAGAGAGTTAGTTTCTAAAGAGTTTGTTCATTTGAGTTTTTCATTAATTTGTGGATATTTTATGTTTGTCTCTGTCATTTTGTAAATTTGTTAAGTCACGTATAACTGTCTCAGAAGTTTCTGAAGGACCACAATCAGACGTTCTCTCAGGCTCTAGACCGTCCTACCTCCAGGGTGTAGCTTGTCCCTGAAGTTGCATCAGTAGCAGCTCGACCGGTCACACGACCCCTGAGAGCGCTGTCCACTGAGTTGATGAAACTGGACTTTCCTGCACCGACCGGGCCGTGCAGCAGAACCCTCAAGTGACTGACTTGTTTGTTTCGAGGGTGGTAGGCTCCCAGGTACCTAATGATGTCCCCGGAGCTCCTGACAAAGCAGAGACATCAGATTGTTTTATCTCATCTGTTTAGTATTAAACAAAAGAGCCCTGACCATAACAAACTACAATAAAATACAACAAGACAAAACCAGATAAAACAGACAAAAAAAAGTTTAAAAAAGATCAATGAAAAGATTAAATTATTTCTAAAAAAAGTTAAAATTTAAAAGGATAAAATAAGATTCAATAAAAGTGTGAAATCAGATCAAATAAAATAAGGAAATAAAAAAAACACAAATTAAAAACAGGATAAAATAAAATAAAAAGATAAGACAAAATAAAATGATAAGATAAAAAGATAAAATCATTTTAAAAAATGAAAATTAAGAAAATTTCAAGATAAAACAAGATTAACAGATTATACAAGATAAAAAGTTGAAGCAAGATAAAACAAAATAAAAATATAGAATTGATGAAAATAAGACAAGATAAAACAAGATAATTTATAATAACATAAGATTCAAAAAAGATAAAATTATTTTAAATAATTTAAAACAAGATCATATAATATATTAAAACTAATAAAATAAAAGGATAAAAGAAGGAAAGAAAAAAGAAAGGTGTGATAAGCTTTGTTGAAACTATATACACTCACCGGCCACTTTATTGGGTACACCTGTCCAACTGCTCATTAACACTTAATTTCTAATCAGCCAATCACATGGCGGCAACTTAGTGCATTTAGGCATGTAGACATGGTCAAGACAATCTCCTGCAGTTCAAACCGAGCATCAGTATGGGGAAGAAAGGTGATTTGAGTGACTTTGAACGTGGCATGGTTGTTGGTGCCAGAAGGGCTGGTCTGAGTATTTCAGAAACTGCTGATCTACTGGGATTTTCACACACAACCATCTCTAGGGTTTACAGAGAATGGTCCGAAAAAGAAAAAATATCCAGTGAGCGGCAGTTCTGTGGGCGGAAATGCCTTGTTGATGCCAGAGGTCAGAGGAGAATGGCCAGACTGGTTCGAGCTGATAGAAAGGCAACAGTGACTCAAATAACCACCCGTTACAACCAAGGTAGGCAGAAGAGCATCTCTGAACGCACAGTACGTCGAACTTTGAGGCAGATGGGCTACAGCAGCAGAAGACCTTTCAGCTAAGAACAGGAAACTGAGGCTACAATTTGCACAAGCTCATCGAAATTGGACAGTAGAAGATTGGAAAAACATTGCCTGGTCTGATGAGTCTCGATTTCTGCTGCGACATTCGGATGGTAGGGTCAGAATTTGGCGTCAACAACATGAAAGCGTGGATCCATCCTGCCTTGTATCAACGGTTCAGGCTGGTGGTGGTGGTGTCATGGTGTGGGGAATATTTTCTTGGCACTCTTTGGGCCCCTTGGTACCAATTGAGCATCGTTGCAACGCCACAGCCTACCTGAGTATTGTTGCTGACCATGTCCATCCCTTTATGACCACAATGTACCCAACTTCTGATGGCTACTTTCAGCAGGATAATGCGCCATGTCATGAAGCTGGAATCATCTCAGACTGGTTTCTTGAACGTGTACCTAATAAAGTGGCCGGTGAGTGTATATATAAATACACTCACCGGCCACTTTATTAGGTACACCATGCTAGTACCGGGTTGGACCCCCTTTTGCCTTCAGAACTGCCTCAATTCTTCGTGGCATAGATTCAACAAGGTGCTGGAAGCATTCCTCAGAGAGCTTGGTCCATATTGACATGATGGCATCACACAGTTGCCGCAGATTTGTCGGCTGCACATCCATGATGCGAATCTCCTGTTCCACCACATCCCAAAGATGCTCTATTGGATTGAGATCTGGTGACTGTGGAGGCCATTTGAGTACAGTGAACTCATTGTCATGTTCAAGAAACCAGTCTGAGATGATTCCAGCTTTATGACATGGCGCATTATCCTGCTGAAAGTAGCCATCAGAAGTTGGGTACATTGTGGTCATAAAGGGATGGACATGGTCAGCAACAATACTCAGGTAGGCTGTGGCGTTGCAACGATGCTCAATTGGTACCAAGGGGCCCAAAGAGTGCCAAGAAAATATTCCCCACACCATGACACCACCACCACCAGCCTGAACCGTTGATACAAGGCAGGATGGATCCATGCTTTCATGTTGTTGACGCCAAATTCTGACCCTACCATCCGAATATCGCAGCAGAAATCGAGACTCATCAGACCAGGCAATGTTTTTCCAATCTTCTATTGTCCAATTTCGATGAGCTTGTGCAAATTGTAGCCTCAGTTTCCTGTTCTTAGCTGAAAGGAGTGGCACCCGGCGTGGTCTTCTGCTGCTGTAGCCCATCTGCCTCAAAGTTCGACGTACTGTGCGTTCAGAGATGCTCTTCTGCCTACCTTGGTTGTAACGGGTGGTTATTTGAGACACTGTTGCCTTTCTATCAGCTCGAACCAGTCTGGCCATTCTCCTCTGACCTCTGGCATCAACAAGGCATTTCCGCCCACAGAACTGCCGCTCACTGGATATTTTTTCTTTTTCGGACCATTCTCTGTAAACCCTAGAGATGGTTGTGCGTGAAAATCCCAGTAGATCAGCAGTTTCTGAAATACTCAGACCAGCCCTTCTGGCACCAACAACCATGCCACGTTCAAAGTCACTCAAATCACCTTTCTTCCCCATACTGATGCTCGGTTTGAACTGCAGGAGATTGTCTTGACCATGTCTACATGCCTAAATGCACTAAGTTGCCGCCATGTGATTGGCTGATTAGAAATTAAGTGTTAACGAGCAGTTGGACAGGTGTACCTAATAAAGTGGCCGGTGAGTGTATATGTGTATATATGTATATATATATATATTACTGTGTGTATATGCGTGTATTTGTGTATATGTGTGTGTGCGTGTGTCAATGTGTATATGTATGTCTATGTGTGTATGTGTATGTGTGTGTGTGTGTGTGTGTGTCCTTAGAATGCTCACTCACTCATTCAATCGTCTCCACGGTTGACTCAGACAGGCTGAAGGACAAAAATGAACAATAGTGAGAAAAACTGAAAAACATGGTTACTGATTAAAGATCCTGATCCTCAGATCTGAGATCATGTCAGTAAGAATTCAGCCTCTTACGGGAAGGTGGAGGAGTTGGAGGAGGTGGAGAAGGTCGATAATATGGAGAATGTCCATGTGATCGTCTGCATTTTGATTTTGATGAGCCCATGTCTGCAGAGAACATGTTCACATATTAAAACATGACCTCAGCTGTTTGACCAGTCTCTAAAATAAAACCTTTGTAGAAGCTCACGGTCTGCAGATATTCAGACATTATTGATCTGTTTAAGGCTGAACCATCAATGATAAATCTGAGAGGTAATCAGCTGATATAAAGAGTTCAATATTTCTCCTTTACATCAACCTATGAGGAACAAAGTGATCATTATTACAATAATCTCCTTATTCTGAAGTAAAACCCTCCAAACATGATGAGACAGCATGCAACTCTTAAATCAATAAAATCCAGTTTCTACAGATTAAAATGGAGCTGGAGGACAGAGTTGGTGTTTCAGTGAGCATCAGTAAATGACAGAGAGACTGTAAAAAAAGGTCCTAACAGGTTAAAGTGGCTCTTACCTGCTGCTGTATCTCTGCTCAGAGTGACTCTGCAGATCAGCGGGCTGGTGGGTTTTTATAGAGTCTCCATACTTTCACTTTCAGTCTCCCTGTTTGAAATCACTCACATGATTTACTGGAAAACTGAAACTGAGCCCATCCCAGTCAATGTGTCAATGAGACAAACTTTATCTATGACGCACTTCTTACACAATGTTGGTGCAACACAAAGAGATGTACAGAAAAAGAAAAGGAAAGTCAAAATAAAAACAACAAAATTTTAATCAATAAATGAGTTTAAAAAAATAATAGATTAAAAAAACTTGAAATTAAAAACACTTTAGGTGGAGTTTCTGTGGTCTGAGTTATAACCCTGTCTGAGTTATAACCCTGTCTGTAGTATAACCCTGTCTGTATCATAAACCTGTCTGTAGGATGATCCTGTCTGTAGTATAACCCTGTCTGTGTTTAAGTCTAAGTTCATGTGTTCACTCTGGAGTTGTTTGGAGTTTCTTTTCTGTCAGAGACCACCCTCTAAAAACTGAGTTTTTCCTTTGACACAGAAGACTCTGATAAACATTCATTTTCTGTATTTCAGGATGAATTTTGGGTCTCATCAGGCTGTAACCCTTTTAGTGTTGATGATTATGTTGAATTATCCCTATTTTTTCAGAGCTGAGAGTGGAAAAACTTCGGTTGAAGACAATTCATGTTCAGATGTCCTGAAGGGTGAAATCATGTCGAACTCGGTCAGAGGACTTTGTTTAAAGCAGCTACAGAGGGAACAACAGGAGGGTGAAATATTAACACATGATCACTTTAGACTTTTCAGTCTTTGACTTTCTGTCCATGTTTGCAGACTGAGAGGTTTCTAAACATTATGGTGGAAAGTGTGTTAAATAACCGTTATCTGGAGAACAGGATGTGGCGGTTAGGGATGTGAGTGTCTGCATGTCTTTATTACTCTTTCACTTTCAATATGAGCACAAGAACAGCCCTGATAGAGTGTTTCTCTTTTGGTTAGCAGTCATTTTGCTGCAGTTCTCCTCTTTAAAGCGTCTCAAAACTGTGATTTCTTCTGCAGCTCCTGGACTGATAAACTGCAGAAACTCTGAGTTGTGTTTGTTGATGGAAGATGTTTCTGTGCTCAGATGAATAAACGACAGAGACACACAGAAACTCTGGATGAAAACCTTCAGGAGCCCCCCAGTCAGACTGTCCCCCCCTGTTCTGTCTTTCCTGTTTTTCTAACAGGTCTGTGATTCTTCTCTCTCTCAGCCCGGGTTTGTCGGGGATTTCTCTTTGCCTGATATGAAACTTTCCCTTTCAGTCAGTTTCACCTGCTGCTGCCCTCCACACTCTCTCAGTGTCCTCGGTGTCCTGAATCAGTTCACAAACATTTATTGAGTGTTACACTCAATAAATGTTTGTGAACTGAGGAGACGAACTGTTGAAGCTTTGAAGGTGGAATTCTTTCCCATTCTTGATGTACAGCTTCAGTTGCTCAACAGTCCGGGGTCTCTGTTGTCCTATTTTACGCTTCATAATGCTCCACACATTTTCAATGGGAAACAGGTCTGGACTGCAGGCAGGCCAGTCGAGTACCCGCACTCTTTAACTACGAAGTCACTCCGTTGTAACACGTGCAGAATGTGGCGTGGCGTTGTCTCGCTGAAGTAAGCAGGAAGGCTGTCCATGAAAAAGACGCTGCTTGGATGGCAGCATATGTTGCTCTAAAACCTGTGTGTACCTTTCAGCATGAATGTTGCTTTCAGAGATGTGTAAGTTACCCAGGCCTTGGGCACTAATGCACCCCCATACCATCACAGACGCTGGCTTTTGAACTTTGCGTCTACAACAGTCCGGATGGTTCTTTTCTGCTTTGGCCCGAATGACACGACGTCCACTGTTTCCAAAAACAATCTGAAATGTGGACTCGTCAGACCACAGAACACTTTTACACTTTGCATCAGTCCATCTTCGATGAGCTCGGGCCCAGAGAAGCCGGCAGCGTTTCTGGATGTTGTTGATCAATGGCTTTCTCTTTGCTTAGTTGAGTTTTAACTTACAGATGTATCGACGAACTGTATTTACTGACAGTGGTTTTCTGAAGTGTTCCTGAGTCCATGTGATCATATCCTTTACACAATGATGTCAGTTTTTGATACAGTTCCACCTGAGGGGTCGAAGGTCACGGGCATTCAAAGTTGGTTTCCGGCCGTGTCGCTTATGTGCAGTGATTTCTCCAGATTCTCTGAACCTTTTGATGATATTATGGACTGTAGTTGAAATCTCTAAATTCTTTACAATTGTACTTTGAGAAACGTTGTTCTTAAACTGTTCGACTATTTGCTCACGCAGTTGTTCACAAAGTGGTGAACCTCGCCCCATCCTTGCTTGTGAATGACTGAGAATTTTTGGCGAAGCTGCTTTTATACCCAATCATGGCACCCACCTGTTCCCTATTAGCCTGCTCACCTGTGGGATGGTCCAAATAGGTGTTTGATGAGCATTCCTCAAATTTCTCACCTGTCCCGACTTCTTTGTCACGTGTTGCTGCCATCAGATTCTGTATTCAATTGAATGTAGGTTGGAAATGATTTGCAAATCGTTGCTGTAAGAAAAATTGTATGTGTATGCTATCACGTGTATTTTATCATAATCTAAGTATTTTAATCATCATTTACTGAAAATCACTTGGTGTGAATGCTTGCAGAATCATATCTGTTTCTTTTTAATGAGCATGGGAAAGGAGAAGTATGGCCTTAGAGTTGGGACTGATACTTTTCCACTTTTATGAATCACCTCTCCCAGATCTGTCTCCCAAATAGTTTTAAAGGTCCCCTATTATGAAAGATCCACTTTTGGGGTGGTTTTCTAACAATAATATGCATACCGGTAGGCCTGTCACGATAACAAATTTTGCTGGACGATAATTGTGCTACAAATTATCGCCGATAAACGATATTATTGACACCATTTTTTAAATTATAGATAATGATATTATATGGCATAATAATGCGAGTACACCATGTCAAAAGGGATAAACTTTAATTTCCACACGAGAACAACACTGGTTGTTTTCGTTGACTAAAATATTTCCCTTTTCTCCCACGACGAAGACGTAACGTTGACGAGCTAAACATAAGTCGGAGATGACTAAAATGTGACGAGACGAAAGTGCGTTTACGTTGATGAGACGAGACGAAAATGACGAACAGAGTTGCAAAACTCAGTCAGTTAAACGCTAAACATATAGGAGCAGCTTCAGTCCGCTCTGACAGCTCTCATCAGCCTGCTGTGCTCCTCCAACACACAGACACGCACGCGCACACACACACGTGGAGTTTTGTGGTTGACGAAAACAAAACTGGTTTAAAGCCGAAATATTCCCACACTTGGGCTGTTGCGTTCGGTTTAGACACCAAAGCTGTCGTGTTCATTCTGTTAGCTTGCTTTTCACTCACAATGCTCACTTGCAGCACTGTATCCAAAAAGTCTGTGTCTGTGTGCCTGTGCGCGCCAGCCCCCTCGTGACAAAGATACTGAATGACTGACAGGAGGGTTCACTAACTCCGTTCATTCCGCTATAGAGCCAACGCCCCCAGGTGCCGAGAACAATGCGCAGAGTGAGACCTCTTCTCTCATCCAGCGTGTTTGGTAGCGAGAGAGGAGGAAAACAAACGCACGTCAATTATCGAGGCTGGCAAAATGACCGACCTCGTTTTTATTTATCGAGCGATAAGGCGATTTATTGATTATCGCGACAGGCCTACATACCGGACATGAAAAAATTTAATTCTCTCCCACTCTTGCTTTCCCCTCCTTTCTGAAAACATGAGCGCAAACGGGCGGATGGAAAAGCTGTGCGGTTATGATGAACTTAAACCCGATGCTGTGCAAAAAATAAAAATGCATCAAAGTTAATTTTGTTATATTTGACATACCCAAGGGTGTGATAGCATGTAAAAAATCTTCAGCCTCTGATTACTTTTTATATTGAAATTCTGTCATTTTGTGTGATTTTTTCTCTTTCCACCAAATCAGTGACATCACCTCTTAATTTGGCATTCAAGGGTTAAAATTCATAATGAAATAATAATAAAAAATGTTATGATAAGGACTGAGCTTGACGAATAGATTTGAGCAAAAAAAAAAAATTGTCTGGTATGTTTTTATAGCAGCTAAAGTAAGTGACCCAAAACAGCCAGAGAAAATTAAAAATACGTCAAAATTAAACTTCAAATTACGTCAAATTAAACTTCTTTACCAAAAATGATTTCACTCTCTAAAAAATAGCGAGTATTTTGGTCAAAAAAAAGAGAGTATTTTGCACCCTACTGGATAAAAAAGCCACAAGGTGACACAAGGGTTAACAAACTTCTGAAAATAAACATTCATGGAAATGGAGGCACGATCCAAAACAACAATTGAGTCATATTTGCAGCCAGAAATGTTGGATAACAACTTATTATTCACTAGAAAAAAAATCAATTCAAGTGTAAGTATGATGAATATGAAAGAAAAAAAAGAGTATTCCCTTTTATCTGGATCGAAAAAACGCCAAGGGTTAACAACATTAACCTTGTTTATAAAGGCTTGAATCACTTTGGTCGACTTGGATTGGGAAGAATGGTTTAAGTATGGATTAATCCAGCAGTTGAAGTCTCCACCTAAGATTAAATCATACATGGACAAGTCAGGTAGCATTGAGAAAACCTGTCTAAAAAAAGACTCATCATCCCAGTTGGGGTCATAAAAATGTGTCCTATGACCTGCAATAAACCTGCCACCAGAATCAGACATTGTCTCAATATAAACAAAAGGAATATCAAAAGGATTTGGCTCCCCCCTGTGGACCGAAGCAGAGAGAGCATCAAAAATAACAACAGGTAAAAGGAGGAGAGAAGGAAACAAGGGAGGAGAGGAGGAAATAAGGAAGGAGGGAAGGAGAAAACAAAAGAGAGGGGAAGGAAACAAAAGAAGGGAGGATGAAATAAGGGTGGAGAAAGGAGGAATAGCGGTAGTTCAGGCAGGTCACTGAGTCAAGCTGATCTTAAACCAGCCCTCAGTTAGCTTACAGCTCAGGTGATCGCCCTCTACACATCCTATTGGCTAATGTCAAAATGGCGCCCTATTTCTCCTGTCTACTTTGCGTTTTCCTACCTTGCTCTTCATCATCTCGATCCCTGCCCACGACAAGGATCCACGGCAGATTGACCGCTTTCTGAAACGCAGCACCAGCATGTGAGGTCGAGGAAGCCAGTCCTCGCAATGACAGATGCGTTCCCTTCCGCACGAGCTCTCCTCTGGCAAGTAGAACTTTTATTTCTCCCAGCTTCATGAAGTCCAGGCTCCCGGAAGTCCTTTAAAGATAACATCACAGCTCCCGGTGGTGCCTCACATCAATATCCACATAGAGCCCCCACTTGCAGTTCTCTCTTCCTCCTCTGTATCCAGAAAAGCGACCGAGAAAAGAAAACGCTGTTCCCGCCGCGTCACGGCAGTTCAGCTTCAGCCGCCGCGTCATCGCCGCCGCCCGCAGAGCGCGAGGCCCAACCCCAGCCACCAGAACCGCAGACGTGGACGACAATCCCATCCTAAAAGCACTATCCAGCATCCAACCATCGCTCGCCCACATGTCTTCGAGGATCGAAGCCCCAGAATCCGGTTCGGTACGTGCTAAGCTGTCCTCCTTCATCCCAGCTGTCACCTTCTTTCACCGCGCTGAACGATGACGTCACTCCAGCGACAACCGACGACAGCGTCACGATCCCGCCAAAGACTCTGGGAAGTGCAGTCCCCGTCTCCACCGGCGTCCCATTCTTCCCTCCCGCGGCTGCAATTACACCGAATCTGCGGAGCCAAATCCTCGAAGTCACCAGTTTTAGCCATCGAGAGGCCTCAGTGAGAACGGTGAGGAAACGCTTCCTTACTTATGAAGCGGCTGCAAATTTTATAGAGATTTTACAGAAGACTCCTGCTGAAACTTTACCTGCACCTTGTGATTTTATTGTCGATGATTTTAACAACAAATTAGAGACATCACTAGATGCAGTGGCTCCACTTTTAACTAAAACTGTAAGAACTAAGAAAACACAACCGTGGAGAGATGGCAACATCAAGCAACTGAAGAGAAAATGCAGGAGTGCAGAGAGAAGGTGGAGAAAAACCAAATTAACAGTCCACTATGAAATATACCGGGATCAACTAAAAACCTACAGTAACGCAATGAAATTGTCCAGAAGAAATCATTTTTCAAAACTCATTACTGACAATAAAAACAACCCGAGGTTTCTCTTTTCCACTTTTAATCTTTTAACCAGCACTGATTTTAATGTGTCCATGGCACCTACAGTGACCCTCTGTGAGGACTTTGCAGACCACTCCAGAAGCAAGATTGATACCATCAGATCCAGTCTTTTATCTCATCAGAATGCTGTTCTTAATACACCTAGATCACTGCTTTTACCCGCGGAGACACTGGAGAGTTTTAGTCTGGTTGATGCGAAGGCCCTTGGTCGAGTATTCTCCCAGGTAAACCCCACAAACTGCCTTTTAGATCCAATTCCCACATCGCTTTTAAAAACATTTTATGAATTCTTCGAGGAACAGATTTTAAATATAGTGAATTGCTCTCTTCAGATGGGTGTCTTCCCCACTGCCTATAAAATGGCGGTGGTGAAGCCCCTTCTAAAGAAGAGCAATCTAGACCACAATGTTTTTAACAACTTCAGGCCTGTATCTAATCTACCATTTTTAAGTAAAATCTTAGAAAAGGTAGTTTTTAACCAAGTGAATTATTTTTTAACTAAGAACAATATTTCTGAGAAATTTCAGTCTGGCTTTAGGATGAACCACAGCACCGAGACGGCTCTTTTGAAGATTTTAAATGACACCAGATGTAATTTAGATAACAAAAAACTAACAGTCTTGGTCTTACTGGATCTCACTGCTGCTTTTGATACCGTAGACCAGGGGTCGGCAACCTTTAACACCGAAAGAGCCATTTGATCCGGTTTCCACGGAAAAGAAAACACTGGGAGCCGCAAATACTTTTTGACATCTAAAATGAATTTATTTATGAACGCATTTATTAAACGAACACGAACACATTTTGAACATTTTGAATTCTTGAAAAAATAATACAATGTCTGAATGTCTCTTTCAAATAAATTAAAAAGCTGAACTTAAATTATCCATGTAGCAAACAAAACCAAAAAAAATGCCGTGAGCCATCATCCTTATATCGCCTTTGGGCTTTCAGAGCATGTAGCGGAGCCTTGACCTGAATTTAAAAAATAAATTGGGGAAAAAAGCACTGTGTCACTAAACAATGAGAAATAAATATTTGCAAACTATCTGCATAAATATTTATTTAACCTGGTTAATGGGACTTCTGCTCCTGAACCTCTGCGCACAGCGTCTGCAAATCGGGGCTGTACGAAGTCACTCTCATCTTTACGCAAGACTGTAAGCTGTCATCTGTGAGGCGTGAGCGGTGTTTGTTTTTAATGTAGTTCATGGTGGAGAATAGCTGCTCACATACATATGTGGATCCGAAGATCGACAGGACTCCAAAGGCATATGTCTTCATGTTCATGTAGGTGTCGGGGATGGCATTCCATGTTTCAAACACGAGTTTGTCCGGTCTTGGAAGGTTCTCAATATCACTCCATTTGTGATCCTGAGCTAGAGTGGCCTTCTGGCGGGCAACATCTTCAAGGTCCTCTGTCAAGCGTTTGAATTTGGACACCCACATGTCTTTGTCGGCTATGTCAGCCAGCTCCAGCTCCAGATCAGGTTGACTTACACCTGCAAATGCAGTTACATTTAGCAGGGATGGATCGATGTTCAGGGGAGTGACGGGGAAGGACAATGTGGTTTTTTCCTCTCTGAACTCACGGAATCGTTTCCCAAACGATGCTTGCATTGTGGTGATTGCAGAATGCAAATACTCTGAATTGATCACCTTGTGAGCTTGTTTGAACTCCCTTAAAGAGGGGAAGTGAGACAGTGTGCCTCTCTGTAAATCTCTGGCTAAAACTGTCAGTTTGCGCTCAAACGCTAACACCTCCTCCAGCATGTGTAGCGCTGTGCCTCCTCTCCCCTGAAGAGTTGTGTTCAGCCTGTTCAGGTTCGCCGTCATGTCCACCATGAAGTGCAGCTTTTCCAGCCACTCTGGCTGTTCCAGCTCAGGAAAGGTGAGCCCTTTGCTGCTCATGAAAGTTTTCACCTCTCCCAGACATGCAGCAAAACGTTTCAGCACCTCTCCTCTGGACAGCCACCGGACTCTGTTGTGCAGCAGGAGATCAGAGTATGTGCTGTCCACCTCATCCAGTAACGAACGGAACTGGCGGTGATTTAAACCTTTTGCCATTATTTTATTTACAATCTGAATGACAAGATTCATGACCTCTGTGCATTCTGAAGGAAAAGTTTGCGCGCACAATGCCTCTTGGTGCAGGATGCAGTGAAAAGTGAGCAGCTTTCTGTCCAGTGACTTCCGCCTGGTTCGCACTGGAAGCGCCGCGCGCGGAACGGAAGCGCCGCGCACAGAGTTTCGGATCGGCGCCCATGTTAACCTATGAGACTGTTCACACAGCACGCGCGCGGAAGCGCCGCGCGCGGAACGGCTCGCGCTCTGGAGCGCGGGTGCTCCGCTTCTCTCTATTTTCGGCGCGAGCCGCGAGCTCCGATGTAAAGCTCAACAGAGCAGATCGGACCAGACAGGAAGTCAGGAAGGAGATGCGAGAGAATCCGGTCAATTTTCAAAATAAAGTAAATTTCAATAAATTAGAAAAGGATTTACGGTGTTGCTTGTCAGTCTATTTTTTTTACCGATGAACACACACACACACACACACACACACACACACACACACACACACACACACACACACACACACACACACACACACACACACACACACACACACACACACGGAGGGAGAGCTGCAGAGATTCAGTGATGTTATTGAGACAAAGAGGGGGGGGGACTTTATTACGATACAGTCAATAGCCTCGAGCTAACAAGGCTATACATACAACGGAGTCAACAGACTCCCCAATTTATTCGTCGTTTACCCCTATATAATAATTTAAAACATTACTTGAAGATGCTGTCAATATTTAATTCATGTATGACGAAATAAAAACGTAAATAAATAGTGATTTACCCATTTTTAAAGCGCTCGTAAGTGTGGAAAACTGAGGGCAGACGGAAACGGCCGAGCACTACCGGGCTCAGTCGATGTCTGACCGGCATTGTCAGAGCGCAGCAGAAAGCGCTTCCTGTGTGAACAGCCAAGCGCGAGCCAGCGCTGCGCGCGCGCGCGGCGCTTCCGTTCCGCGCGCGGCGCTTCCTGTGTGAACCAGGCGTTCTGCAGCAAAGCCACAAAGCCCCTGTGCTCTCCAGTCATATTCGGTGCCCCATCAGTAGCCACTGACACTAGGTGGGTTGTTTTTATTTCTTTGGCTCGTAAACAATCAAGCACAGCCTCACAGATGTCCTCCCCCCGTGTCTGGCCTTTTAGTGGTATCAGCTCAACCATTTCTTCCTGTGGTCCAGCAGAGTTCACATATCGGCAGAACAGCGCTATTTGTTCAATGTCACTTTTGTCTTTGGACTCATCACAGGCGATTGAGTACGCTGCAGCTGAATTGATGTCTTTAATTTGCTGTATTGTGATATTTTGTGCCATTTTTATGGTTCTGTCTTTGACAGTCTTCGCAGAGAGAGGCATCTCTCTGATTTTCTGCACAATTTCATCCTTGTTTTTAAAGTCCGCGAATAGGTGTTCTGAAATCTTAAGGAATGATTGTTTCATATAATCTCCATCTGTGAACGGTTTCCCATACCTGACTATTTCCTGAGCGGCCACAAAACTTGCATGTGTAGTTGAATTTGCAGACTTCACCCACTTCTTGAAGTGATTTTTCGTCAAATCAGCCTTCCGCATCAGTCCCGAAACAGCTTTTTTTCTCTCTTCTCCCTCTGGATATTTTTCAGCAAAGGCTCTGTGTGTATTGTTGAAATGTCTTGCGACATTTGACCGTTTATTGTTAGACAGCTTTTCTCCACAAATTAGGCATACTGGTAGGCCACTCTCATCAGAGGTAAATGCAAATGAATCTGCCCAGGCATCAATGAATGTTCTATTTTCTTCAGATATTTTTCTTTTCTTACATTTCTCCATACTTGGCCTTGCTGGGGTTGAAAGTCGCGACAAATGGACGGCATACCGGCTTTCGCGAGTATGACGTTTATTTTGAGCGACGAAAAACAATAAAATATATTTATTCTAATATGTCAAGATCACAATAATCTTCCAATCTAGAACTAAAATATTCAAGAACTAATACAAATAAAATACACTTCAATTAGATACTTAGTTTTTTTTTTTTTAGTAATTTATTTTCCCAAGCCACTCAGAGCCGCAGTATAAGGACGAAAGAGCCGCATGCGGCTCCGGAGCCGCGGGTTGCCGACCCCTGCCGTAGACCATCACATTTTATTAAACAGACTGAAGCATTTGGTTGGCCTCTCTGGTACCGTTTTTAAGTGGTTCCACTCCTATCTCATGGATTGATCTTTCTTTGTAAATATGGATACATGTTCCTCCAGAACACATAAAATTAGGTTCGGGATCCCCCAAGGGTCAATTTTAGGCCCATTTCTTTTTAATCTTTACACACTTCCTTTGGGGGATGTCATCAGGAGGCACCGCATCAGTTTCCACAGTTACGCTGATGATACGCAGTTGTACATTGCTGTGTCTCCTGATGACACAGGGCCAGTTGATGCCCTTTTTAAATGCATTTCAGATATTAAGTCATGGATGGCAGATAATTTCCTCCAACTCAACCAGAATAAAACAGAGGTTTTAGTCATTGGTCCTGAAGGCCTGAGGGAGAAACTTTTACCAAAACTACAAGATTTTAAACCTTTAAAATGTGTTAGAACCTGGGCGTTATTTTTGACTCTGAGCTCACTTTTATTCCCCACATCAAGAACATCACGAAGATAGGTTTTTACCATCTCAAGAACATAGCCAGAGTCCGCCCGTTTCTATCTCAGGCCAGCACGGAGGTGCTCATGCATGCTTTTATTTCGAGTCGCCTAGATTATTATAATGCCCTGCTCTCTGGTCTTCCCAAAAAAAGCATTAGTAGCTTACAACTACTACAAAACTCAGCCGCTCGTGTGCTGACGAGGACCAGAGGGCAGGAGCACATTACACCCGTTTTGAAATCACTGCATTGGCTCCCCGTCCGCTTCAGGATCGATTTTAAGATTCTTTTGCTGGTTTATAAATGTCTTAATGGTCTTGGACCGTCTTATTTATCTGACCTGCTTTTAGCATATCAGCCCTCGCGGACCCTGAGGTCCTCTGGTACCGGCCTTTTAACTGTCCGACGAACCACGACAAAGACACACGAGCTGCGTCCGAATTGCCAAGTAGTAGTCGAAGTAGTTGTCGAAGTAGTATCTAGCATGTCCGAATTGGCCACCGGAGCGAGTAGCATGCTACTTCAGATACTACTTCAGATACTAGACACGCCCACATTGTAGGTTGGTCTCGGTGCATCCTACGGGCATGCTATTGACCCAAAATGCACCACGGGCTTCTTCTTCGTCCTCTTAAAAGTTGTAGAAGCGCATGTGATGCTAGCGCCACCAGCTGCTCTGCCTATTTAAATGTGTCGCGAACGCCGGCTGGCCACAACAGCGCGCACCATGTCGCGGGACCGCAGCAGTACAGATGTAAGTTTCATGTAACTTCACACACTGTCCTAAAAAATGTGCGGTTGTATCTCTTTGTCATGTCATGTTGTCATATTTGCCCAAGTAATCATTTTATGAGCAAATATGTGGCGACATCATGGAGGTAAAGCTCACTTATTCCATCATTAAACTGCACAGCTGCAGTACTACAGCCAGGCCCGCAGATGAGGGGCTTCAGTTACCACTGTCTGCACGGGCGCAGTACCTACTCTCTGCCTGCGGGGGTCGTCTTTCCCCACCGCTCGTCTAGTGTGTCCGAATTGGGCAAACGTGTTTAGTATGTAGGAGTAGGATCTAGCAGTAGCACGTAGCAGTAGCATGTAGTATCCGAGCGGGCAGTTCGGACGCAGCAACGGTGATGCTACCTTCAGCCACTATGGCCCTTACCGGTGGAACAGCCTGTCAGAGACCCTCAGGGCCGCAGAGACTGTTGATAGTTTTAAAAAGAGGCTAAAGACACACCTTTTTAGTCTGGCGTTTAACTGATTTTATTTAAAACATTATTTTATGTGTTTTAATCTTTTAGTTCCTAGCTCCAGTGTCTCCTCATGCGTTCTTCCTCACCAGGGCCCTCGGTACTAAGCCATGACGAAATGAGGAAATGCAAAACAACCAAGCACTGTCCTGTGTGTGTATCTGTGTGTGGGCATGGGAGGGAGGGGTTTTTATTCTTATTTTTATCTTTACTTTATGTAAAGCTCTTCGTGATACTCGTATGTATAAGAAGTGCTACGAAAACTATTTGAATTTGAATTTGAATTTATGTCGTTCACGTAGTCCTCTCCGTAGTTCACCATCTGTTTCAGGGCGGTCAGGATGGGTCTGCTGATGTCCTCAGACGTGGAGCTCTCAGACTCGTAGTTCTTCACCAGGAAGATGCAGTTGACAGGGATCCCCAGGAGGACGCTGAACTGCTCCACCTTCAGGTCACAGAGACGGTCTGGTTACTGGACTCTGAGTAAAGGTCTTTGGACAATCTAAGGGACTCAGACTCACCTGCTTCTTCAGGTATTTGCTCTTGTGAATGTTGCGGATGTCTCTCCCCACCTCTGGACAGGCTTGGTCCACTTTGGTGAGGATGGCGAACTGGGGGATTCCTGCAGACACACAGAGGGGTTCAGACCTCAGACAGCAGGACTCTGGTGACTTAGAGTCCACAGAGCGGGAACTTACCCTGGTCCCTGGCTGCCAGTCTGACCTGTCTTAACTTCTGCACCACCCCATCACTCAGCAGAGACACAGTGTCCACAGGAACCACGCAGACCAGGACGTGGACTTTGTCATCCAGGGTGGGGTCTGGGTTGTAGCCAAAATCACGCTCTGAGAGCGGGTTTTGAGGATTAAACTAGAAAAAATGAGAAAAAGACAAGAAACAGTTTATTTAAATAAAATGTATTAATGTTATTATTATTATTATAAAGGAGCGGAGAAATCTGAGCGAGCGGACGTCCTCTGGAGTGAGAGGGTTACACACACACACACACACAAGCTGCGTCCGAATTGCCAAGTAGTAGTCGAAGTAGTAGTCGAAGTAGTATCTAGCATGTCCGAATTGGCCACCGGAGCGAGTAGCATGCTACTTCAGATACTACTTCAGATGCTAGACACGCCCACATTGTAGGTTGGTCTCGGTGCATCCTACGGGCATGCTACTGACCCAAAATGCACCGCGGGCTTCTTCTTCGTCCTCTTAAAAGTTGTAGAAGCGCATGTGATGCTAGCGCCACCAGCTGCTCTGCCTATTTAAATGTGTCGCGAACGCCGGCTGGCCGCAGCAGCGCGCACCATGTCGGAGCAGCAGCAGCAGCAGCAGGCGGGACCGCAGCAGTACAGATGTAAGTTTCATGTAACTTCACACACTGTCCTAAAAAATGTGCGGTTGTATCTCTTTGTCATGTCATGGTGTCATATTTGCCCAAGTAATCATTTTATGAGCAAGTGGCGAAATCATGGAGGTAAAGCTCACTTATTCCATCATTAAACTGCACAGCTGCAGTACTACAGCCAGGCCCGCAGATGAGGGGCTTCAGTTACCACTGTCTGCACGGGCGCAGTACCTACTCTCTGCCTGCGGGGGTCGTCTTTCCCCACCGCTCGTCTAGTGTGTCCGAATTGGGCCAACGTTTTTAGTATGTAGGAGTAGGATCTAGCAGTAGCACGTAGTATCCGAGCGGGCAGTTCGGACGCAGCAACAGTCAATCTCTAATCCCCTCAGCCACAGGAAGTAGTAATACACCTGAAAACAGGAAGATGGCGCTGTTGTACACTGGTCCAGTATCATGTCCCCACAGACTTGGTTCTGGTTCGATCAGTGACTGTGGATTTAACCTCTTTGCTTGGACAGATTAGACTCTACAGGACCTTCAGGTCAACAAAGTCCTTCAGTGCGTACCTTGTGCTTTTCCCTCACGTGTCCTTTCATCGCCAGTTTGACGTCGTCCACTTGGACGCCGTTGTCCAGGTTGTCCTCCAGGCCCATGATGTCATTAAAAACCACAGAATAAAAGCTCGACGCCTGTTTTTCTATCTTGTAGGTTTTATACTGAAAGAAGGAGACAGTAAATGCATCAGTTAAACAAATAAAAGTGTCAATTTAAAAGTTTTTTCATTTTCTTAAAAAGGAGATTCAGTCTGATTTATTTTCTCTCCTCTGAAAACCAACCTGCTGAAAATGATCCACATTTTCAGGGAGAGAGTTAGTTTCTAAAGAGTTTGTTCATTTGAGTTTTTCATTAATTTGTGGATATTTTATGTTTGTCATTTTGTAGATTTGTTGAGTCACATATAACTGTCTCAGAAGTTTCTGAAAGACCACAATCAGCCGTTCTCTCAGGCTCTAGACCGTCCTACCTCCAGGGTGTAGCTTCTGCCTGAAGTTGCATCAGTAGCAGCTCGACCGGTCACACGACCTCTGAGAGCGCTGTCCACTGAGTTGATGAAACTGGACTTTCCTGCACCGACCGGGCCGTGCAGCAGAACCCTCAAGTGACTGAATTGTGCGTTTCGAGGGTGGTAGGCTCCCAGGTACCTAATGATGTCCCCGGAGCTCCTGACGAAGCAGAGACAGTATTAAACAAAAGAGCCCTGACCATAACAAACTACAATAAAATACAACAAGATAAAACCAGATAAAATAGACAAAAAAAGATTAAAGAAAGATCAATAAATAGATAAAATTATTTCTAAAAAAAGGAAAATGTAAAAAGATAAAATAAGATTCAATAAAAGTGTGAAATCTGATTAAATAAAATAAGAAATTAAAAAAAAAGATTAGACAACATTCAAATGATATATGATAAAAAAAGGAAATTGTTTTTAAAAAGGTAAAATTCAAAAAGATAAATCAAGATAAAAAAAAAGTGTGAAATAAGACTAAATAAAAATACATTTTAAAAAACAAAACAAATTAAAAACAGGATAAAACAAGAACAAATAAAAAGATAAGACAAAATAAAAATTAAAATGATAAAATAGATAGGTAAAATTAATTTAAAAAATTGTAAATTAAGAAAGTTTAAAAAGATAAAACAAGATTAAATAAAATGATTTATTTTAAAAAGAAGTAAAATTTAAATAAGAAAAATCAAGATCAAATTAAAGTGTGAAATAAAATTGAATAAAATTCTTTAAAAAATGAAAAACAATAAAACAAGAAAATAAAAAGATAAGACAAAATAAAAATGAAATGATTCAATAAAAGATAAAATTATTTTTAAAAATGTTAAATAAGAAAATAAAATAAAACAAGAAACAAAAAAGACAAGATAAAACAAGATTATATTAAATAAAATGAGATTGGAAAACGATAAAATAACTTTATATCATGTAAAACAAGATCAAATAAATAATAAAACTAATAAAATAAAAGGATAAAAACAAGAAAAAAGGTGTGATAAGCTCTGTGTGGAAACAAACACAGACCTATCTTACTTAGCCTCTGTGTGAATGAATAAATATGTGAATAGTTTAATGTGTAAATGAGTTAATATAAATAAATGTACATGTGTGAATGTGTGAATGAGTGAATATGCAGGACTGTGTCCTCAGAAGACTCACTCACTCTGTCAGTTGTCTCCACGGCTGCCTCAGACAGGCTGAAGGACAAAAATGAACAACAGTGAGAAAAACTGAAAGACATGGTTACTGATTAAAGATCCTGATCCTCAGATCTGAGATCATGTCAGTAAGAATTCAGCCTCTTACGGGAAGGTGGAGCAGGTGGAGGTGATGGATGAGGTGGAGGTGATTGAGGAGGTGGAGGTGGAGGTGGAGGAGGTGTGGATTCTGATGAGCCCATGTCTGCAGAGAACATGTCCACATATTAAAACATGACCTCAGCTGTTTGACCAGTCTCTAAAATAAAACCTTTGTAGAAGCTCACGGTCTGCAGATATTCAGACATTATTGATCTGTTTAAGGCTGAACCATCAATGATAAATCTGAGAAGTAATCAGCTGATATAAAGAGTTCAATATTTCTCCTTTACATCAACCTATGAGGAACAAAGTGATCATCATTACAATAATCTCCTTATTCTGAAGTAAAACCCTCCAAACATGATGAGACAGCATGCAACTCTTAAATCAATAAAATGCTCCAATCCAGTTTCTACAGATTAAAATGGAGCTGGAGGACAGAGTTGGTGTTTCAGTGAGCATCAGTAAATGACAGAGAGACTGTAAAAAAAGGTCCTAACAGGTTAAAGTGGCTCTTACCTGCTGCTGTATCTCTGCTCAGAGTGACTCTGCAGATCAGCAGGCTGGTGGGTTTTTATAGAGTCTCCATACTTTCACTTTCAGTCTCCCTGTTTGAAATCACTCACATGGTTTACTGGAAAACTGACACTGAGCCCTCCTCAGTCTGTGTCAATGAGACAAACTTTATTTATAAAGCACTTCTACCGCAATGCTGGTGCAACACTAAGGGCTGTGCAGAAAAAGAAAAGTAAAGTCAGAATAAAAACAACAAAATTTTAATCAATAAATGAGTTAAAAAAAATAATAGATTAAAAAAACTTGAAATTAAAAACACTTTAGGTGGAGTTTCTGTGGTCTGTGTTATAACCCTGTCTGTAGCATAACTCTGTCTGTAGTATGATCCTGTCTGTAGTATGATCCTGTCTGTAGTATAACCCTGTCTGTGTTTAAGTCTAAGTTCATGTGTTCACTCTGGAGTTGTTTGGAGTTTCTTTTCTGTCAGAGACCACCCTCTAAAAACGGAGTTTTTCCTTTGACACAGAAGACTCTGATAAACATTCATTTTCTGTATTTCAGGATGAATTTTGGGTCTCATCAGGCTGTAACCCTTTTAGTGTTGATGATTATGTTGAATTATCCTTATTTTTTCCTCAGACCTCTGAATCGCCCCTCAGTCCGTGATTCTTCTCTCTCTCAGCCCGGGTTTGTCAGGGATTTCTCTTTGCCTGATATTAAACTTTCACTTTCAGTCAGTCTCACCTGCTGCTGCCCTTCATATGTCCTCAGTGTCCACTCTCTCTCAGTGTTCTCAGTGTCCACTCTCTCCTTGATGTGTCTGTCATTATTACCCTGAGTGTCGGAAACTAAACAGACGAAAACTCTTTAACTGAATTTTTACAGAATAAAAACTTAAACTACAGACACGATTTTAGGATTGGATCTCTGAATCTACGGAGACGGAGAAGAACTAAAGGACCCAGGGGTGGACCTGGACCATCATTCAGGCCAGGAGTTTGACTCCATGCAGTCCAGGCCAATACACATCGACGCAGCACTGGCGAAAGGTTTTGGACATTTGAAGCCAGATTTAGAGAATAATGGTCACAGGCCAGGCGATGTCAGACCGGTGATCTCCATAGTCCAGTCCACCACTGAAAGGACCTGATCCTGAAAAACTCACAGCTGATCGAACATCTAATATCTGATTGGAAACAGCTGAGAGCATCTGTCAGTCTGAGGGGATTTGGCTCCCCCCTGTGGACCGGAGCAGAGAGAGCATCAAAAATAACAAGAGGTGCAAGGAGGAGAGGAGGAAACAAGGGAGGAGAGGAGAAAATAAGGAAGAAGAGGAGGAAACAAAAGAGGAGAGAAGGACAAAAAGGGAGGAGAGGAGGAAATAAAAGAAGAGAGGAGAAAATACGAGAGGAGAGAAGGACAAAAAGGGAGGAGAAGAGGAGGAAACAAAATGAGGAGGAGGAAATAAGGGAGGAGAGGAAGAGGAACAAGGGAGGAGAGGAGAAATCAAAAGATGTGAGGATTAAATAAGGGAGCAGAGGACGAAACATAAGAGGGGACAAGGAAAAAAGAGAGGAAATAAAAGAAGAGAGGGGAAAATAAGGGATGAGAGAAGGAAACAAAGGTACAAGGGGAGGAAACAAATGAGGAGAGGAGGAAATGAGGGAGGAGAAGAGGAAATAAGAGAGGAGAGGAAGAAATAAGGGAGGAAAGGACGAAACAAAGGAGGAGAAAAGGAAACAAAACAGGAGACAAGGGATAAAAGGGAGGAAATAAAAGAAGAGAGGAGGAAATAAGGGAGCAGAGAAGAAAACAAAAGATGAGACAAGGAAATAAGGGAGGAGAGGAGGAAGTAAAACAAGAGAGGAGGAAATTAGGGAGGAGAGGACGAAACAAAGGAGGAGAGAAGGAAACAAAAGAGGAGAGGAGGAAATGAAAGAGGAGACAAGGAAAAAGGGAGGAAATAAAAGAAGAGAGGAGGAAATAAGGGAGGTGAGAAGGAAACAAAAGGGGAGAGAAAGAAACAAAGGTAGAAGAGGAGAAAAAGGAGGAGAGGAGGAAATAACAGACTGTTACTGAGACGAGCTGACACACAGATTGAAGGTTTTTACTTCCATGTTTTTTGTTCACATTCTTTATTTGATGAACATCTAAAAGTTTCACAAACTTCACACAAAACCAGAGACAGAGACACTCAGCTCCTCCTCTTCACTCTCAGCTCCTCCTCTTCACTCTCAGCTCCTCCTCTTCTTCACTCTCAGCTCCTCTTCATCACATCCGCTTATATACGTAGATGATTCTTTTGCAGGAGGGGCAATGATGCTCCACGTCCTGACAGGAATCGATGCAGAACGGGATACAGCAGCAGAGGAAGCACCTGCAGGAGGACAGACAGTAAACTGGTTTTAATGGTTTCGCTCTGATGGTAGAGTCCTTCTGGTTCTTCTTGTTTTTATGGGTGATGTTCCTTCATGTCACGGTTTTTACCCGAAAAGAGCCAGACCGGCACAGATGGCCCAGGTCAGCAGGCCTGACGTGCGCTGAGTCTCTGTGACGACCGTCTGCTGACAGTGAGGACACACCGCCTGACTCGGCTGGTCATGGAGAGGCGGCGACACGACCATGTGAGTCACTGCGGGTTAAAATATAAGACCAATGAGAAGACAGGACCTGTCTGCACTTTACCTGAACATAAGGTCATTAGAGGTCAAACAGAGCAGGCGCAGCAGAGAGTCAAGTGAAGAACTTTCCAGAAACAGCAGAGTGTAGAAACATCTAGAAACATGTCAACACTTCATCTTTATTCTGTCAAATCAAACCAGAGTCCAAGTCTTTGTCTCCTCACCGTTCAGTAAAAACAGAAAACTGTGACTCCACACACGAGCCCAAACACCTGTGTGTGTGTGTGTGTGTGTGTGTGTGTGTGTGTGTGTGTGTGTGTGTGTGTGTGTGTGTGTGCGCCCCCCCAGTAATAGTCCTCACCTGTGGTTGCAGGTGCAGCAGGAACATAGGGAGGACCTGGTGGATGGAGAAAAGGTCACAGAGGTCAGAGCAGGTACTTGCAGACAGCTCTACCTGAACAGGTGCCTCACTCCTACAAACGCTGATATTTACTCTGTTGTTTCTCTGTCAGCTGTTTTCTCACAGGTTACCTGCAGGGGGTAAAGGTAAGTCGGGGGTCAGAAGGCCAAAGATGGACCCAGGGTTAGGTCCAGAGGGATTGAGCCCTCTACAAAGTCTGATTGGCCATCACAACAGGTTGGCGTCTGTTAGGATCAGCTCTGGGCTGAACTGTGAGAGTCTGCGGCTTCTTCGATAAAACAGATTATCTGTTTTTAAAACTCGACTTTTCTGTTGAATCGATGAACCCTGACCTCAACATCACCATCTCATAATGTAACAGCATTACAGTGCCACCGTGTTAAAATGTAACTGCATCACTATGTAACAGTGTTACAGTGCCACCATGTTAAAATATAACTGTTACTGCGTCATAATTTTACTGCATCATAATGTTACTGCATTACAGTGCCACCATCTCAGGATGTAACTGCATCGTAATGTTACAGTGTTAATGTAACAATGTTATAGTGCTACCATGTTAAAATGTAACTACATTGTATTGTTACAGTGTTATAATGTAACAGTGTTATAGTGCCACCATGTTAAAATGTAACTGTTACTGCATCATAATGTTACTACGTCATAATGATACTGTGTTACCATGTCACCATCTCATTATGTAACTGCATTGTAATGTTACAGTGTTATAATGTAACAGCATTACAGTACCACCATCTCAGAATGTAACTGCATCGTAATGTTACAGTGTTATAATGTAACAGTGTTACAATGTCACCATGTTAAAATGTAACTGTTACCGCATCATAATGTAACTGCATCATAATGTAACAGTGTTACAGTACCACCATGTTAAAATGTAACTGTGTTACTGCGTCATAATGTAACTGCATCATAATGTAACAGTGTTACTGTGTTAAATGTTAAAATGTAACTGTCATTGGGGGACGAATGTGGTCACAGGTCAGTTTAAAATAAAAATGTTCATGCAGGGTCTATAACGGCTGTAATGACTGAGTGACTGTTTGGCTGACTGTCTGTTTTTTACGCCTGTTTTCTTGTATTAAACTGTAATCTGGACTGAATTGTTAGGTAACAGCACCAGTCACAGACCTGCCTGGTATCCAGCAGGTGGAGGGGCTGCTGGGTAAAATCCACCTGGGCCCGCCGGAGGTGGAGGCCCAGGCATCCCATAGTTAGGAGGGGGTCCCATGTAGGGCGGGGCAGATTCCAGAGCTGGGTTTCCTTTTTCCATCTTCACAGACTGACGCTGTAAAAAGAGCAAAGTTTTACTTACAGGTGAATCGGCCCAAAGTTCAGAGTTTAATAAAGTTCAGGTTCAATAAAAAAGAAACTCAGTCTAACTCAAACAGAACCAGGACCCTTTTGGTGTTTTTTAATCCTGTGTTATCAGATCAGCTAATGTGATCAGCTCTGTAAGATGATCTTATAAACCTGTTCTGTTTGAGCACATTGTGATGGTGGGCTGTTTTCATCCTCTGTCTGTGGCACACCATTTTGAATGTAAAGTGCTTTATAAGCAATTATAAAGCACTTCCCTTCGTCAGGAGGGAAGGGCAGTTTGTGGTAGAGATCTGCTCGGTTTTCTCCGCCTACTCTGACTACGGGTTTCACATCCCTCAAGAAACTTGACAAAGATGAGAAATGATGAGAAGCAGTCAAATTAATCTGACCGTTAAACTCTGACTGACAACACGTCACTGAAATGAAATCAATCTGCAAGTCAGTGAGGGATCATTTTCCTGTGATCTACTTTATCTAAGATATGAGCCACTAGAGGGCAGCACAGATGATGTGCAAATTCTGGAATATATCATTATTATATTATATGACTATACAGTAAGGACAGGAGGAGAGGACAGAATAATCCCCTGAGACCTCCCAGTTGAAAACAGATTCTCTCTTTCTTTAGACAGTTGTGATGGACAATGATCACTTAATGTTTAACTTGTCAGAGTCAGAGGGAAGTGAGACTAAACGTCGTCACCTGTCCACAGTGAGCTCTGAAACGAGGTTCAGGGCTAACCGCAAAGATCACACCAGTGTGTTTCTCTCACGCAGACTTTGTAGGGTTACAAGAGTCCTGACGTCTCAGATGGTGTTAGGGAAGAACAGGTTCAGGATTTTAAAGCATCAACATCTGTAAAAAATAACCTGGGTGTAATTTTCGACTCTGAGCTCAGTTTTATTCCACACATCAAAAACATAGCAAAGGTCAGTTTTTACCACCTTAAGAACATAGCCAGAGTCCGCCCGTTTCTCTCTCAGGCCAGCAGGAGGTGCTGATGCATGCTTTTATCTCCTCTCGTTAAGATTATTGTAACGCCCTGCTCTCTGGCCTCCCAAAGAAGAACTTATAGACACTTCAGCTTTTACAGAATTCAGCTGTTAGAGTTCTGACGAGGGCCAGAGGGCGAGAACATATAACGCCAGTTTTAGCATCGCTGCATCGGCTCCCCGTCCGTTTCAGGATTGATTTTAAGTTTCTTTTATTAGTTTTTAGATGTATTAATGGTCTTGGCCCCTCCTATTTATCTGATTTACTTTTACCATATCAACCCTCTCGGACCCTGAGGTCCTCCGGCACGGGCCTTCTAACCTTTTAACCCAAAGTCAAAACAAAAACACACGGGGAGGGAGGCGGCGTTCAGTTTTTAGAGACTGCTGATGTTTTTAAGAAGAGGCTCCAGAGTCACTTTTTTAACCATTTCAGATTTCTCTTATTGCAAATGTTCATTTTAATTTCTTAATGTTTATTTCATGTCATTCTATTATCTCTGTTCTTAGTCTTTCTTTATTTCCTGTCACAGGTTTTTACTTCTTTTACCCCTTTTACTTATTTGTTCATTTTATATTATTATTTTCTTATTTTCATCCATCGGGTTTTACTCTTTTCACCATTTTTATCTCTATTTTTATCTCCAGTGTTTCCCAGAGGAAGCTCTTTCCTCATATAATGTCTCGGTGTCAGGCCATGTCTCTCTAACTTATATCCTAAATTCACACTGTGTGCGGTTGTGTGTGTGTGTATGTGTGGGTCCATGGGTGTGTGTGTGTGGGTGGAAGGGTTGGGTTTTTGTCATTATTGTTGATTTTAGCCTCTGTGATGAACTTTGATCTGTAATTCCTTTTGTAGGAAAAGAGCCATATAAATAAGCTGAATTGAACTGAATTAAAAAACCCGGTTTAACGGTGTGTGTTATATAAACTTGAGGAGGATAACTCAGTGTCTGCGATAGGATCATACTGAACTTACAACATTAAACATGACCATTCAGACTCTGACTTCCTGTTTCGACATTTTTTACTCTCAAACTCTGATTTAATCTGCATGTCATCAGTTAAAACTACTTCCTGTCTTTAAATGGGCGTTGGTGGATTACAGCTGAACACAGAGAGTCAGTGTGAGACAGCGTGATGGTCAGTGTCAGTGTCAGTGTGTGTGTGCTTGTGTGTGTGTGTGCGTAAAGTGTGTGTCTCATGTAGCGTCCTAAATTAATTAGAGCAGCATGAGCTCGGGTCTGTTCTCAGCTCGGGATGGACTCAGAGCCTCGCCCTGTTTGTTTCTGCCATCAGTCTGAACTGGACCAACTCACTAACACACACACACACGCACACACACACACACACACACACACACACACACACACACGCACAGGGATGAAAGCAGCTACAGCAGAGAGAAAACTCGACAGCAACAGGAGAATCTGTTAAAGAGGATGATCTTACTTTTTACAGTGAAGCTCTCTCCTCCTCTTCCTCCTCTTCCTCCTCTTCCTCCTGAAGCTGAAGACACTCACGATGGAGGACTGAGACTCTGACAGGAGCCCGATCTGAGCTTCTCCTCCTCTGCTGATGGACTGACCCCCTCCAGAGCTCCTCCTCTTCCTCTTTCCTCACTTAAGAGAAGAGGAGGGCCTGAGAAGGAAAGCCAAGCCCAGCAGACCAGCAGACCAGTAAACCAGCAGACCAGTAAACCAGCAGACTAGCAAACCAGAGAACAATTAAAAAAATAAACAGAGAGGATCTGAATGTTGTCACTGAGGAGGGATGATGAAGATCTCTTTATGAGAGAAGGAGAAGTGTGTGTGTGTGTGTGTGTGTGTGTGTGTGTGTGTGTGTGTGTGTGTGTGTGTGTGTGTGTGTGTGTGTGTGTGTGTGTGTGTGTACAACAAAGAGACATTTGTGGGGCCTGATGAGAGTCCGTCTGTTTTGTGTCAGCAGCTCCAGAAAATTCCTGTTTGTCAGCTCACAGACCTGCAGAGAGGAAACAGAGTTTCTCCAACAGCTTCATGTCTGCTCAGAGGTCCTCCAGAAGGAACCAAACGGACAGTAGAAACCAAACCCACATTTTTTCATATCATGGTCGATTTTTCTAAAGTTTCTCATACTGTGTGTCCACTTCTGACCAATCAGATTGCGTGTTGTTGTGACGTCTGATTCACTGGTATATCCAACATGGCCGACCGGCTGATTGTTTACGTGTCGGAGAACAGAGTGATTTTTGATAAAAGACACAAACATTACAAAGATAACGACCTGAAGGACGATTTGTGGAGAGTCATAGCGTCGGATTTCTCATATGACGATGGTTTGTGAGCTTTAACAGTTTGATAAACGTCTTTGTTTGAACTTTCATCTAGTAACAGATTTTATTTTTTAACTGTTCAACTTGAAAATTCATCTTTGAAATATATTTTATATTATATTGTATATTTTAATCATTTAAACATTTCTATTGCAAAGTCTGATCATAAACAGACAAGAAAAATATTAATTTATATATTTTTTTAAATTATTTACAGTTTTACGGTTAAATGAAACTCTGGCCATCTGACTAATCTTTGATTATTACTAATAATCAGACTGATTCATAATAATGACAGAGCTTTGATTATAAGTCATAATTAGCATATTAACATATTAACATATTAACATACTAACATATTAACCTACATATACTAACCTAACCTTCGAGATAAATTTGAATGTGGATTTGGAGGAATCTAAGATTACCAGAATAAGTGGATGTCTGAGTTACGACCGCATGAGACAGCATCAGCCCTCTTTGGAGCTCTGGAGGTTTGCATACTTAAGTGAGACTGGTCCTTGGAGAAGATGGAGCAGGTTCTGAAGGTCCAGGGCTACTGGCGGTTCGAGCGGTTCAGCTCCGAAGACGACTGAAGTCAGCCGAAGGATGAGCCAGGAGTTGTAGCACTCGGGCCGAAGCAAAGACGGCGCCTGTGGATCCTGTGGATCCTGTGGATGCTCGTTTGGGTACTTCTTTGGTCTCACTCAAAAACTCTGGCACAGAGGATGACCTGGGCCTGCTGGGTTGTGTTCAGAGGTGACTTTGAAATCACGCAGATAACTCAGAAAAAAAACGAGGCTCGATGACCAGTGGAAACTTTCAAAAATGGCTTCGTGAAATTAAAGAAAAATCAATCAAAGGCTTAATCTTGAACTGCTATGCGCACAAAAAGTTGAAGTTTCAAAACTTGAACTAAGACGATGTTAAAGAAAAATCAACGTGAATCAACACGTGGCGTAAAACTTAGAAGACTAAGAAAAAGAGCTAAGAGAAAACAAAGAAGAGGAACACAGAAGGGTGTGGGCAGTGAGTGAAGAAGCGGGTGTAAGAGAAAGGGGTACAAGAGTATAAGGGCCTGTGAGCAACCCCACTTTCTGGTTTTATCTTCTCACACTGGGAGTGTCTCTGGCGTGTGTGTGTGAGGAGAAAGAGGAGGAGGGTCGTGGGGTCTCCATCTGCAGAGGAGACCTCAGATCTCTGATTATTTGATCTAACTTATACTTCTGGCTGGTAAAAGAGTCAGATCTGATACTCACTCACTATGATTAATATCATTGAATGCTTCGTTTCATGATAAATAATTCGATACTAAACACATATGAATGAAGTGTAGGATCACATCAAACATTCTCATTATGTTTTAAGTATCACATTGAACATGCTAAATTACTCTGAAATGAAACAGATAGTAACACATGGAAACTGTGAACAACAAAAGAGTAAATACATGTGAATGAACTTCATCATGATTAATAATGGATTCTAAATACTCACATTCAGATTATTCAATGACATTATAACCACCTAATGGTTAAAAATACTAAATAAACAACTAAAATATAAACCAAACATTTCTAAACTATTTCTGTTACTTAGAGTAAAGTTATGATTCATAGTCAATAAATTTAACTCTTAAAAGTTCATGAAACAGTCTGAAAAGCTGTTGGTCTGAAGAAACTAAAGAATAAGGATTTATTCTGTCAGAGCGATAACTCGGCTTCTGGAGCACATAGAAAAATGGGAAACATCTCATTTTAACACAAATTTCATGGTTAGACAGATTAGTACATTGCTGAATGCACAAGATGTCATGATCAGTCATTTGTATTCTTTCACCAAAGGAATGTAGTCTTTATCAGTGAAGACGGTAAATCTCAAATGGGAGATCTGGGTTGAGGCAATGGAGTCAGTTTGAAAGGTAATAAAAACTCTGTCTCTGTTCTCTGAATTGGCCAATCGTGAAGAGTCAGAGGTTTAGTCATCCTCCGGTCGGGTCAGTTAGGTAACCTGAATGTGCAAACAAGTCTTGAAAGATTTATATGATCCTGTGTCCAGGGACCAGATAAGAAAACTTTCCTGCCAGGAATGTGTGAGTATCACACCCAAGGTTGTCTTGATTGCTACAACACAGAATATAATGTTTCTCCCCCCTGGTTGTGATGTTGACATGTAGTTACTGTCAGACTGGTTTGTGCTCAAGTCCTCTTTTTTCTGTACAGCTCCATTTTTAAAAGTTATATGGGGGTTCATGTTTTCTATGATTGACACCTGATACAGCCTATTGGCAGACGAGGATTGTGTAGCTCACCCGGGGGAAACGCTGTTTGAGCCGAGCGTCATCACAGCGACTCTCTGCGACTCTCCTGCTGAAGGCGTACAATGCTACTGCGCAGTGTTGCTTTCAGGAAATGGAGAAAAAACTTTTTGACTTCAAATCCAATACTTCAAATTCTATACTGGAGGAAGGAGGAACCAAGTTGTCTGTAGTATTTACAGGCTATGAGGTGAAGTTCTCGGTGGGTTCTCATCGCTCTCAGCTCCAGTTTAGAGAATGAATGAAGTCAGTGTGAACAGGTCCACCGGGAATCGGCTCGGTGATTCCGATGGTCCAGTCCACCACTGGAAGGACCTGATCCTGAAAAACCATCTAATATCTGATTGGAAACAGCTGAGAGCATCTGTCAGTCTGAGGGGATTTGGCTCCCCCCTGTGGACCGGAGCAGAGACAACATCAAAAATAACAAAAGGTAAAAGGAGGAGAGGAGGAAATAAGGGAGGAGAGGAGGAAATAATGGAGGAGAGAAGGAAAGAAAAAAGGAGAGAAGGAAATTAGGGAGGAGAGGAGGAAACAAAAGAAGGAGGAGGAAATAATGGAGGAGAGAAGGAAAGAAAAAAGGAGAGGAGGAAATTAGGGAGCAGAGGAGGAAACAAAAGAAGGAGGAGGAAATAATGGAGGAGAGAAGGAAATAATGGAGGAGAGAAGGAAAGAAAAAAGGAGAGGAGGAAAGAAAAGAGGGGGAGAAAACAAGGGAGGAGAGAAGGAAAGAAAAGAGGAGAGGAGGAAATAAGGAAGAAGAGGAGGAAACAAAAGAGGAGAGAAGGACAAAAAGGGAGGAGAGGAGGAAACAAAAGAGGAGAGGAGGAAACATGGGAGGAAAGAAAAAAGGAGAGGAGGAAAGAAAAGGAGGAGAGGAGGAAATAACAGACTGTTACTGAGACGAGCTGACACACAGATTAAAGGTTTTTACTTCCATGTTTTTTTGTTCACATTCTTTATTTAATGAACATCTAAAAGTTTCACAAACTTCACACAAAACCAGAGAGACAGAGACACTCAGCTCCTCCTCTTCACTCTCAGCTCCTCCTCTTCAGTCTCAGCTCCTCCTCTTCACTCTCAGCTCCTCTCCTTCACTCTCAGCTCCTCTTCTTCACTCTCAGCTCCTCCTCTTCACTCTCAGCTCCTCCTCTTCACTCTCAGCTCCTCCTCTTCACTCTCAGCTCCTCCTCTTCACTCTCAGCTCCTCCTCTTCTTCACTCTCACCTCCTCTTCTTCACATCCGCTTATATACGTAGATGATTCTTTTGCAGGAGGGGCAATGATGCTCCACGTCCTGACAGGAATCGATGCAGAACGGGATACAGCAGCAGAGGAAGCACCTGCAGGAGGACAGACAGTAAACTGGTTTTAATGGTTTCGCTCTGATGGTAGACTCATTCTGGTTCTTCTTGTTTTTATGGGTGATGTTCCTTCATGTCACGGTTTTTTACCCGAAAAAAAACAGACCGGCACAGGCGGCCCAGGCCAGCAGGCCTGGTTTGCGCTGAGTCTCTGTGATGACCGTCTGCTGACAGTGAAGACACAGCGCCCGACCCGACTGCTCATGGAGAGGCGGCGACGCAATCATGGGAGTCACTGCAGGTCAGAAGACAAGACCAATAAGAAGACAGGACCTGTCTGCACTTTACCTGAACATAAGGTCATTAGAGGTCAAACAGAGCAGGCGCAGCAGAGAGTCAAGTGAAGAACTTTCCAGAAACAGCAGAGTGTAGAAACATGTAGAAACATGTCAACACTTCATCTTTATTCTGTCAAATCAAACCAGAGTCCAAGTCTTTGTCTCCTCACCGTTCAGCCGAGCCCAAACACCTGTGTGTGTGTGTGTGTGTGTGTGTGTGTGTGTGTGTGTGTGTGTGTGTGCCCCCCCAGTAATAGTCCTCACCTGCGGTTGCAGGTGCAGCAGGAACATAGGGAGGACCTGGTGGATGGAGAAAAGGTCACAGAGGTCAGAGCAGGTACTTGCAGACAGCTCTACCTGAACAGGTGCCTCACTCCTACAAACGCTGATATTTACTCTGTTGTTTCTCTGTCAGCTGTTTTCTCACAGGTTACCTGCAGGGGGTAAAGGTAAGTCGGGGGTCAGAAGGCCAAAGATGGACCCAGGGTTAGGTCCAGAGGGATTGAGCCCTCTACAAAGTCTGATTGGCCATCACAACATTCGCCCCGAAATCCTTCAAAACGACTGGCTGTTTGCCTCGTCAACAGGTTGGCGTCTGTTAGGATCAGCTCTGGGCTGAACTGTGAGAGTCTGCGGCTTCTTCAATAAAACAGATTATCTGTTTTTAAAACTCAACTTTTCTGTTGAATCGATGAACCCTGACCTCAACGTCACCATCTCATAATGTAACAGCATTACAGTGCCACCGTGTTAAAATGTAACTGCATCACTATGTAACAGTGTTATAATGTAACGGTGTTACAGTGCCACCATGTTAAAATATAACTGTTACTACGTCATAATGATGCTGCGTTACCATGTCACCATCTCATTATGTAACTGCATTGTAATGTTACAGTGTTACAATGTAACAGTGTTACAATGTCACCATGTTAAAATGTAACTGTTACCGCATCATAATGTAACTGCATCACAATGTAACAGTGTTACTGTGTTAAATGTTAAAATGTAACTGTCATTGGGGGACGAATGTGGTCACAGGTCAGTTTAAAATGAAAATGTTCATGCAGGGTCTATAACGGCTGTAATGACTGAGTGACTGTTTGGCTGACTGTCTGTTTTTTACGCCTGTTTTCTTGTATTAAACTGTAATCTGGACTGAATTGTTAGGTAACAGCACCAGTCACAGACCTGCCTGGTATACAGCAGGTGGAGGGGCTGCTGGGTAAAATCCACCTGGGCCCGCTGGAGGTGGAGGCCCAGGCATCCCATAGTTAGGAGGGGGCCCCATGTAGGGCGGGGCAGATTCCACAACTGGGTTTCCTTTTTCCATCCTCACAGACTGACGCTGTAAAAAGAACAAAGTTTTACTTACAGGTGAGTCGGCCCAAAGTTCAGAGTTTAATAAAGTTCAGGTTCAATAAAAAAGAAACTCAGTCTAACTCAAACAGATGGTGGGCTGTTTTCATCCTCTATCGGTGGCACACCATTTCTCATGTAAAGTGCTTTATAAATAAAATATATTATGTTCAGATCACCGGGTGAGCTCGAGAAGAGTCTGTGCTCAAACACCATCAGAAGGGCGGTTTGTGGTTGAAACCTGCTTGTTTTCCTCCGCTTACTCTGACCACGGGTTTCACACCCCCCTCCCAGGAACTTGACAAAGATGAGAAATGATGAGAAACTCTGACTGACAACATGTCACTGAAATGAAATCAATCTGCAAGTCAGTGAAGGGTTCATTTTCCTGTGATCTACTTTAACTAAGATATGAGCCACTAGAGGGCAGCACAGATGATATGCAAATTCTGGAATATATTATTATATTATATGACTGATAGTTTACAAACCTATTCCAAAATTACAACACAACTGTATATAGATGGAGTGCTTAGTGAGTGTTTCAGACAATGGAAATACAGCTTGGCAGAGTGCTTAGGGTCATTATCTTGCTGCAAAACAAACTTATGAGCCACAAGTCTGAGTCCAGATGGAGCAGCATGGTGCTGGAGGATGGAGTGGTACTGTTCCTTCTTCATGATACCCTTTACTTCAAACTAATCTCCTACTCCATCACCTGCAAATTATCCCCATACCATGGAGCTGCCACCTCCATGCTGAATTGTGGGTGTAACACATGGAGCTTTCAGACGTTCACCAGTTTGTCTGCGGACATAGACTCTGCGTTTTGAACCAAACTGTGCAAACTGGTTTTAGTGATCATAAGTCCAGTTTTTGTGAGCTTTTGCCCACTCATATCTCTTTTTCTTGTTCTGTGGATGAAGTCGTGTTTTTTTGCAGATACACAACCCTTCAGACCAGCCTTTCTCAAACGTCACGGTTGTCAGAGATATGGGTTTCGACCTTGTCATGTTGATTTCCTCCCTTATTTTTGGTGCTGTCTTTCGCCGATCTCTCTTACTGGTGTCAATGCTCTGTTTATCCTCTGCTTTTGTAGTAACTCTCTTTCGTCCAGGTCTTTTTCTATCATCATAACTTCCAGGTTCCTCTAGTCTCCTTGGAGTGTAGTGGACTCCTTTGTTAGACACCTTTAGGCGTTTTTCTGTTTCTGTGTACCCTTCTTTCCTCGATGTACAAATCTGTACTTTTGTTTCTTCACTCAGTTGCTTCTTTCTAGTCATGTTTGCGGTAGTTTGAACACAGTTGAGATTTATTAGGATTCTTGTTTGCAGACTCTCAAAAGCCAAAAAGTTGAAGTGAATAATCCAACTGTGTTTTTTTGCTTTTGCACTGAAGTTGTGACTCTTGCAAATGTTTCCAACCCTAAAACTAAGCACTTATTATCTTTTGCTGACAAATATTTAGCAACGGTCTGTTAACATCTAAAGGTAAATGGAGTAAAATGGTGCATTTCCATGAAAGCAACATCTGATCATGGAGTAGCTAAATACCCAAAATACATCAAACTCATGTTGGATTTAAAAAAAAAAGCATTGTGAACAAAAACTTGAAGTTACTCCCAACTGTTCGGCCTGGAATGACCTTGCTTCCAAACTTTTGGCCTGTAGTGTATGTACAGTAAGGACAGGAGGAGAGGACAGAATAATCACCTGACACTTCCCAGATTTCAGTTGAAAACAGTTTCTCTCTTTCTCTAGACAGTTGTGATGGACAATGATCACTTAATATTTAACTTGTCAGAGTCAGAGGGAAGTGAGACTAAACGTCGTCACCTGCCCACAGTGAGCTCTGAAACGAGGCTCAGGGCTAACCGCAAAGATCATGCCATTGTGCTTCTCTCATGCAGACTTTGGAGGGTTAGCTCTGAAACAAGCTTCATGGGGAACCGCAAAGATCACACCTTTTTGTTTCTCTCACGCAGACTTTGGAGGGTTATCAGAGTCCTAACGTCTCAGATGGTGTTAGGGAAGAACAGGTTCAGGTGATAAATTCAACAGGATCCATCTTTATTACTTTAATGTAGAGTAACTTCCCTGAAATAAAAACTACACCACACTGAGGAAACACTCCAGCTGCAGTCAAATAATAGTAATAATAATAATGCATCAGATTTCATATAGAGCTTTATCAGAGACCCTCAAAGCACTTTACATTGGATACATCATTCATTCATTCATTTGCTCACACAGTCACACTTCGGTGGTGGTAAACTACCTTAGTAGTCACAGCTGACCTGGGGCAGACTGACGGAAACATGGCTGCCAGTTTTCACCTACGGCCTCTCCGACCAGAACCACACAACACTCACAATCATACACCAGTGGAGGACACACACTGGGAACAAGGTGGGTTAAGTGTCTGTCAACTGAACTGGACCACCTCACTGACACACACACACACACACACACACATACACACACACACACACACACACACACAGCAACAGGAGAATCTGTTAAAGAAGCTGATCTTACTTTTTCTCTTCAGAGTGAAGCTCTCTCCTCCTCTTCCTCTTCTTCCTCCTCTTCCTCCTGAAGCTGAAGACCCTCACGATGGAGGACTGAGACTCTGACAAAAGCTCGATCTGAGCTTCTCCTCCTCTGTTGATGGACTGACCCCCTTGCAGAGCTCCTCCTTTTCCTCTTTCTTCACTCAAGAGAAGAGGAGGGCCTGAGAAGGTAAACCAAGCCCAGCAGACCAGCATGTCAGCTCAGAGGTCCTCCAGAAGAAACCAAACGGACAGAAGAAACCAAACCCACAGACTAACACCCTTGGAGAGAAGAAGATTCAGATGAACTTCAGAGGAAAGACATGTTTTAGGAGAAATATGAGGGCTAAAGGTTTTTTCATACCGGCACCTTTTTTTGTGCAATTATTTTGGATGTCAATATTTTTTTCGAACCCGTTTCCTGTCAATACAAGCGTTCACATCAGCGACGTTTTCCCGTCCTGCGATATTGCGGCATTTATTTTTTCGGATCATGTTTTGAAAGTTCCACATTCTGTGTGTCCACTTCTGACCAATCAGATTGAGCAGATCAGAAGTGGACACACAGAATGCGGAACATCACAGACAGACATCTCAACACTAGAGTCTAAACAGAACTGAAAACACTCAGTCTGCTGTTGGGTCAGTCTTCTCGCTTCCACCCGGGGCGTCTCTTTTTTCCCGCCAGAAAGTCGCAAAATCGCTTTGATGTGTATAGTCAGGCGTGTCAAAATTTGCCTCCAAATATTTCGTAATTTTGCGTCGTCGTCGATCCCAGTGTGTAAGGACCTTTAGTCAGGAGAATGACACGGAATGAAATGACACACACACACACTAACACAGAAACACACACACTCCCGGTCCCTGAGTGATGGGGCTCCTGTCCTGAATTAGTCGGACTCTAATGGTCTGGATCTCATCAGGATGTGGTTCTGTCCTCTGTGGAGATGAAATCAGAGGGTTTAATGGACCTTGTGGTTCCGCTTTAGGACTCTGTCAGTTCCCACAAAAACAGGAACCTGTTGGAGTCCACTGTGGTGTGACGTTAACGTATAAAGGCTCTGAAGCTTTTATTTTATTTATTCAAAACCAGTGAGAATATTCAAAACAACAAAAACAATCAAAGCTAAAATAAAAAGCACTAATAATAATAGCTGTTACTGGTCCCTTTGTACAGGAACAGGACTGTAGATCTACACCTCCCAGTTCAGAGATAAGGACCTGATTAATGGATTGTTTTCCCTCTAATATGTTCACAGCTCAGGTTGGACTTGAGACTCCTCGCTCTCTTCTGGTTTCTGGACTCTGATTCATCTGGTCAAGAATCAAACTGGCTTCTTCTTTAAGCTCCCAGTCCATTTTTCACTCATGAAGAAACCCGAGACCGAAGAGAAGCTGAGGGTAAGAGCTTATTGTTCAATGAACCCAGCCTCTGATAGATCAACAGAGCTCTCTCTCTCTCTCTCACACACACACACACACACACACAAACACACCCCTTTATATGGCCCCTCATACATCATTGGTGGTCCAGCCCTTTTAGGGAAATTTGATAAAGCAGCAGAGGGAGCGGCCTCGTCCTGTACTCAGGAGAGCGAGCGACACTGAACCTCCCAGAACAGAGACAGGAACTGCTCAACGCTCAGCTTCACTTACCTTCAGAGCCACCAACACCAGGACCATCATGGACCTCAGGACCCTGACCAAACCCGTGGGCATCGTGCGGATGTTGGAGGTGGTGCTCACCGTTATTACCTTCAGCCTGGTGGCGTCAGTCGGACACTCCACTCACTCTTTCTGGGTGTGGAGCATGTTTGTGTGGGTCCTCTGCTTCGTTGTCACCTTCCTCATCCTCATCATGGAGCTCACTGGCCTCAGCTCCAAAGTGCCGATCTCCTGGGGCGACTTCACCACCGCCTTCGCCATGTTGGCCACACTGATGGTGGGTCTGATTTCCTCTGTTATTACCTGTGTATGTATGGACAGATAAAGTCCTGTAGAGACCAGCCATCGTTACTGTCTCTAAGAAACTCTTTGAGTCTGCAGACGTGTTTCCAAACAGAGATTTTCAAAATAAAATAGGGACTAAAAAGGATAACAGAAATGCTCTCTGTCTACTCAGAGCCATAAAATTTATAGACTCACTATTATCTGTGAGTGTGGCCTTAAAGTACCTGAACCTTATCAGCTGTTACTATGACGAACAGATCATCAGCAGACTTTTGACATTATAGCAGTAAATACATATGGTCAAATCAAGACAGTTAGAGGGTTTGAGACGTTCAGACCAGGTTCAGCTGACAGAGAAGAGATCTGGATCCATGGACAGAAACCAGTTCGTCTTCAGAGACCACATCTAACGTCGTCGTCATGGAAATGTGTGAGTTACAGAGAAAAGCCTCAGGTTCCTGTCGAACAAACAAACGTGGTTATGTTGTTCATGAGACGTGACTGAGGTCTCTACTTCCTGTTTGCTTTGAGTCAGGACATGAACCCCCCATCCCCCCTGCAGATCACTCAGCTTTAGATCTGAACTAAGACTTCTACCGTCTGACCCTGAACCCCGAACCGCACAGTACAGTGTGATCACGGTCGTCCAGACTTCAGAGACATGAGATTAAAAACAAAGAGAATTTCACTCATTCCCATCCTGAGGGGCCTCGTCCCAAAACCAGAGAGGACAAATCCATGTCCCAGTCTGACCAGTCTGAGTCAGAAACATCATGGAAGGGACAGGAACCAAAAACCCACTGGAGCCCCAATGTCTTTCACTGAGTCCACGAGCAAAACTAGCTGACGAATCCTGAGAGGCAGTCAGAGCAAACAAGTACCGAGGAATCAATCATGGCAGACAGGAGACAAAGGAGACAAAGGAGACAGGCTGCTTTCAGCTCATAAACTCTGAGTGTGTCTGAGATACAAAGAAACTCGGAGTTATTTTAGTCCAATGATCCGTTTTTGTTTGAGCTGACTATATCAGGTTGGTTCTGGTATCGATTAAAAGTTCTAATTAAAACTTTGTTAAAGTAAACGACCGTTTAAAAACTTGGATTTAAAAATGTTTTAAGCCTTAAATTTATTAATGTTCAAACATTTGGAAGACTTCAGGTGTGCTATTAGCCCCGCCCCTTCCTTAAAATACTTCAGGTGTGCTGTTTGCCCCGCCCCTTCCTCAAAGTACTTCAGGTGTGCCGTTTGCCCCGCCCCTTCCTTAAAATACTTCAGGGGTGCTGTTTGCCCCGCCCCTGCAGGTGTGGTGTGTCTGAAAAAGGTTACAGGTATCTGTTTGCTAACACCTCACTTCCGTCTTACGTTGTCCCTCCTGCAGGTTCTGTCCGTCTCAGTCATCTTCCCGCTGGCCTTCGCTTGCTCTTCTTGCAGTGAATTCATTGCCGCCAGTGTGACTTCCTGTCTGGTCTTCATCCTGTATGCCGTTGAGGTGGGGCTGACTCGGGCTAAAGCTGGCGAGATCAGCGGCTTCCTGTCTACAGTCCCGGGTCTCCTGAAGGTCCTGGAGGCCTTCGTGTTGTGCATCATCTTCATCTGCCTTCCTCCCATCAGAGCGTACTCCCAATTTCCTGGGCTGCAGTGGTGCGTCGCCGTCTACTCCATCTGCTTCATCTACGCCCTCCTCATCATCATCTTCACCATCGGCCGCCTCCTGTCACTCCTCCCCGCGCCCTTTAATAAGGTCCTGATCTGTTGTAATGTCATGGCGGTACTGATGCACATGACGGCCGTGGTCATCTGGCCGTACTACAGCCTGAGGAACAACCCCAGGCCAGAAATCTGCTCTTTGGTCAGGTTGTGTCCGTGGGATGACCTCGTGGTTATCGCCATCCTGACCTGTGTTAACCTGATCGCTTTCATCGTAGACACCGTTTATTCTGTCAGGCTAAACTTCTTCATCAGCAGAACCTAAACCAGAACCAGCTTTCTGTGAAGTCCAATATTCGAGATTCTGTCCTGTTGAGCGTTTATCTTCAGTGTGATCACAGGTGGGCACAGAGACTCCAAAATTAAACTCTGTCAACCGTTAATCTGTTACCATCACTTTAATAATCCATCAAACCTGTTCGAAATTAGGAAAATAGTCAAGTATTTAAGCCACACCCATCATCTCCCAAAGGTTCGTGATTGGTCTGAGTTTGTCTAACCACGTCACAGCAGGTTTGATCCTTCTGCTGACGGAGATCAGGTGCTAACTGCCGGTACGCCTTCAGAGTTGCACGCTTGTCAGTGGTTTAGCAAACAGGATTAACAGATTAACAGATGAATGAATGAAGAGATGATGAAGACGTGCCCACCTCTGATCGATCTCTTATTTTCAAACATGTGGTCTAACCTGTAAAAACTGTGATCCTGATTTCTGCTTTTATTTTGAAATCTTTGTAACTCAGTGTTGAGCTGTAAGAATTTAAAACCTGAATAAATCTCATGAAGGACTCAAACCCTGGTTCAGGTTGAGATCACAGGCGGTGAATGAATGAATGAATGAATGAATGAATGAGGGCTGATGGATGAGTTTAATGGTTAATCAGGTACACAGGGCCACACCTGTCCTTTTTGAAGAATGTTTGTTAAGGTGTGTTAGATTGTGAAACACTGTGCAGTGATAGATTTGAACTCAGGAAACACGTGCAATCTGGAAACACCCAAAGCAAACTCACCTGTGTCACACAGGTGTGTTTATATTTATATTAAATACTTGTTCGATCACAAATAAGGACGGGGTTAGAGTTTAGGTGAAGACACTATGAGTTCAGTTTTCTCTGCCCAATAATCTATTTGGGGTTAAAAGTCACAGTGAAGACTTTTATTTTGAAATAGTTTCAGTCCAGCTTCAGTCAAAGGTTATTATTACATATTTTATATTTCCTGAATATATGATATCAAGGTAACTTTTATGGCTCTGTTCTGAGTGTCGTCTGCCATCCCGGAGCACACCTCTCCTTATACATCAGAAACCAGAGTTAACTAGGTTAACTAATTAACTAGTCCGTGTAAATAACTAATAAACTGAGCAGGTGATCAATCAGCACCTGTGCATCCTGCTCAAAACTCTTTGAACAAAGAAAAGTGGAATTCAAAAGAAAATCTGCATTCATCCACCACAAACTGACACATCTTTACCACAAGGAGGCGACAGTGCTCATGGGAGGTGAAGTCTTAACATCAGGAAGACATTACAGCTTTCACCGTAAGAGGGCGCCAGATTGAAGGAAACATGAAACCTCCTCACAGAGACTGACATCATCTTCAAACGGTTTGATATGAATAATCAATAAACTGATTATTAAAACTCACCTGAACACTTCCCCAAGTCCTGCACAGAAACACCTGAGTTTACCTGAGGCATGAAGAAGAGCCAACAACAGGGAGGGGAGAAGGTGCAACAACGACATGTCTGACTCAAGACTTTTACAGGTACAGGTAAGTTACAGGTACAGGTGAGTAAGAGGCCCAGACTAAAGCTCTAACCACTTATCATAGTGATATCAGCAATGACTGACAAACACCGTGATCCTGGACTTTGACCAGAAACAACACCCCTGAGGCGGCTCTCTGTTGTGTCTGAGCTGTCAGTCAGTGAGTCCAAACACAGAGCAGGTGGAGCAGCAGCAGCACATGATGATGATGATGATGATGGAGTGAAAGATGAAGACATGACCTTCAGCTCAGTTTCAAGTCAAAGGGTTGTTTGAGTTTTCAGACAATGTTACAGATGGATCTGATCTGACCTGGCTCAGGGTCAGGGTCAGGGTCAGGGTCAGGATCAGAATCAGGGTCAGGGTCAGGATCAGGGTGAGGGTCGGGACCAGGGTCAGGGCCAGGATCAGGGTCAGGGTGAGGGTTAGGGTGTCGGTCAGGGTCCGATACCCTTCCTTGCTGCCACTCTCTGTTCAGGAAGAATCACACCAGCAGACTCGGTAAAAGAGGGTTTGTTGTTTCCACAGGAGGTCACCACCACCACCCACATCAGGGAGCAGAGATTAGCTCCTGAACCAGGCGGGTCGTCAGGACCAGAGTCCAGTGTGTTTGCCTGAACCTGATAACAGGAAGAAACCAGCCAATCAGGGCAGAGCCTGAGGGCCATAAAGTGCTGAGATAAGACTTGATGCTGTGTTTGAACACCAGCACTCTGAGTTTCAGTTTCAGGGACACACCTGTCCGTGGATCACTGAGAGAGGACCCGACCCTCGCTGAGACATGTCCTCAGAGTAAAACGTAGACCGGAGAGACCAGAGGACTTTTGTATTTTTCAGGCTAAACTGACTGAGCGTGTGCAGACATGGCTTCAGTGGATGTGAGGGCGCTCTCTCAGCCCGTGGGCATCATGAGGATAATGGCGACCTTCCTCTCCTGCATGTCTTTCAGCCTGGTGGCGTCGGCTGGATACTTTAACTCTCCGTACTGGGCGTGGTGCATGTTCACCTGGTGTTTCTGCTTCTTCTTCACCCTCCTCATCCTCATCCTGGAGTTCACCACTATCTTTTCAAAGCTGCCCTTCCCCTGGGAGGATTTTACCACCGCATTCGCCATGCTGGCGAGCCTCATGTGCTTAGCAGCCTCCATCATCTACCCCATCTTCTTCACCTGCAGCACCTGCCACCGTCAGATTGGAGCCTCCGTGGTGTCCTGGGTCTGTTTTGGTGTGTACACCGGCGAGGTGGTCTTAACCCGACTTCGTCCTAGTGGGGAGCACATCGGCTTCCTGTCCACGCTGCCCGGCATCATGAAGATGCTGGAGACGTTCCTGTCCTGTCTCATCTTCACGTCTCTGGAGGTGGGGCAGTACTCGGGCTCCCCAGGTCTGCAGTGGTGCATCGCCGTCTTCTCGTTGTGCTTCATCTTTAATGTCCTCATCATCCTGCTCACCGTCACTCAGCTCATCTCTCCCATCCTCCTCTCCTTCGAGAAGCTGGTCATCCTCTATAACCTGTTGGCGGCCCTGATGTATCTGACCGCCATGGTCATCTGGCCGCTATACAGCTTCGAAACAAAGAGACCTGGGAATTGTGGCAGCCTGTGTTCCTGGGACAAACTGGTCATGGTCACCCTCATGACCATCTTCAACGCCATTGTCTACACACTGGACGCCGCTTACTCCATACGCCTGGTGTTCTGTGTCAGCAACCAGTGATGTCACTTCTTCTCTGAGCTCACATGACCTGAGAGCCGGAGGCGTCCCGGTTTGACTCCCTGTGAACAAACTGTATGGACTCTGAACTGAAACCTGAGACGGTCTGGATTTAATTAAGACAGAAGAAGAAAAACGGCGGCCTCTGCTCTGAAATAATGACTGAGATCATCTCATCATCACGACCTTCAGAGGTAAATGATTATCAGAGCCATAAACAGAAGGAGGAGGAGCCCGTCAGAACTTTGGATCCTAAAGCACTCAGCGACCAAACTGATCAAACTCCACCCTCTTCTTTTCCCTGACGGTCGGATTTCATGTCCTGCTTCTTGTGTCTTCTTCGTGGGTGGAGCAGGAGTGGGTGGTAGCTGTTGCATACACACACTTTGGCAAAGTTTGGTTGATGCTTCGATAAGTCCTGCACCAATGAGGCCTCAGCTCTACTTTAAGATCTGTGAACATGATGGACCTGTGGCTCTGGAGGAGAATCGGACTGATGAAGATCATCTGAATGTCAATATTTGAGCTGAATAACGTTTCTCAGATTCACCAAATGTAACTTGAAAAGTTTGTTCTTTGAAATCATATCATCTAACTTCTCTCTGTGACCTTTAGCTGAGTGGGAAAAAACCCGGATCAACAGCCAATCAGGTGGTCGCTGGTGTGATTTTGTCACGGACATAGAGTGGAAGAAAGAAAATGACACGCATGAAGGCAGAGTTTGATCTGATCCCCTCTGTTGCAGACAAGGCGATGATTGACCACTGGTCTCCAGCCTGACATGTTTTTAGCTGATAATATTCATTGCCATGGTTTCTAATAAGTCTTTATTTCCTTTGACATTAAAAGTGAAACTCGTCCATGTGTCTGCTGTTCTTTCTCTGACATGTTTTTGCTTCAGCTTCATGACAAACACCGATCGTTGCTGAGCTGACAGTTTCCGTCGTCCTGACAGTTGATCGAATGTGCGAGTCTGACTTCCTCGCAGCACAAAAAGGTGAGTTCTGATTGGATCTCTTCCCTCCTGGTCGTGCTTTGGTTTCATCTCTGCTGAACTGTTTCACCTTATTGTTATCTGTCAGTGACAGTGTGACGACCTTCCCTCTTAGTTTTTGTCCAAATCCACGAGTTTTAATTGAATCATCCTCATGTTTTCATAAGGAAAGAAAGCTGATGGTCAATAAAAACAAAAAAGTCTGTAAACAGAAACTTTGACAAAGATTATTCCGGGTAGGGATACACCACTGTGTTGTTTTCATGGTTGAGATCAGACAGACGACATGAAGTTTCTCCTGAAACTTGATGTCGTCGTGAATCTGACTGAACTCACAGAACTGCAAGAAGAACGGGACAGAAGTTCATCAACATTTAAAACTCTTCTTTCACCTCCCAAATCTCAGACACATGCTTTAGTGACCAGGGAGAGAGTTAGGGTTAACCACAGGAGAAAGGCCAGCAGATGGTTTACAGAGACATCAAATATTCAGGAGACTTTGTGGGAAAAATTTAGAAGGTCCTCTAACAAATAGACATTTTAAAGAGCTGATTTCTTAAAGCTTTTCACCCACTGAGCTCCTTTTCTGTAAGGCGTTAGCGTCTCTTTTCTGTTTGAACCACATTAAGTCTTTGAGGATTTCAGCTGTAATCCTGCAGCTATTGTGTTTCCTGCACATCAGCCAGTAATCAGTGAGAGTGAACGGAGGTCAAATGGAGGAGGTGAGGCCAGACAACCTCGGCTTTCTTCTCACTTCAGTCTGTCAGAGAGACACAGCAGTCAGTGGAAGAGTTAGAAACAGCTCTTGAATGAAAAACACATGGGAGGTTCGGCATCGCTGGACAGATCCTGTCGGCGCGTCCCGAGTCTAAAATCAGTCATGCTGCTGAGCCTCGTCTGAAAGTCTACGTTTGTCTGCATAGTTTGAAAAGTCCCAGATTGTTTCTGCCGCTCTGCTGAAAGACTGAATTCCACTTTAATCAACCAAAGTCACACAGTGACCTGTGAGTGTTTATCAGTTTAAAACACAGAAACAAGGAGGAAAGTTTCACATGTCGACTCCAGCCAGGTTAGAGAGTGACGATTCAGAGTAATCGAGAAATTCTCAATGATCGAACTTTGTTAACCATCCATAACAGATGACTGAGAAGAAAATTAAGATTTTTCTTCTGACCGGTTAAACACAATCAGGTTTTCCCTTAGATGGTCGCATTTCCACAGAAGCGTATTGGATTGTACTAACACCACAGCGACAGGCTCCAAAAGATGAAGAGAGGCCAAAACCAACAGACATACTGAAGATGAAAAAAACCTCTGGATTCAAACATGTACAATGTACTTAATCTCTATATTTAAACATGTATATATGCAGTTATATACTTAATCTCTATATTTAAACATGTATATAAGCAGTTATATACTTAATCTCTATATTTAAACATGTATATATGCAGTTATATACTTAATCTCTATATTTAAACATGTATATATGCAGTTATATACTTTATCTCTATATTTAAACATGTATATATGCAGTTATATACTTTATCTCTATACTTAAACATGTACAATATACTTTATCTCTATATTTAAACATGTATATAAGCAGTTATATACTTAATCTCTATACTTAAACATGTATATAAGCAGTTATATACTTAATCTCTATATTCAAACATGTATATATGCAGTTATATACTTGATCTCTAAACTCAAACATGTATATAAGCAGTTGTATACTTGATCTCTAAACTCAAACATGTACTTGAACAGCGAGGGATCACTTTAAGTATTATAAAATATTAGTATACAAAAGCCCTCTCACTGTATTTTGAATTTATATAAAAGTTGTAAGTGTACTCAGGCCCTATCACTTTGTTTTCTTAATAATATAGCTTGTTAGTGTACACAGGCCCTCTCTACTGTATTTTACTTAATATAAGTTGTTAGTGTACACAGGCCCTCCCTCTGTATTTTACCTAATTTAAGTTATTAGTGTACACAGGCCCTATCACTTTGTTTTTTTAATTAATATAGGTTGTTAGTGTACACAGGCCCTCTTACTGTATTTTAAATAATATAAGTTGTTAGTGTACACAGGCCCTATCACTTTGTTTTTTTAATTAATATAGGTTGTTAGTGTACACAGGCCCTCTTACTGTATTTTAAATAATATAACTTGTTAGTGTACACAGGCCCTCTTACTGTATTTTACTTAATATAAGTTGTTAGTGTACACAGGCCCTATCACTGTATTTTACTTAATATAAGTTGTTTGTGTACACAGGCCCTCTTACTGTATTTTAAATAATATAAGTTGTTAGTGTACACAGGCCCTCTCTCTGTATTTTAAATAATATAAGTTGTTAGTGTACACAGGCCCTCTCTCTTTGGATAAGCTCACTCAGCCTGATTATACTCATATTCCTTATTTTATTTGGTTTAACTGCTGTGAAACAGACAGGAAATCATTACTCCAGCAGAGGGGACCCTGTCCTGACCCAGTCCTGATTGTGTCCTGACCTCTTGGGTCCCTACCCGGACTTTGTGCTGACTGAGTCTGTCCGTACAACAGTAAACATACAGACCACCCACAGCCTGCAGACCCAAAGACATGAGATAAATAACTCTGAGGGATGACTGATGATTGATCTAGTATTTATACAGATCTGATAAAGCAGAAGAAACATTCAAACTTGATTTAAAGGACTATTCCGTCCATCCGAGCGCGTCTAGAGTGTCTGTGTTGGCACAAAAGCTGTGACCTTGAAATGAGAGCTGGTGACCCTCATGGAGATCACGTGATGGAAATGAGCCAAATCACACCCTGGCATCCTCACTGCCACACACACACACACACACACACACACACACACACACACACTTCCCCTTTAAGGACACTCTGGTCCTCTAAGGTCTTTAAAAGCTTTTTACTCTTCCAGTCGAGTCCAGTGAGGACACGTCATCACCCCACCTGTCCTGTGCACACCTGCTTCGATGCTGCACATGGTGGAAAATGCAGCACTGTAAACACACACACACACACACACTTTGGTACCTGTTGCTGGGTGGGCCTTCCTAAATGGATCTTGAGCTGATACTGTATGAGGTTAACAGTTTGTTAGCAAGCAGCTCTCCCAGAGTTCATCTCCCCATCACACACCCCCATTCCTCCCCCCTAACTCTCAGGTGAGCCCTGGAGGCTGAACCTGAGCGCTGTGTCCTCTGTGTCTCTTTGTCCCTCAGTGTCTCTCTGTGCCCCTGTTTCCCAGTGTCTCTTTAGTGTCCATCAGTGTCCCTCAATGGTGGACAGGAAGAGTGGATTTGGAGCCATCAGGGTTGCAGTCCGGGTGTTGACACCAGCAGCTGGCGGCTGTGACACAGTGAGTTCAAAGTGGGCGGGGCCTTTACAGGCTGTGGGAGTGTCCTTTTTAATGCTGTCAGCGCACCGAGGCTCGAGATGTTGACCCTGTAGAGTCTCCTGAGCAGCTGCAGACCCCCCTCTCAGAATCCTGCAGACCTGAACACCGACAGGATCCAGAAACCAGAGAAGGAAATCTGCACAGACTCACTGAGAGGATCTGCCTGAAGACCCAAACCCTGAGAGCTGATTTCATGTTCTCATTTTAAAAAACTGACGGAGATCCTGAGGGGGACGTTTAAACCTGAGGGGAGGAGAGGATGGAGAGAACAGGAGCACACAGGTAACCTCACAATAGTGAAATGAGAAACATTATTGATAAAGGGATTTAAGAGATATGATCGTCATTAATGATAAAGTGATTTTAAAGTGACATGAGCAACATTATTGATAAGATGTTTAAAGTAAAATGAGAAAATTAATGATAAAGTGATTTTATGTAAAATGATAAATATTAATGATAATGTGTTTTAATTCAAATGAGCCACATTAATGATAAAGTGGGAGTTGTGTTGGTCAGATTTCTGATTCTCTTATTTGCCGTTCTTTATTTTCTGTCAGGCCCGTATCAGTTCTGAGGGTCAGACCTTCAGGTTCTTTGGTTTTAATTATGGTCCAGTTTTATCACTTTGGTGTCTGGGGGTTAGGGAGCAATCCCAGAGCTGTGGGCCTGGAGGGACCGGCTCTCTCTTTGTTTGTTTCCTCAACACGCCGCTGCGGGCTGCGCGTCATGCCCGTGTTTTCTGCAGCGCGCTTCACTTAATCTCACGTCACGTCTTTATTTGTGCAACATGTTTTCAGTGCCCCAGGTCCAAACCGCCGACAGCTGACAGTTATTTGACTATTCCTTATAGTAGGGCACCAGGTGAGAGATCTATAATAGCTCATTAGGATGAAGAAGTGAACCATCATCCTATGTTCACTTCAGCTGTTTAACTTGATGGTTTTTGGTGATTTAGGAAATGTTTAAAATACAGCTCAAGACAGAGTCCACAGTTCACTTTTGACTTTAGTTTTACTCTTTACAGTTGATGATCATTTCCATCAATCAACCAGAACAACCCAAACCCTGATTCATGCCTCCGGTCGAACATGAACAATCAAACTAAATAAGAAACATACAGATGAAGTGATGAATATATGCCAAAAACAAAAGTCAGATTAAAAAAGGAGCTAAAGAGCAACAGAAAAAAAATTTAACCAGATTATGAGAAAATTAACTTTAACTGATTATAATGGGATTAACTTTATATTAAACCAGATTATAACAGGATTAAACTAAAATTTAACTAAATTATGACAGGATTAAACTAAAATGTAGTCAGTTTATGACAGGATTGAATTTAAATAAGACCATATTTTGACAGGATTAAATCTTAATTGAACCAGATTCTGACAGGATTAAATAAAATGTAACTGGATTATGACCGGATTAAATTGTAATTGAACCAGATTATGACAGGATTAAATAAAATGTAACTGGATTATGACAGGATTAAATTGTTATTGAACCAGATTATGACAGGATTACATAAAATGTAACTGGATTATGACAGGATTAAATTGTTATTGAACCAGATTATGACAGGATTAAATAAAATGTAACTGGATTTTGACAGGATTAAATTTTGATTGAACCAGATTATGACAGGATTAAACTAGAATGTAACTGGATTATGACAGGATTAAACTAAAATGTAGTCAGTTAATGACAGGATTAAATTTAAATTAGACCATATTTTGACAGGATTAAATTTTAATTGAACCAGATTATAACAGGATTAAACTAGAATGTAACTGGATTATGACTGGATTATGACAGGTTGTACATTGACCCTCTGTGTTAGGTGTTGAAAATGAGTCTACAGAGATCCTCGGCTCTGTCGTCTGGTTGGTTTTTCTAACTCACAGACAGACGGCAGGATTAATGCCACTTTGTTTTTCATCTGTCCAAACATTTTAGATTATCTTGGATAACCCTGTGAAGACCTGAGTTTGTGGCGCGTCTACTCTCTCTAAATTTACTCCTCCTGTAATCTGATTGGACGCCTGCCCCCTCTCCCTCATCATGGATGGTTTTAATTGGACGTTGATACCTGAGAATGGCAGCATACCCTTCCTCCAGTCATCCTCCAGGGACTCCGCCTCCAGGAACGTGTCAGAGATGGCTGCTCTGATGCCCTTTGACGTGGTCACTGCCGTGGTCTACACCATCGTCTTCATCACGGGCCTCATGGGAAACACTCTGGCCATCTATGTGGTTGTCCGCTACGCCAAAATGAAGACGGTGACCAACATGTACATCCTGAATCTCGCCTTGGCGGATGAACTTTACATCCTGGGGATCCCCTTCCTGGGGACCAACAGTGTGCTCTCTTACTGGCCTTATGGGGATTTTTTCTGTAAGGTGTGTATGACAGCTGATGCCATGAGCCAGTTTGCCTCCACCTTCTGCCTAACGGTGATGAGCATCGACCGCTACCTGGCTGTGGTTCATCCTATCCGCAGCATGAAATGGAGGAAGCCTCAGGTGGCGAAGGTTTTTAACGGGATGGTCTGGGTGGTGTCTTTCCTGGTCGTGCTGCCGGTCACCGTCTACTCCCACGTACAGGAGGAGCTGAACACCTGCAACATCACCTGGCCTGATCCGAAAGAGCTGTGGTCCATTGCCTTCATCCTCTACACCTCCATCCTGAGCTTCTTTGGTCCTCTGGTGGTCATCTGCATCTGCTACCTGCTCATCGTCATTAAGGTGAGGTGACAGATTCGGTTCAGTTGAGACCACTTCAGTCAGTCCATACATGTGTGTACATGGAATGACCTCTGTTCCATGAACATGAAACAGCTGAGAAATATAATCAGTATTAGATTAAGAAAAACTACATGAAAATCTATTTATTTGTGAAGCAATTAAGAGAAGTTTCATGTAAAAGGAAGAAGAACGGACAGTAAGATGATTTTTACAGAGGAGGGTGGTGGTCTAAAGGGATCCTGCTGACAGTCTGTTTGGTACCCAGTATCTTTCTACTGCTTATCTAAATATCTGAATTTGGTTTGATCATAATTTCCCTGAGCTCTTCCTTTTGTCTCAATCCTTAAATTTTGAGTCTTGAGGTGGGCTTGAGGAGAGCAGTAGCATTTACCCACTGACTCTGTTCTGAGAGCTTCCCGCCCTTTGACATCCATATGTCCGAGCCTGAAGCACACCTCCCTATGTTTTTTTTATAGGCATAGATATATGCTGATACACAATGATGTTGAAAGAGCTGATGCTTTCCCTGCAAAGGCCTCTGAGATCTGTTCTGAGACATTTCTGTCTGAATGCTAAAGCCTCGGACATGATCACACCTCCACTTTGCTCTTTGTGCATACATGTAAAGCCAAGGTGGAGAGAGCAACAGCAAAGTCGCCTTGGGTAGAGTGTAGAGCAGCATCAGTGACAGTCCCTAAGGAGGAGGAGGGTGACCAAGCAGTTTGCAAAGGAAGCAGGAAGAGTCAGCAGGCTCAGGCAGGTTTAAGAGAACAACAGCTGGATGTGGGCAAAGTCATCGAGTTTGACTTGGTGACCTGCCTGAACTAGTGCAAAGCTCAATTTGGAGTTTTCATTATCTTATGCAGACTTTCCCTTTAACTGTCCTCCTTTTAGGTGCGGTCCACCAGTGTACGTGTCGGCCTGACCACACGTCGTAAATCAGAGCGTAAGGTGACGCGTATGGTGGTGATCATCGTGTTGGTGTTCGTTCTCTGTTGGCTTCCCTTCTTCACCACCAACATCGTCAACCTGATTCACATCATTCCTGAGAATAAAACCAACAAGGCCATCTTCTTCTTCCTGGTCATCCTCACCTACGTCAACTCCTGCGCCAACCCCATCCTCTACGGCTTCCTGTCTGACAACTTCAAGCAGAGCTTCCAGAAGGTTCTCTGTGTCCACAAACCCAGCAGTGTCGGCTCTAAAGATCAGAGGGGAGGCAGAAAGAAGCCAAGGCAGGAAAACCACAGTCCCATTTACTCACCAGGGGCCCCCCCACAGAACGGGGTACTGCAGAGCGTCCAGGTAATGTGTGACCAGCTGAGAACACACCAACACAGCTCTGCATAAAAACCCAAACTACCGTTCGATAAAACAGGAAACTTGATTTCTGTTGATAAATGCTTATCGCTGTGTCTGTAGTATTACTCATTACTGTGTTTCTGTAGTAGTACTCATCACTGTGTGTCTTGTTTCAGCCTGAAATCTGCAGAGATCTTGACAGCGAGCCCGAAACTCCATCAATCAACCATCTACGGCCGGACGTCATGCTAACTTCGACTCTGACCAACCCTGAACTTGAGATCATCTCTGTTTAATGGTTCTCCTTTCAGTCCAAACAGGATCTTTACAAAGAGGACAAGAGTAGGACAGGAGAGAGAGTTCAGAGGAGGCATCGTCATCATTATCATCATAAAAGTCATCAAACTGATCAAAGTCATCATCATAACAGTCATCAAAGTCATCATCATCGTTGTCATCATTATCATTGTCAGTATCATTTTCATCATCATCATCATAACAGTCATCATGGTCGTCATCATTATTAGTTTCATCATTATAATCTTCATAGTCAACATCATAAAAGTCATCATCATTGTCAGTTCTTATCATCATCTTCACTATCATTGTCAGTATCATCATCATCTTCATTGTCAGGTTTTATCATCATCAGTATCATCATCATCATCACCATTATCATCACTATCATTATCAGTATCAGTATGATCACTAACATCATCACCATCATCACATCACCACTATCATTTCTATTATCATCAGTATCATCACCATCATTATCATCACTATCATCATCATCATCATCATCATCACCATCATTGTCAGTATCATCATCACTATCATCATCACCTTCACCACCATCATCACCATTACCATTATCATCACTATTATCATCATCATCATCATCATTTTCATATCATCATCATCTATCAATATTCATCACCATTATTATTATCATCACTATCTTTATCTTTATCATCATCATCATCATCATCATCATGGTCATCATCATCATCATCATCATCATCATCACTATCAATATTATCACCATTATTATTATCATCACTATCTTTATCTTTATCATCATCATCATCATCATGGTCAGTATTATCATCATCATCATCATCATCATCATCATCATCATCATCATCATGGTCAGTATCATTTTCCTGAGCCGTTCAGTTTTTTAAAGTGAAAACATCTTTAGTCATGAGTCTTCAGTTTTGTGTCCGCCTCTCACTTTCCCCACGTTTGTCTCCTGGACTTCAAACTTTAACATTTTATGAAAGCTGCTGGACAACACTGTACGATCTCCAAACTTGTGACTTTTCATGACTGTGTGAAATTGATCTTGGTAAGTTTGGGCTTTTTTGAAAACCCACTCTGAAGAATAAACCTGAGCAACCACGGACAGCTGACAGGAGAAAGAGGACATAAAAAATCTTGGTTATTTTAAAAACAGACTTTTGAATTTCTAACATGTGAGAAAAAATTGTCACTTGGTGGTTCTGTGAAAGTTTTAATGTTCACTCTGCATCATTCAGTCACTGCTGTTCATACTCCGAGTCTGCTCCAGTGTTAGTGCTGGAGTCTTACACAGATTCAGTTTGACGTATATAGAATTATAAGAACTGAATATCAACACTGTACATCACCAAGGCCAATATTAACAACAAGGCCACTACACAACTGCATGGAGAAGGGGGAGCAGAGACACTGTCCTGCTTTAGTCCAGGATCTCAGTGACTGTACTGGATTAAGTGTGTCCACAAGCAGAAGTGAGGAGAGGATGTCATTATAAAACCTCCTGCAGCTCTGGACGGCTGCATCACAGACAGCAGACGGAGGACGGACAGACCTGTTGTGGATGTTTATTCCAGTATTTTTCCAGGAAGTGGACTCTGTAGTGGCTCCACAGATCCCCTGAGTGGCTCTCAGAGTCACCTTATTTATGTCGAGTTAACGAGTTTAATTCAGAATGTTTCTGCTCCTCAATAGGATTTTAATAAATGTGTTCATACTTAAACTTATCAAGTCTGCCTTTATTTCTGCTCTGAGTCTGTATGAAGGTTTCTCCTGCAGCCCTTATTGTCAGTCTGTTTACTGACAACCTGTTTGTGTGTGAGTGTGTGTATGTGCGCGTGTAGCAACTGTGTCAGATTTAGGAAGGATACACAGACTAATGAGTATTGGTTTAATACTTGATAATATCCATGTGATGATTAACTCATTAACACTTGGTCACAGGAGACTACAGTTCACTCGAGGAGGGGGTTGGACGAGAGACTGGACAGGAGGCGGAGCCCGCTTTTTGAATGATGTGGGATATTATTTACAGTAACAACAGATATATACAGTGAGGGAATGGTCATTCAATCAAAACAATAATAACAAAATGTACTTGGTTTGTTAACAATTGTTCACCATACAGTCTAATGAAACACCAAAACCCGACCCAACAGTTGATCAAGGGAAAAATCCACGTCTGGGTTGAGAATAAATTCAGGGGAAATGTTTGTGGAAAAAGGTTTCAGGGGGAAATGTGTGTGAATGGGTGTATGAGTTTCACTGGGCTCCAGAGAGCCCCTTACCGGCCTGACAGGAGAGGTGCAGATGAAGCAGGATAGAGATGTAGGATCTAGTGATGGCCAAATGAAACTTTCTGATGCATTGAGGCTTAATTCCAGCCCATTGCTTTGCCCGAAGGTTCACTACTCGAGAAGCGTCATTCAGTGCTCACTAGCCCCATCTATTGCCAGAGTTAAAATGTGACAGCCAAGTCATTCAAAGAGATTTTAAATGTTTTCACGGTACGGATTAGGTTGTGATAGAAAATGAATGAATGAATATTATCACAATATAGAATAGTATTTAATCCCTGTACAATAACAATAAAGTCTATTGCTCTCCCTTTTTATTCCTAATAAATATTTTCTATCCGTTTGATTGCTATTTTGGTTTGTGCTTTTATTAAACACATTAGGTGGTGTTGTGTGTTGGAAGTGCAGTGCTTGGGTGATACTACTGCGTGTTGGGAGGGGGGCAGGGAGTGGAGGGGGTAATGAGTTTTTCTCTTTCTTGCTTGTCCCATTAAACTACTCCTACTACTCCTACTACTCCTACTACTACTACTACCAATTCAACAACTACTTCTACTGCAACTAACTAACCCTATGCTTTCAACGACTACCACTGCTGATTATAATCCAAACTCTACGGAACGAACGAACGAACCAAACTACTACCAAATACAACCCACGAAACGCCGCATTTTTAGCTTTTATTTTAAAATACGACTCGCAAAATGACCCAGTCAAGTTACCTGTGTAATGCGAGGCCTCGTTTGTCATTGGTTACGTGGTTTTCAGCAAACTGGTACGAGACTCGGTACACACCTCGAAGACTCGGTTTCAATCGTCCGATCACTGGTAGGATCTAGGCCTGCTCCTCAGCTCACCATCCAATGTGGACCTGGGCCTGGGGATCACAACCACAGTCACAATAAATCACTAAATATATATATCAACAGCAAATTCTTGTGTACACATCATTCATTTAAAACACTAGTTAAGCTAGCTAAATTAGTTATTTTCAATAAATTCAATATTTAATAAAAGAAATAAGTACTTCTTCCATTATGAATAAACGTGTATGATATTATTTAGCAATTATGATTGATCGTTATAAAGATAGATAATGATCAAATACATTCAAGTCATTTTTCAGTAAGTTCCAAGTTGACATTCTAAACTTTTATTACACAGATGATAATAGCATCATATTTCCATCTAAATGTAATTACAGACATTTTGTTTTTCATTTGGAGAAACAGTATATTAGTAGCCAAACAGTTTAGCTAACCGCTCTCATTGATATGAATGGGCTCGGCTAAGCTAACGCTAGCACGCTAACAATAACAAACTCAGCCGTCGTCGATTAATCGCCACATAAGTTCTCCACGCCGTCGAAAAACACGGCTAAGTCGCGGTTAAAGGCTCCGACAAGTTAATACATTAAAAACATTTTGTTTTTTTTAAGTAATACCGTTACAGTTAAGATGAAACTAACCTGTAGATTGTCGCTCCTGACGCTTCTCCTCCTCAGTTATAAAACCATAGACTGTATATACTAAGAACCATAGACTGTATATACTACAGACAACGTAGTTCCTCTTTCCCTCAGTAAATGGATTTGAAGCTGAAAAGTTCTCAGTAATTCCGTGTTTTTTCTCCACTTCTTGAAACCAACATTGCGCAGTAGCGTTGTACGCCTTCAACAGGAGAGTCGCTGTGATGACGCTCGGCTCAAACAGAGTATCCCCCGGTGAGCTAGAATGTCGTTTTTTTTTTGTTTTTTTTTCCTTTAAAAAAACTGTCCTAATGCATATACATTTATCCACCTTTCGCCGACCCTAAACTGAGTCACAGCCTCGGTTTGGTGAAGTTTCTTTCCTTCAGCTTTTTCTCACTAACCATCTCCCACCAGCAGGGGGCGCTGTTGCACAGTGTATAACGGTGTGGTGTGGCGCGTGTGTGGGGGTCGTGAGTGTTTCAGTCTGCTCTCTATCAGATCCTGAGAGCTGGACGGAGGAGGTGCTGTTCCTCACAGAGGCTGTCAGTGCGCAGACTCCACTCTCCCTCTGAGCAGACGGTCAGGATCATAAACACCGAGGCAGGGATCCGCTCCTGCTCTTCTCCTGCTCCTCTCCTGGTCCTCTCCTGGTCCCCTGACCTCCTGGTCAGCTGGTAATCCTCACTGCTCCCTCTGCTCCTCTGTTTCGGGCTCTGCGCTCTGCGCTCTCAGGAAGGATCGTTTGGAGTCTCCAGCAGCTGCAGCCCGACACTCGATCTGCAGACGGACTCCATCGTTTTCTCCAAGTTTACAGCATCAGCGGCTCCTCTTCTTCTTCTTCCTCCTCTTCTTCCTCTCCTTCTCTCACACTCAGAGTCCGATCAGCTGAAGTTTGGCTCTGACATGGAGGAGAGTGTGCGCATCGGGCTGACCACTCTCTGATCCCCGCCTGAAGTTCGTCTCTTTGTTCAGTTAAAACCTCGAACTTTCTGCGGGAGTCTGCGGGAGTCTGCGGGTCGGGGTCACAACATGTCGGGGGAGCGGAGGCCCCGGCTGTGTGTGATGTTGAAGGCTGAGGGCGGGTACGGGTTCCATCTCCACGGGGAGAAAGGGAAGAGCGGACAGTTTATCCGAAAAGTGGAGCCCGGGTCTCCGGCGGAGGCGGCGGGGCTGCGCGCGGGGGACCGAGTCGTGGCCGTGAACGGAGTGAACGTGGAGAGAGAGACGCACCACCAGGTGAGCACCTGAGCAGGTATCTGAGTGGACTCATCCCGGGGGTCTGCGTGGGTGATAGATGTACCTGAGCTGTCAGAGTCAGGCTCCCCTCCAACCTTCACCTCCTCCACCTCAGGAGGAGAACCGACATTCAAACTTTTTACATGGGTGTAGATCTGATCACGTGGGGTGTGTCATGAGGTTCAGAGGGCACGTGTGTAGGTGCAGCTATTTAACAGCCTGCAGGTGGAGGTGTGTGAGTCTGCAGGTGGAGGTGTGTCTTAGTCTGTTAATGATGTTAATAACATGAATGACAGTAACCTGAAGCCCCTCCCCCTTTCAGGTGGTTCAGCGAATCAAAGCTGTGGAGAGTCAGACACGGTTACTGGTGGTCGATCCTGAGACCCACGAGAGTCTCCGCAGTCTCCGCCTCACGGCCACGGAGGACATGGCTGTCCTCAGGATGGGTCCATCCTCCTCCTCTGTCCCATCCTCCCCCTCTCCTCCCCCCTCTTCTGTACCCTCCCCGAGTAAGAGGAGGGAGAACGGCTCGGCGTCCAAGGTGCCCACCACAGCGAGCGGCCAGGTGCAGAAACCCACCAGGAGGTCCCCGTCCAAGGCTGCAAAGAAGGTAGGCTGACGTCTGTGACGCCGTGACGAATGTTTTCTCTAAGCAGTAATCTGACTCTGAGCTGTAAAATAAAACCTGTTAGTTTGGTCAGAATTAACAGGCGGTAGAGAAAAAAGTTCAACTGAAACAAACAAACAAAAAAAACATCAAATATTGTCTTTAAAAACATCAAATAAAGGAAACAAACAATCTGGACCCGCATGTTTCTCCTTCACTCTGCTCAGAGGTCGATGACAGGATGAACTCAGACATCAGGGGTTAGTTTAGAAGACCAGAAACAGCTAACAGAGCTGAGACCGAGGGTGAAGTCCTCAAAGAACCCAACGTTAAAAAGTCCAACATGTTTAGAGACAGGAACCAAAAAAAAAGGTCAGTCTGAACCTCTGAGACCAACAGGAACTTAAACCTTCACTCTGATAAGTGTGAAAACATGAAAACAGAAGGCAGGAAGAGCAGCAGCAAAGACACACTACAGACCAGTTTAAACAGACTACAGACAGGTGAAACGTACTAAAGACAGGTTTAAACAAACTACAGACAGGTTTTATCAGACTTCAGACGGGTTTAAACAGACTACAGACAGGTGTAAACAGACTTCAGACGGATTTAAACAGACTACAGACAGGTTTAAACAGACTACAGACAAGGTTAAATAAACTACAGACAAGTTTAAATAAACTACAGACAGGTTAAACAGACTACAGACAGGTTTAAACAGACTACAGAAAGGTTCGAACAAACTACAGACAGGTTAAACAGACTACAGACAGGTTAAACAGACCACAGACAGATTTAAACAGACTACAGACAGGTTTAAACAGACTACAGACAGGTTAAACAGACTACAGACAGACTACAGACAGGTTTAAACAGACTACAGACAAACTACAGACAGGTTAAACAGACAACAGACAGACTACAGACAGGTTAAACAGACTACAGACAGGTTTAAACAGACTACAGACAGATTAAAACAGACTACAGATGGGTTTAAACAGACTACAGACAGGTTTAAACAGACTACAGACAGGTTAAACAGACTACAGACAGGTTTAAACAGACTATAGTGAGGTTAAAACTAACTACAGACAGGTTTTAACCCGACTACAGACAGGTTTAAGAAAAACTACAGACAGGTAAAAGAGTCTACAGAAAAGTTGAACAGACTACAGACAGGTTAAACAGACTACAGACAGACTACAGACAGGTGTTTCTCTGATGAAAACAACCGTCTTTATCCTCTGTCGGTGTCCCCGAACTCGCCGTGCGAACATGAAACTAAACTAACCTCTTCAGATTCGCTCTGTAGCGGAGATGACCCCGTGACCCTCCCGGTATTAAACGCCGTGTGTTGGCGAATGTTGGAACATGTCAGTGGGGTCGCCGCCCTTTTATGATATCACAGCGTTGCACTTCGTGTTGTTAGCGTCCTTTTTGGTGACGTGAGGTGGAGCCTTCGCTCACTTTGCTCCCTCCACCATCTTGTGATTGGCGTGTGGCAGGTCATGTGACGTTGATGTAAGGTCTGTCTGCTGCTGCGTAAACTAAAGAATCATGATGTTGATTGATCGAACCATTTCTAATCGATTCTTAACAGGAAACAGTTTCTGATACCCGTCACTAGAGCACAGTCCGGTGTTTACAGGCTCGCTGCAGCTGAACTTCACAGGCCACGCCCCCTCATCTTTCTGGCATCTCTCTCGGTCTCTCACAGTTCTTTACGATCTGGAGATGTTTTTGTCTCTATCCTCTGATTTCTCCACGCTCACACAGGAAACAGGAAGGGTTTCCTGTGTCCTCCGTGTGTCTGTCGGAGCTCCGGGACGTGATCGGAGGAGGTTTCACGTGGTCGCTCTCTCCCTCTCTGTCTCTCTCTCCCTCTCTCTCTCTCTCGTGGCGAAAACATCAGCATGTGTTTTCACTTAACTGACCCTGCCAGAACAAGAGCGTCCAATCAGCTGTGTTCCTCTCTCTCTAAGCAGCGACGGGGCGATCGATTGGCTCTGAAATGTCTCTGTTTGACTCTTTGACCTGTGGAGAGAAACACCAGTGCATGCTGGGAGCAGCTGGGATCACGGGGGGGTAAACGGCTCTAAGGGGGGTCTGGAGAGGAGGTTTGGTGGGAGGAGCCCCCCTGTTTAACGACTCAAAAAGACTCCGCCCCTTAAGAGCGAGGAGTATAATCATTAGAGAAACGGCGTCTAAGTTAGCGGAGCGCTGTTCGGCTGACATCAGCAGATTTCTGCAGAGAGAGAGAGAGAGAGAGAGGAGAGAGAGAGAGGAGAGAGAGAGAAAGAGAAAAAGGGAGGGGGGGAGAAAGGAGAGGGAGAGGAGAGAGAGAGAGACAGAGAGAGAGGGAGAAAGAGAGAGGAGAGAGCGAAAGGGAGAGGGGGGGAGAGAGAAAGGAGAGAGAAAGAGAGAGGAGAGAGAGAGAAAGAGAGAGAGTTTGGACGAGGGAGAGTGAGAGCGTCCAAAAACAAGTTTAAGGATTTGTTGGAAACAGTTTCAGGAAACGGCCTCCCTCCCTCCCTCTATGGGGTAGGTGGGGGGGGATGTTGGATAGATGGACTTCCTGTTCATGAGTCGTCGTGTCTCTGCTCACCGAGTGTTTCTGCAGTTTCTCCTCTGAACCAGAGTCAGAGCGTTCGTATGTTTGAGTCTGCAGAGAGAAGAACGAACCGAAGGTTTGATGAAGGAGTCGGAGGAGAGCGGAGCGGCCAGAAGGAGGCTGTGCTCACTCCTTCTCGTCTCCTCGGTCAGAAACGTTCCTCTGCAGGATCAGAGCTGAGTCATGTCGTGTAGTTTGAGGTTCAGGGTTCAGGTTTTTAGTGAGCCTGCACACAGAGAGGACACCAGGACCCAACTCTGTGATCCTGACTCTCTGATATTCACCTGCGATTACACTTCATTTACAGATCAGATTAAATCTGGGATTACAGTCAACATGGTCCTGAGTCTTCCTGAGCTCGGCTCTGATTCCTCTGTTATCAGTTTTCCTGCAGAAGTTCAGCTGGAACATGGGAACACAGAAAAGCTGACTTATGTTTCTGTTCTGAAGTTCAGCCTGAGAATAAAAACAAAAAACTGTTTCACTGACGCTCAAAGTCGACAGCGAGGGTTTCTCTGCTGGATTAGCTCTTCAAGTCAAACGTTTAGAAAAAGGAAAAAAGGTGAAATAAAGTTAATCGATCCTTAAAATCCAGAGTGAGTTCAGAGACAAACTTCTGATGTTTGTAGGTTTTATTTTTAACGTTTTTATTCTCAGACTGCACTCATTCATCAGATTACATCCTTAAAATCATATTTACTAAAATTAATCAGATAATATCCTTCATATAACGATAATTTCATTCATCAGATTAAATTCCATGACAGTAATTTCTCATAACCTAATCTCATTGGTCTGTTGGTTCACTCAGAGTAAATTAGACGACCGAAGGATAAGAACATTGTGACTCCATATCATCTTACCTGAACACACACCTGAGGTGTCGGAGCTCTGCCTCGGGGCCTTTCTCCCCCTGTAAACACACGCACACACACACACACACACACACACTCACACACACACACACACACACACACTAACAGACACACACACACACGTGTGTCAGCTGGATGCTGTAGGTAGAGTCAGGTATCACTTTCTCACAAAACCGTTTTTTTAAAACCTGTTTGATAAAAAAAACGTAGAGAGAAGAAGACAGACACACTCAGTCTGTGCTCCATGACTAAACTGACACGAACACAGACACAAACACAAACACAGACACAAACACAGACACAGACACAAAAGGTCCTTACACACCAGGCGCAAATTCGCCAGGCGAATGATTCACCTTTATTCGCCTTTTTTTAAAACAGCATGAAGTCAATGCAAGTTTCCACACCAGCGGCGATTTTTCCGCAGGGCGAAAAGCGTCTTTCATTTTTTCGCTCTTGTGTCGAATTTTTCTGAGATTCGCAGGCGAATATCTGCTGCCAGACCTCTGGCCAATCAGAAGTCATGTTGTTGATGACGTCACAGACCCATGCGGCTGCAGTTCACACGACACACACCACCACTGGCACCAAGAGCAACGATGGGAGAGAGTGTGTACCACAGAGTGGTCGCCCGGTGTGTATAAGCAAAAGCGATCTTTCGGACCGGCGAATATTTTCGCATTTTCGTCTCGCTTTTTCGCTTTGCTCCGCAAATTCGCTGGTGTGTAAGAACCTAAACACAGACACAAACACAGACTCAGGTCTCAGATCAGAACCACAGATCCGGTCTCTGAGAGCTCTGCTGCAGGACGTCACCGGACTGGATTTAGAGAGCGGATCTGTGGTTCTGATCCGAGATCTTTGAGAATTCCTGGACTGACAGAACAGATTTAAAGGGGCCAGGGCCGAGGTCAGAGGTCAGAGGTCAGGACTGAATAAACACAGAGGGTAACACACGGTGATCTGAGAGAAGAAGGATCAGGAGGAGGAGGTCTGTGATGGTGTTAAAGAGGAGGAGGAGTGGGTCAGTGACGGTGTTAGGAGAAGGGGGCAGAGACAACACAGTTCAAACCGTCCTCAAGTTTTTGTTTTTGAAGTAATTTAGTGAAAAGACTTAAATCGTCATCCTGTCACCTTTGACCTCCATAAATGAACGAATGAGGAGGATTGTTGGTCAGGTGTCGACTTAATCTTCTTTAACTCGGGATTAAGTGTTAAAGAACAGAATAAAACTGGATTATTTGTTATTAATTAAGATGTTCAATATCAAAAGTCATTCACAGCTGTGTTTTATAAACACAGTCTATCATCAGATTAAAACATCTCGTCTGTTTCTAATCCACTCACTTCATGAACTCCTGTCCGCTGTCAGTCATGGATGATTCTGTGAAAACAGAGAATAAAACGTCAACACAGTTATTAATAAAAACTACAGTTCAGTGTTTTTGAGAGTAAAGAGTCTGTGAGTGAAACCATGAAAATCAGCTGTTTGTGTTTTTATTGATTTTAGTGTTTCTGTTCAAACAAACTGAAAAAAAGAGTTTCTGTCTATCAGCCTCCAAAACCCCTGAGAACACGAGACACACACACCTGCTGCTCCACACTGATAACAGCAGCAGCAGGGGCGTGGACACACACACACACACACACGCACACACACACACACACACACACACACACAGAAACACACGCTCTTACTGGAACAGTTGAAGTAGATAAGATGTTTCAGGTGGACTCGGTGTTTGTCTAAATGAACTGGTTTAACTGGTTTCTGCAGATCCACATCCATCAGCTGTTTGTTTATGAAGAGAATCATCATCAGACAACATCAGCAGCAGGTCTGACGATAACACACGTGTTACAAACATGTAAATAACATGAATACAAATACCCGGGAACCACTGTTGAGGGTCTGCTGAAGAGGAGATCCTCAGGACCAGCCAGCAGAGACAGAACCCCCTCAGGAAGCCCGGTTCCTCAGGGTCCACCAGAACATTCTCAGAACCTTCCAGAAAAAAACGTTTGGTTCCCAAATCTGATCCCATTTTTACACTGAAGTACGGTCAAGACCAGCTGAGTTTATTAAGCGCCTTGGGATAACACATGTTGTCAACTGGTGCTATATAGAAAAAGATTAAATTGATTGATTGATTGGTTGATTGATTGATTGAGGTGCAGGCCTCACTTCAAACTGTGCAGGAAACTCGACCTCCTGATTTAGTAGGTCCACCATATTAAGTTCATCCTAATCCTCCATCAGCAGCGATCAGTGAAAGTATTGTTGACACATACACACATACACACACACACGCACACGTTCACATGGACCATGCTGCAGGAAGTGCTGGGTCCCTCTGGCTGTGAAAGGGTTAACAGCGGTCATGATCCATTGCAGTCAGCCATCGCTCAATAATTCAACAGGCTGGGATCCAATTTCATTAACGCCATCGCCAACGCCACAGCTTCACAGGGACACATGGACACATGGACACATGGACACGTGTGTGTGTGTGTGTGTGTGTGTGTATGCAGACAAACATACGAATACATATGATGAGCTGTAATACAAGACCTATCAGAGAGCTCTATAATAGTCAATAATAATCAATACTAAAAGCTCCCAGCTGTTTACACACATTATTATTATTATTACTATTATCATCATTATTGTTGTTGTTATTATCATTGTCATAACAATAAAATAATAATAATAAAAATAATAATAATAGTTGTAATTTCAACAACAACAAAAAAAAAAAATAATAATAATAGTAAAAATAGTAATAATTGTCGTAATTTCAACAACAACAACAACAATAATAATAATTACAATAATAATCGTAATTACAACAACAATAATAATAATCGTAATCACAATAATAATAATAAAAAAAATAATAAAAATAGTCGTAATTACAATAATAATAATAATAATCTTAATCACAACAATAATAATAACAATAATAAAAATAGTCGTAATTACAATAATAATAATAATAATAATAAAGTGTAATGAACTCTCTCTTATGTCACAGTGAGGTTTACGGTCAGTCCACAGACAGATGTTTCTCCCCCTCATATTTTCACAGACGGACAGAAACAAAGACAGACTGTGACAGAAACTACAGGAATTTGCATCCTCTGTGTGTGTGTCTGTGTGTGTGTGAGAGTGTTTTCAGCTGTGGGTTGGTTAAAATATTCCATACTGTATTGTTCATATAGAAATCCTGGTTGATCGTAAACTCAATGAGGTCTTGTTGTTTTGGAGCTGTGGTGCGTTCAGGGACCTGGAACAAAAAACGATCTCTGTGTTTCTGATGTTCCTCCTCCCTCGTCTTCTTCCTGTGGGACTGTAGTTTTTAAATGTTCTCCACTGATAACTGAGCGGCATCCTGATGATAGGAGGGCTGCTGACAGAGGAGCAAAAAAACAAAAATACTCCACCCCTCCATCCCTCCACCCTCTCGCTCTCCAACTCTGTGTATTTGAAGTCTGCTCTGTGGTGTTAACTTCATGTGTGATTTTGTGTGTCTGTTTCAGAGCTGCTTGTTCTGATCGTCACACATGTTGGTTCACACTCACCTGAACAATTTAAAGATACACTATGTGATGTTTCTACGTAAACAAAGGAGAAAATGTCAAAGATACTGTTTTCAAAAATGAAGCCAATCACAACTGCAGTTCCCTGAGAGTCCACTAGGGACAGTGTCCAAACCAAAACACAAGGCCCCAACAGAGTCTGAACATCCAGGTAACCCCAGATTTAGACTACAGACAAGTTTATATAGACTACAGACAGATCTTTATAGACTACAGACAGGTTTATATAAACTACAGACAGGTTAATAAAGACTACAGACTGATCTTTATAGAGTACAGACAAGTTTATATAGACTACAGACTGATCTATATAGAGTACAGACAAGTTTATATAGACTACAGAAAGATCTATGTAGATGACAGACAGGTTTAAACTACAGACAGATCTATATAGACTACAGACGGATCTATAATGACTACAGACAAGTTTATATAGACTACAGACTGATCTATATAGAGTACAGACAAGTTTATATAGACTACAGAAAGATCTATGTAGATGACAGACAGGTTTAAACTACAGACAGATCTACATAGACTACAGACAGATCTATATAGACTACGAACAGATCTATGTAGACTACAGACAGGTTTATATAGACTAAGGACTGATCTATATAGATTACAGACAATACATAGAGACTACAGACAGATGTTTATAAACTACAGACTGATTTATATAGGCTACAGACAAGTTAATATGGACTATAGACAGGTTTATATAGACTTCAGACAGATTTAGACTACAGACAGGTTTAAACAGACTACAGACAAGTCTTTATAGACTACAGACAAGCTTATATAGACTACAGACAGATCTATATAGACTACAGACAGGTTTAAACAGACTACAGACAAGTTTAAACAGACTACAGACAAGTCTTTATAGACTACAGACAAGCTTATATAGACTACAGACAGATCTATATAGACTACAGACAGGTTTATATAGACTACGGACAGGTATTTTTGAAACTACAGACAGCTTTAGAAAGGTTGTTTTTATAAATGTAAATGAAGTTTTTATTTGTTGTTTTTTTCAGGAGGTTTTGGTCCCGGCTGAAGCTCTCTCCCAGTCCCAGTCACAGCCCCAGTCCGAGTCCCAGTCCCAGTCCTTTTCCTCTAAAGTAGACCTGTCAGAGCTGGTCCCTCGTCTGTGTCACCTGGTCCGGTCTGATGGGGGATACGGATTCAACCTCCACAGCGATCGATCGCGGCCCGGACAGTTCATCCGCTCCCTGGACCCGGGGTCACCAGCGGACCATGCAGGACTCCGTCCTCAGGACAGACTGGTGGAGGTGAGATTGGGGGGTTGGGTTAGTCAGTTTGTAGGCCCTGCAGTAGATCCCTGTCCTGCTCTTGGATTGGCCCGTTTCAGATCACGTTGGTTGATGTGCAGAAACTGAGACAGAACATCCGACCATGTCCAATCTGTGACCATGAAGGAGGCGGGGCTTATAACCCTTTACTGCAGCCAGTCAGCAGGGGGAGCTCTGAATGTTTGAGCTTCTTTTTTATGAGTCTCAGCTGTCCCCTGATGAGTCTCAGCTGTCCCCTGATGAGTCTCAGCTGTCCTCAGTGTCCCCATCCGTCTTACTGGCTGACTGTTAAACACATTGCTCCGAGGATCTGACACCTGAGACCTGCTCAGCAGAGTCCAGGTGAACCCTCAATAATAGATGAAGCTCTAACCCTGACATGGACAGGTGTGGATCTACCTGTCCCAGAGGAGTCCAGGTCCAGACTCACTGAGGCTCTGGGACTTTATCATCACAGGATGAGAGTTTGCTGCAGCTGTTCACTCTGAGTTTCGGTTTATATGAACTTTATCTTTATTTATTATGTTTCTTTGAGAGCTGATTTAATGATCCTACAGCAGACGTCTTTAATGTTTGAAGGATCAGCTGATCCTGGAAACAGCTGATGCATTATTCCAGGGTTCGAACACGGCTGTGTGGTCATTTTGTGTTCAGAAACTTTAAAGGGCCGAGTGAACAGTGTTCAACCAGAGAGTTGATCTGCTGCTCCACCTGCTGGACAGATGAGGCAGTGCGGACACACAGACATGTATAAAGTCAGGAAAGGAGTGTTTGGTGGTTTATTTCTGTGTTGTTCTGATGTTGTTGGTGATAAATCTGATCCTGTAAATGGAGACTCATCTGTGACAAGTCTGAGGATCACATCCATGAAAAAAAAACAGCTGATTCTGCTGTTGACTCTTTCGCTGGATGACGGAAGTCAGGTGAGTCAGACACAGGAACAGCCTTGGAGCCGATACTGATTATTAGCGGGGGGGAAAATCCGATTAGTCTCAAACGGGCTAAAATTGGCCGATTTAATTGGCTCGCCGATAAATCAGATGAGCCCTACTGCTGACTGTGAATAAATGTCTGTCAGTGAGATGTTTCCTCAGCCTGAGGTCCAGTCCAGTCCTGAATGTTGGTGCTGAACCTCTGAACTTTAAACAGCGTCAGCAGATTCACAGTTTAACCTTCGTCTCCTCCTCTCTTCACGCTGCAGGTAAACGGCGTGAATATCGAGGGGATGCGTCACGCAGAGGTGGTGTCCTTCATCAAGAGAGGTGGAGAGGAGACGTGGCTGCTGGTGGTGGACCCGGACACAGACCAGCACTTTAAGAGGATGGGGGTGGTCCCCTCGGTCAGCCATGTGAGAGGTAGGCTGTGAAAACACTGAAGGTCTGATGTTTGACAAGTTTACTGTTGGAGTGATAAAGTGTCTGTTCGGTGTGTCCTCTCAGACTACGATGGTCCCTCCATCTCCAACGGCTCCACCAACCCTCAGATGAACGGCAGCTCCACCACTCAGTCCATCCGCTCCACCCGCTCTGACCTGAGCAGCTCTCAGGTGGGTGCTGTAGGTGTTGTGGACTCTGTCTCAGTCTCCGTCTCTGTCTTCATCTTTGTCTTTGTCTTCATCTCTGTCTCTGTAGCTGGCGGAGGACGATGGCAGACGGCTCTTGGACCCGTTTGCAGAGATGGGTCTGAGTCTGAGCGCCACAGCAGCAGAGGAGAAGGTGAAGGTCCACGCCAAAGAGAAGAGAAGAGCGCCGCAGATGGACTGGATGAAAAAATACGAGCTTTTCAGCAACTTCTAGGACATCACCCTCTGATGACCGAAGAGACAGGGACGGTCCCTCACAGAGACAAATGGACAATCTATGACGTGAAAGGACGCTCTTCTTAATAAACTGATCAGACACACTTTATCAGGACACACTAACACCGTGGAATTAACCACAGGACCAACATAAAGGGGTTTATCTTTAAAAAACTCACGACAGAGGCAGAGAAAGTCATCCTCCTCTGTCAGCAAACTCTTCAACATCTGCAAACTCTTCATCGTCTGCAAACTCCTCAATGTCTGCAAACTCTTCGTCTGCAAACTCTTCGTCTGCAAACTCTTCGTCTGCAAACTCCTCAACGTCTGCAAACTCCTCAATGTCTGCAAACTCCTCAACGTCTGCAAACTCTTCGTCTGCAAACTCCTCAACGTCTGCAAACTCCTCAATGTCTGCAAACTCTTCAACATCTGCAAACTCTTCGTCTGCAAACTCTTCGTCTGCAAACTCCTCAATGTCTGCAAACTCTTCGTCTGCAAACTCCTCAATGTCTGCAAACTCTTCGTCTGCAAACTCCTCAATGTCTGCAAACTCTTCAACATCTGCAAACTCTTCAACATCTGCAAACTCTTCAAACTTATCACTCTATGATCGCCTTATATGAACTGATGACTGTCTTTGCTGAAATTCTCGTATTTAAATTCGTCGTTTCTGAAGTTTTTCATGTTTTCTGGGAATATTTCATACTTATTTTTATATTATTAATTTTTCTTGATTGTAAACGATCGTCTTCTTCACCATAATCAGAAACATCTTTACAAAGGACTCAGTTATTTTTTTATTACAAATATAAATATCCTGGTTTATGTCGTTATCATGGGCTGAATCTTGACGTGGTTTAGTGGACGCTGTAAGGGTCAAAGGTCATCCTAGAATGACATGTTTGTGAAGGAGAGGAAACCCATCGGCCCCCCCACAGAGGAGAAAGGTCATTGGACAGGAGGACTGAGATGAAGGACATTACTTACTGCTTTTCCCAGCATGCTTTGCAGCCTAACAAAAAGAGATGGCACTGACAGGTAGAGGTGAACTCACCTGTGTCAGCTGATGGGTCAGTCAGGTCTGCTGCTGTGGGCTCAGATCCACCTGGATGAGGTCAGTCCACCGTTAGTCCAGCAGAGTCTGGTCCTGATGCTCGGCTAACTCCGAGCTAACCTGGGTCTCAGATAAGAGAGAAAATCTGAGTCTGCAGTAATTTTATATTTACAGATAAAGTTTGATTATATGATATTCATGTCAAAATAACATTTTTAAATAAAAACATTTAAAAATATATATTGTTACTTTATTTGAAAATCAAAGTGTAAATCAAAATCTGTCTGTGGTAACATGAAAAAAAAAAACATTCAGAGGATTACAACAACAACAACAACAACAACAACAACAACAACAGGGTTACAGCAACAACAGCAACAACAACAACAGGGTTACAACAACAACAACAACAACCACAGGGTTACAGCAACATCAATAACAACAAAAGCAACAACAACTACAACGACAACACCTGGGGCCTGTTCTATGAAGCAGGTTCAACCTTGGAGCTACCTCGCTTGACTTAGCGCGGTAGCCAGCGGTCTCGCAAAACGGTCTTACGACGCTGGTTATCAACCTCGTAAGTGGATCCAGCTTTGCTATGAGCGCGTGCACGCATGTAAGGCGGAGCCCGGAAGGAACGCTGGCAGAAAATTGCAGACAGTCTCAATGCGTAAATATAGTGCGCAAAAAATCTTTGATGCCGTTATCACCCTGAAACAGCGCTGTTCAACATGCGCTTTTAACATGCAGCAGACATGTCTGATTCATTTCCCCGATGAATTCATTCATGTGTTCATTCCTATCGTGTTCACATGTTTTGTGTGATATGTCGGCCATATGAGCCTTTCATAAAGGTGGTCAAAAGGAAGGGGGTCTGTGCGGTCCCTGAAAACTCTTGTGCCCCGGAGTGCTCCTCCTCGGACAATACAAGCACCGAGGTCTATTTTTCGAGAGAGCTCATTGGTCAGTGGGCGGGGTTTTCATACTCGGTGAGTTTAATCTGGAACATAACCTGCCCCGGAGCAGGTTAGCCGTTCAGCGTACGTTGCCATGGAGACTCGCCTCGCTTAGCAGTAATCCTGCTTCGTAGAACAGACCCCTGTACAGAAACTGTCATGAGTTAAAGAAAAATAAAGGACCAAAAATTCAGACTTTAAAAAGATTTTTTTTAAAAAGAACGAAATAAAAATCAACAAAAACTTACTTTAGAATATTTGACAGAAAAATCCTAAAATCCAACAAAAAAAGGAGACTAGAGAGATACAACACACACACACACACACACACACACACACACACACTCTGGGAAACAAGCAACAGGTGAGTCAGACGAGACACAGGTGAGACTGATGAGTGATTTACAAAGGAGGTTAAACTAGACTACAAACACAAGGAATTAACTCCTACAAAATAAAACAGGAAATAAACATGGAATCAACTACTACAAAATAAAACAGGAATCAAACACAAAGAATCAACTAGTACTGCTACTTCTGTGAGTAAGGTGAAAGTTTGTCCAGCAGGGGGCGCTCACTAAGCATGATCCTGACAGGAAGGAGAGCAATACTGAGCCGGGCCGCCCGCACTGGGAGGGGGTGGGGGGTCACCATGGCAACGTGTGTTTTTGTTAGCGCTCGTGAGTCAGACATGCAATGACTCATAGTCAGGAGGAATCACACACACACACACACACACACACACACACACAGTAACATTCATACTCACACTCAGCCGACAGGAAGCCAAATAAGGACAGAGAGAGAGAGAGAGAGAGAGAGAGAGAGAGAGAGAGAGAGGGAGAGAGAGAGAGAGAGAGAGAGAGAGACATTAACACAATAACATCTTAACCCCTTCTGTCTTTCTCTGAGGACTCTGACCTGAGATCTCGTCTTTCCTCTTCTTCACTCGGCAGGTTTGAGATCTTCTCGTACCTACAGCAGGAAGAGGGGTCAAAGGTCAGCTGGGAGTGTGTGTGTGTGTGTGTGTGTTAGAGGAGGTGATCAGGTTATGATGATGTCAGAGGAAAACAATGACGAAGTGAAAACTATGGATGTATGAATGAATGAATGATGAGCGATGGATGGATGATGGATGGATCAATTGATGGATGGATGAATGATGGATGGATGGTGGACAAATGATGGATGGATTGTGGATGAATGATATATGGATAAATCGATAAATGATGGATGGATGACTGATGAATGGATGGATAAAGGATGGATGGATGATGGATGAATGATGAATGGATGGATGATGGATGAATGATGGATGGATTACTGATATATATAATAGATAGTGGATGAATGATAGATGGATGAATGATGGGTGACGGATGGATGGATGGATGGATAAATGGATGGATTGATGAATGGATGGATCGATGGATGGACGGATGATGGGTGGATGGATGGATGGATGAATGGATGGGTGAATTGATAGATGATGGATGGATGGATGGATGGATGGATGGATGGATGATGGATGGATGGATGATGGATGGATGGATGGATGGATGGATGGATGGATGGATGGATGGATGAATGGATGGATGAATGATGGATGAAGGATGGATGATGACTGATGAATGGAAGAAGGATGGATGATGGATGAAGGATGGATGGCTGGATGAATGGATGGACGGATGAATGGATGGATGAATGATGGATGAAGGATGGATGATGGATGAAGGATGGATGGCTGGATGAATGGATGGACGGTGATGGGTGGATGGATGGATGAATGAATGGATGAATGGAGCAGCTGCTGACAGTCAGGTGTGGAGTCGAAACACTGATCTGTGTTTTAAGGGGTTAATGAAGGTGGTCTTTGTTTATATTTAAGGAGTTCTGGGTGATGGCGCTGGGTGGAGGCGGCGGGTGGAGGTGGGTGGAGTCTCCTCAGGGGGTTTTCCAGAGTTTATATTTAGAAGGAGTGACAAAAAGAGAGAGAGAGAGAGAGACAGAGGGAGGACAGGAGAGAAGTGACTGTAGACTAAGACCAGTCTGATGAAAGAGGCTGCAACAGGACCACACACACACGTGCACACACACACACACACACACACACACACACGTGCGCCTTCTTGACCCAGTTATGGAGCAGCTTCTAGAGAGTGAACGCCCTGCATATAGGTCAAACTTTAAACCACAAGACTGTCAGGACATCAGCTCACACACTCACACACACACACTCACACATACACACTCACACACAAGCTCTTAATGATCAGACATCGAGATCGTGGAGCTCAGAGTGAAGAGAATAGCTGGGGGGGGGGGGGGGCAAAGCCGCAGTGACGCCATCGTGGTTCCACAGCACTTCCTGTCTACCGCCACAATGTTTGTGTATCATGTCTCCATGGCAACTGCCAACACATAAATACCAGAGACAGACAGAGAGAGAGAGAAAGAGAGAGAAAGAGAGAGAGAGAGAGAGAGAGAGAAAGAGGGTGAGAGGAGAGGGAGAGAGCGTAATAAGGATCTTTCTGTGGATCTGAAGTGGAACGGTTTGACTTTAGTTTGCTGGTCTGGACTTTCTGGACTCAGATGTCCCAGGTCTGTGTCTTGGTCTGGGTCTGGGTCTGGGTCAGGGTCTGGGTCAGGGTGGAGGTGAGCAGGAGGAGGAGGTGGATCAGGGGGGTTCTGAGGCTCACAAACAAACCAAACATCAGAACACGAACCTGTGTTTAGACGGAGCCACGATCAGGTCCCAGGAATATTAACCAATCAGGAGTCAGTCCTCCATCAGCACCTTCATCAGGACCTCCATCAGGACCTCCATCAGGACCTCCAGCTCCTCTGGTGGGTGATCTGAGGAGGATTCTGTCTCTGTATGAAGATCAGCAAAAGATCAAACATCTGAGACACTGACCTGAGTGAGGAACAGGAAACAGGAGAGACCATTTACAGAGAAACTGAGACTCTCCAAGATGAATGAATGAATGAATGAATGAGAACTGTCGGGTCACCCGCCTGTCTTTAACCTGGAGATTGGATCGATATCACCATGGCAACAAAGTGGAGTCTGTTTTTTTAGATTACAGCTGACTGACTCGCCATCTCAGAAGGTCACTGAGCCGAATGTCCTATGTGACCGGCTGACACACATAATACACACACACGCACGCACGCACGTACACACACACACACAAGAAACATTAATAACCTTGTTGATAAACGGTGGGACGACCCCCAGCTCTGATCTCTTCATAAACAGCACAAGTGAACACCTGAATAGAAACAAACAAACAGACAAACACAAACAGACAGATAAACACACAAACACACAAACAAACAAATACACACACAAACAGACAAACAAACACACAAACACACAAACAAACAGATAAACACACAAACAGGTCTCACTGTAGTCCCTCTATAGGAATGTGTCATACTCATTACACTGTACTGGCTGTGAGTTGCTAGGAGACGTGTGTGTGTGTGTGTGTGTGGGTGTGTGTATGGAATGTGTGACGTCCTCACTCTCACAGGGGCGAGGTTTATGAGGAAGAAAGGGAAGTCATAACGACACACTACAAAGACACTGTTACTGTGTGAGTGTGTGTGTGTGTGTGTGTGTGTGTGTGTGTGTGAGAGAGAGAGAGAGAGAGAGAGAGAGAGTTTAGCTTACTGTGACACCACTTTGTGTGTGAGTGAGAGTGAGAGAGAGAGAGAGAGAGTTTAGCTTACTGTGACACCACTTTCTTGTCTGACATACAGTTGCTTATCAAAAGGATAGAAACTTACAGCATCAACTGATCACTGAGACGACAGCCGGACAATTAATAAACAACAACAATAATAACAATAACAACAATAACACATAACAGCAATAACTACAACAACAACAATAACATCAAGGTTACAACAACAACAACAACAAAAACAACTATAACAACGACAACAACAAGGTTACAACAACAACAAAAACAACTATAACAACGACAACAACAAGGTTACAACAACAACAAAAACAACTATAACAACGACAACAACAAGGTTACAACAACAACAATAACAACAAGGGTACAACAACAATAATAATAATAACATCATCAAAACAACAACAACAATTACAACAGAAACAACAACGATAAGAACAACTTCAACAACAACAATACTATCAAAAACAACAACAGCAACAATAACAACAACAATAACCATTACAATTACAACACCATCAACAACAACACCATTGAAAAAAACACCAGCAACAACAACAACAACACTAACAGAAACAACAGCAACAATAACAACACCATCAACAACAATAACACCATCAAAAACAACAACACAATCAACAACAACACCACCATCGAAAACAACAACAGAAACAACAACAGCAACAATTACAACAGCAATAACAACAACAACATCATCATCTGTTTGTGTTTTAATGTTTTAATTTCTCCTTTCTGATTGTAATTTCTGCCTGTTGTGTTTTGATGAAGCAGTGAAATTTTAAAGTGTTCATCTATAATAGTTCAGTGAAATTAAAGAGTGAAATGTTTGTCTTTCTAAGAGATAATGTTTGTCTCTAAAGGACATTAAAACAGCTGGATAAAACTAAACCTCATCATTTTGAACAGAAAGATTATTGACCTGAAATCAGTCAAATTCACATCCTGATGAATGTTGTTAACTTCATACATTCAATCAGTTATAATAAGTTTAATTAAATCAGTTTGTGGGGACATTAAGACAAAGAGAACAGATTTAGTCAAAAGTCTGAAAACTGAGAATCATTTTCTTATTAATCAGCTAAACAAACTTTTATTTACTTTTCCTCCTTTAACAGACCAACTCTTAATGTTCAGCTCAACCTGCAAACAAAAACAAACTCCATTCGTTTATTAGCAGCTGTGTTACTAACACACACACACACACACACACACACACACACACACACACACACACACACACACACACACACACAGAGGAGGGAGGGCTCTCCTCCTCCCCTCACACCGTCATAAAGGATTTCCCAGCTCTCCTCTCTCTCCCCGCCCACCGTCATGACTCTCACTACTCTTAACCTCGAGGAGACACTCACCAAACCGTCTGCACAGGGAATGGACAGACCGCGGAGACGAAAAGACAGAGAGACAGACGGAGAGAAAGAGAGAGAGACAGAGGAGGAGGAGGAGGAAGTCTGTTCATCTTAGAAGGATTCTGGACCGAACAAGAAGAAAGAAAGAAAGAAAGACAGAGGACATGCCGTCTCAGGTAAGTCTGTCTGTGTCCGCTCTGAAGAGTTTATGAGCGGAGACATCCTCAGAGAGACTCTTCACACTCACACACACACACACACACACACACACACTTCACAGGCAGAGAGATTGACCTGTGGGTCAGCAGAGAGAGAGAGAGAGAGAGAGAGAAAGAGAGACAGAGAGAGAGAAAGAGAGAGCATTGTGCAGCAGTTGGAGTTGACTGTAACTGCAATCACTTCCTGATTCTGTCTGTTTGTCTGTCTGTCTGTCTGTCTGTCTGTCTGTGGACGTCTTTGTCTCAAAGGTCAGAGGTCACTGTCCCCTTGAGTGGGACATCTCTGTCTCAAAGGTCACAGGTCACTGTCTCCCTGAGTGGGACGTCTCTGTGTTTGATTTTCGATCTCCATCCGTCCGTCTCTCTAAACTTCATTTGTTTGTCTGTGAGGGTGGGCAGGAAGATCACAACCCCCACCTGTCTGTCCCTGTCTCTGTGTGTCTGTCTCTGTGTGTGTCTGTGTGCGTCTGTCCCTTGTTGTAAGTCAGTTAGTGTCATAAAGATTCAGAGGTGTAGTTTGTGAAGTTGTTTGTGATTTTTATAGTTTGTAACGTTGTAGTTGTTGTAAAGCAGATGAATTGTGTAGTTGTTGTAGATTTAGGTGTTGTATAGCAGAGGGTTAGTGTGTGTGCAGAGGGGCTTTTAGGTTCTTTCAGATGATTTGGGTTCTGTCTGGTATTGTAGGTTCTGTCTGGTGTTGTAGGTTCTGTCTGGTGTACTGGGTTCTGATCCACGTTGTTGTTTTTGTTGTGTCTTTACCTGCTGGACTGCGTACCTGAGTTTAAGGTCAGCCATGTTTCTCAGGTGTGAAGCAGGTAAATGTAACACAGGTGGTCCAGACTAACCCTGCAGGGATGGGGGACTCTGACCGTCTCCTTCAGGCCTCCGTCCTCTCAGAGACGAGCCGCGGACGAACAGAACCTTCTTCTTCGTCAGACTGAAGCTGAAGGTGTGGGACAGTGGGCTGTCATTACACGGAGGGAAGGAGTGAGCTCATCCACTTAAACAAGGGGCGTCGGAAAACATGAAAAGACTGAAAAAAAGAAGGGAGAGCAGAAAGGAGAGGGGGATGAAAAGACGGAGGGTAAGAGGTTAATGAAGGACAAGAGTTAAAAAAAAAAGGTGAGCATGTCTGACAAACGAAATTTCACTTCAGGTTTAAAATCAGAGAGAGAGAGAGAGGGAGAGAGAGAGAAAATGAGAGAGGTAGAGTGAGAGTGAGAGACAGAGATGACTGATTCCTATTTTAACAGTTTAATCTTGATCTGACTGTTTTTCTTCGACCACAGATGATTTTTTTTTTAATCGGATTTTAGGAAATTAGTTTGACTCTCAGGAAGACCAGAGTCTGAGTCTGTGATGGAGAGAAAACTACAGTCTGAGGGACAGAGACAAAATCTGGAACACTGTCTCCACCTGTCTCCGTCTGTCTCCATCTGTCCCCGTCTGTCCCCGTCTGTCTCCACCTGTCTCCGTCTCCATCAGTCTCCATCAGTCTCTGTTGTCCAGGGGGATTCCTGGCAGGGTGATTTTTTTTACGTTCAGGACTGAATCACATTGCCAGGGATTTCCACTGGCTGACATGAGGAGAGCATCTCACACACACACACACACACACACACACAGGTCAGTGATGTACAGGACCTCATTTTGGCGCCATCATGTGGTTGTGCGGTGCCAGGACTTGACCCACATGTGAGCAGAGAGTGTCGGCCATGTTCACAGTGGTTAAGTTCTGCCGCCGCAAGGCCATAGCATGTGAGAGGGCGGGGCTTATACCGGAAACGTAAACACCAGCATCCACTGTAAAGAACCAACCAATGGGAACCCAGTTTACATCTTTCATAACACCACAGGTAAACTAGGGTGAACGACCAGAGACTGTGGACACCGTCTGACTCCTCGCTGGGTGAAGCGAGAACAGCACCCTCTGGTGATGGGCTGCAGTATAGGTCATAAACCCCGCCTCCTTATGGAGCTGTGGACAAACTTTATAAATGAATGACACAGAATATAAATGTTTCTCCCCCCTGGTTGTGATGTTGACATGTAGTTACTGTCAGACTGGTTTGTTCTCAAGTCCTCTTTTTTCTGTAGGCCACCCTTCGCCGAATGTGTACAACGCTACTGTGCAATGTTGGTTTCAGGAAATGGAGAAAAACGTGAAATTACCGAGAACTTTTCGGCTTCAAATCTGTAAACTGGAGGAAGGCGGAACCAAGTCGTCCGTAGTATAAACAGTCTATGGTGGTGACGCTCTGGAGGATGTAGAACATTCTAGAATATAAACGAACATTCCGGAAGATTGAAGACATTCTGAAAGACCAATAACAGTTTGTAACATCAAAGACATTCTTAAAGATCAATAACATTCTGTAACATCAAGGACATTCTAAAAGATCATGAACATTCCGGAACATTTGAGAAAATGTTGGACTTTTGGAAACTTACTGGAACAGTCCGGGAACATCTTTGACATTACCGAACCTTCCTACGAATTCCGAAGTCATCAGAACCGCTCTGACAGGTGATAGGGGGACACTGTCGAGTCCTCTGCTCAGCACCATAGAGTATATACAGAATGACAGGTGTAATCATCAGCTGACTGCAGAGTGACAGATTCACCCATTCATCCAAACATTCACTCATTCATCCAAATATTTACTTGTTTATTAAAAAATTCACTTATCAATAATAATGATTCTACAACGACTACTAATGATGATGATAAAAATAAACTATAATTAAAAATATTAATAGTATTAAGCATTAGTTTTTAAAAGATCATTGGCACTTAAATGAACACAGAGGTGAATTACTTGTGTACCTGTGTGTATTTGTGTGTGTGTATCCCCCCTGCTGGGTCGGACTCCTGTGCCTGCTGTGCTGATAATCAGTGTGTGACGTCGGCTGGCTCAGTTCAGCAGGAACAGGAGACTGGTCTTCTGCTGTTTCTGTTCGATTTGATTTAATCGTTCATAAATAATTTCATGTTTTGTTTTTTCTGTCATGAAGATAAACTTGAGCTTCTCTGATTCTTGATTTTGTGTCTTTTTGTGTTTTTATTTACTTATTTTTCAGTGGATTTTTCAGCCCCCTCACCTGTGTTCTCTGAAGGTTCAGATTATTTTACACCAAACTTTGTTTTGCTGACTGATGACCTTTGTGTCTTTCCTGAGTCGATATAGATAATCAGAGAAAACAGAAAAAAAACCATGAAAAAACAGTGTAAAAGAACAGCCAATATTGTTTCTACATATGATCAAAGAATAACAAACTTATGTTGGAGGGACTGCAAACAAATTGGAGATCATTCACAAACTGTATTTTCTGGAAATGCCAAAAATTAAAACCTTACAGGCAAAGCATCCATTCGGAGCAGTGTTGTTTTCGTTGACGATGACATTGATGAAAATATTTCGTTAACGTCATTGTCAACGAAAACAACACTGATTCAGAGATACTATCCATACTAGGCATTGACATAAATCTTGACCCCAGTGGGCTTCGTGAATAACCAGAAAAAATTTATATTGCATACACTCTTACTGATAGCAAGACAGATGGCAGATAGCAAGACCTTGTCTTTGCGCAACCCACATCCACCCACAATACAACAATGGCATAAAAAGATAATCTCTACCTACTCAATGGAAAAGATAACGGCTAAAATACAACTAACATTTGACAGATTTTTGAGAAGATGGAACCGTATAATTGTCTATTTCAAACTATCAACTTTAACTCTCGATACCTATATTTACTAACTGACCAAATCCAGGGTATTTAAACGGTTAATAGAGAGTTCAGAAGAAATTAGCCTTATTACAAGATGGCTTTTTTTCCTTTACGTGCTTATTTTGTTTTATATGTATGTGAACGATGGCACAATTGTGTATGAATTTAGGTGCACACTTGTGAATGTGTTTGTACTCATGTGTGGGTGTATGTATACATACTTAATTGCTAAGTTTGGACCAAGGTTTACTAAGGCCAAATATATGACGCCTTATCTTTTCTTTACTGTGTATTAATTTACCTACTTTATCAGGAGGAGAAGAGATATTTTATGAACTACATGGAAATGCTGAATCTATGAACCGTAGTTTGAATGAGTTTGGATATTTGTGTAAACGGGTCAACCACAATTAATTTGTATATCCACCTTTAATAGGGGCCTAATGAATTATATTACTATTTTCAGGATGAAGTTTAATTTTCTTACTGTTTTTCATTAAACTGAAAAAGGAATTAGAAAAATTATTGAAAAAATTGTGTGAAAATGGTTGAAGATGGAGGACACTCAGGAGTCTGCCACAATACTGTGCACATTGGGTACTATATATATATATATATATATATTTTTTTTTTTCTTCTTTTTTTCTCCTTGTGTGACTCTGATTTTGTGTATATTATTTTGTATAATTTATATTTATACAGAAAATGAAATTGTTGTACTCTGTGGCAAATGGAAATAAAAACTAAATATGTTGGGAAAAAAAACGTAATTATTATTAACAAAGTAATTTCGTTTTTATACTCATATCTGATTGTTGCTATAGTAACAGGTGGTCAGTCTATCCTCGACAGTCACTCCATCTTGACGTCACTGAGGTAAACGAACGTCTGTCAGCGCGCTTCCTGTGTTTCCCGGTTGCCATGGCGACGGCTAATAAACGCTCGGCAGTTACTCGCTGACATGCGGCTGGGAGCAGAGGTTCCGGGTGTTTGTCCTGCCAGGTGGTTGCCGAGGCAACGGTGGGAGGCTGTCACCACCTGAGAAAAGAGCGGGCTGAGTGTAAACTGGATCAGAAATAAACTTTAAACTCGACTGAAGATGTAAAATAATCTTTGTTTTTATGTCAGCAGAAAAACCTCCAAACTCCTCAAACAGAGACCTGAGTGTCTTTTTCTCAGACTGAGTTTTATTCTTTTAATTATCACTTTATTTTCATGTTTTCTGATTTGTGAGTATTTTGATTTTATGACTCCGGCTGAAACAGACAGAGCGGATCTGTCCTGCTGTGTTCTCTTCTGTCCTCTGACTCACTGTTCAATAAAGTTCATTTTTAAAAAAAACTCGGCGGTCTGATCAGCTCCTTCTTGTCTTTGTAGTTTTAAAGGTTTTTATCTTTATGTCTCCGAGTTTATCTGTCTGTTCACCTGCACCACACTCCCACGCTCTGCTCACCTGGAGGGAGTTCCCATGGCGACATAACAAGTAAACACAGGTGGAGATAAAGAACAGGTAGGCTGTAGCACACACACACGCACACACTGAACTCAGCCAATAGGAAACCACAAAGAACTGAGAGGAACTGTCATTGGCTGGTTCTCAGTTCAAAGTCTGCACACCGGGTGTTCAGTGTGTGTGTCTGTGTGACGTCAGCACTGAGGGCGTTCCATGTCGCTTGTGATTCAGGGGGCTCTCAAAGTGCGGTCCCTAACCCACCGACTCGTCAGGACTTCCCCGTTTAGTCTCTTTGCTAAAGAAATGAGTCAAAGTTAAAAAGATGTTTGGTGTCTAGTACTATGTCTGTGACCCTGTATGTCCTGTTGATGAAGTTAGGTGCTGTTCTGAGCATTATTTGTGGCTATAGAGTGGCGTTTTGGTTGAGGGCGTGGCTCTCTGTATTGCTATCCTGCGGTCGTTACTAAAGTTGGTATAACTAGAGAAGCAATCTCTAGTTATACCAACCCCTCTGGAGGAGGTGTCTAACTCGATGTTACGGTGTGTTTGACCCTAAATTAATTTTCTTCGTCGTTTTCTTCCGCTTCATCTGGGTCCGGGTCATGGGGGCAGCAGCTTCAGGAGGGAAGCCCAGATGGCCCTCACCCCAGCCACTTCCACCAGCTCCTACGGGGGGATTCCCAGGCGAGAGATATAATCCCTCCACCTGGTCCTGGGCCGGCCAGGAGGTCTCCTCCCGGTGGGACATTTCTGGAACACCTCTAACCGGAGGCGTCCAGAAGGCGTCCTAACCAGATGCCCGAGCCACCTCAGCTGACTCCTCTGGACGTGGAGGAGCAGCGGTTCTCCTCTGAGCGCCTCCTGAGTGTCCGGTCTTGTTCTTTCGGTCATTACCCAAAGTTCATGGCCATAGGTGAGGGTCGGCACGCAGATCGACCAGTCTTCCCATCTCTGCTAAAGCCGCTCCGATCCGCCTGTCGATCTCCCGCTCCATCCTACCCTCACTCGTGAACAAGATCCCGAGATACTTGAACTCCTCCACTTGAGGCAGGACCGCCCCTCCGACCTGGAGAAGGTGATCTACCTTTTTCAGACTGAGGACCATGGCCTCTGACTTGGAGGTGCTGATTCGCATCCCTTCACACTCGGCCGTGAACCGTCCTAACAAGAGCTGAAGGTCACTGCTCGACAAAGCTAAAGGTACCACATCATCTGCAAAAATTAGCGACACGATCTTCTGCCTGCTGAACTGGTCACCCTCCACCTCCCGGCAGCGCCTAGAAATTGTGTCCCTAAAGGTTCCGAACAGAACCGGGGGAAAAGGGCAGCCCTTAATTTTACGCCGGAATATCCCTTTAAGTCTTATGAATATGTAATAAAGTGAAATAAATATGTTATTAAATGTCAGACATGTAATGAAGCGTCCTCTGAGTGTTGTTTCAGTTTATTGTCGAGATCATGGCGCCGTCACTCTTTACCTCCAAACGTAAACATTTCAAACATCAGCAGAGTCACATGATTCACTTCCTGTTTCAATGAAAAGTTCAAATATTTACTGCAGGAGAAAATCAGAAAAAGGCCTGATGGACCCAAACGTACAGACTTCCTTCTCACCTGTAACAGGTAACACCGAGTCACTCAGAGAAATAAACTAACTAAAGATCAACCCAGAGCCACACCAATGACCCCTGACCCAGAAATAAATAATGCAGCAGGAGGAAAAAGGGGTTGGGGGTGGAGAGACAGAGACAGAGAGGAGAACAGGGAGGGGTGGGGGTGACAGCTAAGTCCTGGACCCTCAGAGTCTGTTTTTGGTACATGCAGCGTGCTGTTAACGTGACCTGACCAGAGGGGGAGTCAGAGGAGAGTTTGGGGGTTTGAGGGTGTCTGATAGTGTTTCAGAAACATGGAGAAACCATCACCGCTAAGTCCCAATCCATGAGGCGTTCAGGAGCGGCGTAAATCGTAGCACTTCCTGTTCGAGGTTTAGAGTACCATCAGAACTAACAACAACTCGCCAAAGAGACCCCCCCACCACCACCGCAGGAAGACGCTGCTGCTCGCCGCTCCTGATCCAGCATTTTAAACTCTACTCCTTCTTCTTCATGGCGCTCAGCTTGTCGGCTTGACGGGCAAATGTCTCCGCCACGATCAGAGGGAAGACCAACGAGGCGTCTGCGTACACCTGAGAGACGGAACAGGTGTGTGAGTGACATGTGGTACGACACACACACACACACACACACACACACACACACACACACACACACACACACACACACACACACACACACAAACACAGACAGAAACATCTGCTGCATCATCTGACTCAACACTTAGCATATACTGCCCTCTAGAGGTCACAGCAGGAAGGACATCCACTCTCTCTCTCTATTTATCCAAGCACATCCTCTCTCTCTCTCTCTCTCTCTCTCTCTCACACACACACTCCTGTCTGCATCAGATTGAGTCTCAGGTATCCATCGACTCTTCTTCAACAACAGGATGTGACTAAAACAAACGGCGCCGCCGCTCGCCTGAGTCTGAGGAAACACTTTGCGAAGGTTAATATGACCTTTGTAAAGGTCATCGTTACCTTCACGGGCTGTGCGTCCGCTTTGATTTTTCCCCAGGACACGGCCTCATCGGGTCGAGCTCCAGAGTCCGAACCGTCAAACTCATTCCCCGTGTTCACAAAGACGGCGTAGTCGGCGCCATTTCTCTGCAGGAAACATCAAATTCAAACGCTGATACATGAATTTAACGATTTTACACGGACTCCTTATAGTCAGTCTGAAGGAATGAGGATCATTCTTTACCATCAGGTTAGCGTTGGAGATGTGATGTTTGACCACGCCTCCTCCCAGGATGATCATCCCTGTCCTCTTGGCGAACACTGAGTGACTGTTCAACCTGCGAATGTCTGACAGAGAAACAGTCCTCACTAACCCGGACACACAAGAAAACACTAAAGAGTCAAAAATAGTCTGGAGAGAAGAGCCGTCAATCATTAAGGAAACTCTGTCCTCTGTCAACATCAGAGAGAGAGTCTGTTATTCTATTATAGACATAGACTGTTATAGACTGTAAAAGACATAGACTGTTATAGACTGTAAAAGACATAGACTGTTATAGACTGTTATAGACATAGACTGTCATAGACTGTCATAGACTGTTATTCTGTTATAGACAGACTGTTATAGACTGTTATTCTGTTATAGACAGACTGTCATAAGCATAGACTGTAATACACTGTTATAGACATAGACTGTTATAGACCTACACTGTCATAAACATAGACTGTTTTAGTCTATTATACACATAGACTGTTATAAACTGTTAGATGACTGTTATAGACTCTTACAGACAGACTGTTATAGACTGTAATAGACATAGACTGTTATAGACATAGACTATTATAGACTGTTATAGACATAGACTGTCATAGACTGTTAAAGACTGTTATTTTGTTAAAGACTGATACTCTGTTATAGACATAGACTGTTACAGACATAGACTATCATAAACATAGACTGTTATAGACATAGACTGTTATAGACTGTTATTCTGTCATAGACATAGACTGTTACAGACTGTTATAGACTGATATTCTGTTATAGACATAGACTGTTATAGACTGATATTCTGTTATAGACAAAGACTGTTATAGACTGTCTATAACCATCTTAATCTTACCCTCCACTATATCCAGCACCAGGCCGGGGTTCCTGTAGGAGTGGAAGTAGATCATGTCTCCCATGGACCCATCAGTCAGAGCGGGGCTAAACACGGGGATGTCGTTCTAAAACAGACAAAACAGAGCTGTAAACACTGAGGTGTGTGTGAGGGTGTGAGTTCCTGTCTTTAACAGCATGTCTCACCTTGTACGCCCAATAATACACTGAATCAGGATTATTGATCTCTTTCCCCAGACGATGGATCATTTTTGATGGAGTCCAGCGAACGCCCTGAAATCAATAACAAATAACTGAAGATGATCAAAAATGTATCAATTTCTGAGAAGAAAACTACAAACAATTCTACAACTTATCAGATCAACACACAAACATGCAAAGAGCCACACCTCTGTGTTCTGCTCCAGTACCATCTGGTCCAGGATCGGCATCAGCCAGTCCTCAAACAAACAGTAGTTGTCATTGGGCACCAAAATGTTCCCGATCCTGATCCGACCAGAACCAGAACACAAGAGAGGTTAGGGACAAACAGACACAGATACAAGCATCTTCATGCTGAAGACTTTGGTTCTTTGACCTTTCCTGGGGTCCACAGGAGGACCAGCTGTGACAGTATCGGGTTTTTCTCACCTGTTGATTCCTCTCTGTCGGAGCTCTTTGCCTGGCAGGTTGAAATCTCCAAGGTAAGCGCTCGCAAGACACTTAATGATGTCCTCCTCAATGCCCCCAGCTGTGGTAACTATGACGTCCACCTGCCACAGACGACCATAGTCAATTCATTGTACCAGACTCTGACCCTGGACCCCTGACCGAGCCCTGTAACATCTACAGTAACCATGGTAACATTTACAATAACATCTACAGCATTATCTACAGTAACCATAGTATCATCTACAGTAACCATGGTAACATCTACAGTATCATCTACAGTAACCATAGTAACATCTACAGAATCATCTACAGCATCATCTACAGTAACCATAGTAACATCTACAGTATCATCTACAGTAACCATAGTACCATCTACAGTAACCATGGTAACATCTTTACAATAACATCTACAGCATCATCTACAGTAACCATAGTACCATCTACAGTAACCATGGTAACATCTACAGTAACCATAGTACCATCTACAGTAACCATGGTAACATCTACAATAACATCTACAGCATCATCTACAGTAACTATAGTATCATTTAAAGTAACATCTACAGTAACATCTACAGTTTCATCTACAGTAACCATAGTAACATCTACAATCACCATGGAGAACATCTACAGTAACATCTTCACTGACATCTCCAAGTGGACTTTAATTTAAATCATATCTACGGAAGTTTGATGCTGTGTCTGCCTGATCTGTTACGGCCTCACCAGTGTGACATCTATCATAGACATAGATATATCTTCTGAATCTATCTCTGGTATCGTTGTCAGTCGTACCATTTTGTGCTGGGCCAGGTAGCGGATGCTCTCTCTGATCCCTGAGCTGATCAGGTTGGAGGTGTAACCCAAGAAAATGGTGCAGCCCAGCTTAGGCTCCACCCCCCCGATGTAGTCATTCTCCTCCTCCGCCTCCTGAGGCTCCAGACGCTTCTCGATCTGAGGGAGAAGAGAGCGAGACTAAGAGGAAGAAAAAGCTGCTTACCCTACAGTGGCTAATTATATCTGCATGAAAACGAAATGTATGAAACAGTGAACAAACATGAGTGCATGAAACTGGACGCAGGTAAGTCATGGAATTATAAGACCCAGACTGAATGAAATCATTATTATGTGGCGTTCACACCAAGTGAGGATGAAATGAGGGTGTAATAACTGTCATTAGTCAAGGACTTTAGAGAATTACGTTTGTTGTTCTACATACATTTGGGAACAATTCTTACCTTCACTCTTCATCCTTTCTTTACGGTCAAAGCTCTTTTTGATGGTATGATGTGATTTTTCTGTCATGTCTGTAAATGTTACTGAACATATTCTAAATGTTGCACTGAAGCTTAATTTGAAGGGAATCAAAATCACAGTATCTGCCAGAAAAAATGACAATTTGATCTTTCCTAAAAACCGTTAAGCCCTACTGAAAACATGCCACAGACACCAGACTGTCCCGACTCAAGATCAGAGCGTCCTGTTTGAAAACACTGTCAACCTGACCCCAACCCCACACAGTGGACCTTCAGTGAACCCTGACACCCACAGTGGGTCACATAGTGGACTCTTACCATGCGGTTGATTTCCTCGATGGCCAAACCCAGCCTGCTCGCCTGGAAGCCGGTGGTCAGGTAGGTCTTCAGAACCGCTTGGAGGTCCACACCCTGGTTGAAGTCGTAGCCTCTAATGACCGGAGTTCCATCAGGGAGTTTGCAGCTACGCTTCAGCACCGCCGCCGTGGCCACAGATGGAGCTTTGTCCGCCATTTTCCCCCTAAAATCACAACATGCTGGTCAGGGTCTCTTAGAAAAGCTCAGATGCTGCTGCTAACATCTAATTCAGAACTTTAAGAAACACCAAACCCAGAAGATTCAAACTCTGTACTAACACAGAACCTACGCTCTCACTGTTATGCTGATGACATCCAGATTTACCCCCCGATTTCTCCAAATACTCCAGCTGCACTAAATTCCCTCTCTCAGTGTTTAGAGGATGTAGATTTTGTGGTTGTCCTGCACTTGATGCTTCCACGCTTTTATCAGTTCCAGATTCCATTATTATTATAATTATTATAAATTCTATTATTATTATCATCATTATCTTTTAGTTATAACAATAATCATAATAATAATAATTATTATTATTATTATAGTTGTTGTTATTATTATTATAATCATTATTATTTCCATTATTATTATTATTAGTATGTAAAAATAAAAGGTGGGGGGAGAATAACACTGTTCTTGTTCCAGAATGTGCCCCCACCCCACCCCCGTCAGATTACGTAATGATTACCTGCGGCTCACCTGTCCAGATGTTTACAACCCCCCCACCCCACAGGACAAACAGCTCTTATGTAACTCTGAAGCTATTTATGCTAACAGGCTCCGCTCACATCTGAGACTCTAAAGAGTTTATTTTAACTTCATAGTGAAATAAAGTTAATACATTGAAATGAGACGGTCTTTATTTGTCGGTCTGTTGTTAAAATCAGTTTAAATCAGTTTAAATTAGAGAACATTTTCAGGTTTTTAAAGAGTCAACACAGCGGCTAACGTTAGCAGGCAGGCTAGCATCAGAGAGCCTAGCTATGTGTTTATCTTTAACTTTAATCCTTTAGAAATATTTAGAGACAGATTTTGATTCTCACCTGTTCTCAGCTGTGTATCAGGTGTTGCAGGTGTTCCGGCAGTAACGTCCGTAATGTCAGCAAACGCAGAAAAAACGCCTTTTAAACATTAGCATGTCGGTAATAACACATGTTCCCCTGCGGCTAACCAGCTCCGACTACGGGAAAGACCGAGGGACAAAAACACACCGAACCGCGATTCATTTCTGCAAACAGTCCAACCCATAGACTGGTCCAACCCGGTCCAGGAGGGTCCAAAATACTGGATTAAATGTAGACATGGAGCAGGGGCGGAATGGGACCATAATTTAGGACAGGAGTTTGACTCTTCAAGGAGAAAAGGAGGATGACGGTCATCTGGTGAGGAGGATGAGGAGCGGAGAAATGAGGAGATTCACCCTCCCTGGGAAATGGTTCGAGGTTCATAGAGAGATAAGACCAGGGTTCGGATTTCTCTCCGTGGAAATGAGGGCGGATGGAATATGAGAGTGGACCCAACTGTGAAGATGAAAACTTCTAAGATGAAATTAAAGTCACCGCGTGGATATGGTGGCGTTAAAACTGCATTAAAAAAAAAAGAAAAAGGAAAGAATGACAGGAGGAATTTTTTTAAAAAGGAAAAAAAACTCAAAAAAGGAAAGAAAAAAATTTGAAAGGAAAGAAAAAAATTTAAAAAGCAAAGAAAAAAGGAAAGAAAAATAATTAACAAGGATTTAAAAAAAAAAAAAAGATTAAAAAAAAAAACTGAAACTGTATTTTGACATTAAAAAAAAACAAGAATCGACAGAAGAAAAGTTAATTTGTAGTCCACACATTTGGGCTGTTTTTTTTACTCCTTTTTTACTCCCTTTTTATCTGACCTCAGTATGAAGAGGTTGTTCACACTGCTAGATGTTTCCCCCTTTTAAAGCTGCTCTCTGCCTCCGTCATTGATTACTTTAATTACAAAGCACGTAGCAAGATCGGAGCATGAATCTGATAACTTTATAGGCTGATCAGATGCAGACGGGTATGATGATTTGATTCACCACGACACCAGAATTGGTACAAATTTGCGTATCTGCGCTGACCTGGAGTTTGTTTTAATAATAATAATAAAATTAAAGTTTGAAACACTGAATCCTGTTTATTTAACTATCACAGTTTTTTAGACATGAATCTTTTATAAACCTTAAACATATTTCATGAAGTCACAGTAAACAGGAGTAAAGCTGATAAAAACACAACAGAGAGACTGACTTGTGGACCCGGGGCCACAGCAGCTCAAACGGACTTTAAAGATTCTGCTTGAAGAGGTTCAGAGATCACCTGGAGATCTGAACCATCGAGAACCGGTCAGCACAGAGGGTACTGACATTTCCACCGACTTCCTGTCTGACTGACCTTTAACATCAAACACACACACACACACACACACACACACACACACACACGCACGCACGCACACGCACACTCCACCCTCTCTACAGGTCTATAAAAGCAGCAGCTGGTTCGAGGACAGAAGGTTCCCTCTGCAGGCTAAGGTGGAGACCTGCTGTTGTAGTTCTCGGTTGTTTGTGGCGTGTTGTGTGTTTCCAGGTGGAGCAGGTGGAGGTGATGATGTCTGGGAGGACCTGCAGCAGCGGTCATGTGGTTCAGGCTCAGAAGTTGGTGGATCAGCTGAGAGTGGAGGCGGGCATGGAGAGAATCAAGGTGTGTGTGTGAGAACCTCCAGGCAGGTATTCATTCACTCATTCATATAAACTTACCTTCATTCATTCATTCACTCACTCACACACCTGTCTGCTCTACTGTTACCCACAATCCCTCTGTCCCTCAGATCTCGCTGACGGCTGCAGACCTGGTTCGGTTCTGTCAGGATCACAGACGCAGTGACCCGCTACTGACCGGGATCTCCGCCTCCTCCAACCCCTTTAAGGACAAGAAGACCTGCAGGCTGCTCTGACCCCCCAACCTGAGGAGGGACGCTTCACCTGGTTACCATGACGACCCATCTGTGAGTGTCCAAGGACGGAGGACAGACGGAGGACAGATGGAGGACAGACAAAGGACAGAGGAGGAACTGAGAACAAACAGACAGAGGACAAACTGAGGACAAACGGAAGACAAGTGGACAGATGGAGAAAAGAGGACAGATGGAGGACAGACACAGGAAAGAGGACAGATGGAGGAGAGAGTAAGAACTGAGGACAAACAGTCGGAGGACAGATGGAGGACTAAGGACAGATGGAGGACAGGCACAGGACAGAGGACAGACAGAGAACAGACGACGGAGGACGACAGAGAACAGAGGACAGACAGAGGACAAAGGACAGTGGACAGATGGAGGACAGACTAATGATGGACAGACGAAGACAGATGAAGGGGAAGACAGACAGAGACCAAGGACATTCGAAGGAAAGAGGACAGACAGAGAACAGACAGAGGACAGACAGGGGACAGACGTGTCTCTGATTTTAACCCTCCCAGACTTTAGTTGAAGTGAAGACAGCAGAGACTCTGTTAGAGTGAGAGACGCTTTAATGTGTCTCCAGGAGAGCAGGAATAAACACGCACACACGCACACGCACACACACACACACACACACACACAGATAAATAGAGGTTATAGTGATCAGTGTGTTTGAATAAAGTCTCTGTACAGTCAGTCTTTCATCATCATCAGTGTCTCTTCATCGTCTCTCGTCTCCTTTAAACAGTTTTTATTTGGACTCTGAGTCTGAGATCATTAATAATCAAAACAGAGAAATCTGAATAAACGACCACAGGATCCCTTAGACCAAGACCAGGACAAGGACAAAGACAAGGATCAGGAGCAGGTCCAAGACCAACACAACACCAGGACCAGAACCAGAGCTGCCCGTCATCTTCCTCTTCACTTCTTCGGCCTCCACACCTCCACACACATGTCACCTGACGCCACGGCCAGGACACCCGCCTCCACGCTCAGCTGGGGGGGTGAGAGAAAGGAGGGGGGGTCATGAGTGTGTGTGTGTGTGTGTGTGTGTGTGTGTGTGTGTGTGTGCGTGTGTCTGAATGTTGGACTCACTCCGTTGACTCCGGCATCATGATGCTGAATGGACAAAGTCTTCGGAGGAGACGACGGGATATGGACCTGAAAGACAAGAACCAATCAGAGCGTCTCCGTCTGCCACACAGTCGACTCATTTAGGCTCCTCCTACCTTGACGGTGCGGTCGGATGAACAGGTGTACAGACTCCCAGCTGACCTGTGGACACCTGTGATCATCCCTCTGTGTCCCACGTCAAACCTGGACACGGGTTCCAGTCTCCCCCCCTGCATGGAGAGGCAGTGGATCATCCCGCTGTTGTCCCCCGCCCACACCTCATGACCGCTGAAGCTCATGGACTGAAGGTACGAGCTGAGCTGCAGAGAGGCCGTAAGTCTTTGAATAGAGGGGCACCACAAAACACACACACACATGTACACACCTGAAAACTGTGTGTGTGTGTGTGCGTGTGCGCACGTGCGTGTGTGAAGGCCCACCCACCTGAAGTCTCTTTAACTCTCGGCCCGCCCTGCGGTCGTAGACGGCCGCCGTACTGTCTTTACTCCCAGAGATGATGAACCTGTCATCTGCGGCGAGGCACATGACGGCGTTACCATGGAGACGGATACTTTTCACCAGGGGCTGAGCAGCTGAGAACACAGACGTGAGGGCGGAGTCATCAGGTATGTCAGGTCAGGTGTTCTTGTTATGATGACATGAATGTTCAGGTTATGAATGAATGAATAATGGCGTTCGTGTCTGAAGGTGGCGCTCTCTCCTCACCTCGAGTGTCGTACATGTTGACCCTCTTGTCGTAAGTCCCGGCCAGCAGGACGTCAGTCTGACAGGACAGACAGAGGACCGCGGCCCCCGCCCTGATGAGACCCCTCTTAGCTCCGCCCGCCTGCAGGTCCCACAGCCTCACCGTACTGTCGAAGCCCCCCGACACCAGCTGATGATCCCGGGACGCCAAACACCAGACCCAGCCGCGGTGCGTGCTGAAGTCCCCCTGACCTCCGAGCGTGTGCAGCAGCGACACTCCACAGGCCGCCTTCAGGTCCCACAGCTTCACGTTCCAGTCTCTGGAGCCCGTGGCCAAAACGCCACCGCCCCCGCCCAAGAGGAGGACCGAGTTCACCTGAGCAATGTGGCCTGAAGGCAGAGGGACGCACTCCAGCGCCGGGGGCGGGTCCAGATGTTCCTCGATCTCTGCTGGTCCTCCATTCTCCTGATTCCCCACCATCCCCTCCGCCTGGGGGTTTGGAGCGCCATCCTGTGGCGGCCTCGCCTGTTCCCTCTCGCCCTCGTCCTCCTGCGTCTGTTTGACCCTCAGGTTTGGTCCACCTGTCCAGCAGGTGATCAGCTGTTCCATCTCCACGCAGGCTGAGGGCCAATCAAAATCCTCCCTCGGCCCCACAGGAAAGGAGGCTCTGGATCCGATGAGTCGGCTCGCCCGCAGCTGCCACGCCGTGCTGTCCCGCCCCACGTCCTCCAGAGCGTGACAAACCTGAGGACAACAGGGACACCTGTCTCAGATGAGACACCTGCAGGACCCTCATAACGCAGATCTAACAACCATCAGGTGAACTTAGACTAGAACTGAGACCCTCTGAGGGGTCACCTGACTGAGAGGAGGAGGAGGATGATGAGGAGGAGGACAAGGAGGAAGAGGAGGAGGAGGAGGAGTAGAAGGAGGAGGAGGAGGAAGAGGAGGAGGAGAAGGATGAGGAGAGGAGGAGGAGGATGAGGAGAAGAAGGAGGAGTATGAGGAAGAACAGGAGGAGGAGGAGGAGGAGGATCATCTTCAGATCCATCTGAGTGAAAAACAAAGGACTATTAGAGGAGTAAGGAGACGTCACCTTTGGAAGAACGTCGAGGACACACTGAGCGGGAAGATGAGAGGCGATGTTGGTCAACATCTCCCACGGCAACGACAACAAACCGCCGGGGGCCTCAGCGGGGGAGGGACTGAGGTCCACCGAGAGCGAGGGAGCAGGAGGACGTAAACTGAAGGACAGGTGAAGACAAACATGTGTGTATCCATGTGTCAAAGAGCAGATTGGAGGAGCTGGAGAAGGTTTGACTCTCTTGAATCCACACTGACCTCCTCTCAGGTGACACAGCAGCCTTACCTGGACAGGTCAGGGGTCGAAGCTTCACATTGTGACGTCCCCCCATCAGGTGAAGGTCCGTCTTGGTCAGGGTGTGTCCTCCCCTCAGACAGCTCCATAACCAGCTTCACAAACTACGCCCACATCACCTGAAGACACCTGAAGAGAGCTGTGTTTGTGTCTTCAGTGACTGTGATGTCCACTGACTGAAGAACACTCTTCTCTTCTCCAGAGGAACATCAAACTCTGATCAAATGAACATTTCAAACTCACGGTGAAGCTAAAAACGATCAGTTAGTCGTTAAACGGAAAAAATAAACGGAGGAAGCCGAAGTTTTCCGATGATAGCCGAGTTAATGTTAGCATTAAATCCAACGTTTTGTCGTTGTTTCCATGTTTTTGTGTTTCAGCAGCTTTTGTTCTTGGACTAACCAGTATCTGATTTTCATTAATCCGGTTGACTTGATCTTGTTGTTTTAATAAAAAGATAATCTGACTCTAATCTTCTTCTTCTTTTCCGACAGTTTGGTCACACATTAACTCTCGTTAACGCCGCTGTCTTCACATTTACACAGATTATTTAAACACAGATTAAAAATTAACATTTAAAGATTTCTGATCTTTTAAAAAGGACTACGGACTTTCTCTCCTGTTAGCGACGGTAGTCAGAAAAAACTCCAACCGACATTTCCGGCGTACACTGATGTCGTCATCGACGTGCGTTTAACGTAAGGTCCGTTAGATTTTAAATTTCGATGAAAAAGAAAATCATCTTTTTAATTTTATTAACTTTTTAATTATATTTTAAAAAGCGTGGTCATAAGAAACATATTTATAGACATGAAGAAATTCTTAAAAGTAAAGTTTAAAGACATAAAACTTCATAAAATAATTGAAACATTACGGAGTATTTGGGCCACATTTAGAAAAATAAGACTTCGAGATTAAGGTCATTAATTTACAAGAGTAGGTCATTACTAACGTGGATAAAGTCGTAATCAAGTACTTCTATTATACTTATGGTAATGTGGTGCTGATGTGCCTAAAGATTAAAGTATCTCCTTGTTTGAGAAACAGATCTGTGATGAAATTAACTGAAACATTTGTCGTAAAAATTGAAATAAAATTAACTTTATGTTGGAACATTAAATCCGTTTCCAGTGTTTTAGTCCGAGTTTTTTTTTATAAATAAAATAAAGACCACATAACACTTTTAACTCTTTAGATATTGGATAATAAAACGGCTTTAACCGGCCTGTAGACATTTAGAGTGTTTCAGTCAAAATTAACATCAAACTGAATATTTTTATTTACAGGAAAATTTAATTTCACATTGACAACGGGGCAGAGGGTGTACAGTTGGGCAGGCAGAGGATCGCGTCGCTTCGTTTTGCTGATGATGTGGTTCTTCTAGCTTAGTCAAGCAGTGACCTTCGCTCCCTCAGCTGAGCCGCTGAGAACTTTAGAGACCACTCAGAGGTCAGAGGTCACCTTTGAGACTTTAAAATCAAACAGACACTCGAGAGTTTCTTAGAAAAGTTTATTCACCCCGAGTCACAAAATTAAATTAAGGGAGACGTTAAAAACATCCTGATGAACCGCCAAAACACCGCCATGACCTTTGGGAGTTCAACTCCAGCGCCGACCACCTGACTGGTTTGACTCTTCCCGAAGGTCCTTTTAAGACCAACGGCCCGCCGTGAGACCACGACCAATTCAAAAACTATGAACATTAAAGTTTAAAAATAAAAAAAAAGTGAGCAACAATCATAAAAAAAATAAAACGGTCACATGACCATAAAAAAACAAAAACACAACTGGAAAAAAAGGAGAATCTGATTTGATCTTTAAATCAGAGGAATAAAAAACAAAAACTAATTTCAACGACTTTCCGAAACATGCACGTACACACGCGCGCACACACACACACACACACGCACACCTGTCCAGCCTTCTGAGCGAGCAGCCGAGAATTTACAAGAAATTCTCAGACGCTGAACGACAAAAACCCTCGTGAACTCTGGGAAATCACACAGGCGGACCGTCAGTCTGGTGGTCGTCTGGAGGAAGAACCTGATTGGCTGAGCTCACAGTGAGGATGACATCATGAGGATGGAGTTTGATCACAGGTGAGAAACACAGACAGGTGAGGATCTACAGGTGAACCGGGCATGCAGGTGTCTTTGTAAGAGGAACCAATCACAGTTGGTCATCCTAGTCGTCATGGTGACAGCCATCAACAGTCTCATTATCAACTTCTCTGACGGTGTTTCCAGGTCAGTCCGTTTTTTTTTTGCGTTCCCCAGCGGCGGGCTCTCCTGACTCTATTTCAGTGTCACACCTGACCGCCGTCGTCGTCGCCACCTGCAGGTGTCCTCTCACACACACGCGCACACACACACACACAGATATGAGCCTGTAATAACCACAGGACAGCAGACTCCAGCAGCTGAAGTCCAGCAGGACGGCGGTCTCCACAGACCGTCTACAGTCCAAACGTGCGCTGAGGTCAACCAGGATGAGCGGGGACAGGAAGTTCTGGCGGTGAGGAGCTCAGTCCGGGGGAAACGAACTCAAAGTTCACATGGAGAAAAGAGAGAACATGGATGTGCACACTTCCTGCCCTCTTTCAAAATAAAAGCATGTTCAGCCGTAAGCCTGACCCCCCCCCCACATATATCCTGGACATGTACCTAACTGCACCCCCCTCCCTCCCTCCCTCCCTCCCTCACTTCCTGTCTTAAGAGTTTTCTAATCGAGGGTGAAGGCAGAAGCTCCGCCTCCTCGCCGTCTTAGGGTCCCTGCCCGTTGTCGGTGCGTTGGCGATTTGGTGAGGCGTTTAATCCCAGAGGAATAACGAAGATCCCAAGTAGACCCCCCCCACACCCGCCACCCTCCTCCCACCCTCCCTCACAGAGACACACGGGGCGCGAGGGGAAAGCGGGCGGTCCGCTGAGAGGAGGTTCAAATCCACGTCCGTCCCTCCAGCTCTGGCTCCTCCCCTCTCCATCTGGGCCGTGCAAAGAGTTCCCCAGAAACCAGAAACCCGCCCCTGAAAGAATCTGCAGAAGAAGAAGAAGAAACACGAAGGTTAAACCAAGAGACGGGAACCGGGTTCAAGGACTCGAACCTCACTCTGGATCAGAACATTATATGGGAACAAAGACTATCATCCTTCATCAATGAGCTGGGTGTGTCATCACGCCAGAGTCTCACAGTCATGGGGACACCTGAGGTCACCTCGCGGTCTTACCTGACAGATCTAAGTGGGCGGGTCCGAGTTAGACGCCGTAACAAGCGGACAGACGCTCCTTCAGCAGGGGAGGAAACTGCTCCGAGAACTGCTGCCAGTTCTCCTCGCCGACCTGCTCCTTAAAGCCGTGAAGGATCTGAAACACAAAGACGGAGGAGGTCAGGACGCCAACGCCATCGTTCATCACAGGACCATCGACAGAGGCTCCGCCCACAGACTCAGACTCACAGTCATCCTCAGAAATCAGTCAGATTTCGAATGTCTAAAAAAAAAGAGTCATCACAGTGTGCGCGCGTGTCACCTGCGTTACCTGTACAGCGTCTGCACACGTCACTCACCTTGTAGAACATGTCCCTCAGGTCGTCTTTGGGGGTGACCCAGGACGCCACAGCGTCGCAGAAGAAGATGAAGTCCTGCAGAGAGGAGACGGTTACTGCTGAGTCAGGGCGCTTCACATGAACACCATCATCTCACCTGAACACCGACTCACCTGAACAACCCCTGCCGGGTTCACCCCGATCATCACACAGATCCCCCTGAAGGCCGAGTCCTTCTCCTCGTTGTCTCTGATGTTCCTCAGCGACGTGCACCTGCCGACACAAACAGGTGTTCACTCTGATCAAACGGGTGCGACTCTAACCTGATACTCAGCTGCTTCCTGTCTGACAGGTCATGTGATCTCAGGTGTGACTCACCACGGTCTGATGAACTGCTGCAGCTGAGGGGCCACTTCCTGTGGACACACGAAGCCCAGCCGACCGATGGTGATCGCTGCAGGGAAAAAAACACACCGTCAGTCCACAGAGCACGCACACACACGCACACACACACACACAAATGTGTATATACCTGTGTTTTCCAGCAGAGTCTTGGGTGTGTTCGGTCTGTTGATGATCTCCACTAGGTGAGGTAAAACCACGCCCACATACGGCTGCATATCTGCACCTACACACACACATGTACACACACAGACACACAGCGTTGTTAGTGTTGTGGTTTATTAACGCTCTGCAGCGCCCCCTGCAGCACACATTCAACGCTGTGATCTGGATCAGAATCTTTAGGAACAAGTGGTTTCATCCTGAGTCAATGAGCTGGGTTTGTCATCATCTCCAGACACCCCCCCCCCCCCCCACACACACACACATTAAACACACACATTAAACACACACCATTAACTCTAAGTTCAGTAAATAAACTCCAAGGTCGATCATGAACTCACCCATCTGCATGGCGATCTCTCCGATGGCCCAGGTCGCGTTATTACAGACCGAGATAAACTCAGGGTTCAGATTTAGTCCAAGGATGGGCATGAACTCAGCTGGAGAGACACACACACACACACACACACACACACACACACACACACACACACACACACAAACACACAAACACACACACACACAGTTACCTCTCACAGTTCCAGAAGTGTCACTTTTATATATTTGAGTTTTTCCACTGAGAAATTCTCCGTCTTAAATCATCTGTGATTTTACTGAAATCTAGAAACAGTGGAGACCCTCACAGACCCCCCAACCCCCCACAACGCTGACTCAGGTGAGCTGACCCTTGACCCTGACAGGTGAGGTTGTTGTGTGTCCGACACTCACCGATACACGGTTTCACGTGAGGGAAACACGCCTTGGTCAGGTCGCCAAGGAGAGCGAAGGAACTCTGTCGAACCTCGGGCATCGTGTCCTGAAACGAACCGCACAAAACACACACCTGACTGTTACACACACCTGCACTTAACACACACACCTCCACCTGAAGGTGGTCTCTCAGGTGTTTTACCTGCATGCACTGGAACAGCAGCGTCATGATGTTGGAGCGAGCGACCAGCTGTTCGACGTGACCCCCCAGACCCTCGGCGAGTCCGCTCAGCAGGTCCAACGCCACGATCATGAAGTCCTTATCTGGAGCCTCGTACTGATCCGGCTGCTGGTTATACATCTGAACACACACACACAGTTAATAAAGTGTGTGTGTGTGTATATGTGTCTGTGTGTCATTGTGTGTCCTCACCATGGCCTGAGCTAAAGTCTTCTGGACTAAAGTCACACAGCGTTGGTAAACCGGCTCACAGTACGGCAGGAAACCGCTCTGCAGCGCCGTGGCGACCGAAGACAGACACTGAGGGACGGACGAGAGCGAGAGAGAGAGAGAGACACACTGTATTTTAGTGTGACAGAGAGTGGCAGGTTTTAATGTGACAAACTGAATCTCAGGAAGGGAAGGGGGAAAGGAGAGAAGGGAAGAAGGAGAGGAGAGAAGGGAAGGAGGAGAATCTAAAACTCACTGACCTCCAGCAGAGGGAAAAGGTCTTTGTCTTCGTCCTTCAACTCGTTCCACTTTGAGATCAGAGGAGGCATCAACTTCTGGATGAACTCCTGAAAAAGAGAGAGTGAAAAAAGAGAGAAGACGAAAATGAGAATAAAAAAAAAAAAAGAAGAGCATCAAAAAAGAGGGTGAACAAGAGAGAAAAAAAGAGTGAATAAAGAGTGAAAAAAGAGAAATAGTGAAAAAAGGTAAAAAAAAGAGAATGAAAGAGAAAAAAGTGAAAAAAGAGAAAAAAGTGAAGAGAAAGTGAAAAAGAGAGAAAGTGAAAAAAGAGAGAAAGTGAAAAAAAGAGAAAGTGAAAAAAAGAGAGTGAAAGAAGAGTGTGAAAAAAAGAGAGAAAGTGAAAAAAAAGAGAGAAAGTGAAAAAAAGAGAGTGAAAGAAGAGTGTGAAAAAAGAGAGAAAGTGAAAAAAGGGAGAGAGTGAAAAAGAGAGAAAGTGAAAAAAAAGAGAGAAAGTGAAAAAAAGAGAGAAAGTGAAAAAAAGAGAAAGTGAAAAAAAGAGAGTGAAAGAAGAGTGTGAAAAAAAGAGAGAAAGTGAAAAAAAGAGAGTGAAAGAAGAGTGTGAAAAAAAGAGAGAAAGTGAAAAAAAGAGAGTGAAAGGAGTGAAAAAAGAGAGAAAGTGAAAAAAGAGAGTGAAAGAAGAGTGTGAAAAAAAGAGAGAAAAGAGAGAGTGAATAAGAGTAAAAAAGAGAGAAAGTGAAAAATGAGAAAGTGAAAAAAAAGAGTGAAATAGAGAGAAAAGTGAAAAAAAAGAAGAGCATGTAAAAGAGAGAAAAAAAGGAGAAAAGAGAGTGAGTAAAAGAGTGAAAAAAGAACAAAAAGAGAAAAAGTGAAAAAAAAGAGGGGAAGACTGAAGGAGACAAAAACTGAAGGAGACAAGGACTGAAGGCGACAAGGACATGAGCGGAGACAGTCCGAGTCTCTTACCTGCTGGTTCAGATGGTGACCCACAGAGTCCGCCAGAGTCCCGATGGCGTCGTAGAGGATCAGCAGGTTCTTGTGTTGGTACTTCCCAAAAGCAAAGACCAGAGTGTCCAGGATGAAGCTCAGGTACGGGACCAGTTCAGTACAGGCCTCCTCCTCCAGGGTGGCAAAGGCACTGAGAAAGGGGGACAGGGTTAGTCCGGCTTAGAAGGACTCATCTGGACCAGGAGAACTCAAAGGACCAGGAACAGTGGATCAGAAGATAGTTTGGGAACAAAGTCTTTCAGGGTCCATCAATGAGCTGGGGTTTTCATCATCTCCACCAACAACAGCTGATCCAACAGCTGATCACTCACCTGCACGCGGCCTCCTGGACCCTCTTGTTCCCGTCCAGGATCCGTTTCAGGAGTTCGGTCATCAGGGGTTTGAGGAAGGAGTCTGGCGGCTGGGAGACGACCCAGTGAGCGTACCGACTCAGAGTCCAGCAGGCGATGGACCGGACCAGAGCTTTCTTATCACACAGACACTGGATCAGGTGAGGGATCAGCTCCGGCAGGTACTGGACCATACCCGTCATGCAGCCTGGGGGGGGGGACAGGAAGTACAAATGACGATTCATTAGCAAACTGTTAAAACACACAAACCATCGTCATATGAGAAATCCGATACTATGAATCTCCACAAGTCGTCCTTCAGGTCGTTATCTTTGTAATGTTTGTGTCTTTTATCAATCAGCATTTAACAATCAGACGGTCCACCATGTTGGATATATCGGTGAATCTGACGTCGCAACAACACGCTATCTGATTGGTCAGAAGTGGACACACAGTATGCAAAATTTTAGAAAAATCGACCGTGACCCGAAAAAATGCTGCAATATCGCAGGAAGGGAAAACGTCGCCGATGTGAATGCTTGTACTGACAGGATACAAAGAAGTCTAGAAGTAGATTTCCTCCTCTGGAAGGACACAATCTACTGCTTACATGTCTATGTTTCTGTCTTTATAGAGACAACTCGTTATCGCGCGATTGAACGTGAATCTGCGAGTTCTTGTGATTACAGCTGTCCGTAATCCGCTACAAAATTCACCTCACAAACAGATCCGGTAGGAATTGGCAGACGGTCAAAATCGCCATCGTTCCAGATGCGGTAGGAATCCGGGGTTACGGTTTCATGGTCGTGGTTCTGGTTTGGACCCGTTAGGACAGGTGAATACAGGGACCCAAACGGGCTGAGTTACCTTCAGCTATGGCCCCCAGAACCAGGATGCCTGACTCCTTGACGACCCAGTCGGGGTGGAAGAGCAGACCCTTGAGCAGCGGAAGCAGGTGAGGAAGCAGCTCGTCACGGAACACGTTGGCGAGGACGTCGAGCGCAGCTGCCGAACATTTACCTGCAGAGACAACAGACCGGGTCAGAACCACAGACCCACACACACCTGCTGAGATAAGGGAACCCCCCCAAAACCTGAAGAGAACTCACGCAGGTTCCAGTCCGACAGCGTGTCGTCATCATCGTCATCGTCTTCATCATCGATGTCCTCGCCCTCTTCGCCCTCGCCACCTTCGTGCTGCAGGGTCACCGTGCGGGACTTGTGGAAACGAGGCTTGATGTCCTGGTCGCTGTCTGGGACCGCCTCGTCCTCCTCCACGTCCCCCTAAAGACAGAACCAGACCTGAGACCTGAGCCAGAGTCAGGAAACACCTGTCCAGGCCCCGCCTCTGTCGGAGGGGCGGAGTCAGGAGTCTGATTGGTCCAGTCTGGACTCACCTTCAGTAAGATGATATCGATCTCTGAGTACTTCATCCCCTGGACCAGAATCGGGATCAGCCTGAAAACCACAGGAGACCTCAGACCACAATCCTTGAAACCAAGACCAGGGTTAGGGGTTTTTTATCAAGACCAGGATGGGGGACTTACTGAACCAGGTGTCCGGACAGCATCTCCTTACAGACGGGCTGCTCCGCTAACGTCAACCAGAACTCACAGGCCTCCAGAGCCACATTCTCATCAGGGTCCTGAGTCCTCTGCAGCATGTACTAGCAGACCGGAGACCAGAGACCAGAGACCGGACCAGAGGAGGAGGGAGAGAGAGAGAGAGTGAGGGGCAAACCACTGACACAGGAGAGAGAGAAAAAACTGAACCGGGTCATCTGGATCAGATATTTAGGAACTTTAGGTATCACTGTAGATCAATGAGCTGGGTGTGTCATCAAGTCCAGACGAACCCTAAGTCTGAGACCAGGTAAAACGGGTCCGTGGGGAAAACCTGACCGGGACTCACCTGGATGATGCTGTGCATGTGGGGGATGAGCCGGTCGATCCGGACCTCCAGTAACATGACCAGAGCGCGGCACACGTTCTTCCTGACCTCCGAGTCCTCGTCCGTCGCCAACGCAAAGAGACTCTACGGAAGAGAGAGAGAGAGAGAGAGGGACATTCACGAGAGAGAGAGAGAGAGAGGGACATTCACGAGAGAGAGAGAGAGAGAGGGACATTCACGAGAGAGAGAGAGAGAGAGGGACATTCACGAGAGAGAGAGAGAGAGAGAGAGAGAGAGAGGGACATTCACGAGAGAGAGAGAGAGAGAGGGACATTCACGAGAGAGAGAGAGAGAGAGAGAGAGAGAGAGAGAGAGAGAGAGAGAGAGAGAGAGAGAGAGGGACATTCACGAGAGGGACATTCACGAGAGAGAGAGAGAGGGACATTCACGAGAGAGAGAGAGAGAGAGAGAGAGGGAGAGAGAGGGACATTCACGAGAGAGAGAGAGAGAGAGAGAGAGAGAGAGAGAGAGAGAGAGAGAGAGAGAGAGAGAGAGAGAGAGAGAGAGAGAGAGAGAGAGAGAGAGAGAGAGAGAGAGAGAGAGAGAGAGAGAGAGAGAGAGAGAGAGAGAGAGAGAGAGAGAGAGAGAGAGAGAGAGAGAGAGGGACATTCACGAGAGAGAGAGAGAGAGGGACATTCACGAGAGAGAGAGAGAGAGAGAGAGAGAGACATTCACGAAGAGAGAGAGAGAGAGAGAGAGAGAGAGAGAGAGTGACATTCACGAGAGAGAGAGAGAGAGAGAGAGAGAGAGAGAGAGAGAGAGAGGGACATTCATGAGAGAGAGAGAGAGAGAGAGAGAGAGAGAGAGAGAGAGGGACATTCATGAGAGAGAGAGAGAGAGAGAGAGAGAGAGAGAGAGAGAGAGAGACATTCATGAGAGAGAGAGAGAGAGAGAGAGAGAGAGAGAGAGAGAGAGAGACATATAGAGAGAGAGAGAGAGAGAGAGAGAGAGAGAGAGAGAGAGAGAGAGAGAGAGAGAGAGAGAGAGAGAGAGAGAGAGAGAGAGAGAGAGAGGGAGAGAGAGAGAGAGAGAGGGACATTCATATGAGAGAGAGAGAGAGAGAGAGAGAGAGGGTGAGGGACATTTATGAGAGAGAGAGAGAGGGTGAGGGACATTCATGAGAGAGAGAGGGTGAGGGACATTCATGAGAGAGAGAGAGAGAGAGAGAGAGAGAGAGGGTGAGGGACATTCATGAGCGAGAGAGAGAGAGAGAGAATCCCAAACAGCAGTAGAAATAGAAACCCTCTCTCTCTCACCTCGATGAAGGTGTCGATGTTGTCCATCAGGGCCTGGGCTCTTCCGATGATGAACTGGTTCACACAGGCGACAGCGTGAGACCTGCAGGACCAGAAGACGCCGTTGAGTCAGTGTCAAGTCTGAGTATTAGGATCAGCAGGACCCTCAACCACTCACTCCTTATAGACCACCTTTAACATATGTACTTCTCATTGTCACACAGACAAATGTTAACAAACAGACAAACTAAACAGACAACACAACAGACACATAAACAAAAAACAGCCCTCATGTCTTGGTTCTGGTTCTGGTTCTGTACCTGATCTTTGGGCTGCAGTGTTTGAAGAACTGCAGGAACTTCGGGATCATGATGTTCAGCGGTCTGTTCAGAGCGTCGCTGTCCAGCAGCTCCGACGAGTCCTCGCAGATCTTCTGCAGCGCTCCGAATGAGCCCTAACACACACAGACACACACTTAATACATATTCACACAATTAACACAAAAACACACATTTACTAACACACAGACACACACAACTCCAGTTCCTGCTGAGGTCCGTTTGAGAACAGGAACCTTCTTCGTCCACAGGTCTGGACCAGCTAACAGGTTAGTATTTAAACAGGTCTGATTGGACGGTTGGAGGTGTGAGGAGAGGGTGGAGCTTCACCTCGCAGGTGTTGTAGTCCTCGGAGTTGAGCAGGTTGCAGAGCTGAGGCAGAAGCTCCGGCCATGTCTGCAGTTCTCCCTTTGAGGCGATGGTGGTGATCAGGATACCTGAGGAGACCCGGACAGGTGAGACCAGACGGCCGACACGGATTTACATGAACCTGATCTTCAGCAGTTCTGGATCAGACAGTATGAATACAGAACCTTCACAGAATTTCAGGTTTTAAAAGGTCTAATCATCTCCAGGGGGGCGGGGTCAGTTAAGGATAATTCGCCTACACGCTTTAACTCACCGATGGTCGCACGGATGAGCGGCGAGGGGTCTCCGATGCTGTTGAGACACTCCTGCTTGATGAAGTCGGCCACAGTCGGGGGAAAGTTCTGGTAATGAGCTTTGACATTGTTCTTCAGGATCAGACCACTCAGAGACCGGGTCGGCTCGTCTGCCGGGTCAGAACAAGAAACCGGGTCAGAAGATCAGAACCAAAGAGAGACGCAGTAAAGACCCGACATGTCAAACAACAAACCCTGAAACCTCTGAGGTCAGACAACCAGGAACTAAACAGACAGAAAATCGGGACATTACACCACATGAACACATGAATGACGTGAACACGTGAATGAGACCTGCAGCCTCTCACCTTCAGTTTTCAGCCGTGTGAGGACGAAGATGAGATAGTTGTTGAAGTCGGGGAACTGGTTCAGTTGTTCAAGTTTCTGACAAAAAGGTTAAGGATCACAGTTTGACCTTTGACCCGAGTTTGGATTCACAGTCAGAGAAGGAAGTTTACAGTAAGACACTGTCACACACACACTGACACACACACACACACACTGACGGTCTAACTGTCCTGAACATCAGGAAGCGTTAATACTCTGCAGCTCCCCCTGCTGGGCTGCTGGTGTAAAACATCAAAGCCCCCCCATCATCAGTCCCAGTGATCAGGATACTTGCTGAACGGCTCTCTGGGTCACCGTGTTCGGAGACTGAGAGTCTTTGAGCAGCTGGAGGACCTGCTGGAGTCCCTGCTCATCGGGGCGCCACTCCATCCTGACAGGAAACAGACAGACGACCAAAAATAACTTCAGTTTAACTAAAGCTGGAGGAGGAACCAGGAACCAATTCTTCGCTTTCAGAACTTATATGTATGTGTGTGTGTGTGTGTGGGTCAGGTGGTGGTTTGGATCAGACAGTATGAATACTGAGACCATCAGAGGAGTCAGGGAAGTTAACTGCATCATCTCCAAAGTGCTTCACCCTGATCCGTCAGTATAAAGATGAATCATCTCAGAGTTCTTTAGAAAACCAAAGAGGGACCAGAGTTCAGGACCTGACTGGACTGGGCGGTTATATGATTGTAATAAATTTCAGTTCAATCACAGTGATCAGCTGTCAGCATATTTACGATCAAACACAGCGGAAGTGTGCGTCACAACAGCCAATCAGAGTCTAGCTTTTCCTGCCCACTTCTCTAAGTGACAGGAATTAAGGTCCTTACACACCAAAAATATACAACGCAAAATTACGAAATATTCTGAGGCGATTTTGACGCGCCTGACTATACACATCAAGCCCGATGCAATTTTGTGACTTTCCGGGGGGAAAGGAGGGACAGCAGAGACCATCTTCAGGGTCTCTGAACTACAGACACAGACCTGAGGAGGGAGACCGGTTCCATACAGACATAAAGAGTCTCTGTGACCCGGATTACCCGGTCCTCAAAGGTTTACAGATTAAACCTCAGTCTAGACTTTAGCCCAGTGGTTCTCAACTGGTCTCACTCTGGGACCAACATTTTCCCATAGTCCTTAAGTCCCGAACCACTTTTATAGAATTCAGACCAAGCAAATTTATATTTTATAAAAATAAAAAAAACTTTAAGAGACTCTAATTTTTAACACAAATCCACTTGTTTTAGTGAGTTTATTTCAGAGCACATGAAGGGGAAAACATGAGGACGACAACTACTTAAGTTGTTTGTAGAAGAAATATCTAATAAATATCGCATTAAATATTTACTTTTTTGACCAGCTGTTTTGACCCACTTTTGGGTTGGGACCCACCGGTTGAGAACCATGCTTTAGACCATGTTAGCTTAAATCCATCTGTTTCTCATGTGGACCTCAAAGTTCTCCAACAGGTCCTTGAATTTCATGTTTTGAACATGATAATAATCTTGAGTGTTTCTCCCCCTTCAGGTGGAGGTTTACCTGAGGATCAGAGTTGGTCTTCGGGGAGCATGTTAGCATGTTAGCTCTGAGGTTAGCAGGGCCGCCTGTTAGCTGGTTGTCCTGTTGGTTAAAGTCGTTAAAATTCCCGCCCTCCGGAGATTTAACTCATAAAACTTCCCTTTAATTAAACTCCAAACTTGCTTCTCTGAGTTTAATCGGTTAAAGATTTAAACTAAAGTCCAAAGTTTCAAAGTTATCCTCCGTCAGCGGCCTGCTCCTCCGATCCGCTGCTCGCAACGTGCCCGGTGTTCCAACGAAAACTGCTTCCCAGCTACATGTGCTCCCGGAGATATCTGCGCAGGCGCGAACCAACATTCTGAGGCGTTAGATGGAGGACCCTGTTCTACGACAGTCCGGTTTCTGCGGTTTACTGACAGAGCGGAACACGCACACCTTATCTGCGTTAAACTCCCGCGATTTTGATTTTAAAAAAAAACGAAATAAGAACAAAAATAGATTTAACGGTTTTTAACGGTCACCTTTACCTGAAACAAGAGAAACACGTTCTTAGCGCGTTAGCCGGTCAGCTAACATGACGACCCCGATCCTACAACCGAAATTAACGGAACAGCGGAGTTCGTGATTAATAAATGATCGATAAAGAGGGTCTAAAATGTTCGTTAAAAGCCGAACTTTACCCACAATCTTCAGCTGAAGGATGAGTTCTTGGTTCTGGGCCGCTCCGCTCCGGCTCGTTTCGGTTCTTCTTGTTCCGATGAGCACGCCGACTGGAATTGACCCATGGCGGCTTCCGTTCAGGACTGCACATTCCCTAGCCACGCGAGAAGACACAAAGCTCCCGTTTGATGTTCGAGCCAATCACTGCGATAGTGTCACCTAGCGGGAAAATGTGGAAAAGCAGCCAATCACACTCCCGATGATTTAAAAAAATAATAATTATATTAAAAAGATTATAAACAAACAAATAAACTCCCGATGATTGTTACAAAAATTAATAATAATAATTAAAATAATAAAATAAACCTCCTGATTATTGTTAAAAATAATAATAATATTTAAAATGAATAAATAACTAAAAAATCTGATGACTGCTGCCCCTCTAACTATTGTGTAACGGGTTTTACATCACTGTAAGAGCCACAAATAAGGATTGAAAAAAAATAAGTTTAAAAAATTATTATAATAATTTCTCATGAAAATAGAGTTAATGTTCTGAAAATGAAGTTGTTGATTTAGTCAACAATTAGCCACTTTTTAAAATAATGTTGAATACACAGTGTGAAGGTTAAAACATAAACTGTTTCCCTAAAAATCAAAGTTTGAACCCAAGTCCTGAATCAGTAAATCTGCTCCTTCCTACAGTGAAAAACGAGCTCACACAAAGGACTGTCTAAACATTAAAAAATAGTTATTATTGAATCACTGTAACAGAACACAATTACAGAAATGTATGATTAGGCACATGCTTGTAAGAAAAATACATTTTAATGGTAATTTCAGAAAAATATCAGTTCTCATGTGAAAAATACAAATACACAGAACACTTGAGCAGAGATACAAATAAAGACTCTGAGATGAGAAAAACTATTATACATTATTACAATCAAAGTGCAATGTTTTAATGTACCAAATTAAACTTCCTGGATGTTGTTACTTCTGTTTTAATGAACAAACACTGAGATTAAATTTGGATTCATCTAGAACCCGGACTGACCATCGACCATTTTTACGTTGGCCTTCACAGCTGAGTCGGACGCTGCAGATCTGAAGTTATCTTCAGCATCTTCTTCATGGATGAGGTTTTATATGGAGGCCTGATGCTAAGTCATAATTATGAGTTAAATTTTTTTCTTTTTTACTTTTCCACCTTTTTTTTTTAAGTGGGGCTTTCATAGTTTTAGCAGGAAGCAGATCACAATCTGAAAAATCACCAACAAACAAAATCAAAAGCAAATAAAAAACAAGTTTTCTGCTCATTTATTAAACTCTCTTTCCACCCCAAGCTCCAACTTTCAATTGCAATTTATTTCAAGTGACGCTAAAATGAAAATCTATGTTTAAAAAACTTATAAACACTCCATTTATATCCCAAACACACACACAATACCTATAGCCACCCAAACTCTGCAGATACAGTAAATCCTTCTTCAGTAGCCGCTTAGTTAACACTTGATCAAACAGTACAAGGACCTTTTAGAGTATAACCCAGCGGCAGGTTGTCTGAAGGCCTGTGCCAAGCCTTGATGTGCATAATATTCAGGCCTGTGGTATTAATAACCACTCTGATGGGTTTTTTAATGTGCAGCATAACAGTCAAGTAACATCTGGTCCTTTGCATGTTAATAAAATACACTCAATGAATGGAACGAAAGCACTTTTCAATGTGATTCTGTGTTACAAGAAAGAATGACAAGGTGTGAAAGCATCATATAAATGTGCCCAATGTAATTGCATACTTCTTCAAATTGTTCCACATGTGAGGAAGGCTATATATAGACCCTATAAAATAAAAGTCAAGGAATGCACAGTGAGATGTGAGCTCGTGAAACACAAGACAATCATGTTTTTTTTCACATATCGCTGTCCTTTGTGGACTCGAGACTTTAAAATTCTCCTAAAACTAGGTAAGGTAGGACTCGAACCTATGACCTCAGGAGTTCCAGCCAGTGTTCTTATCCTCTGAGCCACTTGGACACACAGGATTATACCACTTGTTTCCTCTTTCACTTTCCTGTCTAGACACTAGATTTCAAAATTCACATAGAAGTGGGCAAGGTTGGACTCGAACCTATGACCTCAGGAGTTCCAGCCAGTGTTCTTAGCCCCTGCGCCACTTGGACACACAGGATTATACCACTTGTTTCCCCTTTCACTTTCCTGTCTAGACACTAGACTTCAAAATTCACCTTGTCCCAAAAAAGGCTCGAACACACCACCTCAGGAGTCCCAGACAGTCTCCTTATCCTGTGAGCCATGTGGACACACAAGAGAATTAGGTTCTTTTTTCACATATCGCTGTCCTTTGTGGACTCGAGACTTTAAAATTCTCCTAGAACTGGACAGGGTAAGACTTGAACCCACAATCTCAGGAGTACCAGTCAGTCTCCTTATCCCCTGAGCCATGTGGACACAGAAGACCATCATGTTTTTTTTTTTCATATATCACTGTACTTTGTGGACACTAGATTTCAAAATTCACTTAGAACTGGGCAAGGTTGGACTCGAACCTATGACCTCAGGAATCCCAGTCAGTGTTCTTATCCTCTGAGCCACTTGGAGACACAGGATTACACCATTTGTTTCCTCTTTCAATTTCCTGTCTAGACACTAGACTTCAAAATTCACCTTGTCCCAAAAAAGACTCGAACACACCACCTCATAGTAGGGTCTGTTAACCTGAAAAAATGGCCAAATTGTTATGCGGTGGATAAAAGCACCAAATTTGGTACACACATTCTTTAGGGTGTATCTCATCATCTCAGAAGAGGTGCCCAAAAATGTATGAGTGAAAATGGCTCAAATGGAGGTCGTATACCTGACCCAGTACAAAAGTCTCTCGTTGATTTATTTAGCAGGAAAAAGGGAGTCGATCTCTGCTGCTCTGAAACCACATCTGAGTCCAAAAACAAAGACAAAGAATAACTTCATACTGCAAAACCAAGTGTGACGCCTGTCAGGGAACCTTATAAATCACAGCATGAAGATGGCGGGGGGTTATTATTATATGCCATTATAAGGTGTTGGTGTCTCTGCAGGTGTAGGTTACCGCCGGTGTCAGAGACATGGTGCTCGTCGGAGCTCGACTCCCTCTGGATCACAAATGTTGATCATCATCAGTTTGATTGTTTCTTCAGAAACCACAAAATCTCTCTGAATGACCCGCTGATACATCCACAGCAGTGGCGGCTGCTGGTCTTTCAAGGAGGGGAAGCTCATTTTTCTGGCCTACATCATAATTGTATTTGTTTATTAGTATGTAACAGAACAGAGTCGCCAAACACAACGGCAGTCGTTTTTAACAAAGACAAAAGTCGCTGAGGATCGGTAAAGTCTCTGGAGCAGTTAAGAACAACGGAATGAATGACTTGGAAAATGCTCTGGTAGCTGTTTTATTCTTCAAGATCGCTGATTCGCTTGTTTAGCTGTCAATCAAAAAAGGATTTCGCCTCAGACAGCTCATCCAATCATGAATGCAGAAGCTTGGAGTCCGGGAGAAAGTCGGGACCGCCCTCTCGCCATAGAACTCCAGTGAAGCTTAGCTTCCATTGGGCGGGACAAAGCCCAGCATTTATCCAATGAGCGTCTAGTTTCGCTGCTGGAACAACCCACTTTAAGCTTCCACATTGAAGTCAGCAGAAGCCCAGCGTCCGACTGTTTGAAGCGCTGAGGCGCTGCGAGGATGAATGAGAACGAAGTTATGCCGGTTACCTGTGATTATCAGCTTCTTATCACAGTGTCTGAACAAAAGTTGAAGGCTTTCTAGTGCGTATTTAGTTAATGAAATGTACACACAGCCGTACGTATTTCAACACTTTTTCTTCTTTTTGGGGGGGTGACATTTTAAGGGAAGCCGAGCTTCCCTTGCAGTCTTAGAGCAATCGCCACTGATCCACAGATAACCCTGCAGATGACCAGCTTCAGTCATTTCCCCCTCCGCAAAAGCAGCTTTATGACTTTATTTACTTTATGACTTTATTCTCCTAAATTTACAACTTTAATCTCTAAATGTTGTCCTGATCCTCTGCTGTAGTTTTGTCAGCTTTCTTATTTCTAATGTTTTTGATAGTTGTAGCAGAGCGGATCAGTTCGTCTCTAAATCTATAATGTTTGGTTTATAGATTTTAGTGAGTTCAGAGATCATGCTCTCATACAGCCTGAGCTGACTGTCTGCTGGTTTTGGATTTCTTGTATTTTCTTTGAAGACGCGCTGTGTCTCCAAGCGAGTCCAGCCTCTCACCTGAAATGCGAAGCTGTGCAGCGGCACGCAAAGCATTCTGGGATACCGACGGCACGAAAGCGTGCATAAATGCACACTTGAAAAAATGCTAGGCGCGCTTAGCATTTCTTAGCATCTCGTGCCAAATGGGACACCGTTCGTGCCGTCGTGACGTCATGCACGCTTCAAATGCACCGTTCAGCGGTGCAGAAGTGCACTTAGCCCGATGCGGTCTCTGAAATGAGACACAGCCATGGTCTGTAAAATGTGGTCTTCAGCACTCCAGCTTCTGGTTCTCATTTGAGCAACACTTTGTCAATTTTTAGAAATAGATATAAAACAAATAAACACAAAAACAAAAAAGGTGATTTAAAAAAAATAAACAGACGTCAGCTGAGAAAAAAGGGAGTAAACAAATAAACCACAGTGAATATACGTCAATATTCTCTCCTTTCATTTTGGAGAACAGATTTAAAGTTTCCATGAGTGAAAAAAGTCAAATTTTATTTTCTGATTCACAGTTTAACTTTTTTCTGCCTCCTTTAAAAAGTACAAACCATCACTGAAGGTAAAGAGAGGTAAACACGGAAATAAAAACCAACAATCAAACATGAGAACAAAAACCTTCAGACTGAGAGACTGACTACAACGATTTCAGTCACCTGAAGACCTCCGGCAGCAGGAACAGACAGAAATGTGTCCTCCAGGTTCTCCTCTAGACAACCAGGAGGAAACGTTCAAGGTGAGAATAAACCCTGAACCTCAGCCTAACCCTGATCTACAATCAAAATCTGATTGATCCTGAGTTTACGATTCACCTGAGACCACACCGAGACCTCAAATCAGACAGACCACCTCCAGACCACACCTCAGACAGACCACCCCAAGACCACACCTCAGACAGACCAACTCCAGACAGACCACCTCCAGACAGACCACCTCAGACAGACCAACTCCAGACCACACCTCAGACAGACCACACCCCAGACAGACCACCTCAGACAGACCACAGACAGACAGCCAGACAGACCACACCCCAGACAGACCACACCTCAGACAGACCACCTCAGACAGACCACACCCCAGACAGACCACACCTCAGACAGACCACACCTCAAACAGACCACCTCCAGACCACACCTCAGACAGACCTCCTCCAGACCACACCTCAAAAAGACCACCTCCAGACCATACCTCAGACAGACCACCTTCAGACCACACCTTAAACAGACCACACCCTAGAAAGACCACCTCAGACAGACCACACCTCAGACAGACCACATCTCAGACAGACCACCTCAGAGAGACCACCTCAGACAGACCACCTTCAGACCACACCTTAGACAGACCATCTCAGACAGACCACATCTCAGACAGACCACCTCAGACAGACTACACCTCAGACATACCACATCTCAGACAGACCACATCTCAGACAGACCACCTCAGAGAGAGCACCTCAGACAGACCAACTCCAGACAGACCACACCTCAGACAGACCACCTTCAGACCACACCTCAGACAGACCACCTCAGACCACCACCTCAGACAGACCACCTCAGACCACACCTCAGACAGACCACCTCAGACAGACCACCCTCACACCTTCATTTCAGAGCACCTCCAGGATCTCTCTTGCACTTGGCATGAAATGCTTCTCATAACCGGACTCCAGCAGTCCTTCTTCAGACGAGCTCCAACAGTCCTCATCCTGGAGCTCGCCCTCATTGTTGCCCTCTCCCTCGCCCCCATTGTTGCCCTCTCCCTCTCCCTCGCCCCCATTGTTGCCCTCTCCCTCTCCCTCGCCCCCATTGTTGCCCTCTCCCTCGTCCTCTGAGTCAATGATTTTGCTGTAGGCCTCTGTTCTGTATTTACTGTCTGTTCTTCGATCATCCCCTGTGTCCACCCTCTGGTCTTCTGTTCTGTCTGTCTGCAAAGATCGGTCTCTGTCCGATGGTCTGGTCTGTCTCTCAGAGTCAGAGGTTTCCTTTCGGCTGAAATCAGGAGTCCGGGTCTGGATTTCCACGACCTCCAGCCGAGAGATGTTTGGGTGAGGCTCACAGAGAGGAAAGCAGATAAGGCCTGAGGACTCGTTCATCTGCAGGATGAGAACAGAGTCTATCATCACACTGAAAAGGTATCAGGACCACAGCACCCCTCACATTCTCATCCATCACAGTCTCATCCTTCAAACTCTGATCCTTCAAACTCTCATCCTTCAAACTCTCATCCTTTACACTCTCATCTTTCACACTCTCATTTACAATCTAAAAAGGCTTTTGGCCTGAAAAACACATGTTTACATTCTGCATCCAGTGAAAACAACAAATAAGCCTAAAAGTCTTTGAATCGCAGTGTAGATCGGCAGCGTTGTTATGGTCACATTTACTTTCAAATGACAGCCGAAAAGTGACTCTGCCCTCTAAAATACAGGAACAAGAACTTAGAAAATAGAAGTTAAATAATGAATGCATGTGACAGTCTCATTTATCACACGTTTACACACACTTTAAATCCCAAATTATTAATCAATTAAACTTATCTGAGAATTGTCAAAGATCGGGGGACTTTGGGTCATTGTCGGTTCAAACTCGGCTCTTTGCTCAGACCCAGCAGACACAGGAATCCTGTCATGGAAGTCGGTCTCTCACCTGGTGCTTCATCTGTTTGAGGATGTTGCTGTTTCCAGGATCCGGCACCTTCCCGCAGAAACGCATCAGCGAACACGCTGTCTTCGTTCCCGGACAAAAGCTATCGGACAGAAAAACGTTCAAATCAAACCGTCAGACAAACTCGTGACTTCAAACTCTGCAGAATAAAAACAGAAATCAGTCGTTTCTGAGCTTCACAGAGAAATCTGGACTGAACCATCTTCTCAGGAAAGTAGTCCTGACGTTTGTGTTGTGATTAGTGAATGACACAAGATATAATAAACACACAATATAACAACAATATTACTCATGTTGCAATCTCACCAGAGGAGGGCGACAGAAACAAGACCTGTAACCAGGAAGATCGCGACCACGACCAGTGAAAGGAGGGCTGGGGGTGAAAGTGGGGGAGAGAGGAAATTAAATATTCATCGATTTTCTTGATTTGATGTTGAAAAAAGTCTCACTTCCTTTATTAATGCTTTTCCTTTCCAGTACCAATATCCGGGGGGGCCGGCAAATTGATGGTCAGCGTGGTTTTCTCTCCGGGCCCGGCTTTAGTAACGGCTCGGATCCAGACCTCGTACACCTCACCCTGCTTGACGTCCACCATATGAAAGGTCTGGGACGAACTCACATTCAACACTGAGAGAGTAAAAACAGAGTCACTGAGAAAAGTGATACCCTGGTCTCGACTTAAAACCAGGACCTGCTAGCCTGAACCCTAGATTCACTAAACCCTGAATAACCTAATCCTGACTTCAGACTGATCTGATCTCACAGAACTGAATATTTTAGAGTTTCAGTTTACCTGAAAACGAGTTTATACTGTCTTGTTGCTTAACTCCGATTTGGTAGAACTGGATGGTCCCGCTCTGTTGCTCGAGGGGGATAGGCTCCCAGGACACCTTCACCGGACTGTCAGAGTTGGACACAAGCTTAAATGACGGCACTCTGGGTGGAACTAAAAGGCGAAGAAATGGACATCAGGGACAAATCTTTGTCTCCGGGCAAAAATGACGAGTTTTAGACCAGAGACGAAACTGACCACCCTGAAGGGAATATCCGACTGCTGAGGACAGGTGACGGACAGATGAGGGTCCTGACGACACGTTACTGTGTGATACTGTGAAGAGTGAAACTTTGTAGGGCTTGTACTTCTGAAAGTGACCTAAAGGGGGCGACACATATCAGAATGTTAATGAGAAAACAACAACAAAGGCACAGAAAACCTTAAATACACTAACTTTAAACCCAAACTAACCTGACCATAAATAAACCAACCATGACTCAGTTAACCATAACTAACCTAAACATAACTAACAGTGAAAACATTATGTTTATTACTTCATGGAAATGAAATCAGACCGAGACGCTAAGGCAGAAGAACTACCGCATCTGCAGGTCACATACAAGATACACTGACGAGAGCTGAAGGTCACTGCTCGACGAAGCTGGAAGAACCACATCATCTTCTGCCTGTCAAACCGGTCACCCTCCGCCCCCCGGCTACGCCTAGAAATTCTGTCCAGAAAGGTTATAAACAGAACCAGTGACAAAGAGTCCAACTCTCACTGGATACGAGTCCGACTTACAGCCGGCTACTACATTTCCATGAAGTAATGATCACAAATGTTCTTCCTTGAGCTGTGAAACTCCACTGCGTTCATTCTATATACAGTCTATGGTTCAGACACAGCGGGATTTCCTACGTCACAACTGCAAGCTCCGCCCCCAGAGCCCCGCTCCACAGGCCAGACGGAGAGAAGTAGAGAGGACGATCGCAGAACAAGCGTGTGTGTTAGCGGGTTGTAATGCTCGAAAGAAAGTTAATTATGATATTAACTTTCATCATGTCCCTCAAGACATTAGTGTCTGAATAACTCCGATGTTACCTGCTACTTCTACTACAGCGGCAACGTTAGGCTACAAACAAGCATAAAGAGGAGTGCCCAGAGCAGCGCAGACTCCGCCCACAACTCAGAGGTGACTTGCTAATGAGCTACAGGAGCTCTGCAGAAGAAAAGTCCTTTAAAATGACACAGGTAATGGGATTTTAGCTTCATAATCACAATTTAAAGAACCACTGATAACACTTTAAATAGTTTATAAAAAGTAGTGGGACTTTCATGTGTTCAGATGTTCAGATGTTCAGGTGCACCTTTAAAAACAGCTGATGTCTGCCCGTTGGACACTCTGACCCAGTCCAGTCCCTGGCCCAGAGGACGTCCTGCTTCTTTGTACTGAACCACATATTCTTTCACGCTGTCAGACGGAACGGAGATGTCGGTCCAGGACACAGTGAGGTTCACCTCCGTCATATTCATGTGTGGATCCTTCTCCATCCGCCCCTCACCTGAGTAAGACAGAAGAAATGAAGAACCAATCTGTTTACATCAAAAACAACAGCAAAATAATAGTAAATTATTGTTATTATTATAACAATGTGATTTTGTCCTGTTTGTCTCACTGTTACCTGTTACTGACACAGACAGGTGAGACGGCGCTCCAATCCCGTGAGCATTAAAGGCCGACACATTGACAGACGACATGCCCTTCAGAGAGGAGTTCAGGTGACATTTCACCTCCTCGCACACCAAAAGGTCGCTGTGGTCAGCTGTGGACACGTTCATGAAATCAACCGAGCCGTCCAGGTGAGTCAGTGTCACCTCATACCCAAGAATGTCACCACAGGCCTGTGATGTTGGAAGTTTCTGGAACAAAAAGAGATTCAAGTGCGTCTGAAGTTCATGAAGTTAATAATAGAAGGAAAAATAATTGAATCATGTCCAACTGAGAAACAGGTGATAAATTCAGGACATCAGGTGTTAGACTCTTGACTTCATTTCTAACTCTGATGTTTCTAATTTGACATTGACCATCAGAACGTTTTGTTAATGAAACAGCACGCAGCTTGGCAGCATTTGATTGGCTCACGGCTCTCTAAACTCTGACCAGGTGCTTTGTATTGAAGGTAACAGTAACGGAAGGAAGGCGGTCATTTGGGGATTCTTGGCATACTGGATACGACATTTTAGTACGTTTACTCGTGTAGTCAGTGGTTTTAGTGCTGAAACTGTTTGTTGGGTTTTCTCCTGACGTCACAGGAAGTGACCTCTGCATATACTCACCTTCCAGGTGAGGTGACAGTCAGTGCTGTGAGGAGGAAGCCCACAGTCTCTCCATAGATCCAGCTCTCCAACAGGAGCTGATCGATAAAAAGAGAGAGAGGAACATGAGCAGATCGGTTTAATACACAAATGAGACTCTTTACTCAGATTACTAACTAGTTTAGTTTAGTTCAACACAGATATCGACATAAACTAACTCAGTTCAACTCTTTCTTTATTAAACAGGTGAGACTTCACGGAGCCGTGCTCACCTGTCCCTGGTGGGGTTATCCTTTTGAGTTCACTCCAGTCGCTCTTCAGGCCGGAGGAGCAGGCGCAGCGTACCTGGGCCAGGTGGAGCGAGCAGGCCTGCAGGCTGTCGAAGGAGAAGCTGCTGTGATACGAGTCCCCCTGCAGAGACAGTTTGCGTTAGAATTCGGCGTCCACCTTTTCTCCTCAACGCCGTTTGTCCAGTGTACAGTTCACCTGAAGAGACGAAGACCAAAAACACACACCTGGATCCAGTCCTGACTGTCCACAGCTTGGTATCGGACATCACAGAGACCCAGAGAGCGCTTCAGCTGCGTACAGCCTGAGGTCCAGGTGATCTCCAACGGCTCCTGAGGATCCCAGCGGACTACAGGGGGAGCTGGTTTGACTGAAAACAGGAAACCAGGAACCATTTAAGGACAAAAGCTTTAGGATGGAGCAGGTAAGTCTTGGACTGAATTCACTTACAAATCTTCTCTGTGTTGAACTTGGTCTCCGGAGATTTGGCAGAACCTTGCTGGTTTTCAGCCTGGACCCAAACACGAAGATCAACATTCCTGTTAAAGTGTTCACGAGGGATTGACCCACTCACTCTGGACCCATGAAACGTATGCCCACCCCTGCAGGACCAGAACAGACAAACATCCAAGAGTGAAACTATCTCCAAAAACACTTCATCAAACTTCAGCATTTCCTGCTGAAAGAGACAAAGAGAACATTTGGATCGGGATCTGAGTTCTTACTTTGTATCTGCAGACTCCCAGTGCAGGGTGTAGTTGGTCGGGGTTGTAGGGTCTGGCTCTGGTTCCCAGGTACAGAGGATATTAAACCCACAGCTCTCATCACAAGGGATAAAACAGTGAGGCTGAGACGGAGGAGCAGGTGGGCCTGAGCAACGAAATCACCAAAATGTTAAAACCTCCAAAAAAATCATCAGAGTTCATCGCAGACCAAAAACCACCACCTTCTTCTTCTTCTTCGGCTGAGTTCCTGTAAACCTAGAGTTCTCGAATGAACAAAGACAAACCATCACTGATAAAACAGGATGTCTGTAAAGATCACGAAAAACAAGAACAACCACAACTGGATTGGAGACGTGTAAGACTCTTTCAGACCCGCAGATACCCAAGTGTGAAAACTGCAGGAAGTGTTTTCAATGTTGAGGTAAGAACAGCAGCGACACTTTAATAAGTACGACCTTTAAAGAAGTTCAAGTGTTATCACTCCTTCTAACAGGTCAAACTAAAGAGGTATGAACAGCCTGTAGTGATGAACTATTAACAGTGTATGAAGCAGTCCTAGCAGTGGTAGTTATGGTAGTTATGGTAGTTATGGTAGTGATGGCAGGGATAGTAGTTCTAGCTATTTTCGTGGTGGTAGTTATGGTGGGGATAGTAGTTATGGTAGTTTTGGTATTGATAGTAGTGATGGTAGTGATAGTAGTGATGGAAGTGATAGTAGTGATGGTAGTGATAGTAGTGATGGTAGTGATAGTAGTGATGGTAGTGATAGAAGTGATGGAAGTGATAGTAGTGATGGTAGTGATAGTAGTGATGGTAGTGATAGAAGTGATGGTAGTGATGGTAGTAGTGATAGTAGTAGTGATGGTAGTTATAGTAGTGATGATATTGATAGTAGTGATGGTAGTGATAGTAGTGATGGTAGTGATAGTAGTGATGGTAGTGATAGAAGTGATGGTAGTGATAGAAGTGATGGTAGTGATGGTAGTGATGATAGTTATGGTAGTGATGGTAGTGATATGGTAGTGATGGTAGTTATGGTAGTGATAGTAGTGATGGTAGTGATAGAAGTGATGGTAGTGATGGTAGTGATGATAGTTATGGTAGTGATGGTAGTTATGGTAGTGATAGTAGTGATGGTAGTGATGATAGTTATGGTAGTGATAGTAGTGATGGTAGTGATAGAAGTGATGGTAGTGATGGTAGTTATGGTAGTGATGGTAGTTATGGTAGTTATGGTAGTGATGGTAGTGATAGTAGTGATGGTAGTGATAGTAGTGATGGTAGTGATGGTAGTTATGGTAGTGATGGTAGTGATAGTAGTGATGGTATTGATAGTAGTGATAGTAGTGATGTAGTGATAGAAGTGATGATAGTTATGGTAGTGATGGTAGTGATAGTAGTGATGGTAGTGATGGTAGTGATGATAGTTATGGTAGTGATGGTAGTGATGGTAGTTATGGTAGTGATGGTAGTTATGGTAGTGATGGTAGTTATGGTAGTGATAGTAGTGATGGTATTGATAGTAGTGATAGTAGTGATGGTAGTGATAGAAGTGATGATAGTTATGGTAGTGATAGTAGTGATGGTAGAGATAGTAGTGATGGTAGTGATAGTAGTGATGGTAGTGATGGTAGTGATGGTATTGATAGAAGTGATGGTAGTGATGGTAGTGATGGTAGTGATAGTATGATGGTAGTGATGGTATTGATAGTAGTGATGGTAGTGATAGTAGCTATGGTAGTTGGGGATGATATTATGTAGTTCCTCCTTGCAGCACATTTCAGAGAAACCCACTGTCAGAAACAGGAAATGTAGGTTCTGATCATCTTGACGCTTTCATGCCCACTTCCTGTTTCCTGTCTGGAGAGACACTGACGGAGGACCAGACTCTTGTATGTCGATGATTTATCGCTGCTTTCACTGTCAGAGCAGGGGCGGCACTTATGTCAGTGTGAATCGCATAAAAACCTAAACAGTGATTTTTCAAAGAAGAGAAAGGTCGAGAAAAAAAAAGTTCAAATTTGGAGTCCTGGAGTCCAGATACCAGGGCCTTATAAAAACTGCGTCTGTTAGGACTGCGTCTGCTCCTGCTGATAACGCCGGCAGAGACTACCACAGAGGAAGAAACACCCTTTTCCGATTAAACCCCCAATAAGATCTGGGTTTAGGTTTATAAAAACTCACTGAGCCTTTTTAAGGCCCTGAAGTTTGGGGCACTGAGACCCAAACCAAGAGAAAGAACTGCGTCCACAGAAACTGTCCAAACAACAGAGCTGGACCAGATCCCCCTGCTGATTCAGATCCAGAGGAGAACTATTGAATTCAGAACCCAGGACAAGGTTTGGAAATATGAACAAGAAACGTAATGAAAAAAATAAATTTTGTCAAACAGAGCAGGGTCAGATGTCAGGAGGCGGCTCCTTTTCTCCAGAACAGGTGAACAAACAGGTGAGAAAAAGGAAGGAGAGTGTCTGATGTGACACGGCTGCAAAAGGGACGGGCATCCAATCAAAAACGATTTATAAAACACACAACCAGCAGAGTGACAGTGAGCTTGTCGTCAATAACACAAACTGATCGATAATTGATAATCCCTCCAACACTATCTGACCCTAAACAAATGACTGATCATAATTGATCACCTGACCCCAGACTGAGGAGAACCTGGACTGTGTACAGACTCAGAACCACAGACCTGGTCCACACAGATGGAGACACTGTGACACACACACACACATCAAGACACACACACACACACACACACATACTGAACTCACACACCAGGAAAAGTTCAGACATCTCTGGAGAAAACGAAAGACCACTGATTTAGAAACAGCAAAATATGTAAATACATGAAAATATGTGAATACATGAAAGTATGTAAATACATGCAATTAAAAAACTGACAATAATCCGAACAACTGCTTCAGAGTTTTTTTATCTGCAAACATGATGATACTGACACTATTTATTATTATAATAATTATTAATAAATTATTATTGTTATGATCATAGTTGTGTTGAAACACTTTGGCATTATTGTACAAACATTCATGTCAATAAAGCTGATCGGGGGGGTGTTAGTGATCGTACCTGCTGATGACAAACTCTCTGACAGGATGAAAACCCAGACCACCTGAACACACCTGAGATTAATTCTCAACATCACACCTGGACACAGGACTCAGGTGTCTGTAGAAAACACACACACACACACACACACACACACACACACACACACACACACACACAATATTATAATAATTGATCAGAACTTATCCTCCATGTTTAACCTTCTTGCTGAGTCACTCGCTGAGAAAACAGACTGTAAATATGAATTTGATCTTTTTTAAAGTTCAGTTATAAAGTTTTAATTTTCTCTACCTGAATTTCTCTGAACAAACTCAAACCTCTGTGACCCACAGAGTCACAGGCTGTTTGTAGAAAGACCTTAGGTAAACTGTATATTTCAGGTTAATAGTAGATGAATTACAAATAACGGTTATAACAGTTCTCTGTGTCTTCCTGCATAAAACCGGAACATTTAACCGTTCCGTGATCTTCCTGTCTAAAAAGGAGCGGCACGTCTCCCTGTTTGTCACAGAAACTAAACCTCCATAAAAACAGACTAAATAGATGATAATCAGACGATAATCAGAGTGATTCTGTGTTTAAAGTGAACAGTTAGAGTTGATTTTACCTCATCCTGACTCTCTCTGCTCCGTCTGCTCTGCTGCGCTCTCACACACACCGAACTTCTCCGACTGGAAACGAAGACAGCAGTCTTCTCGGTTTACTATCAAGCCCCGCCCATTTCTGGAACTCCCAGTGACGTGAGAACATCCACGCACGTGTGCGTGCTCTGACGAAAACACGCCAGCGGTTTACTGTCCTCCATCCAAGAGAGAGAGAGGTGATTTCAATACACAGACAGACAACACACAGACACACAAACACACTCACACAGACACACTCACATACACAACAGTAACACAGACACAACACACAAACACACTCACACACACAACACAACACACACACACACACACACAACACACACAGACACGAAAACACACACACAACACAGAGACACAAACAGACACACAGACCCAACACACTCACACACACCCAACAAACACACACACACAGACACAACACACAGACACAACAAACACACGCACACAACACTCAAAAACACGCACACAACACAGACACACACAGACCCACATACAAAACACACACTGACACAGACACAACACACATACAACAAACACACACACAAACACAACACACAGACACACAAACACACACACATACACTGACACACAGACACAACACACAAACACACTCACACAGACACACACACATACACAACAGTAACACAGACACAACCCAAAAACAAAACACACAAACACAACACACACAGACACAACACACACACACACACACAACAAACACACACACACACACACACAACACACACAGACACAAAAACACACACACACAGACACAACACACAGACGCAACACACACAACACACAAATACAACACACACACACACAAATACAACACACAAACACACAACACAGACACACTCATACAGACACACATACAAAACACAACACACATAGACACACACACACACACAACACTCACACACACACATACACAACAGACATACACAACACACACAAAAACACAAATACACTCACACACACATTCACAACACACTTACACATACAGACACAACACACAAACAACACACACAAAAACACAACAAAACATACACAAAACACACACATTCACAAACACACAACACACACACACACATACGCTCACAACACACACAAACACAACACACAAACACTCACAACACACACACACAGCAAACTGTTAAAGCACACAAACCACATGTTGGATATATCGGTGAATCAGACGTCGCAACAACACGTAATCTGATTGGTCAGAAGTGAAAACACAGTTTACAAAACTTTAGAAAAATCGACCGTGATCTGAAAACATAAACGCCGCAGTATCACAGGACGGGAAAACGTCACTGATGTGATCGCTTGTATTGACAGGATCCAGGTGAGGGCCGTCTGGGCGTCCCTCCTGAAGCTGCTGCCTCAGCGGCCCGGACCAGGATGAAGCGGAAGAAGACGACAATGACGATGACAACGACGGTATAAAATGTTTCAGTTGTAAATACTTGAAAAAATGCTTTTTTGGTGTATCATGTTCCATAGATATTTGCTCAAAGGTAAGTAGCTTCTGTATTTGCCATTTCTGTATAGATTCCCTCCACATTACACACCTTTGGTTGCCCAAAGCTTGAAACCACCATCACCTCTACCTGGTGTAAAATCACCGTTTCCTCATACAGGAGAAAAACAGCATGAAGCAGCGATGTCTCCAATATGCTGGTGTCCACGATACCAAACGGCATTTTTAAGAAAAGGATTCTTTCCTCTGTGGTTGTAGTGAGATAAACAGGGTGTTCAAAATGTCCACTTTAATTCTCAGAGTTCACAACAACAAAACCTGAACACACACCTGCACAGGGTACAGTATCCTTCACTCACACACTTCAAAAATAACACACTGTCTCAATAACACTCTGTCTCTCTTTAAATCCGTCTTTCACAGAAATAAAATCACAGTCATGGTTAAAATCAGAGTCTCTGATGGTTTTGTTGAAAGAGTCTTTTCTCAGATTCATGAGGATTCAGCAGGTTTACAGTCTGGGGGTGACTCGTGGGAGTTTTTGGACTCAGCAGGGTTCATTGGGGGGTTCTGGGTGTTCGTTGTAGTTTGGTGTGTCACTCAGCACAGGGAGCTGATCTCACTCTTACTGCAGCCCCACTTACAGCAGGCGTTGGACAGGCCCACCACCACATCCCGGCCCTTGCGGTCCGCCTTGCGAAGGGCCTCCAGTATCTCCTCAGTGATGAAGGAGCGGGCCGGCCTCTGGAATGGTCCCACCGGGTCGCCTCTGGTACCATGAAGGAGATTCTCCACAACTGATGAGCGACTGAGGCGGTCTGAGAAGTCCTGGAGGGAAGTGAACGGCTCCTCGAACGGATCAGCTGCAGGGACACGGAAAAATGAAGACATGACGACTTCTAACAGACCAACATGTGGGAGCGTCATCACAGCTCCTTTAACCAATAGGAATCAGAGTTACAGACAAACCTTTTGGTCAATAAACCACAATCATTCATTAAGATGAGAGATGGTCGACTCAGAGATGAGATGAAAATAATCATGGAGATGTCCCCGTCACAAAGTCAGCAGATTAAATCTGAAGCTTCTCACCTGAACCTCTGAGGGACCGTCTCCACCGTGAGCCCCCACAGGTGAAGATAACCGCCCGGATGAACTCACGGCCGCAGAGCTTTACACCGTATGACAGGTCGTCCATGGGCTGAACACCGACCACCAGGAGACACACAACCAGCACGGTGACTTTCCACATGGTCTGACAGAGGGACGGACAGACAGTTCGAGGTTTCAGAGACAGCTGGTTTCCTCTGAGCAGCACCTGGATGTTCTTCTGCCTGCTGTGGCTCCTGATGAGCCAGGTGAGCTTTATAAAGGTGTTTGGAGTCATGTGTGTGCGCAGGTCTGCAGAGAGAGAGCAGCAGATCAGCAGCAGAGATACGGACGGAGACCTTTTCAAAGACAAAGAGAGGAGCAGAGGTGGACGAATAAATGAATAAGTCACAGCGTTTCAACGTGAGGAGCACTCTGAAACCTTCAACCCACTCAAACATCCTGACGTCAGTCACCCCGGTCAAATACCCATAATACCACACAACATACAAGTTCACATTACACACAATACAATATGTCAAAGCGCTTTGTTAACCTTCTTTTTTCAATCAATCACTTTGTTTATGAAGCACTTTTTAGACATAAACTGTATCACAAAGTGCTGTACATTATAGAACACAAGAGGGAGAGGATCAGGGGATACAAAATAAAATACAAAATAAAATGCAAACTGCAAAATCCCACCCACTCACCCTCCAAGCCCGCATTGAACAGAGACCCACCCACCCACCCACACACACAGCCACAACACACACAGACATACACAAAACACACACACACTCTCACAACCACCGAGACACCAAGTCAGGGCTCAACAGGAAACGCTATCTTAAACTAAAAGGAGCTAAAGCTAAACTGATAAAACCACGACAAGACATAGGAAACTCATAAAATTATAAAATAAATAATAATAATAATAATAATAATAATAATAATAAAACTGTTTGAAAATCAAACAATAAAGGAAAATAAACAAATAGTCTTAAAACATAAAATAATAATTCTGGGACTAAAGTGAACAACAATAAATACACTGGAGCAGGAACACAACAAAAAAAATACACAGAAAATGACACTTAAAGATAAAATACAGAAAAAAACAACAGACGACTCCTTTCTCTTTGCTGCAGGACAGAAAGATTCAGAAGATCTCTCAAACCCACAGCCATCAGACAGTTTCCTTCTTCTGTAAACAGAAGATAAGATCCACACCAACAAGTTTCCCTTTGGGGATCAATAAAGTTCTTTCGTAAATGTCTACAAAACCTGAAGTTCATCAGTCAGAGTTTGTCTGTAATTTACAGGAAATCCAACATTACATCGAAATCACGAATTTCATCGGCTCATCGTCACAAAAGAAGGACGAAAACGGATCCTGTGACATTTTCAAATTCCAGATAACGGGGAGTCCGTTAATGAGTCTGGCAAAAAAAACAGCGTTTTATCAGGATATCCACAAAGTCAAAGGTCACCTGTTTAGGGAATCACAATGAAGAGGATGAATTTATGATGACCCTGAAGACAATAAGCGAACAAAACATCATTTCAGGATGTGTCATTTACACAGGTAACACACCGGACTAAAGGTCAGAGAGTCAACGGGTCAAAATAAACACCTGCACTCTTCATAATGAACCTTAAACCCACTTCATCATCCCTCCTAACGGAAACTTTAAAATCATTTTCACTTTTAATTCGACTTTTTGAAGATCATCAAACAGTTAACATACAAAATGATTTTTATAGAGCTATAAAAAGCTGACACTTTTATCAATACGGAGCTTCATATTTGACAAACACTTCAATTAGGGAATTTATTTTGTCCAATTACATCGCTCCGTCTGAGGTAACGGCCTCATAAATAAACTCTTTCCAGACTTAAAGATCATTTAACATTTAAACCTGAGAGACTAAAGCAACAGCAATATGTAGTCTTTTATAATTATAGTACATATGAGGACATTAAATGAGCGCGATAAATGCAAAATAAGTACAAATAAAAAAAAAGGAAAATGTACTATATGAACTGCAGATACGTACTTTATAAATGAATAATGTGCACAGTTGAAAAGAAGTGTATCTGCTTTATGTGCAGTATATGTGTTGTACAATAGTGTTTTAGGTACATGTACTATTAACTGATATTTATTTACTGTATAAATAAGGTATAGGTACTATAAAAATGACGTAGATATACTGTACAAATGCTGTATTTGCATTGAGTACTGTATCATAAATGGCATTTTTTTTCATATGAACCATTTAGTTTTATATATTTGTGGAAAACCATTTGTTTCTGTCTGTATCTGACAGTTCTGTGATCGACAGAAAACATGTTATTGTTCTGTGATAACAAGTGTTATTACAGTATATGGTAGTGTATGTCTGTATATAATTTTTCAGTATATTTTTTTCATATAAAGTGTCTGCACTCTATTGTATTTATTGACAGATTATCACCTGAATGTAATTAATTGATTAATTATGATTCTGTATGACTTTGATTGACAGGAGGGTCTCACTGATGGGCGTGGACGGCTTTGTAGTAAATAAAAAAGCTGTCCTGTGCCTTTAAGAGAATCTAGCCTGAATCAGCCAATCAGAGCGAAGAAGGGGGAGGGAAGGGAGCGGGTGGGTAGCAACAGTTGCCCTGGTGAGGACGAAGCGCCATAGCCACGGTAGCCCTGGCGACAAGAACCCAGCAACGAGAATCAACAACAACAACAGAGGAATCGAGAGTAAAAGAAATCGGATATTTTCGGGAGAGAGAGCGGAGCGCGGGCTCGGAGGTGAAGCTGCTCACACACACACTCCGGTTCGGATAAAGTCCATCAGGTTCCGGATCTGCTGGTTCCTGTTGTTTCCTGAACACCGTTAGCTCTGCGGTTAGCTGCGGTTAGCAGCGGTTAGCCGTTGGACTGGTCGTTGGTCCGGTCGGAGGGCTGAATGAGGCGGTCTGTGTCCGCTGCTCATCCCGGTGACGGTGAGCGGAGCCCGCCGTGACGACGCAGCCGCGGAGGCAGCCTCCGGCGGGCCGTTGTTATGGCGATGTCAAAGCAAAAGGAACAAAATGGCGGTTGTTGTAGAGACCATTTAGCATGTTAGCGTGTTAGCTGGCTAACCATCGTAGCTGTCACGACAGGCGCGTGCTCGTCGCTGTAAACGGTCCGTTAACGGTCACGGTGGTTCTGAATTTAACGGTCAGTCCCCTCCCATCGCCCCCCTCCCCTCATAGCTCATCAGGTGAGCTGCAGAGGAGATGCGCAGGTGAGAACGACTCACCTGAAGATACCTGAGCGCGCAGACTCAGTGCAGACTGCTGTTAAAGCAGGCTACTGATATACATATATGTGTATTTATATATTAATATATATATTTATATTTGGTCCACGAGCTCTGCTCAGCTTCATCAGGTGTGACGCCTTCATAACCAGGTGGGCGTGGTTTAGGAGGGCGTCTGACAGGTTCAGGTTTTACAGGTGCTCCGTGAGTTTAGGTTCAGGTTCACCACCGATTAATTTAACTGGTTAACTAACAGAAACCAGGTAACCTGCAGATAATTCGGAGTAAAGAGGGGTCCTCATCAGAACCCCTCAGACCCCTCAGACGAGAGTGACCTCTGACCTGAGAGTGACCTCTGAAGAGAACACACTTACAGTCTGTGTCCGAAATGGACCCCTAACCCCTATACAGGTGAATATATGGGGGTTAGCGCCATTTTGAGGGGTGTCCGAAACCTCTGTGATTAATTCCAATCCCTTTAAAGGCGACTCGAAATTTCCCATAGAGCATTGCAAAATGTAGTGACCATCCGATGGTCACTACACGGGGGCGGGCATCCCATCATGCATTGCATCTTGCCATGTACTGTCCAAAACCTCTGGTAATTGAGTTCACTACATAATCAACTATATAGTAAAACCCCATATGAGGGTTAGGGGTTAGGGATTGAGTGATTCATTTCAGACACAGCCACTTACATTTAACATCAAAGTCCTCCTGTCAGATTCATGTGTTCATAGAGGGAGAATAACTGTTTGTATTCATCATGATAATGTTGTTTCTATTAAACATCGTCTGATCGAAGTCAAACACGGAGAATCACGTTAACTCTTGTTTGTTCTATAAACTCAGTCGGTTACATTAATGTTGTTTCGATCATGTTATAGAAGGAAAGTGAAACTCTTGCGTGTTTATCAAAACACTCTCTGGTGCTCGGGGGTTTCCTCGGTGGCAGGATGTGAGCTCATATTTCAGGTAATCAGACGTTTGTTCCTGTCAGAGCTCCTCCCTTATACCAGGTGGACCACGAACAGGTCAGGTCTGTCAGACTTTCAGGAACGATAAAGAGAAGATCAGCTGGAGTGTTTAAGTTAGTCCACAGAGAGAAACAGCTCCATCAAAACTCACTGATTTATTACTTTCATTTATTCCATTGGAGGCAGAGACTCTCTACGTCCTCTCTGCTGCATGTTTCATGTCTGTGAGGTTGTCGTCTCCCTGATCATTCAAAAGGATCATTTTTAACCGTCACACTGAATCCGTCCACTTTATCTTGACCAGGTTGATTCCCAGTTCTTAAAATGGCCACCTCAGGCTACGTAGGTGAGATCCAGCCAGCGACCCAGCCTCAGGGCGCCGTAGTTACCATCACACCCGGGCAACCCGACGGCAGCTCCACACCTCCAGCTGCCACTCAGTTTCTCGCTGAGATTCAGACCACTGTGGCCACATCCACCATCATTACTCCAACGGGTCAGCCCGCTCACACCGACCAAGACGCCTCCATTGGTGTTCAGAAACCTGCAGCTGGGAGTCAAACAGCGCCAGCCCAGCCGGCCCAGACCCAGTACGTGACCGCAGAGATCCAGGGCTCGCCAACAGAGTCGGGAAACGCTCAGAGCACCCCGCAGTACATCGTGGTAACGGTCACAGGTAACAGCTCGACATGATACTGTTCATCGAAATACCAAAGACCTCTATAGACCAAAGCGGTGGGGGCGGGGCTTATAACACACTGAGGGCGGGGCTTATGAAAGAGGAAGAAACCAACTAAAACAGTGACCACAGGAAGCAGCAAAGACACCAGCTTAGACAGGTGGTTTATTCTTCACTCATCACAAAATTTATACTTTATCTATCTATCTATCTATCTATCTATCTGTCTGTCTGTCTATTTATCTATCTATCTATTTATCTATCTATCTATCTATCTATCTATCTATCTATCTATCTATCTATCTGTCTATCTATCTATCTATCTATCTATCTATCTATCTATCTATCTATCTATCTATCTATCTATCTATCTATCTATCTGTCTATCTATCATCTATCGATCTATCTATCTATCTATCTATCTATCTATCTATCTATCTATCTATCTATCTATCTGTCTATCTATCTATCTCCGTCTGTCTGTCTTCTCAGACAGCTCAAATACCTTCATCAGGTAAAGTTTATTTGCACAAAGCAGCAGGAACAGCTGATTCAAAGGGTTGGTGTAAAAATGATTAAATGCTCAAACATAAGAATCTCACAGTAAACACACACACACACACGCACACACACACACACACACACACACACACACACACACACACACACATAAAGGTTAACAGTGTGAGGTTGTGTGTTTGCTCTCAGAGGGGTCCCTCCACTCCAGCGACAGTGTGTCAGACTCCAGTCCCCCTCCAGCCGTGGTGCAGACAGGTGTTCCCACACAGGTTGTTCAGCAGGTGCAGACGGCTCAACAGGTAAAATCTGCTTCCAGAAAAATCACAGACGGGATCAATATTTCCTGATCCATTAATCAGTGTCTTTGTTTCAGCAGAGGTCGGTGGTGCAGACCACCGCTCAGATCGCCAAAACTGAGCCGGGCACCCAGCTCAGCGTCACCAGCCTGCAGCCGGTCCACATCAGCCCAGAGGTGAGTCCCCCATCCAAAACACACTCACTGTGTGTGTGTGTGTGTCTCATTTTATTAACGAGGTCAAACCTGCCTGCAACACCCCTCCCCTCAGTTCCTCCCGAGCAGCCAGATGATGACAGAGTCAGTCAGGGACAGTAGTGTAGAGCTGCAGCAGGTAGAGCAGCCAGAGTGCCAGACCACCTCAGGTGACCACGTTCAGGAACATCTTTGGGAAACACCCAGCATCCCCCCGGAGTTTCTTCAGTTCTACGACTTTGTGTACCTGCCTTTAGTGCACGCAGACACAGAGACAGCAGACCACCTGAACCCCCTGCAGTCAAAGAGAGCATCTATCCAAGTAGGTCAGGGGCATGTGGGGGGCTGCGACCCCAAAGTTAGGAGACAGAGGATCAGTCTGAAACTCCAACACGCAAAACCAGCAGAAATAAACTCCACACAAGTTTATCAGATTTCTGTTTATGATTTCAGTCACAGACATTCAGACACATGACAGTCTGTGTGTGTGTGTGTGTGTATTTGTGTGTGTGCCCCTCAGGTCCAGCAGCAGCTCACATCTGTGCCAGTCCAACATGTCTACACCAATCAGGTCCAGTATGTGGAGGGAGGAGATAACAGCTACTCCGGCGGCACCATGTGAGACCCGAGCGCCGACATCCAATCATCACGTTGTTATTGTTGATCAATAATCATCTGTAATCTGGTGTTTGTTATCTCCTCCGTCTGCCCCCCCCAGTCGCTCCGGAAGCTTCTCGTACTCCGACGCCCCGCTCTACACTCAGACTCCAGCAGCTCAGTATTACGAGGGTCAAACGGCGCCCGGATCTCAGGCGTCCACACCTGGCACGCCTCTGACTGTGTCCGTAACCGCCGGCACGACAGGAGGCGTGTCCATGTTTGTTGCCCAGCCCACAAGTGCAGCAGGGGGAGGGGCTACAGTAGTGACCACAAGCGGAACAACCAACGGGTCAGGCGAGGGGGCGAGCACAAACGGTGGTGCAGCAGGCAGCTATGTGATCCAGGGGGGTTACATGTTGGGCAGCAGCAGCGGGGGAGGAGGCAGTGGAGGAGGGGGAGGAGCAGGAGGCGGAACCACAGGAAACAGTCAGAACTACTCTCACACCGCCCGCACCTCTCCGGCCACTGTGAGTATTACAGAGGGCGAGGAGAGTAGCGTGCCGTCGGCAGACAAGAAGGTATGCAGAGGCGCCAAGCGCAAGAGTTTCTTTTTGTTTTTGTTTTCATCCTCAGACAGTTTGGTGGTGCACGCCGATGATGTCACAGCTTGTTTGAGCAGGAAGCGTGTTTGAAAAGTGGGTCAGGGTTTGATGGTCAGCTGTTTTCATGTCCAATCAGCTGTTAGAATTTGAACTGTGACTTCCTCTCAGCAGAAAAACAAACCGTGACCTCATCCCGTTCATATCATCACCGTGCATGTGCGACAGGGGGCGCTCTCTCTCTCTCTCTCTCTTTGCCTGAATCGCCCCGACGGTTCCTCATTCCAAATTCATAGTTTCTCTAACCCCATGTGATCAGGAGAGCCGCCTGTTTGGCGAACATCACATCCGTACTCAGCTCATTGATTCATTGCATACCAGAGCTGTACGCCACGGCACGCAGACGCTGTTGACGCTCTGAGTTCATTCTGTGTGATGGACGGCGTTCGCCTGATCAGTCTGTGTGTGTGTACGTGTGAGTGTGTGTGTGTGTGTGTGCATGACCTGAACATGAGGCTGTCTTTGCTCTGTATAACAGCGAGCTTTGCTAAGTGCTCCAGCTGTCTCTCTCTGCTTACCTGTGTGCCAGGTACAGTGGTTGCTGGATAACTATGAGACAGCTGAAGGAGTTAGTCTGCCTCGCTCCACCCTCTACTGTCACTACCTGCTCCACTGTCAGGAGCAGAAGCTGGAGCCCGTCAACGCCGCGTCCTTCGGGAAACTCATCAGATCCGTCTTCATGGGTCTCCGCACACGCCGCCTGGGCACACGGTGAGATGAGGGACATGAGAGGGGATGATACGAAAGAGATAAGATGAGACACGAGATCACAGATGAGACAAAACAATTAACATAAGACTGGACCAGGCTGGACCGGACCAGACCAGACTAGAGAAGACCAGACCAGACCAGACCAGACTGAAGGCATTAGATAAAATTAGAGACCAGATCATATTTTGAATAAGACAAGCCAAGAAAAACAACAAAAAAAGGGAATAAAAACAGAAAGTAAAACAAAATCAGACTGATGAGGGATAAATCAAACAAACTGAGGTGATAAAGGGAGAGAGAGATAAAGGTAAAACAAGACTCCAATAAATCATGTGATCGAAGGTCAATTTAAATCTACAGGTCACATGACAACTAATGTATGATGGACAGACAGGAGTGATGAGACTTCAAGACCATAATAGTCAGTTTAGACTGATATTATCAAAATAACAGACTAATGAACTTTAATAACAGACTGATGTTCTTTAATAACAGACTTATGTTCTTTAATAACAGACTGATTTACAGACCAATGTTCTTTAATAACAGACTGATGTTCTTCAATAACAGACTGATTTACAGACTGATGTTCTTTAATAACAGACTGATGTTCTTCAATAACAGACTGATGTTCTTCAATAACAGACTGATGTTCTTTAATAACAGACTGATGTTCTTTAATAACAGACTGATGTTCTTTAATAACAGACTGATGTTCTTTAATAACAGACTGATGTTCTTTAATAACAGACTGATGTTCTTTAATAACAGACTGATTTACAGACTGATGTTCTTTAATAACAGACTGATATTCTTTAATAACAGACTGATGTTCTTTAATAACAGACTGATTTACAGACTGATGTTCTTTAATAACAGACTGATATTCTTTAATAACAGACTGATATTCTTTAATAACAGACTGATTAACTTTAATAACAGACTGATTTACAGACTGATGTTCTTTAATAACAGACTGATATTCTTTAATAACAGACTGATTTACAGACTGATGTTCTTTAATAACAGACTGATGTTCTTTAATAACAGACTGATGTTCTTTAATAACAGCCTGATGTTCTCCTGTATCGTGTCGTTTACAGCGGGAACTCTAAGTACCATTACTACGGGCTGAGGATTAAGGCTGGTTCCTCTCTCCTGCGTCTGATGGAGGACCAGCAGCACCTGGCCATGAGGCAGCAGCCCTTCTCACAGAAACAGAGGTACACACACACACACACACACACACACACACACACGCACACACACACACACGTTAACTGTGGTTTGATGTTTTACAGTAATTCGTCATTGTCTCTCAGTCCCAGCTGTTTACTGTCTGATAACAAAGACTGTGTTTCTTTATTATTGGTCATCAGCTGGTGTTTCCTCTGCGGTCTGATGTGTTTCTGTCTCCACCCTGTCAGATTGAAGCCGGTGCAAAAGGTGGAGGGGATGACCAATGGCACTGCATCAGGAGGGGGCCAGCAGCAGCAGCAGCAACAACAACAGGGTTCTGGACAGGTGGACATCAGTACTCAGGTGCAGCAGTACCAGCAGTTTTTAGGTGAGTTAACCTACAGCTGCAGGTGAGAGAGTGATGCTCCAGCCTGATGAGATTATTTTATTCTGCAGAGGTAATTTGGTATCTGTTCACAGAGGTACTGTGTCCGTGTTTAAGATTTCTTATTTCTTACCTTTTTTAGACGCCTCGAGAGCTCTTCCTGAGTTTCCTGACATCGACCTCCAGGGAAAGGCTTTGCCGGAGGGCATAGAGCTGGAGCACATCAAGAGCTTTCAGCTGCTCTACAGAGAACATTGTGAGGTAAGCTGGAAAGAGGACACCAGTCTCTTCAAATTCTGTCACATTAGACTCAGGTCTTCTTTCAGGCCGTCACACCGACTCTCTGCGCGTTGTTTCAGGCTATCCTGGACGTGATGGTCAACCTGCAGTTTACTCTGGTGGAGACGCTTTGGAAAACCTTCTGGAGGTTCAGCCAGAGTCAGGCTGGAGATGCTACGCTGGCCGTGTGAGTGCTCAGGAAGTCACACTCTGTATTTTTGGTGGTCACTGTACTTGTTTATAACTCGATGTGCTTCTGTGTGTGTCTGTTGGTATGATGTGTGTGTGTTTGCTCACAGTCACGATGAGTCGGAGAAACGCCTCCCTAAGTCCTGCCTGGTGTTGCTGTGTAAGTACGAGCCGGTCCTGCGCTGGAGTCGTGACTGTGACAACAGCCTGTATCAGGGTCTGGTGGAGATCCTGATCCCTGATGTCCTCAGACCCATCCCCAGTAAGACTGCCCACATAATCTCACACCTCACTGCTAAACAAACAGGACGGAGTATTGTAGGCTCACATAATGAACTCTGAGGGAGTGTTGAGGGGTCCGGTGGGTTTGCTGCAGGTCCTCACCTGGACACAAAGACAGCCATAGTTAATGAATGAGAGAGCAGAGGTCCATCAGACAGACCCGCATCGTAAATCTGCTCTACATTTCACTAAGTGTCTTTCTTTTTATTTAACATTTGAGCTAGGGCCCGACCGATTTAGTAGTTGAGAACGCTTTTCTTTAAAAAATCAGACGATTAATCGGTATTCTGATTTTTTCCTACCTAATAATCGCTATCGGCCCCAAATAATCCATATTGGTCGGGCCCTAATTTAAGCTGCAGGCTCTGTTTGCATTCCTCTGTGGAAATTCTCCTAATGGTTTTGAACCTTCTGTTCTCTATCCCACTTTTAATCAGCTGCTGAATGTTTCCTTAAAGACGGGTAACAACACCTCTTCTATCTTTTCACCAGGTGCCTTAACTCAAGCCATCCGAAACTTCGCCAAGAGCCTGGAGAGCTGGCTGACGAATGCCATGATGAACATCCCTGAGGAGATGGTTCGCACCAAGGTACCTTCCACCTTTAAGCTCTACATGCAGCCGACAGGACAGGACTCGAATTCATGATCCAGCTGTGCTTTAGGCCTGCAGGATCAGAACTTTGCTTCACTAAACTCTGTCACTGTAGGAGGAAGAATGACCTGTTTCCATGGGAACAGTCTGATTGCGATGTCTTTGTCAGTGTGAATAGAGCGTGTGATCAGGATTTTTTAATGTGTCTGAGTGAGAACATGTAAACACATCTGTCTCTGAGGTGTAGAGCTCTTCATCCTCACTCTTCCTCTCATCTGTTGTTTGGGGGATTGAGGGTTAGTTTGTACACTTCCTTATCCACTCGTCATTTCCCGCTCACTCTCTCCCAGGTCACATCTGCCAACGCGTTTGCTCAGACGCTGAGGCGCTACACCAGTCTGAACCACTTGGCCCAAGCAGCTCGCGCCGTGCTGCAGAACACGGCTCAGATCAACCAGATGCTCTCAGACCTGAATCGGGTCGACTTTGCAAACGTCCAGGTGAGTTTATTCTGCCGACACCAGCAGCTAAGTTAACCTCCGTGTTTGGTGCAGTCATTTCTGTGGATTTACTAAACTCATATGTTTGAGGGTTACTGTGTATTTTCTGCAAACGAAGCTGCTTGTCCAGCGACACCGAACAGTTAAAGATATCTAAACACCTGGCAGTGATTTACGGTCCTCCTTTGAGACAGTCTGTGAAAAACCGGCAGTCGTGATGACCTCTTTCTGACCCTGACTGCTCTGCTCCTCCCTCTACAGGAGCAGGCATCCTGGGTCTGCAGGTGTGAAGACCGTGTGGTCCAGCGACTGGAGCAGGACTTCAAGCTCACCCTGCAGCAGCAGAACTCTCTGGAGCAATGGGCAGCATGGCTCGACGGTGTGGTCTCCCAGGTCCTGAAGCCCTACCAGCAAAGTCCCGCCTTCCCCAAGGCCGCCAAGCTGTTCCTCCTGAAGTGGTCCTTCTACAGGTGTGACGGGCGGGGCTTCATGTTTTTATTTCCATCTTGTGATTTTTAATGTTTTATCCAGTAAAGGAAGTTCTGATCAGGTTCTGAAGGAAAGAAATGATGAAGTTCTAGTTCCAGTTCTCCGTATATTTTCATCTGTACGGATTCATTTACGCTTTAATATCATTAAATACATCTAAACTACTTCTCTCCTCCTCCTCCGCAGCTCCATGGTGATCAGGGATCTGACCTTGAGGAGTGCTGCCAGCTTTGGATCCTTTCACCTGATCCGCCTCCTCTATGACGAGTACATGTACTACCTGATCGAGCACCGAGTGGCCCAGGCCAAAGGAGAGACCCCCATAGCTGTGATGGGAGAGGTATGAGCACCAGGACACACACTGAGTATATCCAATCAAACACTGTCCTCGCACCTCTAACCCAAACCTCTGTCAGCAGTTTGCCAGTTTGGGCCGAGGTCTGAGTCAGCTGGATCCCGACAAAGGTAACCACACCAGGTCTCTGAGGGTCCTAGACAGACCTGCCGAAACCCCAACCAAAACCCTGCTGCTCAAATCTGAACCCAAATTAAAACCTGAACATGAACCCAAACCCGAACCTGAACCTGATCCCAAACCCTAATCTAAACCTGAACCAGAACTTAAACCTGATCCAAAATAGAACAGTATGATGGGACTTTATGATATAATGAACCGTATTTAGTTAAGATGCTGTTCTGTTATTATAAAGATTTATGATATTATGATTGTTGATGGTTCCCATGATAAAAGTTATAAATGATACTTTATATTATTTAAAATATTAAAAAATAATATGTATAATTATAATATAACTAATTATAATATGTATTTATTTTTTAATTTAATGCATTTATTTTGATGTAATTAATGAAGAATATTCTGATTTCTGATGGTTTGATAAATGTGATCTTTGTCCTGGAGTGATGTGAGATTATTATGAATAAATATTAATTAATGAAGGCCTGGTGTTTGACCTTTGACCTCAGTGATGCTCACAGCCTTGTTGTTCTTCCAGAAGAGGAGGAGGAGGAGGAGGAGGAGAGCGATGACGAAGGTCAGGAGCTGTCACTTCCCTCAGACGGCGCCGTGCTCGGAGATGAGTCTCTGGAGCCGCCCGCCAAGCTGGCCAGAACTGACCAAAGAGTGCTGTTCACCACCGGATCAGCTGACAACTAACCACTGAGGACACACACACACACAAACACACACGCACACACACACACTAATGTACAAAGAACATTACTTTATACACTCCACATGTATATAGAGCTCATATATATAATATATATATATATATGTGTGTGTGTGTGGTCTCTGGTTGCATACTGTAACTGTCCTATTTATGTACTGTACACACACACACACACACACACGCGCACACACACGTTCTGTCAGTGCTGCTGCTGCCTGGATGGCGCCATCTGCTGGTCCTTTCAGTCCAACACACGGTCAGTGGAGACGGGACGTGATGAGCCGGGTCGTCGCAGAAACGACGACTTTTACTCTAATTTTTGTTTTTAAAAAAATGAACTAAACTTAAAATGTTTTTACTTTTGTCATCTCATCGCTGCAGAAACTCCGCCCCCCGACACGTCACTGCCCAAACTAGAGCTCCTGTTGACATTGTGTGTGTGTGTGTGTGTGTGTGATGTGAAGAGTTGCCTCTGTAGATATTTTTCTGAGACCACGTCCTGGTTGATTTTCCTGCCTGTAAAGCGTTGTGTTTGGGTTTTTGGGGGTTTAGTTGTGGTGATCTTGGAGTGCCTGTTGCAGCTGTTTGTTTCTTTCTTGTGAAATTGAAGGCGTGGAATCGAAGCTTATTTCAGCCTCTGCAGAAACTCTCCTTTCTTGTTTTCTCTGTCTTTTGTCCTTTTTTTCTCTCTCTTTCTCCTTTCTTTCTTTCTTTCTTTCTTTCTTTCTTTCTTTCTTTCTTTCTTTCTCTGATTGAACACCTTCTTTCCGTCAGAGAGCTGCTGTCTTAAGTGCTTTATTCCTGTCCTCTGTGAGTTTTCTTACTTTGCTGCCTCGTTTCCTTTGACCTTGTTTCCTTGCCTTATTTCAGACCTTCCTTTGTGCCAAACCTGTTTCTTTCTTCGCTCCCAGATCTCCGCTAAGTTTTGAGCTCGTGTGTTTTTAAGAGGACTGTGCCTGAGTAGGAACAGTGATGTATTCTGCTGTATATTTATCCACTTTTTTGAATTCTGTTGTCACTAAGTGAACCTCTCGTGCAGTGTTTGGTGCTGTGTTGTCACACATTGTAAAAACCTCTGTGTGCATATTTGATTTGTGATTGTATGTTCAGTTTCTTCTTCATATCTGATGATTTTCCCACTGACAGGCTGACGCCCAGCTTTTTGCACACACTGACTTAAAAGTCTGACAGTTTCCTGGAACCTTTGTGAAGTTGAAGGTGCTGCTCTGTGGTTCAGAGATGTGATGTTTTTTTTCTGCACAGTCCTCGGCCAACACTCTTCTGCTCGCTGCGTCTCCGCCCTCCCGCAGTCAGCTCGGTTTCCCCTCAAATATCCTTCCTCTTGATGCTGTTTGTTGGAGTGGTGGTTGTTGTCGGCGTTTCTCAGATTTTGAAACAGTGTTTTTACACAGCTGCAGTGCGCATGTTTTTATCAGCCATCAGCAGCCTCAAACCAGCACATCATCGTTTTCTCTAGAGCCTGGAGCTGTCGCAGCCGAACACCTGTAAGTGCAGGTATGATCCACAGCTCAGAGGACAGCCATTGCTTCCCGCCGGAAAGATGTGTAGTCATTTAAGCGTGCATTGTTTTTTTTTAATGTACAAAACAAGCTGGAAAAAAGATGTTCAGTGGCAGTGTTTTCTGATTTGGTCTGCTGTAAGTATGACTGTGCCTTTGGAGGTGGTAGAATGCAAAAAGATGTTTTTAATTTTAAAGATTTAAATTAAAGAATTTTTAAAATTGCACTTTGACGCTTTCTGGTTCATTTTTTTTTCTATAAATCAGCAAAAACTTCTTACACACCTGCTGAAATCAAGAACAAGCAGGTAAATCCTTAAACCAGCTTCCTAAATCACTCTCATAGTTATTAACGTTGAAGTATAGTTTTTTATTTTTTAACATTATCATTATTATCACATTATCAATCTTATTTTAAAAGTCACTGCGCTCACTCTTAAAAACCTGAGGACAAAAACATACAAATAAATAAGAGATGTTAATTTTTTTTTCTAGATAAAACTGAATGAAAACCACCTTAGCTGCTTGTCCTCTGTGTTTACCTCGGGGTGCTGCTCCACAGCGCCACCTGTTGAACAGACAGGAAACAGGAGCAGAAATGGCTGAGCGCAAAAAAAACGAAATACCATGTCAGAACCCTTAAAATCCTACATTACTTTATAATTTTACTCTCCTTTAGTCTTTAATCATAACCCCTAATCTCTGCATTTGTACTATATACATGTTGCCTATTTTGTTTTATTTTAGGGCATTTTGTCTGCATTGACCCAACTGTTGAGTGAAATATTAAATTTCTCAATTTGATATTTCAATCTAATTTAATGAAGAAACCGATGATAATGAAAATAAATCAAAAACACTGAGACAGACGGTAACGGGTGGTCTGACTGGGTTTGAATGAGTGTTGGTGTGATGTAGGTCTTTAGAGGTCGCTGTGATTTTCACTCTTCCTCTGAAACACAATAACAGCCTCCATCTTTGTTTGGGGCAAACGACGTCACATGATGCCGGAAGGTTCATCTGCCTCGTGATTGGTTACTCGTAGCCGTGTCAAAGGTCGAGTATATTTGGCGCTCTTCGTCGCCGTTCAGCCTGGCGCGTTTTTGAAAGCGTAAAGAAAAACAGTGAAAGACTTTTAACTTCGATAATGTCTCTTTGTTATCGTGTCACCCGCTCTTTGTCGCGTTACTGCGGGTTTATCTGAACCGTGGAGGAGTTTTGTGGAGAAGTTTGAAGTCTGTAAGCGGCTGTTGTTTCAGAGTTTAATGTAAAAACAGCAGCTGGTGAGAGACATCTCTGTCTACCTCTTTATTTTCACACTTTACCTCTTTATTTTGACACTATAACTCTTTATTTTCACATGTTTAATCGTCTTTATTCACACCTAAACTCACTTTGTCACTCTTACTATCGGAGAAGTTTACTATAACAGGCCTGAACCGTGTCTCTACAGCTGCATTGAGGGTGAGTGTTTTTCTGCTTATTTTTCTAAATATTTAACTTATTATGAAACTATAATCCAATTTTAAACTTACACACTAACCATATATTGAAACATTACACTAAAACAGCATAAGAGTCATTCTACAATTAGGGGTACATTTCAGGTCGACCAAAAACTCCGAATATCAGTATTTTCTTTTTTTGATAAATAAACTCGATGTTTCTATGATAAACACCTCTAAATCAATTGATTGGTAAGCATAGATTATTTAATGAAAATGAACAGTTGATTTATCATTTTGTCAACTGTGTTTCGGACAAATGTTGTGTCATATAAAACATATAAAATACTAGATTTGATAACACATTTGTTTGAAAGTGTTTGAGTCTGTACACCTGGGGGTTTTGACCTTATCTGTCCAACGGATTTACAATTCTTGATTTCTTGCTCCAGATATATCCCCCATTTATTTTGTAACAGTTTATTCAACATTTAAGAGATTTATGACATAAAAAAAAACATTTGTAACACAGTTGATTTGAGTGACACGGTTGACAGGACAGGTGAACAGGGGGAACCTTTTTAATCTCTGTATTTCTGTAAATATGCAGCCCTTCTATCAGGATCAGCATCACGCTGAGCCCTGTACTGGCACCGCTTCTCAGCAGCAGATAACATCTTCCTAAAACACAAATCATTATGTTTGTCTCTAAATATAAACATAAAATGTGGCGGTAAACTTCGCTTTTTTGCAACCAACCAGTAGAATCTGTAGCAAGTACCTGTCTTGTTTCCTCGTGGTTTTTGGTAAATTCTCCAAGTAAATAGGACTAAAAGAGGGCTCTTTATCTAAACCTAGGATTGAAGAGATTTCTTTTATCCCACATTCCCAAAATGGTGAAAGTGCAGGACACTCCCAAAAAATGTGGAAATGTCCAGCAGGTATATTACCACACATCCTCCAACAGTGACCAAGGGCTAAACTCTCTCCACATACCCGAGCTTGTCTTCAACCTGAGTTTCTCTTTCCCGTCTTGTTTTAACAAACATTGTGGAGTGACCTCTCTCTAGCTGCAGGGATGTAAACAGTTTAGAAATCACTTTCCTGTGCATCCATGAATGTTTTTATCACGTTCAATCCTCTCTCTGGAAAATGCGATGTTTTATTGAATTCCTTGGGATTCCTTCCCGTGTGTCCATGTGTTTTTTTTAGGACTCCAGTTATGGCTGGTATCGTGGCGATGGCGTCTGTCATCGAAGACTTCGATACCAAGGTGATTCATTGTTGCAAATCTTTCTGGATTCTCATTCTCGATAAAATGGTGTTAACTTTGTTACTTCTTTTCTCAGCCTTGCAAGAAATCTCACAAAAATGCTGGCAGTCCTGTTGTCAAGACAATCACAAACTATTTCTTACCTGTGCCCAAACCTGAAGAGAAAAGCTTTTCTCCTCCACGCTCCAACAACATAATGGACTACTTTAACCGGAAAGCTCCGTCCCCAAAGGATGAAAACAGCTCACCAGAGCAGTCCAAAGAGAACTGTAAGACATCCCTCCCTGCAGAAAGACACACAATAAGAGAGTCAGGGTTAAAAGGTCCTCCACGGAAACAGAGCAGAAAGGCCAGCAAAGCGGCGAGGAAACTTGTGGATCCTGAAACTGTTAGTCCCACATCAGAGCAGAGCAGCACAGTTGAAGAGGAGCAGCTTGGCAGCGGAGACTCAGCTGCAGGAACAACAAGATGCTGTGGGGTTCTGGGCAGTGATACGGCGGCTCAGTTGGTCCAGATCAGTGCTGAGGCGTGCTGGTCAGCAGGAAAATCAAAAACAGAAGCCACTGAAGCTGCCAGTTTACAGAGGGCTGAAAATGATGAAAATGAACAAGAGGATGGTTCCAAAAGAAGCAGAAATGTTGATATGAAACCAGAGATCAAATGTGTTGAACTCTCTCCGTCTGTGTCCGTAAGAGAAAAAGTGAAACAATCCCGAGCTGCTGTTAGAAGTTCAAGAAAAAGGCAGCAACATGAGGTGACGCACACAGAGCTGGAGCAGAAGAAGGGATCTTTGTGCGATGTTGTGGATGAGGCTTCTCCGTTCAACAGCACAGTCACGATCTCCTTCCAGGATTTTGTGCGGAGTCGAGAGAAAGAGGATGTAACAGGTGAACAGGATAAAGAGGATGACGGGAATATCACAGAGAGGGATACTGACCCGATGGAAATCCTTCAAGCTGAAGAAAATCTAGTTTCTGAGGAGCCATCTCTTCAAGTGTCGCCTCGAACTCTCACTGTCTGGGCTGAAGTGCACGCCGTCTCACCCAAACAGGATGCCGCTAAGGTGGGTGGAAAGGTAGCTTCAATATTCCAAAAGAGGAAAGGAGTCACGAGCCCTGTTCTAACACCGCCCTCTCAGACAGAGGTCGTACAAAACCTCCCTAACACTTCTCCGACTGTCAAACGTAAATCCAACGTGGTCCTTCAGGAGGAAGATCTCGAGCTTGCTGTGCTCGAGAGTGAACTTGCGCCGAAGTGCAGCGATGCCGAGAAGAAGCAGTTCATGGCTGCTTTCAAACAGCCGAGTCTGGACGGGTCCAAAGCTAAACCTGGAAAGAGTCAGATCAAGCCGAAGCAGAGTGAGGAGAAGGTTTCTGAGCAGGCTGAAAAAGCCTCTGATGAAGAGAGCTCAGAAGACAGACCGGCCGTCATCCAGGAGGAGCCCGCTGCTTCTCAAGTAAGCAAAGCCGCTAAAAAGAAACCGACACGGAAAGAGACGGTTAAAGGCAGGATGAAGAAGACAGCAAGCGCTCCTGACGTTGATGCTCCTGATCCTGACGCTGAACCTGCTACAGAAACGGTCACCACGTCGGTAACCTCAGCTCCTTCCACACCAACTGTAAGGAGGTCGAAAAGGGAGGCTGCTATCAGACAGACACCCGAAGTCACGCTGACGACTCCCCTCAGACAATCGAGGAAACACAGGGACCAGAAGGACACGGCTGATGTTTTAGCTGCTGACAGCCCTGCGGACGTGTCCACCCCGAAGAGACGCAGGTCCAGACATGGAGTTTTTGTAGCAGAGCTGCTGTGCCCCCCTGACGTCAAACAGAGTCCAATCAGGTGAGACTCGGTTCATTAAAAAAGGCTTTAAAACAGTTTTTATTGACAACCACCAGACAGTTTTCATTAAACTTGTATTTTGTGTTCTTGTCTGAAACTCTGTGATTTTTGTTTTTTAGGATTAAATTCACCAGAGTCCCTAAAAATGTTTCCTCGTCCGCGGCTGACGGTAGCAGTGGCTCAAACACACCTGGAGCTCTTAAAGTGAGTCTAATAAACAGTTTTTCGACTCTGAATAACCTCAAACGGAACAATCATTCATACGTTTAATAGATTTTGAACAGACTGAGGAGGCTGCAGCTCTCTCTCTCTGTCTGTTACAGGTGACAGTCGACTCCCAAAAAAGGAAGCAGGTGAGGAAGCTGGTGGAAAAAGCCAAAGTGATTCAGCAGAGTAAGAAAACTGAACCCACACCGAGGCGCTCATCCCGAGCCAACGCCAAAAAGAGCTACTGCGAGGACGAGGTACGGTTTGAGTCCAGCTGCATATAAATCACAGAAAATAATAAATCCAAAGATTTCACACAACGGCCACAGCGCAGGATTCATCGTACGATAGAACACATGTGAGATTTATGGAAGGGTTCGTATCTGACCAATCCAAGCGTAGGTATGATCCAAGAATGTACGTAGTTACAAAGAGAAAAAGGGGCTGACCCACGATTATACGAGTGAGTGAACACCTACCTAATGTCCTCGTAAAGAAGGGGATCTTCTCTGGTACCTCAGTCGGAGTTCTGCAGGATTCTGGCTCATTGACTTTGTTCACCTCCATGTTGGATGAAGTTCCTTGGACGGGACTTGGACAGACTCAACATTCAGAATAATTTAGAGGTTTAGGCCTGAGACTACAGCAGCCTGAGGCTAGGCCAGGCCCCCAGGGGACGACTTTAGTTAACTGTCAAGAAATTGAGACGCGTAAACCGTCAACGTTACAATCTGAATAACAGCACAAATTCACTGATATGAACGATTTTTTCTCCTTTTCTCTCTTTTCTTCATCAGGATTCGGTGATTATTGTGGAGGAAGATCAGACTGCTGCTCCTCAGATGACGTCAAATAAGAGTTCAAAGTCTTTACGGAGTCTGAATGATGTTTTAGGAAAAGCTTCACCTGCAGATAAAGAGACCAGAGCCACAGGTGGTCTGTCCTGCTCTGATCAGAATCTGAAGAAAACTCTTTTTTTAGAAATGAGCTCTTCTCATGTTGTGTTGTTTTATCTCACAGGCTCCAAAATGTCTCCGGCCCCGGAGAAACCCGCTCGTAAAGCGTCAGCAGTGATTTCTATTTTTGACGACAGTAGCCAGGACGGCTCGGACAGCACGCAGGACGGCGAGCACTTCAGGGCCCGCCGAGAGTTTTTAAAGAGCGGCCTGCCCGAGTCTTTACGGAAACAGATCGCCAAATCAGCAGCAAGCAAAGAGGCGTACTCGCTCTCCTGTTCCTCCTTTCAGCCGGTGATTCACATAAAGCAGCAAACGAACGGTGAGATCTTGTTGCTCAGACGCGTTTTTACCCTCATTTGATTTTTCACTCTGTAGTGTTTTATGTATTTAACTCTGCTAGTCATGAGAGTTAAAATAACTTCATGTTTCACATTAAAAAAAGGCGAGTTTTTATGATTTTTTTCTCTGTTAACTTTATTTTCTTCATGGGTTATATCTACAAAATCTTCCCTTCGCCGTCGACATTCACAGAAACAAGAAAAAAGGGATTTGTAATCAGTGGTTTCAGCTCAGAACAAACTTCAGAGTTTCCCCGACATCTGACTGAACATGGCGCACCGCCACGGCAAAACAAAAGCCGCCGCACCTTAAACGTTTACGCGGCGTTGCATCAGACTCAGTATGTATCAATTAGGGCCCGACAGATTTATCGGCGAGCCAATAAATCGGCCAATTTTAGCCTGTTTGAGACTAATCGATAATTGGCCAAAATGTGCTGATTTTCGCCAATATTTTCAGAAATAAAATGCAGAGAATAAGATTCGGTTTCACTACGGAAATGTTTCCGCCATTTGAAAAGTTCCCTGACTTATCCTGTAGATGGCGCAGCGACTTCATGCCAATCCTCATCCACGCACGGAGGAGAGTGGTCCGCCTCGACGGTAAATAAATCAGTTTGTGAAATACACAATAAGTCAACAAGTTTCTGTTTCACGTAGGTAGGGTCTTTGAAAACGCTTTTCTGGTCCGAGTTTGATCAGTCGGTCTTCCTGTCTGCGTGAAGAGCAGTAGCCTACAGTATATCTACAGTATATATTTATAATTTTATAACTTCATCAAAAATCGGCCAATAAATCGGTAATTAGATTTTTTCCCCCTAACAATCAGTATCGGCATCGAACCCAAAAAATCCATATCGGTCGGGCCCTAGTATCAATATATGCAATATACCCCCCGAGTTGTTCCCCCACACTCCCAAAATCACACACCGCCACACGTAGATTCCTGTCCTGTGGGAAACTTTCCTCGGCACTAAAGGATTTTATTCGTTCGCCCCAGATGAACACGAACCAACTCAGTGACTCAGGAGGGACCAGGTGGATCAGGGGGACCAGGTTCATGAGAAGGACTTGGTTGATTAGGATGGACCAGATAAAACTGATGAAACCTGTCTCTGTTGTGTGTCGACAGACTGTCCCCTCTGGACTCTTTCTTGGCCGGGATCTTTGGGTCACCTGAAGGATCTTTGGTGCCAGACTGGCAGCACACCTGCACCTGTTTGTGGTCCCGTCTGCGTGAAAACAGAACCATCCTGCAGAGTCTCCAGTGGCCGAGTATGTTTAAGAAATGACCTTCTGATCTGATCATTGGGCATTAAATAATCAGATCAGACTCATAACCCAGTTTTCTAAATATTTTTAAGGGTTCTGGTTGGAGGCCTGAGATCTCTAAAAGTGTTCGTCAGCTTCTCCTGGAGGAGGTCAGATCCTCGAACCCGTCCTTTCCTGTTCAGATGTTCATCGATCGCTTCCTGAAGAGGCGCTCTGACCTTCAGCAGCAGCAGCAGAGCTCAGCCGTAGGTCAGTGAGATAAAAACCTTTAAAACAGCGGAGGGAGAAATCTGGTCAGAGTTTAGGTGGAGGTCATTTAATAAGCTCTGAATGTGAAGGAATAACAGTCCACATGTTTTTTTTTTCACACACTGATCCGAACAGAACCAGAGGCTGAAACCAGAGCGTCATGCACAGCGCTTCTAGCTGAACAGGTGGGAGGAAAGAGGAAGAGGAGGGACGATGAAGGAGAAACGACGGCGAAGGTGGCTAAGAAGCAACGGGCCAACTCGTCAGAGGAGAAGATTCCCGCACTTCAGCCGCCAACTGAAAGAGGAGGCCGTCCGAGGCGAGGGCGGAGATCCAGGCAGGGGGAGGAGCCTCCTGAGGTGAACAGTCCTTCAGATGACGTTGTTTGCATCACACCCAAGGACGACTCGCAGGCTGTGCTCCATGATGCGCCTTTAGTGGAAGACGTCAAGAAAAAAGGTTAGACCTGATTGATTTTATTGTCCGAAACTGTCACAACAGCTGCAGATGCACCAATTTTTCTGCTGAGTTTACAGTCAGTATCAGATGAAGACAACGTGAGACAAACAGGGACTTTGCTGTGAGGTCTGATAACAAATCTCTTAATGCATCTTCTCAGTTCATTTAGGTTTTATTCATCAACGAGCTGCTAATTTTACATCTGTAATCCCTGAGAAAGTGACGTGAGACAGCCAATAAATCAACGCCTGGTTTCCTCCTGTGAAAATATCTCAAGCCTCATTTTTGCGTTTTGGTTTCTTCACAGATGTGGGGAAGGAGGATGTGCTGTGGACGGACAAATATCAGCCCCAGCTCTCCAGCGACATCGTGGGAAACTCTGCCCAAGTGAGGAGGCTGCACAGGTGAGGAATCGATCCTGCTGCCGTGTCACTGCACATGGCCGAGAAAGTGGAAGCTGCTTTTATTCCCTTTATTATTTATTTATCTGAAGTGGTGTCTGTAATTAAGCAAAGGTATATCGTATCGTCTTTTTGTGCAGTTGGCTGAAGGAATGGAAACTCCGCGCAGACCGAGAAGAGAGAAAAAAGCAGAAGGAGAAAGAAACCGAGGAAGGCGACACTGGTCGGATATCAATCTTTTTTCTGTTTCACAACTTCTTTTTCTGCTTTTCCAAATGTCTGTTTTGACCTCTTGTTGGCTCTCTGTGTCCAGACTCGGACTGGGACTGCAGGGACGACGACTCTCAGGACGGAGAGGACATGTTGTGTAATACAATGCTCATCACTGGACCCTCAGGCGTCGGAAAGACGGCTGCAGTCTATGCCTGTGCTCAGGAGCTGGGCTTTAAGGTACAAAAACCACAAGGGGGCGTAATTGTGATGTAAAATTAAAAAGTGGCCACGACGACTTTAATGTTGATGGACGTGGTTGCCATTTCATGAATCAAACGGCGGTCTGTGTGTTGAGTAAGAAGTTTATGTTCGGGAACTTTAAAGTTTTTTATGTAAGATTAGATCCATTTGATTTCAGCAAAATTATCAACATCGTCATCAGTCTGATTGTTTGTCATTAGTGAACGAGAAAACTTGAAAGGGTCACTGAAATAATGAGTTTTTGTGCCACTCGTCAGAGAGCCAAACTTCGATCTGTAAAAGTGGATGAATCTTCTGTCCGATCCTCTCTCAGGTGTTTGAGGTAAACGCTTCGTCTCAGAGGAGCGGCCGTCTGATTCTGTCGCAGCTGAAAGAAGCCACGCAGTCACACCAGGTGGACAGTCAGGGGGTTAACGCCCACAAACCGTCCTACTTCAACAGCTACGCCACCAGCAGCGGTGCAGGAGCCATGAGGCCGGGATCCTCGCCCAGTGAGTTCAGAGCTGACACCTACTGAACAGTTGGATAAACTCAGCATGGAAGATGATTTTTATTAACTTTACTGTAGGACTCGGATTTGTACTCGCCGCTCGGTGAAATAAATCAACACTTTGGTCCAGAGTTTGATTGTTTTATTGTTCCTCTTCTTGTAGGGAAGGTTAACTCCCCTCGCCGGGTGTTCTCCTCCCCCAGGAAACACCCCCAGTCGCCTCGAGGTGCTAAAAGAGGCGGCCTTGCACCTACATCTTTAGCTAACTTTTTCAAAGTGGGACATCCCACCGTTAAAGACACATCTAACACTAAGAAGAGCGAGCAGACGGGTAACTTTAAACTCAAAGTTTTGCATTTTACCAAAGTTGTCCCCATGAAACTGTTAAATAAAGTTAATTTCTCCTCTTTCATGCTCTTCATACAGCTGTCCCAAAGAAAACAAGAAAAGGGAATGACTGTCTCAGTAAGTCTAAAGATCCTGAAACTAAACCTCCAGCAAAAACCACGAAAGACAAAGTCAGTGAGGAGCACAGCAAGAAGACGGCCACCTCGCTGATCCTGTTTGAGGAGGTGGATGTGATCTTCGATGAGGATTTGGGTTTCCTCTCCGCTATCAAAACATTTATGACCACGACCAAACGGCCGGTCATCCTCACCACCAGCGGTGAGTAGAAGAAGAGAGGAACTGTCATATTTACAGCCTCTTTTGAGCGGGTTTATCCTGACTTTGTGTGTCTGTTTCAGATCCAACTTTCAGCAGCATTTTTGATGGACACTTTGAAGAGATCATTTTCCAAACACCCTCAGAGGTGAGTCGATATATTTCTATAAATTCCCACCTCTCAGAGCCCGAACGGGTCGGTAACGACCTCTTCATGAAACAGGTGGATGTGAGCAGCTTCCTGAGGCTGCTGTGTCTCTCAGAGGACGCCGAGACGAACCAATCAGACATCAGCTCTCTGCTCCGAGTGAACGGCTGTAACATCAGACAGAGTTTAATGCAGCTTCAGTTCTGGACTTGCAGCGGAGGAGGACGCAGCGCGAGCGTGCTCACAAACGACGGGGGAGACGGTAAGAGAGGAGGACATATTTAATAAAGTTTTAACATTCACAGTGTCAATAGGAGCGTTTAGATTATTAAGAGGAACCAGAGACTTTTTGAGGAACTCTAAATATAAATGATCTGAGTATTTTTTTTAAATGGCACAGGAACTTGAAGGAGAGCCGATCTCATTTACATAAAAACAGGTCGTTTATCTACAAGAACTGCCAGTTATCTGCTCTCTCTTTCACACACACAGAGGACGCACTGCAGATCTGAATTATATTTAACATAACAGTAAAGCTGTGAATATTGATAAATATATATCATCACAGCGCATTAAATTAGGGCCCAAACGATTTATCAATGAGACGATTAAATCGGCCAATTTTAGCCCGTTTGAGACTAATCGGTAATCGGCCAAAACTCGCAGATTTTTGCCAATATTTTCAGAAATAAAATGCGGACAATAAGATTCAGTTTCACTTCGAAAATGTTCCGCCATTTGAAAAGTTCCCTGACTTATCCTGTAGATGGCGCAACAGCGACCTCATGCCAATCTTCATCCACTAACTACCTCACAGCACAGCAGAGTGACGGATCTGAAGCAGGCAGCTCAGGGACGAACTGAGGAGAGTGGTCCTACAATATACAGTATACTGTAGATGTCTACAGTGAATATTTATATTTATAACTTTATAAAAAAGTTAAAAAATCAGCCGAGTAATCGGATCCACCCCCCATCCCCCTAATAATCGGCATCGGCCCCAAAAAAATCCATATCAGCCGGGCCCTACATTAAATGCACTCAAGCTCTGTGCCGTCCACACAGTCTGTCAATCAAACTAAATGAAAAGTTGTTTTTTGATTTTCTTTTTTGGGTGAAGGTCAGCTGTTTTTTCAGACCTTCAGTTTTCTAAAACAGAGTCTGCTCTGAAAACGGTTTAAGCTTTTTTTCTGTGCACTGACTGATTCGTTCCCTTTTGTCCTCAAAGCTGAACTAAAACCAGACACCGAATCAGAGGGGACTCTTCCTCGCTGCAACAGTGGCTGCACTGAGAGCATGCTGGGTCTGCTGAACATCGAACCCCAGAGAGACATTTCTGAGCTGCTGAGGGTGAGCGGATCATCTGCAGTATTCATGGTTTACAGGTAGAACAGGAATTAATGAGCAGACTTGATGTTTTTCTTTGGCAGAGCCGCAGTCTTTCGAACGAGGAATTCGACTTCGAGCTGCTGACGAGCAGCAAACAACGAGGAGTGGATCTGCTTTATTCCAACATGGAGATGCTCTTACCTTTACCCCGCACACAGCTCAGTACCTCTACCCACAAACAGCCTGCTCCAGAATCACACAAAATGTGGGTGAACAAAAGACAACACTCAGACTCGGAGGACACTTTTTTATCCCTCATCGGGAAACAGACAGCAACTCCGGTTAAGGAGGAAGCTGCACAGGGTGATATATCAGAGAGAGTAAGGACACCGCTGACCCCTGAGGAGCAGGTGAAACGTCTCTCTGTGTCTCAAAGTTTGGAGTCTTTAGCTGTCTTCTTAGATGACATGTCCTACATGGACTCGTCCATGTCAGGGAGCCCAGACAGCAGTCACAGGAAGTCACAGGTCGGCGTAGTGATCAAAGATGGGATGACAGATGAGCCTAGAGTTGAGGCGGACGGAGGGAGGTGGGTGGGAGCACAGCGAGTCTTTGAGATGGCGGCTGCTGTTGAGGCGTTGAGCTTTAACAGATGTCGGCGCTCGTTGGTGGAGGCGTGGGACAAATCACAGAAAGTTGAGGGTGAGCAGGCGGCAGCAGAGCTCAGCCTCCCCGTGGCGGCTCATCGTGAAGGATTCAGCTTCTCTCAGGAAGGCCTGAGCCACCCACGGTGAGTGTTGATCAGATGTTTGTCACGTCATTTTATCCACAAGAATATTTACTTATAAAAAGGTTTCCTTCATCTTCATCGCCACCTACCAGCAGGCTTAAAATAATACGATCAAATAATCACAGTCCTACAACTTCTACTCATAATGAATGATGAAATCCTGAATGCAAACAGCACCTCTCAGAGAACCGTCACACAAACTGCTGTTGGGTTATAACTAAGTGAACAAAGTATAACCCCCTCTTCACAAACATGTACGAATATAAAAACCTTCCCAAACTCTTATTTCAGAGATGTATGTACTCAATAAATACAGTCATGTAGGTATAAAAGCAGTATTGATAATATATCATGCATTTTCCCGTTCCAGGCTGGTCCAGGAGAGGAGAGAGGTGATGAAGTTTCTGTCGCTCAAAGGAATTTTTGGTTTTCTTGGAAATAAACCAGCAGCTGCGCTCGACTACCTGCCGGCTGTCCGAATGATCTGCAGATCAGAGCAGCTGAAAGAGCAGGGCAAAGTCAAACGCAGGTCAGTACTCAGAGCAGACGGTCGGTCTGCTTTAGCAGCGAGTGTGGTGATTAAAAATGACTGGTGTTGAATGGTGTTCCTGCTAAACGAGACTAGTTTAGGAATAAACTGAGAAAGAGTACGATTGAAAATGTGAGAAATACCCAAATAAAATCGGCTTATGCCCTGCATCGATTATTTGGCCGATTTTAAAAAAAATTTATGAAGTTATAAGAAAGAAAAAAAAATATATATATATATATATTTATATATATATATATACTGTAGATATCTAAAGTATAGTATATACTGTAGGCTACTGCTCTTCACGCCGACAGGAAGACGAACTGATCAAAGTTTGACCAGAAAACCGTTTTTAACTTAAATAAACCACTGAAATTTGTGAAGGTGAATGTTGAGGATGAATATAATGAAAAACTACGTTGCCGTCTTTCCCCCTCTCAGGTTCCTCCACTATCTGGATTCAATCGGCCTGGGTCTGGAGAGGAGCACACTGCAGCACCTTGCAGAAGATTTCCCATGAAGACGAGATGATTTGTCTGAACTGAAACTTGATTATTGGTCACGATTACTTTGTTTTTGTGTGTGATGTAGCTTTCCTGGAGTTTAGTGAAGCTGAAACACAAAATGTAAAATGATTAAAATGATGAACTTCCTCAGAAGTTATCGGACTTGTCTCAGTTCTGTGGTGCTTTTAAAGACGTCTCTAAATTAGTACTGTGTAAGAGTCTGAGTATTGTATAGTGTTTACATATTATTGATCTTTCAGCGTACTTAGAATTTTGTAAAGTGTTTTTTCCAGTAGAAATGTCTTTTAAGGAGCAAATGTTTCTTATTCATGATCAGCATGTAAAATATGTTTTACTTTTGTTCTAATCTTTGTGTAAATTATCGTCCTCCACTCAGAGTTCAGTCATTGCACTCAAGTTTTTGAAGCTGTAAAACTTTTTGACTGAGAATCATGAGTGTGTTATAGACCGAAACGTCAATTTTAGACTTAAATGATTTTAGTCTAAAATGTTTTAGTGATTTATGTTTTTTTTTTTTCAGCCGTGTAAAATGTACATATTTAAGGTATGGTTGTGACCAAATAAAGGTTTATAACAACCAAATCAATAAATTATCCCAGGTGAGTGTGTTGGTGTGTTTCAGGGAAGAGGGGTCATAAAGCATTAAAACAACCTGTCTCGTGTTGAGTTGAATAACTCTGTTTTAGAGATTGACAGTTGTGTTTAAAAAATATCATGTAAAGTGAGTTGAAGGTCAAAATCCTCTTATAAGCATTTATATTCTGAATAACGGACCACTACACGTTCTATTCCAGAGCATGGGAGAAAAAGCGATCAACTTTGCTAAAACTTAACAGAAAGTGACGAAAAAGTCGTCTGTCGAAAAAAAACTGCAGTGTCAGCATTTTCATTTATAATGGAAAACAGCATCAATTAAGAATCTAGCTTTCCTGTGCATCAGTGAAGTAATATTAGGTCACATGATCACTGTTTTTAGTAACTGCCTCACATCTGTTTTTCTATGGAGGAGGTTCGTCAGGAAGCAGGAAGGCGCAGGCAAAGCAAGGGCTGTGGATGGCATGGGAAGGAGTGGAGAAGAGGAAGATTTCCTGGAAAGATTTGTGGGAGATTGAGGCTTTCAGAGTGAGCTTTACCATCAGGGCTGCCTATGATGCGAAGACCCCACGTGTCCTCTATGTCCAAGTCCAGCAACACTGAAGGACATATTAGTGGGATGCAAGTCCAGCCTCACCCAAGGCCTCTACACCTGGCGGCACAACCAGGTGTTAAAGTGTCTTGCAGCAGTGCTGGAAAGTTGCCGAACAAGCGTGAACTCCCTACCTCCCCCGTCATCCCATTGGAAGCCATCATCATTTGTTCGGGAGGGCAAGGGTCAAGCTAGCCTCACCACCGCAAGACCAGACAATGGGCAACTGGGCAGAGCACGGGACTGGAAGATGCTGGCAGACCTGGATACGAAACTCCGCTTCCCAGCTGAGATTGCATCCACCAACCTGCGACCAGACCTTGTTTGGTGGTCAGCCTCACTCAAACTCTTCTACATCATCGAGCTCACTATAACCTGGGAGGGTGCAGTGGAGAAGGCCTACGAGCGGAAGAAGCTGTGGTACGCGGAACTCGCAGCAGATGCTCAACAACAAGGCTGGAAAGCTAAGGTCTCCCCAGTTGAAGTACACTGCAGAGGGTTTGTAGCCACCTCAACAACTAGGCTACTCAGAGCGATGGGAGTGCGAGGGAGGGAAGGCACACCGGCAGGCAGTCAAGGACCTCTCCAGGGCCGCCGAAAAGGGGAGCCAGTGGGTGTGGTTGAAGAGAAAGGACTCCACGTGGGCCTTCAGGTGAGCTGATGGCATCTAGGGAGTGAGCCTGGGATGGGCCTATCAACGAAACACCGAAGAAGGAGGGCGCCCACCTGATGACCTGAAGGATGCCATCACTCATCTGAACACCCTACAGTGGTGCTTCGAGTATCATCATCAATCCCACTCAAAGGTATGCGGTCAGGCGCAAGCGTGGCTCAGGGAGAAGGACGCCCCTGCCGAGCAGAGTCTATATCTGCAGATATTTCAGGATGTTGTTCATCCCTGCAAACCAACAGAATGAGTGTAAACAGAACTGCGGTCAAATGATGCTGTTATCCAACGTGGGCTTTTGTCCATCAGATATTTAACAGTTTATCATGTCTCAGATTCATTTCAGTGAAGGCAGTAACAGCTAATACCAACAGTCATACGAGCTTAATATGTAACCCTGAATTAACGAACCAAGAAAATGGGAAACAGAGACTTTTGACCGTGTTGGTACAGATCTGATACCGCTCCACGGAAGAAGCCGTCATTTACAAAAACCAAGTCTTTATTGAGGATTCATTCACACAGGTCAGTGCTGAAATCATAGTGCTGTGATATTCTATTTGGTTTAGCACAAAGTGGATTATCAAAAAAAGGTCATGTGAGCGTTGTGATTGTCAGAGCCGTTCCAGCTGGCACCAGAAGAAGAGTTCAGTCCTGCTGGATGATCATCTTCAGCATCTGTAAGGCCATGGGTCCCTGATCGGAGGGGATCTGAGGAGCAAAGTTAAAAAAAGACAATTTAATACTTGAATTACTTTTGGATTTAGAGCTGAAAGAGTAAATATTCTCCAGGTCTTACCATGTGACCAGCTTTAAGGATCCAATAGAAGGAAAAGTTTTTGTATGTTTTGTAAAAAGCTCCAGTAACTCCAGGGGACACGGGGTCATCCAGGGGTGTCCACCTTAACTTGTTAAATCCAGGGAGCCCCTCCCACTTCAGCTTCTTCACCCACAGCTCCTGACCTGTAAAAAAAATCCAGACATTCATGAGTTTGTTTAGACTAAAGGTACTCTTGATCGCTGCAGAGTCACACTGATGAGTTACCCATGGTGTCCACGATGAGATCCAGCTGGCCGTTGTAGACGGTGACGTTGACTCCGGCTTCGAGCAGCTGATCGACTACATCCACCACTGGCCTCATGAAGTCTCCTGCCATGCTGCTGAAGACTTCCTCTGCCTGGCCTGAATCCATCACAAACACAGAAAACAGGTTTAAAAAGAAGAAGAAGAAATGCTGTTTCAGAAACTTTCAGTAAATAAAAAGAGTTAAAATTACCTCCCCAGGTGACATTCTGGGGGATGATGCCCAGCTTCTTCCTGATTGGTCCATTCATCAGCTCACTCAATGATTGGCCGTGGAGGGGTCGGATATGACGACGTGTCTGCAGAGCTGATGAAGGGAGACTTAAGGTTTAAGGTCAAAGATCAAACAGGTTTTAACTTTATTAAATCAAACAGCAGAGCAGAGTCCTACAGATGTAGTCTTCTCCAGCCAAGGCCACGACCTTCTCATCCGGCTCCTGGGTCAGGATGTTGTAGAAGTTGACTCCATTTGTGTTCTGACATAAAAACAGGAAGACATCAAACCACATAATCGCTGAAAACTGACCTGTCTGTAAAGATGGAGGTTTGATGGTGTTCATCAGAATCCAGCTTTAAAAAGGGATAATCCGTCTTAATTTAAATTAATTTAGGGTCAAACACGCCGTAACACCGAGTTAGACCCCCCCCTGCAGAGATGAATGTTGTCAACCGCTTGCTCAGAACAGCATCTAACTTCATCAACAGGACATATAGGGTCACAGCCATAGTACTAGACACCAAACATCTTTTTAACTTTGACTCATTTCTTTAGCAAAGAGACTAAACACAACTCACCTACTCTCTTCCAGCAGACACGTGTTTGTAGTGAGACCTCAGGCCAGTCCATTACGGACTACAGCGGGGTGCCGCAGCTCAAGGAAGAACATTTATGATCATAAATTTATGTACTAACCTGAGTACATCATGGTGTAGTTCCGTTTAGTAACAGAACCTCATTGGAAAATTAGCTGATTTAACTTTACTGTGCTCTTGTTCAAATATATTAACTTGACAGCACATATATCCATACCTTTTAACAAAATCATGATTTTATTGATAAATTGGCTCAATAAAAACAACTCTGAATATAGTACTATGTCTGTGACCCTATATGTCCTGTTGATGAAGTTAGGTGCTGTTCTGAGCATTATTTGTGGCTATAGAGTGGCGTTTTGGTTGGGGGCGTGGCTCTCTGTATTTCTATCCTGCGGTCGTTACTAAAGTTGGTATAACTGGAGAAGCAAACGGTCGACAACATTCATCTCTGGAGGGGGGGTCTAACTCAGTGTTAAGGTGTGTTTGACTCTAAATTAATTTTACAGCAGAATATCCCTTTAACAAAAAAACCTTAGCACATCCCAGCATATAGAAAATCTCTGTTTACAGTCAGTCTGCATCTGAACATGGGCTTTAACTTCTTAGCTAAACTTTGAAAATCTGTTTTTCCTCGTCATGTTCGGCGTTCGTCGTGCTCACCTGCTCCACCACCGTCTCAGCCACCGACCACAGCTCTGTAGCTTTCTCAAACTGCTCCTGCTCCACCGCTTTCTTCACCGCCTCCGCCGCGCTGCTGACGTCCGCCAGGCCGAAATCATCCAACAGAGACTGAACAAAGCAGCAGAAACAGGAAGAAGCTTTATTAACGTGTCGTAGTTAGCAGCTTAACCGCCTTCCTGGGAGTCTGTTCGTTACTCACAGTGGTGTAGAGGTACGGTCCCCAGGTGATCACAGAGTCTGTGGAAGAAAGTGGTAAAATTAGATTTTCAAGTTATAAAAAAAAAATAATATTGGAGGAAATAATAAGAGGATTAGAAACAGGCTGGTTTTGCAGAGTGAGTACACAACAACACATACTGAGAAAAATCTGATTTTTAAGTCCATTCAGAATAATGTCGATAAATGGTTTAACGTTCCCTCGATTACCCCAGTGACTGAGTGACTTAAACTGTTAACATTAAAAATCAAAGGATTAATCTTTTCAAGCGATAAATAAAAACATTAACTGGTAATTAAATGAACGGATTTACTGCTTTTCTATGTATTTAATGAACTTTGGTTTGACAAAGTCACTGCGTTAATTCCTCTGTGAAATTATGGAGAATTTTGTATCGACTTAATCCTTTTAATAAATAAATAAACAGAATTTAACTCTCTGTTACCTGCTCTTATGTTCTTATAATCATGTCTTGTCATGTTGTTGATAACCCGATCAATAGAGGCTAAATGTTGTTCGTGCATCGTGATGATTCTGATGTTTTATAACCGCCGTATTTGTCATAACCACGCAGGTTTCCTTGTCTGATGCCGTCATCAGGTCTACAGAGGACTGACTGATACTGACCCAGAGGAGAAATCCAAGAGTCTCCCAGCGCCACACCAGCAAAGTTGCACTTCACGGTTCCCTGTGCGATGGCCTAAAAAGACACAAGAGTGGGTTTACATTTAGTCGATCTTTAGATGTTTTCAGTTTCTCTGTCTGCAAATTCAGACAGCATGAGAGGAATGTCACTGAAATACAAACACTTAGAAAAAAGGAACCCTGAACTTTTCACCATGACTGCAGCAGCTCTTGAACGCCACATTTCATTACACCTCAGGTATTAAACTGCTCTCAGGTTCATGATATTTCCTTCTCCGCCATCATGTGACACAGTTTTTGATTCAGGGACTTCTCAAAGAGGATGTCAGAAGGAGAAGTGAGACTGCGAGAGTAGTGAGCTTACTTTAGAGAGTTCCAAGGAGATGGCAGCGGCCATCTTTCCTCCGTATGACTCAGAGAAGATGTAGAAGGGGACGCTCTGCAGAAGAATTGAAGAGTTACAGCTGCAGATCTGTTAATGTGAGGAACTGTCTTTGACCGGGAACAGGACCAGGCTCGCTGGTTTTACCTGAAACTCCTTCTTCTCCGTGAAGAAGTGTCGCAGCAGCACCAGCATGTCCGAGGCCACCGTGGCCACATTGGTCGCAAATTTGTCCGGTCCGTCCGCGTAGCTGAAGCCGGTGCCCACAGGATTATCCACGAATAACACGCTGGCTGCCTGGACCTGCGAGTCAACAGAGAGGGGATACATGGTACTGGTGCTTTACGCTGATTAACTGCTTTAAGACTTTAAAAATCACCGTGTTATCGTACCCAGCTGGTCTTTCTGGGCTCCAGGTTTCTGTTTAAAGGTCCGATCTCCTCAAAGTTGCCAAATCCACTTCCTGATCCTCCAGGTCCGCCCTGAAGATGTAAAATCATCCTCATCATGCTCAGTCATCATCACCAGCACAAGGACACAAACACCAAAATAAAGCAGTTCCTCTTCTGCGTTGTGAAACAGTCACAGTCACACAGACTTGAATATCAGATCATTCACACCATGTTATTTTTAAACATTTACACAGTTTTCAGAAGTATGTGAGCTTTTTTTTTTAAACCACAAACCTGTCAAACCTGCTCACATACCGTCATGTTTCTAAACATTGTAATAAGATAAGATAAGAAGAACTTTATTGAATTTCCACATGAGGATCAATAAAGTTCTTCTTATCTCAATACAGGCTGCAGAGCTGGGGTCTCATCTGCTCGTTTCCACAGCTGCTCAATAACCTGAGCGATACATGAAAGGATGATTCTGCAAATTATAATCTGCGCAGGGTGAGCGTCAAAGTGAGGACCTCTCTCGCTCTGGAAGGACTTCAATTTGCACTAAACAAAATTTACTGATGGAATGTACTAACAAATGTACTATTATCATGCACTCCTGTTTCTCTGAACTTTGTGCTGAATGTAAAAGAGTAGGCCTGGGCGATTTGGCCAAAAAGATGATCACGATATACTTTGTCATATCGTCCGATCTCGATTATTATCCCGATTTTTTTTTTAAACTGTCAGTTTTAAAGCATCTGTATTAAAACTAAAAAATAAATAGATAAATATAGAAAATATAAAAAAGAAGAAAAAGGAGCGAGGGAAGCCAGAAGAGGAATGCCAAGCAAGCTGATGTGGATGAGAGGAATAAAAAAAAAAAAAAATCAACTAAAAATCTCAAAAAGAAAGAGAACAAAAAAGGAGGTGAAGGGAAACAGTCCGACTGTGACGCCCAAAAAGACCCCGGTGAGTGTTGACCAGCCTGGGAAAAACACCAAGAAGCCCCGCCTCCAAAACCAAAACCAGATTCATCTTCTTTTTTTTTTTGCAAACAGGCAACAAACTCATTTTTCTGTCCTCCTGAACAAAACATAACAGTTCCAAAGTAAAGAGAGGAGTTTGTTTTCATACTAAAAGAGGAAGGGAGAAATCTTTTAACTATAATATTACAGTAAAATGATAAGATGCAGTTATCCAGAAATTAGTACATTGAGGTGTTTGGTGTCAGAATCACATCATGAACTCTTGAGTCTGTCTGAAACTCTTTAGTAGGTTTAATACTGTACAAACTCCCTGTTGTGGACCTTTAAACTCTTAGTGTCAGCAGAGTTCCCACCTGAAGCCACATGACCAGAGGAAGATCCCTGAAGTCTGCAGACTGACTGTCAGCATAATAGAGCCACCAGAACATGTGGGCCCCGTCCCTCACCTCCACATAGTCCCAGGCTTCCTTACCGGCCAGCGGACCGGACAGCCCTGTGAAGGAATCAAACACACCCTCATGTGAAAGATGAGCTTAAAAAAACGATTAAAAGAGTTATTAAAACCAGAGACAAACACGGCGATACTTTCGGTTTGCAGCCAGCTGAATCGGTGCATACCAGAACAGAAACCGGTTTTAGTTAAACTCCTTCAGTCTGACTTTAAAACCCTCATTAATCTGTTTTTAAAGGTGAAGTTTTTAAGTTGTTTTCTGACCTGTGTGGAGGGTGGAGGAGAGGAGGAACACCAGACAGCAGACACTCACTCCTGTCCGGATCATTGTTGCTCAGACTGCTGAGTGTCTCTGTTCTGCTTTAATGTTGCTGCTGATCACATGACCACACCCGCGGTCAGCTGACCACCTTTTTCCTCCATACATCATTTACTCCATAATCATAAAGACACAATCAGCACGTTTTTGAGACTCACATTGACTCTCAAAAAACATGTAATATTAATAGAAAACAATGTAAACACGGAACAGTCATTAAAGAGTTAATTTTACCGGAGACATAAAGGAGCAAAAGATGAAAATAAAATAAATAAATACACAAAATACACTGTGTAACTATTTACAGAATCTAAAATGCATAAAAAAGAAAAATGACAAACTGTTAAAATTAGTATGAGAATCTAAAATTAGCCTAAAATCCCGACGAAAGAAATATGATATCAAATAATAAAAAAAAAAAAACTATTCTTACCTTTCAAAATAAAGCACCAAAAAGATATGGTTGATAACGAAACCTAATACTGTCGTACAAATAATAATAATATAATAATGATGATGATGATGATGATGATGATGATGCTCGTCTTCATGCTTTATTTTGTTTCTTCAATGTGCTCAACAGCGTAATAGAAAAGGCTTGATGCTCTTATTCTGAAAATCCCTATCGGAAATAGAATCCTAGATCCGCCAACAAAACGAAGAAGAAGAATCCTGGTTGCCGGAAGAACTCGAACTGTGAGCTCGTGTCTTTTCGTCAAAGTTCGGTGCATTCGTCTTCATCATGGCCACTCACAGCAACAACTTCATCCGCGTGCGGTTACACTTTGACTACCCGCCGCCGGCCGTGGTGGACTGCCGGATGTGCTGGCTCCTCGTGGACCTGAACAGGTGTCGCGTGGTGGGGGACCTGGAGGGTCTGATCAGGGAGAAGTTCGGGTTCAGCCGCAGGAGCATCCTCAGTTTGTTCATAGAGGACTGCTACCTGCCGCACACCGAGTGCGTGTACGTGGTGAGGGACAACGACAGCGTCAGGTGATTTTCACGGTTATTAAAGGAATGTTCAAATTAACTTGGGGTCAAACACACCGTAACACTGAGTGCGACACCGCCTCCAGAGATGAATGCTGCCGACCGCTTGCTTCTGTAGTTATACCAACTTTAGTAACGACTACAGCGGGGTGACGCAGCTCAAGGAAGAACATTTATGATCATTTCTTCATGGAAATACAATCAGACCGAGACGCTGAGACAGAAAAACTACCGCGTCTATAAAATGATTAATATGATGATTATTACTTGGAGGAAATGATAAAGAAATGATCATAAATGTTCTTCCTTGAGCTGCGTCACCCCGCTGTAGTCCGTAATGGACTGGCCTGAGGTCTCACTACAAACAAGCGGCTGCTGGAAGAGAGTAGGTGAGTTGTGTTTAGTCTCTTTGCTAAAGAAATGAGTCAAAGTTAAAAAGATGTTTGATGTCTAGTACTATGGCTGTGACCCTATATGTCCTGTTGATGAAGTTAGGTGCTGTTCTGAGCATTATTTGTGGCTATAGAGTGGCGTTTTGGTTGGGGGCGTGGCTCTCTGTATTGCTATCCTGCGGTCGTTACTAAAGTTGGTATAACTAGAGAATCAAGCGGTCGGCAACATTCATCTCTGGAGGGGGTGTCTAACTCGGTGTTATGGTGAGTTTGACTCTAACTAATTTTACGCTGGAATATCCCTTTAAATTAACTCATAACCTGTAATCTTTATTGGTGATGCATTTGCCAGAATGTAACAATGCGTTTCATATTGCAATTCAGGGGTCAGGCTGATTATAGTCCAGACTGATTGATTGATTGATTGATATGATTTGTTCAGGATCTGCAAAGATTATCATGGAGGACAGAAACCAGATCATCCAAAAAGTTTGACTCTTTTCTTTATCGTTTCTTTTTTGTGTCCAAGGGTGAAAGTGGATCTTTTGTCTCAGGTGAATGGACACAGTGTCTCTCCAGGTAAAGAAAGTGAAACCTGCAGAAAGAGACAGAGACCCACAGAGGAGGAGCAACCGGGAGAAAATATAAAAAAGAAGAAGAAGAAGAAAAGGAGCGAGGTAAGCCAGGAGAGGGACGCCAAGCAAGCTGATGTAGATGAGAGGAAAAAAGAGGACAAGAAAAAAAAGAACAAAAAGGAGGCGAAGGGAAACAGTTCGACTGTGACGCCCAAAAAAACTGCTCCCAAAAAGACCCCGGTGGGCGTGAAAAACATCAAGAAGCCCCCGCCTCCAAAACCAGATTCATCTTCAGATTCCAGCAGCAGCAGTGAGGAGGAGGCTCCCAAAAAACCAGCACCACAGAAACCAGGACCCAGAACTCCCTCCACCTCCTCCACACCTGCTGCCTCTAAAGTGTCTCTGAGCACCAAACCCACCCTGAAGAAATCAAACCCTCCGTCATCGTCTTCTTCAGAAACCTCCTCTGATGAAGCAGAAACAGTGAAAAACCCGCCAACGAAAAACAAACTTTTACCTCCTCCGACCCTGAATCAGAGGAAAGATGCTAAATCTCCACAGACTCCCTCTTCAGCTGTGAGCGCAGCGCTGCCCCCTAGTGACAAAACTCTGCAGTCTAACAGCTGTGACAGCGAGGATGAGATCCAGCTGGTTATTCGGCGTCCTCTTCCGCTGGCTCAGCAGCTGGGCAGGGGTGCCGGGAGTCAGTCCCTCAGAAGAGGCCGTGGTCGGGGTAGAACCAGCAGTGACAGCCCTGCGAAGACGGGGAGGGGTGAAGGAAGAGGGGGCAACAGAGGTCACAACAACAACGGCGTCGGGTTTGACTATAACGGACTGAAGGAGCCGTCCTACCAGACTGATTCACTGACCAACGTTTCAGTCGTCATAGAGGTGAGTCTGCAGACGTTTGTCATCAATATTAGTCAGTAAATCACCACAGCAGGCTAAACCTCAGATTTCAGAACCACGGTTTGATCCACTAATCCATTTTTGCACCATTTTTATCCAACGCAAGAAAAAAACTAATTTAAAGGACATTAAAGTAGGAGACAAATTTAACTTGGTTCTGAAAATGATCTCTAATAATAGTCTCTAAAGGGAATTCTTGATCAGTCAGTGTTAAACAGCGTCAGAGGAATATCATGATTTTAATCTGTTGTGAAAAGACGTTTATAATCTTTGATTTTTGTATGTTTTGAAGAACGGATCAGAAAGTGTTCCCAAACTGGACTACAGCTCCATGCCTCTGTTAGCTGCTCCTCCACAGGTGGGGCAGAAGATCGCCTTTAAGGTAAGATTCGTTCAGTCTTTGAGTCCTCAGTGTGAAACTGTTTCAGGGAAGTCTGATCCTCTGCAGCATCATTTTTTCTTTTACTTTATTTTTATGAATACATACAGTTTTTCAAAATACTTGTTAAGAGTGAAATAAAGGAAAAGGGCTGGAAAAGAAAGAAAGAAAGGCACAGAGTGAAAAACTTACATACAAATATTGTTACACAGGGAGAGACTAATCATAGTACCAGTGCGTAGATTTCAAGAAGGTAGGTCCAGGGTTTAAAGATATTTCAGTCATTATCAGTGTCCATTTGTCCTTAATATCAAAACAGGACAGAAACATCCTCGCCTGAGTGTCCAACAGCACCTAGAGAGCATATCAGATAGGACAGTAGGGGGCGCTGTACTCAAGCATAAAAGAAATAAAAAATAAAAAAAAGAAACAGCACATTAGTAGTTGTCATTCACTGCCTCCTGGTGTAATAAAGTGACATTTAATCAGGATGGGTTATCCGTTTCCTGCTGCAGCATCATAAAAAAAGGGTTTCACTGAGGAGCTTTTGGCGCCCCCTGTGGCCAATGCAGTCTTTGCTGATTTTGTCCTGCTCATGTGTATTTAGTGTCTGATGTTTGTGTCCACAGCTGCTGGAGCTGACCGAGAACTACACACCTGAGGTTTCAGAGTATAAGGTAAGGACGGCAGTATGAAGTCTGTGCTGTTAGATCATAATTAAAGGGATATTCCACTTTCTTCTCTAGTTATAGTCCCTGTGTTTAGTCCCTGTATGTCCTGTTGATGAAGTTAGGTGCTGTTCTGAGCATTATTTGTGGCTATAGAGTGGCGTTTTGGTTGAGTTCGTGGCTCTCTGTATTTCTATCCTGTGGTCGTTACTAAAGTTGGTATAACTGGAGAAGCAAGCGGTCGACAACATTCATCTCTGGAGGGGGGGTCTAACTCGGTGTTATAGTGGTTTTGACCCTAAATGATCCCTTTAACTCCTCTAACCTCTGATTAATCTGCCCTGCATATCAGGAGGGGAAGATCTTGAGCTTCAACCCGACGACCAAACAGGTGGAACTAGAACTTCTCCGTCCGTCCCAAGGTAGAGCTCGTTCCAACACTTACCTGCAGAACTGTAATCACACTTCAAAATGCCTGTTTTTAGTTATTTTAAAGATCATTTTCTCTTTCAGCCCCCGTAGAACCTGGAAAGTTTGACCTGGTTTATCAGAACCCTGATGGCTCAGAGAGAGTGGAGTACGCCGTGTCCAGAGGTTCTCAGGTGAGTCTGTGCATGGAGCTGCTGTTTTATTGATTATGACAGGATGGTGACAGTTTTTCCAGGTGTAGTCAAAGCCTTAGGTTTCACCTGAGGAACAGAGTCTGACCGTCTGTCCTCTCACAGGTGACGGAGCGATGGGACTCTCTGCTGGAGCCGCGACTAATAATTTAAATTAATGATCAGGGATCCTGACTGGATATTTTATATCAGTATGTGAAGCGTACTGATTTTTAGTTTTTTATATGATGTGAATGTGAATATGGGTGTAATGTGAACAGTTTTTCTAATAAAATATTGCACAGAGGTCTGGTGTATCATTCAGTCAGGAGATTTTATGTATAATAGGAGCTAAAATAGTGTAAAGTAGGTTTAATTTAAAGGTACCTTGACTTGGTAGAATTAAAATGTCGTATTTATAAGTATATTTATTAGTAACTTCTAGTGAACTCTTAACCCTTAATTGGTTCCTGTTCATTTGAAGCTCCATACAGCCAACTTTGTCCCCAAAATGGACATGCAGGTAAGTGAAAATAATAATTTTTAAACTCTCTTTTTACTTTTTTTTTACTCATATCTCTTTAACAACTTCAGCCCTGATCATTAAAAAAATAATAAATACAAAATTCGATGTTACACCCTTTTTATGCCAGTTTTTGTACACCATGTCACTTCTATTTTTAATGGTAAAAACCAAAGGGGTCAAAATGATGCACTTGCTCAATCCGTTGTATCACTGTGGGAAAGTCAAATTTAGAGCCCTGCTGATCAAGTGATGGCAAAAAGAAAGGTTGTAATATGTTGTAATGGTGCCGTAAACACACGGTTAAAACATGTTTTTAATGGAAGTCTATTGACTGATTTGCGGACAAAGTAGGGTGGATGGAGGTAAAATACGGCAACGGAGAACTACAGGTGACACTGAGTTTTTTTGTTTTTTTTTTAAGTCGAATTTTTACTATGAGAATAATTTGAGAGACCTTTTGTTTTACACTGAATCTATTTCATTGTTGTGAAAAAAAAAAGTGTAAAAATAGAAATGAAATTCGATGGTTTTGAAATTCACATTCTGATTTTAATGCAAAAAAAAAAACAGCATTAGAAATTAAAATTCAAAATCAGATGGCACAGATTTACTTCCATACATTCTGTTTTATTTGAGTAAATGACATCAATTTTCTCTCTTTTATTATTATTATTTTTGTTTTATTTTATAAGTCACTGGTAATTCTGTCCCCGGTCTCCTGTACCCCCCTCGCTTTGTTTGATACACATCTGGATTATTAATTAGAAGCTGGCATGTGACGTAACGCCTCGTGCTGGTGTCGTAAATCATCGTCCTTTTCCGTGACCGTTCGCGCCTCCTGAAGAGCCGACGCCGCTGATGTCACAGAGCAGCAGTCTGTGGAGGAGCCGAGCAGGAGGAAGGACGCTGATGAAGAAGGAGATGAGGATGATGGCGGCCGTTAGAGCGCTTTTCTAACACTCAGTCTCATCAGGAAACGGTAATCTTCGGGTAGAGATGGAGGGGCGCGTTATTCCGGACCAGGAGCAGCTCGTCCTGTTTCTGAAGAGGCTGAAGGAGGTTTTCGACGTGTGTGACGAGGATGCTGACGGCTTCATCCGGGTGGAGCACCTGGTGGACCTCGGTCTTCAGTTCGGTCAAGGAGACGAGGTGAGAGGGAGACTAACGACGGAGGGATTAGCCCGTTTACCCCTTTGTTCAGTCTCTGTTTAATTATCTGTTTATTAGATATTTAATGAAACAGTTCATTAGAATCAGGTGTCTTCAGATGGACCTTCTAGATAACCTGTCCTGGTTAGAAATGTCACAGGTGAGCTGCTGCAGAGGTGTCAGCATCAAACACTCATCATCCTCTCATCAGCTGGGAGCTAGCTTTTATTAAAACATCTTTATTATTTCATATTAATATAACAACAACAACAAAAAATGTCTGCTTTTTTTTAACCACATAATTTCCTATCCTCCCCATTATCCCCTAGTACGGTGGCCAAGAACTGCCACTACTGGGAATAAAAAAAATAAATGCAAAAAAAAAAGTTACTGGAAAAAAAAAAAGAAAGGAAATGAAACTGAAGCTAGCTGCAAATAAAAAAGAAACGGTGAAGATAAAAAAGCCACAACGGAAGTTAACGACGTAAATAAAAAGTGGCGATGAAAAAAAAAGTTAGTTACTGCGAAAATAAAAGGATGCAAATATAAAAAAGCCATAATGAAAGTGAGCTGCTGGGGACCAATAATGATGATGCACCGGTGTTTTACGATCTACAAGATCGAGAAGACAAGCGAAGGAGTGGAAAGGTTTTTGTTTAATTTCGCTTCGTAAACTTTTTAATGTGTCATTTGATTAGACCATGTAGCTGCTGAGTCCATATGAAGTTGAACTGGAGGATGTCGGTGTAGTGTTAGTTTCAGTAACTTTTTATTTTTTCCATCGACACTTTTTTTTTTACGTGTTTGCAGCAAAGTACGTGTTTTTCTTTTTGGCATTGGTAACTTCTTGTTTTTTTGCATTCTTTTTTATTTGCAGCAGTGGCAGTTCTCGGCCACCGTACATATTGATGTAACAACCCCCAAAAATGTGTCTTCTTTTTTTTTTTTCTTAACCACATAATTTCCTACCCTCCCCATTATTCCCTAAGGATACAGAACAGAAAGACAAAGAAAAAATAAAATAAATAAATGTATCTATATATAAATAAATAAAGAGTACAGAATCAGACAAGTACTTTAAAAAGAAACAAAATGAGAAAGTAAGTAAATAAATAAAACAAAAAAGTAAAAGGCAGCAACAATGATTTTAATGAACTCTATCCAAATGTGTTTACGGCTTTATATGTGATCATATTCATATAAATGCAAACCTGCTAAATTACTAATATCCATCAGTCCCTCTCAAAGAAATTCTCTTATTTTGAAAAATAATGAAGACCAAAAATCTTTAAAGATTTGACCACATTTGTATTTTTCCAAGGCCGACATTTGATTCATGAGGAGCTTGAAAAAAAATCATCTTTTCTAAGTAAAAGTACTAATTTCCTGCATATCCTGCTTTTTTCCCGGTCCAAATGAAGATCCATGCATGTGTCATATTTACATCTGTACAGAATTTACATAATAATCAGATTTACTAATATTTACTGACGTCCAGGAGCTTTAGTTTGGATGTTTCTCTGTTTATTAATGAATGAAGGTCCACCTCCCTGTAACACTGAAGCTCATCACAGGTCTGATTCAGTCCTGCTGTTGTTTTATCACGGCTGTAATAGTAGGAGGATCCAGCAGCTAAACTACAGACACTGAACAACATGTAATTAAAGTTAATTTCTGTTTTAACCCGACGATTAACACGTTAACGCCGACGGACGTAATTACAGGACTGTCATACAACAAGACGTCAGGATCATTAACACAGAATCAGGTTCACTGAGGTGACGAGGAGTTAAAGACCGAGGTAGATTTACAGAACCGCTCAGCAGAACCCTGATGAGAGTAAGTGCAGCCGGGTCTCTTTCAGGAGAACCTCTGCCAGTCATCACACCCCTTTACGGTTCCCTCTCAGTGAATCTATAACGGGCCGTAATCATCACTCAGGACTCTGTGGACCATGAAGTGGACCTTCTCGGGTCAAAGACGCTCTCTGCAGACAGGAGCGTGTCCTTCCTCTTCTCTCGTGACTTTAAAATCTCGCTCTCTTCCTCTGGTGTCGTGGAGTTGTCGATTTCTTCTGCAGCCAATTAACTGCTGTTTCCTTACGTCAGCGTTGGCGCCGCGCAGGGTCATGAAAAAGAGTCAAACTGGAGAAAATTCATCCCCGGCATGTTGATGTTTTTATCACACAGGTTCGGACTGAGACACACTCCTGCACAGATGTTTTAACCTCCTCTAACGTTGAGTACAGGTGTTTGACGGAGAGAGAGTTTCTCTGAAGATGTTCATGAAGGATCTGAGGGTCTTTTTTCAGTGAGGGGGGCTGCAGCTGTAGAAGTTCATGTGTGGGGTTACTAAACCTCTGGTGAGCTGAAAAGATAATTTTTTTTTGGTAAATATTTATTCTCTATTTAACTTTGAAGTTCTTGTTGTTTTTGGAGAAAGGCCCTCCGGAGCCACCCTCAGTTTTTTCATGTGATGAATTATTAAAGTGTCTAAAACTCTTGGATTAATAAAATCTACAATCAGGATCTGCTGGTTCTGAGTTCATCTGTGATTCGCTGCAGTCTGCTGCACCGTTTTTGCTGAAAATGGTCGAACTGTGTTGCAGATTCTGCACTTTTTCTGCTCTCTGTTGGTGCGTTTGATCGTCACATTTTTGGACGAGGCCGTTTCTGCAAACCCCAAGGTTTTACCCGTGCGTGAATCTCAGAGGTTTGGTGTTGAATCATCAATAGAAAAAGAGAAGATGGTTGTGCAGACGGAGAGGAAGTGTCTGAATATGTGGAATAATGAGAGAAAACCCGAGTCCTCAGGGGGTTAAATCTAAACCAGATGAGAGTTAAAGATTCAGACCTGATCACATGATCAGAGGAATGTTTGTTTACATCAGTTCATGGTCGTGTGAATGACAGAAAACGATATTTTCATCGTCACTGAAACGGGGCGCAGGATCTGAGGGTTAAATCCTGGATGCGCTGAATTCGGCGGATCAACGATTTCTCACACTGAGACTCGATTCTCCTCTAAGCTGTCATGGCGGCTGAGCGCCACGAACACGTCACTAAAAATAACTTCTCCTTCGTCTTCATCTTCCTCCCTCCCTCTCCTCAGCAGCTCCCCTCATCTCTGTGTTCCCTGTCGCCATGGAGACGGGAGCTTCACCGAGAGTGTATGATCTGATTGGTCGGTTATTAAGAAATGAAATGATCCGCCCGGCTGCAGGAGACGGCCAATCAGACGGCTTCCCTGCAGCAGACGAGTTTACATCTGCAGACGGCGTCTTTATTCCTCATCAGTGAGAGGGACGGAGTATTAAAGGGACATTCTGGTGTTTTTGTATGACGAGCAGACAGAGACAGAGAGCGTCTTCATCGGTGTCTCTGTCTGACTCTTTGTCTCGTCTCCTTCAGGTGAAGAAGTTGACCAGGTACCTCGATCCCAACGCTCACGGGAGGATCAACTTCAAAGACTTCTGCCACGGCGTTTTCGCCATCAAAGGTGAGAGACGTGCAGAGACGTGAGGCGAGGAAACCAGATTTAAAACTGAACTTTATCCGACCTCTCCCCGCAGGGTGTGAGGAGATCCTGAAGATGGCCGTGGGTCCTCGGGTCGCTCAGCCGTCCAATCAGCCGTCTGTTACCGACAACGGTTACATCTACCAGGTATGTGAGAGAGAGAGGGAAAGAGAGAGAGAGAGAGAGAGAGAGGTGGAGGTGTGGCTTTGTCTCAGCAGCTCAGTTGTGAATGAAGGAGTGTGTGAGAGTCTCTCCTGAACCTCAGTCAGCAGGATCATGGAGGACTCGTGTCCTCGGTCCTCCACCCCGAAGGAGACCGAACGTCTTTGTGGATTTACTTACACTGTGACTGTGGACTGTGGTGGACACGGACACTCGGTTAGTGAGGTGTGAGTGAGATGGGGGGATGAAAAGAGGATAAATATTTAAAGGAACGGAGGATTCAGATCTTTGATCGTGTTGTTGTGTGTTTGGATTATTCATATTTTCACTTCACTGAAGGTTAAATGTGGTTCAGACTTTTTAAAGGATGTTTTTAAAAAGGTTTATTTTCTCTCTGTTTCACCAGCCTGAGTTCAAACATTTTAAAAAGCTGTTTCATCTAAAAGAAACACGATGATCTGATAAAAAAGGAAATGTTTGACCTCTGATCGGCCGCTCAGAGAGAGTTAACGTCTCTTACATGAAGGAGTTTTTACTAAAAACACTTAAATGTTTGTATTTTAAGATGAAAAGACTTTTTTTGGAGCTGGATTAACTCCTCAGATGAAACAGCTGAGCACAGGTGATCCTCTCTCAGGTGTTTTCACTCTCAGGTGGATTGATTACTCACTGACGTCTCCTCGGTGTTGATTCAAAGAAAACAGAGAAAAGTTAAAATATTTACAGAAAATCTGATTTAAAAACTGTAGAAATAAAAGACAAAATAAACAAAGATGTAAAAAAAATCAGATTTCACTAAAATAAAAACTATAATCTGGAAGAATTTACCTTTTTGAGGAGAAACAGGGAAAAGGTCGTGACTCTGAGTTTCTCTCCCCGGAGTTTGAGCTTCATTTACGTCCATAAAGGTTTTCACCTGATTTAACATTCAGGATGTTTTGATGGATTTTTTTTACACACGCCTCCTCCTTCAGACAAAAACACGTGTATAATTCATGAATGAAGATTCACAGACGACCTCAGACTGAGGAGAGCGAGGAGACCGAACGTCTGCAGGAGCTTCTGGAAAATTCTGTTTCTGCAGAATCTTCATTCATCAGGATATCGACCGTTTTTATTTCAGATACAAGTGTGTTGATTTGTCGTGTGTGTGTGTGTGTGTGGTTGTGTGTGTGTGTGTGTGTGTGTGTGTGTGTGTGTGTCACGTTCATTATTGATATCACACTCAGATCTTCGTCGGGGTCAAACTGGATTCAGGAGTTCATGTTCGTGTTTTTGACTCTGACTCCTTTTATTTATTCGTCCAGAACGGCGAGGCCAAGCTGGCGCCTCCAATCATCATGTGTACAAGATCCTACCCAGAATGCAGTGCTGACGGCGAGGTGGACATGGACAGCAGCGCCGAGAACGCCAACGACTCCGACTCTCTGAACCCGACGCGACACGACGGGTGAGTGAAAGAGTCACAGGAAGGTCAGAAGGTCAGAAGACGGAGGAACACGAACCTGCAGCTTTAATAAGAGTTACATCCTGATACTCAAATAATTCACAAACGTTTGAATCTTAAAGTCTTTTTAGATCTTTTTGAACTGAAATAAATCAAAAATCAGTCTGTTTTCCTCTGACCCTCCCGCTCTGTCGTTTAGCCGTCTCAGCGGCTCTGCGTCTGCGTCCGTCATCTCCGGCGAGGAGCAGTTCGAGGACTACGGCGAGGGTGAGGACGTGGACTTCACTCCCAGCAGTCCGTCTCCTGAAGAGGACTCCAGGACTAACGGTTTCTCCGACCTGGGATCCTCCCTCCCCTCCAGGTCAGAGCGCCGACTCTGAAAAGGTTAATTTCCTCCTGACGTATTTTTGCAGTTTTCTGACGTTTCCGTGTTTTTGTTTTTTCCGACAGCGCCGGTCAGACTCCTCAGAAGATGCGTCAGCTGTATAACAGCGAGCTGTTGGATATCTACTGCTCTCAGTGCTGCAAGAAAGTCAACCTGCTGAACGACCTGGAGGCCCGACTACGAAACCTGAAGGCCAACAGGTACGGCGCCTCGACCGTGGGACTCTGAGTTTTATTTTCAGCGTCGATCTTTGTGTTTCCTGTTAACTCTGATCTTTTTTCTCGCTGCAGCCCGAACAGAAAGATCTCCAGCACGGCGTTTGGACGGTGAGTGACCCGACCTTCACGCAGAGTCAGACGCCCGTCCTGTGAAACACTAAATCATCTCTCTGTCACGTGTCTCTGTTTCTCGCTGCAGTCAGCTGTTCCAGGCCAACCACAGCGTGTTCGGCTCCAGTCAGGGCAGCAGCACCGAGGATCTGTTCACCGACAGCATCGACTCCTGCGACCTCGACATCACCGAAAAAGTAAAAACGCAAACTCTCATCAGACGTCAACTGACGACTCGGACACGCAGAGCGCTAAACCGTCACGTTGAAGCCTGTTAAACAAACCGACAGCTGACTAAACCGTTGAACTCTGAGTGACGTGACTTTGTGTCGGGACGTGCAGAAGGTTAAATGTTCTCAGTCTGATCTGAAGCCGCAGATTTCCTAAACGGGTTTGTCTCCCTCAGGTGAGTTACCTGGAGAAGAAGGTGACGGAGCTGGAAGGAGACAGTTTAGCGAACAACGACCTGAAGTCTAAACTCAAACATGAGAACACACACCTGGTACACAGGTAGGACACACACACACACACTTTCAGGAAAACTCACACCGTCAGGTTTACTGTTGTTAAAGACAAGGATCGACATTAAATCTTTCCACATGTTGAAAAAGTAAAGAGCTCACAAAAAACTTTAGGGGAACAATGAAAATTGATCAAATAATGTTTGTCTTATTGGTCGACATCATTATTTAAAATCAATTTTCGGTCTTTTGGTCACATGACATGGAAGCGATTGAAGAAAATGTTCAAAATTTTCCTTTAAATTTAACACAAAATTTTTGGAGGACAACTTAGAGAAACAAAGAGTGAGTCTTAGTCTACGTTCACCCTGCAGGTTCTGATGCACAATCCCAATTTTTTGTTAAATCCGATCTTTTTGTGTGGACAACAACGACCATTGCCATTGCTTTCCACGCCTGTTTGTGTCGTCGAACAATGGTGACGTTTGTCTCATATTGATGACGTAAAGGTCGGATGAACGCGACCTGAGCGTTCAGTCACATCAGATACATATCAGATTTATATCCACATACTAAAGAGGCCTGGGTCGGATTAGAACCAATCAGAACTGACCTGTTCACACTTAGATGAAAAAATCAGATATGAGTCACAGATGATTAAAAAATCAGAACTGACCTGCAGTCTGAACGTAGGCTTATCGTCTGATCTCTGTGCTATTATTTAAAATCAGTTTTAGGTCATTTGGTCATTATGTAAGGGAAGCTATTGAAGGAAAACAGCCTTTTCTGAGAACATCAACACGTAATTTATTGACGGTCCCTTATTTCAACACCAACGTTGACAGTGGGGGTGTCGAGTAGATTTAACCGCGCTGCTGTTGTTATTCCCAGTTATGGAGAGTGAGAAGACACCGGTAGATCCTCAGAGAATGTCCTTCAGATATCCAACCTAAAACTAACTTCACCGCCGTATTTACAGGAAAATATATCCAACCTGAAACTAACTTCACCGCCGTATTTACAGGAAAATATATCCAACCTGAAACTAACTTCACCGCCATATTTACAGGAAAATATATCCAACCTGAAACTAACTTCACCGCCGTATTTACAGGAAAAAACATTAGTTGATTTTTTTTTAAGAGCACATGTGACCCTAAATACATTTTACAATTCGCACACATCTATTTTTAGTCACAAATGTCAGTGAAACGGTCGCACTGTCGACCCCTAAAGGGTAAAAAATATATCGCCTCATGCAAAAGCTGCAGAGTTTAATCGTTTTTCTGCGCTCTGCATTTTTATACAACCAAAATGCATTAATCTTTCTGTGTGTGTGTGTGTGTGTGTGTGTGTGTGTGTCTCAGGGTCCACGAGCTGGAGGAGCAGGTGAAGGACGCGGAGACGAGGGCGGATCAGACTCTGGAGGACGAGATGAAGCGACACAGAGAGGCGTACACCAAGATGGAGAGGGACAGAAACACGGAGATAGATCTGCTCTGTACCAGGTGACCTCCTCAGAAACACGCCGTGACGGGACGTTCACACCTGTACGGGTCTGAACACGAGTCTCAAACGAACAGATCCTCCATGAAAAGTCCTCCTCCTGCTGCAGACTCTCTTTTTGAAGGTCCCGCTCCTCTGTCAGGTTCTGATGTTGGTGTTTCTTCTCAGGGTTCAGCTGCTAGAAGAAGAAAACGGTCAGATGAAGTTAAACGTCTGCAGACTCAAGTCCCAGACGGAGAAACTGGACCAGGTGAGCTGGATTCACAGAGAACCAGACCTCGTGTTTTCTGTTTTTTTTCTGACCTTCTCGCCGTTTTTTGTTTGTTTTGTTCAGGAGAAACAGAAAATGACGGACAAGCTGGAGGACACGAGTCTGAGGCTGAAGGACGAGATGGACCTCTACAGGAAGATCATGGACAAGCTGTGGCAGAACCGCCACGAGTTCCAGAAGGAGAAGGAGGCCATGCAGGAGGTGACGAGCCCTGCTGGTTATCAGAGGTACTGCAGCAGAAACATGAACCTGTTCGCTCACTGATCGTTTTTTTCTCTGCAGCTGATCGACGACCTCCGTCGGGAGCTGGACTACCTGCAGTGTTTCAAACTGGAGATGGAGCATCCGGGGAAGGGGAAGAGTCTGTCTGAGCTCAACGCCAGAACCAGAGAGCTGGAGATGGAGCACGAGGTCAAGAGGCTGAAGCAGGTAAAAACTGGACCGACCGGTTAAATGTCGGTGAATCTGAACTCCCCTCCGATAAATCTGTTTTCGTTTCTTCCTCCTCAGGAAAACCACAAACTGCGAGATCAGAACGACGACCTGAACGCTCAGATTCTCACTCTGAGTTTGTACGAAGCCAAAAACTTGTTCTCCTGTCAGACGAAGGCGCAGTGCCTCGCCGCCGAGATCGACAACGCCTCCAGAGACGAGGTCAGTGAGCGCGGCGGTCAGAGAGGAGTTTCACGAATGTTTCAATTCAATTCTTCTTCTTCACCTTCACTCAAGATGAACTTTTCCCTTCCTTTCTCCTTCTTTCCTTCTTCTCTTCCTTCCTTTCTTCCTTTATTCGCCTTTTTCTGTTTTTCACTGTTTTTTTTTTTCTGTCTGTCCTTTTTGTTTCCATCTTCCTTTTCTTCTCTCTTTATTTTCCTTCTATTCCCTCCTTCTTTTCTCTCCCTCTCTCGCTCTTTTTATTTTTGGCTTACTTGTTTTTCTCTCTACAAATCTGTGTTTGACTTCCTGTTTTCTTTCTTCCTTTTCTTTCTCTTCTGTTTTGACCCCCCATCTCTCCCTCTCTCTCTCTCTCTCTCTCCCTCTCCCTCTCCCTCTCTCTCTCTCTCTCTCTCTCTCTCAGCTGGTCGACGCTCTGAAGGAGCAGGAGGAGATTAATCTCCGTCTGCGGCAGTACATGGACAAAATCATTCTGGCTATTCTGGACCACAACCCGTCCATCCTGGAGATCAAGAACTAAACACACACACACGCGCGCACACACACACGTGCGCACACACACACACACACACGTGCACACACACACTCACACACTCACACACCTGTGTTATCCTGTAGTCGTGGGTTTCTCATCACGGACTCTCGGCTCCTTCCTCACGTTGATAATCATGAAGATTTCCGTTCTGGTTGTTTTTGTGACTCCAGAATAAAATGATAAAAACTGGATCGATCAGGATTTCACTGATAAGAGGAGGAAAAGAAAAAACGTGTTTGATTAGATGAGAATTTTAACTTTAAAGCGGAGCTTCAGTCCTGAATGTCTTAAATGTTCTCACTGGTGAATTAAACATGTTCACAGATATAATCAAACACCGACTCTGAACAGCACCTGAACACGTCTTCATGAGGAGATCTTTGACTCACTGTAAAAGTTCCTGTGCCATGTCTCATCCGCTCACCTCAGTCTTAGAGTTAGTGAACAGAATTAGGATTTAAAGGAGCCGTTTATCGCTCCAGGTTCAGATTTTTACTTTATTTCACTTCAAAAAAGAGAGAAAATATAAAAAACGTGACACTGAAGCACTCTCACGCTCTGTTTCCAGCTTCTCACCCTTTAATTTGACGAGCGTTTACGTGGTTAGTGTCCGTTAAAGTATCTGAGGGACGATCCAGCGCTGTGACTCGCACCTTTAACCTGAACGACTTCCTCTTAGAGGGACGATAACGTGCCAAAAGTGACGATAATGTGCCAAATCTGAACTTTACACTGTGTTCACGCTGCAGAAGGGTCTCAAAAAGGTCAGTTTACCAGAATATGACAAACCAAAACCAGCTCTGATTGGCCGTCAGCTGTCACATGTCACCTGTGAGGCAGCAGCAGTTTAGCTTCTTCTTTAGTGCTCACATCAGCAGGTTTTTAACCTGAATATATGAGAGGTGATCTATAATGAACAGGTGATAATGAGGGTTATAATCTGGACAGGGGGAGCAGACTTCACTCGACTTTATCGTAGACATAAAAGTCGACATAAAATATTGATTTTAAGATTATTTATTAGTGCGGCTGTAGAAACGTTCCCTCCAGTTTAAACAAACTTTACTGCTCTCCTTTTCTGTAAACAAACTGACCTCAGCTGCCAGTGCACGGATTGCAGGACAGGATGTTTCTCCACTTTTCTCAGTCAGAGATGATCCTCACCTGCTCCAGCTGAATGTCAGTATCTCCTCACTCTAAAACCAGCCGGAGACGAACTCTGAGGATCTGTGAATAAATCACCACTGAGGAGGTTCTGACCAATCACAATCAAGCATTTATCAAAGCCGGGAATTAATGATAAAAATCAGTTTAGTTTTTAAAAAATCTAAACAAAACCAGTAGAGGATTGGCAGCAAACTAAACCTCTTTATTCTCGGGTTTATCTGGATTTAAAGTGTAACTGAGTCTCGCTCTGAATTCTTACCTGACATGATTTCCACTCACACCGACAGTGTGGCGTAAAAAAAGCTCCTTAAACACGATGCACTAACGCACAGGTGTGTAACCCTGAGGAGAGCACCATAAATTAAAGTTTTGCTTCATTGCACAAAATGTTCACCTCATGATGTTTTATTTGCTTGTTTACATTTAAGGAGGTGTAAAAATCTGATTTTTCCATCGTTCTGATTGTACGTGATCTTTTTTTATACTTGACATTTTCACTCGACGACAGCGTGTTTGTGGTTTCATACGTTGTAAATGTTGTATAGCTGCTATTCTGTGCCCGTCACTCCACTTATTTAAAGCGTATCTCAGAGTTTTCACACTGAATAAGATATTTGTTGTAATCAGTATTATATAGCACTCTGAAAGTGTCTTAGCCAAATATTTACCCTGAGGATTATTATTATTATTATTGATCATAATGGAAAAAAAAAAATCATCCTGTCACGACTCATGTGTTCACTTTATTTTACTCGTGTGTTGCACATGGAATTATGGGAGACCAAACTAAATGTGTAAATAAAATTCACTCGCTTTGGCATGAAAACGTTGTCTGTGTTTTATTTATTCTTTATAAATATATTATATTATATATTCTTTATTATATTATTATGTCAGCAGTCAGTAACAACCTGTTCACAGACAGTGTTTTTAAACCCATGTGGTGATTTCCACTTCAGAGTCCTGACTGTTTTTAACACCTGCCTGAAGATCAGGACCATTCAGTATGTTTTTTTTTTGTCTTTGTTACTTTTGAATAGAGATTTAGTTATATTATAAAATGTGTAACTGTTGAACTGTTAGCTCACGCAGTCTTTCACAGAAAGGTGAACCTCTTCCATTTCTCCTCCTGACAGTCTCAGTCTCTCTAAATGTCCTTTTTATATCCACTCATGTCCTCTCACTACTTCTTGGAAACATGTTTCTGCTGCTTTCAAATTGAAAATTATCATTTTCTTTTCATCAGACCTGAACAGTTTTCAGTTTGAACATTTTATTTGTTGTCTTTGCACAGTTTCCAATGCAATATAGAATTTATGTCATTTGCAAACAGGAATGGGAACAGAGAACTGTTTTTGTAAACATTTTATACTTTTATGTTTATGAGAAAATGTGAAATTATCTAGAAAATGCTTAGTTGTTCCTAAAACTCTGTTTGGTTGTTCCTAAAACCAATTTAACTGGCACCAGATTTCAAAAATGCAAATATCTTTTTACACAAAACTATATGTATATATTTTTTTGTATGATCATATGTTAGATTGTCTTTGCTCAGTTTTCAACATAAAGAGTTTAAATTATATAAATCTATTTTTATCAACATTTTTTTATATATTGAGATGTGACCTACGTTTTTACGACGGAGTATTAGAGCCACATTAAGAAAAAAAAAGAAGACTTCAAGAAAATTAAGAACTCGAGATTAAAGTCATTAATTTACGAAAATAAGTCATAACTAACAAGAATGAAGTCATACTAAAGTCAAATTAATTACTTACGGGAAAAAAATCATAATAAAATCATTATTATACTTACGATAATGTGCGGCTGATGTGCCAAAAGATAAAGTATTCCCTTGTTTAAGAACATTTATTAAAGTACATTTTCACGAAATGCTCCCTGGCTCTTATTTTAACAATTATCATCTTAAACAACAGGTTAGATATAAGGACTTTATTCTGACTTTACTCTCGTAAGTGAAAGATTTAATAAAACTTCATTCTCATAGGTAATTATTTTGTTACGACTTTATTCTTATAAGTATTTACTTTATTACGACTTTATTCTCATAGGTAATTACTTTACGACAACGTCATTCTCTTGGTAATTATTTTGTTACGACTTTATTCTATTATTATTACTATTCATTATTATATTAAATTAATTACTTTAATCTCAGAGTCTTAAATGTTTTTTTCTTAATGTGGCCCTAGAACTCCGTCTTAGTCTTTGCTCTGTTTTCATCATAAAAAGTTTAGATTATATTAATCTATTTTTATCAACATTTTATTTAGCTTTTTATTGAGTTATTTTGTTTACAACTTTTATTGGGTTGTGGCGTACGTTTTGTCCCGTTTTTCAAAGTTACAAGTTGCAGATTTTTTCCACGTTTATTACTTTCTTGATGTCATGTTTTAAGAGCCTTTCTGGTCTCTTTATGTATTAATGGTGCTTTAAAAATAAACGAGCCTGTCTGGTCCTGCTGTAACACTCCAGGGCAGCAGGTGGCGGTACTGATGTTCCCGCCTCCGTTTGTCCGCCGCCAAAACGCTCATTTCACAGAAGGAGTATTTTTCTTTTCGGAAGAAGATCCTCACAAAGCGGCCCCTATTTCTGTTCAGCCGGAGAAAAAGAGTCAAAAGAACCTGAAAACCGACGATGTACGCCAGGACCAACACCGGCAGCACACACGGAGACTTTCAGGACAGAAACGGAGTGAATTATGTGACATCCACGGAGTCTTTCGGCCACTGCTCTCAATTGTTCTGGAAAAAAGACCCGAGCGACTCCGGAGTAAGAGACCCGCTGCTCCCAAACACACACACTCTCACTGAAAAGATGCATGAAAACTGTTTAATTCTGCACAGGAAGGTCAGGGAACTGCAGGAAACAGAGTTTAAACAGCTCCGGGGGTTTTAAACCTATGGTAAATATGACACAGAGAAGCTAAGTTAGCTTGTTGCTAACGCACCGACCGTCATGCTGTGCTCGCGGCCTAGTCCTGCTCGTAGCTGCTAAGCTAAGTAGCCGATAATATTGATGATAATAATGATCAATTTTGACCCAAAACCTCAGCTGTTATACTCGTTTTAGTAAGGTTAATGAAAACTGCTGTATTAGTCATCATTTTATCACCGTTCATGTTAGTTTTTAAGTGACATGTTGAGTTAAAACAGCCGCAAAGTAGCCTAGCATCACCATGCCAATGCTAACAGTAATAACAGAGGAGCTGGGTTCAGTCAGGGGCGTGTACAAGGGGGCCGCTGAGGGGGACAGGGGCCCCTTTAAAATCACCCATGAGTGGATTAATGTTCACAGTCCTGTCAGAGTTTAACAATAATTAAATTTAATATGTTTTAGCGAGCAGCTGTTAGTTTGTTTTTAGATGTAGTTTAAGTCTCTCGGGCAGTAAAATAATTTCTACCTCCCGTATGTTTCGCACTATAAGGAGCACTTAAAATCCTTTTGGTTTGTCGGAGCGCTGCAGCTACGGTAGCCTCACAGAGTTAATGAGTTAAATAAAGTTTGACTTATCTGACTGTTTCGCTTGGTTTAATGCACTTTATAATCCGGTGCGCGTTATAGTGCGAAAAATACTGTATTTTGTATCGGACAGGTGAGCACATGAGAAGTCAGACCACCAAAGACTAAGGCAGTAAATCCCGGCACACTTTCTGTTTGAGTCACTGTAGTTAGTTTGACGTCTTTTACATCCCTCACACTGGGATAATGTATGAAAGTAGTCCTGTAAAGATTTGTTACAGAACTCAGTGTCTGTAGATTTTTGCGCCTCTGTCAGTAGCCCCGTTTATATGGGTAGTTTTCCTCAATCTGATTGATATCAATCGGATTAAGTGAATCTGATTCCATCTGTATACATGAACTTTAAGTAAAGAGATCCACGTTCAATCCGCGTTTGCATGGCCCCAGCTGAATCCGATTGTATTGTTTTTTTTTACATGCGCAGAAGGTCACTCTGCCACTATCTGTAAATGTGTAGAAGAAGAAGAGGTGCACTTCCGGCTTCCTGTTTACCTGTAGAAAGGTGGATCCATGTCATGTTTTGTTGGGGACACTTATTGTGTTGTGGTTACATTTATTTGCGGTAAAAGTTTGTCTCCTCCACCGTCCAGTTTTTCTGTTGGTTCGCCATGTTTGTTTTCGTTTGGGCGCGCTCTGCGTACGTCACTACGTGCCTCTTGCGTACTACGGAGCATCTGCGCAGACCGAACAAGCCTCTCTGTAAACCCAAACCCAATGTTTTTTATTACAATAAATGTAGATTCGAGTCGAGGTTCAGCGATTGTTAAACTCTGGTATCAGTGTGTAAATTACAGGGATGTCATGCTCAAAACCAGCTGACCGCTGACTCTGATCAAATTTTAATTACTGAATATTTTCTGTTGAGGAGTCCTGCTCTGATATCTGTATTTTGGTATGATAATAACTGGCACACCATTAATTCAACAAAAGCATGATATTTGAATTTAATATGCTGTTATTTTCAAACTAAAACTAACAAAAAAGATTTTACCGTTTACTCTTTTTTTGACACAGTATTAATTTTAGCCTCAGACTTCAAATAAAACATTTGATTCGACCATAGATGTATTATTTTTCAAACATAGATGTTCAGTAATCACGAGTCTGCTGTCTGTTTCCTACTCATCTAATTATTTCCATATGGCCAACATGTGTAAGCTGTTAGATGCACACAATTAAAACACCATTATTAGGCTGATGTATATCCATAGAAATGTTAATGTCCTGATGCCATTACCTGTAACAACCGATATCGTGCATCCCTGAAAATAATTTAAGTAAACAAACCAAAAATGTAATTTAGCCTTTAGGTTAGTGAAAGTGATTTGCATATCTCAGTCTAGTGCGGTGACGAACATCCGAGCTCCACACGTCTGAAGTAAAACTAACATGTTTGAAATCACCTCATTTGTTGTCATTAACTTCGCTGTCTGGTAAAGAAGGCAGAGACTTAAATGTGTGTAGACGACTGAACAGACTGTGGATCAAAAACCTGCTCTCGTCTGTCACAGACCTGAGCCGCTGTTAGAAAGTTCAGAATTTCACCTCTTTTCTCTGTGATTTTTTCAGGTCTGTTTGCTCTCTTGAGGATATTTGTTCTGTCTCTACGTCACACACTCTCACGCTTTAATGATCAGTTTATTCTCCTGTATGTTTAGTTTTTAGGCGGCATGCCTCATTGGTTGTGTTAACTGCAGCGCTGTTTGTATTACATATATTAACATGTGTGGACTGTTGTCACTGTCTAGGTTTTTAAATTTTTATGCGAGATGTTTCAGTCACATGGGCGAGACGTTCTGCAGCATATCGAGCTCAGTTTACAGCAGCCGGTGTAACTGATCAGGGTGAGATATTCTGCCGATCCCTGATCAATTAGAAATCAGCTCTGATCAGCTGACCTGACAGCTCATACTGACGCAGATTGTTTTGGCGTTTCCTCATCGCTATTCTTCAAATGAGTCATGATGTGTTTAAAGTGTTTCCGGTAGTTTCGCCTGTTGAAGTGTCACTGGAACGGTGTGGTGCTGATTGTTCTCAGAGGTGATTCATTTGATTAATTTTGATCATGAAAATCAGCAGCCGCTCATGTTAGTTAGAAAGCTTAATTTTATACAGTAAGATGCCAGTGAGTGTCGGTGGGTTATTTCCTGATGTGTCTAAACAGCAGAAATCATCCTCTCTGCCTGAGTCGGTGTCTCCTGCTGGGCCACCCCACCTTCAAAAGTCTGGACACGCCCCTGAAATCAGAGCCTGATCAAACTGGGACAGCGGAGCGTTTCATTCTGGGTAGAACGGCGTGTACAAAGTCTTAAAAAAGCCCGTCCAGCACTTAAACTTGAAGTGTTTTATTAAAGCTCTTACGGCTCGAATATTCACATAAAGCTGCAATATTGTTCGCCGGCAGCGCAAAGTAAACATGAGCAGGCTGTCCCACAGGAAACGGGGAGCGGAAGACGCCCCGTTGAGGACTCTGAAAGACCTCTTTGTGATGCCAGACTGTGTGCTTCATTCATGGCTGCTCTCAGCTCACAGACTATCTGCTCAGCGCACACACACACACACACACACACACACACTAACACATCACTTCACTTCATATGTTTGGAAGGTTTCTGAATTCGACTCTTAGGACAGGTATCGTTCACCGACTCGCTCATGATCAGCGGTTCGTTTGTTTTCACGTCCGTCCCAAACTTTGGCGTTAAGAGACGACGGCGTCATTTTAAATGTCTTTCACCTGAAGTTTCTCGCTCTAGTTTGAAATGATGTGACACCTTGAAAAAGTCCACAAAGGCAGATTAAGAGTAAATGCTTTCATGATAGACTCCGTCTAAAAGATGACCTCTTCTTTTCGCTGCACGCTCACTCAGATGTTCATTATGTCCTTAAAATGGTTCATCGTCTGATCGTTGAACCGCTGCAGCAGAGAGAGCTGAAAACTCCATCTAGAGCTTCAGTTACTAAAACACTAACAGACGCAGACAAACTGGAAAAATGAGGGGTGCAGAGTTTTATCAGCAAACAGATAACAGAGCGACGACGACAAGAACAGTCGATATCAGCTGATGTGAAAGTTTCTGCACTGTTAAAAGTCACCCTTCTGTTTCTGCTCAGACTCAGCTGTTGTTTTGTTGGACAGAGCTGCTCCATCCTAAAGCTTTAAGTTTGTATTTGTATTTTTACTCTGAAAAGACGAGGGGAAGACCTGCTCTACCTTTTTGGCACCCTTCAGCTGGAATAACCAAGATTTCATTAGGCTGCAGTAAAAATGGACAAACACGTTTGAAGAGAGAGTCATTCCAATGTTTGCTGACCTTCCTCTGGATCGGTGTGCGTCCTTTAGTTGTTGTTGTTGTCTTCTTCTCGGTGAGATGTTTCCATCAGAGCGAGGTTTACAGCTCTGACCAGGTGAAGGCAGGTGTAGCTGCTGAAACACAAGGTCAGAGTCAACTGAACTGAACTGTGTCTGTTGGTGAAGAGGGAAAAGAGAGAGATGGATGTACCGGCTCTCTGCTGTATCGATCAATACTGGACTGATAAACTTAAAGACTCTGCATGATCATCTTCATCAGGAGCCGTCAGAGTTTGGTCGGGTTCTTGTTTCTCATGCAGATGAAGTGGACAGAGTTGCTGTCCGTGGTGCTGAGCTGCTTTTCTCCAGAGCTGCTCACAGTTTCATTTTCATCTGTGAAGTGATGAAGTGACCAGAGTCTCTGTGTTTGTGAAAGTGTTCAGGTTCTTCGAGTGCTGATCCAATTTAATTATGTAACAAACGTCACAAATCACGTTTACTCCTCATGTCCTGATATGAATCACATAAGAGTCGCTAAGATGAAGTTTTATCAGGAAGAAAAAGTTCGATCTTTCTCCTCACCTGTCACGTTTCCTCTCCTCCGACAGCCGAGTTCAACCATCAGCTGGTGCGATCAGCTCCCCTCGTCCTCCGCCGCTCTCTCCACCTCCAGCCTCTCCTCAGCGTCTCTCTCCAGCTCCAGCCTCTCCATGGAGTCACGGGCGCCCGCGGCGGCGTCGGCATCTGCGTCTGCATCGGCAACGACGGCGACAGACGACATGGAGTCAGACGAGAGGCCGTACGTGTGCGATCTCTGCAGCTGCGCCTACAAACACGCCAGCTCTCTGCTCAACCACAAACTCACCCACAAGACTGGAGACTTCAGGTGAGGATCTCGGACTCTTTAACATCAGATTAACGTCTTCAAGTCACTTCCTCTCACCTTTAACTCTGTGACTTTCTTTCAGGTGCGACTTTTGTAGCAAGCCCTACACCAACTACATGTCCCTGCGAAACCACATGAGAATCCACGGGCAGAAACGTTACATGTGCGACCTTTGTGGGAAGGCCTTCCGCCTCGCCAGGTACCTCCGTAACCACCAGAGGATCCACGACGATGGACCCAACCGCTTCGACTGTCCGTCCTGCTGTAAGAGCTACAGGACCATGCTGGAGCTGGCCCAGCATCGCTGCACAGCCGCCGCGACCAACCAGGTGAGTCTGCGAGAGGAGCGGAGGGGGCGTCGGTCTGCAGTGACATCTACAAAATCAACAATGTGGGAAAAAGGGCCTGAGAGCTCGATGGTTTTATATCCTGACCTGTGAGACTTTAGATTTAGGAACTTCTGGTCGTTAGTGCGCTCTCTCTGATAGAATCACAGAGGACCATGAAGCTCTAAATCAGCTGTTTCCTCTGTCCGTCACTCCCCTTTGTTCAGCATTTCTTCAGCGGAGTCAAAGATCATTTTTGTCTTAACTTTGGTCAGTGGGGAGGGAGAGAGGGAATGAGACACACCAGGATCGGGACTTAATCCTCAGACTGTTGCTCCTGCATATCCTCCTGAGCCAAACCGGCCCCCTAACAACGATCACAACCTGGATTTTGGTCTTTAGATCTGTTCTCCAGATGTCCTGCACATCCTCACTGCTCCTCATTTGTTCATATGATCGAGCAGGATGAGACCAGATCTCAAGGTCTTTGTTCTAAGGTGCATTAAAGGGATATTCCGGTGTAAAATTAATTTAGGGTCAAACACACAGTAACGCCGAGTTAGACACCCCCTCCAGAGATGAATGTTGCCGACCGCTTGTTTCTCTAGTTATACCAACTTTAGTAACGACCATTAACAACTGTGGCAGGGTGTCACAGCTCAAGGAAGAACATTTATGATCATTTCTTCATGGAAATACAATCAAACCGCTAAGACGCTAAGACAGAAGAACTACAGCGTCTGTAAAATGATTAATATGATGATTATTACTTCAAGTAAATAATAAAGAAATGATCATAAATGTTCTTCCTTGAGCTGCAGCACCCCGCTGTAGTCCGTAATGGACTGGCCTGAGGTCTCACTACAAACAAGCGGCTGCTGGAAGAGAGTAGGTGAGTTGTGTTTAGTCTCTTTGCTAAAGAAATGAGTCAAAGTTAAAAAGATGTTTGGTGTCTAGTACTATGGCTGTGACCCTATATGTCCTGTTGATGAAGTTAGGTGCTGTTCTGAGCATTATTTGTGGCTATAGAGTGGCGTTTTGGTTGAGCGCGTAGCTCTCTGTATTACTATCCTGCGGTCATTACTAAAGTTGGTATAACTAGAGAAGCAAGCGGTCGACAACATTCATCTCTGGAGGAGGTGTCTAACTCGGTGTTACGGTGTGTTTTACCCTAAATTAATCTTTGTGCACACTCAGCAACTAGCTTGAGGTATGTTTGCAAGTAGAGGAAATCCAGAATATGTTGTCGGATGCACAGATATAACAGATTTGGGTATGTTGGACACTAAAAACAATCTCAGTGTGCAGAGACTTGTAGTCAGGCTTGGTGCACTTGGATGAAGACTCAGGTTTACGAGTCGCTCAACGTGAGAGATACGACTAACTTAGTCTCAGCTCGTCTCAGCCCAGGACGTGTTGCTTTCACTTCCCTGCGAGCGCTCCTCTCTCTTTCTCGTCAAACTGCTTGATGGAATTTTCAAATTGAAGTCCTGCCGGCTCTGCGCTGCTCTTTTGACCCGCTTTGAGTGGAGTCAGATCTTTCCTTCAATGATTCATGTTCCTGAGCTCTCTGTGGCATCACTCTGCAGCTCTGTGTGAAGGAGCTCTGCGGTGTCCCTGTGCAGCTCTTCATGTCTTCAGGTCTGACATGCTGCTGCTTTAATAAAAGAGCTTTGAGTGGATGTGCTTCAGCCTTCAGGAGGTGGAGGACGTCTTTAGAGGCTACAGCAGCAGAATTTTAAACTTTAATGTTCAGGTTAATATTAGACTGCCGTCCTCCTGCAGCACCGCTCACCTGCTCTGATTTATCTGCACCGCTGCTCATGAAACGTCAGAGACGGTGCAGGTCCATCAGTCAGATGAAGAGGCTTTTACTCCTGACCTGACCATGAAAAGTATGAGGGGAAAAAGAGAGATGCAGATGGGACTGTTAAGAGTCTCCCTGCTTCCTCACAGGTGAGCTGTCGAGTAAAACAGCCGCTCCCTACCAAGTCAACATACAGCCCCATCTAATGTGAAAAAGTGATGGCCCGAATCCACACTATACAAGCACAGCATCGATCCAGAGTAGTTTACCTCACACAGGTCATCCAAACATTTTTTTGGCCTCTCAGATCTTTTTAGAAAATAAACCCTCTAAAGGTCCGTAAAAGAAGCCCTCCTCAGGTCCTGAAAACAGTTTCTGTCCTCTAGAGGGTCCTCCTGGAGACCTGGGGTTTGTGTAAAAATGTGCATGTTTTTAAAAGCATCATGTTCTATTTATTAGACAGACTGTTTGTGCATGTAACACACTGTAACACAATGTAATATTCTGTAACACTACAAGACACTGTAACAACCTGTAACACACTGAAACATTCTAGAACACTATAACACACTGTAACACAATGTAACATTCTGTAACACTTTAATACACTGTAACACACTAAAACATTCTAGAACACTAAGACACTGTAACAAACTGTAACAGACGGTAACACTATAACAAACTATCCCAAACTGTTACACACTGTAACACACTTTTACATTCTAGAACACTGTAACATACTGTAAGACACTATAACACAGTGTAACAGACTGAGACAGACTGTTACACTATAACAAACAATAGCAAACTTTAACACAACATAAAACTATAACACACTGTAACAGACTGTAACACACCATAACATTCAGGAACACTATAACATACTGTAACACACTGTAACATTCTAGAACACTATAACACACTGTCACAAACTGTAACAGACTGTAAAAAAGTGTAACAGACAGTAACACTATAACAAACTATCCCAAACTGTAACACACTATAACATTCTAGAACACTATAACATACTGTAAGACACTATAACACACTGTAACAGACTGAAACAGACTGTAACAATATAACAAGCGATACCAAACTGTAACACACTGTAACAAACTGTAACACACTTTTACATTCTAGAACACTGTAACACACAGTAACACATTGTAACTGTAACACACTGTAACTATAACACACTGTATCTGTAACACATTGTAACACATTGTAACACATTGTAACACATTGTAACACACTGTAACACACTGTAACTCTAACACACTGTATCAGACTGTAACTGTGCCTTCTCTCCTGCAGCAGCCTGCCTCACACTCCTCCTCTTACAGCTGCTGCAGTTCAGGGTTAGTTTAGAGTTAGGCTAAGTTTAGGGAAAGGGTCAGGGTTTAGAAACACTTCAGTGGATTCTCTCACAAGTATAGTAATCCAAATTTATGTGTGTGTGTGTCTGTGCGTGTGTGTGTGTGTATATGTGTGTGTGGGGTTGATAATAAGAACCGGTTCAACTGCCCGTCCTGCTTTAAGAGCTACAGAACCATGCTGGACCTGGCCCAGCACCGCTGCAGCGCCGTGGCCAAAAACCAGGTTGGTGTGAGCGTGAGTGAGAAAGTGTGTGTCGAACGTGTGTGTTTGTGTGTGTGTGTGTGTTTGAGGTGGAGTGAAGTGTAGCTGTTAGGGACGACAACGTGAAGAGCCTTAGATTTACAATCAGGAGCCAGATCGTCCGAAACGGTTGCTCTGGATCGGGTTTAAAGCGGTTTTTACATTTTTAGACAGAAAACTGAATTTGGCATCAAAACAAAAACAAAAACAAATGAGTGAAGACATCTGACCTGACCGTGTTTTTGAGATGAATCAGACGAAAAGTACAAAATGTTCTTTGGTCTTTATTGTATTTTGAACCTGTTACAGCTGAGATCGGGTCAGTTTTAGTTCATGCTGATCCGCTCAGGTTAAAGAATCTGGATTTAAAATCGAAGTTCAGCTGAATCTCGACGCTCGTGATTTTGCTAAAGGAAGAAATTCATCGTGTGGTATACGAGGCAGGATCAGACGTGAAGTCTATTTTTATCAGTCTAGAGCTTTGAAGGGTTTTTGCTGGTTTCTGGTCTAAAGTCTGCAGCTGCTGTTGTCATAGAGATCAGGCGCAGCTTGTTGTAAATGTTGAAGCTGACAGTCTGAGTGACTGTGTGAGTGTTTGTGTCTGTGTGTTTGCACACTTTGTGACCACTCCATCCACTCATACTGACAGGTGTACAGAGAGAGGGACGGTAGATATCAGCTGTAGACGTTTAAAGATCCAGCAGAGCGAGAGAGGGGAGAAGAATCGGGTTCAGTGTGAGAAAGATTTCATCACACTCATCTGTCACCTCTCCTCCTCTGTTTCTGATCTCTCTGCACAAACACTCAGCATGAAGACCCCACTCATTACAGAATCCTTCCTCCTCCCCTCCTCTTCTTCCTCTTTCCATCCAGTCCGGCGGTCGTCGCTCCAACTACTCCAACGCTCGCCGTCAGCAGCAGCAACAGCAGCAGCAACAGCAGCAGAACAATGCGAACTCCATGATGCAGCACGGAGGACACGGCCAGCAGGACGCTCTGCCCCCGCACTGCGTCTCCCCGATGTCACAGCCAGGCCAGCCGGACCCCCACCAGGTAAGGACCGGAAACTCTTGACATAAAGGTGGCCTCATCTACAAGTTCTGACACAGGTATGATTTAAAGCTCCTGTGGGGAACTTGCAGAGACGTTTAAAGCTCCACAGCTGACACCGACGCGAGTAAAAGAGTAAAAACGGTCGGTCTGATCTCTGATGGTCCCGAAGTTCATAAACATTAAAAATGTCTAAGCCGTGCCGTGCGAACAGACTGCTGTGGTCGTAACTGAGGACTGTTTTTAACCTTGTTGAAAGAGTTCGTCAGGGTTGCAGTTTGTTAGTAGAATCACGCTACTCTCACAGTTCATTAATAGAATCACGCTACTCAAGTTTAATCAAGTCTTATCGAAGCGGAGAGGACTCGCTGGATTCATGCAGACTCGGTGTGTAACGATGCTGCTGCTGCAACACCACCGTTATTACACCTGATTATACCACCGTTAAAAAGGGATTAATTTAGTAGTTTCCTTTGAGATTGATCAACCTTTTTCTTTAACATTTACTTTGTACTCTTTCGTTAACTCACATTCTCCCCTTTTTTTCTCGTCTATACTGCTGTATTCCTCGACTCATCTTCTACTTTAAAATCGGTGTTTCTTGTACAAAACACCTCACGATATAAGTATGAATTCACCATCATTTGTGTGTCATTAAATAGGCGACCAGAAGAAGCCTATACTTGCTAGCTCGCTGGCTAACATAGCCAACTCTTAACCCTGTTAGAAAAAGTAAGAAAAAAAAAAATATATATATATATTAAAAATGTCTCCACAGGAGCTTTAGTCATCCTCAAATGTGCCGTCACTTGGGTTGCAAAATTCTGGGAATTTTCAAAGTTGGAAACTTTCCACGAAAATAAATATAGTTGGTGAAAATATATTGTAACATAATCTTTGCTAAAACAACCAGATTTAATGTTAGTCCACTCCTCCATCACATGATTCACAGATGATTTCTTGAACCCTGGAGGTCACACTTCTGAGGCCAAAGCACAAGACATTTTATTAGTATAATATTATGGGTTAAATATAATGATCTATAATGGTATTAATATTTAACTTGTAAAAATCAAATAAAAATAGGTGCTGATTTAAGCTATTTTTCATTTCATTGACCATTTAAAGCGATAGCTTATCATGGCGGTGGTAGCGACCTTAAATATGATGCTGTTTCTTCAGACTTCTGACAGACGGTTTTCTGTAACCAGACAATAATTTAAACATCAATTATCAAATATTATGAAGACCATTCCAGTTGTTTAGCCGACTATGTTTCTGTTCATTCCATTGCATTATTGTTTTTACAAGATTTTTTATTATTTTATTCTACAGAAAAACGCCACGTTCACCATCTGATGTGTGTCGTGTTTTTAAATTGTATTATTTTGCATGGATGTCTACAAAAATATTAACATTTATGTTTGGATATGATATAGTTTGTTAAATTACCCCCAATAATTCCCATAAATTCCCAAAATTCCCCAGCTTAACTTCACATGAAAAGTTACTGAAAATTAACTGGAAAGTTTTCCGCCCCTTTGCAGCCCTGGCTGTCACTTATTTGATGAGATGAGAAATGAGGCTGAATGTGTCGTAACCAGGAGAAGAGTGTGTGCTGAGCTGCATGTGTTTGTGTGTTTTTGTGTGTGTGTGTTCCTGCAGGGTCGTCCCAGCTCGGTGTCGTCTCAGAGCAGCCAGCAGAGCATGAGGAGCTCGTCCTCCAACAAACACGTCTCCTCCTCCAGCGCCGCCCCGTCCTCCTCCTACTCCCTGCTGCAGCCCCTGGTGCCTGAGGTAAAGGAGATGAGCTCGGGATACACTAGGCTGAGCGCCAACCCCATGGTAGGAGAGAGAGAGAGCCGCCACACACCCCTGCTGTCCGCTGTCTGCAGGCTAGCTGCCTAGCTACCTTCTCCCTGTCTGCCTACTAACACCAGGAGAGAGGGACCGATCTTCTCTGACCTCTGACCTCTGCGTGTGCTCCAGGAAACTCTGCTCACAGCTCACCTCTGATTTGAACGCTCACGGAAACGAGGCGCTCAGGGGTGAGGGTCTGCAGAGTCGCCTGGTGGACACAGTCTGAGCTCTCCTCTTTCAGTCTTCCACCTTTAGTCTGCTGCTTTCTTCGAACATGCTTCAACACTGAAACAGACGCGCAGAAACGTTGACAAAGTTCGACATTTTCACGACTATTTAAAATAAACGTAAAGATTGAAAAGTCCAGAGATAATCGATGAAGTAGTGAAACTCTTCATCATTAGTTCTGCTCAGATAGGACTTCTTCACTCGAGTTTGGTTCAACAGAACTTTGCTTTGATCGCACTTAAAATTCAGGATTATTAGAGCTCCATGTTCTCGTCTCCAAACCTTTCGAACCTCATAGATTCAGACGCGTTAATGTGAACCAGCTCGTCCCTCAGATCCTCATGTGTTCATAAAGGAAAGCAGCAGACTAAACGAGCTCTGTCCTAAACCCGACTCTAAACTTCAGAGCCTCTTTGGCGGTGAGATGTGACTAACGTGGGGCTGTGCTGCTTCTTTTTCCTGCCTTTCTCTCTTTGACACTAATCACTCACTCACCTCTGCGTTCATGTGTTCACTCATGAGTCTCATTTCATCTCACTTTTCTGTTTTAATGTTCGTAAAGATGAGAGAAATCACTGACTCGTGAAATCTTCAATTTGGAGTCTGCAGGTTTGTTTACGTCCGACATGATTTAGTTTAAACTCTGATTTTTAGATTGAAGTCTTCAGCATCAGGAGGATTTAATGACCTTAAACTGTCTGAACGTTGATATTTGATCGTTCATGTCGGCGTGTTGGAAACCTGCAGACGTCCAGAGAAGATTTGGATCATCTCACCAGATCAAATATGTGTGAATTAGAAGTGTGTGGACCGAATCTCCTTTTTTCTGTTGGTGTGTAAATGTGTGTTCAGACCAAAAGTGAAGCAGAATCGGTGATTTATTAGAAGTCGGTGCAAAGATGAGTAAGTGTTTAAGGTGAAACAGTCGGAGTGTTCATTTTTAAAGGAAGGTTAATTCTCAAATTCAACACATTTCCATCTTTTTCATTTTGGGACAAACATTTAGTTTCTACAGTTTCAGTTTGAAGAGAGCGGACAGATCCAGAGAAATTCTGGTTGTTTAGTGTCTGTGCTGAAGTGAGGCTTTAAAGATCTTTTCAGTGTTTACTAAGAAATACGAGGATTTAAACTGTTCAGTTCTTGTCTCAAGAAAACCTCTATTCTCAAAAACACCCACCTGTGGACTAGACTGTATAGATTCTGGGTCATGTGGGAGTTATTTCAGCTTCTTTGTCGTCATAAATCACAGTGAAATCTGTTAAACGTGTCTTCATAGCACTGATTTAAAAACAGATTTTAGTGTGACGGTAAACTGAGACTCAAAGGAGACGCATGTAGAGACACTGAGACTCAGCAGAGACAGTAAGAGGAGAACTGAGACCCCAGAGAGGCTGATCCAGAGACTCTGAGCCTCAGTGGAGACAAATCCAGTGAAACTGGATTTAAAGTGTTCAGTTCTTGTCTCACAAATCAAGAAAACCTTTATTCCCTGTATCCTCCGATCGTAGCTGATCGTAACCATTCAAGTTAACGTGTCAATTTTCTACCGGCTTCTTTTCCGTTCCTCTGCGGATTGCCGGAGCATGGCGGATAAATTCAGCACAGATTAACCCGTGCTGGAAAGGAAGTCGGGCACAGACACAAAATAAAACATCCGGCTTATTTTCAAAATAAAACACTCCGTGTTTCAGGAGGATCGTATTTCACACCATGCATACGGGCGGAGACGAACAAGTGAAAGGTTTTTAGACGTCATTTCACCCCGATGACACCATGGATGAGGAGATGCTGATTCTAGAAGTCTAGAAGTAGATTTCCTCCTCTGGAAGGACACAATCTACTGCTTATATGTCTATGTGTCTGTCTTTATAGAGACAACTCGTTTCCTGTGATTGAACGTGAATCTGCAGGTTCTTGTGAGTTTCGTGATTCCTGCTGTGCGTAATCCGCCACGAACTTTGCCTCACCAACAGATCTGGTAGGAATTGGCGGACAGCGAAAATCACTGCCATTTCGGATGCGGTGAAAATTGGGGGTGAGACTTCACTGAGACAGTTACAGTAAAACTAGGACTTGGCAGAGACAGATGGACAGGTGTTCCCCGGCTGAAACAGAATTTTCTCTAATGGTGGTTAGAGGGTGTGATGTAGATATCTCCACCTGTCGTTCAGAAACCAGCTCAGGTGATCCTGCAGGTCCCCGTATTAAAAGAGTCTCTTAGTTCCTGGTCTGAACCCCGGACTCTGCTCCCCCGTCTTGGTTTCTGCAGGTTTTTCCATGTCTGTCCTGATTTTATTTTCCATCTGAACTCGTTGACATCAGACTCTTATTTCTGAATCAGACTCAAACTTCCCCGTCTTTCTCCTCTTCCCCCTCTCCCCCTTATTTCTCCACGCCGGTCCCCCCTCCCACCCCACCTCCCCCCTTCTCCCCCCTTCTCCCCCCTTGCAGCCGAAGCACCAGGACACTTTCTCCCTGGCCCCTCAGCGGCCCCTCACCACCATCAACCCCATCGGCCACTCCCTCCATCCGAACGGAGCGCCCACGCTGAAGCCTTCGCCCGTGCCGCGCACCATCCAGACCATGCCGTGGGAGCAGCGCTCGCTCTACAATCAATGAGACCCCCGGGACCTCGCTACCCCGACCCTACCCTTACCTCCAACCCCACACACCCCGCCCTCCCCCTTTTTTACCCCTCCCCAGCATCGAGGAGGAGGGAGGACTCGGGACGCCCCCCTCCTTTGGAACGTTGTGTTTGGGACGGGGGGAGGGCCGGACTAGTTGAGATTGATTACCGAGTAGTTAGGTTTAAAAATGTGTTGCCTTGACCCTCATGTATGATCTATGCCATGTACTGATATAAGTTAAAATGTCTGTCCCCTCACTAAGAATTTATCCCCCCCCCCTCTGATCTAGTTATAAAATATCTATCCTTCCTCCCCGTTATGAATAGTGTCCCCCCCTCCTCACTTCCTGTTTTTCCTCATGTTAATGAAAGGAAAACTTATTTTTATTAAATCTCCCTGAGATGTTTCAGGGCACTGAGTCGTCAAAGTCGATGTGACAGAACCTCCTCTATGTTTTTGAACATAAACCCCGTTTGTGGCTTCTGGAAAGAAGAAGAAGACGCGGATCTTCTTCTTCTTCTTCTTCTTGTTTAGTTTCTTTTTTACGTCCTCCTCCTCCTCCTCTTCAAACACGCTCCAGATGAAGCTCGTGTATATTGTGTGTCCGGAGGTGTCTTGACTCTTTGGGAAAGTCGCCCTCCCTCCCTCTCTCCCTCTCTCTCTCTCTCTCTCTGACGGTACAGCTCACACACCTCTTTTGAATCTCTGAGCACGGACAGCACGGACCACGGCGGAGTCGAACCCCGCTGACTGTGGCTCTGCAGAACTTTTTTTGGCCTCTGTGTTGTGAAGACTGAACCTCTGCTGTTTTAAAAAGGACCTCAATGAAAGTCTGGCGCCGTTACCTTCTTCTTCTAACACACAACTGAAAGCTCACTTTTTCTAAACTTGCATCTGACTGGTGGCTTGTTGTTATTGTAGTTTTAATAACCTGTTGGCTGGGACTCAAACCTCGAAGAAAACCGTTTCAAGCTCCGCCCCTTTCTGACTGTTTGTTCCTCTCACTTTGAAGCACTGTGAGACCAGTGCTGTATAATTATTACTGTTGACCCCCTCGCCCGCCCTCTCCTCTCTCTCTCTGTGGAGCTGTAAAGATGTAACTTCGCCTTACATCGACTCTTCATCAATCGCACATCCTCATCGGTGACGTAGCAGCAGCTGTACTGGGACGCGGCTGCAGTCGGAGGTCAGAACGACGCCAGTCTGCGGGTCCAGATCTGCAGACCGGCTTCGTTTTTCCCTCTTCGCAGCCGAACCAGAACTGAATTTTGTAAACGGCCAACCTGACGATTCCCGTCGAATAATTGATCCAGTCTGTAGTTCTGTTACGTTCTCTCGCTAACACGGTGTTCATGGAAATACCCACAAATCTACTGACATTGTATTATCTCTCTTTTGAAAGTTGTTTCTATTTTTGTTCATGACATGTTTTCATCGTTGCTTTCTCTCTCCTTGTAAAGTGTCTTTGAGTATTTAGAAAAGTGCTATACAAATAAAATGTTTTATTATTATCACCATCAGAGAAGCTTTTCTTACACACCAGGACACCTTCATCTCTGTTTTCCACCTTTTTCCTTTTTGTCTTTCATCGAATGTGAGTTTGTTTGAACTTTTCTGAACTCTGACGGTCGCTGTGACGTCAAACACGAATGAGTTTCAACTGGAGAGAGTAAAATCATAAATAATACCATCGTTTAAAAAGTGAGGTTGAATATTTAAGGCCTTGTTGTTCAAATTTTGTCTGAAAGTTTATAGAGATTTCTGACAGCAGCGATCACGAGAGTCTCAGCAGAGTTACAAACAAAACTTCAATCCACTCATTACGTCATTAAAATGTCCAAACAGGTAACTCTGACCTGAGCTCGATCCTGACATCACTATGGTAACGTATCAACAAATGTTTACACAGTAAATCTGTAAAACATGACTCTTCGATCATGGTCTGAGTTTTGGGTCAGCTGTTCATCCTCCTCCTCCTCCTCCTCCTCCTCACGGATGTTCTAAAGTAATCAGGTCAGTCAGGTGCAGTTAACTGTGAGGAGAAGTTTTGGAAATCAGCCGAACAGCCCAGAGGTGGTTTTCAATATTTAATCATGTTTTCTTTCACAGTTTGATCCGATTCTTGATGTGCTAAACTTTTTAAAACTCTTCGGCCTCCAGTCTTGACATTTTAGCGAAATTCTCAAACTGCACTTTTTAAAGGATCCGCCTCATCTGTCTTTTTTTTGTCCTCCTTACTGTTCAGCTGTGATTTTGCAATTTTAGAGTTAAATTAAAAAGGAGCGGTCAGATCAGTCGATGGTCAAAGTAATCGATGCCTCCCCAGCTGAGAGCGAAATATCTGGAGGAGAAAAGTTTCAACAGACTGAAGAGCGAAAGGAAAGATCATGAACCGGTGAGTAAGATGACGATGATGTGGTTTTAATTAAAACTTCACCTGCCACCAGGGGGCAGTATGTTCATTAATATGGTTTCAAACGGGAGGAATAAAGAAATCACTTGGATGTTAACCCATCAGTCATTTATAGTCAAGGCTGTTAGTTAAACTTTAATTTTTGATTCATCCACTAAGATCCAGTTTGAACATTTTAATTTAGATTATCTGGTTATCGGGAAGCTTCTTAACGAGCTGTGTGGAATAATTTACATTTTTAAATTAATAATGCTGCAACGATAAGTCTGATGTGGAAACAAAATTTTTATAATTTTCTCACAAATATGTTCAAACATTTTTCAATTGGTGCTATTAACAGTTTTTAAAAAGGATTTACTCTGTAGAACTTAGTGAACCCAGCAGACCAGGTTCTGGAGTCTGATGGTGATAAAGAGGATTTCAACAGTTCAGGGATTCACAGTCTATGATTTACAAAAAGAAAACCAGATTTTGATCCAGGATGTTGTTCATCCCTGCAAACCAACAGAATGAGTGTAAACAGAACTGTCATCTTGATAATATAGCAGGACATAAAAAGTGGTCTCCTATGGTCAACTTACCCCGTGTACCCCCCACTCTCCCCCCCAGCCCTCCCTCACCAACTCTCCCCCTAAATAACAGTCACTTCTTCACATTCATGCGTATTTTTATCTATTATACTCTATTCAACAGGTACAATAAATCTTTTTATTATTATTATTACATATAACTGCTAAAACATTTGAAGATGAGAATGTCTTTAAGTGATTGAGAACATTCACAGATCTGTATTTCTGAAAAGAACATTTCAACAATCTGAAGGTAAACTCTGATCCTCTCATCAGACTCCTTTACTGTCTCTGTTCCCCCTGAACTACTATGATGACTTTATTAGTCCTCCAAGATAAAATGGTGGACTTTTAGGTTTTTGACTTCATGTTGTAGCTGATAGAGACCACAGTTGATGAATAAAACAAGTTTAAAAGGATTTTTTTTGGTCTGAACACAATTCTAATCAAACTGATGACTAAAGACTAAATTCACTTCACAGAGTGAAAAATGATTTTTTTTTAGTAAATAAATGTCTAACCCCTTCACCCATGTGCTTCGAACCTTCACAGACTCCATGAATTGATGTCCATCTTCTAAATATTTGGTCACATGATCAATTTCTTTGACCATTTCCAAGCAACGGGGGGTGGCTCAACTTAACCCGATCGATGAAACCCACTCAGGAACTTTATCCTGAAACTGTTGAGCAATTACTTCTTCCACCTTTTCTTCTCAGAGACTCAGCCTCTCTGAATGTCCGTCTCAGACCCAGTCATGTGACTAACCTGTGTGATTGGTGATAATAAGACTCAGATTTATGGTAAATATGAAGTTTATAATATATCGCTTGTTTCCTGAGTTTAAATTAAAGAGGTTTTTGAAGTGTTAATCTTCAGCAGGTTTTAAAAACTGATCCTGTTGGTTGTTGTTGTTGTTGTGAAGAGACACTAACTGGTTATTAAATGATCTGGAGCTGGTTTTATGAGTCATACTTTGCCTCTAAAAAAGCACCTTTTCCCCCTGAACCCAACACGGTCTCACTCTTTATTAACCCTAGAAGACTATTTTCCCCCGACCAAACATGTTTAGGTGATCTTCCTGATGTTGTGTTTGTCTGAGTATCACGGGTCTCTGGGTATTTTCAGCATTTCCTTTGACATCTTTGAAGACATATTTGTTTCCCTGATTTTCCAAAACCTGCTTTTTCCTACAGACTCGTGTTCACAGGGTGATTTTAGTGATCGAGGGTAAAGTAGGTTTGGGTGGATTTGATAGCAGCATGTGGGGAATAAGGTCAGTAAGAGTGGTGCTGGAATTTACATGTTATCTTTATTTAGCGCTGTGGTTATGAATAACTATCACAAAGTAGAGATTTTTAAGGGAATTCATATGGAGATAAGAAATATTTGAGTCATTTTTACTCCAAATCTACCATATTCTGGTTCTATCTCCTGTTATTGTGCCGAGGACCCTGAGTCTGAACCAGGGAAGACTCACATGTCCCAGGAACGGGGGGGAAGACAAACTAAGTTTACAGATTCTTTCTTTATTTTTTTAGGACTTTTTGTTCATGAATACCTACTTTCAGTTATTTTGTTGTATTTTTATCTGGTCCCCTCATGGCACTTTTTCCCCCTCCCTTTGGACATTACACAGTTAAAATAAAATAAAACTACTTTAATTTGTCATCTATAGTCCTATTTTGATTTATTTTGATGAAACTTTCTCTTGGGTTTATTATTTCAGGTAAAAATCACCCGGTAGCGGCAGTGACGGTGTTACTGATTTTAGTGATAGTGTTCCAGGGACGGATGTGAACGGATGAGCTCTCGGACTCTCCGGGTCACGGTCCGGACCGGTTCTGAAGGTTTCAGGATTTTAACGGTTCGTTTTTTTTCACCGCGCTTAACTTTATCAAATGACGTCACGCGTGGTTTTGGTCGCCCCATATTTATCACGTGACCCTCCGAACCCTCAGAAAGTTTATGTTTTCGTTGAAGAGCGTGCTCGTGAGGAGAACGCGCTCGAACGTTCGATCCTGTAATAAATAAATGCGCCGACGAGGCGCAACTTTATCGGTCTGATTACCGACTGTGACGTAGTCTGCCGTTGGAGACTCCGCTGCGGGTCACTATGAATTAATATTAGCACGCCGGTGGGCGGGGCTTGGGATCGGTATCGATGCTGGTTATTGATTTAAAATCATTCATGCTGTCACCGGTCAGGCTCGGTTTGGGCCTCTGCGGGTCCGAACCCGGATTATACCTGGTAGGCTACAGAGTCTGTTGGAGTTTGTCCATGAACGCACCACCGAACCTGAGAGCCTGAAACGGGTTCTGATCGATCAGGAGTCTGGTGTTCAGGACGTTAATGCGCCACAGACATGATGTATACGTGACAGTTATGAAACTGGATTCTGACGAACTAAAAATGAACTTTTATCTATTTTCAGCTGCACGGAAACACTCGTGAGTTACACCAACAGATGAAAGTAAAAATAATAATTTTTGGCTGAAAATCATTTTCATCATTAATGTTTAGTTTGATAACAGAGATATTAAGAAACTTTAAAAACGATCGACCAAAGTTCGATCAGGAGTGGATCAAAATGTTGAAGAATATAAAATATAAATTATTTCTTCATAAATCTGCTCAAAGTTAAAGCTTTTATTCCGTTTTAACTGATCTAATTATTGATTTGGTCCCTGCAGGCCTCCCAGCTCAAGGCCCTGGTCTCCGCCTCCTGTAGGCCGGCCTGTAGTGTCCACTCTCGGCCGCTTGGTGGCGGTAGTGACCCGGACTGAAAAGGCGAGGTAGGACAAACTTTATTTATTCCTTTTCTTTTTCTTTTTTGACTTTAAAACATACAAACAACGTATTTTATGGTTAATAATTCTACTGTTAAAAGTAAAATGCGCCGATTAACGATAACAATCGAAACACGATTAATCTGTTTAACAAACTAATCGAATTAAAATATAAACGAAAACTTAAACAGTAAAGCTCTTATTCGATTAATCGTGATAGTTTATAACAGAGTGGTGGTTCGTTAGTGTTCGGTTTAGTTCGGTTAAATTGTCCCTCCTCGGTGTTGGTCACAGACCCTCGTTTCTCGGCCCACATGCTCCTCATTCCTCTGATTTTAACTTTCCTCTCTCTGCAGCTCAGGTGGGCCTTTCCTTTCAATAACTCACACATTTAGAACAAACTGCAGAAGGAGGAAAAACACCAACTATTTCAACGTTTTTTTTGTTCAGAAAACGAGACTCCGTTTCTAGTTTTCACGTTTTACGCGTTTTGTTTTAATCGTCATTTGTTGAATTACGCGCGTTTTGGCGCAGCGTGGAGACAGATTTGGAGCAGAAAGAGGAGAAATGTGAGGGTTTGTTTTTGTTTCTCCAAAACAGCGGGGTTTTTTTTCTGAGAACCCCCTCCTCACACGCACGCACACACACACACACACACACACACACACACACACACACACACACACACCCTCCCGGCTCTCCTCTCTCCATTTTGTGAGCTCTGCTGGTTCAGCTGCTCTCCGTCCTTCTCGCTCTCCGCCACATGAGGGATTTTGGACTATTTTTTAATCGAGCTCGGTGAGTCCGATTCACAAACGGTTAAACTCCAAATTAAAACGCCTTTTTTTAATTCGCTCCACCTGTTTTATTTTTTTTTATCTGAATGAATGAAAACTCGGAGTTTTCAGGAGACTCGGTCCACAGAAGGGGGTGAAGATTTCGCTTATTTCTCTAACCTTAAAAACCGTAGAAAGAAAAAGAGTCTGAAACAGAAAAAAAGAGTTTATTTAGAGTTTCCTCTCTCGTTGATATCACACCTTATTATTAACTCACTCAAACAGCCTCATTTCAGTTCTTTGTTGTTTATTTACCGTTTTAATTACCGTAAAAATAACGAATTGTAGATTAATTATCATCATGTAAATGCAGGTTTTGCTTGAAAATAGTTTGTTTCGTATTTTTTGACGCATGTTTTTACTCATATTGAAGTTCAGTTTGATACAAATGTTCATAAAAACACTAACTTAACCTGCTGCTTTCACCTTTTTGACATTATCTGTTAAATACTTGAATAAAAAGTCTCAAATGAAAGAAACTCAAACTTTCCCTGATTTATTTTTCCTTTTTGAGTAACTCAAACTTCAATAATTAAACTTCCACGAGGTAGTGCATGGACTTCTCTTTATTTTCAAAGCATAAATCTACTATCATGGTTGGATTAACTTGTTACATGTGAGATTTTTTTGGTCAAATGTTGCAGGAAATAAGATTTTAACCTTACATGAAAGTCCTCAGATTAATAATCCGTCTGTCCTGAGATTAAAGCTGATAAAAAAGACTCAAATAAGACAAATGTCTCTTTATTTACATTCACAGATTTATTTACAACAAATTTAAGTGATTTAACATGAATAAATGTCCAATTTTGATCATCTGAAATTGATTTAATCCTCCAAACTCAGGGATTATTAATCCAGAGAAACTGTTTTATCCTCTGCATGAAAAATAAAACAAACTGGAACTTTTAAAAAGAAATAAAAGGAACAACCTGGACGTGGAAAAATATAAAAACACCATTTAATGTAAGTCCAAACGCTCTGTAGTTAAGGAGGCCTGTTTCCATTAATATATAAAAACAAACGTGATGATTATTATTGAAGCTCAAACTCTTTAATTAAACAGAATAAAGTTAATTTACATGTAAAGCAGGACTGAACTTTCCATCCTTATAGAAACTCTGTAAAATAAAATGTTATTATTAGACAGGTGTTTTGCAGATGAAGCTGAAATAATGATGATTTAATGAAAGCAGTACTTCCTCACTTTAACCTTAAATAACCGCGTCAGTCATAATCTGTATTATTTCACTGTTAATCTGGTTATTCTGGGGTGTTCAGGCCCATAAATCTGAGTGTTTTCCTCCTCAGACCTGAATTATCCTCTGAAGTTCAGACTCGTCTTTCACAGATTTTCACTTCCTTCTTCATTTTTTGGTCTTATAGTTATTTTTTAATTGTAGAAATCTGACAAACAGGTGAAGTTTCTGCTCACAGTCCTTCACCTTCAGAGAAACTGAGTCAGTCTGCCTCCACATCCTGTTCATGTGACGTCAGCAGAGGAGGAAGAGAGGCCTCTATGTGATTCATTCATTCACTCTCATGCTCTCATTCACAGCACTGACTGTCAGGAGCCTCGACTCTCTTACAGTAAATTTATCAAATGTTTCTGTCGTCTCAGAGACGTAGAGCCGCAGTTTGAAACCAAACGGACATTTTGAAGATCTGAAATTCTGCATCAGGATCAGCAGACTCAGGTTTAGGACTCAGAGAAACGGACCAAACTGGGCCTGCGGGTCTACATCTGTGAGAAAAACAGAACTGATTTACCGCTGAGAGTTTGTGCTGATCCAGAATCAGAGCATGACGGTTTTTAATCAACTCTGACTCACTTTTCTGCAGCAGGAACTTTTGTTACAAATGAAAAGTTCGATTTCTAATTCATGCTAAAAGTAGTTTGACCAAAAACATTCGAGTTCAGAGTCTTTAATTTTGCAGAACCAGAACCAGAGTCGGACTCTGCTCATGGACACAGACAAAGAATCAAAGTTCGGTTTAAATTAATAAAAAATAGAGTTTTAATAAAGTTCAGGATCCTGCAGAGAAAATCACCTCAGCTCGACTTCAGTCAAAGAACGATTGAGTTTTATTTGAGTGAAAGTTCAGAGACTTCTCCATGTCCAGCCCTCAGACTGAGACGTTTTAAACTCAAACTTTCAGGATTTTCATCTCAAATTACAGAAAATAAAGTTATTGAATCTGAATCAGACCTAACAAAACGACGAATCTGACGCAAATCTTCAAAAACAAAAAAACAGACTGACTTTTATCTGAAAATACTGATTGATCAGGTTTCTAAAGTATTTCATGAAGGTTCGATCAAAGAAAAATGATTTAAAAACAACAAATAATCAGATTTATGTCACATTAAAATAGATCGAAGTCAACAGAAGTCAACTCTTTATTTGTCGATCACACCTAAAAACCTTTGATGGACGTCTAACAGAGAATTTCTATTAAACTTTTTAATGTGTTTATTTTAAGCACATTTATTCTGCTGTTTAACTTCCTCTGCTCTCTGTAAACTTATCCATGAACCGATCGGATGAATGTACCGCCTCATATTTTCATTTTCAGCCTCTGAGCAGAAAAATCGTCTTTTATAAAAGCAGCTGAATGATTCCTGCAGTGAAGAGATCATCTGTGTAAACGTCCGCGGCCTCCTGAAGGTGTTCCTCTGAACTTAAACATTAGTGTCTGTTACTGAAGATCATTTTTAGATTTAGCTGCACAAACTTCACAAAACTAAACAATATAAAACAAGAACTTCAATAATCCTTGAAGGATAAAAATATAAAATTAGAGTTTAACTTTGTAGTTTTGACGGTTTTCTTCCTTCAGCCTGTTGATCCGTTTCATGAACTGGTTTGTTTTCAAACTGGGACTCTGATATTTTCCTACAAACTCACTTTCTGCTGCAGACTGACCTGAAACTTTAATTAAACTCTGAATCACTGAGTTTTCTTTTTAATTTATACTTCATCCAACAAGGACTAATGTAGAGAAAACTAAGTAGATGCTGCACACACTGGTTAATCTGCAGTTTGTCCCTGATTAGACCTGCAAACTGAAAACAGGAATTACAGATTATAAGATAATAAGAGAGATGTAGATCAGCAGAAATAGAGTCAGAAACTGTGAAATAATGACGCAGTGTGGACGAGGTTTGTATGTGATCTTGAAGTTTTACAGTTAGCCTTCTGTGAATGTCCATAATTATATGAATATATATTATATTTGTAAGGCTGTAATCGTTCTTTAGGCACAGGAGGTTAAGTCCTGGAACTGTCTTCAGTTTAATTTAATGACACAAATAAAGAAAATCCAGATTTCAAACATGATTTTAAAGACTGAAAACTCGATCATGAACTCGTTAAATCAGACAGACACAGATCTGCTGGTTCAGTAAAGCTGCATGAACATATGAAACGTCGTCTCTGCAAACATCCTGCAGCTCTGCAGCAGCACAGATATTTAACCTGTACGTGTCACCTTTTTTTCAGAGTGGATCAAATCCTCACTGATGATCTTTTTAATCACGTTTTAATGATCAGTTTGAATGTAAAGCAAACAGACGTTCAGAAAAGGAGATCACCTTAAACTTAGAATCATATCAAATGTTCTTTTTTGGAGTTTTTTGATGCTTGAATTTCCTTTTTTCTCACAAAAACTCAAAACTGACCTCCTGAAAAAGCTGCAGAAATGAACGAGGAGTCAGAGTCGACTTTTCTCAGAGTCACACATTTGATGAACCTTTTGAATTGAGTCAAAAACATGAACAAGCATCAAAAACCGACTTCCTCCTCCTCCTCCTCCTCCTCCTGTTTGTGAGTTTTTAAAAACAGACCCTGATACCTGATGCAGTTAACTCTGTTTGTTCACCCAAACCTCCAGCTCAGGCTGTTAGAGGACCAACAGGTCAAACAGCTTCTTTTTTCAGCTTTGTCAACATCAGACAGTCTGCATGTGCAGGTCATGTGACCGAGGGAGGAAATAATGGGGAGAAAACTCACAACTGTGTGTCTGTGCATGAACCTGGAGGAGGCTCTCATTAGTCCGTCTGCAGGATTCCTCAAAACATCTGCAGCATGTAGATTTGCTCATACATGAGGAGGAGCATCACGAGAGCGACAGGTGAGTCCTTTAAGGTAAAACAGAAGACTGTGATCATATGTTTGAGTAATGACAAACACAAATACAGATGACTCATGTTTATTATTGACTGTCCCTGGAGTCAAACAGCATCCAGATAATTAGCGTTGTTTCTCCTCACATGAGCAGGAACATGCCTCAGCGGCTTCAACGGTTTATTTAATGCAAAGAAAAGCCGATCTGCTCGTTCAGGTGTAAAAACACAAACTCTGGGTCTCATTATTTTATCTGAATGAGGCTTTTTCTGTCTCTGCATCATCGTTACAGGTCAGCCTGCCTAATGAGGACTGTCCCTCTCTCTCTGTTTGTTTCCATAGGAAGAAGCTCTTGAAGTTAGCGGAGATGTTTTCTACCTGCAGGCTGCAGGAGAGGAACACGCCGTCTGCAGGAAAAACACCACAGGAGAGATTAGTTATCCTGCTGAAACAGAGAGAGGCTGATTTAAAAACAGTTTCTAAATGATCCTCGGTTTATTCTCCCCTCTGTTAGAAAAGACCCTCCGCTCTGAAGTGAAACACGTGTGCCTCTTCTTATCCACCCAAATCATGTCGCAGTAAATCTTCATGTTTTCACCGTCCTCCTAAAAACTTCAGCTGTTGAATCACATCATTATAATATGCATAATTTTGTTATATTCTTCCCTAACCTGTCCTTCTGTGACATGTTGTATTGTGTACTATAGTATTATAAAGAACTGTGCAGAACCCTACTGAGTCAGTATACAGCATCATCCTAAAACCTGGATAAACTTCTTTTCAAGTATAAATATATTTTAAGTGAATTTGTAGATTATTATCCTCAACAAGAAGCAGCTTTTAAAGTTTTTACAGTATAAATCTGTTATTTTACAGCCTGTTTTAGTGAGTGAGAGGTTATAGAGAGAACTATAGACAGTACAGCATTTATGTATAAGTAACAGAGAAGCTAAATGATTGTATGATATTGTTTATCTATATATGTTATCATCCTTTCTTACCAGTTGTATAATATGCAATAGAGTCATCAAATCAGATCATGTAGTATCCTACTGAACTCTATCATATCTAATCATATATTATTATGTATTTATTGTATCAGACAGTTTTGTATCCTATCCTATGGTGTGGTATAATATCAGATCAGATGGTATTATATTATCTCTCATTTTTCTTTATTTTAACATTTAGCGTCCTTTTACTATTGTATTGTTTGTGTTTCATATCTTGGTGTAGTGTAGTAGATCTCAGTTTTCTATATTTCGCTGTATTTTAATTTAAGGCGTCAAAGAACCACAACGATGTTATTCTGAGTCAAATGAGTTTATATCCGATCTTATCAAACATCCACACAATCCTGTCAAACTGAAAATATGAGACTTTTATAACCTTTTAGTTTGTTTGGATTGATTTATATTCAATCCTCTCTGAGTCCCACGGTATCTTATTACCTCCTTCGAACTCGACTGTCATGTTTATTTTACTGTTTACTGAATCTCACTGTTACCTTATTTCTAATTATATAGTATTGTATATACCTCTATCATATCGTAGTGTAGTACATCCTAAATTTTCTTATACTCTGATGTCACTAAAAAGTTTTTGTTCTCATTCTATCATAACTCTTAATCTCTGTACAGTAAAATACTGTATTTTCAGAACGTATCGTGTCTTGCTGTATCGTTTAATCTCGGTTAGTCTCGTTTATTGTTTTTCTTTATCGTAGCCTGTTACGTTGAGTCGTATTTACTGTATTGTCTTGTGCCGTATCCTTTTGTGTCGTTAACCTATCGTAGCGTTGCGTTGTTGTGTTGTGTTGTACTGAGTGTTAACATTTCATAGTATTGCGCATTGTTATTCTGTTGTATCATTTCGTATCGTTAGCCTATCATAGTGTAACGTGATTGTTGTTGTATCGTATTGTATCGTTTACCTTTCGTAGCGTTGCGTATTGTTAGTGTTGTGTTGTATCATTTCGTATCACTAGCCTATCGTAGCAAAGTGTAGTGTTATTGTGTTGTATTGTTAACCTAGCATAGTGTTGCGTATTGTTAGTGTTGTGTTTTATCGTTTTGTATCGCTAGCCTATCGTAGCATAGTGTAGCGTTATTGTGTTGTATTGTTAACCTAGCATAGTGCTGCGTATTGTTAGTGTGTTGTATCGTTAGCCTGTCATAGCGTTACATATCGTTATCTTGTCATATTGTATCATATAATGGTGATTAGCATCGCGGCCTGTTGTGTCGTGTCGTTTTGTGCGTTGTTTACACTGTAGCGTCTCGTATTGTAAATCTCCACCTCATGTCCGTCTCTATATTTATACTCTGTCACGTTGATTTGGACCCAAATTTAAATTCTTTACGCAGATTTATTTGATACAAAGACTTTTAAAAAAGGTCTTTGAGGAGCTGCTCACAGTCTGAGCATCTCAAAGTTTAAAATAAATTCATATGAAGAGTCTCTGAAACAGCTGATCTCTCTCTTCAGGACGGTCTTTCTGTTAAATGAGTGGCTCAGATGCTGGTGTCGGTCAGGTGGGGCGGGTTTTTCTTCTGGTTCTGGGTGTGTCCAGAGTCTTTAAGGCTGAAACAACATGAGCTCCAGAGGAGAGCTGTGTCGGACTTTACTGCAGACGGACTCGAGTTTACGACTTCAGACCGTCTGAGAAATCACTGTAAAGATGAAAACAGTTTTATAAACTCATGTGAGGACATGTCTGAATTCTTTTAAGCTTATTTTTAAGATTTTATGTCGACTATAAGGCTTTGCGGGTTAATATTTCTAGTCTGAAAATAACTTTTTGAATAATTTAAGACCCCAGTGCAGATTTTTGAGGCTTTAGGACAAAAACGGAGCTGTTTTATTGTCGTCTGGTTTTCTCTGTCAGACACAAACATGTTTTAATTCTGTTTTCAGGAGTGTAAGACCATCACCACAAACAAAGACTGAAACTCTGGCTCCAGGTGAGTCTCGACGGCCTCTCAGGTCGTTGTTAGGTGTGTGCGTACAGAAGAACAGCTCTGGTGAGTATCTGTCCGGGATACTGAAATTCAAATAAAACAATAAAGATAAAAGTTTTGATTAACTGTGATTGTTGAAGGTTTTTCAAACATTTAAGTCCTTTTAACTCACTGTGCATCATTTCAGAGACACACCTCAGAGTCAGTGTGAGGAGGAGATCACGTCAACACGACAGCGAGCCGCAGAGACGAGCACAGAGGAAGAAAGATGAACATTAACCTATTTGCATTTCTCGAACACTTTGTCTCCTCCTCCTGCATTCCCGCCTGATTCACCCTGTTTCTCTGCAGCCTTTGACCTCACACCCCTCCCCCAACACACACACACACACACACACACACACTACCATGCATACAAGGGAAGGGTCTCATGATGGCATTGTTTAGGAAGAAGAGCATGCGTACAAAAAAGTCACTCTGAGGTGTGGCGAGGGAAGAAATCATGAGCCTAAAGGAGTAAAATTACTTTTCCCATGAGCTGAGCTTTACTGCGTGAGAGTCGGAGATACCTGCAGAGTGTTTACACTGAAAGATAGTTTTAATTAACGACATAATAGAGGGAAACACTTTAAAACATGAGCCGCTCCTCTCATTCACAGACGGACGTGTTGCAAAATCAGAGAGGAAGTTTAAAAACTAGAAAATGACGATTGGTCATGAATAGAAATGATCATTTTCTCTATTTTTGTGCCAAAATGCAAAAAATAGGCGAGTTGCAGAAAACACTCTGAGGCTACAGACGAAGTTAAAACATATTTTTGCAGAAATTTTAAGAGAAAAGTTGTTGCAGCAGGTTAAAACTCCTCGGTTATAAAGATTCAGACTAAGATATTCCTTTATTAGTCCAGATTTACTGAAGCACAGAAATACAAAAAGAAAAGAGAGAGAAACTTGGAAGTTTAAAAAAAAGGATATGTACATGAGTGTTGTAGAGTAATGCAACACTCACAAGAATATATTTAAGGGTAAATTTGATGTTTTTTTAGGACGTCTGCAGGACAGAGCGCTGCATGGAGGATAAAAGTTTAATTTAGCTCCTGTTCAGACAAAGAAACTATGACAGACGTGACTGAAGCTCTTTACAGGAAACAGATTTACCTTGAAGCTTCACTGACTGACGAATCAGAGTGAACGACGGTTTTACTGAGCTGCTGCATTTTACCAGGTCTGAACAGTCGGAGTATATTTATAAAATCAACAACTAAAGGAATAAAGAATCGATCGAAGGCGGAGGTTTTTAGAGGCGCAGATTTGGGCAGAAACACTTTAACTTTTAAAATCCACAGATTTAACATTTTAAATATGTCTCAAACTTCAGTTATGAGTTGTTACTCTGTGTGTTTTGTTCCATGACAGAGATAAGGAACATGAGTTTACTTCTTTATTTATTCAGCTATGAGAAAATCACCTGCATGTTTCATTTGTTTGTGATCTTTTCTATAAATTTCTGATTTTGCAGGATAATTAAATAAAGTCACCCTGAAGGGGAAACTGTGACGAGTCAGGAGGTTAAACTGTTTAAAAAGTAAAAAATACTTTTAATGAAAATTAAAGCTGAGTGGAGAACAGGGACGGCAGTAAAAACTAAGTGAGCTGTGTGAAATTCAGGAAACTCTGCAGACGTTTCCCTCCTGCTCTCATGTAAAAAAAACTCAGCTGTAAAAATCTTCAGCTACAAAACAGGAATTTTTATTGTTTTACAGAAAAAGTTGGAAGTGTTTTCCTCTTTTTTTTAGTTTCCAGTTTGAATCCCAGTTAACTTTCAATTAAACTCGTATTTTCTTTCTGCTGGAGGAGTCGAGGAAAGTCTCTCAAACCCAAACTATGTCACATCCTTTGTGGTTATTTGACCCTCAGAAACACTAGCATGTGACCTCACCCACTGCGACCTGTGTGTGTGTGTGTGTGTGTGTGCAGAGAAAGAAATAAAGGAGGGGGTTGGGAGAGGAGCTGTAGCATGTCAGGAGGAGAAAAAAGGGGGAATTCACGGGGGGAGAGGATTCAGAAGGAGAGGGAGGTTTAGGGTTGACATGTAATGAAGCTTCACCTTTAATGGATCATCCTGCTTCACCCTCCTGGACTCTAATGTGAGGCGTGTGCGTGCGTGTGTGTGGTTTAATATAAGGTGATACATTAATTATGGTGTTAAATAAATATTAAATCACTTTGTTTGACTTGGTGTGAAATTTCAACTCAACTTTTTGACTCTTTTCGCCAAAACAGGCGGTAAACCGGTTTTACGTACAGTTACGCACGTCCACGTAGAAATCTTTGAAATATTCCTTTAAATTATGATGAATAAAGTGACCACACAGAAAGTAAGCAATAAAACACGCCCTGCAGATGACACGCTCGTTTAAAAAAGGACACGTCCGCTGTTTTTGGTTCCCTCACGGCGACACACATGTGAGTTTTTGTGGATTTTTCGTCCTCGTCTCCAAATTTCATCCATGACGCGGAAACAGTTTGACGGTTTGGATCCATTTTGTGCAGAGGAGCCATTTTCTAACCAGACGGCCGCACCACAGTGCCACGTTGGCTGTGGGCGGGAAGGTTGAGTGTGGCAACAAAGTCCAAAACCGCCTCCATCACACGGGAGATGATGTTAGAGAAATTGAACGCCATACCAGCGGAGATTTGCACCAAAACAGGACATATAGGCGCAACACGCACATGCAGTCAGTGTGAGGAAGAGTATGCGCGTGTGGAAGGGAGGAGGAAGGCCTCGGTCTCCATTTTGAGAAACCGTCTTCCACGCATTGAGGTGTGGTGCAGTTTCCCAGCGACTGCGCCATCCTGTCACTTCCTCTGCGGCCCCCCCACTCACAAATATGAGAAAACTGAGGCTAACAGGGGGTGAGGGGGGGTCGGTCACGGCTCCGCGTGGCCTGTGGAAAGCCGTGACCTTACGGTACAGACACAACCAGCAGTTTTTCGGCGGATATCTAAAGAAGCGGGGGCGGCGTCGACTCTACGTTACACACAGTCCGCCTGGCTGTTGTTGCGCTGCTGCACCGCCGCCATGTTTGATTCATTGTTTCAGTTAATGGGGGTTTAGGGTGAAGCTGCAGTGAGTGGAGGGTTTCCGCAGGTTCCAGTAGCTCTACCCCCGAGGCCCCTGAGGCAGAGTGGGGCCCCGGACCTTTTGTTCCCAGCTCCAAACACCCTGAGGTTCACTATAGGTCATTTATGTAACATCATGACACGACTAACTTCTCCACAACGCACCATATTCACCCAGAGGAGGGAGGAGGGGGCGGCGGCGGCGGGCCGGGAGGCGGGGGTGACTGCTGGGCTATAGGATAAGGAGGCGTGGTCTTCTTATTCAAATTAACTTTCTTCTTCTTCTTCACCTCGAGCCCCCCACCCCCGGTAGCTGAGTACATGAGGCGCAGAGCAGGTGATGATAAACATGCACACACTGAGCGCTCCTGCGCGCTCACGTTAACGTCAATCGTCCGTAAGTGTCACGTACGTACAGTGTCACGTACAGCCTCCTGCTCCTCATATAGACTTAAATCTGCCTGCACGAGCTCAGGAGCGCTGGGCGCATGTGTGGCTACGTCGTGTTGCATAAAAGACTCAGTGCAGCACGAGTACAGTACGGAACTGAACGAGCTCAGTCCCTGATCTATGGAAGTCAATCTGTGCCATCTGATTCTGAATGTGAATTTTTTCAAGCTGATTTTTTTTTTTTGCATCAAAATCAGACTTTGAATTTCAAAACCATCGAATTGCAAGCATGCATTTTTATTTCATACACTTGTTTTTTTTTTTTTTTCCACAATGACAAAATAAATTCAGTGTGAAACAACAGGACTCTCAAAATTTTGTGTAGCAAAAATTTGACTGAAAAAAAAAAATTGGTAAGAAAATTCACCTTAAAAAAAAAAAATAGTGTAAAACACTCAACATCGGGGTAACCAGGGAGAAGTAATCGATTGGATTCAATTTTCCACTGGAGTCTGTGTCACATGACCAATTTAGCATCCTCTGATTGGCTGGACGATGAACATTTGAGCCAGATATCGACTGCTCTCCCTGGTTATCTGGATGTTGAGTTGGTCTGTTTTACACTGAATTTTTTTAATAGATTTTTTTTCTTATGTTGAATTTTTACTAAACTAATCTTTTGAGGGACTGATTTTTTAAAACACTGAATTTACCTCATCATTGTGAATAATAACTGTAAGAAATAAAAGTGCATGCTTAAATTCAATAGTTTCAAAATTCAAAGTCTGATTTTGATGCAAAGAAAAAATTCAGCTTTAGAAATTCAAAATCAGTTGGCATAGATGTACTTCCATAATGTTGAGTCAGTCTGTTTCACACTGAATTTTTTTTAAGTTTAATTTGTTTTACACCGTTTTCAAGTTGAATTTTTACTAAACAAATACTTTGAGAGACAAATTTTTTTTACACTGAATTAATTTCATCATTGTTAAAAAATGTATAAAAATAAAAATGCATGCTTAAAATTCAATAGCTTTAAAATTCAATGTCTTGTTTTAATGAAAAAAAAATCTGCTTTAGAAATTTGAAATCAGATGGCACAGATTTACTTCCATAAGGGTGCCACATGACCAATCTAGCATTATTTGATTGGCTGGATAATGGATGATTGAGCCAGGAATCTATTGCATCGTACTGTTTTACACTAAATTTTTTGACACTGAGTATTTTTTGTCAAATTTTTTTTGAAACAGTTGTTTTTTAAAGTTGAATTTTTGATTTTTTTGAAACACTGAATTTATTTCATTATTGTGAAAAAATAAGTGTCAGAAATAAAAATGCATGCTTGAAATTCAATAGTTTCGCAATTCAAAATGCAAAAAAAAATCAGCGTTAGAAAATTTAAATTGAAAATCAGATGGCACAGATTTACTTCCATAGAAATCAGGGGTCTCTGCGAGTGTACCCATGCGCGTGCACAGGTACACACGCGCTCATCTGGTGAATACCCTAGGATAAGAGGGGGATGCCCCTCCTCCTCTCTTTCCCTTCCTCCTCTCTCTCTCTCTCTCTCTCTCTCTCTCTAACCTACTCCAAACAGACCACGTGGTTTCCTCTGTGTAAAAAAAAAAAAAAAAAAAAAAAAAAAAGAAATAACGGTGAATTGGAGTCGGTGGTGGAGGGGCGGCGTCACCCCTCTGCCGGCAGCAGGCGGACCACTGAGAGAGGAAGGGTAGAAAACTAGAGAGAGAGGCGGAGAGAGAGGAAAACATTTCTCCCAACCTGATCCCGCCATAGTTTTTCCCACTCTTCCACCACAGACCCATCACCAAATAATCCACCCCGCACAAAACCGCACCTCCCGCACAGCGAGACAGAGGCTACAGGCTGCTGCTGCTGCGTTACTCTGCTGGAGCCGCTGCAACTCCACGGATCCTCCTCCTCCTCCTCCTCCTGTTCACTAATACAACTGGATTTAAATTCAACCACCTCATCTGCTTTCACACTTTTTCAACTCTTTTTACATTTTACTTTGCAGCTCAGAAAAATTACTGCCTCCTTCTCCTCCTCCTGTTTTTTTTTTTTGCTTCAGTTTGGTGAAATAAATATTTGTATCCTCGTGATTTTTCCACTCCGTTAGTGTAGCAAGTGTGTCAATATCTTGTTGCGCTAATACCGGATTCACGACAGAAACTTTTTGCTGGCTTCGATCTGCGATATTGTGGGTTTTGTTTTTTTCTTTTGGTTTTTTTCGGGACTTGGACAAACTGTTCCAACATGCACAAGCTGTACATTGGGAATCTAGGCGACAGCGTGACTGCCGAGGACTTGGGAAAAACCTTTGACGACCACAAGATCCCGTACTCCGGACAGTTTCTCATGAAATCCGGCTATGCATTTGTGGATTGTCCGGACGATCAGTGGGCCATGAAGGCCATCGAGACGTTTTCTGGTGAGTTAAGGTGGTCTTCTGACCGTCAAAGAGCCCCGACCACCTTTAGTTTCATTCATTCTCAGGCAGGCAGGGAGCGGTGGTAGTCGCCGGTGCAGAGCCGCGGTAGCTCGCACACCTTCGCGGTGTGCCCCACTTTCCCTCCCCGTCCAGCCCCGAGGCTTCAGCGGGATAAAATCATATTAAAACAATCATTTTGGTTGATCGCAGCTGCATGCTGTGTGTGTGGAGAGCTCAACACCCTGGGGAGCCATTCAACTTTTGCAGGGGGGAGGGACACGCGTAGTGTAAACGTAAAGCTATACGGTAATATCTGAGCCTGTGCACGGCTTACTACCACATATTTATGCTTTAAAAAATTAAAATCATTGTGTTTTATCACACTGAAGCCTGCTGTAAATAAAGAGCAGCTGATATTTGAATGAAAGTGACATTTTGACGCCGAGCTCTGAGTCTGTATACTGAGATATCGTGGAGCCTCGCTGCTCCCCTCCCCCTTTAAGCCGGCTACTGCTGCTCCTGCTCCTCTCTATGACAAAGATAGAAATACCCTACCTCGTTTTTTTTCTACCCTAACACGTGCAAAACACTCCGAAGAGCCCACAGTAATTAAAAAGCTGTCCTAAAGTTAAAGTCAGCTCCCGTTTGTCTGATTTAGAAGCTACTCTCTTCTCCATTTGCTCCATTTGTAACGTGAGGAGTGAAGGTCGCCATGCCTGTCAGCTCCTTCTGCATGAAACCAACCGAACCCGAGCAGGACTCCGTGATCCGGCTCCATGAGAGTCCGAGTAGAAATCAGAATCTCAGGGGGTCCAGTCTGTAGATCAGAACCGGGTCTCTAAAGGCTTTAATTGGGTTCTAACGGTGCAGACGAGCCTCCACTCTGCAGCCATGTTTGGGCCCTTTGAACCATCAACCTCGGCCCCTTTTCCTCACACTTTGGTTTAATTTCTTTATTAATGTTGGAGATCTCTTCAAAAAGGGGGGTCTCCCACTCTTAGCTGTGTCCCCCATAAATCACCGAGCCCACCCCTTCCCCTCCAGGCCTGTAGGCTAGTAAACAGTTAGCATGTAGCACTATGAGTGTGGATTGAACCCTCGTGTATTCTGTTTTTTTGCAGGTAAAGTGGAGCTTCAAGGGAAACGGATTGAGGTGGAGCACTCCGTCCCCAAGAAGCAAAGGTACTAAACACTCATCAGCACCCCCACCCTCTCCACCCTCCCCATAAAGCCCCTCTCCATGCTGCAGCCCCTCTCTGAGGCCTTTCTCTCCCTCATTAGGAGCTCAAAACCACATTTTGCTGTTTGGTTCGTGTCTGGAGCTGCTGTTGGCCACACACGCGTGTTTGTGGTGTGCGTGGATCTCTCTGATGGTTGTGTTGACGCTGTTTGGTTGTCGCCATTGCTGTAAAGTGGACTGTGACAGTTTGAGCTCTGCAGCTGGTTCTGGTTCTGGTTCTGTTGGTGTTGGTGGACTCTGGCCTTTTAGCTAGCGTGGGTTCTGATTTACTGTCTCGTTTTAACCCACCATGACACTTTAATTTAATACAACATAAAACAAAAACACCTGCTGCAGGACAGTGTGTGTTTGTGGACGAGTGTGTGTGTTTGTGAGAGTGTGTGTGTGTGTGCTGTGGACGTGTTTGGAGTTGTGGGTCACTGACACTTAATTTCCAATCATGAAAAAAAAAAAACCTGAAATAAGCGAAACTGTTGTTGAATATTAGTGTTAAATTCAGATTACACACGTCTGTGCAGGTAAAAACGGTGAAATAAACACTAAAAACTCGTTCTGGTGGATTTACGTCAAATTACGTCTGTGTGGATTATTTATTTATTTCAGTTGTGGACATTTTTAGTTAAATTGAAGACGTTTTCTGAGATTAAAAGTGAATTATTTAATTTTTAAAAATTATTAGAGGACCTCAAATATTAATTTCAGCCCACGCCACGAGCGTGCGTGTTTGTTTTGTTGTGTTGATGGATAATTTAATTTTTTGTTGCTGTTTTAAAACATTTTAGTGAATTTTAAGTCTGATCGTATTTTGAGTGGTCGTGCCGTGACACATACAGACGAGCTTTAATCGTGGGTGTGGAAAAAGTAACCTGTAGCTCAGACACCAGTCTGTGGATTAAAGTGGGCTCTATGGCAGATCAGCTGTATTGTGCTCACAGTCAGACCTGACCTGATTTAACAGTATTATAGAAACCATGATGTCTGTAGAAAACCTTCCTTCATGGCTGTAACCTTTGGCACAGATACGAGGTGAGCACAGTTCCGCCATTACAGGCCACGCGTGTGCGTAATTCACCACAGGACGAAATATCAACTAGAACACGGTCCTGTTGAATTATTTTCAGCTTTGGATAAATTGTTCCGTGTTAATTTCAGCTGTGTTGGTGGAGTTTTGCGTTCATGGCGCCATAAATTTAAATTAAAGCAGAATTTGTTGCGCCGTGTTTCGCCACGAGCGCAAAGGATGGAGAGATTTTGGGTAAAAATCGCCTGTAGAGTTTATATGTTGGTTGAATCGTGTTTTCAGAGTTTGGATGTGACTTTGGGTGATATTTTGTACAAGTGTGTTGAAACGGGTCGCTCGTCCTGCCCACAGAGGACCGGTCTGTCTGCAGCAGGGCTGTCCTGCGCCCTCATCTCTCAGCAGGGCGTCAAACTGTCACGTAGTTCCGTGTTTTTGTGCCCCACACCCTCTCCGAGCGGCCATCATGATAAAGGTGATTTGTGAGGAGCAAAAGGGGGCCACTGTGGGCGAGCTGAGGCCTTCCGTGGCTTCACAACACGTGGTGCGCCCACGCAGCTCAGAGTCACTCCACGTCAGACTGTGAGGGCAAAATGGCGCAGCTCAGAGTGAGTGTTGAGGCTGCCGGGTTATTTTCCGCTCTGTGGAGTTCCGGGTCTCCTCTGCGGCCCTGTTCGCCCCTCAGAGTGACTCCACTGGTTTTATTTACTGGTCCCAGTGTCCCAGTTTGATCATTGATAAGGGGGAGGGGGTGGGAACCAGTGGAGGCAGGTTTTGGGACCCTTTCTTAAAATGGCCGCTCATTTGTTGAACCAGAGAGAGTCAGTCTCTAATTATCCAAACGACGCGTCCGATTGTTGCGCTTTTACGCGATTTAGGAGCTACAGCGCATGTACGATGTTTAAGGTTAACATGTCAGATTATATCTTATTTATTTAATTTTAATGTTACTCCTTTTTTTGAACAACAGTGTGGACGTATTTGTGAATGAGCGTGGGTTTGATCAAACACGTCCTCCGTGTTTTTACGGCGTGTTTTCTGTCTTCAGACACGTTTTTGTTCATGTTTGCGTTTTTTCCTCTTAAATCCACTTTAAAAACCTGCTCCTGGTTTTCTTCATGTGTGTGTTGAACCCACTCTCTCGTTATTTGGAGCAGATAGTTGGGCTCTGATATGGAGCCTGAGTGGAGGTGTGTGTGTTTGCGTGGGAGGGGCGGGTCCTCACAGGGAACAAACCCTTTATTTGAGAGGGGGGAGGGGGTCTCTCCTGTAAGGGTTCAATTCCTCCTCTCTCTTCTATATGTGTTTGTGTTAAAGCCCCTGTATATGCTGCAGGGGGCGCCGCCCATGGCCGCCCCTGACCCCCTGACCACGTCCACTGAGCATGTGTGCGTCTGCGTGGGTTCGAAGAGAGCGAGCGCTGTACGACGGAGACTGAAGGGTTTTAAATTACAGAGACAGTCGTAATATTCATCATGAAGTTGACTGAAATGTGTGTCAGGCTGAGGTCAGCAGGAGTGGTCGAGGAGAAAAGGGGGGAGAGCGGGAGGAGTCGCAAGAGTGGGGGTCGGATTGTGTGTGTGTGTGAGGGAGGAGGAGGAGGAGGGGGTCATTCAGAGGGAACAAGCCTTCCTCTCTGGAGAGAAAAATGTATAGAATTCCTGCAGAGAGAGAAGAAAACTCAGAGCAGCCCCCCACCTCAAAAAAACCCCAAAACCGTCCACATGATCCGGGCTGGAGGACTCGGACCCAGACCTCCACCTGGAGAGTGTGTAGTTTTATAAAGACACAAAGAGACGACAACAAACCCAAACCTTCATCAGGATTTATTCCACATTTTTGTTCAGAGTTCATGTTTTTCAGACCCGCTCCTCAGTGTCCCAGTCCACCAGTTAAACCAGTTTAAATTCTGATCTGACTCTCCCGCACCACTCCCCATATTTCCCGTATTTTAGAGCATCCATGTCAGTTTACACACACACACACACACCCACTCTGTGCACTTGCTGTGTGTGTTTCATGTGTGTGAACCGCTCAGTAGAGCCGACTGTGAACAGGAATTTACGCCAGCGTTCAGGACGTACTGAGCATGCTCAGTAAACCTAATCCTGCAGGTCTGCTGCCGTAGACGTTCATGAGAAGTCAAAGATATGAGGTTGAAGTTTCTAGAGCGGATCATCTGGATCTGCAGGAAGTTTGAGATGATCGACAAAAACCTGTAAAATAATTATTTCTTCTTATTTAGTTCACATGTAAAACGTCTCCTCAGCTTTTATACTTCTGTACCTTCTGGTCTATTTTCAGTATATTTACGGTTTATTCACGGCTCAGTTTTCTCTTTGACTTTGTAGCATCAACACCAGGATCAGGGATTCATCTGCTAACCAAACTAACTCATTAACCGGGTTAGTTTTGGTTATTGTTGGTCAGTTTTTGCACGTGTTTGTCGTCACTTGAGCTTCTGCGGTCAGACGTTAATTTTAGCATCTTCTCCTCGTCGACACGTCGTTCTCTAACATTTCTGTTTCCTGTCAAGAATCATGTTCAAGTTTTTCTCCAGAATCAGAGACGATTTTGTTCACAGATTCTGGACTAAAGTTTGTTTTCTAGCTGAAGCATCAAAAACCTCAAACTGGTATTTTTAGTTAAACACCATTTTGGTCAAAAACATCCTGACTGACAGTTGTGTTTTAGATTTTAGTTTATATGATTCACTTCCTTTTAATTGTCTGTAATTTATTTAGTTATTTTTGCACATGTATGTCATCGTCTTCTCCGTCAGCTTCATGTTGGTCATCATGTCCTGGTGTATTATCGGATATTCCGACGTTCATTCTAGAATCTTCGTCTTTGACACGTTTATTTGTCTCCTGGATTATTTCTTTTTGAAATCTCAAGGTTGTTTGTGGAAATCTCATTTTGTTGCAGACAGAAAAAATGTTGGTCCAAAAGCAGAAAAGTCCTATAACGGGTTCTTTGTAGTTATTTTTTTATTCGTACATGTTTATTATATCAGAGAGAACCAGTTCAGTTCTGGATAGAAGGTTTATTTAGTTTCCTCCTTGAATCCTGAATTTGTCAGTTTCTGAATTTTGTCCTGGAGTTTTTCTTGTGCAGGATTTTAGGCGACAGTTCCCACACGCTCTAGAATTTCAGTTTTTCACTCTGGTTTTCTTTAAAAAGTTGTTTTTAAAATCTGCAGACGAGCGTCGTTGAGTTTTCTCCATCAGCACCTTTTCTTCTGGTCACCACATCCTGAATTTGTCGTTTATTTAGTCAGAAGTGCGGCACGTTTGTCTCTGTGACACATCATTTTGTGAACTCTCAATGTGTGTCATGAGGTGTGTTCAGTTATTTTAGATAATTTTGCTGTATTATTGGTCATGTTACAAGCAGCTGTGGAAAGTTGATTTATTGTCTGTGAATTAAAGCATCAGAGTCGGTAAACTAGTTATTTTTAGTTATTTTTAGTTATTTTTAGTTATTTTCTGCACATGCATGAAATCCTCCCAGAGAGTAAAACAGTTTCTGCAGCGTTTTGGTGTCAGATTTATTCTGGTAATGTTTCCTGATTGACACTCTCACTGTGGCTTTTTAAGATTTCATAATTTTATTGACATTGTTGTGATAAATTGAACCTCCACATAAGCTGTGAACATTTTCTTATTTGCAGACAAACAGAGTTTAGAAAAAAAAGGTCTGAAAGACGTCCTCAAACAGGATATTTTTGTATGTCGCTTTTGCTTGCGCAGCGTTTTGGTGAATCCCCCGTTTGTTTCCCTCCTCTGACAGTCTGAAGTTTGACGGTTCGGACCCGGACTCTGATCTGATCCCGTAGATTTGAGTCTGACGTCTGTTTGAAGCAGAAACACCCTCCATGGTGATGAACCGTCCTCCCTCTTTGTTGTCCTGAAGTTTGAGTCTGGTTGAGCTCCAGCAGGGTCACTGTGTGGGATTGAACATTTTTGGCAAACAGAAATAATATTTTTGGTCTCATATAGAGACATTATGTAAGATCCTAACCACAGTTTCATGTCTTTATTTGGTTCAGACTGAGATTCTCTCTCACCTGCATGTGTAGTTTTTATATATCAGAGGGAGACGATGATCTTTTTTAATTTTAATGTTTAAATGTTGAAAAGTTCAGCGTGTGCCGTTTGTTTGAGCTGCAGAATAACTTAAAAAAAACCTCCAAGATTCTTCATCTGCAGCTCGATTTCTGATAAAAACAGTTTATTAACTTCTGTGTTCAAACATGTTCATCCTGTCAGAGTGAGGATCTGGTCTGAGGTCTGGTCTGAGGTCTGGTCTGGGTTGGAGGTCTCTGCTCCTCTGCTCCTGCTGGAGTCCTCATGTGTGATCTGAACAGGAGCTCATGATTATTCCACCAGACTTCATTCAAAAAACGTGCGATTTTAGACAAAAGGATCAGATCTGATCCGAGTCAGAGACAGATTTTCAGATTTGATCATGAGCAGGAGGAGCGTCATGGTGGCGGTCTGCTGTCTTAATCCTGGTTGGTAATTCCTGCACGCTCCTCCGACATAAACATGTTTTATTTAAAAATACTGAGCAGATCAGAGGAGCCTGTGTTTGAGGGGCTGGAGCAGCTGAATGTCAGAGAGTGTGTGTGTGTGTGTGTGTGTGTGTGTGTGAGTGTGAATCAGCCCTCTCCTTAAGCCTGTTCTCGCTCATACAGCACACATGTCTTTACATCAGCCTGTAATTCTCTCACGTTCATGTTGACACAGTTTTTCTGACACTCGGCTTCGTCAGCGCTCGTCTCCGTCGCTCTTGACATGAAGATGAGAGATAATTCTGCAGAGGAGATTGAGAAACTCGCCCGTTGGAAGATTTAAAATGTTTTATTCTGACACATCTACGGCCGTCGTTTCATCCCTCTGCTTTCTTCTTCTTCTTCTTCTTCTTCTGTCCTCAATAATCTGTGAGTTTGATAAAAACAAAAAGAAACACGAGTTTTCTGCTTTTAGAAACGTTCAGCATGATCGTTGTAAATATTTCACTCCTCTAAACTTCTGCAGAAGATTCCCGCTCTATTATTGCACCTGCACAAAAATCAAATAGTCTGTATTTGTGCAGCTAAACTCAGTTTGAACAGGAGTCTGTGAGCCGCAGTTTTCATCTAGAGAAGTTTGTTTCTTCAGGACAAAAACCGTCTTTTCTGAGCAGATTCTCAAAGTGGAAGGACTTTAAGTTCTGCTCAGTTTACACCGATCTGCTGCAGGAACATTAGAGGAACACACTCACGTCATAAAATCACAAACAGTTTTTCTGGAGACTGAGCTGCTAAATGATGAAACTGTCCTGAATGTTTCTGCAGACGATGGTCCTTCAGCTGAACCTCCATCCTGCTCATGGATCTTCACCTTAGGAGCAGATTTTGGTTCAGACCTCGAGTTCAGCAGATCCAGGATTCACCCAAAAACAAGACTCCTGAAAATGTTCTGAACAGAAACAGGCCGTTTTTGTTTGTCAGGAAAAAGTCAGAAAATTGTTCAGGATCTCAGCAGACAGGACGTTAAAGCTGATGGACATGGAGGAACCGTCGTCAGAGCGAAGGTCTTTGTTTCTCCGTCACGCTGATTTTGACATCATTTTCTCACCTGCTCTCTCGTCCAAAAGGTCGAGCACGTTCGGAAATTTTAGGACCTAATTTGTAAACGAGGTGAAGTTCATTGTCATGCTTTTTTTTCCTGGAAAATTTCTGAAAGATTCAGGACAGCTGCTCCTGAAATTTTCCAGATGTGTTCCTCAGAGTGTGAAGTCTTCTCTGTTGGAGAGGAGGATGTAGAAACGCTGTGTCTGTGTGAAGAAGAGTTTGTCCAGGATGGAGGTCGATGATGGAGGTTGAGGCAGAAACAGAGAAGCGGTTCTTTGTGAGCTCAGAGACGGCGTCGGTCACATGATGCACGAGATCATTCCAGGAATTTAGCAGCTGTGTCTCCTGTGGGAATAATTTTAGGGAGGAGCAGAAAAATCCAGGAGAAAGTCAGGACTGTGTTCATGTTATCAGATCATCCTGAAAATGTCAGGAGTTTAATAAACGTGTGATTTCAGAGGATAATTTGTGTCTCAGAGTGAAGAGAAGCACCGACGAGGTGATGAAGTTAAAATATTTCTCTGCTCTCTTTGGTTTCAGTTTTTTTTTCAGGACAGTCCTTCAGAAACAGAGAGAGCATTTTGTTCTTGAGCTGCAGCTGCATCAGCGGCACACAAACCGTACAGTCTGATGATTTTCATCTGCACGCCTCCCTCTCCTCCTTCTTTACTCATCTGGTCGTCCAATCAGAGAAAAACCGTCCCTGAATCTTCCTGCAGGAAGAAAAACAACGAAGCGTTTCGTCTCTGCAAACAGAGAGTCTGCAGGGCGGCTCTGATCGAGACTGTTCACATACAATAACATGTTAGAGACAGGTGTGGACAGGTGTGGACAGGTGTGGACAGGTGTGGACAGGTGCAGAGGTCGAGGACTCGGCAGAGTTTAAGAAAATATTTGTTTAATCAGATTTTTTTTTGTCTTTGTCCATAAAAATCCTGCAGACACATCAGAACCTTGAACCTTCATTCCTCTCTGTGACGCTCCTTCAGACTTTGTCGTTTCACTTTTCTGCACATTCGATAAAGTTTCTCTGGAAGTTTGAGAGTTTCTGAGTTTTTTGGGTTAAGAGGAAACGTGTTGAGATCAGAGAAACACAGACGTGATCTTCTGTCTTATCTTTGTCATCTTCATGTCATGAGAACTTTGTTTTTGTGTTTTCTTGAGAAAGAAAATTTCTTAAAACTGAAAATTGACAGTAAATTTCCTGAGAACAAACCTCTTCAGACGAACTCTCCGGCTGTTTTTGTCAAAATTAGTGAAGAACTTCTTGCAGCAGAGAGTTAAAGTTTCCTCCTTCTTCTCCCTCGCTCTGATGTTTCTGATGTTTCTGCAGGATCAGGAGGTCGTGGCGTTCAGATCGTTCTTAAATCAAGCTGACTTCACTGTGTTGAAATCTCAGAGTTCACGTCTTACAGAGTTTCCATCTCTGCGTGTTCAGAAGTCGATGTCAGCGTCAGCTTCAACCTGGTTTTCTGTGACGTTCAGGTTGAAGCTCCTTTTCTTCTCTTCTGTTGAGTTTACATCAGAGCTGAAGATCCCAAACTCTGTTCATGTTTGGAAAAGCAGAAGAAATGTCTGAGTACTTCAGTCTCGGTCTGATACGTCGGTGTCGAAGAGCTCGTGTGCATGTTGCTAAAGTTTCTGTTTCTACATGTTAGAAAAGGTCAAAGTTCATGGATGAAACATTCAGGTTTATAAAGTGTTTGTCAGTCTGAAGGGCGTCTGCAGAAAAAGATCGAGGAGTTTGTAGAAACTGACAAATCTGGAGCTCGACTGATCGTGAAAATAAAATTTTGAATCAGTTCATCGTCTCTCGTCCGCTCAGCTCTTCACCTCCGTACCTGTTTGTTTAAAGTCGCAGCAACTTTGTCTGATTCTTAGTCTACGTTCACTCTGCAGGTTCTGATGCACGAGTCTGATTTTTTTGTTAAATCCGATCTTTTTGTGCGGTCGTTCACATTACGACAATGAATGCGTCCGTGAAGTGACCTGCATGTGCACAAAACAGGACGTGTTGTTGTGTTGTCGAACAATGGTGACGTTTGTCGCATATTAATGACGTAAAGGTCGGATTAGAACAAATCTGAACTGACCTGTTCACACTTAGATGGAGACATCAGATATGAGTCACAGATGGTTAAAAAATCAGAATTGACCTGCAGTCTGAACGTAGCCTTTGACTCAATGATTCCTGATCTCCGGTTACAGATTCTGAATGAACGCTCGGTCCAACGGTGCAGGTTTGTCCTGCAGAATTTGTCGATTTGCTTCAGAAACAAACTTTTGGTCGATTGTCGCGGAGAGTCGTTGTGACCTGGACCTTCTTATGAGCTTTAAAGTTCTCTAAAAACTAAAGTGACGGAGGGTTTGTTGTCATGAGTGTTAAATCACCTAAATGTTCAAATAAACTTCATAAAAGTTTTATTTCTACTCGACCACAGAGACCGTCGTCTTGCAGCGCCGTGTTTCTGGAGAAGCAGACGGACAGACTCGGGATATTTGTGCACAGAGGGTTTGTCGTTGTTGTGCGTAGAATAAAAAAACTCCACAAATAGAGGATCAGACTTTCGTACATCACAGGAGCTTCTTGTCCTCGAAGGCCGCCGTAGTTTCACCAACAGGAGGGGTGAGCAGGCGATTGTCTCAGTCCCAAATCTTCACCTCCATCCTCCTTTTTTCGACCCCGCTGTAAACGAAGGTTTTTTAAAAACAATCACAAATTTCTACGCTCGTCCTAAAAAGTTAAAAGGCGAGTTTGAAAGATTCAGTGAAAAACAAACGGAGACGGAGCGTCAGAGAGTTTTCAGTCTGTTTCTGAGAGAAGGAAACCGTCAGCAGCTGTGAGACGTCTGGAGAACCTCGAGGAAATCCAAACCTGCAGACCAGCCGGGCTTTTGTTCTCCAGAGATGATTTTCCAACTCCTCTATTCGTCCTCTATTTAACTTTACTGGACAGTGAACGTCAGGAGGAGCAGGAAGGTCGTGGTCGGGAGGTGAACGTTGACCGTTCTGTTCAGGAGCTAAAAGTTTTAAACGCTGAGCTAAACGGCGCCTCGTTCACTCAGATTGTTGATGTGAAACTTCTTCGTAAAAGTCCGACTAAAGCGAAAGTCTGAGCGAAGAGTTTTCTCCAAATAACGGACAGGAACTCTGAGTCTTGAAAACAGAGGAAGTCGAGTTTGTTTCGAATCACAGATCCGTCAGCGTTTCAACCACGCCGCTGGATCGTTGCATTCCTGCAGAGACCGGCGTTTTAGGCGTGTCGGAGGCGTGTTTCAGATCCTGTGATTTCAGATGGTCGTGGAGATGATCTCATTGTTCCAGATCTGAGTCCTGGTGCACCTGCAGCCTCGCTCCGAAGTCTGAGAACGGATCCTGCAGACGCCGCCGATGTTTGCAGAAGAAGCAGAAACACGCAGATCTGCTCCACTGACATGTTTTCTTGACCTCCTGGATGAGATGAACGCTCATAACCTCATGACTCTCATTCAGAGTGGGAAGCAGACGATGGCTGCTCGCTCGCTCGCTCTCTCTCTCTCTCTCTCTCTTTCGTCATTCTTCCTCCTCTCATTTCTGCTCCTCTTTGTTGAATCTTTCTTTCTCTGTTGCATCCTGCAGCCGCTCTCCTTCTTTTCAGCTCGACGTGCAAAAAAAGAAAAAAGTGTGTTGCAGCTTTAAATGCACTCTGAATGCACGGTGCATGTGAGGAGTGTGTGTGTGTGTGTGTGTGTGTGCGCAGCAGCAACAGAGAGGAAGAAAGAAAGAGGGAGAGTCGAGGGGGGGGGGGGGAGAAAGCACGCCATGGTTCGTCTTCCTCGCCTCTCATGGCCGGAGAGGAAGAGGAAGAGGAGGAGGAGGGGAAAGTGGGCGGAGGAATCCAGGGGGGTGCGACCAATCGTCTGGCAGCGGCACCTCCAAGCAGAGAGGGAGGGGAGGAGGGAGGCGGTCGCTTGGCGCAGACAGGAGAGGAGGCGATGGGTCCTCCTCCTCCTCCTCCTCCTCCCTCCCTCCCTCCCTCTCTCTCTCTCTCTCTCCCTCTCTGGTCATACTTTGATTCTCTCGTTGTTTTCTTCTCTCCCTCTCTGGTACAGTATGTCCACTTCTCTCTCCCCTCTCCCTTGTTTTCCCTCCCTTTTCTCCCTCCCTCTCCTGGCGTGTTGCCATCTTCTCTGCACCATTCCAGTGTTTTAGAGAGCGACAGAGAGAAAGAAAGAGACGGAGAAGAGGACAAATCCACATGCATGTCTTTGAGAGTCGGTGTCAGACTCGGTTCTGGGTGTTTTGGGCTGAAATCGGTTCTGATATGTGTTTTTATTCTGCTCGTTAGTCTGAGCTTCTCGTCTCTTTTTCACGTTGTGTCCCGGATTAGCATCAAATCATGATTTCTCAAACATGTGAGATGGAGAGTCGGAGAAGACGTGGAGGATCGTGGTTTTTGTTTCAGCTCCACAAAAGATCTTTGTGTGGCCCGAGGAGTCTGTGAGCCGAGGTTTGGAGGTTTCAGGGTCCGAGCGTTTGAAGCGAATGTAATCCTTCTGCAAAGACATGGAGGACAAAATCAGCACCTCATGTTCTGCAATAACTCACCGTTTCAAAAGCTCACATCAGGAAGCTCTCTCTGCTTCTACAGACGCAGATTTATCCTGTCAGTGACTCAGAGAAAAGGTTCGACCTGATCCTGCAGATGAACTCTCAGGTTCAGAGACTCGGTGAAGTTTAATCCCTTCATATAAAAACATCCATCAGAGTTCCTCAGTTTTTTAAACACGTCAGAAAAGTCTGAAGATTCTCAAACTCCTGACTGATTCTCTCTCAGCAGGTGTGAATCTCACCTGTTGATTAAAGGTCCAAAGCTGCAGGTGAAGCTAACAGCTACAAACCGTGATCAGACAGAAATATTGAACTTTAGTAAAAGTTCAGTTAGAATCAAAACGATCAGAGTCTCTTTAGTGACTTTAAATCGATTCTGGTAAAAAAGACAATTCTGCAGAATAATTAATTATAAACGGTTCATCGTTAAACGTCAAAATAAACCAAAAATATGAACATGTGAAGTAACTTTGAAGGTTTTTGAATATTTTCTGACAGTATTTCAACAAAAATTCCAAAGTTATTGGACGAGTAAAAATGAGAAAAATTTACTTATTCAAAAAAAAAAGAACATTTTGTGTTTAAATATCTTTAAATTGTATTTATATATTCTGCCTGTTTTTGTCATTTTAGTTCAGATTCATTCAAACAAATTAACCTGCTAAGATGAGTTTTTTTACAGTGTAAATTTTAGTTTATAAAATTTGCAGAAACAGATTTTTGAAACCCTCTGAAAACATTTTCATGTTTCTGCTCAGTTACAGTAAAGAGAAAAAAACTGTTTCTCTCTGATTTTGTGTTTTTATTCAGGATGATTTAAAGAAACATGAAACAGAAATATGAACTCAGACGAGGTGACGAGTTTTAAGTTTTAAAAAAACAAAACTGAGTCCAAATACTGAACCGAGTCCAGATCCCAGAGTCTGGCTAACGTTAGCAGAACTCGTTTACATCCTGGTAGTAAATGTCTGATGATGATAAAATAATAATTTTAATAATTTTAAAAGTATTTTCACAAAAATCAGAGCTTTACATTTCCTTCATTTTAATTAAAAACTATTTTTTTTCCTTTTAAGACGGTTAAAATAATCTGATCAGTTTCTCTGTTTTTACAAACAAACTTCAGCACATCTGAGATTTTCTTCTGAATGAGGTCAAACTCGAACCTGAAGTCTATGAATGTTTGAAATGACTGTCTTTCTTCAGTTTTCTGTTTTTGCACATTGAGACATCAGAAATAAATGAAAAAGCACCGAGACGAAGGAAAAATTATGCAGGATTTTTATTTTAGGGAGTTGTAAAAAAAAAAAAAGTGTAGTAGAAATGATGTTTACACATGCCAGAAATTTTCAGAAAATTACAGGAGGAGAAAATACTAATTTTTTCAGAAAATTTCAGGACACAAACGCTTGTCAGATTGTGGGTTTGATGTGATTAAATATTTGTTGGTTTAGTTGCTTCGAGTTGTTTGAGATTAGACTTCACAGCAGAGACGAAACCACTGAGTCAGTTTCAGGAATAATTTCTGTAATTTTTCAGGAGTCCTCCAAATACCTGATGGAAAGTTTAAGGAGTAAATGTCTTATTTTAACCGTGTAGAGATTTGATCTGTGACAGAACTGCAGAATTGATTGAAACTCTTCGATTATCGCCCGTCCTCTGAATTTCTGATCAAGACAAACGTCTCGTCCCTCCGTGTCGTGAGTTTCTGCAGATGTTCCTCTTAGAAGATCGTCGTATTGATCACTCAGAGGGTCAGCAGGATGCTGCAGTAAATACTTTGAATCATGGGAAATGTAGGATCCAGAGAGCCTTATGACCGAAAATTTGAAGATTTAATATGAAACTCTAAACAGTTTTATTTTATTTTATTTTATTTCTTTAGTTCCCAGATTTTAAAATCGTCACCACAGGCGCCTCCACATGTGTGAAAATTTAACGCAGTTTAAAGTTTCTGTTAATTCATCAGTTAACGGTTTAAAAAAACAAATATCTGTGTCATACGAAGGTTTGAGGAGATTTTCAGTTTTGTGAACAGAGAAAATAAATTTGTGCAGAAAGTGATGGAGAGAGAAATGACGACAGAGAGGAAGAGTGAAGGAGAGAGAGAGAGAGGAAGAGGGAGGGAGGGAGGCCTTATGTAGGTGAAGGGGTAAGAGCGTACTGTCTCTTTAAGAAGACCCCCGCCTCCCCCTCCTCCTCCACCTCAACCGCCCCATCTCTCTGATTGTTTCTTCTCTTCAGTTCAAACCATCTGTCCTCTCTCTCTCTCTCTCTCTCTTTCTCTCTCTCTCTCTCATCGTTCACCAAAAATATATTTTACCCACACACACACACACACACACATATAGATGCACGCACACACACACACACTTACTGGTGCTGTACATTTGGAGCGATAAGCAGCGAGGGGAAAAACGAGAAATGAGGAAAGAAAGGAAAAGAGGAGGAGGGGGGTGTGTGGAGGTTGTTGGGGCCCGGGGGTGGGGTCTGTATGGAGGATGGGGCCCCTCCTGCACATATATACATATGTGAGTGTGTGTGTGTGTGTGTGTGTGTGTGTGTGTGCATGTACAGCAGAGCAGCAGCGGTTATGTCACACAGCAGGACACACAGAGAGGTGATTTTTTTATGAGCTCTATCAATCTTTTCAAACTTCTCTGAGCTTTTATTTTGAAAAACAAAAAAAATTTATTTGACTTATTAATCAGCTGATTAGTTTTCAGTTCAGTCTCAGTTTTTAATTCCAGTGTGACTCCAGAGAAAACGCTCAGACGTCTGTCCTGCGAACATTAACACGTCTGAGTTTGAAGGATTTCAGGAAATTTTCCAGAGAAACTTTCTGAGAAGTTTTAACGAGAACAAGACTCGACCTGTGACCGTGTGTGTCCTCCTGTTTTCACTGAGCTGGTTAAAAACTGAAACACAGTGAGGGAGGAATACGCTGCTGTCTGCACCACTCTTCACATAGTTTAGACTTGAGGTGCATTTAGTGATTTAAAAACATCGTAGTGAAAATATTCATGGAGGCAAATATAATCTCACTGCAGAAATGATTGTTTGAATAATCCCTGAAAATTATCCCGACCCTGAAAAAACTGCAGATTTTAGGGATATGAAGCAAGAAAAAACTGCAAACTCTGCAAAAACAAAAACTAGTTTCATGATTTTCTGCTCAAGATAAATGTTTCTACATTTGCACAATTCTCCTCATGAGTGTTAATCTGATTAAAGTGATTTAGACAAATATCAAGTGTTATTTTGCACAAATATTGAAGTGGAGTTTAATGTCTTTTGTTATTTCTCTGAATCGTCTTTGTCAAACTTACTGCAGAAATCATTGTTTGTATGATTTTAAGGAATGATCCTTTAATGCAGAGAAAATTAATGACAGTTGTGCAAAAATCCTCTAAACCTGCAGGTTTGACGTCATTCTGCAGAAACTTGTTTTGGAGGTTAAAGATGTGAAACTGCAGCTGCTCTCTGCTTCAAGACTAAAACTTGAGTTTTTATTATTTTTGGTTTTTACTGTGACGGTCTGTGCTGCATGATTCCTGTCGCAGCCTTTAAAGGGTTAATGACACAAAATCAGACTTAAAATGATCTAAACTCAAACGTAAAGATCTCTGAGAGCTTCAGTGTGAATAACAGTGTCACTGTTCAATGATTTACGCCTGAAAACTCGTTTTATTTTGAAAATCAACTCCTCCAGAGACTCGTTTTATTCTGAAAGTCGCTTCAGAAGCTTCCATCGGTGACTGTTTTAGTCAGAGGGGTTCCTAAAAAGACCCCAAGTGTTAGAAAAGGAAGTCTCCTAATGTAAGGAAAGGAGACACAATGCTTCCTTTGAGGTTAGGACACACTGACTCGTCCTCAAGGAAAGGAGAGAAGAGGACATGAGGTTTGAAGTTCCTCAGATTTGGAGCCAAAATCACTGAATTGATCAATTATTGTCATTCAATCAAACTGATGACTCATCAAAGTGGGAGGAGCTTCAACCAATCATTAAATATTAATGAGGCTTTATTTTGATAAATAAGAATCATCCATAAAACTACACAACTTAAATCTAGAGACGACTATAAGAACCAATGGGACGTCAGTGATGAGGGGGGCTGCATTCTGATTGGTCGTTTGATAAAGGGGCGGGTTGTTGTGAGATTGCGGATGTTTTCATTGGCTGGAGTTCACATTTCGAAAAGAGATGATTTTTCTGGAAGATTCTCCTCCTCTCTGTATTTTTTAATAAATCCACGCAGACGTCGGTTCATCCGTCGGTGTTTTCTGGGATTTCTCGTCTTTTCCTCGAAGGTGTTCGAGTCGCACTAAAGACCTGAATCATCCTGTTTGCAGACATAAAACCTCCGGCGCTGAATTATTCACATCATTACATTATTTACCGTGTAAACTGAAGGATTATTTATTCAGCGTGTTTGAATGTTGCAGAACAAACAGACGTGTCGGAGGATCATGTCTCCGGAGGAAAGAGGAACAAATAAACGGCGTCTCTTTAAATCCCCGACAGCGAGATCGTGGACTAAAATAACATTTGACTAAAAACGCTCCATCAGTAGATCGATGCATCAAACTCTTCTGCAGACTTCCCCGCCTCGTCGTTCTAATTTAATGAATTATCTTGTTATTATTTGGTCATTTTTGACACTTTTAGATAGAAGAGACAGAAAAAGAGAGGCAGTTCAGTGAACGCAGCGACCTCGACTCTTATCTCTGCTTGGACCCTCAACCCCAAATATGTCTAATGTGAAGAGCGGGACGGTTTCTTTTTAGGTGGTTAAAGTTTTAAAATTTCTGTTACAAACCTGGAAATTTGGCAACTTTACCCCGACTTTGTGGTTTTCTTTTAGGAAGCTGTTTTTCTGTTTGAAGAAAAAAATAAACTTCAGTTTTAACAGGAAAGATTTCAGCTGAAAATGTTTAAAATTCTTCTAAATAATTTCCCAAGAAAAGGAGTTTAACGTGTTTTTTTTTCAGGTGAAAGTCTAAAAGTGTTTGAATTAACCCTTTAAGAGTCTTTCCATTGGAACCTCTGTCTCTGTTGTTTTTAAGGTAAACAAAGTAAAGAGGGTGAAGAGTTGAGTTTATTTTAACATGTTTGAATTTAAAAAAAATCAGTTTTAATTTGTTTTAATGAAACTCAGATTTTTGATCCTTTCTATCCTGTTAAAAACAACATTTTTTTCCCTCTGTTCTCTCTCTGTTTTATGACCTTTGACCCTTTACCTCTCTCTGTGCCGGACCAACATAACACTCCCAGCATGTGTGTGTGTGTGTGTGTGTGTAGACAAAGTTGTGTGTGTGAGGGAGAGGGAGAGAGAGAGGGGCAGAGGGGGGAGGGGCGGGGCGAGCGGGTTGCACCTTGGACTCAGATTCTTGACATTTTTTCAGCTGTAATGAGAAAGAAAGTGGAGATTAAGGAGCCTATAGAGAATCCTGGACTCTGATTGGCTGTGAGCTGTTCTCTGCTGAGCTCTGATTGGCTGGAAGTAGTTTCTATAGTTGGTTTTTCATATATGGAACTTCCTGTTTCTTTTCCTGGTTTCTCTCTGTGTGTGTGTGTGTGTGTGTGTGTGTGTGTGTGTGTGTGTGTGTGTTCTGTCTTTGTTTATTTTCTTCACTTTTTCCTGGTGTGTCAGAAATTCGACCCTCCTCTCAGATCTGATCACGTCAACCTGCTCAAACGAGAAAACTGAACTTTTAAAAATTAGTGATTGTGGAAAAAAAAACTTAAAATAGTTTCAAAAATTTTCAGAGAGTCGGTCTGCGGTCAAACACACGTGTTTATAGTTTGTTCTGCAGAAAGAGCTCGACGTCACTCTGATACGGTGGACGAATTTCAGGACGAAGGACAAAATCAAACGGCTTAAAGGAGACCACGTGATTTAAGATTTAAGCTCCGAACATTTCCACTCCTGCTGTCAGTGCAGCTCAGAGAAAACCGTCTGTGCATTATTTTATTTAAGATGTTTGAGAGGCGAGTTGAGATTTAATTGATACATAATCCATTATTGATTCTATTTTATTTTTTATTTAGTCCAAAATCCGTTTCAGGTTTTCCGTGAGCGCAAATGTCAGTCCAAACAGGCTTTCTAGAAATCAAGCTTTTTACCTCAATTTGATAACTGTAGTTTTTGAGGGATCTTTTCTGTGAGAGAGAAAAATCTTTGAGATGTTGCAGAAACACTCAGACAGCTGCAAGTCTCACGAAGCGAGTGGATTTTTGTTACCGTCGTCCTCCTCAGTGTTAAACTTTTAAAAGTCCCCCCCCCCCTTCTTCTTCTTCTGCTGTCGTACAAACTGGTAAAACGAAGATTCAGAGAAAGCGTCTCCAACTGTTTCACTGCTGCAGGCGGCGGTGGCGTCTACGACAGGACTATTTTAGACTCAGACTTTGGGTTACGCCCCACACAGACCATAAAAAACAGACCCAGCTGAGACAACAGGTCAAATATTTTTAAAGGAGGAAATCAGAGAAATCCTGCAGAGACGACAGATCTGCTTTAGCCTCAAACTTTGAAGTTGAGAGTGAAGAGGGTTTCAGAGAGAGCGGGGGGTTGTTTCTGGTTCTGCTGCGTTCATGTGAAAGTATTTTCAGACTCCGATTCCTGGAAATCTGTTCAGGCAGGAGCAGCGGTGATTCTGATGAAGCCGTCAGAGCCGAGGTTTTATATTTAGCCGCAGAGTTATGAGTTGATTTACTCTCAAACGGTCTTGTAGTGTTTTGTGATGACTCACTGACCGAGTGCTCCACTTTGGTTTCTGTTTGTCCGTTTGTCCGTCCGTCTGCGTCTCGTTTCCTCTGCCGAGCGTCTGCAGGAACACGAGGTGCATCAGCTGCACTTTCACAGGAAACCAGACGAGAAGAAGAAGATCTGCTGTTGAGATGTCTGAGGATAAAAAACCAGTCTGTGTTCAATCCTGACGGTGACACGGTTGTTTACACCTGGTCATCTGCACGCCGAGTGTTTGAGTTCAAAGGTCAAACTCACTTCAGTCCTGGCGTGTCGCTGGAATCAAACAGAAATAAGCGACAGTGTTAATGTGACGTTGAAGCTCTTATCTCGGTTCTTCAGTCATTTATTCAAACACAGCTGAAAATATGAAGATCTGCTGACGTTCAACTGTTCTTGTCTGTGATTGGTCACATGCTGCTGACATCATCAGGTTGATAACCAGCGTTGTGGGAGCGAGATCTGCTCAGTCAGAGTTAGTGAAGCAGGACAACCGAACCTAACCCGGACAGATCTGCTTCTGTTCGTCTCTCTCTGTCGTCTGGTGTGAATTTATGCTGCGGTCCAGTTTCCTCGGAAGTCGGATGTCGGAGCTGGGAATGACGCTACACCTGAGTTGACAGCGTTCCAGTAAACAAGTTGGAAAACCAAGATGGACGCCTGCAGTTACCTGTTATTAGCTGTTGTTTACAATTGTCAGCTGTCACAGTTAGACGTTGGGCAGTACAACAAATACCACTTATTTAATTTCACAAAAACAGAAGTGCTAATAAATAAAACTTTACGAGACCTTATATTGTTACTCTTTACTGTTGATGAGCTGCGCTGCCATCTTGAATTATGACATTGTCGTCAAGTCCGGGTTGGCGAGGCTCATCCAACCTTCCGAGTCAGAAATCTGACTTCAGGGGGGCGTCCAGGTGAATTTCCCACTCGGAGCTCGGAAATCCTGGAATGCAGCATGAGCCCCTGAAAGTCTCCACCCCCTCATAGGTGTAGACAGGTGTGTTACTTCACAGAGGTACACCAGTTTTTACTGACCGAGGTCACTTGTCTGATTTCTGAGCTGGAGTTGATCTTGCAGAAGTCGCTGGTCCACCGATCAGTCCGTTTACACGTACAGTTCAGTTATGCTACAGCTTCATGGAGCGATGTGATCGGATTACTCAGGACACTAACATTCTTCACATGCTCTTCTAAGGTGAAAAAGTAATAAGTACACAAAGAACTTTATTATTAACTTAATTAGAAATCAATTTTAGGTCTTTTGGTCACATGACAGTGAAGCTATTGAAGGAAAACAGCCTTTTCTGAGAACATCAACCGGTAATTTATTGACGGTCCCTTATTCAACACCAACGTTGACAGTGAGGGTGTCGAGTAGATTTAACCGCGCTGCTGTTGTTATTCCCGGTTATGGAGAGAGAGAAGACACCGGTAGATCCTCCGAGAATGTCCGTCAGATATCCATACCTGAAACTAACTTCACCACCGTATTTACAGGAAAATATATCCAACCTGAAACTAACTTCACCACCGTATTTACAGGAAAATATATCCAACCTGAAACTAACTTCACCGCCGTATTTACAGGAAAATATATCCAACCTGAAACTAACTTCACCGCCGTATTTACATGAAGAAACATTTGTTTTCTTGGCAAATTTTTTTTTATGCACAGATGTGACCCTAAATACATTTTACAATTCGCACTCATCTATTTTTAGTCGCAAATGTAAGTGAAACGGTCACACTGTCGATCCCTGTTACTGCTCCTGAATCAAATTATCGTCTACCTCTGCTACGTCAGGTGGTGGTTTACCAAAATGTTTAATCTGTCACTATTTGGTTCAACTATTACGACAGGCACCAAAACAATCAACAAATGCGTTAGAACGGGGCTGACAGGAAGAACTTCTAACAATAGAAACACCCACAACTCATTTTAGTAGATTTGTTTATAACTCCTGAACTGATTTATGCTGTTTGATATTTCAGCCAATCACAGACAGACAGAGCTCCAGGTAGATCAGCAGCTCCTGTGATCCGTTTGGATGTGAAGAGAGCGAGTCTCTGGTTTAAAGATCATTTTTATTTTCTCTCAGTTTGATCTTTTCTCTCTTTTCTAAAATCTCTGACTCTTTCTTTATCAGCTGAGAATCTTTTATTCTTCTCTCTCTGCTCGCCTCATTGTTTGCATCCTTCAACTTTCCTCCCATGATCCTCTGCTCCCTCCTTCTCTTCCTGCTTCGAGATTCTCAAAGAGTTAAAATGGAGGCGCTGCCTGCACGTCACATGTCTGACATACGTCTGCGGCTGCGCACATACGTGCACACACATGCACACAGTCGTGCACACACATGCAGACATGTATGAGCTGCAGAGAGAGAGAGAGAGAGAGAGTCAGTCCCCTCCCCCCATGGCTGTAATGTCCTCCCTCCCCCCTCCTCTCTCTCTCTCTCTCTCTGAAGTGGGTGTGTGCTAGCCGGGGGTGTGCCATATCATATCCACTGCACCGGCTCACGTGGTCTGCAGCTCTGTGTGTGTGTGTGTGTGTGTGTGTGTGGAGGGAGGTGTCGCAGTCTCTGTGCATTGTGATGTTGGGTGGGAGCTTCCAGAAAATCCTGTGTGTGTGTGTGTGTGTGTGTGTGTGTGTGTGTGTGTGTGTGTGTGTGTGTGTGCATGTGTTTCTAGTAGAAACGAGGATCCTTGTGTGAAAAGCAGGTCTGGTTTTCTCAGCAGATAAATGAAACAAACACTCTCCTCGGTCTGACGCCTGTTTTCAGCTCCATGAAGCTCCTGATTGACAAAGTGAGATCACGTTTACAGGCTGGATCTTCTCCTCTCTCGCTCACTGAGCTGAATACTAAACCAACAGCAAAGATTTAAAGCAGAGAGATGAGCTGAAGTGAAGAGCTGGTCTGTCTCCTCCTCCTCCTTCTCCTTCTCCTTCTCCTCCATGGTTGCAGAGCAGCTCCACGAGAAATCGCTCCAGTTTAGCAGAAATAGGGGAAAGCCTCTCAGACCCAGTTGCAGCTGAAAATAGCACTTCCTGTCACAGATTAGAAAATGTCATGCATGATGGAAAACTCACGGCTGTGGATTTTTTCTGTGTCCATCTGTAAGACGACAGATTTCCATCCCTCTGCATGTTCATCTTTGCGACCTTACAGTTCTGATTCTGCTCGAGGTCAACCTGAAAAAGAGCAGATTTATTTATTTATTTATAGACTTGTGTTTGGACTTGGTTGGAGGTTATTTTATCTGCTCATCAGCTGTGATTTGTTTCATGTTGTTGTGGACCGTTAACAGAAGTCTCCTCCGATGCAGAAACCTCCTCCTGAAATCAGTCAAACCTTTTATGAATTAGGCGTTAGTTATCTGAGAATAGAGGGTAAAGAAGTCAGGTTTTCTGCTTTAAATGATGGATAGAAAACTCTGTTCACAGTGTGAGAAAAAGTGGATTTGTCCTGTGAAGTTTATTCTGCAGTTTGATCCAGTTCAGGTGTGGAAATAAGTCTTTCGTCTTTCATAAACCCTCCTCCTCGTTCATAGTCGTGTGTTTTAATCGGTTTTAAACTTTTTCAGAGCGTGATTTTAGGAGAAGAGATCCGGACAGACTTTTAAATATTCTGGAGTTTTTACGGCGGCGTTTCTCACAGATTAGTTTGGTGTCTCAGCTCAGGAGAGAACGGAGATGAAGTTGATATTTTTAGAGTTTTGTAAACTCATGAGGGATCGTCTGTGTGTGCATGAGCGAAAATTAAACCATCAAACCGATGAAGAAGAGGTGGAAAAGAAATTCATAGTTTTCTTTTTTTTAACAAGAATAAAATCAGTAATCATAAACTGTCAAAATAATCTATTGAATTGTCCTTCAGGGATCAATAAAGTTCTTCTTAAATTCAGACAAAGTGACAAAAACCTCCTGAAAATTTTAATAATTCTTCCACTTCTGTTTCTACGAAGTGTCCCTCTTTTCGTCGGAGGGTTTGACCTCCTTTAAGAAGATTTATTTAGGATGATTTTTGTAAGCTCGTACACGTCACTGTACCGATGAAACATGAAATCAGTAAATTAAAAACCGAGCAACACTGAGGAGGAGAAGGAAAGGCTGAAGAGAAACTTAGAGACGGACCATTTCTCTGTCAGGTTTTTGGGTCAAATCAAAGTAAAATGAAGGTGAACAAAGAGACTAAATAAGTCAATAAATCCCGTCAGAAACATTTAATTTACACGGCAGACAGGAGCAGGAAAAGTTTCTTTAATCTGACCTCCTTTGTTTTCTCATAAATCACAGACAATAACTTAAAATTTAAGATGATCTTTTATTTACTAAAATAATAACAGTCCTTATTTTATAATAGCACAGGTATCACAGTGTGACTGAACGAACTCTGAAAACAGGAGGAGTTTAAAGATTTAAAAATTAAAGCTGCTAAATGCTTTTAAATTTTTCTGAGTATCTCTGAGTGACGAATCAAACCTGCAGCGTTTGTAAATATTGTGTTTAATATTTTAGCTCGTTGTTCACATATTGATTTTCAGTGTGTGTGTTTTTTGGTCTCGGTCGTCATGTTTGCAGTTTGTTTCAAAAAGGTTAAAACTTTTTTGTTTGGTTGGATCTTAAAAAATCTGAAATTAGATTTTAAATCATTTGCAGCAACTCTGAGAACTTTTTATTATAATTATAATTAAACTAGAATTGACTCACTGGTCTTGTTGTCGTGGGTTTCTGACTGAACTGAACTCACTGGACTCTGAGTTTTCCAGATCGACAGTTTGCATGTTGTTATTAAACTCCTTTTATTTCTATATTTTGGTTAAAATCTCTGAAAGGTCGTCACTTCCTGTGGTTAACTCCTCAGAAGTTGGTTGAACATATTTTCTCGTAACTTTGCGGCTCATAAACTTTCAGATTTAGTTTTTTTTATTTAACTGAACTGTGTTTTTGATTTAACTGTATTTATATTGTGACACTTTAAACTCTAAAACTTTGTTTCCACTAAATTCTTTGTGTTAAAAAGAGCAGATCTGTGAACCCTGAGGTGGACCTGAGTTTATTTTATCCTCGTCTGTTTTTCTTCTTTAAAACAGAATCAAGTTTTTGCAGATACTTCTGGGTTTTGTAGTTTTGTGTAGTTTTATTAGTTATTTATTTACGTCACCTGAACGTAGATTTCCTTTTGTCGTACCTGCTGCAGCTGTGCAGCACTGGAACTGACCCGTGGATGTGTTTTTACTGCTCTGCTTTTTCACTGTTAGAGTTTCACACTTGCACCTTTATTTTGGTGATCTTTGTGTATTTTTGATGTCGGCTTCAGATCAAATTTCCTGCAGAAAATAATGAAGAAAGAGCGAAAAGTCAGATAAATTCACTGCAGAAAACAATTTCTCTGTTATTCTGACCTAAAGAAAAACTGGAGTCTTAACGTTCATCCTGACTGTTTGGTTTGATCCAGAAGCACTTGCTGGATCTTCACGTCTTTCAGAAACTCACTGAGGATAAAATTATAATTATTTCAGAGCGTCCTGACCGAGACAGAGGGAACAGTTAACACGGTTTCTGATGATAAACAGAGAGCATGCAAACCTAAGAGGTGATGATCAGAATCAGAGATATATAAAAACAGAGCATTTCTTTAACCTTAGGTTCTTCTGAAGCTTCTTAAAATCATCTCAGAGAGCAGATCCTTCAGTTTCAGCTGGTTTTGAAGCATCTACATTAATGTTCAGTTTCACTGGGCTCCTGCAGACTTCTGAAAATTTAAGGTCATGAAAAGTCTTCTGAGAGGTCTCAGTTTTTTTCTGGATGAAATTATATGATAGATTATCAGTGCGGTACGATCACGTTCAGGAGTCACAGAGGAGAAGAAAACAGGAGTGTGCACGTTCAAGGATGTAAAGAAATGATCTACAGCAAAATCTAGGACTAATTTCTATGATAAAGCTTTATTTCTGTTTATTTCTCTGTAGTTTGATGGATTATTGTCTGGGATCGTAGTGACGCAGATCTGCAGAGGTTCTTTCTTTATGTGACAAACTGAAGAAGTTTTTTTTTTTATGAATGTTTGTTGAAAATCAGAGACATCTCCTGGTTTCTTTCCCACCATGATGCTGAGATACTGTCATGCTCGCCGCACAGCGACTCTATAGACTGTAAAGTGACACATAGAGGGATGATGCTGCGGCTGATTTTTAAAAATATTCTCATTTTTCTGAAATATTTTTTGCCTTAATTCAGAAAAATGTCACCACGCCCAGTTAAAGAGAGAGATTTACTAACAGGAGGTCTTTAATCGTAGGTGTTTCTACCTGAATCACAGTCAGTGTTAAAGCATCATCCAGTTACAATGACAGGTGGTGTTTCCAGCATAAATATTATTTTACAGTCACAGGAAACTATCAGCTTCGGTCGATGGTCTATATTTGGCTGATTTTCTGTATCAACCTTTTATTTTTCAGATTAATTAGAGACTGTGCTAATTAGGCTCTACTGTGTCTGTCCCTCTGCACCACTTTGTCCCATCTTTAGCCCCGCCCACAACACTGTCTGATTGGCTGGTTGTCACATGGTGATGTGATATAACTGTGCTGATAGTGTAACTTGTTTACTGGTAACTCCTGTATGTTGAAGCTGCAGTTTGATTTGACTTTTGCTCCAAGTTTGAGAATATAGATGTTATATATATATATAATATAGATGTTCACTGTCGGTCTACATCCAAATATTAATATAATTAACTACTGATGTCACTAATGTCAGACTTCACAACAGGAACCTTAATATGCAATAAATCTATTATGTAAATTTTGTACAGATGTAAAAATGACACATGCACATATTTTATTTTAACTCAAAGTTTCTTTACTTTCTAATTCTTGTCTTTTTGTATGTATATGATATTTTGCTGCTGTAATTTTGGAATTTCCCCCAATAAAGGGACTAATAAAGGAACATCTTATGGTATCTTATCTGAATGATTAGTTTCCATCCAATACTTAAAAACCTTGTTAGTTTTTCAGAATAATTTTAACTATTATAGACTTTTCAGATACAATAAAACCTGTCAGAGGCTTTTTCTGAGAAAATGACTTTTACAGTTTTAAGGTAAAGTAACACGACCTATAACAACTTATGAAACTATTGTGTGAAAAGCTCCTCCTTAAGTTACAATGCAAAGAAAAAACACAGAAAGCTCGACTTTAGGACATAAATAAGACAAGAAAACTTAACAGGAAGTACAGAAAGTTAGAGGAAAGAGGAGTGTAAAGTATTTCAGGAGTTATTCTCTTAGTTTGGAGGAATCTAAACTGTGACAAACTCCAGAAAGATCGTTGTTTTTAATCCTATCTCGGGTTTGATCGTGTTTAAGTGAAACCTGTTGCTGCCTGAGTTAATTGTTGGTCTTCACACGAACAGAGAGACTCTCTTTAGTTTGGTCCATGTTCATGTCAGCCTGAGTTTAGCTCCTGCTCCAGTCTGCAGCAGACTGAAGTCAGAGACTCAGACGGCCCTCTACTGTTCACGCTGCTGCTGCTGCTGCTGCTGCTCCGTGTGTCCCTGCGTGAGTGTGTCTGTGCGCGTGAGCGGAGACGGGCCCCTTTCCTCGCCGCGCTCCTATTGGCCGCCGCTGGCCCCGCCCCGTTCCTCAGCGATTCAAAACAAATTGGAAGCTGACGTCACGTTCGGGCACGCATTCGCGCACGCACGCACACACTAGCTCTTATTTAGACAAAGCAGGAACCCCTCCCTCCTTTCCTCCCTCCTCTTTTTTCCTCCTTTTTCTTCTCCCCCATTTTGTTTTTCGGACCCCCCTCCCTCTTTTTTGCTTTCTATTCCCTCTTTCTAGGAAACACACCTTTTCAAAATAAAAGACGGCAGCTCCATTGTCCTTAAAGAGGGCTCGTCACAGTGAGAAAATACGACCTTTAAATCACCTGACAGCTCTCAAACTTCACATTAACGACACTTTTAAATAAGGACAACCTAAAAAATACTCAAAATGTGACTTTAGAGAAAATCAGACTGTAGTCGCAGGCTGTGGCTGCAGGTTGGTCCTTTAAATGACTAATAATGAATACATTTTTGGTTTTCTCTGCAGAGATTCCCTCACATTCAGAAAACTACAGTATTTAAAGACATTTTTGTACTTTGGAAGAACAGTTTCTCTAATACCACGAACATACTTTGCTAGAAAAATGCAGAAAAATCCGTCACAACAATTTAAAGCAGGCTCAAATGGCTGCAGCACATTACAGTCGCCATGACCTTATCACAGGAGGTAAAATCAGACCAGTGTTAAAAATAAAATCCTCACATTAATGAGGGTCTTCCTCTACACCTTTCTTAGTTTTCTGCAGCTTTGCATGCATCATAAAATGAACCTGAGGCTTTCTGTCGCATTAAAATTGACGCAATAAATACATTTTAAAGACGGATAAACACGTCTGCAAGGACAAATGTCAGAGATTTTATTAAGATGTTCTTAAAAGAATGTGACGATGTTTATCAGTGAAAGTTTCCTGTTCTGTTCTTTGTTAAAATTTCAGTTTTCCTTTCTGTTATCATTTAAGGAACAAATACAATTCAACAAAACTAGAAATCTGTCCCATATAAGAGCAAATGAGCTTGTTCAGTAACGTAAATACAAAGAGAAAATGAAAGGTCCAAAACTAAATCACAAAACGGCTCATTCCCTGTTCATGCATTTTCAGCCTGCGTACACCTTCAGTCTCCAGGTGTGACTGTTTTATCCTGAGTGTTTTTGAATATTTGTGCTTTAAATGAGTTTCTATTACTGTGAAAAAATCCAGTTTTCGATGCTCAAGCTGACAGGATTACTGAAAAACTGAAACAGATTTTTATTTTCTGTCAAAACCCACATTTTTTAACAGTGTAATAATTAGTTTTACAAAGACTCAATAACATAAAATCAGAATTCTTAATGTTTTAAAGTCTTGAATGAGATTTAGAAAATCTGAGTTTATAAAATGTCTTCTTACCACTTTGGTCCTAAATTCAAAATGAGATGAAGAAAACTATAAAAACAGCACTGTTCAGTTGGATTGGTAGATTTTTTAAATCTAAAACATATTTATTTTGTTTTATTATGAACATTTTGATCAAAAGAAAACTTCTAGAAATGTTTCTCAAAATGTATTTGGACTTCTCAGAATTAAAATGTGTTTTTCTGTTTGTGAGAAAGTTTCTGTGCCGTTTGAAGCTCAGGTTGGATTTAATTTTTGGTTTATTTAATGTCCAAAAACATGAGCATGTGGGTGTAAAATCCTCCTGTACATGAGCAGAGGATGGAGCGTCAAGATGAGGACATTTTCAGGGTTCCTGAATTTTAGGAAGGATGTGTCTGAATCAAATGGTCAACTTAAAGCCGTATAGATTAAAATTCTTCCTGATTTTAATATGCTTGTTCGGGGTTTAAATCCCTCATTTACAGCAGCATGTAACAAACATTTTTAATGACCTGCAACAGAAGAGAGAGGGGCGAGAAAAGAGGATGTGTGTGTTTAAGGAAATGTGGCAAGGTTGAAAATTACCGAGAGGAAGGTCTGCAAACATGAGGCGAAAACAGCTTTTTAAATAAGGCACACGTGAGCTAACAGCTGTTTGTTCTGCTAAATGTTCCTCTGTTTGGGTGTGTAAAGCTCCCAAATTGGGTTTTTAAGTACAAACAGAATGTCAAAATGATTGAATTAAGAAAAGAAGCTAGTGTGCTGAAGCTTGATGGTGTTTTAAAGCATTTAGATTTTTTCATAGTTGACATGTTTCTCTAAATCTTTCATGCTCATGTTTCTGTTCCTCATCTTTGTGTCTTTGGAGAAAAAATTTCCTTTTCTCTGTTTCTCTTCGGTGAAGCTGCGGTTTAGTTTTGTAAGAAAATGTTTGTCTTTGTCTTTGCTGGAAATAAGTTTTGATTGAGTAGATATTCTCGCTGTATTTACACCTGCAGGTATGACTAAAATAAGCACGTTTAGCAGATGCAACATTCAAGAATAGAAAAGAAACGATCACTTGTCTAAATGTGCAGTGATACACGATAAACATACATATTTTTTCCTGTTTGAGAAACGTTGATCAAAAGGTGAAAGAATTAAAAATAAGTCAGTGTTTGGCTTCAAAATGCTGCTCTTTTAAAAATCTGCAGGGACCTGACTGTGAGCTCTTTCTGTATAAAAAATGTGTGAATGAAATGTTCATACATTCATTAAAGAAACCCTCTCACTGCTGCTTTTTAAAGATCTTTATTTCAGAGGTGGTTTTGTGTATTTTTCCTTCAGAGCCAGAAGGGTTTGCAGTCTCTAAATGACCTTCTTCGTTCAGTAGCTTGGCTTTTCCATCCAATTTTCCATCAGGATTTAATTGTTTATTATAAAGAAGGCTAAACCTGTCCTTTCATGTAGGACTCAGGTGACAGACTTTCCTCTCAGGTAATGTTAGGAACTTAAATAGTCTAAGAAGAAGGGTCCTTCATTTAAAATCGACTCCAGTTCAGCCTCGTTTTCAGCTTTTTTCCCAATTTTTCCAGCTCAGTCTAAACTAAATCAATTAAATATTTTCTACGTGGTCTAAAGAAACACAGCAGAGGCTTAAATTGGAGGTAAACTGCGTCTCTTTGTGTTTTATTATCTCTTAAAATCGTCGGAGTTTCGTGCTTCGTCTCGTTTGTGTCGGCTGTAACTGAGAGAAGAAGTCTCCTCCTCCTGCAGAGCCGAAGGTCGGCTTTCATTCAGCACTTTGAGGCCTCTTAATGTTAAAACAGAGTTTATTTTCGAGCTTTAAATCGAGTTTTATTCGACCACCTTTACCTGCCGCGTGCGGAGGCAGCGCGGGGATTTAACCGGCGAGCGCGTGAGAGCTCACACCGACAGAGTCCGCTCAAACCGGGAGAGAAAAACCGGGATTTTCCAGTCTTTACTGCTTCAGAAAGACACAGAAACCCCCAGACCTCAGCAGAGCTATATGTCAGGCTGCATTCATGGCACACATTCTATAGAATACCCCCCCCCCCCCCTTTTTTTCCCCCTGCCCCCGAGAGCCCCGCCCACCCGGCTCTCCGCCGTAGTAATGCTGCATTCAGGTGCTGCTCGGAAACGCTTCAGTTCTTCATCGTGTTCATTAACTTCTGGTCTCTCTATGGAGAAAGTCTGGATGCTAATCCCTAAATGTTAGGTTTTATTGAAGGCAGACGAGTCAAAGTGTATAGCTATTGGTATTTACAACAATATAACGTATTAGTCTTGCTGAAAATTAAACTCAGAGTATTAAGATTACAACCACTGACACAAAGCCTTAAACTGTGAAGCTTAGACTGAAATTAACTTTTTTTGTCCCTCAAAATGTCTATCAATAACCTAAGTTATCAATGACAAAAGGAACTGAAAAATGGTTTAAAACCATATAAGTCTGTGCATGTATCCCTCAATTAGTTTTAGTTAACTCTGTCTTTTATCTGCTTTTCTTTGGACATTGTCTATCAGGCCTTTAACTGTCCTGCTGAAGCTGACTAATCTGGGTTTTAAACGGACAGATTTTCTCTTTTGAAGTACATACATAATCAAAAGTTTCATGTTAAGTTAATGAAACAATAATTAAAAGAAGCAAAGGTCATGTACGAGGACTGTCTTGTGGAATGAAACCCGCTAAATACGACTTGAATCTGTAGATTTGTGATGTACAGCAGCCCCTTGGCTTCTCACATGGTAAAAACGCCACAGCATAAATTGTTTAGGGAATTTATATGATAAGATAACTGTATTTTCTTATTTAAGTGTTTTGTAATCTTAAAAAGTCAAAGTATGAATCCACAGTACACAAGTGGGCTTGTAAAGATTACTACTACCAACACAAACTGTTAAAATTAGACCTACATCAGCCTTTTTTTGTCCTCCAAAATGTTCATTTATGACCTAAGTTCTCAATGACAAAAGGAACTAAAAAATGTTTGAATAAACCATATAAGTCTGTGCAATTATCCCTCCATTAGTTTTAGTTAACGCTGCCTTTTATCTGCTTTTTTGAACATTGTCAACCAGGCCTTAACTGACCTGTATTTGGGTTTTATCTAGGATCTAGTTAAGCTCATGTCTATTATTGCATGCGCTGAGGCTTTATCAATTTGTTTGTTAATGCCTTTTTTAGTTGTCTTCTTACTAGTACAGTACTTTTGACAATGCCGTTTGTTTTAGCTGGCTTTATAAATGAATCTGTCTTGACTTGGTTATTGATACAAAGGTGGGGAAATTTTACATGAAGAATACATGTTCTTAAAGAGGCTAGTTCTACAGTGATAATAAAGACATTACATTCAGAAGATTCATTATAGACTGTTTTTATTTACTCTTTATTTAGTATAAGTATTGTCACAGTATTGTAGAATGTGTGTACTGTGTTGTATTGGGACTGCCTCTGGTTTTTGAATTTCCCTCTTGGATTAACAAAGTATATCTATCTATCTAGAAACATTTAGGGAAGTAAGAAGCATTCTTGTTCTCTAACAGCAGTCAGCAGGGTAGATTCACCATCAAGTATTATTAATCAGTAACAATCAGTAAAAAAGTAGAAGGTTCCTTTGTGGGAGTATTTAGTCTAATTTTCGCTGTAGTCCTGAGCTTTTGTTCTATAATGTTGGGCGTTCCGTTAAAAAAGCCATTTGTCCGACAAGACTTGAACGCACCATAACTCCCGAGTAGTTTTCACGCACTTTGTGAATGGAGGGGCGTGCTCGTGCTCGCGCCCTCTTCTTTTAACACATAGCAAAGCTCGCGGAGACAAAAGCCGAAAGTGTGTGCTCGTGGACGCGCACAGTTTGAAAGGTGTTGAGATTTAACCGAGCTGATTTTAAACGGTGGTTTTACCTGAAGACGCTGTGGAGTCCCTTTTTTTCTGCTAGTGGAGTGTGTCAGAGGAGTGGCGTGGGCGCGCACGGAGGGAGGTGTGTCTCTGTTGTTGTAGAGCGTGGGCACAGGAGCCTGCAGCTGCGACTACACACCACACCGAGCACTTCTGCACCTCTAATAGGGATTATAATCTTCATTTTAGATTAAGATGATTCCTGTGTGTCTCTCTGCTAACAGTTTAAACTGTGAAGGTTAGCTCAGGTGTAGGTTTTTATTTCATTTTAGGCTCAGGTGGAGGTTTTATCATGCTGCACTCACATCCTACATCTCACCACGTTCATGTAATGGTAGATGTGGTCTTTCTTCCTCCTCCTCCTCATGTGCTGGTCTCTGTTTTCCATCATGTGACTGCTCACTCATTGTAGTAAATGGGCGTTGGTCAAGATGGCTGCCTACTGGCTCTCACATGTCAGCCTGAATAAGAGGAGGGGGGAGATGAAGAGATGAGAGTGATGGTGTTGAAATGCACCAGAAAAATCTGGAGCTGCACACACTTCTGGAACATTCTGGAAAAACAGCACAGAGGTCGGCTGACGTCCTCAAACCGGCTCATCCTCGCTTTTCTATATGAAACGAGCCTTCGTGAATATTCAAATACAAATGCAGTAACCTGTTTAGGGATAAAGTGGAACATACAGCATCATTTAGGCAAGTTATTGTGCGTAAAATTGTTTCAAACTACATATGAGCTGCATTTCATATTATGCATATATAGCTGTATTCATACCCTTGGCGTACTTTGCAGAGGTGATGCAACCTGAACATCCGTTTTAACGTCCCTCTCATACAGACGACGGTAATGGAACCCTTCTTTTATGTCGTCTTTCACACGAGTGTTGTCACTGAAGCAGCAGAAATCTGTTTCCATTCAAGAAGCACGTCTTCATATTTAAGGCTTTTGGATTTCGCGTTATTTGGACCTGTGGTTGCCTTCCTGCACAAACAAGCTCGAACACGTATCCTGTAAATGTCAGCCCAGTTTAGATTTGTACACCGGCATATTTGGTGACAGTTTGGAATCTAATTCGGCTCATAACGTTTTTTGGTTACTCAATATTTAGATTTAAGACCTACACAAATTGGCACAAACTGATAAAAGGGTTGTATATGAATTTATATATATATTGACTCTGCTTACTGTTTACATGCATGCTACGTTACTATTTTGTGTTGTATATAGTGTTCATACTCGTATATTATCGCTTTATTCTTACTTATTTTACCTATTTATGTCTTTATTTTTACTTATTTTATCTCCTCTTTCTACTTATTGCACCGGTGACAAAGCTGTGACAAAAATCAATTTCCCCCCTGAGGGTTATTAAAGTATTTCTGATTCTGATTCTGGGATGTCACACACTAATTTTTGACAATTACATACAAACGTGAATTAAGACGTGGCCTATTATTTAATTAATTTCAAAGACATGTCATTTAAAATTCTCAGTTAGTTTAATTTAGGTTATTGTCATGCATTTATTTCGTGGTTACAATAATTTATATTTTTTTTAAATTAAGGCTTAACCTTTATTTTTTACTCCCTTAAAATCTGACAGAAGTAAAAAGTTAGTAAGCCTCATGTGTAGAAGTGTTTTGGCAGACCGATGGAAGCAATTTACAAATCTTATAACTATAATCAGCCACGCATTGACATAACATGAGTTCGACCTACACGTTGAAATTATGTCACAAAGAGAATGCATGTGCTTTGCTCCTGAATAAAATGTGCGTTTTTTGTGGTATTTATTAGAGTAGATAGTAAAAATACCTGTTTATTCCACTTTTTAATCATTTAATTTACTGAATTATAATAACCGTCAGTTTCGTGCAGTATGACGTTCTCGCGCTTTTGGGCTCGAGCGCCACCGTAACATAACTGAAGCCCTCCGTGAACGTTCATTTTCTTTTCCCTTGCTGTGGGTGTTCAGAACTCGCCTGTTTCACAAGGACGTGGCATTACAGTCGTGTTTCCACGAGTGAACACCACTGAGAGTCCTCCACAGCCTTCCTGTGGGCCTGCAGCTCCCCCCGCCCAGCTCTGTGGACTCAACGTGAAATGGCTATGAGCTTCACAAAATGGCGAGTAAAAGGAGGAGGGGAGGGGGTGAGGCATGCTGAGGGAAGAGCTGCTGAAGCTGATTAACGTGGGTTTGAAACAGTCAGATTTTTTCATTTAACGTACAAAGGTAATCAAAAGTTTCGTGTAAAGTTGATTAAACTACAATTCAAAGAGGCGAAGGTTACATATGAGGACAGTCTTGTGGAGCTGAACCCGTTAAATACGACGTGAAGCTGTAGATTTGTGATATACAGCGGCCCCGTGATTTCTCATACGGTAATATTGCATAAATCTTTAAAGGGATTTATATAAGACAAGTGTATTTTTTAATGTAAGTGTTTTTTAATTCTAAAAAGCATAGTATGAGTCCACGGTACAAAAGTGGGCTTGTAAAGATTACAACAACCGACACAAAGCCTTAAACTGTTAGTATCAGACCGACATCAACTTCTTTTGTCCTCCAGATATTGATGATAACTTAAGTTCTCAATGAAAAAAGGAAATGAAAAATGTCTTTTAAAAACAACTCGAAGTCTGTGCATGTATCCCTACATTAGTTTTACTTAACGCTGTCTTTTATCAGCTTTTCATCAACCAGGCCTTACACTGTCCCGTATTTGGGTTTTATCTAGGATCTTAAACGTTACTACTTATGGAATTTAGCTCAACTCTATTTTTGCGTGCACTGATGCTTTATAAAGTGATTTTTAATGCCTTTTTTGTTGTCTCCTTGCTAGTACAGTATTTCTGATAATGCTGTTTGTTGTAACTGGCTTCATAGATGAATATGTCTTGACTTGGTTATTGGTACAAAGGTGGGGAATTTAAACACGAAGGATACTTGTTCTTAAATAGGCTAGTGTCGTGTAAAGTTGATTAAACCATAATTAAAGAAGAAAAGGTTACCTATAAGGCCAGTCTTGTGGAGATGAACCCGCTAAATACGACATGAATCTGTAGATTTGTGATATACAGCGGCCCCGTGGCTTCTCTCACGGTAAAAACAACACGGAATAAATCTCTTAGTGGAATCATATGAGGAGAAAACTGTATTTTTTAATTAAAGTGTTTAATGATTCTTAAAAAGTCACTGTATGAGTCCACGCTACACGAGTGGGCTTGTCTCTGCTCTCAAAATGGAGACCTCGTTCCAAAATGGAGGCCGCCTGCCTGCTTCGCGAGCTGCAGGCGGGGTCAGAGTGGAGAACAGAGGCTGAACTTTGACCCGCACTGTTGCACCCCCTCCGCTGTTCCTCTAAATGAATTCCAGGACTGAAGCTCCAACACTGTGGTAAATACACGAAAATCACTCCTTACACGACCCCAATAGAGCGTAGCGTGTTTCAGGAGGAAGGACGCGCTTAAATTTAAGGACAATTTAGATGTTTTAAGCGTTTAAGTCCATTTCTTCTTACGCGTGTCGTGACCCCCACCAGTATGTGCATTTTCAAAGAAAATGGAGCCTATAAAGTTGAGTCTCCGTGAGCTGGTTAGACAAACTGCCCTTCTCCCTGATGTGACGGTGGTGAGAGAATTTATAGCATGGGAAACGACGGATTAAAACATCTAAATTGCAATTACCCTTAAAAATTCAGATAGAGCGTTGTATATAAATATTTGTGCAAGGTATAAACGGAGAAATTCACTTATTCTGGTTCAAATATTGCATTATATATGCTTATTTAGTCATAACAAACAGATGATGGACCAAAAAAATCATTAGAAGACCTAAACCATTTTAAAAATTAATATAGTAGGAGGAAAAAATGATCATTAGCAAACGGCATGTAAGAACAAATGTAAAACCCTTTTTTAAGATATAACAAGTGAACTACACAGTTGGGTATAAGTAATTTAAGATGCAGAGTTTTAAAAAGGAGTGCAGAAAGTTTTCTGTGAAGGCCACAGTGAAAATTTTGCAGCACCTCCTTTTTATTTCTGACTCAAAGGTAATTAAATAATAATCATAAATGTCACTCTATTTGAACACAATAAGGTTGTGGAAGTACAGAAAACGTTAGTGAAGGATATTCATGATTCATTCACATTAATATTGTATACCTGAGTGCTTTTGCAGATAGCACAGAGCCGTCAGCCCTCTCTGTGGCTTCATTATTAAAGTTTGATTGGAGAAGACTCAACGTCGAGCTGAGGGTTTGTGGACCAATGAGATTGCAGCAAGAGCTAGGTGACCTTTCCCCTACAAATGTGGGCCAATCAGAGAAAGTGATGACTGCCTTAATGGGGAGCATCTTACTTCTAATTTCTGTCTGTCCTCTGTGATTTTCCCACTCCTGCAGGACAGTCACATTTCTTGCATGGAGCAGGAGGTGAAAGTGTGTGTTTTAAACGTTTGGAGGTGAACATGCAGATACAGAAGGTGCAGAGAAACTGTCTGAGTGATGTATGATGAATGTGGTGTTATAGGGCAGCAGCCAGGTGTGCTACATTTCCCGTAACCTCATACCAGGAATGGTGGGAGAACACCCACAATGCTCCAGTTTTCTGTCCTGTGTGATTCAGAGAGTGTGCCCTCCTCGTACTTCCTGTCTCATACTCATGGACGTACATGTTTGAAGCCCGGTGCATCCTCTCCTCCTCAGACATGCAGTGTGGAAAACTCTCCTCCTGCATCAGTGACTTTTCCTCCTCCCTCCCGCCTCTGGTTTTCCTCCTCCTGCCTCTGCTGTCTATTTAAAGCGCTCAGACACTGTTACATCTCCTGCAACTTTGTCTCCAGCCTTCAGGGAAGCTTTGAACAAGCTGAAGGAGAGGGAGTGGAGAGGTGTAGATGACAGGGAGGAGAATGAATGCTTAAATGAAGGACAAGAAAATTCTCTGTTGTGCGGCAACTCTCATAGTTTTTTTTTTGTGTGTGTGTGTATTGGTATTTCTGCAGCGGTTGTGCTCCATTTGCTCCCTTCATTTGCCCATAAAAATTTTAAAATCATGTGTGCACTAAAAACTACTGAGTATTCAGAAGGGGGCGCACAAAGATCACCAAATGGAAAAAAGAGTGTGTCTGTTTTTCTGGTAAATTCTTGCTGCTTAAAGGTTGACTTTAAAGTGACCCAGAATGAGTATTTGGCATATTTGTTGGACTTTTTTTTTTGCATATTTTTATCTAGGGAATTCCCCCCTGAAATTTTCAAGTTGCTTGTTGTCTTTTTCATGTTTTACACCTCTAACCTGATATCACTTTACTTTGGCATGCTTGTAGAGCTCACCCTGGCTTTCTGAGAGAATTTTGCTCGGGATATTGTCATATTGAAGGATGAAGCCTGAAAATTCTGGGAGGTTTTCAGGAGCTTTGAGTAAATGTAAATACAGCGTGTGATTGTAAGCATGACCCATTATGAAACTACTGCAGTAGATTTCCCCTGACAAGACAGACATTAAAGGCTGCAACTCTATCCTTTATAATAACCTCTATAAGGTCTTATTTTGGTCACAGACAGACTCAGATTTCTATTTTAAGCACCTGAACACACCATAGAAAATATCCCTGATGAAACGGACCTTTTAATTAAAGATTAAGATGTTTGTTCAGCTAGAAACGGCTGCAACATGTCTCTTTTAGGAGACAAACTCGGTTTACCTGATAACACAAGTTGTTGGTCTGCTCGTACTCAGTTTTGTGTGTGTCTGATGATAAGCCGAATTTCAAACGTTAGCTCCATAGTCGTTCAAACAAAGTTCTCACTCTCTGACCGGTCTTAAGTTAAGAAAAAACCCAGAAAACTGTCAAAATTTGAGTTTAATTTATCCAACACAGGTAGTAGACACGGGTGAACGACGTTAGCCAAGTGTGGCTAACGCTAGCTTGCTAGCCAGTCTCCAGGACGTCGTACATGTCAATAGGAGCCTGTAGTGACAGTACACCGATGATTGAATATGTATTATTTAACCACAAACAAACAACAAACTACTTTATTTCCATTTTAGAGACCATAATATTAACGAAACACGACACGCAGTATTAGGTATGTGTTTGTTAGCATCCTGGCGGCTAACGGCTACCGGTAGCATGTTTGACCCAGTACGACCCGTATTACGGACATTTGTGAATAAAAATATTAGTATTAGTTCAATCGATGAGTAAATCTGGTAATTGTTATACTTGGATACCAAAAAGCCAATTTCTCTGTTTAGATTTAGACGTCTACTTTAACCTTAGCAGCAGATTGTTTGATGAGTTGTTAGGCTACATGGTTAATTTGGGCTTTTTTGTGTTGTTTTGTGCTGTATGAATACTGTTTGGCACGAAGGCTAGCCAAGTCTAACTAACTGATTGAGGCTGAGGAGTACCAGTCCCTTCTGTCATTATACTCAAAGAACACAGGAGCTGTTGATCTACTTTATCTGCAGTCAGTTGTAGCTTGAATTTCTTTGTAAACTGGGTGTCTTACATTGTTACCTCAGATATTTGTGCAGCAAACAATAACAGACTTAAAAAATAAGGCTGCTGTAGTGTGTCAACATCAGTTTAAAAATACGTGAAATAGCTGCTTAAAATGAGCAATTTCACATCTATTATCACATCTATTACTGATTAAAATGGGACTTAAATATACAAAACGTCTGTTTTCATTTTGGACGCTTGTAATTGTTATTGATTTATTGCCTGTCAGTTGCTAAAGCAGGCATTTTTAGTTGGTTTGATTGCACAGGAGTAAGAATTTTTAGGATCCACAAAAACATGTTCACATTGAAAAGCTCCTGTGGTCTGTTTGACTGACTGTCCTCACATCTGTGTCAACCACACTGAGGTCGTGTAGAACTCTTGTCTTAACCTGATATCAACTCTGTCCCCTCTGCACCCGTATCTGCTCATGCAGCGTGTAATTTTCCTGCAGATATATCGTCCTCAGCGGTGCAGACTTAACAGCCAATGATGGAGGTGTTTGTTCGTGGGGTCAGAGGGCGGAGCTGTGAAGGTGTCTAATGTAAAGGCAGCTGGTTTGGATGAGATGATTAGAGGAATTTGACTGGTAAGGAGGTTAGTAAGGAGGCTGGATGACGGTGTTTGTCCGCCTGTTCTTCACCATTAGCAATAAAAAATTCATCTGAGATTTTCTGCTGGCTAGATCGCTCTTATAAAATATTAACCCCCTGCACTCTGGACTGCTCCAGCCTGCAGTCAGCGCTCACTTCACACAGGGACATTTCAGAGCAGGCTGTACTTTAGGGGCGGTTTGAAATGGTGGCAGGTGATGGCTAAACTGGACACCCTGGTCTCTGTCTGTGTTTCAATTCTACAGAGTTAGAAGAGGATGCATTAAAGCCGAGTTGTATCCTGGCTGCAAACAGGCCGTCAGAGCTGACTGCAGGGACTCCGGTTCTTGCTCACGATCCCAACCGATTCACCCCTGCAGATTTCACAAGTAGTTCTCAGCTCTCATACCTGCACCCTCTCTATTTTTGACCTGGCGCTCCACGGATCTGATGAGCTGGGGAGGATGTCAGACGTGGAAACAGAATTGTTGATTTTGTGTTTTTTTTACAGTAAAACGTTCCTAACAAACTCTAAAGTGTACACCACCACTCTGCATCAATATTACACAGCACAGGGCATTTTGAGAGCATGAAAACACTGAGCAAAAGTGACAAAACAAATTCATTTCAGCACGGTTATTGAATCAGGCACGCAGGGAAGACGCTCCACTGCTGAAAGCTCTCTTTGGAGTTCAATGTCATGTAGAGAATAGAGATGTGCCTGCAGAACCTCTGCACACAGCTTCATGAAAAAATCTAAAAACAATAACTGGATTCACCGTGCATCTTTTTCAGAACTAGTTATATCCTGATTTTAACATCTGTGCCTCACCCACAAATACTCAGCTCCAGTCTTCATGCACGACAACAGTAGTTTATTTCCTGTGATGCATTTTGCTTCAGTACTTCGATTTGATATTTTCCAGGGAAGCTGGATTTGATGGCAGAGTTGAAAACATTATTAAAGATGCTTTGTACCAGCACATTAGAAATCTGTCAGATGTGTTTTTGTTGTACGTTGTTGACTAATTTCATGTCTGCAAAATTTTGTACGCAGTGGTCCCTCCCCTAAAATGAGGTCGTTGTCAAATATGAATGTTAACTTGTCTGGTCCAGCTAAGAGGTCTGATGACATCTTTAACCACAGAGCGTCTCTCACTGAGTTTACTGAGTGTGTTATTCTGATTTGTTCAGTGTGGACTCTGTGGTTTATCACTCTGCTGTGTTGGTCGGGTCACTTGAGAGCCTTGCAGAGAGCAGCTAATGCTCAGAGCGGTGAAACTCCGGATAAAAGGCTTCAGGAAGTATCGATGAGCGGTGTGTATCTGTCTGTCGGATCCGTTTTTACGGGCTGTGTTTCAGAGGGAGAGTGTGAGTCCTGTCCTGGTGCTGCAGGAGGGACTTTAAGACCTGATTTCTGCAGAGTGAAAACTAACCGTAATTACAGATGTTTGTACTTAAATCAGAGTACTGTAATATTGAAATCTTTGTCCTGTTTTCATGCAACTTAGAAGCCTTTCCTCGCTGTGTTCAAAGCCACTGAACTCCACTGACAGAAACAGTCATTTAACTGACTGAACTCTGGAGTTGCTGGTCTACCTCGGCCTTCTGTGGAGAGTGTTCCTGTTCAGACGGATTCAGCCCACCTCAGATTGGTTGGTTCGGGTTATCGAGTGTAATCGATGATTTTGCAGATCATCAGGTGGAGGAGTGATACTCACAAAATGAGCTGCAGACTTGAAAGTACGAGACGCCCCTCATTCTCACCCTCACCCTCAGACCCGACTCCCCGTGGACCCTCTGTCTGGTCTAAGCGCCTCTAACCCTTACCCTCTGACCTCTCTGAGGAGCAAAGCCTTTCTCTCCTCCACCTCCTCCTTCAGGACCGAACTCCTTTTCTTTCTCTCGTCCTCTCTTTCTCTCCCTCTTTCTTCTCTCTGGTCTTTTGTTGGAGCTGAGTCTGGATTAAATGCCTTCACAGCTGAGGGAACCTCAACAGCTCCGGTCTTTACCTTTGACTTAAAACATTTTCACGCTGCTTTCACGAGGGTTCGTCTCTGCTGTAGGGGGTCTCAGAGTGGGTTTTTGTTGTTTACCCCCTGAGCTGTATCAGACGTATGTAAATAAAACAAAAACAACCGATACTGATGATTCTACATTTAATATTATCGTTCTTGATCATGACTTGAGGAAGGAGGACGTATGCACATCTAAAATTGGTGATTCCAGGATTAAACCAAAGCCGTGCAGGACGACGTGCTCCTGTGCTGAGGGCGTTTTGAGGGCGTGATGGTGTAACTGCTGTTTACCTGTCAGGTCATACAAAGGAATCAGAAACTAAAGACGAGTCGTCAGCCTCACTTTGAAAGAACTAAGAGTTTGTAATTCTGTGTTTTAGCGAAGAGCTGCAGTGTTTGTGCAGGAGTTTGCAAAGTACTTGATCAATCGCTCATGATTGGGAATAAAATCGACAGATTATTCAGTACAATTTACGATCATGCTAACACGGCGGACAGCCCAAAATGGCAGGAGGCCCAACATGGCGGCCCACCCTCATGGAGGTGAAAGACAAACGTGTTATAAATGGAAAAAATGACATGAGTGAACGAGCGAGTAAGCAAATGTGAAGGACGTTGTTTTGTCCCTCGTCCGCCCGCCCATTCCTGACCTGTTGCTATGGTTTCAGCCAATCAGGGAGGCTGTGGGATGGCAGGCGGCATCAGCCGGGGTCAAACAAGTTCAGTGTTGGTGGCGTGATGGGGGCTGGGGTGTGCATGTGTTTGTGTGTGTTTGTGTGTGGGGGTCATGGAGGTCTATGTGGTGGAAGTTTCTCTGGTGGAGGTGTGGAGGTTTTGTCGCAGGTTTTTGGGGGCGGAGCTTGTGATTAGAGCCGAGTATTGATGAGGATCAAAGGGCTTTCTTTAGGGAGGGGGCGTCAGGTATTTCGGACCACAAAGGAGTATTCATGCGTGCTGCTGCAGCCCCCTGGGGGGGCGAGGAGGGCGGGGTTTATACGGAGGTGGAGGTGGGGGTCGGTTGTTGTTGGGGTTCAGGCCCATTGATGCTGGGCTGGGTGGGGGTGCGGTAAGGATGGTAATGGGTAGTTAAGATGCAGCGCTGCACTGTTGCACATTTCTACATTTCAATGCAAGCAGAAAGGCCAGGGGTCAAAGGTCACTGCTCATGCAACAGATGAAAAAAAAGGTCCTGTTGGTGTCAGAGACCCAGATACTGTTCACAGAGTGGGCGGAGCCTAAGTCTGATTTAATATTTGATCTGATGGTTCACGGTTTGATGATGAAGTTTCCTGACGGTGAAGAAACAGAGAATTCAAGATCAAATCAGTGCAGCTAAATTCTCAGCTCCATGGAGATCTGGTCGAGCAGGACGCCATCCCGCTCTTCGCTTTCATTCAGTCGTGTTCGCCAAAGCTCGGAGCCAAAGCTCGGTCGTGGTTGTCTGTAGATATTAAAGGATGGAGGGTGAAAAACGCTCCCGTCTCCCTCGTACCTTCAGCATGAAAAAGACGATTCTATCGGCACAAAATCGAGTTTTTAGTGAAGACGGAGCATTGAGCGGCACACCCTGTTGGCCTGGAGTGTAAATATGTTTGTGTTTTAACTAAAGTGTGTGTGTGTGTAAATACACCACATGCCTTTATTTTGACCAAAGCACCTTCCCCTTTTTTACACCAAATGAAGTTTTTTTAGATGGTTTGTTGCAGAAAAGTCTGTTTACAGTTGCAGTGGATGCTAACTGAAGATAAGACAGGGTGGATTTTAACAGGGTGAGCTCATATATGCGCTCGAGGATGCTACATGATGCAGCTCCATGCGTTTTTTATACTTTGATTACGTGCATAAAAACCCGCAGATGTTTCGGATGCTTCGCACAAACTTAAGACAGAAACAACAGCGTCAGGTATTAACTACGTCTCCAAAAATGAAATGTGGCGCTCGACTTTTTCTGCAGGATTCTCCCTTTATATAAAAAAAATACTGTGAACACTGATCAGCAAAAACACACAGCAGAGGTTGATCCATCTGTGTGTTCGCTCTGGTTTTGATATGATCTTTTTAACCTTCATTGATTTTAATTTTCTTTACTAGTCTGACATATTTTATTGATTTCTTAGAATGTTTTAATTATTGTTCTGTATTTTTTTAACTATCTGCTGTTCCTGTCGGTCTGTTCTTGGTGAAGCACTTTAGGCTGCATGTTTGCATGTTTTTGTTTGCATACAGATGAAACAACAAACCACTTTGGCAAAAAAGGAGATTTAAAGTAACGCTGCATCAGCTTCCAGATTATTAACCCTAACACAAGAGCAGCTCATGTTTCTGACTTTTATTTGGCTTCGATGCTCCAGGTAAAAGTCGGTCTGAGTTTTGCAGTAATTTCTTTTAATTAAAATCTCAAACGTCAGAGTCCTCAGCAGCTTCTGTGATGCAGCGTTTTGATTTGGTGGAGTCCAGATGTGTTTGCTCTCTGCAGCTGTGTCTTTGTGTGTGTGTGTGTGTGTGTGTGAGTGTGTGTAAGTCTCTAAAAGTGTGTGAAGTTGAGCGGTGGAGATCTGACAGAGTTTGAATTCAGTGTTTCGATTTGGTATCATGACGTCTCATCGAACAGACTCTCCTCTAATCTGCTCCTGTTTGTCTCTCAGGACACGTTCAGGCTTCATTCAGAGGCCTCCTCTTCCTCTCGCTCGCTTTATCCTTAAACCCTCAGCCTGACACACACACACACACACACACACACACACACACACACACACACACTGTGCACTGTGCGGTAGTCTTCCTTCTTTCTCCTTCTAATCAAACTTCTTTTATTCTTCTTGGTGTTTCTTTAAGTTTCTAAAAAACTCATCGTTGTTTCTTCTTCTTCTTTTTGTCTCTACAGGACCAGGAAACTGCAGATCAGAAACATCCCTCCTCACCTGCAGTGGGAGGTCAGTTCCTCTTCTCCGTATTTGACACACACACACACACACACACACACTTTGGTTAAACATTTTGGTTTTTAAACATTTGATAAGCTCCCCTCAAAGTCAAAGCTGCGCCTCCGTAGACGTAGTGAGGTGTGAGTGTGACCTCCTTCCTGCCTCCTGACCTACGACAGGACGGTGGGAATCAAAAATCCATGAGAGGATGAATTAAATGAGTGAAACTCGCTCTGAGCTCTCGGTGGAAATAAGGAGTGAAGGATGAATCTAAGAGGAGCTCGCTGATCAGAAATAAACATCCTCTAATCGTCGCTCATTGATCGAATTATCTGTTAACCATTCTGCGCTCTAACCTATCGATTGCCGCTCACTAATTGTTGGAGTAATGTCGTCGAAGCTGATTGGACGACACACACGCAGTATATTAACCTCTGACGGCGTTATAACAGCGAGCTAACGAAGAGTATTCGATCCTGATGTGAGACTGTTTTTACACCGAATGAAACTCTGGAGGAGCTTTATTTTGAAAAATGAATTAAATCAGGTTTTAATTTTATTTAGAGTTCATTTTCAGGAAAGTTTGAAGCATTTTTAACTTTCGTTTTGTCTTGGAAATGATTCATGAAATTTAGGACATGATGAGACGCTCTGCAGGTGACAGAACGTGGTGATATTGTCAGAACAGGAAGCTGACCGCTGCAGGTGTGACTGTGGGGGTGTGACTCACTGAGAGGGTGGGCGTCGTCAGGTGAGGCTGAGATGAGTCCAGGTGGGAGGAGAGTTCAGACCAACATCGGTGGATCAGTCAGTCAGAGACCATCACTCTGTGACTGAAACTCAAATCCTGAAGTTTCAGGTTAATTCAGATTAAAAAATGAAGGCGCCACATTCAGGGTTTGAGTCTGTGCAGCAGCAGCAGACAGGAAACAGTTAAACACTTGGAGTAAATAATTCAAGTGTTTTATCCTCAGTGCTGCAGGGCAGATTAAATGTTGGCACAACAGAAACAGCAGCGTGGAAACACCGTTAACCGAACCGGAGACGTTTGACAGGATTTAGATTTGATGATTTTTCTGTGAAGAAAAGGAAAATTTCAGTCAAATCTGTTCATTCATTAAACTGGAAACGTGGGAGGATGAGTCGGCTCCATGTGTTCATTGTTTCTGTGTGTTATTGTTTAGTGAGGGTGTGGCACGCTCCCCTACTCCTTTTGGCAAGCTCCTGCCTGTGGGAGTGGCTCTGCATGTGTGTGTGTGTGAATGTGTGTGTGTCGGATCATCTGCGCTCCTCTGGTGGTACCGCCTCTGTCCACACGGAGGCGACGTCTCCTGAGAGTCTGATCCGATCACAGTGTGACGATGATGAATTAAAGACGGTTTCTGAGGAAGACGCAGACATGTGAGGGTGAAGGAGGAGAGAAAGAGGAGGAGAGAAAGAGGAGGAGAGAAAAAGGAGGAGAAAAAAAAGGAGAGAGCAGAGGAGAGTGTTTGATTTTAAAGCATGCATGTGGCCGACATCAGGTCTGAGGTATTTCTGAATAAAACAGAGACTTATTCACTCGCTAAGATCAGAGTTTCTGCAGGTCGACCTCTGCAGGGATCCTCGATATATTATCAGATACAGAAGATAAATCTGACCGATGCATCTGATCTGAAAACGTTAAAACAAGAAATCTGTTTGTGCATCAGAGTTCATCAGAGAATCCTGCTCACCTCCATGTTCAGTATCACCCTCTGTCAGATTATCAGACAGTGACGCTGAGCTGGAGCGGCGTGCAGGATCGTCGTGAGAGGACTGAATGTTCACGCTGGACTTTTCCTCATGAATTCACGTCTTTCTGTCTCCGTCTGTCTCAGGTGTTGGATGGTCTGTTGGCTCAGTGTGGAACCGTTGAGAACTGTGAACAGGGTAAGACACCAGAGATCCAAAAACCAGAGTGAACTGCTCCCTCAAAGCTTTTCCAGTCATGAAACTTTGAGCTTCGATGAAATCAGAGTTTCCTCGATAATGGAGTCTAGAAACAGGACTCTGTATTGTCTGAGAAGTTTAATTGTTTGTATTTTAGTTCAGCAAAGACATTTTTTTAATCAGTTAGTGAGTCTCTGATAAAAACTGAAACACATTATTTCATTTTTTGTTCATTTTTCTGATTTTTATCCCTTTGAGGTCAAATATGAGGAAAATCATGAAGCTGTTGTCCACGTTCTTCCACCAAACTCATTAAAAGTGTTCAGTTTCAGCGGACTTCATGAACTGTTTTAAATGTACTGTTAAAAAAAAAGTCCTGCTGGTTCAGTGGAATTAATTTAAAGTCATGATCTCTCCTCACACGTGCACTAAACTCCTGAAAACTCTCTGAATCAGCTCCACAGGAGACACAAAAAACAGCAGGAGGTTTACACAAACCTGTTTTTTAGTCCTGCAGTAAAATTCCTGCAAAAACCTGAACAGTCAGGAAAATTCACTGCAGAGGAGTTTAACATGAAAACTGAGAGTTAGAGGATGAAAAAGGAGAAACATTTTCAGGAGGAGGTCCGTCTACTCTCAGCGTTCATTTAAATGTTTAAACTGTTGTTATCAAGTCGGTCTCTGATGAGTCTGATGAAATTTTGGAGCCTGATACCCCGAATTATATTTCCAGAAATCCCCAGAGGTGCCTGTGTGAAAGAGGAAAGTTCAGTTTTCAGAGATTTGTAAAAACTTTGGCCTCAAACACTCAGATTAAAAAAACGTTTTCTTCATTGATCCAGAAAGTCTAAATCATCCGTCGTCCTCCTCTTCACAGTTAACTTCACTCCTAATCAGTCCTTAAAAATGAGTTTGTGCTGCAGTAATCTGTCATCTGATTGGACTAAAACTAACCAAACCTCCGGTTCTGTGTCTGATCGTCTGTTTCTTCCTGTTTCTGTCAGTCAACACAGACAGTGAGACGGCCGTGGTCAACGTCACATATGCATCCCGGGAGCACGCCAGACAGTAAGTTCACACGTCACACTGAACTCTGTGTTTATGAACGAACAGATGAGCTGTTCAGGTTTAAAGGTTTGACATAAAAACAACAAAATATGAAGAAAACAAAAAAGAGTAAAAGTCAGAAAATCCAGAAATTAGTTAAAAGATTTCAGGAAAATCAAACTCTCTAAATCACATTTTCAAAGTTGTTAAAATTCAGAAAAATCTCAGGGAGACAAAGAGTTTCTCGAGTCTCAGTTAGGATGTGAGGTTTGATCTGTTTTATGTTCCACGCTCCACGGATGACATCTAGTGGTCGATTAAAGGAACTACATCTTCAGACTGAGTGGAGTTTGTTTTCCTCTCAGTTTGAAGAATCGTGTTTCTGATCATGACTGAAATCCTCCGACTCTCCTGCGTTTCCTCTCAGAGCGATCCAGAAGCTGAACGGTTATCAGTTCGAGAATAACGCCCTGCGGGTCTCCTACATCCCCGATGAGAACTCAGAGCTGGAGGGGGGTCAGCGGGGGCCTGATAACGGCCGGCGTCCCGGGTACGGTCCCCGAGGCGGCCCCAGAGGAGGGTCCCCGAGCTCCGGGATGCCTCCTAAACCTCCACACGCTGACATCCCTCTGAGGCTGCTGGTGCCCACGCAATACGTCGGCGCGATCATCGGCAAAGAGGGCGCCACCATCAGGAACATCACCAAGCAGACGCAGAGCAAGTGAGGAAATACATGAGTTTTTTTACGGGGATTTCACCGACATTCACGCAGTTTCGAGGTCGGACGTGAACTTTCGATTGATCGCTAATCCTGATCATTTTCTGCTTCTGCAGGATCGACGTTCATCGTAAAGAGAACGCGGGCGCCGCAGAGAAGCCGATCAGCGTCCACTCCACCCCTGAGGGCTGCTCCTCCGCCTGCCGCATGATCCTGGACATCATGCACCAGGAGGCCAAAGACACCAAAACGTAAGTTTACTGAGATATCAGGATATTTATTGATCCTTCAGAGGAGGGAATCACTCATAACTTTAGCCTTGCTAGATCAGTGCGCCTTAAAAACGACCAAAAACTCAACGAGTAGACGAAGAAGAATGATATGACCATTTCCTCAACGCCGTCACATGACCCCTCGCTCTTCCCTGTTTCAGCGCTGACGAGGTTCCTCTGAAGATTCTGGCTCACAACAACTTTGTGGGACGCCTGATCGGGAAGGAGGGACGCAACCTGAAGAAAGTGGAACAGGACACGGACACCAAGATCACCATCTCACCGTAAGACACACTCACGTGCACACTCTCACACACACACACACTCACACTCACACACACACACACGCACAGGTGAACTGATGGTCTTCGCGGTCTTTGTCCAGTCTGCAGGACCTGACGCTGTACAACCCGGAGAGAACCATCACCATCAAAGGATCCATCGAGGCGTGCTGTCAGGCCGAGATCGAGGTGATGAAGAAGGTCAGAGAGGCGTACGAGAACGACATCGCCGCCATGAATGTGAGTCAGCGCGCACACAAACACACAAACACACACAGGAGTCCCTCCTCTGTTCCTTTGTTGTTAAATTTTCCATGTTTTCCCGTTAAATTAGTTTTTTGATTTTTCTTCTCCGCCCGTCTGTCGCTCTCCTTCTCTGACTCTGCATCTCCTTCTTCGCAGCAACAGACTCACCTGATCCCCGGGTTAAACCTGGGAGCGCTCGGCCTCTTCCCCTCCTCCGCCAACATGCCGCCACCACCTCCTGGAAACGCAGCTCCTGGCGCCCCCTACGGGTGCTTTGGTGTAAGAAACCCTGCTCTGTTGAATCACTGTGAAGCTCAAATGCTTCAAGAACCCGTTTCACTCAAAGATGAACGTCTGTTTAAAGATTTTCTCCTCCCGTGTGTCTTCAGGCTCCAGAGCAGGAGACGGTCCACGTTTACATCCCCGCTCAGGCGGTGGGCGCCATCATCGGAAAGAAAGGACAACACATCAAACAGCTGAGCCGCTTCGCCGGGGCTTCGATCAAGGTGAGTCTGACGGGAGTTTAATCAAAACGGTTGTTAGTCGTCCAAAAGCAGATCATGTTTCGATGAGTCGACAGGATTAAACGTCTCGGTCGTTGGTCTCCTCTCCTGCAGATCGCCCCCGCTGAAACTCCCGACAGTAAGATGAGGATGGTGATCGTGACGGGACCCCCTGAGGCTCAGTTTAAGGTAAACTGTGAATATTCAATAGTCTTATTTTGATTTAAAAAGTTTTACCTGCAGAATCTGAACATCCTCAACAAAACTCTGAAAGTTTCTTCATGTTTGACAAACTTTGCAGGGTTTTTACTTTTCGTTCATCTGAATTTAGAGAGCCAACTCTGAAATTTTGGACTATTTTAATGAAGTCAGGGACATGGTGTGTGTGACAGAAAGAGTGTGTCTCTGTGAAACTGAAAAATGTTCCTCAAAGACCGAGACTCTCCTCACACCTCCATAAATCTGTTTGTCCTCCTCCTGCAGGCTCAGGGCAGAATCTACGGCAAACTGAAGGAGGAGAACTTCTTTGGACCGAAGGAGGAAGTCAAACTGGAGACTCACATCAAGATGGCCGCCGCCGCTGCAGGAAGAGTCATCGGCAAGGGAGGCAAGACGGTGAGCGAGCTGAGCTTTACACGTCAGAGCGAGCGGTAAAGTCCTCCACTGTCAGGTGTGTAACCAGGTGTGTGTGTGTGTGTGTGCAGGTGAACGAGCTGCAGAACCTGACGGCAGCGGAGGTGGTCGTCCCACGAGAACAGACACCTGACGAAAACGACCAGGTCATCGTCAAGATCAACGGGCATTTCTACGCCAGCCAGGTGCGTCAAATGTTGTCGTCCCCCGATGGTTGTAGTCCTCATGTCTTCATGTCTTCATGTCTTCATTACCCCCGATCTCCACCTTCATTCTGATCGTCTCCTAAAAGGTCGTATCCTCCGATCGTAGCTGATCGTAACCATTCAAGTTAACGTGTCAATTTACACCGACTTCTTTCCGTTCCTCTGCGGATCGCCGGACTCCTCAGCTGATCACAAGAGTTCTATTTTTTCTGGATGCCGGAGCATGGCGGATAAATTCAGCACAGATTAACCCGTGCTGGAAAGGAAGTCGGGCACAGACACAAAATAAAACATCCGGCTTCTTTTCAAAATAAAACACTCCGTGTTTCAGGAGGATCGTATTTCACACCATGCAAACGGGCGGAGACGAACAAGTGAAAGGTTTTTAGACGTCATTTCACCCCGATGACACCATGGATGAGGAGATGCTGATTCTAGAAGTCTAGAAGTAGATTTCCTCCTCTGGAAGGACACAATCTACTGCTTATATGTCTATGTGTCTGTCTTTAGAGAGACGACTCGTTATCGTGAGATTGAACGTGAATCTGCGAGTTCTTGTGAGTTCTTGTGATTCCGTAATCCGCCATGAAATTCGTCTCACAAACAGATCCAGTAGAAATTGGCGTATAACGAAAATGGCCGCCATTCCGGATGTGGTGGAAATTCCGGGTTCGAGGTTTTTTGATGTTTTGTCGTGTTTCTCTGGTTTTAAAAACGTGTCGTCTCCTCCTCTTCTTCTTGGTCCTCCAGTTGGCTCAGAGGAAGATCCGGGACATCCTGACCCAGGTCAAACAACCACAGAAAGGCGGGATGGGCATGAGCCCCGGCCCCAGCCCCGGGGGCTTCACGGAGATGGGACTGAGTCAGGAACACCAGCCTCGCAGGAAGTGAGGGACCCCGCGCCCTCGTGACATGCCGACGGGCATGACGGACAGACGGACAGACAGACACACGCACGGACGGATAGACAAACGGACGGACGAACGGACGGATACAGGATAGCGACACACGGACCCAGCGGTAGACAGGGAGAGATATAAACGAGGGAGGGAGTACGCCCGACAGCCAGAGAGAGAGAGAGGGAGAGAGAGAGAGCGGCGTTTAGAGAGAAACTAGAGAAGAAGAATAAAATCAAAAAGATGAAATGAATAAAAAAAAAGAGTTAAAAAGAGAACAGACACCAGATGCCAGGCCAGAAGAGAGACTGATTGAGGATGGAAGGATGTAGGAAAGGAGGGAAGGAGAGAGGGAAGGCGGTGTCCTCCTAGTGTGAGTAGGGCTGCAGCCGGAGTCTCACCTGCTGTATCAGACAGGTGTGAACAACATGGCCGCCGTGACCGGAGTTCACACCTGTCCACACGGGCCCACATCCACCGGCTGATCAGAAACACTAGCAGAGGCCCGCCCGCCCCTCTGTCGCCCCCTGCAGACCTCTCCAGCCATCTGCACTCAGTCCTATATTTTAAGGGTGGTTTTTTAATCATAGAGATATATATATAGAAATGTTTTATTCAGAGCTATTATTGATAGAAATGCAGTGAGGTGGAGCCGGGAGAGGGAGCAGGGAAACTGCTGCAGCGGCTCAGGGGGGAAAGGTCACAGGTCAGGCTTTAGCCCCACCCACCCCTGACCCCCCTGGCCAATGAAAGTCTAGCAGAGGGGCCGCAGATGTTAACACTGCTCTTTAAAGACCCCCTCCGAATAGCGGAGGGATTGAAGAAAAAAGAAAAAAAGGAGAAAATATGAGGTTGTAAATATATAATCTTCATGTAAATGTTAAGAAATGCTGCGTCTGACCGCCTTGCCTTTTTATGAAGGGGTCTTCTGTTTATCTCCCAGCCCCTGGTCTATGACACGTAGCATAATGTAGCCTACAGAGAGGCGGGGGCTGGGGAGGCACTGAGCTTCCCCTCCACGTTTAGCCGTGTGGTGGCGGACGCAGCAAGAGACAGTAAGGAGCGCGCGGTCGCAGCTGGTCCTGCAGTTCTAATGCAGCGGCTCAGCTAACACGAGTGAAACCTTTATAAACTACAACTTTATCAAACCGCCAGCAGCTATGCTAGCTGGCCAGCGACCCGCACCTTAAATGGCATATTTTATATATATTATATATATATGATATGTGAGTTAGCCCGGCCCCTCGGGTGAATGTATTGAAGGCAGAGAGTCAGGTGTGAGGTTTTGCTGCACCTGCGTGAATGAGTCCTGCAATGACAGACAGACGAGGCGTGTCTGAGACTTTCTGCTCATTGCCTTCTCTCAGCGCCGGACACTCCGGGCCGGTCGCCGATGCGCCGTTAAAAGCGCTCGGAGACCGGCCTCGTTCCGGCGCGAGAACCAAAAAAGCAAAGTCTTCCAAAGCTCCTTGCCTTGAGCTCAGCGAAGGTAAAATCAGACCGAAGGGGAGTGGCTTCCTCGTTCTCTCTCCCAATCTGCCAAAGGCCTGTGGGCGGAGCCTCCAGATCCCGCCTGCGTATGATAATGAGGGGCGGGGTCTTCGCCTGGACGCTCTCGCCAAGATTAGAACAGATTAGAGAAGAAATGAAAAAGAAAAAACCTACCTCAGGGTAAAGTTACCTCAGTATTCCTAACTTTTTTTTGCTTGCTGGTGTTTTATATAAGAAGAAAAAAGAAAAGAAGAGCTGATAGTCCTGAATATTTTTTATTTTTTTAAAGAAAAAGTATTTTTTTTTAGGTATTGTCTTGTTGCTTTGGTTATTTTTTTCTGTTTTTTTTTGGTGTGTTGATGGTTGAATGAGCTCAGGATGACGAGGAGGCATCAAGTGCTGGTCCAGAGAGGAAATGGGTCGAGTGCCATTTTGCCTTTTGTAGGTGAGGACATGCTCTCTGTCTTCCTGACGTGTGATTGGAGCAGCCGCTGTCTGCAGCGGTTTATCGGCCAATAGGGAGGGTAAACTGGAGAGAGGGGGACGGACGTGCGGGCGGCGATGAATGTAGCGTGGTGCACTTTTTACTGAGCTACTGACTGTGGATGTGTTATAAAGGTCAGGGGTTCGAGGCTGTGACACCTGTTCACCTGTAAAGAGTGACTCACCTGTTCATGCAGCAGAAGGTTCCTCAGCTTTATAACAGGAGGGGAGTCAGAGGGGATATTTGACCTGCAACATCCAAACTGCGAGTCAAGAGATTAAGAACGACCGAAGCAGAAAAAACACGACAAAAACAAAATCTGCAAAACAGACCTGAGTGGGTTTCCGCTGAGTCAAATTTAAGTGAAATGATCTTAGTGGGTCCTGAAATAATAACTCACAAACTCACAGACGTCCTCCTTAAATATCTGAGACGATCTGAGGTCTCCAGGTGAGAAAAGAGCTTCTCGGTGCTGCATTCAGGGGACAGCTGCACAGTATTTGCGATGCGTTCAGGGCCCTGTTGTTGTTGTTGAGCCACATGTGTAGTTTCACAGGGTGGCGTTTTTGCAGGAGTTGCAGCTGATTGGTTGAAGCCTCTGACACCTCCTGCAGGTGATCTGGTGCTCGTCTCTCCTGCGTGTCTCCAACCCCCCGGTCTTCGTAACACATCCACGCTACTGGCCCACCTGTGCACTGAAGCCCCTCCCTCTCCTGCCTTATTCTGATGACATCATCATGAAGCGCCAAACTTAACGAGAGGGCTTTAAGTGTTTAAGAGGTCGCGGTCCCCGACCAGGAAGAGGACGCCCGAGAGTGTGGGCGTGGTCGGGGACTCGTCAGATCAGAGTCGTGTTAAACGCAGCAAAGTGTGACTGTACGTGGAGACGGGGGCGGGGTCTGCCTACACACACGAACACACGCCTGAACTAGCTCTGACTTCTCTGAATGTGAATATTTATTACCTGTGCACTGACCACAACACCTCAGATGCTCCCTGTTGGCTGGATGCGCGCCTGCTGTGTGTTTGTGTGTGTGGTTGTGTGTGTGTGTGTGTGTGTGTGTGTGTTCACTGGTTCTAAATGTTCATTTCTGTCAGGGGATGTGGTTGGGTGAAACTTTAAAAAAAGCAGAAAAAAGTAGGACGAGAAGCTCTGGCCCTCTGTTTGGGTTCCATCTGACCGACGAGGAGGGAAGATTCAAAACCTTTAGAAAAAAAATGGGAGCAAAAATAAAAAAGAAGAAGAAGAAAAGCAAAGAGTTTAAAAACGACACCAACACATCTGAGTAATAGATTCAAACCTGTACATACAATCTTTAAAAGGTGATCACCATACTTTTGTATTTTTGGAGAAAAACGCATAAAAATCAAAGTGGGAAAAGCCGTTGAGAGAGGAAAGATAGCGCCAAGTCACTGAAGGACACTGCCAGATCATCTTTGAACATCTCTCACCACGAACAGGGGAAATCTACTCATCAGTGTCTGTGCTTCCATTTTTTGTCCAGAGGTGGAAACTTCACAGTTGGTCAAGTTTCCACCTCTTTCCAGACCATAGAGCTCGGTTCACAACCACCAAGACACGCGATTCAGGATCATTCTTCAGCCTGCGGATCGGTTAGGATTCATTTCTTTGATTTGGTTTTGATTTTGAGTTTTGACAATACAGCAAGCTTTATTTGGACGTGACATCTGGGGACGTACTGTTGCACTAATTGATGAAATATGTGGACGACGTCCAACTGTAGAAACGACTAAGAACCTCCTGAAACACCTGATGCAATTCTTAATGAAGAAGAGGAGGAGGAGGAGGAGGGATGTCCTCCCACCAAACAGTTCGTTGTTCTCCTTCCTCCTCCTCCTCTCTTTGCTCCGGGAGGAGAGGGAGATGTTTGATTTTGTTTTATGAAAAAAAAGAAAAGATCATTTCACTTTTGGAGCGGGCGGGCGGGCAGGAACGTCAGCGTCCCTCGCCCTCTCTTGCGCTGGTCTCTATCGTGTTCGTTTTGCTCACTTCTGTTCAGAAACCTTCGATTCTCCTACATTAACCACCTTCTCGATTTGACCATCGATGTTCTGACTCTCTTTGGAAACTGAAAATACTTCGTTTTCTGTTTTGTTTTTTTCTTTTTTTTGGTGCACAAATCTTCTAATGAAACAGCTACTAAACGCTCACTAACATGTAGCTCAGTACATGACAGTCACTGTGCCAAACACTCGGGAGAGGACTCGGTCCACGGTGCAGAGTAAAGACCTGCAGCACTCGTGGAGGAGACGAGTGGGGACCGAGCTCCTGCTCCTGTTTTTGTACGTACAGTAGAGACAGTAGAGACGATTTCTGCTCGTTGTGTCTCCACCTGATGAAGACACTCTTACACTCTTTGCTGTCTCCTGCTGCAGCTCTGCAGCTTTACGAACAGCATCCTGACCGGGACAGAGATCCTGAACAGATCCGGATCATCTGTGCCCAGACTCAACCCTCTGTCCTGATTTTATGCAACTTTTGTGATGAATCCGTTTTCACAGCAGGACAGAGTCCGTCGGTGTGAGCGCTACACTGGGACACGAGTCTCCACGCTCTTAAACTTATGCAGCAAACTCTTATTTTGAAGGAACTCGTCAAAGACTTTTCAGGAGTGAGTTTTTAAACTCGTTTCTTTATCTGCTGAGCATTTTCTAGAGTCAGTTAGAATCTCTGAGGGGTTTTCTAACTCTCTGCACCCATAATAGTTCAGTTTGAAGGTTTCATGTCACCTTGCAGATGCTCGAGAAAACATGAGGTCAGACCTCTGTGCATCACATTTGTGGACTGGATTTGGAGTCTGAGTTGTATCGCCCTCTGCTGGCTTTGGCTTTGTGTGTGGAGGAAAAAAAGCAGGCATGGATATTTTATCTGTGGCGCCACCCAGTGGTTCCTGGAGAGATGTTTTAGGCTTAACAACGGCAGTAGGAAACGCTCCCTCTGATGGAGTACACTCATCTGTCAGTCCATAATGATGCAGATGTTTGTTGAACTCTTAGCTTTGAGATAATTAAAATAGATGAGGAGTCACTCCTGGACAGTAAGTTTAAATAAATGTTTAACAGACCCCTGAGACTCTGTTCGAACCAGGCCGTAAACATGTTCAGGGAGAATTTTAACTTCTGTGGTGACCTGCCAAAGTGCAGAGAAATGCAGTTCCCTGAGTGTCCACAAGGGGATGACTGCAAAAGTTGAACAAACCACAAAGAAGTAAACGTGTTTCCAGCCTGGTCTGAATGACTCTGAATAACTCCGTCTTTTTGTTGATATTTGAGGATGAACGTTCTGCATAATTGTGGGCGTGGCTTACAGAAAACCAGATTCAGTCAGAATGTCTTATAGAGCGACTAAAACCTCCACCTCCAGACCACAACCATGTTTACTCAGACTATAATCATTCAGAAGAGACCTTGTGGGGACGCTTTGAAACCCATCAGGACTCAGATCAGTTTAACATCCATACCTGAGGTCTGTTCGCACACCAAGCTCATGATCTCCTTTTTGAAAAGTCGGTTTTCGCTCCAAGTTTGTGCCTCTTGAGGGGAATATTTGGCTTTTTTGGTGCTGAATACTTCACTTTTTCCACCAGCAGGTCGTCCAGAGCTGATTTTTTTAAAAAGGAGCTTAAAATCTTAGAGACAGCTGGAAACAAAACCCAAACCCGGAGCTGCAGCGGCCCGTTCACAGAGGGGTGGTTGAACGCTGCTTTAGGAAACGCTCAGCGCTGATGTCAGAAAACTCACTCCTGTCGTCCTCGAGTTCACGTTCAAGTTCAGACGAGTTTTCGAGCGAACTTCGTCTCATTTGTGGCGGCAGAGCTCAGCTTTGCTTCGAGACCCTCACACCGTGTAGCTCAGCGCTGACAGACGGAGAAACAGACGGACAGACGGCTGGCTGGCTCGCCAATCGAACCGCGAAGCCGCCGTCTCGACAAATTCAAAACTTAACGAGGAAAAATCCACGGAGGACGAAACAAACAGACCTCTTGTCACATAACTAGGAACGCTACCTCAAAACAAAAGCAAACTCAGCCAGAAGATTGTTTCTTTGATTTCCTTTAAGGACAAACAGACGAGAAAACAGTCAGTCAGTCAGCCGGACAGAAAAAAGACGGACACTCGATGTTACAGTCACCGTTTTGTTTTTGTTTTTATTTCCACTCTCTAATTTATTTTTTCGGTTTTTGAAATTGTACCTCTCCTGCTCAGAGATGGGACTGTAAAAATAAATGAGTAAATAAGAAAAAAAACGACAAAAAGACAAAAAAACTCCGACACATTGTGGCGTGGGGCGGCGCGGGCGGCGCGGGCGGCCGGGGCGAGGACCACCGTCGACCAGGTGTGGACGCTCCCTCTGGTGTCACTGTGAATCAGAGTCCAACACAGCCGCTCCTTTAAACACACCTGAGTCCAAACTACCCACAATCCTCCTTTAGCCCCGCCCTGCTGCCCCGCCTCCCCGCCCTGTGATTTCACCTCCTGAATCAAGGGGCACGACACCTGTAACCATGTAATTGTTTTGTTGATCTACCTCTTGGGAAAAATAGGTAAATGGTAATTTTTTGTTTTGGAAAAGGACACAAAAACGACAAAAAAAAAAAAGTTGCTCGAAAGAAATATAGGTAAAAGAATAACTGGGTAGCGG